ATTTTCTCTCTCTTTCTCCTTCTATTTAATAAGAATAACGGTACCGAAACTAGACTATTCGACTACTTCGCCTACCGTACACTCTTAATCTCCGTAGATAAATTCGAAATCTAAGGGACGAGTGGAAAGTATTATAGATATTAAATCGCGTTGGAGCACTTCGAATAAGGAATATAAGATAATATATAATGTATTTTAAGAAGTATTATAAGAGTCTAGTATACTAGATAAACGTATTTAAGGAGTAGCTACTTAATACACCGTAAATAAGATCATCGATAGAATACTACGTAAATAGTAGTATCGAAATACTCTTAGAAAGATGAATTTAGAGACGGTATAGAGCGATCTACGCTACTTAGCGCTATAGCTAAGTCGTAATCATCGGAGACGACTATAGCGAGATAAAAGAAGATAAATATACGGCGTAGTCACACGCGTATATCCCGTAACTAGACGAAGCTTAATAGAGTTAGTAAATGGGACTACGGCGAATGGTTTTAGTTTAAACTTAAACGAATCGTCCGGTGAATTAATATCAGTATAACTAGCTAAATAGAAATTATCTAAAGAACGAGCTAAATCTATAACGTTAACGATAGCGACACAGTAGAATATCGACTATTTCGATATATAAATTATCGTTATAAGACGATAAGAGAAAGAGAAAGCGAGAATGTATCGTCTCGAGAAATTCTCTTTAACTCGAAGCTATAACTATATGAGTCCTCTAGAGAATCTATAGTTCGCACAATTTATAAATATTCTAAACGCGGATTTTATATTTATTCCTAGTCGCGATATACTTAGCTATAATTCTACTAGTATAGAGAAGATCCTAGTATCGAACGAGAGAGTGTAGAAGACTACGTTATGAGATATACGTAGCTAGAGCTAGCGATATTTTAGATTTTAGCTATAGCGTATAAAGTAATCTAAAGAGAGATAAACTATATTATAGAGACTATATTAAGAAGATAAGATAGAAGAGTATAAATTATAATATAGTAGAAACGGCTAAATCGGGTTAGATTTAGCGCGGCTAAACTAATTATAGTAAGATTAGATATAAATATATTAATAGACGCGTTATAACTTTTATTTTAATTCTCTTACTCTTCTCTTTATTTTTATCTTCTTAGACTAGAATATCCCTTACTACGAGGCTTTTAGAGAAGCACGAGTACTCATCCGATTCCTAGCTCTAACTAAATATTCTAAACTACTAATAACGACTACTACCTTCTCTATTATAGTATAAAATAAAACGAAGATAAGACGCGATAAAGAGAATCGTAATATAGTATATAATACTAACTTAAGATATATAGCTACTAATCTAGGAGAAGAAGGAACTACTATAGCGATAAGAAGAAGATAAATAGATATGTACACTAAATCCTATATTACTAAGTCGGTATTAGAATTAAATACATAGTCCTTAGCGTAGCTCTCTTATAAAAGTTACGTAGAAATGCGAATTAAATTCTAATATTCACTAAGTATATACTTCTTTCCATTATAGTCGTAATTCAAGATAATATATAGAGAACCCTACATTAATATAAGTGAAAAGGAACGTCGAGTTAAAAATAACCGATCGAGTAATCGGTTCTCTAATAACCTCCTTACTTCTATACGCTCTCGAGATCGAACCGGAAGACGTGTTAAACTATCCTAGAGAGATTTATCATCGGTTAAAGAAGATAGTAATTTCAGTTCTAAGAAAGAGAATAAGTATTCCTAGGCTACTAATAAAGAGAAAGAAGTATAGATAACACTATCGCCGAATCGAGAAAGAGTTATAATAAGAGTGATAAATATATCTCCTTATAAGAATATTATAGTTAGATCTTAATATAATTAGCTCTATCGTATTAAATCTAATAAGATAATTATTCGCGAGTAAAGACTTTAAGATATCTAACGTATATCTAGTTATAATCTATAATAATTCGTAGTAAGTACAATATATCATCCGACGCGTATTTCCCGAGTAGCCCCTCTCGAAGACTTCCCGAGATATAGAGTTCGTTAGACGATAGTATTATATCTAGATCTTCTAATATAAAATAGATTCTACACCGCTTTAGCTTAGTTCGCGACGATAAGTACTCGATATCTTTCTCAGTAGATATATTCTTCACCGATCGTTCGAGTTAAGGGTATAGTCGTGAGAAGAAGAGACGAAGAGAATTATAAGACCGCGATCTTATATCTGACGTTGAGAGATAAAACTATTCTAATGTATTCGGAGATACAAAACGACGAGAAAAGTTCTCGTCTTCTAAAGGCTATATTAAAATAATTAAAGCGTATAAGGATTTAATAGTTACGCGAGTCTTATCCGGGGACGGTATAATAGATAAGAGAAATAGGCGTAGATGTAATACGTAGATAAACGCGAATATAGAGTTCGAAGAGTCTTTAGTTCAATAAGTCTAGAATGATATTTACGAGAATAGAAGAATATTTTAGATCGCTTTATTTCTTAGGGTACTATTGAGCCCGCACTTAGTGAAGATTAGAAAGGTATCTTAACTAGTAATTAAGAATATCTACGCGTTCGTTAATCATCACCACTAAATACGGAATTACGTTAGTAACTATCGCTCTAAAGTTATACAGCGTATACGCGAAGAGATACGATAGCTTTTCGCCGTCGATGATTCAACGGGTACGACGAAGAAAAAGGTGCAGTTTCTACTGGATTATAATCGCTTTATGTGTGAACTAGGCTCTACCGGAGAAGAAGAGATAGATATTAGTATCTAATGCTATATATATACTAACCCGGAAATAGACGAATATAACGGACCGATAAACGTCGAAGAGCATTATCCGACTAATTAATAAAGTCTTCTAGATTAAGGTAAATTCGGATTTAGTAAGATATAGCGGAACTAAAAAGTACTTTAATTCTTTACGACCCGAGATAATTTATTATCTAGTGATATATCTATACTAATACTTATAAGAATATTTAATAGATCTACGAGTAAGAAAAGACTATAACGTAAACTTTAAAGGAAGATTTTTCTTTACTAGAAAGAGAAGACTACTAATACTTTCTAGACCTCTATATACGATTTAAAACCCTATAGAATTAGTAAAGCTAGCTAAAATAATAGATAATATATTAGATTCTAATATAGCGTATTAAGCTTTTCGCCGCTAATATAAATAGAGAGTAATTATAAGAAGTCTTTTAAGATCTATATAAGAACGACTTACGTATACTCGAATTATATAGAACATTTCTACCACCGTATCTTTAGTAGAAGTTAACGAAGGAGATATCGTCTACTCGTATAAACGAGAAATATAATCGAGAGAACTAACTCGTAACTAACCTCATCATTAGCGAGGTAAGTTAGATACCGAAAGAGAAGAGTAATAGATACTAAAATGTAGTAGTAATCGATTAACTAAGTACTCGGAAAGGACGTCTAAGAATATACTTTCCATTAACACGTCGCAGAAATTATCTAATAAGTTAAGTTTAACTCGAATATAAGCTTCACAACTCTAATGAACTAAGTCTATAATATTCTAATATCTTAGTTAGCAGAGCTACTTATCACGAAACCTCTATCGATATAGATATATATGGAGGAAAACGATAACGAGGAGAAAAGCGTAGTCTCTGACGACGAAGAGCTTCGACGAGTTCTAAATAAAATACGCTAATTAGGCCGAACTATACTCTATAATCGAGAATAGCAGGAAGAAGATAAGTAGTCGACGTAGACGTAAGCACTACATGAGCGGCGAGGAGCGATTAGAACTAGTAGAAATTAATAGTAGTGAGTATGGAATGGTAATATCTAGATAAATAAGGTCACTAAACGAAGTTTAGATTATTTTCTATCCATTATATATTATATTAATAAGAGACGTAAAAGAAAATAATGATCGATAAGTAGTATATATTATAACTACTCCAGAATGTACCTAGGGTACGCTAGATACCTAGACACCTACGGGCCTTTACGATATTACATTTATCGAAGTTCTATTAAAACTACATAGTCTTCATATACATAGAGCAATGACGGCGCTTCATCGACATAGATACATCTAATGAAGTTTAGGGCCTATAGTCTTAATAGAATATAGACACCTAGAGTATATAGAAGCTACAGGATAAACGTCATAATTAGTGGAAGGTGTGGAATGGAAAGAACAGGGAGACGCCAGAGACAGCTGGGCTAATCAGCAACAACCCTGGGAGCCCATGGGTTGGTACGCGGCGCGCTGGAGTAGCCCAGCGGTCTCATGGGTTGCATAAGACGCAGACTTACCTTGACAGCCCAGGGCGGCCCAGGGCTCTCAGGGTCGCGCGGGAAATTTTGCTGATGAAGAGAAATAGAATAGTGCTTCTTAGACTAAAGCTATAAAGAGTCTAGAGTAATAGAAATATCTAAAAGTAATCACTTAATTATAAGACTTATAGTCCGATGGTAGAATTAAGTACCTTCCGAAGATCAGCACTCATTGAAGCGACCGGAGCCGCGTGTTTTGAAATGCCGTGCGATTAGGCAACCAAGGCGTACAATGCCTTCGAACATTTTCACCCTTCTTGAATTCACTGGTTAAGACATATGCTACAATGGCCTTCAGTTTCAAAGCCTCAGAGAGATGGATAGGCTTTCTGTTGCATCTCTGGCTATTCTTCCTTACGTACATACTAGTGGCTGTGTATCGGGGGAAGTTGATCCATATAGCATAGCTTGCTCGCGATCTTCTTTAGACGGATCAAACCTCGACCTTTTATGGACTTCCAGTGCTGGGAATTTGCATTGTCCATACCCTCCCGCCAAGTATCAACCGCCGTCCTGTACGTATTATTCGCCGCCCAATCATACGTCTCATCGAACTGCGCAAAAGCACCGTTTCCAAGGTGGCAATCATCCTCAGTAAGGCTGCTGCTCCCTCAAAAGGATTCGACGTGCTTCCCCAATACCCGATCGAAAGAAAGGAATCAGCTGAGGACTGACGTCGGCAATAGCCTCGGACGACACTTCTGCTGCATCAGCTCTCCAAGTCACCTCTGTTTTGTCGGCGTCCAGCTTGCGCAACCTAATACTTCCACGGCATCCCTTAATAGGCCACGGACCACCGTCTTGGAGACGGTATGAAATGAAGTGCTCCTTGAGATCCCATATCTCCAATGTTTCTTCCATGACGATGCCCAAATTAGCCACGGCGCGGGTGGCACCGTAAGTTGGTGGCTGTGGCTTGTCTTCCCGCACGTAACAGGTTTCGATGCCCGGCATCCACGTCTTTATCGCACCAAAAGCCGATATGACAGACCACACCATCTCAATGGGCCTCTCAATGGTCTCCACGAGTTCGCAAATTTCAATCAATCCTTTCCGCGAGTCATAGTCCAAGGCAGGAGAACCCATGTTTGATCAAATATTTGAGTCGTAAGTCGTGGGTACGTTTGTTATTGTGACTGAACTTCGAAAAAAAAAGCGACCATCGATGGATGCGAAGCGACTCGAAGAAACAGACGGGCGAGAACAGCTTATTTTCAGATCTTAAGGCTGGTAGCCAGGCAGAGCCCGGAAGTCAAGATGAAGTGTGCGCTGATGACTCGTTTGGTAATTTCTAGGCCTGCCTTGCTCCAGAAGATAGCTGATACTGTATTCCGGGATCATGCAACGACAGTAGCTGCCAGAAAATGCATATGCTTAAGCGAAGGATGCCCGCAGCAATATACCGAGTTATGAAAATATTAGTGGCTTCGGCGGCGGTTTTCCCGGACAATCTAGAGGCCCCCGGACGGTAAGGGAAATATTCGGCTCTCCATCTCCCGGGGATCGTTGCTACGGAACTCGGAGTTCTTCGACAAACCTTGCGACCTGCTCGGCCAATGGGCTCAACGGCTAACTCGGTTCGACTTTCAAACAGCAGTCGTACAGCTTCCGAGTTCGAAGCACTTATGCTGGGGGGCTATGCGAACACTCCCTTCGCCTTTTTCTGAACTAACTTGTTCGGAAGTACAGAAGATCTCAGAATTACGCCCATTTCATAATAGGGACGAAAAGCCTAGAATTTATCAATTGGAAAGTCACAAATCGTTCCCTAAAATACGAAATGGAAGACTATTACGAATACGCAAGGATCTTCAACACTGGCAATGACGAGCTACTGCTGTCAAAATTCTTCTCGTTCCCCTTCACCTTCACTACGCCATTCTCGAACCAGAGCTATGAGACTTATGAAAGCTTCCTCAAAGCGCTTAGAGAGGTAAGCCGCTTCAGTTCCCACAGACTTATTGAATATGCTGCTTATTTGCCTGTTCCTACAGTACCACCGCGTGAGAGAATGCATAGAACCTCATAAGGTGGTCTATGGCAAAGGGGAACTCTTTGTCGATCTTGATATCGTCTTCCATTCGTGTGTCGAATGGCTGGATTTCCCATATGGACCTGTTCGGCCTGGTGATACACTATTGGTAAGTCACTGACTCAAACTTTACGGTCACGTCGAGCACGTCCGCTGACTACGTCTACGCTTCAGACTCGAGGTTTTGTCCACTACACGTTGGATAGTAAAAGTCGAATTGTGCACGTTGCTGAGATGTACTGGCCAGCTGGATATCTCAACATGCCGATGAAACGCCTCGGTGGTAGTGATACGCAACGCGCTGCGCTTGATGCACTTATTGCAGGGTTTAACGCTGGCCGTTTCGAGGCTATAGGGGATTACTACACGGAAGACGTAACCGTGGAGTTCCCTCTCAACGAGCAGTTGGTTGGCAGAGCAAAAATTGTGGAGACCTACAAGTCTATACAAGAGAAAGTAAAGGTGAACTTGGAAGTGAAGAGCGCCATTTGTGACGATAGTGGGATCTGTCTCACCGCTAAGGAGACATTCCAGGCTCTTGTTGACGATCCTGATTTCCAAATAATGCCTCTAAAGGCTGGAAAAGAATCCTCCCGCTTGATTCTTATAGTGATTTCTCTGAGCGGTGGGCTGATTTCTAGTTCCAAATCAATAACACTAGAGTAAGACATATGTCAGGAATACCAAAACATTTAGGTCTCTCGACCTCTGAAGTCCATAATTATTATGAGAGTCTTTACGAACTCTCATGCATCGAATCTCGTACGCGCTACGGGCCCAAGAATACACCGTTTTATCTGAAACCTTCTTATAGAGCAAAATCTAACTGGGCACCGCTTTTATCATCGAATGGTCTCATACCAGAGCAGGAAAGAGTCCATAAACTCTTTTCTCCCCTTTTTCTTGCGATGTTGGCGGCCTCAAGAAGGTGTATAGAAGTCTCTCGAGTCTTTGCAGGAAGATAGAGTCTAAGAAAGATCTCAATGCAATCAGACATGTCGATGTGACCAATGAAACACCAACAACAGCCTATGCAGATTGTGGAGCCACATTCGTAGGCTAGAGTTTGCCAATATATCCGGAGGAACTCGCAGTGTCCAGGATTCGAAGCACTTGCGGATTTGCAGTTGCTAGAGGAAGCTGAGAATGTGGTGCCTAACCTGTATGCTGTGGGTGTGAGTCAGAATCTGCGAGATCGTTATGTGGGCGGGGTTTTTCGGGGCATACTGTTGAATAGCATTGAGTTGGGACGCTCCCAGCAAATGCTACGGTGGCAGCCCTACGCCACATTTCACTGTAGGTATAGGCACCCTACTGATAACTCAGCGGTAAAACGAGACTACTAGATCTTCATATTTACTTAATCGACATACCACTAACTTTGCCGCTCATACGGTTGTAATATATGCACGAGCACTTAAGCCCTGAGGTCATCTATATTTTCGTTTTGCTCCTGCGGTAAGGTGCTCCCCTCTATCCAGAGGGAGGACAACGCCGTTCATATACGAAGCTGCTCGGGAGCATAAGTATAGCATTGCACCAGCAATATTAAGAGGCTCACCCAACCGGAGCCGAGGATTTAATGCGTTTAGTTTCTCGGGGCCGCCTAGGCGTTCAATAAGCCCGTTGGCCAACTTGGATGGGAAAAAGCCAGGAGCAATGGCATTAGTGACAATGTTTCGAGGACCCAGCTCGACTGCGAGTTGGCGTGCCATATGGTGCACAGCAGCTTTAGAGACCGCATATATGATCGTCCCGTTTTCATCGACGTGAGGCACCATGAATCCAGCCACAGATCCGACAATGACGATGCGGGCAGGGTCTGCCATAGGAAGGTGAGGAAGGCTAGAAGGAGGTGCTTGACTCACACCCTGATCAAATTATAGACGCTCCTAACATTCATGTCCAGAGCCTCGGCAACGGCAGCGTCTGGAGTGTCCTCGAATGGACCTCCCCAAGTCGCCGCAGCACTGGCCACGAGGATATGAATGTGCTTCTCTATGCCTCTGACGCGAGTAACAAGCCCACCAACCCCTTTCGTGCTTGAGATGTCGACAGCAAAGGCCACAGCTTTCTCTTTGGTCCCTTGCAGACCGTTTAGTCGCTGGACTGCCTGATTCAATCCTTGAGGGCCCTCAGCATTGCGCGACACCAGTATGACTCTGCACGCCCCAGCCCTGAGAAATGCAGTAGCAGCGTGGAATCCCAGCCCCCGGGAACATAGAGAAATCAGCCTGTGAATTGACAGTTATCCTAGTGCTCTACAACATCAAAGCATTTCGGAAAGCGCATTCCTGCTTACCGCCTGTGATTAACGCAACCTTTCCATCAAGCCGAAAGAGACCGTCGAAGCCGTCAAGTTGTGACATGGTAGTAGTTCTGAACAGCGAAACAAGTCTAACGCTGCAACGGAAATGCTGCCAGCGTGAAGAAGACCTGAAAACTGACCACTTCGAATAGGACAACCAAATTCGTGAACTTTAGCCGCGGTTTCGAGCAACGCACTCTCTCAAAATGGGACCGGCGAATTCGCTGGTCTTCAACCTCTTAATGCAAATAGACGGGGATTGCAGAGGTTGGCGTATTAACCACAATGACCGATGACTTTCACTTCCGAGTATAATGAGAACTTCCTATGTCCTCTGGCTCAACAAAAGGGAGAGTAACTCATCAGAGAACTCGTGTCTAAAAAGAGGCGCAAAGCCATATGTGGCTTCGGGTTCCCTCTTGAGTCATGGTTAATGATCGGCATTGCCGCAGAACTCCTCGGAGCTCTGCCGGTTGTTTGGTTCTGTTTTAGCGTCCCGATACTCTCGGAGGGTGGGGAGCTTGCTCATCTCCGGATGTACGCTTGTCTACTTCCTAATAAAAGTGCTGAAGAAGAATAATGGACGGAAAGGGTACTGATTTGGTCCATTTCAGTTTCAATTGCCTCAAACCCTCGCGAAGACCGGAATTCTGGCTCGTCCACAGTCGATAGCAAACACTGTTTAAGGCGTCAATGCAATAGCCGAATTCTGGATGCTTCGGAAATAGACAAACTCGGGATTTGACCATGAATGCTGTGGACTAACTACTCAAATTCGGTAATAGGAAATTCCGTAGGGCCAAGTTTATCTCCGCGGCTTCGTGTAAGACCTCGTGCCTTTTAACCATCGAACGCAAGGGACTTGAAAGGTGGAACCACATTGCGATTCGCTTTTGAGGCACAAACACCTGGACTTTCAGACTAGCGTCCCCAACAATGGCTAAATCGGATCTTGAGCGTTTACGAGATTATTTCGATGCCACATCGAAACTCGAAGTCGAGAAGGCAAAGTCACTATTTCACGAAGATATCGTCATTGAGGCACCCTTCACACCCAAGTTAATCTCTGCTGCGGTCCCCAAAAGAATGGAAGGACAGCAAGCAGCATTTGCCATGTACGACAGTCTTCCCAAGATGGTCACACCGTTGAATTTCAGCAACATTCAAATTTATCCTTTGCAGGAGCCGGAAGAGTTTCTGGCAACGTATCAGAGTTCTGCGACAATGCTAGCTACCAGTTTGCCCTACAAGCAAAGCTACATCTCAAGGTTTCGGTTCAAAGACGAGAAAATTATTCTGATCGCCGAATACTACGACGCCATTACCTTGCTAACAGCCCTTGGCGGTTCCGTCAAGCTAGGCTAGTGCGAGGAAGAAGACCTTGATAGGTATAAACTGACCTAAGGGAACAATTGCCTTAGGCGTTATCAGATCGGAACATGTTGGTGAAGCCATCCAGAACTGGAAGTCCCTAACATATGGGTGGGTGAAAAGAAGGATGAAAAGAAGGATGTTCTCATTAAAGATAGAAGGACGGCACTTGGCAGTGTTGCAAACTTGTTCCACGAGACCCTGTATTTTCGAAAGCATTCAGGTCCAATCTCTTTGGATGTAGGAAATACAGTCCTGGGCCAATTTGCGAAGATTGCTCTCAGCTTTCACAGAGTCTGTCCGAGCCCAATATCTGTTACGGGTCCGAAGCAGCATTTCAGGTTCTCATATGCGGTACTACAGCAGTCCTCGTCCTGTTACGTAGCTTGGGGTGTGCCTCCGTTGCCTGGAACGAGGTGCACTTGAGATGGAAACCATCCACACATATCTGCTTGAGAAGCCACTGTTCCACGCTCCATTTCGCTCCTACAAATGTATTGGGTATGTGCACCATTAGTGGATGGGGAAAAGTGCGATTCTCCTCCGGGGAGTAAGTTTCCCCATATATCTTGTTGGCTCAGCTTGTCACGAGCCCACCGTTATCCCTAAGTACCCTACGCTCTCCACCCGAATCGGGTGAATGGTATAGAAAGAAAAGGATAAGGCAAAGGATGGTTAAAGCACAAGGCTATCAGTCGATAAGGCTATCGGTTAACGCAGCCTTACCCTTTTCACGTAATAGAAAGAGGGGAAGCTATAAGAGTTTCCTCTCACCCGAATCGAGTGAGAGCGAACTCTTTCTTTTTCTTAAGCGCTGAGTCGTTATCAAAAGAACTACGTGATATAGAACAAGCATTCAGCTACTCCAATTCTCTGTACCTACTGCGTTGCGTAGGTCTCTGATACAGCTCCCATATTCTTTTCCTTCCTAAAAAAGACAGAATCAGCCTCATATGGCCGCCAGTCTGCGGCTTTGTACTGTTCCTCGGGCTGACAGCTTACTGTTTCCACGTTATTCAGCCGAGCGCCTAAACAGCTCAACGTGTCGAGAGCTCCGTGAAGCTTTCAGATTATAGTGGTGTTTCTGGATGAACTGCTGAATATTTAGTATTACCACTATTGTTTAGCTGTCGCATCCCGTCTTTCTATATCAACACGAGGCCATGTTGCAAGGGCATGGACGTGCCGGCTCGAACATCCACTAAGCGGTACGCCGAGAAACAACTTCGCTGGCATGTCCGTTTGCCACTTCTGATACGACCGAAGCCCTCTCGACAGTCCACTTTAGGCTGTTACATTTTACGAACATCTATCGTCAAAATGGCCACCTTAAGCCCATAAGTCTTGAAGACCCAACCAACCCCTGCTTGGATCCAGTCGAAGACAGGATTTTCAGATGCGGGTTGTGTCGATTGTCACAGATACGAAGATGGGATGGGTCATGGGCGGGCTGATGAACATGCGTACTGAGTTTCAAAGTACAAGTTCAGGCTCAACTTTTTCTCCCATTTTCGGACCTTTCTTTAACGGCGAAAACGTTGCGAGGACATAGTCAACGAGCAAAATAGGGCAAAGAATAAAGAGGTTCCTGACAAGTGGGCCTGGTTGGCAGAAATACCCGGAGGTAAACTACTGTATACGGCAGCAGTGCAATAACGCGGAGATATGGGTGAGGAGTTCATCCTATAGTTCCGGCGTGTGATTTTCGGAGTCGAATTATCGAGCTTTGTGATATCGCCGAATTCCAGCTCTATTATGTATATAGGGACCTGGAGTGATCTAGCCTTCTGCACGCAGTTTGCGGTTCGAGGTCGATCGAAAACTAAACATGGCTGACCTTCAAAAAGATCTTGAGCTCCTCCAAACTCATTTTGCAGCGATTTCAAAACTCGACATCCCTGCAATTATGGCAACATTCCACCCAGACATCGTTATCGAGGCGCCTTTCACCCCTCAAATCTTCACAGCAAGTGTACCCAGCCAGATTGAGGGAAAGGAGGCTGTTGAGAAATTTTTCACATCACTCACTGATTTGGTGGCTCCGTTGGCTTTCTCTGAGCTCAGTATTGAACCTCTACGAGAACCTGGGGAGTACTTTTGCCGCTTCAAGGGTAATTCCAAATGGTTGTCAACAAACAGACCATATTGTAACCAATACGCCTCGCTGCTCAGTGTACGAGATGGTTTAGTACATCGCATGACGGAATGGTACGACCCAATCACCATTATCAATGCAGCCGGTGGCAGGGTTGCCCTGGACAGCCAAGAGAGAGAGCACAATCATCTTACCAGACCCGGTGTATTATCCATCCTCAACTGAAAGTTTCTCTAATTTTGCAAATGCTGGAACCGACCATAACAGCGGACTTCCTGGTTGACCAGACACCCAATCCTGACAGGAAACACAAATTTATTGAATCTGTCACTGGTGCGGGATCCATTGGCCGAAATTGAATGCTGCGAAGCAGAAGCAATGCAACATCATAAGACGGACTATACAATTTAGTGTACAGCAGGATTGCCAAGCTTTGTTGGCGTTCCAAACGGAGGTGCTGAATGCTGCGGGAATGGACTGGCCGGCTCGGTCTGGAGTCGTGACCTGACCTGGCTTTCCAAAAAGCGGACTCTGACCACAAGACGTTCTTATTATCTAGCTGTCACTGTATAGAAAGTATTCTCCCGCGGTACGCTCTCCGAGGCGTATCATTATTTGTGCCTTCCAGTCTTCGTGGACACTACCCTCTCGAATATTTGTGGCAGAAAATCCGACTACATCAAAAAGTGGAGTCACTATAGTGGGGCATCTTTCTCAACTGTCTTTCTCGTCTGGCTAATGTCACCCTACGACCGAACAGCGACGTTCGGAGCCTTTACGATCGCCCTTTAGAGTCAACGCCTTTACTAATGAAGCGCTTCCTGTGGGCAATTGATTCCTCGTTCCAGAGGTGTTCAAGAGCATGCGGAGTTGTCGGGGCTGGACTGCTCTAAATGACTTAACTCCATGTGGATCTGCGAAGTTCGGCCCGACGCAACTTAGCCGGCTAAGGAGCGTAACGCGAGCCCCAGGCCGCCGAGTCCGGCTCAGGCGTATTGTATATATTTATTGCTTGCCAGATGCAGATACACTCCGCAGATGCTTCACTACTATACGCAAGGTGTATCCTCTCTAAAGAATAGCCCAAAGAAGTTAGCTCCAAAATCAGAAAATTTCCTCGAATTCTTACCAACAGGCGTACTCGGTTGCCAAGCTCCGGTACTATTTCCTTATAAATGGGACAAGTGAAGCGCCGAATCAGGACACTTAAGATTGATCTATAAAAGATATAAGACATACCTAATAATTAGGTACATTGATTTATACCTTCCAAACAAAGAAAATGGAAATCCCTCAATTGAAGCATGTTTTCGACTTTACAGCGTGGGGTCCCGCTGATTTTCCCTACATTGCAACGGAACATTCTAATGTTTGTGTGGCTCACGGTAGGACACCTCCAGTCTTTGTCCCTAGCTAGTACAGGGGCGAGCCTTACGATATCACTTTACTGATGCGCACCATCCTTAGCTTTTGATGGCCGCATTGACTTGCCGAATGGTGAAACAATCTTCAAAGTAGTGACAGGGTCGGATTGGCAGACTAGGGGTCCAACTGACGTGATGGGCATCAATGCTCGAGTCTCCACCATCTCGGAAGATGGAAAGGAGAACATGGACCTTGAGTACTACGGGAAGATCAAGATTACGCAGCAGATTGAGGACGTGATAGCTGCGAGAGGTGGAACCGGGGCAGGTACCGAATGGGGCGACGGCTACTATTTTATCACGCCCAGAATCCACAGCAGGAGTGAGAAATGGGGCTGGGTTAATGATTCAGTCTTTCTCGCATGCGGCAAATTAACCTTGCACCGGAGGGATGACGGCTCAAGTATCTCTACCGTTTCATACAGAATATACAAGGTGGAATAATAACACCACTGTTGCATCGTTCTCTGGCTGCTAGAAACGAATGCTTGCAGCTGCAACAACTTTAGCGATCCAGTTAGTCGAAGTCAAGAAGGTGCTTAAGCCTAAATCTTGATCGTGCTGGCACTCGGTGACGCTCTCGCGTTAACTCACAAAGCTTAGAATAAAACCGTATCGCTCCGATTGAAAACGGTTTAGGCGATCTGGAGTTCGCATGACCGAAAAGGCGCAAAGTCTGGCCGACGGAGCTAGATTCCTATCTCGTGCAGTTGTGCACGAGAGCGCGGTTTGTATCACGAAATGCCTGTTCGGACTGTTCTCAGTGGGTTTGAGAACCGTAGAGAGTGACCTCAAACTAACGGACTCGTGACTATTATCATCAACTGAATCTGCCCTCGCTTGGTGCTGGTTTTTCCACCACTCAGTGTCATCCATCGCATCCGGCCCTATATCAAGTCTCTTTTCCCCCTTACAGTCACCTGTTAAATAGATTATCGATTGACGCTATCAACATGACCGCATCGAAGCCCCCCTTCAGCCAAGATTCATCGGCCACAGAAACGGAAAATCTTGCGGAGACAGAAATATTGCCCAAAAACTGTGTCTTGATTCTAGGAGGGGGCCCCGTTGGGTTATGTCTCGCGATGACTTTGGCATATTACAGCATCAAATCGGTAATACTAGAAAGAAACGAGACAACAACAAGGTTCGCAACTACCTCAAGTGTAGAGAGGGCCATTGAAGCAAACAGTGATGTAGGTGGCCAAAAATGGACCTTACCAATGTGCGGTCGATGGAACTCTTCAGAAAGTTAGGTCTTGTACAAGGCCTACGTGAGGAAGGCGTGTTGGTTCCTTCCTTCGCATTCGTCCTTGAAGCTGACACACTTGTACAAGGCGTCGCCGCCCACATTCCCTACAACGTTCGCATTTCGACTGGACTTAGCCGCAAGGAATCAATCACGAATTGGTTCCACCCTAGCGTGAACCAGTACCGTATCCAAATTGCCGAGAAAAACGACGGAACCATGCCGCTTGAACCCTGGCAGCGCATTTCACAAGCAATCTTCGAGAAATGGCTGAAAGATCGTTGTGACGAGAACCCGCTGATTGATGCTCGTTTTAACCACCGAGTTGAAAACATACAAGAGGTCGAAAATGGTGCAACGGTTACCGTGACAGATCAAAAGACAGGGCTGAAAAAGGTCATTCTATCGCATTATGCCGCGGGCTGTGATGGCGGTTCAAGTAGGGTACGCCGGTCACTAGGAATTCCTCTGCACGGAGGCCCAATGTGAGTGTGGATCTTTTATTCTTTTCTGGTCTCTTGACCGAGCTTATCCACAGTCCTGCATATGTCCTCCTTGTCCACTTCAAGTCAAGAGACTTATCACGCCTCCATGCACAAGGTCAATTTTGGCACTTATTCTTCATCGGAAATGAAGGGCTCAGTGGGGCCGCTATTGCTCAGAACGAGATCGACACCTGGACTACTCACCTTTTCATGCCTCTTGAGAAGGATTCAGACTCCATAAGCTCTCAGGAGGCTGTTGAGACCGCCCTTGGAGGGTTGCACGGGAGATACCCGGTGAAAATTGACGAAGTTTTGGTCAGATCGACGTACAGACCTAGTATAGCGATTGCGCAGAGTTATTCTTCCTCTAATGGCCGCATTTTTCTCGCCGGAGATTCAGCTCATCAGAACATCCCCACCGACGGCTACGGTAACAGTCGATAATTGATTCATATAGACCAGGCTGACAATCACAGGCATGAATATGGGAATTGCCGATGCATTCGACCTGGGATGGAAACTAGCCACCGTAATTGACGGCTTTGCGGATTCACAGCTTCTGGATTCCTACGAGAGTGAACGTCGACCAGTTGCTGTGGATAGTATTGAACGCTCAGGTGTCCATATGAAAGTGCACATGGACGTAGCCGAGCTTCTTCAAGGCCGGGCAGGGGCATTAGATGAGGACTCTGACGATGGAAGAAAGCTTAGAGATGCGCTTCATGAGCACTATCAGAAGCAAACCGGCGAGAACACCGATTTGGGGATCGAGATGGGATATCGGTATCAGTCCCATGCCATTTTTCCAGAAGACTCCCAGCCTCCGAAATTTAACCCGTCAGCGTACATTCCTAGCACCTATCCCGGCAGTCGAGCACCACACGTGTATCTCAGAGACGGAACACCGTTATTTGACCACTATGGCAAGTATTTCTCCCTTATCGAGTTTTCCGACGGTACAGACTCCAGATCCGATCTCCTTTTGAAGGCTGCTGAATTCAGTTGGACACCGATTAAGCTTGTGAGACTCGCCGGCGAAGATCATGCCTACAGCATCTGGGGTCAACGGCTTGTCTTGATACGACCCGATGGACATGTTGCATGGCGAGGGGACATGATCAAAGATTTGGGGGAGGCTCAGAGAATTGTTGCTGTAATAAGGGGCGTAAAAGAAGCGACCATCAACGCCCCTGAGGCAGTACCGTACCAGAACGGGGTAAAGTCCCATTCCGCAACCCATGTGGAGTCGGCAGTCCCTGTCGAGTTCACTTCCACCGTCAGTACCGACGTCCAGACAGAGGGCTACCAGATGGAGCGAATGGGGGATTTCCAGGTCTGATGCAAAAGGCCGAGGAGAGCACGCTATTGGCACCGCTATGGTGAGGTGAAGTAGTCAGGTACAAAATTTCTCAGAAGCATGAGCCAGGCACAAAGCTACATAGATACATATACCGACAATTTGCTTACTTGTCAAATTCGACGATTACGGTGATCGAGACGGACTAGACGTGCATAGATACTGCAGAGGAGGACTCATTCCTGATAACTGCAAAGCCATCTCGTCTTAGTGAAAGCAGCACAAATATCTCGTACTAAAAAATCGAGGTACGTATATGTCCCGCCAAGAAAACCTCTGTTCAGAGTCCCTTGGTCACGTAAAGGCCGCCAGTCCCTCGGTCGGAGCGAAGATCGGGAGCAAAGCACTCCAATTGTCCAGCTCGAGATCAAAAGCGTTCGAGGATGAGCCCTGGCACAGTCGATGTTAGTATGCATATGCATTTAATATCGATTGAGGTGAAGAGATCGCGAAAATTGTACGGTGCAACTTACTCGTCCCAAAGGTGGGTCCATATCCATTTGAAAATTATCCTCCAGTCCCAAGGACTCGAGAAGAGAGGAGTCGGTTATCATTTCGGGGCCTTGATAAGGTAGTGAGTCATGTGCGGTGGGCAAAGGCGTCCTGTTCGTCCGCTCAACAGCCAGGCGTGCAAGGTTCGCAATTGATCGTGCGAAAGGTACGCAATACTCCGAGTTGGTGTCATACTCCAGTCGAGCAAAATGACCTGCACCGAAATCGATCAGTGCGAGATCGGATCTCGCCGTGGGGAGATGAGGCCGCTCTAGAACATGAATGAAAAGATGCATCAGTGCATTCATTGGGCCGTGAAAAGCCACCCTGACATAATGATTACCAAAACTGGTCATGAAAACACGAATACCTTGGTATTACTCACGAATCTGAAACATCGGCATTGATCCGTACATGCTTAGTCGTCAAAATTGCCTTGCGGCAAACCTCAACAGCGATTTCTGCAGACTTTTCAAATTCTGGTCGAAGGACTTCTTGGTCTGTGGGATTAAATAGAGCTTTTGACCACGGTAGAATGAGAGTACTCTGTATCTCCAAGACTAAATTGTAGTAGGAGAAATAGAGCTGCACTGTTTGCTGTAGAGTCAAACCTTCGGGCAGTCTCGAGAGGCCGATGTCGCTATTGAAATCGATGAAACCTTTTATTGATTCACACCACGATGCAAGTTGCTCGTTAATTTCGCGAATGCTTCCAGCAAAGGCTTGAGGTCCTTTGCGGGAAACATCCTTTGTTGAAATTCTCCGAGACGCGAGGGAGGACCACTGGGCAAGTTTGATCGAGATTTGGCAATAATTGATGTTGAGGAAACCACCTCCTGGTGCGGAGCAAGGCACTTGGCAACTGATATCGTCGTCGTCGATCATCTGTCTTAGGTGTCAGCTTCGAAAGCAGTTAAAATGGTAAGGCCAAGAATCTCAAACTGACCGGTGGACGTCCGGAGCGACTGACAATCTGCCGCTCTAGACAATAGATTGCCCAGAATACCCAATTCCTGTGGCAGGCCTCGTGATGACTCAAATTCCAAGCAACAGGCGGCTCTCGGTGCAGTCCCTTTGAGCATGCCAGACGTACAGCGGTCGCACACATCATGTATTCGAGACAAGGGCTACCGATGCTTCCAGTATAGGCAGTCTATCAGCCATGTTAGCGCATGCAACCTTCGCTCAAAGGAGAATTGCCGAATACCATAATGGTCATTGCCTGGACACTCATCAATGAGGTGCGGAGATACAGAAGCTGGACGTTCATCGAGAGGGCGTTTTGAAAGTATCGCCATGCTTCTCTTTTAGCTTTGCTGAAAGACTCCGTCCGGGAGAGGACAATTCGACAGCCAGTTGCGAATATAGCGTTACGAAGCGCGTACCAGACAGGATCATCATCACCAGAAGGATTGGCCAAATGCGCCTGCAGTTTACTTTCAAGCCAAGGGCGATGAACGATGCCGAAAACAGCTTCGTTTGCCTCATCAAAGTAAGCTGTCAGGAAGTCAATTCTCAGCGTGTGCCGGTGGACCATAATTCTTTGAGAGAAAATACCTCGAGTATATGCCCACGCAGTCTCGGGAGACGGGTCTGGGTGTCTTTCACCGGAAATATCTATGTCGATTTTCAAGCGACGTGTGATATCTTCCGTGAATGCGGACGCCGCGTCCTGGAACGAGGAGTTGCCAACCTTTTCCATGACCCATTGCACTCCTGGTTTTGAACAAATTGAAAGCCAGGATCGAGGACCTTGCGATCGTCAGTACTTGGACCTTGTGCGCCACGTTCAGATTTTCCCACCGTGGTATTCCCAATTGGTCTGTATGCATGTTAAAGCATGATCTCCCAGCAACGATAGGTTTGGAATTCACTGACTGTCTCTCCTGAATACACACTGCCACCCTCCTCAGCACTTGGCATGTCTCTCTCGAGAAGGGCGAAACTTTCATCTAAATTTGGCGAAGCTCTTTGAGGTGCCCCATCTGAATTACAGACACGTAGATCACGCGAGTCAATAGGTGAGGAGCTGGGACGGGTATTTCTGGAGACGTCAGGCATGGGCAACTGTTGGGGCTCCGGTCTCGAGGGGCCTGGTTTGAGCTGATGCGGTGTATCAGCCTGGCTGTTGAAGGTGGCCATCGGACTCTCTGAGACACTGGTGCCGCCGTTGTTGGCGACAATAAACTTGTGTACCACCGGGATCTGTCCAGAACAAGCCGCAGCAGCAGCTTGCGAAATTGTCCCGGTGTTGACCCAAGAGGTGCATTCACTGAGACTGGAGTGTCCGGATCCAGCTTCGTTTCTTTGGGATGCATTTTGTCCTACACTTGACGGTAGGACTGAAGACGGTTGCTCTGCTGCCGAATCAAGCTCGCCTGGCTTGTGCATCATTTGTAGTAGACTCTCGAGCCTTAAAAGTCGGGCATCCACGTCCTCCGTCCCTTTCGACTTCCGCGGGCGTCGCTTGGTGGTCTTCATGCAGACTTCATTGTGGTCAAGACAGTTTGTGCAAGGGGAGCCGCCATTACCTGCGGTCGTGTGAATCACTCGGTATAAGGGATGATGAGCGTGTCGTCGGTAGACTTACAGCGGATCTTTTTTCGTCGACAAAAGTTGCAGGCGAGGCGCTTTAGGCCGGGCTTGGTCGTGACCGTGGTCGTGGAGTCCGGTAGTGTCATCTCAAACAACACAAATTATGGGCATGTAAACATCCAGAGACTTTGCAATGGGTGACTCGCAGAAGGAAAAAGTGGTATGGCAAACTCGCGTCCAGCGACCTACAGCAATATCTCGTCGCGCGTCGTCCTTGGCTTGGTTAACCCCTCATCGAGCCCCATGGGGGAGGAGACGTGAGCGTTTCAAGGTAACTGAAATTGGTCTGGTTGCTCATGTGGAGCAAGGCCCTTGATCGTCATTGTCCTACTTGACTCCTTCTGATTCGCGCGGTTGCATCCCACTCCGCGAAACCGAGCAGAACTGGTATGGTGGATAACCTACCCCATACTAAAGGGCTCCATCACCGGTTCCGGAAGTCGAGGCTGCCGAGGACTTCCCAGACCAGGAAAAATAGCCTAGAGAATGTGTACAATTGCTGAAAATTGAGCATAACCGAGTACTCCCCGCCAACATTCGAGCCATAGTGGAACGAGTAAGGGTGGTGTATATCGACACCTGTCCTTTGGGCTGTCCCACGACAATGTTGCCTCCGCAACCCTGAATCAGAGAAGCATATTACCATTTATTGTGGGACCGATAGACAGCGGAAACTCGAGGAGGAGCGACAAACTCAAATATGGACTATTACGGCGGACGAGTCTCGTCCGCCAGCGCTTGCAGCAAGGTCGCATGCGGTAATTAATGAAACTGGTACCAGAACATCCATTGGTGACTCCTGAATGCGAGGGGGCCAGCACATCAGCTGCTTTATTTGGCTAGATTGCGGCTTCGAGAACGCGCAAATATATCAAATTAGCAAACACCTTGCCGACATTTGACTATTCCGCTGAATGCTGGATCATAGCTCGCGTCCGGTGGCGTGAAATATCCTTTGTAATCCCCCTACATCTCTCACTGGGTCGGGACTAGCCGGCCCAACGAGCGGACACTTCTGCAACACGACGAAGCACTCTCCGCTCTGGCTAAAGGACGTTCCCAACGCCCAATGCAGAAGCCCACAAATTTCTTCGGATGCAATATTGTTCGGGATTCTCACGGTCCGATTACTCGCCTCAGCATTCAAGGTTGGAGATAAAAGCAGTTCACATCCGGCTATATCGCAGGTACTGTCAAGCTCTTTTGAATTTGACATCCTTCACCCTCGCGACCATGGCATCCTCCGGCAAAGTAGTGGCAATCACCGGCGGTGCTTCCGGTATTGGTCTTGAGACGGCGAAGCTTTTGGCCTCTCACGGTGCTAAGTTATCGATCTGTGACCTCCAGCAGAGAGCTCTCGAGGAAGCAAAACGAGAGGTCACGAAGTCGGGTGGCGACGTCATGGTGACTGCATTGGATGTCCGCGAGCGCACAGCGGTTGAGGCTTGGATCAAGGACACAGTGCAGAAATACGGCAAGATAGATGGCGCAGTGAATGCAGCCGGGGTCGGCGGAAGAGCCATGTTGATTGAGACTATCGATCAGATAAGCGATGATGATTTTGATTTGGTCTGGGATGTCAACGTCAAGGGAATGCTGCATTCTCTTCGCGCGGAAATTCCCGCTATGAACGATGGTGGCTCAATCGTGAATATTGCAAGCCTGGCGGGTCTGACTGGTGGGCCCAAAACAGCTGCGTATACCGCGTCGAAGCATGCTGTTGTGGGCTTGTCAAGAGTGGCTACTAAAGAGTTGGGCGCACGGAATATTCGAGTCAACTGTGTTTGTCCGTGAGTATTTCCCCTCGCTTGATCTTTTCACATGTCTCGTGTGGATGACGTTTGACGGTGTCCCAATCCCCCAACACCCCACCACCAAACTGCAAAATCAAAGGTATGGGAATGGAATGGCGAACAAATGCTAATTTACTCTCGGGCAGAGGTCCTATCGAAACGCCATTGTTGGCGTCGACATCTGCGCCCGATCCTTCGGTTCCTGAGATGTACAAGAAACTCTCGCCGCTGGGGAGAAATGGTAAGCCTAAAGAGGTAGCTGCGCTTATTGAATGGCTGTTGTCCGAGGGCGCTTCGTTCGTGAATGGAACCACTCAAGTTATCGACGGTGGTGTCTATTGCCACTAAAGCTAGTACGTATCAAGGGCCTTTAGAGTGGAAGTCCAAATTGCGGCCCATCACTGATTTAGCATAAGCGGCGAGGATACCACGAACCCAGACGGTCGAAAAGAATGGAGGATGTGACTGTCTAAGTGAGTTCACGCGAGAAGAATTTCATGAAATACAAAATGGGCACTCAAACGTTCTGGACGTCGATCTCGAAGGGTGAGACGATCAATCTGCACGTAACTGACTTGTTCAAGCCGGATTGCGTGCTCTTCCACATCAATGGCAGCCGACGAGCGACTACGCTCGCGAGCAAAGCGCCCCGAGGCCTCCGGATCCTCAGGTGCTACCTCGGCACCCATATAGGAAAGCTACAGTCGATATATTCTTCTTATAGCATTGAGAATATACGCTCAAGCATAGAAGGAACCACATAAAGATGAGGTTGATTTAATATGCCCTGGGATTACGGCAAAGCGTGTAACTAAAGTAGCAATTTGCGCCAGCAGGCCCGTCGACCGTATTTTTGAATGCGGGCCGCCCATTGGGTAGCAACCGGAATTGCGGTTAGGGTTAATTAAGTGTTATAAACCGCTTTGTCACGTAAGGTGTCACCGCGATAGTAAACAGGTTTTACTTGGTGATATAGGAGTGAGGCTAGGTAGCTGAGACTAAAACTAAGAGTATAGTAGATGAACTATACACAAAGAGTATAAACTCGAGGAACTCAATTTTATAGAGAACTAGATTAACTACAAAGAGAACTATAGAAACTATCTCGTATATATTGTAACAGAGCACTTCAGGGTTCGGCATGCACGTGCAACAACGCACAGAGGCCTGTCCAGCAGATCGGGAATCGAGAACGCGTTTCTGGTTGATACTGACAACAACACCACCACCAACACCACCCAGAGAGGTAGCGGCTAGAGCAACGAACGCCTAGCACAGCGGCAGCATCGAGGAACAGGACAGGACTGATGAAAACACTCAGGAATTAGGTAGACGGCGTCAAAAGCCATGGAATTCATGATACTCTGCTCAAACTGTAATGAATGGCACCTCTGCCAGCACTGTAAACTGTTCCGCACCCCCTTCTCTGCCAGCCCATTTAGGTTTGACATGTGACCTGACAGATCTCTGCCTGCCACCGCTCTATCAGCCCAGCACAGCCCATCACAGCACATCACAGCACAGCCACCTCGCCTTGTTACAATATAGTCTAAGCCTAGATTCTCGGGTTCAACCCTAACCCGACCCGACCCGACCCGAGTTAAGGCCTAACTAGTACTAACTTAAACAACTAGTATAATTATATATTCGTAAAGTTATAAATTATTATATTAGCCCAGAGCCCTCCTAGAGTAGCCCAGCGAGCCCAGCGGTCTCATGGGTTGCATAAGACGCAGACTTACCTTGACACCCAGGGCGGCCCAGGGCTGTCAGGGTCGCGCGGGAAATTTTGCTAATGTTACGGATTCGGCTAAACATCGGAACAACGGACGCCTAATATCTTAGATAACGATCAGGCCACCAGCCAAGCGTTGATGCGATCAGGCCACCAGCTAAGCGTTGATGCGACTCAGGGAGCGCATCCTTATTACTAGTATACTCCCCGCATGAGAGGCGCATTCCTTCCTCTCTCATGCTTAGAGTCGTGTACAGTATCAATCATATACTATAGGGGTATCTATACACTCTTATCGCTAGACTCTACCTACTTGCCAAGAAATCCCTAACAAGTATAAAGAAGTTAAAGTTATTTATCGACACATTATAGATCGGTCTTATTAGATGGTTTATATACGATGGTGAAATAATATAAAAAGACGTATATAGAATGTTAGTTTAGCGATTCGCGGAGGATTAAAGAAGAGATAAAGTCCACCTACGTTAATAAAAGATAAGAGACTATTTATGTGGATGTGGCGCTAATGCTAAAATCGCGGGGGAAAGCCTACCTTATGGAGGCTAGGAGTGCTTTCTCCGGATGGGTGGAAGCGCGCGGGTTAACTAGGAATAACAGCATATCAGTGGTAAAATTTCTCTAAGAGAATTTAATCTGTCGTCATAGGATATTTAGAGAGCTGGTGGTGTTCCCGTCCGTGTTTTAGACTCAATAAGGGAAGAGAACCTACCCTTATTGCGAGCTTCTTCTCATAGTGCTGCGGATCTGCCCCCTAGGCAATAATAGAGCTAGGTGATCGATGAGTATACTGCTAAGTGTCGGACGACGTCGTCCTATGGATGAGAGAGGGAGGGATGTAATAAGGTAAGGTGGCTGTATAGTGCTGGGCTGGTGAACTAGCAGGGCAGAGATCTATTAGGTCATATGTTAAATCTAATTAGAGAGAGCTAAGAGCAGAACAGTTCATAGTGCTGGTAGTGTACCATTCTCTACAGTTTGAGGAGAGTAACAAGTTATCATAGTTCTTTTGATACCGTCTAGCTATTCCTAAGTGTTTTATCAGTCCTGTCCCCCCGCTCAATACCGCCAGACAGCTAGGCGTTGGTTACCCTAGCTGTCGCCCCTCTGTTTGGTGTTGGTGGTGTTGTCCCGTCAGTGCCAACCAGAAAGGCGTTCTCTATCCCCGACCTGCTGGACAGGCCTCTGTGCGTTGTTGCACGTGCATGCCGAACCCTGAAGTGCTCTGTTACAATATATCTACTGATATTGGAAGCGATGAGGCGATTTATTGGCGAAGTCTGCGTGAGCCGGCCAGATCAAGATGGGAGTACTTGAGTATTGCAGCCTCAAGACGATGCGTGGTTGATGCGAGGTGACCAGCTTCTCAACGGAGCACATTCTGCGCGGGACTGATTCACAGGAGCATAAAATTTGGTGCTCGATTGGCTGCCTGTATGTGTTCATAATTTCCATGGCCTCGTGGTAGCACTTCCGCTCCCCCTGAAGGAATTCTGGACCGTGGATTCTGCGTGTGGTTGGTATACTCTCAGTGGGCCCCGCAACCCCTTGATTCAAAATTCGGTGTCATACTGCCTAGCCCGCCCGATGCCGTCCAACGTTGATTTTGTAGAAGCCGCACATCTCCTCGAAGATGTCGCCATTCATCTGGATAAAATTCTCTCGCTGGGATCGAATGGCCGGGTCAGGTACCGAACGGACCTTTCAAAACGTCCATTTTGCCTCGAGCATGCTTGTCAGGGGTAGGTTCATCTAGCACGGTGGTAGGGTGGCTTTTAAGCTCTTGCGGGATCAGGACAGGGGCCACCGGTGTAATATGGGCGAAAATAGCCCTGGCCTCGACGTCCGAGCAAATGATGACCTGGTATGCATCCGCATCGTGGCTGATGCCGTGAGCTGCCAGTGCCATGGGTGTACCACTGTCAAAGTGGACGGCTTCTGGCTTAACAGCTACCCGCATTATCCCTGTGTAGACCGGTAGCTCGTGTGCCAGGCGCGTCGAGCGGTTCATAAGCAACATGTGAAGGTCGGAAAGTTGCTGTATCGCCCGTCTGATGGCCGACTGACACCTCTCTTCATAGTCCAGGTGCTGTCTCTGTTTCTGTTTCCGCATCCAGTTAATACCCCTGTCCCAGGGCGGATTGGGACTTGAAAGGGCCTTTAGGAAGTCCTTCGCGTTGATCGTTCGGTTTGGTAGTTTGGCTATCCCGGGCGCTGTTGCACATCTTCGGAAGGCAGCGTACGCAGATGACCCAGTGGAATTTCGCACGCTGTTGGACTTTGTTCGGACTGTTCATCTTCGTCCCGGCTCCACCTAGCAATCTCGGTGTTCATGTGACGATTGTCTTCTGTTCTGCTTGCAACATATGCAGGCGATAATGCATACGTGGTAACAGGAAGAGGAGTCCGCCATCAAGCCATTTGGAACCCCTGGTGCGAAGTATGATGATTGATGCGAGTAAAGATGTCCACCGCTTCGCGGCAGCCTCCATGTCTTTTCGCCATCCTGTTGATACCTGGTAGTAATTTTTGCCATGCGCGTTGGAAAAATTCCGTTCACCGAGGCTCTGCATAGATACGTCAGGCGGAAGGGCTTCACTCTCCTTGAGGTATACGAAAACTGCCCTCAGAGAAGCAATCCACACCAAGTGTCCAGCACCTAGCCGAATGAACACGTGAGGCTCTGTTCTTGACATTGTGACCTTCGTCCAAGACGACATTTTAACAGGTTTTTGAAGACTGACGCACACGCTGTGGCCGAGTCCACCAGGTCCTCGTCATCGTCATTCAGCATGGCCAGGACTAAAATGATTCGAGTTCGACGCTTCACGACGCCTTCTTCCAGGCTATGAGCATCCTCAGTAGGTAGTACCAGACTAGCCAGCTTGTATTTTAGGTCGGCTGCTGCCTTGCGATCCAGATGACAATGTTAGCCATGGATTCTGTTGACACTCGAGACGAGGGGAAGCGGTTATAGGCGACAGTGATACTTTTGTTCGGTTGTCACACTATTACAGAGTCCCACCAAATAAAAGTGTCACTGTCGCTCGGGGTGCGGGGCTGTGAGTGTAGGGACGATTTAAAGGGGACTTACCGGGCTCGGTGGGAACTACCACCAACGCGCGAGACTAGAAGGTCTCATACACTAACAACACGACGTCTTGGTGGTCCATGTGACTTATCAGTTGATGTGCCTCTACGGCGTGGCTGGTTAGGAGGGTTGCGCGGGTCTCAGTCAGCATAGAAGACGTGGAGGCACAGAAGACACTGAAACCGGGAGCGTAGTTCTTTCAGCCATTCATACTGGACCGGGCCTGGGGAAACACCAGAGTGGGGCGGGTATCAACCTCCTTCCCCTGTCGAAGCTGCTCATCGATGTATTTGGCGCGAAAGTAGATGGCCGCAAGGACCTTAATAGTTTAGCCCATGCCGCAGTCCAGGGCATCGTGCCCCCTCCATATGATTTCGTGCCTTAATTTGTTGGCGATGCCATTGATTTGCCACGGCAACAATACCATATTGGACGTTGTACTGTCATGCTGGAGACGGTTCGTGTGCGGCGGGTCTCTATCAACGAACCGGAGGTCCGCGTCCGCGTTGAACTCTGGTGAGCAGCCGAGGCCTGCAAAGGCCTCCTCGTAGCCCTTTGATCGGCATCGAAGCACAAGACAGCCTGCTCATGAGCTTTTGAAGTTCTTGGTGAGAGGTCGGCTCCGCCGTGGTCGTTGATTTTGATTTATAATTTCCAAAGGACTGGTGAAGTTAATTTCGTAGTTGTCCTCTGCAGATGGTATTTTCGCTGTAAAGCTGGCGGTTCGGAAATAAACATCCTGGCATGGAAAGATTGATGGGTAGCTCGCCTCGAATAAGCTGCATAGCTTTAACAGCATCTGTGGTCTCTTCTGTTTGAGGGTCCGGGTAGTTGTATCCAAGGCGCGATCAGCACGTTCTTTCGTGGGGGCCAAGCGTACACAGTCCTCTTCAGTATCCATCATCAGCTCTCTGGCGCAAAAGTATCTGTAGCTCTCTGAAAACTCGCAGGTGATCTCCCGTACAAGTGGCAACACATGTGTCAGGCAGAGAAAGGAAACTTTGCACCCAGCATGCTCAAGGAAGAACAGTATGATATGTGTAATAAGGATAAGTTTTCTTCTCCACTTGGAGAACGGTTTTGGGCTGACATAAAAACAGGACAGGGGGATCTTGGGGAGATGGTACTTGTCGAGAGGAGAGGGGTACTTATAGTCTTGGGAAGGATCAACCTCGAGACCTTGGATATGTTGATTCACGGGGCTTGAGTCCGCGACGTATCAGTGACTCATTTCTTTTCACGCAAATATCCAGACTGTCCCGGAAGAGAGAAATTTATAAGCAGAGCGGGACGGAAGAAGGAAAGGGAATTTGACACTTGAACCCATACATTACCTCCAAATAATTTGGGATTTCGTTCACTGCGTCCAAATCGGACTTGCATCGGAAAAGACCACTCTTCCCGCCGAATCATTGAAGGTATGAGATCTCCAACGCGCGGGAATTTGGTCTGTTAACCTGTATTTCAACTTTCATGAGTGACACTGACAATGTACTTCTCTCCCTCCTCTCCAGTTGCAGTCACGACAAGCTGTTGTCCTTCAACATCTTCCTCCTTGTGGACCACGCTGACTTCCTCTTTGTAGTCTTTGTACCAATCCTGTTTACGTTCACCACTCACCAATTCATATCGGGCAGCCGCGACAGCCGCCTGGCGAGATAAATGTATTCCTCTGATGTCGGTATGCGTGGATCCATCGGCAGCCTGGACTGTGCAAAGAACATAGAAGAGATTATCCTCCACTCTTCCATCACCCGGCTTGGATCGAACGCCTAGAGAATTCGGCGTGCTTTCGATTTCGACATCATGAATCTCATCGCCTTTTCGAGCATGGACGACGACATTTTCCCCATGCTTCCATGTTGATGAAGGGTTAGTGATGTCGTTCGTCGCATAGTCGCTCAGGGTACCGCGAGATAATCCCTCATCCACAAGGCGGCGAAGTGCAACCTTCTGGGCTGAATCAAGGTCTGTATAAGTCCCGCAAATTTCAGTGCGGATGATAGGAGGAGATCCAGGTTCCACAGTTGTCCGTTTAATGTGAAACAGGTCAGGAACAAGGGAAGGCCGTCGCTGCATATCGAAAGATTTTCGAATGTGTTTTTTTTTTCGAGACAATGCCTTTGAAGTTACAATTGAAGGGTAAAGACAAGGGGCGGAAGAATTGATGCAACTGCCCCTCTTTCAAGACATGGCCTTACCTATTGACCTTTGAAAAGAGGGAGGGGTAATAAGCTCTGCGCATGTGCGTATGCTAGGGCATCGATGGCATGACTGATGGGATCTTGTGACTATGGAAAGGCCCGAGCTGTGAAAGGAGGAGTTGCAAGCTTTAACCCCGCAAATGATTGTGGGAAGGGGTAGGATGATGTAGGGTCATGAATACGAGGTTGGCGGTAGCCAGTCGGATGTAACAAAGGGTCGAACACGCAAGATTGGCCAACAAATGGCTGGACATGTTGGAACGATGGATGCGGCTGGATGTTGTTGATGTGTACCCGGGACCCTGTACTCGGTATGAGGTCGTCAAAAAGAGGCTGAAAAGGAGCAAAAGGGACATGGCTGGTGTGGGTCTGATGGCTATCTCTGGTTGGTCGAAATTCTAACCACTGATATTTGGCATTTTAATCCGCAGTTGAAATCGAGCTTCAACATGCAACACGCAACTTGATCGTTTCGTTCAATCGAGTTGAGTTCAAGACACTTCCTCCTCCCATATACCGACGTTGTGCGCGTCCTCCAACATGCCGCCAACATTCCCTAGATTCATTGCCGTCGCGCTCCCGCCTCCTTTCCTCCTTCCTCGATCGCTACTCCGAAAATCCTTAAACGGCTCTCAGAAAAGATGCATGGGCATCCGCTCAATAGACCGACAGCCAAAGCACAACCCTTACAATGTCGTCCCAGGCATTCAACCGCTGCTTTCCACGCCTGCCGCAGCCTTCGAACGAAAATTGAGATCAGACACGCTTCCGTTACGGTCAGGAGCTCTAGCAGTTAAGAAGGGCATGACTGCGGTATATGATGTCGAATCTGGAAAGAGAATACCTTGTACAGTCTTACAGTTGGATCGAAACCAAGTTGTTAGCCACAAGACGCGGAAAAGACATGGATATTATGCGGTCTGTATTGGCAGCGGCACAATTCATCCCAAGAATGTGGCAAAGCCCATGCTCGGCCATTACTCTGTCCAGGGCGTGAGCCCCAAAAGATATCAGCGCGAATTTCGCGTCCGAGGGCCAGAAGGACTGTTACCAGTAGGCGAGGAGATACGAGCCGATTGGTTTATTGCCGGACAGTTCGTGGACACTCGATCAAATTGCAAAGGAAAGGGCTTCGCTGGTCCAATGAAGAGATGGGGTTTCAAAGGTCAACCACGAAGCCACGGTCACTCTCTCAGTCACAGGTCCCATGGCTCAGTGGGCCCGAGTCAAGGAGGTGGTAGTCGTGTATATCCCGGTAAAAAGATGGCCGGGAACATGGGTGGACAGAGGAATACGGTGCAGAATCTGAAGGTCCTGCAGGCGGACGCAGAGAACGGGATTGTCGTTGTACATGGTAAGTCCCTATTCCCATGCTCTAAGACGGCTCGTCAATGCTAATGAATTGTGCGCAGGAGCTGTGAGTGGCCCTAAAGGATGTCTGGTCATGATCCAAGATGCATTGAAGAAACCTTGGCCGGAAGCCCCCCAGCTGCCGAAACCATCCGAGATAGAAGCAACAGTGGTCGAGGCAGAGCCTGCGAAGATCCCCGCATGATATAGCTACACAGCTTTCCGCCCAATTGTATCAATACACTGAGGCTACCAAGGCCTGACTGTATCTTATAACTGTTTACGGAGATTCAATCTGATCCCATTATACGCACAGTCCCATAAATTCATGAACAAACAACGTGTGCCATCGTTGAAAAGGAAAAGGGGGGAAAATATAAATCCTGGAAATGTTTAGTGACAAAGCCGCCTCGGGCACGTGTCTGCCAAACACATTCAGGCTCCCCTATAATCATACCTCAACCCTTGCAATTCGGCCAGCCCCGCATGAACCTCCGACATACTCCTCCTAGTTATAAAGACCATTCCAAAAATGAGGCCAGGAAGCAACAGAAACAGCCACAGCCCCTCCGGCACATCATTCCGTGAGCGATAACCCATTGATGCAATAAATAGCAGCACGCCGATGAAAGCGTTGAGGTAAGGTAGGTATTGATCGATGGGACTTTCGGCGGACGCAAAGAGAAAGGCTGATTGAGACAATCCTGTGCCGTGCGCCTGTCTCTGTCGTGTAATAGGGGTTGTCCGCGGCGGAACGGACAGAGATCCTAATGGGGTCGAGGTAGGGATCATGTACATGATATAGGCGCTGGAGATGAGTGAGGTGATGCTTAATAGGCACAGAAACGCCATGGCTCTTGAAGTCGATATCGAGAGATACCACATGAATGGGAGGGTGACAATCAATGGCAGGCCTGTAAATAGCATGGTGTAGATTGCATTTGTGGATGTCTCCGAGGCCTGAAGGTTTTGGAGGAGGTGTTCTTGTTCTGTTCGATTGTATGAGAACAACATGTCAGGATTTTTTTTTTGAAACTGCCCATCTACAGGTGCAACAATGTAGAAAGGCGGTTTGGCTCATTCCTGACGCTCCGGATTTCCAACAGCGGGAATCATAGCCATCGCTCATTGCGCCAGCATACGTACCTTCTTCATCCATTTCTTCGTGCGACATATTTCCATCATCCTCAGAGGGATACTTGAATGTTTTCCGAAGTCTGGTAGTAGTATCCATCACGTTGATGTAATATATGGTATGGGCGGCGGGACGCTGGAGACCTGATAATTTATGATTTGCGTCCGATTGCCCCAAAAGAGGTTCCAGCGACTGAGATGGAACTCAGAGTTGAATCATCATCTGGACTGTGTCGCAGGATCTCGTCAACGGCAAGCTGTCCAGATGGGAGCCTTGACGGTGACGAAGCCTCGCCCGGAAAAACATAGCTCCGATGAACCGCCAAGACGCTAAAATTCTGCACGACTACGCTTGAGGCAACCTCTTGCCTCGAAAAGACATTCATCAACAACACCAGATTCACGGTACTTTATTTGGTTCAGTGATATCTGCGGTCTTTATAATGGTTTCAAATGGCAGAGAACTGGCCGGACCGATGTCGCCCTACGGACCTTATGCACGGATAGAATGTGTCAGCACCTTCCTGCTTTCTACAGCTCGATAGCCAATGGCTCCATGGGTATGCTCGATTCAGACGTGCATGTTGCTCCGGGCAAACGTCAGCTCCAAGAATTATCGACTACCAATCAGCAACTAATGAGGACCACTAGGAGAAACTGTGGGCATGATGTTAGGAGTTGAAATGGCTCGTCAGCTCTACAAAGTGTAGACGAACGGAACACCATCTAAAATCGAGGAGGTTGCTCACCACCAATCCTGACTAGAGCCTAGTGGTGGATTGAGATCTCCGCGAAGCCTTTGCCGTCGGAGATCATCACTCCGTGTGGCTAACTACAAGTGACATTGTCCACCCATCGTTTGGTGCTAACTTTCTCTGACATGCTGACTGGACAAGAGGCAGATACACTCAGCTATGCAAGGGGGAAGGCTGACCTAAGTTTTGGTGAGTTTCCATATCTAGAATCATCACAGGCCAAAGAAAGAACACAAGAACCTGTTTATGGCTAGTGCGGAACGCCTCAAGGCTCCTTGGCTTGAATAGCATCATGATAACTTCCCCTCAAGGCTCAATGAGGACATTGAGCAAGCAACATCCGCCGAATACGGGGTACCTTCGTTTCTATGTCCTTGCCGTCTTAAGGGATTTACTAGCGCGCGGCAGCTTTCCGCTGAAAAGTTGAATCCACCGCTGCACTATTTAGTTGAACCCTGCTCGCAACGTGAGCAGAGCCACAAGCCTTTAGTCGCGTTATCATGTGGGGAGGGATCGACAAAGGAACGAGGAGGAGGTAAGTATTCTTTCATTGATCTCAGTCTTCGGATGTCGCACATAGACCTCAGGTGATTTAGACATGAACGGTCAGCGGCCCGAAGATCAGAATCTAAGTCAAATCTAAATGACATCTAGCTGGGCATGCAGTTTAACTATTATTATGTCCACTGGAGCATTCAAGGGGAATGGCCGACGTACTCCACATGCCTGCTTCTATGTGGAATATAGTGGTCAACCCACAAGACTAGGTCTTACTCTGGCGACATGGTTGAGTTTGACCGATTCGTCTCCACCCCCAGGGCATACTGACTTGCTGCTGAAGCCCTCTCTTTGGACAAGGTTGAGGTATGCGGAACAATACGAGAAATGTTACTCCGACACCGTTGCCTGGATTTGGTACACTGGCTTGGGGTATCCCACAATGCTATAAAGCTATAAAGGGCAAGCCTTCTGCTTCTGAGCAGGAACAGTTTAAGCGGAGCTGACGAGTTTCGACAAAGTAGCTCCCACAATACATAAGCATATAGTCTTTCCTCTCAGCGAGCTGGAAGAGCCAATCTGCCAGACCCCTTCGAAGCTTAAGATGTCAACATGCAGTTTGTTTATTTGCCCCTGTGTCTAGCCCTAATATCCATCATCTTCTTGCGCTATTATGAGCACCGACGGTACAAGAACCTCCCTCCAGGGCCTCCCCGTCTTCCTCTAATAGGGAACCTCCACCAGGCGCCCGACAAAGTGCCCTGGCGCACCTACGAGCAATGGACCAAGAAATACGGACCAATATTTAGTCTCCAATACGGTCTTAGTACGGTTATTATGCTGGGTACCTACAAGTCTGCACGAGATCTACTTGAGAAGCGGAGCAACATCTACAGCGGCAGGCCGCGATTTGTCATGGCTGATGATAATGTCTCCAAGGGACGTCATATTATGCTGATGACCTATGGTCCGAAGTGGCGAACTCATACCAAGATCCAGGCCTCTGTCTTGAACATCCGTGTGTCTCAGACATATAAACCTGTGCAGGATGTAGAAAGCAAGCAACTGCTTTGTGAATTTCTGTCGGACAATGACTTTGCCAAACTCTACCGCCGTTATACAGCATCTGTGATGTTTTCCCTCGCATACGGTAAAAGAAGTCTCACCGGGAGTGAGCCCGAAATCCTAGGCGCCGACGCCGTCAATGCGAACTTCCTCTTTGCGGGATGGGTAGGGACCTGGATCGTCGACGCCATCCCAATCTTGAATTATCTTCCACAGCCACTTGCTCCATGGAAAAAGACAGCAGAGAAATTCTTCAGACTCGAATCCAGCTTGCATATGGCCAACATGAGCAACGCGGCAAAGACGCCATCATGGAATATGACGAAACAGATCCGTTCGACGAAGGAATCCAAGGAAGTGCCTGACTTGGACATTGCCTATAACGTCGGCATCATTTATGAAGCCGGGCTAGATACCACCAAAATCGCGTTACTTGTATTCACCCTTGCAGCCGCCACACAGCCTCGCTTTATCCAAGTTGCGCAAGCGGAACTCGACAGGGTAGTCGGCCCCGCGCGGTTACCTAGTTTCGAAGACCAAGCTTCCTTACCCTATATCAACGCTGTGGTTAAAGAGGTTCTCCGCTGGCGACCAGTCAGCGCAGGAGGTATCCCCCACGCTGTGATGCAGGAAGACCAATACATGGGATATCGTATTCCCAAGGGCGCCACAGTGATAGGAAACCATTGGTCCATCCACATGGACGAATCTATATTCCCTCAGCCCATGAGCTTTAGACCGGAACGGTGGCTCGAAAACCCGGACTTGCCGTTGTACGCGTTTGGGTTCGGTCGGAGAGCATGCATTGGGCAACACATCAGCAACAACAGCCTGTTCATCATCATCTCGCGAGTTCTCTGGGCGTTTGAGATCAAGAAAGGCCTCGATGAGCAAGGGCAAGAAGTCGAGATCGATGACATGGCGTTCACCAGCGGGTTCAATTCGCAACCCGAGCCGTTTGCGGTCAGGTTTATTCCGAGGTCGCTGAAGGCGGTCGAGGTCGTCAAGAGGGAGTTTGACGATGTCGAAAAGGATATCGACGTGATAATGAAGCGGATACAGGAGGCACAGGGAAGGGTGTTCTAACCATGACGAAAGTCGTAGGGTAGAGCAATTCTTCTAGTGTCGTGAATACGAGACCCGCTGCCAGGAAACAGAATACAACCTCTCCCTAGTGAGTTACATGGATGACCGAATCCTTCCTCGCCTAGGATGGTCACTTCATAAACACGTTCTATAACTGCAGTTTACATGTGCCAAAGCCCTGGAACGTCTCCCAGGTGTGGCTTAAGCAGCCAATAATGTGCTCAGCCTAATATTGGGCACAAGCCTACTGTCTCCCTCGGCAGACTCATGACCTGCAGATTCAGCACCCGCAGGTTTAGTGCCTGCAGATTCACGACCTGCAGGATTCATGACCTGCAGGTTAACCATCCCGACTGACTGCCTCGCCGTCCTTGGGCCATGATAGGGGCGTAACTAACCCACCCCCTCTCCTTCCCTGGTTGTTCGCAATCCTCCCGCATCGGGTATCCAATAAGGGGCCGCGGCCGCGGCCGCGCATTGGCGTGTTGACGCAAACGGGTGTCTTCTAGGTGTGGCACTAACAAGTGGCAGTTAACCTTTGTGATAAGGGATTATGCCTGAGATGTTGGAGTGGTCGTGGTATTTACCGGGGACGCCCACTTGGCCGAGTGAATATCTACAAGTAGGAGGTCACCAGTTGTCAATTCGAAACACTGACCTGTAGAAATTGGGGCACGGAAATTAGGTTCGCTTGATGTTCGGTTCCCACCCCCTGCAAGAAGTGAAGAATTTTCGACGATGGGTTCCTGAACATGGAACGTGGCCCGCCGAGCTGAGGGAGATGACGGGTGATTGAGAAGTTCGGAACTCGGATTCGACCGCCCTGGGGACGCCTGCTGCAAGGAAACAAGCTCATCGCTCGAGCATGGCTTGTCAAGCGCGTGATGGCACCAGCAGGCGGGGATGATGGCATCACTAAACTGTGACGGTCACAGCAGAACACAGCGGTGATGAGGGGCTGTGGAGCGTCTGGGGGTTAGCTGTGGGCGCTTGGGGAACGTGCAGCACTAGCTGCATGGGCATCAAAACCCATCAAAAGTGTTAGCCGAGTTGATGCCTTGTCCTGATGCCCACTCAAGGAAGTCGGGTAATGTCTTCTTCGACGGCGAAACCTTCAGCGAGGGAAAAGAACATGGCCACAGTATGTGTATATATAGGTGTAGAAACATGCCCCCTTCCTTCAATGTCCATTTCTGCTTGTGCAGGCGCCCAAAGACAAGGCTGGCGATAAAAAGGAACCGTCATCGACGCTCATCCAATAGAATATGGCTATCTCAAGTGAAACCATTGTCGGCATTATAGCTTTATTGATCATGTGTGGTCCGACCTTGCCTTTCCTATGGCGGTATTTGCGCCGGAACAGGCGACTACCCTTCACAGCTATTGGGCTGACGGCAACGCATCACACCAACGACAGCACACCCGCTCAGCAGCCACAGCAACAACAGCGGCTCCTATATTTACCGTTCGCCCGCTTGCCCTTGTACGCGACCAGCGCCGAAACGCGTTCGTCGTCCATGAGGCTCGAATATGCCAGGTCGGAGTGGGAGCACCATCACACGCAGCTGTCGGCGTTGGAAAACGGAACGCTGTATACCGCTGTGAGAACAAAGCTGGTTTCCCATTCACTTCCCCCTTACCCAGAGCAGCTCACGGTCGGGGACTAACCAGGAAGCTCCATTTCACAGAGAAGCACCCGTCTAGAAGAGAACATCGTCCTTCGCTCGGGCTTTTGAACCACCACCCTCCCTGCACCGGGCACGTTAGGGATGGACATTGTGTCGTTTGAGAAGGGGTGACACTACCCGCTTGAACTCCTTGATGGGGAGTAAGGTTGCATCGGCATTTGGCCTGGGCAGTAGAATTAACCTGCGCTGCCCCTTTCCGGTTTGTAAAATTATGAGGTCAAGATATCATCGACAGTCGCAGACATAAGGCTCAGCAAAGTGGCAAATACACGAGGGAGAATCCCTAGACGGCACCGTTAGCTAAACCTTACGCAGCGAAGAAGGCGATGAAGAAAAGTGGGTTCAAAAGTGTTTCGTGAGATGTCCGGTAGGGACGATCTCCTCGAGGACATGGATCATGTTCGTGTTGTATTTCTGGTACCGCAACAGTGCTTACCTCCATCACTCGTTTGCGCAAAATACGTGGCCCAATACGGGTCACCTTGAGGGGAACAATATGATATAGCAGTTTTTGCGCACCGCGATGTCGACAAGCCATACCAGTGACGAAAGAGTCTCCTTGATCTTCTATCAATGGTCAAACCCCGCAGCGGACTTTGGAATTGGGTTGATGGAACCTGGCATGTTCAAGGATGTGCTGCTCCTGCTCATCGAAACAGGTATTCCATAGCCACGCAGACTCAATGTAAGCTCTCGCTTAATCACAGACCTGCCGCCGCCCGACTGCCATCCATTCCCATTTCAGACCAACAGGCCATCCAACTCCCTTGAGAACCACTGGAAGTTGCTGTCCGCTGAGCCTTGTTGGAGCACGGCAAAGACAACATCCTCCCACCAACCACCAGAGAATTCCGGTTCCTGGAGCACCTCTGAATAAAGACGGGCCACTTCTTTCGGTGGGTTCTGGAATGCTCCACAGCCAAAAGCCCCAAGCACGATCTTGCGGTGTCTATTCTTGATGGCGGTTCGCAGGATGATCCGGATCTTTTCTCTCATCAGATTGCGATCTTCTCGCCTGGCGTAAAACCTGCTTCCGTCCTGGTTAGGCTGTGCCGTGTTACAGCCAAGACTCGGTTGAAAAATAGCCGCTGCGCTGACGACACTAATGACTGGTAACTGGCTGGGATCGTGGCAGTCGAGGAATCTATGGCCGTTTGCCAGGCTGTCTCTGATCACAAGAACAGTGGGAGAGTAGATGGCGGCTTTGTCTGGAATTGGATAGAAGCGCAGTTTGAGAGTGAAGTGCAGAGAAGTGCGGTAGCAAAGGGCTTCTTCTTGGGCGAGGGCACCGGTTCTGAACCCGCCGCCGGCGTGAATCGCGTTTGCCATGTTCAAGACACAGACCGGCTTCTGGGATGGACTGCGGCTAAGTTGGAGGGCAGCATCGATGGTGTCGCTGCTGATCACACGAACTTTTGTCTTTGGTAGTTTTGGACAGAATTTTTGATCGAGCGGCGTGACAGCGTCTTTTTCGTAGAGATAGCCATCTGGCTTTGCATCCGGCCGTGTGAGCAGGAGGCCAGGTAAGACTGAAATTGTTTCTTTGGCAACTTTCACCAACTGGTCTCGGTCTCGGGTCTTGGGAGTTGTTGGTGGACGTGTCTGCAGCTTTCCGGTCGAAGAGAAGCTCAGTACACCCTGGCGGAAGCGCGCAGTCTGAGCCTTGCCGCCCGAGTGATTGTGAGGTTCATCCATTGTGGTAGGTCGACGTTGTCAAGCGTGTGACAGCGAGGGGAAAGTGAACTAAATAAAGCAGGTTCGCAGATGGTCAATAAATAGTGGGGCTCACCGGTCTACCCGGTAGGGGCACTAGGCCTAGCGCAAGGTTGCGCAAGGCTGAAATGTCTGAATTCCCACTTGTCTCCGCTTTATTTGGAGAACACTTGCTCGCAATATATGTATCGTTACCACTTCGCTGTATTCTTCATACCCTTGACTGTCCTTAAGAAAGTGTGCTATAGAAGACACTGTCAGGCCGTCATGAAAATGGAAAGTAAAGAATGGAGCCAAGGGCAACAAGTCCTTCTCTTCTAGCTCCGAGACCAATTTTGCCAACCAGATTAAGATCCCCGACATAGTGGATTAGCTCGTTTCTTGTGATGGTACCATTGTTGTCTTCATCTAGTAGCTTTCTGATGTCTTCCTCCGTCAGCGATCTCTGCTCTGATTTCGCTTCCCAGTTGTGTCTCTCCAGGATGTCTTTGCGGTAGAAGTATGTCCAGTCTTGATACCAGCGCCTTCCAACCACGAATCAGCCATTTGATTCAGTTTGTTCAGGGGGTCCATCAAGCTCCTTGCCCTAGACATAATCTGGAAGTGAGTCTGCAATTTTCGATTCTATCGTGCTTGTCAATGCGGCGTTGAGTGAAGAACCACCAAAATGGTCGACGTTCCCGCGAATCTCTAGTATGATCTGAATCTAGTGGGGTTGGTTTTGTATCTCTTCCACAGCAAACTCGAAAGCCCTTGTATATGCCGTTCCAAATTGTGTTCCGATGATTTTCTCGCATGCTGATCGAGTAGATGAGGTTAATATTATATTCTTGTTTCCAATGTTTGCCATGGAATGACGCCGATACAACTCTTAGGAGGACAGTTGTCACGAGAATGTATTCAACCAAGAGCACGGCTGCGGCGATCGTTGTCGCTATGACAACCTCGCGGAAAATGTGATACCAATTGGCGCTACAGTCATCATGGCCATATCGGCAAACCATCCTGGTTGTGGTCAATAATAGGCAACTCCGCCAGAGTAGAGTCATGGAGTTATGGACCTGCAGAAACAGCAACCCAAAGACATATTCAAATTTGAACGCCTTGTAAAGGTGCAAAAAAAAAGGACCCAATACCTGCAGCTGCTAATGCGAGGCTAACAGCCCAGTCCAGGCAACGGAAATCCAGAGAAAGGGTCCTTTCAATGGGACACCCCAAGTGGGTTTATGTTGACATCTGACTCTGGTTATGATGGATAGAAGCACCTCTACGAAAAGATACCGTGTAGAGGGTCGAACCCTTTTGACTTTGTTTGCAAAAGGTTCTGGACTCTGATCTGCATTACTAGTTGCGGGCTGCTGCCTGTTGCTTGTCGCTTGCCGTGAGCCATTGCGCGGAGCATCGGTTTCTTCGGGAGGCTCTGGACCTTTTTCCGGGTCTTCCAAGGCCGAAGCGGAATCCATATTTTCGTGTTCAATTTGAACCAATCTTTTCAGATAGAATTCTTGTCTGCAACATTTCAGCGATAAAAAATGTAGGGAAATGTGAAATAGAATGGGAGAGATCATCAGCAACGACAACAAAGTTATCAATCATCCCAGTGTTTATGGCGGCCCCTAGTACAGCTGCAATTAATCATACTTCCGTCAGGACACAGTCATGCCACAATGGCTGGACCACACCACCCTGAAGAGTGCTCTTGCATTTTGCGCCAAGTCATGTGGCTGTCTGTGGTTCAGCTGCGCGCCTGGGTTGACACAGAGTAGAACAAGCCTACTTGTAGCAGGTGCTCCCCTCATCCACATCTTCTCGGGATTCGAACGGTCTTGGTCGCTATGTCGTTAGGCTGTTCTGTTTGATAGAAGGTATAATAGACCTAGCCAATCCATAATTTTCAAGGCACCTTGGTTCATGCCGGCGCCCTCTCCGTCTGGTTGCCTTAAGCTGATCATAGATAAGTTTTGATTCAGGTGTTCAGCATCGTTTCACAGGTCCACGGAAAGAGTTGCTGCGATCTGGACAGTCCGCACCTCCTCGAGTCGGTCTCCTTGGAACTGAGGCGCTCGCTGATCGGCGGCAGCCAAAAGGTGAAGCCTAGATTCAGATGCTGGCTGTGGCAGGCAGGTAGGGCGGCATCATCCTCTTCCCGAAACAGCAGGAATCCCGAACGAGGTGCCCCCATGTCTTCCGCCTTGTCTCAGTTCTCAGACCCATCGGCTCAGTTGCCATAAGTGGGCAGGGCCCACTGTTTTGCGGAGCAAAACGCCTTCGCGAGAAGGGTCTGAGCTCCAATACGTGGTTTTGGGGTAGAAAAGCGTTCGTGGTCTTAGTAAAATGCGCGAAGAGCCCATATATTAGATTAACATTCACTCCGTTTCTTAAATAACTATCGAACGATTAGTCTAAATAAAAAACTTTCTATATATAAATTATACTAAATTTAATTCTTTATAAATCTACTTATTTAAATTTTTAATATCTTTAATAGTTACTAAGATATTTAGAAAAAACTACTTTTTAAGCTTTAATTCTCTATCTTTAAAGTTTAATAACTTTACGAAAAAAATTATTTACTTACTATAGTTAGTATAGATTAATAGAGAATCTTTAGTTCTATATATATAGAAAGTTTTAGTTTAATTAAAGATATATAGATAGAGATATAATCGATTAAAGTAGTTATAATCTATAGAAAATTTAAGACTTTTAAAAATTGAGGTGTCGCTAAGACTCTTGGCTATTTATCTAGGAAGGTTACGCGATAAATATTTAAAAAGACGACGTAATTACTAAGATTATCTATATAATCGCTTACTAATAACGTCATTTAAACGGCTCGAACGAAATCTAGGCTATTTTCACGTATCGGGCCTCAGACTCGTTTATCGCAACATTCTTTGAATTTTGTGATTGGCCGGCGCTTTAGCTCATAGCCTAGCCAATCAGGGCGTAGCCCCGATATCGGGTCTGAGGACTGAGACAATCTTCCGCCCAAGGAGATTTACTCCGCATGACGTGAATTCTTGTCATTGACAACAAAGAGCAATCGTCACGTCAACTCCCAGTCCGAACCAGAAGTGAAGACATAGTCCTCTCACAGTGGAAGGACGACGTCGGGTTCACACGCGTCTGTTGAATCTGTGAAGCGGCAGTGATGGATCTGGACGAGACAATGACCACATCCACTTCCTCCTCACCGTCCGCGCTCCACGACATCATCGACGCCGAGGAAGGGTTCGAAGACGACAGCCTCTTTCCCGAGGACTTGAACAATGGCGCAGACAACCCTCTGAGCGACCGTCCTCATACTCCTGCAAACGACCACCTCAACGCAGCCGCACTGGGCGAACTGTCACCACCACGATCTCATGGGCAGGGCCAAGGCGCAGACACCACAGCACAACAACAGCAGCTTCCCAGCACATCACAAACAATGGCCAACGGCTCAGCGACGCGCAGCTCAGCGAGGGCTACAGCTGTGCCGACGGAGTCTGAAGCAGCAGGACAGGGGCAGGCAACGTCGACATCACCAGATGAGCGAGACGGTGCAGGCAAGCCTGGCTGGGCATGGCGCAACAAGAAGGCACAGGAGGAGAGGCAGCGCGCGTGGGATAACGTTGTCGACCGAGATTTCAGTCTCAAAGAGTTTGGGGATGTCATGTTACAGGGCCAGGCGCAGAGATCTAGTTAACGGTGATGGAGGGGTAAGCCTGGAATCATAACAGGACGACACGCTGAAATACGTGATGAGCATGGAAGTATGGGTTTCGTCTCTCTGAAATGCATGGCGAAGGCGTGCCAGGTGAGGGAAATGCCATTCAAAGGGAGGCGCTGGAAGGTTGTGGCTATGGAACGGACGAGCATTCACAACACGTCGATTCTGAAATAAGGCTGGCACTGACCATACAACTGCTCGATATGGTGAGCTCAACTCGAATACATTCACCCTGTGCTATGTCTTTTCTCCGCAACGTTACTACCGAGCAATCTCTTGATGGCAATGCAGGAAGGCAAATACTGGGATCCACGCATTCCTTTGACGTCACAAATCTCAGGCCTTGGAAGCACTGTCTGGTGCCATCGTCTCTTGACATGGACAAATACCCAACCATTACTACTTGGCCCCCAGATCTCTATCTCGTGTTTACATCCTCTGGTGTCTATGATGGCCACCGAAACGGGAGGAGAGGCCCCACCCTCCACATCGGGAACTGAGAGAACGACACCCTACAATATAAAAGACGATAGTATACGGCCGCCAGAACGACACGCCTGGCTCCACGTCCCCGACTCATACTACGAGGCCAGAGTGCCGTGTCCGTTGATGGTCGCACTGCATGGCAAGGCCCATCCGGCCAAAGAGTTGGAGTACCTTACACAACGCTCCAATGCGGCGTTCAATCGGTACGCTATCCTCGTGTACCCCGAGTGCGTTGGTCTACAGTGGGCTGGCAACCCGGAAGCCCCGCCCCGAGACGAGGTGGATGACGCCGGATTCGTCGATGTACTGATCGATCATATCATGCGCGACTACGCCGTGGACACCGTACGGGTGTATATTGCTGGGTTCGGTACCGTTGGGGGGCTCGCTGGGCTGTTGGCGTGCGACCCTAGAGCGTCCGGCCGCATCGCAGGCTTCGCTATGTCTTCGGGCGCGGTTTATCAGGACGTGGCGCTCAAGGAACCGCTGTTTAGCACATGCCGCCCCTCACGTTGCCCTGTGCCCATCCTTGAATTCTATAGTATTGCAGACCCGTGACCCACTATGACGGCAACACACGCCGAAAGGGTCAACGGACGACATCTATGAGTGGCTGCAAGGCTGGGCGAAGAGGAATAGGTGTGTCGACTTGGAGGGCAAAACCACATTGTTGCAACCATGGCAAGGTCGAGAAGCTCGTTTGGGGTGCGCCTGGCAAAGGCGAGCACAACGATCAGCATGTGCAAGACGTGGTTGAGCATTACGAAATTGCCGGCTTCGGTCATAGGTGGCCGACAAAGTATCCACTCAACAATGACAGCCAGGAACCAACGTATTTTGACGCCACCCTGCTCGTGATGGAGTTTTTTGGGGGGGGGGGGGTTGTGGGGATTCACATGTCCTTCGACGTAGAACATCTCATTAGAAAAGCGAGATCGTAAATAGAACCGGGCGATGTTCGTGCAATGCTATGATCTTTTTTTTATGAGCGAGTTAAATGTGTGTGTGTGTTAGCACTCTCTCCGCATCTCAGAACCAAAAGACATATCGTAATAAGTTCAAGCGCTCTTCGAGGCCCGAGTTCAACCAATCAGTCGTCGGAAACGACGATAGCGACGAATGAAGGCAGCTGCATGGCACCCTACCTCTTTCGACAATCGCCCGTGGAGTTTCAAGGGTTTTGCGCCGGCAACATTGTCCTCGGGATGATATTCAGGGGCGTCGGACCATTGATCTTCAGGAACGTCGGCGACGATGTCTTCGAACCGCCGACCTTGTTCTTCGCCAAACGCCCAAGCGAGGTCCTTAGGCGAGCATCTCTTGCCCTGGATGCTCTCTGGCATATCTTTGTTCGCGACCGGGTCTGTCAGCGCTTTCCGGTCTGCACCTAGCTCCAAGAGGAGGCGGGCAAGCTCCAAGTGCCCATTCGAGGTGGCCAGGTGCAGAGGTGTCCAACCTCTGGAGTCCCGGAGTCCAAGAGCATTGTCCACGCCGTATTTCTTTTCGTACGCCGGGAATAGGATGGAGAAATTGTCGTAAATGCCGTACTTGGCCACCAAATGCAGTGACGTCCAACCTATACGGTCAAACGGCTGAAAAGCATCGACGTCAAAGTCCATCAGTAGTTGTAAGTCAGAGGGATCGGCAAAGATTGCCGCACGGTGCAGAAGGCTCCAACCATGGTTGTCTATGCGCTCTCCGTGCAACAGATCAAAGTCTTCGCCTTTAGCGCGTAACATGATGATGAAATCTGCTGCTGGGGGATGTCGAAAGCCTTCTGGCATGTTCCAAGGCCATAGGTAGTATAGAGGTGACCAGTTATGGACGGTGGAATGGTCGAAAGATGCTCCATAGAACAGCAGTGTCCTACATATCTCCAATTGTCGATTCCTAAGGGCCCAACACAGTGGACTTGTCTGCTTGAGGCCGAAAGCTCGATTGACGAGAGCTCCTTGAGAAAGCAGCAATCTTACAGCCTCAAGCCGACCATATTGGATTGCGAGACACAAAGGTGTGATCCCTTCCGCAGTGATATCGAACGGAGAGGCGCGTCGTAGGACAAGAAGTTGCTGCATTCTCACAACATCGCCCTCTTGAGATGCCTTCAGGAATTCGTGGTCTGAAGACACCTCATGCGACATCAGGAGACGCCTTTGGTCAGGAGAAGGTTCCAACCAGCGGCGCCGGACCAAGCCGCGCAAAATCCTCCCCAAATATGTGAGAAGCTGAGGAAAATCATGAATGAAACTATAATGCTTAGTCACGATCCTGAGATATGGCATCGAAGCGACGACGCTCGAGAGAATGCTACGTAGATCGAAAACACTCTCAATCACGCCGGTGCTCAATAGACCAGGGTACGAGCAATCATGGAAACGAAATGGCACTCCTGGCCCATTGTCCTTCGTGGTAGCCCACTTCTGCGCCTCGGATACGGTTATTCCAATTCCTTGTGGCTCTGAAGCTGCTTCAGTGGGCGGTAACGGATGATTGCCTGAGTCATTCGTCCTCTGAGCGGCAAGCCTGCGTCAAGGTATAAGTTCCTCCAACGTCGATCCGGAAGGGATTCTTACCATTGTATAAGCAAGAGAGACGCAGCCATTGAGAGATCTTGTTCCACTTCTGATAAACATCTTTCGAATCCTGCTTTATCGGCTGTCAACCAGCGTAAGCAACTCTTCTTGGAGCGCTTTGTGATTGCCTTGGGCAGTGGTCTTGACATCGAGGCAAGTATCCTAGCTGGGTCCGAAATAAGTCGTCTGCACTGTTCTGGAACGTCGCCGTCGAGGACTGATAGGGCTTCGCAAACAGTACGTAGTTTTTCTACACGTGCCGCTGCTCGATCGATATCATCGTGTACACGCTTCCATCTATGGTAAAACCGTACTACCTTCACACTGCCTCCCAATAAGGGAGCAACGGAAAGTGCGAGACCTACAGCCTCCATGCTGATAGATACTGGAGCCGACAAGGATGGTGTAAGATTAGGAAACTCGAGGAGATCAGAAAATGGGTCAAAGTCAGGCTGTCTCACCTGACCAGGAGGGCTTCTCTCCTCTTTAAGACACATCGTTCGTTGGGCTGCAATTGTCCTGTCAAAACCTGTGAGCACCACTGGCCTCTGTGAGCGGGATAGCCGGAGTGTCGATAATGAGGCTATGGCATTGATTCGGCGCCATCCCTGCTGATTCCCACCAATGCAAGATCGTTCAAGAATGCAGGTCGACCATCCGAGGGGGACGACAGCATTGCAGACATTGCCCACGCACACCGGTCAGCAATGCGAGGTGTGAGTGCAAACCTCACGAATGAGCCTGAAAGACACGTTGCATATATGACATCCAGCGCCATTGACAAGGCGCCCAATCCGAGGAGCCAGGAGACAGGACGCTGCCATGCTGGGGAACTGACCACGCTTTATGGGATCAGTTTTTGTGAAGAACTTTCACTCGCCTTGGGGGCGCGTACAAGAGCTATCTGTCGGGCAGGCTGGTCAGCAAGAGAGACCAAAACCAGGGAGTGTCAAGAGGAGAGATGAAGGGATGCATGAGACGAAGGAAGAATCTCGCTGAAGTTGCCCGAACAGATTCAGCGCCCAGCAGCATTTGATGTGGGTGGCGTTGTGCATACCCAGTAGAGCACATTCCCACAGGTGATCTTGCGGGCCACGAGAAGAAATATTTAGGGAGATAGATTCTTCTCTTGGGGAAAGGCTGGAGCCAAGTTGGGGAAGTTGGGCAAGTAGGGCTGGAGGGCTGGAGGGCTGGAGGGCTGGAAGGCTAGAAGGGCCAGGTAGGGAGTTGAAAACGACGTGCACCTCGTCGAACCTTGGCAGTATATGTACCCGGTACCTCGCAAGGCGGGCTGGGCGGCATTGCCGAAGACGAGGTGCGGAGTATATTAGACTTAGCACCTTCCAGCCCTACCCACTCGGGCTGATTGAGACTTACCAATAATCTACGAGGTATTGTAACCGGATTAACATAGCAGCTTCGGGCAGGTGCCTGTTATGCCTGGAGTCTGTAATGAATGCTGCAAGTCGTTTTGCCTCGTCGAAAAATGGACAAAGGCTCAAAATGACATTGTCACCGAGTACAAAGTCACACTCACCTGCAACCGACGTTGACCGCAAACTCGCTGAAAGGCAGTGCAGTCACAAGAACCTCGAGTCCCCTACACCGCGTTCCGCTGTCGAGGCTGGGCAATGCATCGAGATCTAGCCAGAGTCAAAGAGCTTGGGAAGCCGAAGACGAGTTGCTCCACAACCGGAATGTGGCTGGTTCCCTCTCCAAGGGAACCGACCACGGTGCCAAGTATACAGCGTACAAATGGAGGCAACGGACGAGTGACTCAGTTAAAATGAATCCTCTGAGACATACGAGGTGCATACCGCCTCTTTACAGAAAGCGGTACCAAGCAGATTTAGCTGCCCCGGCTATATGAAGGCCTTCTCTCCCGAGTAGTCCGCTTCGAACTAGGAAATTGGTTTCCCTGCTCAAGATTTAACCATTACACCAACCATTCCCGTTGACGATTGTCCCACCAGAAAGGAGATTGCTCTCATACGCTCGGCATTACGGCTGGTCGCTTCCAGCGGTGACAGTCCTCGCCTCGCCTGGCCTCGCCTCGCAGGAGCCGAGTCAAAGACAGAAGCCATCCGATCGAATGAACGTCGCAACCAGAAAGTACCTCACTAACCTGCTCGCAAAGGGAACTCAGCCTACCCACGCCAAACCAGCCACAACACCAACGTCTGCAAGGCCCTGGAAGATCCATGTGCTGGAAACTCATGGAACTTCTGCAGCTTGCGTATCCGCAGAACTCAGCTCCACCTGAGTAGGTGTCTGCACTCGCCAAAGGGCCGGGCAACTTGAAGCTCAGCAATGAAATTATCACGGCTCTGGCCACAATGGAAGCAGACTTACATGGACCAAGTGGGGATCCTCCAAAGCCATGAAGTCTAAAAGGTGATATTCAGGTTTCGGGTGCAACATTCCCCGGATTCCTCGATCTTGTCAATGTTGCGTTAGGCAAGTGACAATCTTCCCCTGTTTGTTCACCAACGGGGATCCCTTCTCCCCCCCAACGGGCAATCTGTTTGATCCTCCTCGCGTGGTCACCGACCTGGCTGCCTGCCATGCCCCTCAGAATTCCACTGTTGTCTACTCTTTTTCGGCGGCCGTGTCTTAAATACAGTGAATTTGCCGTGTACTTGCTGAAGGTCCCAATCTTCATGGTCCTTTCCCGACAAAAATATTTCCAGCACACGCATCCTGGTGTCCTCGTGGATACTCTCTTCTTGGCAGTGAAAGCTCCTTAAAAAAAATCCACTAGGTACAACATTGGATGTTAGGTGCGAACAATTCTTCGTTGATCCTGCTGGGTCCCCGTTCTCTACTGCAGCAATTCACAGCCAACCAAAGACATCAAGACAAAGACATCAAGAATTGGCATGATCTTCACCAACGGACCCAGTCTAAAACACCTGTCATTGATTTTGAATCATCGCATGAACAGAAGCATTGGGTTCGAGACAAGTAGTGGCGGCATGGAGTTGAATATCAGCGCACAGAGGAAAGGACATGTCAAAAGACGAGTAGTGCCAGGGCTGAAGACGGTCATGAAACCAAATGTCAGTGTCAGCCCTTTCAAATCCAAACTTGACACTTCGAAATCGGAACATGGCTGACATTGCCTTCAAGGTGAATTGCGCGCCCCGAGGAGAAAAACCAGATCAAAGTCAAACACCGAATCCCCCCATCAAGGACACATCCAACCCGCAGTCATAAAGTCGACTGCGACGCAGCTGATGGCTCAACATAATCCCCAGGCCATCCTCATCACGTGAACGGGATTGGAGTCGTGCCATCGCGATGAACAGAAATCCCACAGACCGCACTCCGGGAAGAAATGGGAAATCCGCCCCTCTTTAAACCAAGACAAGTCAGGAACATGGCCAAAAAAAACATATTGAGCGGCGGTTGGTGGCAATGTAGTTGCGAGAGTGACGTGGTTCAAGAGATTAGGAGACAAGCCCAGGAATGGCCCCGAGGTGAAGGGATCTTGAAGGACCGCCAGTTTTTGCATGATGGCCACGATTTGAAGCTGCAGCCGACCAGTGGCAGGTGTCGATATTTAATCAAGACAGGTTTCCTTATATTCCCGTTGGGTAGCTGCACTGGTTGGTGTCCACAAGTAGGATTACAGTTGCTCCATGTCTCCCCTGTGGAGCAAACGCTGGAACTGTTTGCACCTACAGTCCCAGCGTCCATCATTTCATTCCACTGCCACATTCCACAGTGACCTCTTATCACTTCTTTCCCGCCGTCGGTGCCAGGCCCGGTACGTTCGAGTATCTCTCATCTCTTTCCGTCTTGAAGAGAACCTGACACCAAAACTCCTTCGCGTCCGCATCCCACCAAGTCCAATACCTCCCTTCCCTCCTGTCCACCTCCCTGCTCTGTAATTTAAACCCGCACGTCTCGTACGGCTCGGCAGCGACCAACAAGTACTGGTAATCCCTGTCCGGCTCTTCGACTTTTTGTTCAAACGCACTCATGAACCGGACACGCGGCTCCATGTTGGGCGCGATCTCCGGGTACAGGAGCTGAAAGAGCAGTCCGACCTGTCTCGTGAGGGGATCTCTGATCTTTGTGATTTTATACCCCGGACGCCCAATCTTGACCATGTTCTTGCGTACTTGCACGCCCATCATCCCCGCGCCCATCAAATTTCCATCCTTTTGCATCTCCTTCTGTTCCCTCGCCGCCCGTCTGGCGAGGTTCGTCTGGTGTTTCCGCCCCTGCGTGTGTGCGAGGTAAGAGCCATCGTTCTGGTGGACTGTAAGACACAGTCTGCACTCGAAGGAGCCGACGTGGTTCTTGAAGAAGTAAGGGTCCTTGTCGAGGTCGATGGTCTCGAGGGCGAGTTTTCGCAGCCGCTCGCGACGGTCAGCGTTTGTCGCCGAGTGCGAGGCTACGCCGCCACCCCCGAACTTGGAGCCCGCGCGATTTTGGTAGTCCATGGCTGGGGAACTATGTTGTAGGTGTAGAGATAGGACAAGAACCAATCAATCAACAAGCGAGGCCTCTGCGCCAAAAGAGGCCGCGGTAGAAGAAGATTGCCACGATTCGAAAGACTGGAAGATGAATGCGATGATGGAGACGGAGGAGGGAGAAGGGCCGAAATTGTAAGCGCGTAAGTTGGACGAATGCGCAGACTTTCAGGAAATATCCGCTGGAGAGGAATCTGGTGGATGAGATGGAAGATGAGAGGGAAGGAGAGGCAAAGAGAGAAGAATGTGGGTCGCGAAGTTGAAGTTCGAGTAGGCAAGAAGTTGAAGCTGAGAATTTCATTTGTTCAGCCTCGTCCTTCTCCGCAATTCTTCCACAAGGCTGGGCGATCTTCTCCACTCCACTAGACCACCCAAGACCACCCAAAGCTATTACTCACCACACCTTCGTCCCGTAGAGCTTGTAGAGAAATTCGGAAGTTGTCACGCATTCGAGCAGGAGAAGACCTTGGATCTGCGACAATGTCAGAGTCATTCTATACCTCATCCACAGCTGGGACAATCCCCCCTGCCGCACCGATCTCGCCACCGCCTCCAACATCAGCGACCGGCGCAGTTGGCGCACCGCCTCCCCCTCCTCCGCCAAAACCCATATCTCATCTCTCCCAAAGCACCAACCCCAGCAGGTCTGCAACACCAATTCTGGCACCAACACCCACCACGGCTCCCGCCCCCCCAGCTCTGCCCGGCAAGGTAGACTCTCCCCGTCCACAACCACCACTACCCATTGAACCGCACCAGACAAGCTCTCCCATTCCCGGCCTCCAGTCATCACAACAATCAATACCTCAAGAACCATATCAAGCAATTCCCCCGCCGTCCATTACTGAACGCTGGCTTCCACCAAACGTCTCCAATAAACCTCTAAATGAACTCCATCCGCTGCTCAACAAGCCGTCCCTGGTTGCCTGCCTGGCCTCCCAACACCCCTCGTACGCCTCCTCGCTCATTCCTCTAGAAAGGGCCATCCAGCAAAACGTCCAACTCGCTCAACAGGTCGCTCATCTGGAAAGTCAACTCCGTGCCCTGCGTGACGAGACTGCTCAGTTGCTTCTAAACCATACGGGCGTGCAGACCCAGTGGCGCAGGAAACAGAGTGAAATGGACGATGCTTTAGCGCCCTGGGGCCCGAGACAGATGTATCAGCGGCTGGTCTCGAGTACTAATGAGCAGGAGGCGGTGCTAAAGGCTATGCAAGAGAGTTTCCTCGAGGGTGGGAACGATGATGATGCATATTACGGAGGTGCGAACGGCGGGAAGGCGAGTGAGAAGGAGGTCACCGAATGGGTCAGGAGGATAAAAGAAGGTGCAACGATATTGGAAAAGAGAAGAGAAATGCGAGCACGGTGGGATGAAGGAAGAGTGGGCGGTTGGAGGTGATGATGACTTGTCACTCCTTAAAAATAATACCTGATGACTATTTTATGCGGAACACTGCTGCCCGGCCATCCATCCAACGTTTCACACAGCAACGACGTTTTGAAGTCAAGCCACTCACAGAGCAAATGCCAACCCAAGGCACGCCACAGCCGCAACAATGCTCAATCCAAATGCCAGTCTCGTGTCGCTTGTTGATGCGCTACTCCCTTGTCCGGTTGGCACATCTTTTGCATAGATGGTTCGAGAAGCCGAGGCGGCATAGCTTGACTCAAGGGCAGCATCACGAGACATCGAGGCAGCCATCACTGATTGCTCATATGCGCTGGTTTGTAATTGTCCATCCATCTCTTCGCTTGCCCACTTGGACTTTTCCGATGCCGCCCTTGACATTCTTCTGGCCGACTGTGACTCCGAGGAAGCTGCCCGAGAGAGGGAAGCGATGAGATTCTTGTAGCTCTGAATGGACGCTACCCAATCATCAACGCTTTGCCGTTGCGGGTCATCTGTTGGGGCCTTGACAGCATAACCGGTCATACTGGGTGGAGGGGTAATGGTAGCATAGTAATTGGTGACGCTCGCAGGCAGTCGAGTGTACCACTGCGGCACCGAACCCCCAGAGAATTCATTGGTGAGAGACTCGGCGGCATTGGGGTCATTGAGCATGGCATTCCTGACTTCAGCCGGCATAGCAGACTGGATCTCGTCGCTGATCCTTGCTTCTTGTCGAGCCTCAATGCGTTTTTCATTAAAGAGCTCAGGGTCAAAGGGCGAACCGCCGCCGCCCTGGCGAGCCTGCAGCTTAGCCTCAGGCAGGCAGTCTTGCAGGGTGATGGCACATTTTGAATTGAGGACACACTCTGCAGAATTTGTGTCTCCAGCGCATGCAAGGAATTCTAACGTGTCTCCACAATCGTCGCCACTGATGGTGAAGCATCCTTTGTCCGTTTTTGTTGCCCTCTCTCGAAGCTCAGCAGGAACATTGGGGATGGCGAGGATCTTTTGGATTGGGAGAGGGCTGCGTTTGTTCTTGTTTTCGGAGGCCAATGATGCTGAGCCACAAGCCAGGATGGCAGAGAGGAGGACAAGTTTGCTCTGCATTTTGAGTGCCGGGTTGATGAGCAGCTGTGTAATTGAAAGGAAGACTTGAGGAAGTGAAAGGATGCAGACAGAATGAACGAATACGGCTGCTAAGAGTTGACGGCACCAGCCCGGCTCGACAGTGGATGCTTGAAAGTGAGCGATGTTGGACTGAAAATGACATGAAGAAGAGGAAGATTGAAGAGGGAGAGGACATGCTTAAGAGAGACTCAAACAAGTGGGAGGCGCCTTCCTTCCTCTTGATCGTGCTCTTTCCAGTTCTCAATTGTTGAGACGTTATCATGTGTAGCGTGAACGAGCAAGCACGAAAGGTCAAGGCAAATATCAAGCTGCAGATGGAAAAGGACTGAAGCATGGTGAGATGAGTTGCAAAACGGAAGAGTCGATGAGCAGTTCGACGTCCTGTTGAACTCTCTCTCTCTTTTCTTGCACATCGACCAAAATAGAGTGGTGATCGATTCTTCTCGGTGATTCGGTCCCTCGCTCTACGAGGCTGTCAGTCAGCCTTTCTCAGCCGAGTTGCACCTCCAACCTCAAAGACCGACGACTGAGTAGCGAAGGGCCGTTCAGTCACAGCATAAATTCAGCAGAGTCAAGGAACAGGCTCAAGGCAATCCCGTATTTTTCTGCGCCAGATGTATTACGACCTCTTTAATTCGACCTCGACCACAAGGTGACAAATCCTGTCGCTGACCTTTACGCGCTCTCTGATTGGCTGGCTGGAGCAATTTGCCTTTTCCTTCAACCCAGAAGCACCGCACGCTGCAACACTTCAAACTGACATAGGCATATAAAGACAAGCAGGACATTGATGGGCACTTTCCTAAAGGGCCTCTAGAGAAATCCTTTGAAAGATCGCACCGACAGTCGAAATTTTTGGGCCGTCTCTTTAAACAACAAGCAAGTCCGGGTCCACGAGGCTTTACGAGGTACAACAACATGGGACCCGAGAAGTGGAGCTCCGAGATTTCCCTACCTTCAGGCACACCAGGCCGGGAAAGAGAAATACTTCCCACAGCAGCAGATCTCGAAGCCAACCGGCCACTTTTGTCCAGGACGTCCACCCTTCAAGAGAACGCCCGAAGTCAGACGCCCGAAGTCTTCCTTTCAGACAAAAGCCTGCAACGAGGCCGAAGATGGTTCTGGCCCGATTGGAATATTCGCGTCAACGCTCGCGTCGTATCTGATGCGATTCTTGGCCTTTCTGATGGACTCACCGTCCCATTCGCTCTCACTGCTGGCCTGACGGCGCTTGGGGACACAAGAGTGGTTATCCTAGGAGGACTCGCGGAGTTGATCGCGGGTGCAATATCAATGGGACTCGGAGGATATGTTGGTGCCAAAAGCGAAATGTAAGTCCACATGCATGAACCCGCCGGACCGGTGTTGCATGGACTAACACAAGACAGTGAGTCTTTTAACACCACAGACCGTAGCTGCAACCAGCTGATCCTGCATGAACCGCAGGCCGCAAGAGACTTTGTCCAGGAGTATTTCGAGCAATTTGGACTGTCAGAAGAAGAGACGAAACGAGTGGCGGATCACATGAAGGCGTCCGCGCCCATGTTCAAAGACTTTCTCATGCAGAACCATTTTCAAGCGACCAAGCCAGACACCAGTCGACCCTACCTTTCAGCGCTTACGCTAGGCATCAGCTATTTCATCGGCGGGTTCATTCCTTTGATACCCTATTTCATCGTAGCTCAGGATAATGTTCTGGCCGGATTGTGGTGGAGCATTGGACTGATGGCGGTGGTGCTGCTGATCTTTGGGTACATCAAGACGGGGGTCGTTCGGGGCTGGACTGGAAAGGAGAATTATCAGGCTTGCACGGGAGGGGCATTGCAAATGCTGGTTGTGGGTGTTATTGCTGCTGGAGCGGCAGTGTGTCTGGTTCGATTGATCAGTGGCACGTAAGCAAGTAGCCAGAGCGGCTTCCTCTTTCTAGACGATTTGCCTGGCTGCGTAAACATGGTCCCGTCTTGCTATTCGGCGAAATGGAGAAGTCAGATTATCCCGCGGACTTGTGGTCCGTGCATACGAACCAGATGGCTTCGTTCTTGCTGGATCGGAAGGTGCCCACTGACTCGATACTACCGTTTAATGTGTATACATAAAGGCAGAAAGGGTTAGCAGTCTGGGCCCCTTCGCGACAGAGTTTTTCAACGATGGATACTTGTGTATTAAAAGTTGACCTCGGCTAATAAATTGGACCGCGAGCACCTAGGCATGAGAGACAATGACACCTCAAGGATGATGGCAGGACTGCAGTGGGTGGTGGATGCGTCGTAGTGTGAAAAGGAAGAGAAAAAGTCAAAGGAGGCCGAAATTCGGATCATACCCACCAGCCCACTCTTCTCGTCTCTCGCCTATTCCTTTTCCCTGTTCAGTCTTTCTGTCCTCCCTCTCTCCCACATTTCCATATACACACTCTTGCTCCCTATGCCCTACCCTGTACTTGCTAACACTACCCTTGGGGGGAGCTCCCACGGCTGTGTCTTCATTCGCTAACCTCATCGGTGCCGATAGTCGCTACCAAACACCAAATGCTTGAATACATATGCAAGAGCTCGGACCTCGCGGGTTGCTGCAAGCCTGTTACCTAGGATAGATGTGCAGCTGCTGCACTCATTCACTAGAGTAGCACACATCCAGTGGACGCGAGTCGATTCCCAGTCATCACTTCTCTTCATCCTTCTCGCTTCCTTCCGTGCTGAGAAGCAGTCAACCAAAATGCTGCTCTCACCTCTCCATTTGCCGGAGAACGCTTCCCTCTGTCCGTGACAAGAGCTACGCAGCGAGATTTCTGGGCACCGGACATGGTTGAGATGTTGAGAAAAGCCCATCTGTCAACATGACCCATAGTCCCAAAAAAAAAAAGCGAGACTATTGATTTTCAATATGCAAGACTACGGTACTCCGTAAGTGCTCGCCCTTCTGTGCTCCCAGCCACCTCTTTTCATAGTGATTCTGGTAACGTATGGCTCTCGCTGTGCATCTACGTACTGAGTACCCTGCTGCTTGTTTGGATGGACCGATATCAACAACTCTCTTACTCGGCTCGCCGGGTCCATTGAACAAGGGGGTTTGACCTCTCGTCTATTCATGTCTCACCCTCTCGAACGCTGCTGTCATCTCAGCCGGATGCACAGGTCACTGTATCTCAATCTTGGTCGCCCACACTTACCACCCTTGCATGAGGATATGGCTTTCTGTCGTCCCCGACTCGGTCTCCTACCACCCTGCACTATTTGTTGTGCCCAGACTCGCTCAACATTTGCCTAGTCAATGGAGTGCCACCCTCTACCTGAGTCGACAATTCTTGGGCCGGTCAAATGCCAGTCAGCATTGTGACTCGTCCTATCAGGGCCTACCTGCCCGTGCAATGGCTGGATGCCCTGGCGCATCGCATTGCGAACTTTCCAACGGGAGAGACTACATCCCGCCGTTAGGAGGTTTTCCAAAGGCATGCCTCTTGCCCTCAACGTCATTGAGGTGCGAAAGAAATCAAAGGTATACAGCAAGCATCCGATAATGACAGAATATGGACACCCCATGTTACACAGATTGTATGCCGCTGGTGGGTCACCCAACAACCACGGGATGCGGAGCCAACAACCGCAGAAGAGCACTCGATTATATTGTCACTAAACACTAAGCTTCCTCCGTACTCTAATATTTTTCTCCTTGCCTTGGGTTGTCCACGGTCGCTACGCCCCACTCGAAAAATGGTAGGCAGTTGACTGGTAACATTTCGCTCATTGCTAGTGTAATCCGGATGTCTGGCCAAATCAAGCTATTGCTCATTGGGATTACCATGATATATCCTACGCAGAGTTTGGTCCAGGAATTCCAGGTTGGAATATACTTTAGCGGTTGTAACCAAACAGCGAGCAACCCTGACTTTCGACCGACTGGACGACCAAAAGACGGGACCACGGACAACATGCAGGTTGAAGGACCAATTCATGCCAGCCGTTGAACACATGGTACCTTGCCGAGCACCTTTGCCTAATAGAGGATTTTCCACTGTGCAGGCGATATTGTACCTGCACTAAGCTGTATGCACGGCTGACGTCTTGGGATAGAGTCTGCACCGATCTGCGCGAACCTTTCATACTGGGAACCGCTGGCAGTTTGCAAAATTTTTTTGTGGGCACCCAACCGGTCGGGTCCCCCTTGCAGAGGGCGAATCTTTCCTTGCCAGCCACCTCTCCAGCAAAGAGCTGCAAGATTTGACACGTTTGCTTTGAGGTCTTCCTGTCGCACGAGATCCAACAACGCATTACACTACTCAGGAACAGTGGTCGAGACCCCAACTCTGATTTCTCGAGTCGCTAGCCAATCCACTATCCCCTTCCGCCAACACGTGGGCAATCACAAGCGAAGAACAACCGACTGGGACCCGTGGGAAGAGGGTGTGTTGGGATTTCTCCCCGTGCCTGGAGCCTATCTTTCTTCCGCCTAGCTTGACCGGCTCTTTCTGCCACCGCCGCGGGACTTTTCGGCGACCTTTCTGACAACTTCCAATCGGCGGACCTTCGTGCCTGGCGAGGGTGACTGGGTCTCGAGGCTCCATGTCAGAGCGAGCCCTCCAACCAAGATGTGCCAAGTTGGGTCCTTCGTGGCTTGCATTAGCCCAGGTACCACCCAACCTCTGGGTTTGCGCTCGCCCTCCTATTTGATGGTCCATATTCAGGAACGTGCAAAATACAACAATCCCATCCACTTCACCGCCAGGGGGAACGGCCATAGCGCCGGCGAGCCATGTTTCAAGACACTTCTGGCCTAGGCTGGCTGTGCTTTTTGCTCTTCATTTTCAGTTCTGAAAAATACCAGGATCCTGACTGACTCCGAGTATGGCCCCATTTTGGTCCTGTCCGTGGCGGACAGCGCCAACGCATCTGCGAAAATCTCTGAACGACAAAGAAAGGGTCCCATCTCCTGTGGGACTTGGGCGCTGGAGCCGACTCCCTTCGGGCTCCTCGAGGTTTGTTGATGTGGACGTGGACTGTGATGTGAAAATCATCTACTTAAAGCGCGTCCTCCCCTTTGTTGTAGGATTTCCTGTTTCCGCAACGTCTTGTCAATCCTTACAACAGCTCCTCCTTGACATCCTCGAGCAGGTCTCTAATCAGCATCATTCTTTTAGCTGAAAGACCCTTTGTCGACTAGAACATCCTTTAGGACCACTCGTTTTCCCCAACCCCATTGTCCAAGTGACTTACTATCCTTCCCTACTACGGGTACATCGACTATCAAAATGCAATTCAAGAACGTTCTCGCTGGCACGGCCGCGCTACTTGCCTCCGCTTCCGTCGTATCGGCAGTAGGATCTGCTACCGTCGTCAACAACTGCGGATTCCCCGTCTACTATGCGGCCGTCGGAGGAAGCTCTAATCCTAGCATGCAACCACTCGAAGGAAGCTATAGCCAATCCTACAGTGAAGAGGGCGTTGGCATCTCTATCAAGCTTGCTCCCAATGCTACCACCTCTGGGCCCATCTCCCAGTTCGAGTTCACTTGGGCCAACGGCAAGATCTCGTACGACCTCTCTAACATCAACGGTTACCCCTTCTCCGCTGGAGGGATGGAGGTCGTCCCTTCGATGCAGAACGATCCCAGTAACCCAACCTGCGTCGTCGTCGACTGCCCTGCGGGTCAATCTGTTTGCACTGCCGCCTACAATGCCCCCGATGACACCCGCACCATGGTCTGCGATCAGAACTCCAACCTCGTCTTGACCATGTGCCCCGGCGGATCGAGCAAGCGAAGCGTCTCCCTCAGCGAAGGACACATCCACTACCGTGTCCACGCTCGCCATTTGCCTAAGAAGGCATAGAGGGCACCTGTCGGCTAGCATCGAACAACCACAAGCCAGAACCATAATGCCACTGTAAAGTTTTCCGAGACTTTTGCGCAGCTAGCTCTGCCGCCTCTCTACTACGTTTATACTGCCTGCAAAGACGCTCCTTTACGATATCTTCCATGAGTCGACACATGGACATATCACTGCCCCTGCAGGTTTAGTACCCGATCTCGACGATCATCATTCCTCATCACATTTTAAGTCCCGGCGACAGGCCTCCCGTGGAATACTGGAAAACGACAGTGGCATTATGCTCGGCTACGAAGCAACAGGCTCACAACTCATAGACGAACCTTATGAACATGCGAATCAAGTCATGACATGACTGATGATCAGCAGCGGCGATGGTGGACATTTATTGCCGGCGTTTCAATCCTTTTTTCTGTTGATTTTTCGGGCAATGGTCTTCCTGACTGGCTCGCGGTTTTATCGACATGACTTTGAGGTGCCTTGATCTGGCTTACATCTGTAACCCAACAGCTGGTGTCATGGTCGGACTCATCGCGTGTGCAGATGGTGGGAAGGAAAAACCTATTGTTATCGAACATGAATACTATCCCAGCGGAGAGCAAGAGGAGTACAGCAGACGTCTCAGAATATATGCTGTCTACTCGGGATCTACAAGGGTTTATTGCGTGATTATTAGACTTCACTTCTTGGATACCATATACTTAGGGACATAACAATGACAAGGACAATGCCACGAAATGGCATGGCATGCTTTCCCTTCTCTCTTGGAATTGTTTTTGCGGGTTGTTGACGTTGGTGATTGAGGATGACGACGACGATGCGCTCTGTGGCGATTGTGGCGCCAACTAGCTTCTCACTCCTCTTTTAGCGCCAAGCCACAAGCCCCTAATTCAAAGGAATCATCCATGAAAACGAACTTGTTAGCCGCTCCCTTCCCCCTGCGTTGGGCCGCGCTGACCCCCCGAGGTCCCCTGTTCCCTCGCTTCCTCCCCTCCGTTAAGCTTTTCGCCTATGGACTACTCGGTATGTAGGCCCCTTCGGCAAGGGGATCCGTGTACAATCAAGGCTGATCAATGATCATCAGGGGACAGGACTTGGTGCCCCCAGCATTTTGAAACCGGGTGGCTTGCGATAGTATGGGCAGACACCCCTGTCGACGGCCAAAAGCCAACACTTGTTGGTCCATAAGTAGGTAGTCCAGCAAGGACGGGGCTTGGATCTCCGTCTGGGCATCTACAAGTACTCCATACTCCGTCCCCGCGAGGACGAAGTACAGGTAGCCACCAAGCAAGTGAGGCATGCTAAGGCCATGGCGACCGTCTCCCCGACCGGTGATGACTGGTCTGCGAGGACATCATCACATGAAACATGAAACAGTGATGCTTATGTTATACAAGCAGACTACATACGGTACAGCACAAGGACATGGTCATCACAAGAGAAAGAAGATTGGGGCCTCGCTGGGCCTCGTCATCACCTCGATTTGACTCTGTCTACAAGCACTTGTACTCGTAAGAGCTCCGTCCTCCGTACCTCCTGGCAGATTGTCTGTTTGCAGGGGTACCGATGGAAGCAAAATCCTGCTTGTACCATGCAGGCATCTACATAATCACGGTCCACTGTAGCGCGTTATGCTGTCGAGGGAAGAAGGCTGGGACGTGGTATGCGCCTCTTTGGTCCAGATCACCTCCCCATGGATGTGGAATAGGAGATTGGATCTAGAATTCGGGATCGGGGTTGGACTTCAGGACTGTCTGACCTTGCTACATACACGTGTGGTAGGTATGCAGTACCTCATCACTGCTAGACCGGTTGACCAAAATAGGACTCCGCAGAGCAAACATCAAACAAACAAGAGCAGACACCAGCAACGTGGACATCCATGCCTTCGGACTGAGACATGCACAGCCAACCCGGCAGGTCTACCCCTGTTATTACTAGGCAAGGCTGACTGCTGCACAAGGTCAATCCCGGGAGACCGGGTGCAGTCCTAGCCCCCACTTTGTAATGGTGGATTGGGTCTGCTCAACAAGATCCTTCAGCCTCGTTGCACAGTCTATCGGCCTTGGGTGTATTATCTCCTCCGTAGTCGTACGCAGTCCTGCCCCTTTGGATGCCGTGAGCATAGCCTACGCTTGCTTCCCCCATCTCATTCCGAGCCTCTGGAACCACGCAAACCACGATCCAGCCTCGACGTCGGGGAATGTTGACTGCCAAAAAGCCGCAAACGAACCTGCTCAAATGTCAGAAACAATCTTGGTGATCCACCCCCTTTTCGAGTAGAATTTCTGCAACATGGCATATACGTATGTGGATCTCACCTTCAATCGGTCCAAGCTCTCCAAACCCCAAGGCCTCGATGACCCATGGTGCAAGATAGACAAGGATCCCAATAGCCACAAGGGTAAGTATCGCCGCAGCGAGGACGGGATGTTCACTCGTGAATTCAGAGGCGATGGCATATGCTTTGTCATAAGCTTCCTTTATTGCTCCAGCCATCACTTGGCCTGACTGCAGCGCGGCAACCAGACCGTCGAGAACGCGCTTTGCCAGCCCTTCATACCAGCCATCTATGTGCACAATATCTTTGAGCCGGGCCTCGAGGTCCCGCCCGGGCTTTTCGGCCGTGAAGAGGACCGAGAGGATCGAGGACGCGATCTGCTTTTCGTCGGCTGGCTTGATTTGTTGTTGGGCGATGCTACTGCCCTTCTGTTTCTCGATGATGGAAGGATAAGATGGAATATCGTCGCTCTGGCCGGCTCCGAAACACTCAAAGATCGATCTGAAAAGTGCCATGGTGGAATGGAGGGATGTCTCTTGGGCTCTCAATGGTATGAGACGGCTTTCTCATACGGACGTTGCAAAGGCGGTAGCTTGGAAGGGAAACTGCTGGGATGAAATATTTTCTCAACAGGTGGCGTAGAAATGAGGCTGAAATGGAGCCCGCAGGCAGTGAATCTTTCTGCCTACCTCGACAATGCCTGCACCTCCAAGCGACCGTTACACAAGCGGTAGTCCGTCCAATTGCATTGCACCACGACTTTTTGACAGCCGAGTTCGAATGGTATCTGTAGGTCCGTAACCCAAATGCCTGCATGGTAACAGTCCTGCGCTCTCCCTTGAGTCTTTACGTTATCACGAACACCACGTATTTGTTGCCACACCCTGCACGCCCCACACAATTCATGTAGAGATACCGAGTATTTGCAGATCCAACGGGACACAGACGCGAGATCGATTGGTCGAATTTTGAATCTCATCACGTAAGCAAGGCTGGTCGTGTCACGTGGTACGTTCTTGGTGGAGGGGCGCAATCCGATTTTCTCTTCCCTCTACAAGTACAAATTCCTTGCGCCGTCCACTCTACATTCATCATAACACATCCAGTTACCTCCGAACAAATATCTTCCTCCCAAGAAATCGGACAACCGGTATCTCAGATCCGCCCAAGTCCCCACTCTCTCCGTCAGTCCACCTTTGCACCACTACCTATCACCACCTACCTGACGCACGAAAAGAAATGTCTTCGGGACAAGCATACCAAATCCCCACACAACAATCCAGCGCCTTCGCAACGGGCTACGTCGCAGGCGAGTCGTCGAGCGGCCCGACCGTGCAGTACGTGTGCGGCGAGTGCAACACGAAAGTGAGTCTGGCAAGAGGCGACGTCATCCGCTGCAGCATGTGCGGACACAGGGTGCTTTACAAGGAGAGAACGAAGCGGTATGTGCTTATTTACGCTATGCTACTCTATGCGCCCCTGACCCTGACCCTGTCCTTCGGCCTGGAAAAGTGGCTGGCCTCTTTTTTTTTTCTTTTGGATTTTGTGGCTGATGCCGAGAGGGAAATAGGATGGTGCAGTTTGAGGCTCGATGATGTGTCCACGACCTGCAGAAATGGAACTGCGAGGCAGTATCTGCCACCGCGCGCGACGTTAACGCTCCACGTGGAATGTTTCTCTTGAGGGTCGTTGTTTGCATAGCCCCGGCGTTTTTGGGACGGCTTTGAAAACAAATGGCACTGCCTAATCTAAGGGCCTGTGTAAGAAGAGAGACAAGATCATATAACTCCCGATAAACCCACTCCAGGCCAAGATGACAAACAAATGACATTGTACTTTTGGGGGCCCTCCGTTCTATACTCGGTTGGTGAACTCTATGAACTTTTCGAATTCTTTCAGGGCCTTCCCGCTCTCTATGCACCATCTAGCCTTTTTCACGCCTTCTTTCCATCTTCCCCCCGCCGGCCCTCGCTCTGTGATGACTTCGCCACTTTCGCAGCTATCGGCATCACAAGCGCCACTTACCACCAGCAGTGCGGCGATGTTCATCAACACGAAATGCAATATCGGGTCATTGGGAGGTCTCTCGTTGCGCAGAATGCTCATCAGCACGGCGGCGTTTTGCCTAGGCAGCCCTCCGCCGCCCACCTGCGATAGTGGGTGTGAAGGCAGACCAAAGTCGGCGGGCTCAAGTTCGAACCTCTCCACCTTGGAGACGTATTTGGGCGGCGCCTCGTCGTCACTGGTATCCTCCTCCTCTTCTTCATCCCGATCCCCTCTATATTCTGGATTCTCAGCTTCTCTAAGCAACCAGCAGTTCGTTTTGCCAGCACAACTTATCTCATCGAGATCTTCCTGCCCGCAAACCACAAGCGCCTTGGTCGCACCGGACAGTTGCAGCGCCTGCGCGAAGACAGGACCCAGTTCTTGATAGGCGACGCCCACAACTCGAGCTTCAATATGCGTCTCCACGGGGTTGGCAAGGGGCCCCATTAGATTGAAGATTGTCCTCAGTCCAAGTTCCCTCCGCACGGTCGCAGCATACTTCATGCCGGGATGGAAATTCGGCGCATAGAGGAACGTGTAATTCGTATGCTCGTATGCCTCCGGCAACATCGCCGCGCTCAGCGCTTCTATCTTGGGCGCCTTGGGCAAAATGGCATTCAACACATCCGCCGACCCGGACATGGATGTCTGCGCCCTGTTCCCGTGCTTCGCCATCATTAATATCGGCGACGCAATAATTGACGCCGTAGTCGAGATGTTGAATGTCGAGTGCGCATCCCCGCCTGTTCCCACAATATCGCACAATCCGCCCCTGTAACCTCCCATACCCATACCACCGCGCTTCCTCTTCCGCACGACTTCTCTCAATCTATGTTTATCCACCTGTACCGCGGCGTCGCGCATACTTTCTGCACATTTGGCAATCACGTCCGGATGTCGATCTTTGCCCGTCGAGTGCAACAGCGTGAGCAGGGCGGCGAGCTGCGTGGGGTTCAATTCATTCTCGAACGTGCGCGAGAATGCCAGTGCGATGTCTTCAGCCTTGACGCTGTTGTCCTGAGGAGACGGGGCGGATAGCTTTTTCAACAGCGGGGCAATCGAGACGTGCTTTGGTGGCGGAGGGTCGGTCATGGCAGCGGAAACAAACGTGTTCGGACGATTTCTTTTCGAGGTTTTGGCTCTTTTGGACGATTAGACAACTAGAGGCTAGAAGCGAGATACAAAAGGTACATATTTGTTGCGCTGGACTTGTGAGTCAAACAGCATGTGGTTGCGGGGCACAGCTTTGCTTTTCGAGGTTTTGCTGTGGAGAAGAAGCTTGCAACTTCGCCGAACCCCTGGTTGCTTGGCAGGGCAATGGAATCCAGCCTCGTTCAGCCTTGTCACTCCTCATGTACCCAGTACAGGGCAACTCTTGTCTTTTTTATCTACGGAGCAGTTAGGTAAGGCTCGTTACTTGGTGAAATATCAGACTCATGATACGAGATGGTAGAGGCCAAAGGAACACCCGGCAGTGTACAACCACTTAGTTCGTACAATTGATGACCTTGCAGGAACACCGTTCAAAGTGTGCCGCGGAGGCCTCGGGACATCGGTGCATTGGGCATGTCAGGCTAAGCGTCACCTGGGGAAGTAAAAAATCTTAGGTATCTTTGAGATTTTGGGAGGACAAGAACTTTATGTTATCTACCGTGCTGCGTGTTCAAATGGAAACCTTGAACCCTTCACACTCGTTTGGGATAGCTAATCATCCCGCAAAATTCGATACCGCCTCACAATGGCAACGCTCAGTCCGGATCCGGAACAGATCGTCACCCTCCGCACCAGTGGCAGAGTCGCCATCATAACACTCAATAACCCTCAGAAGCTCAATGCCATGAGACAGGAAGATACATTCCGCCTATCCTGTCTCCTGCGACAGGTAGCGGCAATGTCGGAAATCACGGTAACAATCGTCACCGGGAAAGGACGGTTCTTCTGCGCCGGCGGCGACGTGACATCTCGGCGCCCCGGAATGGATGATGACCACAGAAAGAAGACACATGAGATCCGCGAGCAGACTCTGCGCAGCTTCGTGGCCAACACATTCGACGCCACTCAGTCCTTTTGCGCGCATCCAAAAATCTTAGTTGTCGGCCTCAATGGGCCCGTGGTCGGGCTTCATGCGGGCCTTGTAGGGTTCGCAGACTTTGTGTATGCAGCGCCTCATGCCTACCTTCTCGCTCCGTTCGCGAGTCTGGGCCTAGTCGCCGAAGGTGGCGCCAGTGTTGGACTCGTCCAACGCCTTGGTTTACCCCTGGCCAACGAAGCCCTCCTCACGTCCCGCAGGATACCCTGCAAGAAGCTCCTCCAGTGCGGATTCGTCAACAAGGTATTCCGTGGAGAAAATGACTCCGATTCGGATGGCTTTCTGGAACAAGTCCTCAGAGAAGTGAATGAAAAATTTGGCGATCATTTGAATCGGGAAAGCGTGCTGAGGATCAAATCCTTGGTCCAACGGCCTGTCCTGGACAGAATAGAGGCTCAGGCCGTTCGAGAAGTCGCCGACGGCATGCAAAGGTTTGTTGACGGCGCACCTCAGGTGGAATTCAAAAGGGTTGCCGAAGGCCGAAAGAGACATAAGCTTTGAGGTGCGAGACTTGATATCAGGTGTCCCAACCAAAGGTTCGCCAGGAGCAAGGATGTATCAGAGCTGCAATATATTCAGCATCGCTATTCCGCGTGCCATAAATTAGTCTCTGCAGTTACAAGCTCGGGAACTTGTTTTGATCATGGTTCTTGCATACCGGGCGTCCACTCGCCATGAGAGCGCCACTGAGACAGAAACACATCAAGTTCTCTGCGAAAAGAGCGAGCCAGGCCGTCTGGTATGCCCTGTTGAATGGCCAGTCTGTAGAGGTCAGACTTGACATCTGCCATGGCCCTCAAATCCTCCAGACTCCACATCTGGGTGAGGACGGTGTGGTACGTGCTTTCAACGAGCTGTCTCTGCATGGGAATCTTCATCCTTTCAATCCTCCATTTGAAGAAGTGTTCCATGGCGGTATCTTCTTCGTCCGGTTGGACAAGAAGGCCGAGCTGTGTGGCTGATTGCACTGATCTGTCACCATTTGCTGGAAATAGCGAAGGGTGGAGCTGCCCTAGAGCCCCCGTTTCCTGCAGGGTTAGAACTCCACCAGAGGAGGGATTCATTGGTGCTCTGAAAGTGGAGGCTGGTGGTGGACATACTCCTATTTGCGGCTGGCCGGTTGTCATCTGCGTTGGCTGTGGACTGTAAACAATGGGCCCCTCATTGTTGGCGTACTCACACTCCGCCGCACTTGACATGCCCCTACGACAGAGGCTCATCTTTGACAGCAGATCAATCTCCGACGGAGTAATTGCACCAAGCTGTGATAGGCATGAAAAGATTCCTGTCCCTGAAAAGAGCGACTTCTCGAAATCCGGTCTGAAACTGATGGGAGGGGGGATTTGGTGCTCAATCGAGGGCAGAATGTTGAACTTTAAGAAGGCAGCCTCAAGCTTTGAAGACAAGAAATCTTCTGATGCGCCCTCGTCTCCAATCGAGTCCAATATGTGCATACAGTCGTAATACTTTTCTAACCTGCTTCTTCGCGGTTTCTCCATCTCTGGCATGACATCTTGAAGATGAACAAGCATTATCGGAAGCAATAGAGTAACCCCTTTAGGACTCATGTGTGTTCCCATTTCGAGGTTCTTGATGGAGATTGCAACATGTGCCACTTCCTCTGCAGTGTCACGTAGCTTTGCCTGTGACAGCTGTTGGTATGTTGGCGGGAGTGTTCCGGCGGTTTCTGAAATCTGGGGCCTGTGGAGCGCGATCATCGCTGAGAGGAACAGTAGTTTTAGATGTGCTCTATGCATCGCAATGACATTAGAGCTCTTCATGAATGCAGAATCCGTAGGGTCGCGAAGGTCGAATTTGCCAGCGTCCGAGAGGCCACGATACCATTCTTGAAGTTGGCGGTCGAGCTCGAGAATCTCGAAGGCATTGGCGGTAGAGTGCCTTGGGACAAGAATCGTCATCATTCGACTATCTGATTCGTACCGACGACTTGAATATCGTGCTTGCAGAATCTCATTTATGCAGACACATAGTTTTGCCTTTTCAATGCAGAGCGTTGCTAGGCCAATCCTGCTCCTCTGATTATCGATGAAATCCCACTCTTTGATCAAGTGGGACACAGCAGGAGAGAAATCCTGCATCTCGAAGTCGTCGAGTTCAAGCATAGGTAAGTGGCGATGCCACGCCCCGAGTTGCGGTGGAGTCCAAGTCATGAGCGCAACAAACTGATCGCGCATGAAACAACACCACCACAATCTCTTGAACATTCGATGTTGCCTTGTCTTGCAAAAATCGAGATTCAGGTCCAGGCCGAGATCCTGGGATAGGGTCACAGCGACACGAATCCAAAACTTCCGGTCTTTATGCGTTTCTCGAGCATCGTACCAGTATGTCATCAGCAGGAAGGCCTGTACAAACGATACACGATCGCTTTCACAGTCTAGATCGTAGAGCAACTTTCACGATTAGAATCGGCCGTTCCGTGGTGTTGAGTACTTACCCGTGCTCTTTCGAAGAATGCGCTTCGAGCAAGCTTTCTCGAGTTGAAGCCCAGCTTCCTCAAGACTTGCATGTCGACATGGGCGGCTCCAGAGCACATGACAGCGTAGAAGAGCAACAAGCTGACCTTGTCCTTTGGATCATTTTCGAGCATTGGCCCCAAAAAGGTTTCCACATCGAGTAGAGGTAGTAATGGGTACCCGAACAAGAAGTAGCTGCGCAAGAGTTCGTTCCGACAGTGGGCATTAGGTATATCGAAGACTCCCTTATGCTTCAGGTAAGCCATATCCTCAGGACTTAGGTCAGGGCTTAGAGGTCTGATGAAGTCCGGCAACCTGATTTCGGAGAACGCTGTTGGAGCAGATATAAGATCGTTAAAGAGCATTGAACCATGACCGCGCTCCCGATAGAGGGATTCACCATTTGGAGAGATAGGTTTCGAAAAACGCCGCTTTTCTGGCCGTGAAGGCTTGCTCTTGCCAGGCATGCATTCGATCGCGTCAAGACGACAATTGGTGCAAGTGGAGCCAAGAATCCTCCTGTCACATCTCATCTTCCGACTTTGGCAGTATCTGCATGCCTGAGTTGTCCGCTTGAAGGCGGGTGCAGGTGGTTGGGATCCAGATTGACAAGGGAGCATTTTGACAGCTACTTCGGCTGACTGGGAGCAGAGAACAAGGAATAGTCGATGTCTCCGACCTCGGATTCAAGGTATGCTCGGTAGAAACAGCTGTCGCACCTAGGGGATGATACAAGCGTGACAGGCATTGGTGTCTGAAACGGTGACTGCAAAGACCGACGGCTTGAGGCGAGGTTCAAAAATTACATCGGTAGGCAAAGTGGTCCACAACGCGGCCCCGCTCTGGTCACGACATCAACTTCCATACACAGTATTAGTGGTCACGTCTGCTGCAGACTGCAGTACTCCGCACGGGGCTGCACTATCCCTTATTGGGAAGGCATGGTCTGCTCGCCGCGGAGGCCTCGGGGGAATCCCTCAGCCTTGCACGGAAGTTATATGGTTCCCCACACAATTCTCGGTAAAGCATTCTATGGCTGTGTCAAGAAATTGCTCCGCCTTAGTCCTAGTCTTCTCCGTCTTTCGAGGCTATCTTTGCCGCACAGCCGAATTGCGTGTGGCAGTTGCAACCGCGGCTTTGGAGATAGGAAGGTTCTTCCTCGAGCAAAATTGTTTCACAGAGAGGCTTTTGCGTAGAGATAAGCCTGTCTTATTCCAAACTCAGACCTCAAATCGCATATAGATATATTTAGACCGACTTGGCTTCTCGTTTTATTTCAGCTCCTACAAACAGCTTCATACCACTATAAGCCATGCCGTATTTGGCGGAGGAACATTATCCGATTCCGGGAACAGATTTGCTAACATGGATGTTTGACCATCGCGTTCCATATGATGAAGACAAACCGGTATGAGAAAAGGCCAGCGGCTCTGCCCTGACGTGACGGAAGTACAGTCTCGTTCGCTCACAGTTGACCATAGATATACATCGATGCATCGAAGCCTTCCCGATCGATATCCTGCCGGCAGGCTCGCAAGATGGTACGGGAGCTCGCAGCCGGATTCCGCAATATCGGCATGAAAAAGGGGGATTGTGTCTGTGTCATGGCTTTCAACGATGTATGCTTCGCTGGGCGTTTCTTCCCCTGTCTCCCCACCCACCAATCGCTTCAAAGCTCTTCAATTAAATTACCATCACTCCTACTACATTTAGGAACCTTTACTAAACAAAGGTTGCAGATCTATTATTCCATGGTCTTCCTTGGAATAATTGCCGCTGGTGGAATCTTCTCTGGGGTAAACCCTTCCTATACGGTCTTCGAACTGGCCCACGCCATTCGCACTGCAGATATTACGCATCTAATCGTCGAGCCCGAGTTCCTTCCCAAAGCTTTGCTTGCGGCAAAAGAATGCTCCCTTCCTCCATCGAACGTATTCTGCTTCGACATTCAGAATCAGAGCATTCCAAAGCAACTGGGGGTTCAAAGCTGGACCGTGCTGCTGCAAAGCGGACAGATGGACTGGGAACGGTTTGACGACGAAAAGCGAAGCAAGGAGACCATAGTGGCTAGGCTATTCAGTAGCGGGACGACGGGTATGCCAAAGGCGTTGGGCATATCGGTCTGGAACCTCGTGAGTTAACTGGTTTCGTCTGCCAGAAAGTCATTGAAGCTGATCAGGCTCTAGGTCGCGCAACACATTGTGGTGATGGAAGTCAGACCTCGACCGTACGAGGTTAGCACATGTAAACTCCTCAACATCTTGATACTGACCATGCTCAGGTTCGCCGCCTGATCTCCAACCCTCTTTTCCACGTGTCACAGGTGCCTCGAGTCCATACGAGCGCAATAAAAGCCGGGATACCTACTCACGTAATGCGCCGCTTCGAACTTGAGCTGTGGCTTTCCAACATCTCTAGGTACAACATCACCGAAGTGAACATTGTTCCGATGATGGTCATCAGTCTCCTTACATCTGGCCATCTCGACTCTGGGAAATATTCGTTGAAGACCCTCAGAAATGCTTGGTCTGGCTCCGCACCTCTTGACAAGAGTCTTCAATTTCGCTTCAAGAAGTATTTGCGGCCGGATACTCCCTTCAATCAAGCCTGGGGAATGAGCGAAACCACATGCCTGGCGATATGGTTTTACTATCCGGAGCAGGATTCTACCGGGAGCGTTGGGAGACTGTTACCCAACTGTGACGCAAAGATTGTTGACGACGACGGAAATGATATCACTGAGGTCAAGGGACCCGATGGACTGAATGTCAGAGGCGAATTGTGCATCCGAGGTCCTATCATCGTAAGGGGATACTACAAGAACGAAGAAGCAAATAGACGAGATTGGGACCAGGATGGTTATTTCCACACAGGAGATATTGCATACTGCGACTCGGAGACAAAGAAGTGGTATATCGTTGATCGCAAGAAAGTGCGTCTCCATCTTTGTTGTCAGCTTTTTAGTGTCGAGGACGAGGAGGTGGCTGACACTACCATTGCAGGAACTCATCAAAGTCCGTGGTTTCCAAGTTGCACCCGCTGAACTCGAGGCTGTACTCCTTCTGCACCCTAACATCGTGGATTGTGCAGTCGTTGGAGTACAGGCATCAATCGACGAATCTGAGCTTCCGCGAGCATACGTTGTGGTTCGACCGGGCACGACCGTTACAGAGGCTGAAATCCGAGAATTCACCAAAGACAAATTGGCACGATACAAGCAGTTCGATGGTGGCATAAGGTTTATAGACAAGGTGCCCAGGAATGCGAACGGCAAGATCCAAAAATCGGAGTTGAGGCAGCTGGTGAAGAAGGAATTGAACGCTAGATTATGATGGAGGCAAATGGCTGGCAACGTCCTCTTGTTTCAGCGCTCCAAGACAGCAATAGAAAGATGAATAGAATATAGAGGTATATTTGATTAGAGCTGGTCCTGGTCCTGGTCCTGCAAAGAGTCGAGCTCTGCGGCGATTCCTGGTTTATTATTTGAAGACTTCGCCCCCTGTGTTGACCACGAAGACGCTGCTCCCGAGACTGCCAATCACACTGAGCATCCGTGCATCTCCTCATTCAGACAATCTCAACCTAATACACGTATCTGAATTGCTTGTTCTTCCTATCCGTCAAATCATCGTTGTAGGCATGCTCGTAAGCCTCCGTCATTCCACTCTCGTCCCGCTTTGAATTTTCGAATTTGCAGACGAATAGATATATGATGGCTAAAACCACTGCTGCGGCAAGACCTGCCACGATGACCGCAAATGCTTCAGCGTAGACAGGAGCATCTTTCGTCTTGAAGAGCAGTGGCCCGGTGAAGTTGCCAAGACACCAAGCAATGAACAATCCAGCTGCTGTAACACTGCGCTTCGTGTAGCCTGCTGTATTGGCAATCTGTAGGCCCATGAGGATAGCGTACCCACCACCAAAAGCAGGGAGGATCTCAATGGCGAACAGGAGACCACCTTTAGCGGATCGAGGTAATTGCCATAGAAGCAGACAGCTCAACATAGTGGTGCAAACGCAAATGACGAAGAGGTAGATCCGGATCCCCTTAATGCGGTATGCCAGATAACATACAAGCAGTTCGATTGTCCCGGATACGAACCCAGCGGGAACAAGCAGCAAGAGGGAATTGAGCGTCGAGTAGCCAAAGCTGTGGACAATAATAGGCGCCATCGTCGCATTCGCTCCGTTGGCAAAGAACATGAGGAAGGTCGTGCAGAAGAGCAAGAGGAATCTGATATCTGTCAAAGCGTCGAAGACTTGAGATGGCTTGAAGTGTATGTTGCGAACACCAGCATTGTTGACTCTGAGACGTGCAACAGCAATATAACGCTCGCGATCTGTGAAATGTTGGGCGCGAATAGGGTCAGGTGGCAGGAAGTATAACACAAAGATCGAAAGTAGAGTCGTGACACCGCCGGCGAATAGATACATATACTGCCAAGAGTGCAGAGAACCTCCTGTGATGTGGCCAATTCCGTAGTTGATTAGTGGCGAGACGATGGAAATGTAGCCTGGATGGATTCGAAAATTAGCTGGGTCACACCTTCTGACACTCCCGTCAGTGGGTGTGACGAACCGGTACAACTATACCAAGCTCCCATTCTCAAAGCTTGCTCATCCTTCTTGTACCAACCTCCCACAACGAGCATGAAAATCGGCGAAATGCCGGCTTCGATAACACCGAGGAAAAACCTCTGGGTATAGAAGCTACCATATGTTTTGCAAGCAGCACTGCACATGACGGTAACTCCCCAGATGAAGGTGATTCCTGCAGCGACGCTCTCAATGGGCCAACGCTGAGCCATCATAATGGCAGGGTATGCGCCCACGATGAAGCCAAGGTAGAAGATAGAAGATGAGAAAACAAAGCGGTTGCCAATGTTGAGATCGAGATCCTTTTCTAGTCCGAACAAGGCCTGTACAATCGCATTTAGTGAAGTGTAGACTGGCACTGTCGTAAATTACTCACTGCTTGTGCCTGTAGAGCTTGTCAGCGAATGTCGTTATCTAAGTTCCTCGATTCCGAGTCTCACCAGCATTGCTTTGTCATAGAACTGGACCCCGTAAACTAGGCACAGGACTGGTAGCAGCCGTATATCGATCTTTCGGACAAGCCGTTTCTCCTCTTTCTCAGTCCAATGATCGTCCCCGCCGACGGCAGCGATGACTTTCAGGGCTTCATCACCGTGAATGGTGTCAATAGCTGAAGGTTTCTGATAATCATCGGCTACCGATTCTGTTGTTTGAGGAACTGTCTTAGGTTCGTCCACATGGTGGACGTCCATCTTGTTCGCCATGGAATAGTGCTGTAGAGTGAACGCCCTTTAAAGGTGGATATAGTCCAATAGAAGGACGTAGAGGTGTGCAAGAGGAGGAAAAAGGGTCGACAGCCATGAACTTTATATATGTCTAAAACTTGACAAAAAACTGGACACTCATCGAAGGCTTGATGCCATGAGATGCCGAGGACTCAATGCATCCAGACCGAAGAAGAGCGGATGCAAACACGATACCTTTCGCCAATGCAGAATACCGAGAAGTTAATTGTGTATTTTGTGGAGAGCAGCCTGGGGAAGAGAAGACCCCATGTTGTGAGGTATCATCTGATTTGGTGGGCCAAAGCGATGGTGTTTGCGCCGCTAATCTGCTCCTGGTAGCCCCATTTTTCTTGCAGAAGACCGAGGACTCCTCGGGCAATCACCATTTGTTCACGTCGGTCTCAAACAGGATCCAGACTTTGGGTACCTGTATAGAAGCTTTGTTACAAAGATGATTGCCAGGGATTATCCCGATGTCCCCTTCATTGCTGCAAGCCCACACACTGTGCAAAGGAAGAAAACAACTTTCCTTCTGATGCAGAGTACCCAATAGAGACCTATCATCATGGCTTCCGTTCGATCTTACTGCTCGGTGGATTGAACAGCAAAGCTCACTGAGGGCCAACCTGACATACTCTACAGAGAGAAGCTCATGTAAATGTATATCTTCAGGTGGCCTTCTCGACACACACTGGACGATCAAGGTTTAAATTGCCCGCCTTGAACATTTTGCACAAGCAGAAGCCGACCTCGCCGCTTTATGCCATCTTGGTATGATTATAAGCTAGCCTAAAATGGAAAAACGCGATATCAAAGCAATGAGGTCATGAAAATGGCACGACGAGCTGCCTTGGCTGTCCTTCCCGCCCACCAAGCTTGACACTTCCTCGAAATGAAACCGACCGACGTTGGCCATGGTACGCATCCAGTTGAACACATCAGGAGATTGGTCTCCAAGGCGGCGTGGGGTTGCCAATTACCTTTTTTTACAAACATTCGGGGAGATGGCAATGTACTTCTAGCACCAGACGGTTCAGACCGTTACCGCCTTAGCTGGGATCAGATTCAAAAGCATTTGAATACTTTGACTCTCGGGGGCCCCTTCTAACAGCAAGCCATCCGAACTACGGACCTTGAGTTTCATACTCAGCAAATGTGAGAAAATCCTTAGATGAACAATGGAGAACAGTGAACAGGCCACTAGCCCTGAGGGAGCCTCCAGGGTATCAACGAGAACCACATCTCGTGTACTTTCCAGGGATTATGCGGAGCAGAATCTATCGAGATCGCCTTCCCAGAATCAATCTCGTGCTAGGTACGCCGAATTCAATTTTGGCCCAGCGACACTGCGTCATCGCATCAGTAGCCTACAAACGAGTCCGAATCCAAGTCCTGGCCCAGCACGAATTTGGGGGAGAGATTACGCTGAATCCAGCAGAAGATCTGTCGCCATTGCAGCGCCTTCTTCAGCGCGAGGGGATGCTACTGATGCTGCGTCCCGCAAATTCTCTCTGGCAGGTCCACCACCTTTGGATACCTTAGCCGCCAACCAACCATATATTGATCCGGGATATGCACAACTCAACCCTGCGTATGATCAGCCAATGAATGTCCGACCAGTATGGGGCCTAGCCAAACCGTTGCCTCGTGTACTGAGACCTGGTATGGTTCCAGCGAAGGACGAGCTCGAGAAGGAAGTCCAAGAGGAAGAAAGAGAGGCCCAACAGCCACTGTCGACAGACGTTGAAGCTGGCAGAATTGAACCCTCACTTATGCCCGACAAGATATCCTCTCAGTTGGACACTATCCGACGTGAGAGAGAAATATCTTTATACCGAGCTTACCAGAACCAATACCAAGAGTCGCCGGCATTGTCGCCATTTGGCGCAGGTAGAAGACCTTCAGATACACCAACCGAAACACCACATACCCGGATTCGACCGGAAGATACGATTGAGGAGGAAGCGGGGTCCGAGTCACAACAGCCCGAACAAGTCGAGCCGCCAGAGCTGTCATTGCCCGAGGCAGTAACGAACGTGAAGCAAGCAAGGGAGGAAGAGGAACCGAAATACGTACCCTACGAAGATGCAGTTCCTTTGGCAGCTTACCAGGCCGAAGACGAAGAAGTCCATAATTTGCATACATATTGGTCGGTTATTCGGCTACGCTTTCGAGAGCCGTTGGCCGAGCTTCTAGCAGTACGTCACATTTGCGTTATCTTGCCTTTCCGCTCGCCCATGTTGCTTTGAGACTGCTGAAAATAAGAAAGTCAATGATCTCACTGACATTGGCTCCCCCGTTCACAGATCATGGTTCAATACACACTCGGTTTCAGCGCAAACCTGTCAATGACTGTTTCTCGTGGCTCAGCTGGCACCAACGATACAGGAACCTGGGCATGGGGTCTTGCGACTATGGTAGCCATCTACATCGCCGGCGGGATATCCGGCGCTCACCTAAATCCGGCAATATCGCTTATGCTCTACATCTACCGGGGTTTCCCCTTGCGCAAAGTCCCTGTCTATGTCACAGCACAGACGCTCGGTGCTTTCCTCGCGGCTTTGATTGCATTTGGTATCTTCCGACCCGGTCTTATCGCTCTAGAACTAGATGTGGCGCAAGAGCAACAACAACTTCTCGTGGAACAGAGGTCAGTGGAAGGTGCCAGATCGACTTCAGCTTTACCACTGGCGCCACCAGTGTCAACGGTAGTGTTATCCAATTTCCTCACCTTCCCACGCGCCCCTTGGGTCGATAGCAGCATTGCTTACCTCGCCGAACTCATGGGTACAACCATTCTCACTATCTCGGTGCTCGCACTGGGCGACGACACCAATGCCCCTCCCGGGGCTGGAATGAATGCCTTCATAGTTGGCCTGCTTGTCACCGTTCTCGGCATGGCGTAAGTACCGGATCTTCTTCTTCCTCTTCTCTGTCCTATCCGCCCGCTCCTATTTTCAGATGTCTTGCTGTCGCTCGGGCAAATCCCTCCACCCAGCAAAGTAAAGACATCGCCTCCGAAGAGAAAGAAACAACCTGAGGTTGAATGACAACAGATGAGCGCAAGGGAGTGCACTGGCTGACTTCTCTACGTATTCTTCTTTATAGATTCGGCTACATCACGGGTCTAGCTATGAACCCAGCCCGCGACTTTGGCCCCCGCCTTGCTATGCTCGTTCTCGGCTACGGCACTCTAAAAACCCTTTTCGCTGACGGTTACTGGCTTAAGGTGGCATGGTTAGGTCCTATTGCCGGTGCAATTTTGGGCGGGTTTCTTTACGACGCAGCTATATTTGTTGGCGGCGAGAGTCCCGTGAATTATCCCACGAGACGGATTCGACGGGCTGTGCGGAAGTGGAGGAAGCGGTGGAAAGCGAGGATGAATTTTCGACGAACGACAAGGTGAACCTTGTGGGCAAACAGGGGATTTTTGGTGACCCGGAATTGCAATGGGATACGGCCTTGTTGTTGACGAACAAAACTGGTAAGAATCGCAGATGAATTATGTTGGCGTGCCTGGAAATGTAACGAGGACATTTAGGGGGCCAATGGTAATGACGTGACGATCCAGCCTGAGGGAGGATTATCTGCCAGACAGCTTTTGAAAATGAAACATAGTCGAGATAGGTGGCCCTATACGGATTTTCATCATGTCATTTCCCATAGTCTTCGCTCCCCCTCTTCCTTGCTCTTAGAAAGACAATGGCTCCTCGGAAGAATAAAGGCAATCAGCATAATCTCCAACATCAAGCTAAGCGAATTCAGAGATGATGCAGACAGTCACTTGTGAACGGCGGAAAAGGAGAAAAACTGACACTTCCGCGCACATATGATCCGCACTAGCGATGATGTTCACGTGATCACTCCAGGTAGCCGAGTCTTGGCGAATTCTCAGCTTCGACGCCCGAACATCAGACGGAGTGCTACGTTCAGGCGACAGGATAAGACGGATTCTCGCATTCTCTGATTCCCATCAACTCTCACCTGCACGGGATTTCTCTGGAGATCTATCTCGATACTTCATTATTCAAGGACCCTTGTCACGACCTAGTTAGCCAAGAATAATTTCTGTTGCTTTCTCATGTGCTGGCTGTGCAGACCCAACTTCAATCGCCAATGTTCTCGTCCGCGTTCAAATCCTTCACCTCGAATATAACATCCAATTATGAATTGTCAAAACATCCAGTTGCAACTGTAGGGGCCTGGACCATCTTTGATGCGAAGAAGAAGAATAGTGGCGCTCAAGCGTCGATTTTCATCTTTGACCGGAAATCGCTGGATGTCACCAGCAGTGGGTTTGGAGCACGTGTTACAAGCGCCACGTCGGTGCGCAAGATTCAAGATGAAGTAGTGGAACTTCTGAAGAAGGAAGCCAGCAGTCTGGCCCGTCTCCGGCATCCCTCCATTCTGCAACTGGTGGAACCCGTCGAGGAAACCCGCAATGGAGGGTTGATGTTTGCGACAGAGCCTGTCTTGTGCTCCTTATCTGCTGCCCTGGCAAAGAAGGATCGGAATGGTAATGGCTCGGGTCGAGGTATCTCGCGGTCCCCGTCTAATGATGGAGCCACTTCTCGAGTACAGCAAGACGTGGAAATCGACGAATTGGAAATCCAGAAGGGGCTGCTGCAGGTCGCCAAAGGACTGGAGTTCTTACACGATTCTGCCAAGCTTGTTCATGGCAACCTCACTCCGGACGCCATCATGATCAATGCCAAATCAGACTGGAAGATCTCTGGACTCGGGTTTGCCGGGCCGCCTGACGGAGCAGAAGGACATCAGACCGTCCCTCAAATTTCTCTCTCTGAGGTGCTCCACCATGACTCGCGAATCCCTCGAACAGTCCAATTGGACCTCGATTATACTTCTCCCGATTTCGTGCTCGACTCGAATATCAACTTCTCAACCGACATCTTCTCACTAGGCCTAGTTATTCTTGCATGCTACAGACATCCGCACAGGTCGCCTATTGAAACCCACGGCAATCAGTCAACGTACAAAAAGATCTTCAGCAGCGCTTCCACCGTCCCAACCAGCGCCAACAACTACCTTTGCGACGGCGCCTTACCGCGGGAGTTGAATGTCACTTTGCCGAGAATGTTAACCAGAAGACCGGCTCAGCGAATGACCGCAAGCGAATTCCAGCAATCGCAATACTTCGACAATATTTTGGTAAACACCATGAGGTTCTTGGACGCTTTCCCAGCGAAGACTCCTGCAGAGAAGTCACAATTCATGAAGGGCCTTGGTCGAGTCCTGCCTCAATTTCCGCCTTCCGTACTTGGGAAGAAGATCCTTAGTGTTCTACTTGACGAGATGAAGGACCGAGACCTCCTACCCTTGATCATGCAAAATGTCTTCCAGATAGTCAAAGTTGTTCCGTTCAGCAAAGAGGTTGTCTCGGACAATATCCTACCGCGGATGAGAGAGATATTCTTGTCAAAATCGAAATCTGAAGAAAGGGATAGCGGCAAAGAGGCTGCCTTACTGGCCGTTCTTCACAATATTCAACTCATTGCCGATAACTGCTCTGCGAAGCAGTTCAAAGACGATATCTTGCCCATCGTTCATGTGGCCATGGAGTCATCCACCAATTCACTTACCGATGCTGCTTTACAAACATTACCGGCTGTTCTCCCCTTAATCGACTTCTCAACCGTCAAACATGATCTCTTCCCAGTTGTGGCTAGCGTTTTCAGTAAGACCAACAGCTTGACCATCAAGATTCGAGGTCTTGAAGCGCTCGGTGTACTCTGCGGCGTTTCACCCAACCAAACGGAAAACAGCATTGACGACTTTTCCGGAAATGGTCACCAAGAGAAGCAAGACAAGAATGTTTCTAGTTTGGACAAGTTCACTATGCAGGAGAAAATCGTTCCCCTCTTGAAAGCCATCAAAACAAAGGAGCCAGCAGTCATGATGGCGGCTCTGAAGGTGTTTCGACAGATCAGTACCGTCGGCGACACTGATTTCTTAGCCATCGAAGTGATGCCCATCCTCTGGAATTTTTCTCTCGGGCCCTTGCTTGACCTTTCCCAATTCAGCGCATTTATGGATGTCATCAAATCTCTGTCAAGCAAAATCGAGCGCGAGCAGATCCGTAAACTGCAAGAACTGTCTTCGAGTAGGGCTCTTGAGTCAAGGGCTGTGTCCTCGTCACACAAGCAGATCGGCAACGGTCTCGCTCAACCTAATCAGGTCGCAGGCACAGAAGACGACTTTGAAAAGCTCGTACTCGGAGATAAGAATACTAACAAGGTTGACTTTTTTGTGGGCGCTCTTTCTGACGGGCAAAAATTGACCCAAAATCCGCCTTCCTTCTCATGGGCTCCAGTAGACGCCACTGCGAACACGAATCCATTGGCGCATCAAATGCATCCGTCATTGCCTGTTCTTCAACCACAACCTCTATCTCGCTCAATCACTCCGGATGTCAGCGCCTCGACGTTTCCAAGTCTTCAACCTACCCAGCCATCCTCGGCCTCCACTTGGGGAACATCTTCACCTTCTCCTGTGCCTTTGCAGAATCAGCACCAGGTGCTGCAACCGTCGAGTTATCTTTCTAATCCTATAAGCAGCATCTCTCCGCCGACGGCGTCATCAAGTACGACTTGGCAGCTTCCGCCGCCTCCGGGACCGCAAGGGTCACCTAATCCGGGATTCACGCCTATGATAGCTCCGCCTCCTGCAGGTAACAGCCAGAGAATTGTTTGGCCACAACCGAATTACAATAATTTCGGGGCGTCCTCGCAGCCGGGGCCTAGATTCAGCGCGTCCATGAATGTGTTACAACCGCAGAAGGCTCAGCAGCAAACGGCCCAACAGCAGAAAACAGGTCTAGACAAGTACGAATCTCTGCTCTGAAATCAACCTCGCAAAGTGAACGGGAACTCGGCGAGTCGCTCTGTGCCACTGTTGGTCTGCCACAGGAGGCAATTACAGGATCAACACACGCGAAGTTGGAAGGAGACGCGATTCTTTCGTATATCGTTGGACCTTTTTGAGAGGACCCGTATGGCCTCCGGATTGGCGGAAGCAACCTGACAAATTTGGATCATAATTATTATTCCGCCTTGTGCAACAAAATGATACGACCTGCCACCCGCGAAATGGAATTGGACTGGCAATCCTTTTGGTGGAATTCCAAGTAGAACGGCAGATTATTCCTGTCACGAAGCCCCACCAATGGAGTTGTCACCATCCCTGGAACCCTCCCGAAGCTCCCTCAAGCGACCGCGTTCCTATGGAGCGTCCGGGCCGGTAAAAAGCTGCATCGAAGCTTCCCTTGGCACTTGGTCTGTTGCTTAATGCAAGCCAATCGTCCACGGACGAGGCCTTATCTGATGGTCTGATTAACCTCGTTGGGTTTCTCGATATATGCTTCGGACGTTGCCCATCATCGCTGCGAAGAACAACCATCCACCGTGGCTTTATATCATGATCAGGCGCGGGAAATCTATCGATTCGGGACTATGAGAGTTCCAACACGATCCTTCTACCTCTTATGTCTTAATTCTTGGATGCTTGCGGAGCCTTGCTAACTTCCTGAGAGCCATGAGCTTGTACTATTAAAGCTGCCTCGCTCTCGCGACTTGGTGAGCATAGCTCTTGTCTCTCCAGCCCAGCAAACCCCCTTTCCCTTAGCATCAACCTCAATCTCCCCTTCAATTGTCCAGATATGAGGTGCTCATTTCTGTCTGCTGCTCTAGCAGCCTCGACCTTCCTCGGCGCCTCTTCGGCCATTTCTATCCTCCTGGGCAACGATGATGGCTTTGGAAGTGCTCAAATTCGAGAATTCTACCGCTTGTTGAAGGAGAGCGGCCACCAAGTTGTCATGGTAGCCCCGGCTGATAACGAGAGTGGCCAGGGTGGTCGATCTGTCTTCACGACCAACAAGTCGCTTGCTGTAAACTCGGAGTTCGACCTCATCCCAGCTGGTGCACCGTCGCTTGGTCGGGACCCTAACGACGCAAACATCTGGTACTACAACGGCACGCCAGCTGCATGCACCTTTGTTGCGCTCGACTACGTGCTTCCCAATTTCTATTCCAATCGATCTATTAATCTCTACGTTGGCGGCCCGAACTTCGGTCTCAACCAGGGCTACTTTTTCTATACGCTGTCCGGTACTATTGGTGAGTTATCCTTTATAGAATGCCTTTCCAATTCACTTACTATCCTTTGTATTCACTCATCATCCCTAATATTCACTTGTCATCTTTTGTATTGACTTCTTGTCCTTTCCTATTTACTTGTCATTCTTTCCAGAATACTTTTTCGATTCACTTGAACTTACCAAATCCTCGGCTACAGGTGTACATACGCCGCAATCCAGCGAAATATTCCAGGAATCGCCTTCTCCGGAGGCAACAGCGAGCAGCGTTCTTACACGTGGATCAACAAAACGACGGCCTCTGGCTACCCCGACCCGGCGACAATTCAGGCCCAGCTGGCCACCAACCTTGTCAACCAGCTTGTCAAAAGCGCTCAGGGTGCCACGCCGCTGATGCCTACTGGCTACGGACTCAAAGTAAGCTTTCCAACCGATATGGAAACCCCCCGATCATTGAAGGATGTACTAAAACTGGGCCAGCGTCAAAAACCCCCGTCATCATTTCGCTGACCAATGACTCCTGCGTGAACCCACCATTCATCCAGACGCGGCTGGGCGGCGGTGCCACGATCGATAAAGCTGTCTACAACGCAACCACGGGAATATTCACGTACGAGAACCTGATCACGGACGGCAACAACGTCTGCATCAACTGCAACTGCGCCTTGCCCAGTGAGACCCCCGTCGTGGACAACGGATGCTACGGTTCGGTGTCCGTCTTCTCGATCGACTATGATGTTCCTATGGGACCGGCGCAGCACCGCCTCCGAGCGGCGTTGCAACCGTTGGTGGCGTACGAGAACTCAGACGCGAAGATGATGCTGAAGGCAAGAGAGTCGATGAGCAGTAAGTCAATTCTCCCTGTGAAATGTGGGGCTCCTCTCTGAAGGCCCCCCAACGCCAGGCTTGATTGTGACTTTGAATCTTTGCTGACCCGCGTTTGTAGGGGAGGATGCTGCTGCACGACACCCTCTTCGCCAAGCATGAAGTAGAGTCGAGACCATGAAGACCAGACCAGACGGGATAGAAGTGCAATGAGGAATGTCGGCACACATAAATCCCCAAACGAAACTGTTTACTCATCCCTTGCACAGCCATGCTATGGTCGTTTGGCCGAGAGTCAGTTGATACGCTCAGAAACTGTATATAAACCCAAAACCCGTTCATCCAACAATACAGTACGTAACCTTCATAATTCAAGTTACATTCGCATCCCGAGTGGATCTCGGCGTATAGATACACCCGCACCGCGCTGGTGGTCATGCTTCAGAACAAGTCCAGACAAAAAGACGTTTGTTTGACGGTATGGTACCCAGGTAAAGAGTTCTCGGGCTTCCCCACCTCACGTGAGCCAAACCGATTGGGGAGGCCAATGTGATCCTGGATTTTCAGGAGATGGCAGCCTCGCCTTGCCTTGCCTTGCATGGCCTTATCTCGTCCAAAGAGGGACTCGCAAGAAGGATGTAGTGCGTAGGTTTGTTAGGCAAACGGCGCGGCGCTGGCTTAGTGTGGACCTGGTTTGAAAGCAGACATTCCTGATGAGCCCTTCCACAAGTTCGATTCCCTCTTCTTGAAAGGCTTCGACAGGGTGCCGTGACTAGCGAGGGCACATAGACATGCGTACACATCGATACATAATACATGGGTACTGTAGATGCGTAGGTACGTAGAACTGACGTAGATAAGGCGGGATATTTTGTCCGCTTCCGGGCCACGAGAGCGGAGAAATCGAGATCCACTTACTCTATGAGCTACTCGTCACTCGTCACTCGTCACTGCTTTCTCCTTCCTGCAACGGATCACGCATCATAGTTCATGATGCATATCAAATGGGGGGCGAATCGGGGCGAATCGGGGCGAGTCGGAGCGAGTAAGGGTGTTCATGTTCTTTCGAACGGGGAACCATGCAACCAACCATGGCTGTAGTTGGCTGGAAAACATGGAGATATATCGGGCGAGTAGTTGCGCCCTACTGCAGCACTGACTGATCCTGATCAAGGGGTTAAGATATATAGAGAATTTGAGGGATATTTTGGTGAGAAAGAGGACGCCACATCTCGATCCGATTCTTTGTATCCTTGATAGTGGGAGAGACGACGGCAACGACGCTCGCCAAAAGTCATTAAGAGCTCGACAGGCATATCAGACTGTCAAGGTCTCCTCGAGAGGCGACTAGCAAACGATATGGCAAGGCTGTGGGAGTTTGTAAGTGTGTCCTTGTACTTGGGAGGGGGTCTATGCGCAACCCGTGATGTCTATCATAATCGTTTCCTGTATCAGCAAGTTCGACGGTGATCCCGATGCTGAAAGATGGGATCAGACGATGATCGATACTATGACAGACGAGGCATTCAAGGGGAATCCAACTCCAGTCTTCGAGCTTGACCCAAGCGAGTACAGTGAATGGCCGGCTCTCACGGTCCTGCAAACCATTGCAAGGTATGGATTACCATAGCTCCGAGTCAAGCGAAGGCTGAAGCTGGGGGCATCAGAGAGTTGAATCAGTCCTACACGGTTTTTGTCAAGCGCAGTGAGGAAGGCCAGGACTATACCAAATACCTGATTCGATCGTTCACCCTGGACAAGGAGGAGTCCTTCTGTGGACATGGCATCATGGGGGCAGCACTTGTGCTGGGACAGCGCTTCGCAGCCGGAGGAAGACAAATGATCTTTGAAACGGTCGGCGGGATCAGGGTCGACGGTTACATGGTATCGGCTCAATCGTCAGACTCGGTTGAAGGAGAATGCGGAAAAGTCTGCACGGTGAAGCTTGAGATCCCTGCCGAGCCGGTCAAAGAGTGGTTTGACGACGACGTGGAGCTTCGAGAAATCATCTCGAAGTGCCTCGGGGTCGAGAAGGCGCAAATTTTGGCGCTCGGGCGGAATGCTTTGATGGATCTGGTGATCGAGATGAGCGAAGACGTCGACTTCTCCGCGGAAAGCATGACAGTTGATGCGGTGGGCTTGATGAATGCTTCTCCTTCCGAGACAAGAAGCCAGATTATTACGAGTAAAGGAGGGCGATACGGGGTCGACTTCGCAAAGCGCGTATTCGCATATGGAGGTGAAGGTAAGCTGAGCCCCCCAAGGTTAAAGCCCTTCCGCGGGGGACTAATATGTTTCAGACCAAGCGACAGGGTCAACATACTGCGTTTTGATACCGTATTGGGCTTCCAGATTGAGCAAGACGGCCATGAAGGTGAAGCAAGTCTCTGCTCGGACAGGGATGGTTGATGCAGAGAGCATTACGTCCAAGGAGGGATATGTAGCGGTGACGGGATCAGGAATAACGGTGATGCAGGGGAAGATGTTGGTTCCTGAGCACAGCCCACACGAGAAGGGGCCCTGAGTCACATGAGGCCAGCGACCACAGCCCCAGAATAACCATGTATGCACCACAGGTGTAGGAAGCATTGGGGTAGAAGGATTGTCTGGGCTGGTGTCGATGTAGAGACTCGAGAGAATGTACTCGATAATCCGGGGGAAGATGAAGGACTCCGGCCACAGCAAAGAGACGTCGGCTATTGGCGGAAAGCTGGTGCCAAGCTCCGAGCTCCGATGTCGCGGCCAGAAGTTCGAGATTGTGTCTTTACCGACAGAGGCTCGATACTCAATAACTAATGCACAGCTGATTATCGACGCCTTGCGACATCTCCTCTTCCCTTCTTCTCGACTCCTTCTCTCCCTTGAAGAGGGTAGCCAGCTTCTCCTCTTTATCTCAACCCACCTCCGTCTCCTTGCTTTCGATGACCCCCGAACAATAACACAACATGGCACTCCCTCGGCTACTCCGCACTCCCTGCGCACGCGCTCTCACCTCATCCACATTCAAGTCGGATTCAATACGGCTACTGCCTTCCTATAGACTCTTTTCAACATCGCAGACGCGCCAAAAGTCTCTAGCTGTCGACGATGACATCTACTCCAAGCTCCCGGGTATCGACCCGTCAAAGTTGGAGGTCACAAAGACCATCACGCCCAAGGCGCTGGTACCAAATAAAGATCTTGTATTTGGGAGGACCTTTACCGGTACGGCTCACTCTTGTCCCCTTTCGCAGTGACAATACACTTTATTGACCCGCATTCAGACCACATGCTCTCCATTGAATGGACGGCCTCGCAGGGCTGGTTGCCTCCTCGAATTACCCCCTACCAAAACCTCTCACTAGATCCCGCGACCTGCGTGTTCCACTACGCATTCGAATGCTTCGAAGGCATGAAAGCATACAAATGTCTGAAGGATAATTCTCTCCGGCTATTCAGGCCGGACAAGAACATGGAACGCATGAATAAGTCTGCCGCACGCATCGCACTGCCCACCTTTGAAGGCGACAAACTTATAGATCTGATTGGCAAGCTGTGCAAACTGGACGAACGCTTTATCTCCGCCGAAAAGGGATACTCACTATACCTCCGACCGACACTAATTGGCACGCAAAGAACGCTAGGTGTTGGACCACCAGGCTCAGCGCTGCTTTACGTCATTGCCTCTCCAGTTGGACCGTATTATCCAACCGGTTTCAAAGCCATCTCGCTAGAGGCAACAGATTATGCTGTACGCTCTTGGCCGGGCGGTGTGGGCGACAAGAAACTCGGCGCCAACTATGCGCCCTGCATTGTGCCACAACTGAGAGCTGCCAAGAAAGGCCTGCACCAAAATCTCTGGCTTTTCGGCCCCGAAGAATACATCACCGAAGTCGGCACGATGAACCTGTTCGTCTGCATCAAGAACAAAGAGACGGGACAAAAGGAACTTCTTACAGCGCCGCTCGACGGAACCATCCTGGAAGGCGTGACACGCGACTCGGTGCTCGCGCTGGCTCGAGAACGTCTCGAGCCTGAGGGATGGAACGTGGCCGAACGGTACGTCAAGATGCAAGATCTGGCGGACGCTGAGAGCGAGGGACGGCTGATTGAAGTGTTTGGGGCCGGCACCGCCGCGATTGTAGCGCCTGTGCGCAATATCGCGTGGAAGGACCGCATCCTGCATTGCGGACTCAAGCCGCACGAAGAGGCCGGCGAGGTGGCGAGCAGGATGAAAGGTTGGATCGAGGGCATCCAGTACGGCGACGAAGAGCACCCGTGGAGCTATAAAATTCCTGCTTGAGGGGGGAGTTACCTAGGCCCTCGTCTATAGGACAAGAGGAAACGGGATAAGAAGAAGAAAAGAGAAGATTTTACCCAGTTTTATTCTGGTTCTGTCCAGGTTTTGTTTTTGTTTTTGTTTTTTGTTTTCTTTTTTTGTTTTTGGATGGAAAAGGCCTTGCTTGAGCGAACCCGATCGGACTTTTTTTTTATTACCTTGCGAGAAAATAAAGTTCTATTCCTGGCGGCCTTGGTGGTCGTATATACTATGTACGACAAGTATGTGTTGCATGCAGCCGGGCATCAAATCCTTGTTTTTTCCCTCCCTTTTTGAACGCGTCATACCATTCATGTACGCTGCAGGCGTCTATGCGTGTATAGTCTAGGTACATAGGTACATATCTACTCGGTACAGGTAAGTACATAAGTGTATCTATCGAACCTGCCTGGACGCTTACATAGATGCCTAGCTACATAGGTGCTCCCTACGTATAATATCACACGCTACTATCGTGTCGCATGGCCTCGTCGTTGTTCACAGCCATATTATTATTATATATATATATATATATATATATATATGTATATATACTCTGTACCGCATTGCACACGTCACATGTACAACGAGAACACGGTCCACTGTTCCTGGTATGCTATCATACCCTATCCTACGCGATGCTGCGCGATGGTTATCGGACGGTACATGAAAAGGAGGTGTTGAGGATATAGATGTGAAGAATTAGATATGGATATGGATATGGATGTGGACATTGATCGCTCCCGAGCCAAATCGTTGATTCCCAGGTCCCCAACCTGTAAAGACCTTTCTTTACCTTTTTCTCTTTTGCTTGATTTTTGGAGGGGCGGAAGCCACCATGCCGCCATTATCAATAAATATATAGACACGCATAGGCGTAGGGGCTGCTAAGGAACATGTGTCTGTCCCCTAGTAGTACCGAGGACTCCCATATCTCTCATGAACTCAGCAAATCTCTCACGCTCATGCCCTTGCCTCGATCTTTACTGTCTTCCCTCACACCTACGCCCGCCGGAGCAGTCGCGCTCGCGGGCGCGTCCATCCGTCCGCCACCTCTCCACTCGTTCGTCAACATCATCAGGGCCGCACTAGCTGTGGCCTCGGCGGTTCCCGAAGCATCACTCATGGCCCCGGGCGACTTACTCCCGCCCTCGCGTTCGCGTTGGATGGCAGCGCTATAATGGGATTGCAGCTGCAAGGACGCCACCGCGGGGTGCGGCAATGGTAGGTTTATGGCGGCTTTCGGCGAGGGCAGCGGCTGCATGTTTGGGCTTGGGTTCGACACCACCGACCCGGAACAACTGCCCGAAGGATTGACCGTGGCCCATGAGGACGAAGGCGTGTTCAGCACGCCGCTACTAGAAGACTTTCCGACGCTGCTGTTGGTTTGCGTGCGTGCCAGGTCGGGCGAGAAATGTATCGAATTGAACGCTGGTGACAGGAGTGTCGGAGTCGGAGTCGCCGACGAGACCAGTCCTACCGAGTGCACCGAGATTGAAGGCGAGGATGTGAAGGATTGCACGCCCGCTGGCAAGAGAGGCCTCTTTCTCATGCCACCCATTTCGTCCATTGCGCCGTGTGATTGGCTGTGGATGTGAGGGGATGGGTATGCTGAAGAACTGCTCAACGACGCGACCGAGGATTTGCGCGAGTCTCGCAATGCCCATTCGCTCCCAGCCGTGGCGCTGGGCCGATGAGTCCGTATCTTCATCGGTGGAGCTGCGGGAGCAGGCACGTCGTCAACAGCCTCGTCTTGTTCCTCATCCTCGTCTTGCTCGTCGTCTTCTTCTTCATCGTCCAAGTCCTCATCCTCACCTGGCGGTTCGTCTATCTGCATTCTCGAACTCGTCGACGACCTCACTTTGCCTCCCAAGTTTGCATTTTCCTCTTTCAACTGCGCCACGCATCCCTCCAAGTATCTTACATATTCGATCCCCGCTTGCAGAATGGCGAGTTTATGCATCTCCACGCCTTCACACGCAGGTATCATGTCCTTTAGAACGCCAAACTCTTCATTCATTTTACTCCGCCTGCGGCGCTCGATGATGCTGTGCGCAGTCTTGCGGGCAATTTTCCTGCCCGCGGCGCTTGTGGCGGAGGGTTGTTTCCGCTTTGAATTTGTGGCAGTGGCATTGGACGCTGCACCACTGGATGAGGTCGCCGATGCTCTGTGAGAGGGAGCGGATGTGGTCGAGGTCGCGGCCGACGCGGGAGGTACGTAGCTGGCGTCACTGGCCGGAGAGGAGTTGTTTGTCGCCTGAGACTTGGGTTTCATCTGGATGATCTTGCGGGCTCGACTCGGAGGAGGAGGGAGAGCGTAGGAAGTAGTAGCGGATTCGACGTTTGATTTGACCACTCCAGAAGAGGTTCTTTTGTGTCGGGGACTTGCAGTGAGCGGTTTGTCCTGGGGCGAGATTGGCGGAGTGCTCTGTGTGAGCGCTACGGTATGTGCGGCGTCTCGGGCATGTGACGGCTTTCCGCTCTGGTGGCTCTGGGATTGTGCGTCGGTTGAACGGATTGCTGGAGGTGGTAAGGCAAAGATGGATTCCATCTCTGAAGCCTGAAATGCCTTCAAGCTTTCCAGCGCTTTCAGGTCAGATGAGCCAGTTGGAGTGGGCGGCAGTTTTGGCCGTGGCATAGTTGAGCAATGAGGCGGTCGAACAAGAGGTCCACAATCAGGAATAAATCGAAGAGTCTGTTGGATCAAAGTCAACACGAGGGGTGATCAGGTCATATAAGACGAAGAGGTCGTGATCCAGGCTTCTCAAACAGAGGCACGCGAGGAGTCTGTATCCGGGGTTCTGGGAAAGTGTCCCAACGTTTCACGGCGGAACAGAGATGGCCAACACCCTGCCGCAGCGCATAGTGAGCGAGAGGGAGGGACGAGGGGAGTATAGAGACAACGACGAGGTATTTAGTGAGGACGGTAGGGGAGAGGACTTGGAAGGATAGGGAACAACACCAGCAAAGTTGGGAAAAATAAGAACCAAGTGTTGCAATGTGCAGTTCAGTCCGAAACATCAAACGTCGAGATTTCAGGATGTGGGCACGTGTATCTAGCACCGTGAGCACACGACACCCGTGGCCGACCCTCGTGTGGTCGCCGTGATAGGTGATAGGAGCAGAGCAAACCAGCCTAACAGTGCCTCGGAGCCCTGGAGCCCTCGTGCGTGGTGGGCGGAACGGTCAGTGGCTGCTCAGGCATCTGTGACGGAGGGGCGTCTAGCAGCAAGGCCCCGGTTTGAGATTTCGCGTGCTGAGAGAGACGGATAGACAGACAGAGGAAAGCGGAGGGACGCGTGAGAAAAGGAAAAAGGTGGTGAGAGACGTCGCCCAAGCCGCACGTTCTAGCAGAAATCAATGCGATTGGATCCTACCAGAGATTTCCGCCACTTGTGCTCGGTACCTCGTGTGTACTTTATAGTGCGCACTGGCCTCACCCCGCCTTCATCTGGGCGAACAGATACGGAGGGCAGCCCGGGCTGGCATAATGCATGTGATTCCCGCCATCCGGCTCGTGGATTGTTCACGGTGCAGTGCATGATGGATCAAGATAGCTATTTTGGGGGTATCATGTGTTTTGGGATTTTCCCTATACTAGGAAGTTGTATGTCAGACGCAACAACTGGATCAATATATACTCGGTTATTGCTATCGGCGCCGTGGTCAATGGTCATGCGCGGGCAGTGCTGCCCATGTCCTCTGCTTTTTGCCCCCATTGCTAACGCCGTGCGACGGATTCCGGTCGCTTGAAATGCACCTTCAATGGCTCCCAAGAATGCGCATTGTACGTCTAATGCGAATGTTAGCTGTGGCTCCAATCGACGGCACATTCTGGCCCCAAGAGCAAAACTCACCTCTTGCACCTTCTGGCAAGTCTTCAACCCCCATTCGGTCACGCCAACCATCAAACAGCTCTCAAACATGAAGGCCATGCTGCCCTCGCCCACCTTTTGGGGCGGCAAATCCATCGTCGACGCCTTTTCAAACGTCTGCATGTCGGGTCCATGTCCGCTCATCGTATTATGTAAACTCGCTCCTGCGGGCTGGAATCCTCCCTTGCCAGCCCCCTTGGCATCATAGCTCCCCATAATCAACCCCATGAACTCGGACATGGTGTTGCGATGGTACCATGGAGGCCGGAAGGTGTTTTCGGCCACCAGCCATCGAGGCGGGAAGATGACAAAGTCCAGAACAGCCGTTCCCGCCCCATGGGGATGTGACGGCGCAGATAGGACGGTAAAGATGGAAGGGTCAGGATGGTCGTACGAGATGCTCCCCACAGGGTTGAACCGGCCCAAGTCGTACTTGTAAGGATAGTAGGTGCCATGCCAGCCAACGATGTCAAATGGGGTGTGAGACTGCTTGGCCGAGAACAGGTTCCCTCCGAATTTGCCGTACAAGGTCCATTCCGTGTTCTCGTAGTCCTCGATGAAGTCGGCCACCGGTGTCTGGAAGTCGCGTGCGTTGGCCAGACCATTGGAACCAATGGGACCCAACTCGGGCAGTTTGAAGTGGCCTTGGTACAGCTCGCAGATGTATCCTCGCGCGGGCTCGTTGTTATGCACTGTTACGTGGTAGCGAATCCCCCGCGGGATGACGCAGATTTCATTCGGTCGCACCAGCATCTTGCCAAATTCGGTTCGGATGTCGAGCACCCCATGTTGTGGAACGATCAAGAAATCGCCGTCGGCGCTGTAGAATGCCGTCTTCTCGGGCATGCTGCTGCCGCAGGCGTAGATGTAGATGCCCAGGCCTTGTTTCATGGTGGGATCACCCGCACCAGCCACTAGATGCAGGGAGTGGATCCATGACACCTCGTTGTCAAAATCAAAGGGGTCCCATCGCAGCTGATTTGGGATCGCGTTGAAGTGGGTGCCGAAACTGGGGGTAGGGGAGATGAGGGACTGCGAGGAAGAAGACGGGACAGGTTGGAAGTTCTGGTGGCTAGCAGAGGGAAGAATGCGGTACAGCCATGTCTGCTGGTTTTCGTCGCGCGGCGCAGTGAAGGCCGTGCCAGACAACTTCTCGTTGTACAGGCCGTACGGGCATTTTTGAGGAGAGTTCGCCGCTACAGGCAGCGTGCCTGGAATAGCTTCACTCCTACGAAGAACAGTGTTAGCCAAAAAGCAGACTAGAGGAGGAGATGCTAAGATCCATACTCTTTGTATCCCCCGAACCCATTCAGATATTCGTACGTGTCGGTCACAGCGAATTGGGTTACAGGCATCGTCGATGGCTTGCTCGTCGGTGAACGTATTCACGTTGCGAACTGGAAGGAGAGAAAAGAATCCAAGGTTAGCCGTCCCAGTTCTCGAGCAACGGCGTGAGAAGGTGGAGGGGAGTGTAATTAAGAGCAAGGCTGACAAGGGGAGGAGAGCCGAGGAGATGACGGAATTGACTTACTGGTGAGAGGCGTCTTGTACTTGATGTTGATGTCCTTGTTCTCCCGATGCCTTTCGATGGCTTCTTGCAAACGTTTGAGGCCCTGCATGAAGGGCGGTATTGTTGTATGACTACCTGGAGGAAAGAATGGTAGAGTGGTCAGAGAGAAGAGTGCGGAATGGTCTGTGAAGAAGTGAGGGACTGATTCCGTGGGGAGGAATATGAATGAAATGCAGAGGCCCCAAGTTGCGTTCAGCCTGAGGATGGATCATGGATTGCGAAGCGCAGGAAGTGGATACAACCCCAAAACAATAGTGCAGCGGCGCTAAGACCCAGTTCGCGAACAGGGCGAGAGATGCGATGGCCGATATGGGGGGGGACCACAATGACCACGACGACAGGGGAGAGTGACAGCGCGAATAATGACATGGCGGCCTCCCACAGACCGCAGACCGTGAACTCGCCTGGCACTCAACTGCGAGACCTGTGTGCTTGTTTGGTTGGACGGGCATCCCCGCAGGCACAGCGTACAGCTCTCCAAGTCACCATATCCCACAGTACATAAAACACGAAGGACGGCGAAGAAATTTCGCTGCAACAGGCCAAGATGAGGATAGAACGGAAGGAGTGGGATGCCCGTCCGAGAGAGGAATCGGGCCTGGCAGCCAGCGCGGCTGTGAATGGGTGAGATCAAGCCACTGGGGCCCGCGCACAGACATGGATGGCGGAATGAGGCGTAGGTTTGTCCTTTGGGCTTGGACTCTCAACAGTGCGGGATGCCTGCGTGCACCCTGCGTCAAGCCCCCGAGGTAAGTTTAGCAGCTAGCTTTAGGCACAACGACGACCGCGTAGTGGCTCTCATGGACGGTGGGGCGATCGCCAGGGCGAATTGAGACGCCCAGAGAAGATCCCGATGCCAGGCCAATGCGCCAATCCCCTGCCTCCTGTGCCGACCTTCCCGCTAAACAGCCCACCCACTTTTGGTGACTGTGGTTTTCCTGCTCAGTGACGCTTTGGCCAAATGCATTGCGCATGCACCCCTCACCACCTGGCGAACCAGCTTCTAAGCGAGGGGTGTGAGAGTGAGAAGAAGTCGTAGGGGGTCATTGTGGTGAGCTGATGTCTTCTGATCAGTGCAAAAGAAGGAAAGAAGGGTGGAAGGACGCCGTCGTCCGCTGCTGAAATTAGCTCGCCTGAGGTTGATGCTGTTTTGGTGTCGGCTGCGCAATATTCGCGGATGGACAGTCAGGTTGTAAGATGCTGGTGCTGATGCTGCTGCGGCCTGGACGGCCCTGGATGGCTGCTGGCCCTCAGTGGTTATTCTGGCCGCCCCTGGGGAAATGTATGGGCGGTCGGGCAAATCGGTCCTGGGGCGACAATCTGCCTGAAGATCTGCGGTGGATGGCCTGTCGCTGGGCGTTGAGGGGAGCGCAGGCTGCCCCGTGCAGACCCCCCTCCACGACGAGTTATGCCCTTGCACGAGCCAGAAGAGCCTACCCGGTACTGTAACCCAACCACCATTCCGAGCAGTGCTTCATGTTTCTCCAACACCAAGAACAATAGCTAACCACCATCCCGCTCTATGACGCCAGTTGATCGTCGCTCTTTGGATCGCCATCGTCATTGACTTTGTGTGGTTCTCGAATGCTCACGCCTGGTCCAGAGCACGTTGTCGGCACGGATGGCTCACGACGACCTCAGCATGGGAAAAATAGCCTGAAATCCTGGAAACTCTCCCCCAAGAACGAGTCTTGGTTCCTCAACAGATTGCAGCGTCCCTCGTATCTTCCGGGAAGTGTCGAATTCTCTAGAAGCTCTCGGCAATGAATTGCTTTACGAGGTGGCGAAAAAGCAAGCAACTGGCATCCAAGCTCTCGGAGAAAAGCTGATTTGAATTCTCCCATCCAAAGGTCAGAAAGGTCAAGGAGGCAAGTCTCGCCGGGTCGGGCGGCCGGCTGCTCGTACAACCCTCAAATGGGTCGCCTTTAGAGATTCCCCATCCCATCGCCCACTATCCGAGTCACAATGTTATGTTCAGGCTCAGCGGAATGACGCCGAGTGGCATCCAAGTCCACGGAGAGGACAAGAGGCCTGGCCAATCACGGTATCCAACAGGTTTGCGAGGAGGGGCCCCTGGATTTCAGCGGCATCGGAGTTGCGACCGGAAGGTGGCACATACATACCAAGCCATTTTGCCCTTATCAAATCTGCATAGCGGACCCAGGCAGGAAACTAACTTGAACACAGAGTTGCACAAATCACAAATATGCTGATTCTTGCGGGTAGCGCAAACTTGATTGGGCGAGTTTGAACCAACACCGAACGAAGAGCTAAGCTATCACTTACTATGCGCGTTTTCCATCCTGTCCCTCCTCCACTGTTCCAAGAAGTCCATTGCCACCTGGATGATTTCGTTGCGTTGCCACCAAGGGACGTGTTGCGTCGCATGTAGACGTCGACCCGACATCGTCGTCGTCTAACTGGAAGAGGTTTGATGCCGAGAGCCTTGTTCTGCGTGCCCGCCCCCTGAATGCAACCGTCCGACGGTGCCGAAAGAAGACGCGGATACTCGGTCTTGAAACGTATCGCTATGTCGGACTGGCTCGGATTGGGAGAACCTGAGTTCCGAGGAGAACGATGTAAGATCTTGTTAAAATCTATGCATGCGTCAAACTGGACTGTGAGGACGCGTAAGGTTCTCGGGCTTATGCTTGGACGTGAAGGGATAACGATGAGATATCAACTTTGAGAGAACACAAACACATACAATAGTTGAAAGCAATCTATTTTGCCATGGAGTTTTACGTCAAGATCTGTTTCAAGACTTGCGATGCGGGTAATTAACTATTTGTAGGCAGCGCTCAAAGCTCAACATGTTCCTCAACAGGTCCTCACAACAGATCAAGCTTCCTTCATTCTAGGTCGCGGTTCCACGAGACGAGGACCGAGACGGGCAAACTTTGGGGCTGATGTGCCTTACCAGTGGCAACTCAAAAGCGAAGCTTTGGATGCAAAAAACCCTTTCTAGCTAAGAACTCCCGAGCAATGAATGAATGCACATCCTGCACCATGGACAAAACAAGCCTGTCTCTCAGGCAAGATAAGGAGAGACAAGGCTCCAAACTCAATAGGCCGACTCCTTCCCTAGACGACAGACCCCATGGGCTCGTGCATAGGAGTATCTCGTTGCAAATATCAAAATGCTTAAATGGGGCCTGTTCTCCGCCCGCGTCCGCAGTATTACTCGAAGCTGCCCGCCTTCCAAGCCGGGAAGCCTTACAAATTCCAGCGGCAACGCATACTTTCACGTCAATCCTTTATTCAATTTTTCCCCCTCGAGGCAAGCTAGAGGTTTTTTTTCTTTCTTTCTTTTTAGAGGTCCTTGGTCCGATCATCACTCGCGCGGATCCATCGCTCCAGCGCCTCTTTATTGCGCACCCGGAAACCGACCTTGAAAGGTTTTGGCTCTGTCGTCAGCGCGGTCGGGATGCTGTTACACTCGATGGCGTCGAGGACGGGCCAGTCCTTGGAATCCCTGGCGGGAACAAACTCAAATGCCACAATCATGCGCAGGAAGGCCGTGTAGATCTCGCGGTTCGCCAAGTGCGAGCCCACGCACATTCTGCTGCCCGCGCCGTAGCCGTAATGGGGGGTCCCGCTGCCCTCTTGGTCGTTGAGATACCGTTCCGGTATGAATTTGGCGGGGTCCTTGAAGTGTGTCTCGTCGTAGTCGGCGGCCCAAGCGTTCATGTAGAAGACGCTACCGGCGGGAATGGTCACGTCATTGTATTTGATGTCCTTGATGCTGGTTCTGGGCAGGCAGACGGGGATGACGGTGAAGTACCGGAGAATTTCCTTTGTCAAGGCCGTGATGTACGGGACCTTTTCCTCAAGCAGGCATTTCTCCCACGCCTCGCCGTCTTCTGGATAGACTTTCATAATCTCCTCATAAGCCTTTTTCTGGATATGTTGACCCTCTGGAGAGGCGAGATATCCAAGACCCATGATCATGTTGCCAGGAACGGTATCAATGCCGGCCGACACCATGGTCAAGCAGATGGACTTGAGTTCGGCTTCATTGAGTGTTTCTTCAGGGTCCTTGATGATGTTTCCAGTAATGCAAGGCCTGTCGGTACCATTTGCAATTCGCTCCTTGAGCATGTTCAAGAAGGTGGTGAGATACTTATCCCGACGCTCTCGGTACTCTGCAGCTGATTTGTTCTGGCGAGAGATGAACGGCAGTCGGAGCAGAGGAATGTAGTCTTGCCAGTTATTAGATGTACTACGGAAGTTCGAGACCACTCGTTCGACGTGAACCACTGGGCGGAATTGTTAGTATGCAATCTGGAGTTTGTTGAAATAGACTCACCCTCTCTGAGCAGTTCTTGATCAATCCCTCCGTCAATCCGGATGCCATAGTTCAACGTCAAACTAGTGTTGAGGGCAAACCGATGGAAGTACTTTCTCGGATCCAAATCGAGCGTTCCGTTCATCGAATCCTTGTACATGTCCTTGATGGCGACGCAGCTCTCTAAATCGATAAATGGCATGTAGCTCTGCACCGCGGGCTTGTTCAGTGCCGTGGCTGCCACCTTGCGCCGTCTCTTGCAGGACTCATCCCAAGGCGAGGTTCCAATCGTGAAGCCCTGGCTGCTTGAAACGACGTTGTGGAAGGTGTACAGCGTCGGTCTGGAGATCAGAGCCGACTGGTTGGTGATCCAAAAGTGCTTGACCGATTCGAATGTGTTGGCCCAGATGATGCGGCGGTTGCCCAAGCGGGTCTGGAAGACCGGCCAGCCATATTCCTTTGCCCATCGAGCGGTGACACGTGCATGGTCCTGGCCCAGTTGGAGCAGATTTCCAAACAGTGGCACGCCTGGGATTTCAGGGAGGCCTTTGATCTTGGGCTGGTCGGTCGAGTTCAGATAACGGATCAGAAAGTAGCCCAGCGTGAGAAATACGAAGGAGAGAGTTGTTGGTGACAGCGTGACAAGCATCTTGGCCGTGGTTTTGGGGTCGGTTCACGCCAAACAGAGATAGCTCAATGTCTTCGAGGCGAATGTCTCTTGCCGTGATGATTATTCGGTGATATGGTCCACAGAGCAGAGGAGCCCTGCGCCTCTTCCGATGGAAACAAGACAGATATCGAATCCAACGTGAGATCAGACACCCCCAGAGGAATGTGGTAGACGCTGCTGATGCCGTGAGAACTGAAGATGGAGATAGATTTCTCAAAATCCAGACGACAGTCTTTCTCAATTATATCCTCCTGGCACGCTGCCCTCGTTGGATGAGATTCCTGGAGGAAACTCGGACAGAAATCCTCTCTCTTTCAGCGCTTACCTTCGGTAGAGTGGCCTCTGTGCAGTTGTCTCACAAGGGGCCTACAGCGAGAGGGGTCATCCGCACACAGCACACAAGGTGGAGAAGACGGAGGGCTCGCAATGTCCTCCTGGGCGGAATGAAGCCGCTTCATCGTCATTTCATCGACCATGTCCATGGCCAATAGTGCGGGAGACGTGGGGGACAACGAAACGTGGAATACGGGAGGAATCTGGGGAATCGCCTTGGACCAAGCAAACTAAGGAGCTTAGCGAGTGGGTGTACGGAGTAGCTTCCTCTCACTATGACCTACGTAAATAGTTAATTTGTGTATACTGATTGGATGCGCACTCGAGCCTCCATGTAGTAAGTACTCTACGAGCAGAAGCGGAATTGCGTGGTCACCACTAACTTTTCATTCTCTAACCATGCCAATGCGGCACTGCTATGCTGCTCAGATCTTAGGAGCAGGCAGGATCTTGCCCGAACACTCCCCGAAGCCCACAAGCCCAGATTCCTCTGTGCCGCACACCCCGTACATTGTAATAGTATCTCCGTCCTCCAAGAACTTCCGCTCCACTCCTCCATTCAGCTTGATGCTCTCTTTCCCGCCCTTTGTAATTTCGAGCATGCTTCCTTCCGTGCCTGCTTCAGTACCGCTGATTGTGCCGGACCCGAGCAGGTCTCCCACCGCCATGGGGCATCCACCGATTGAGTGATGGGCTAGCATCTGCGGAAACGAGAAAAGCAGGTTGCGGCCGTTCGAATTCAGGATGGTGGTCGTCGATCCGCTCTCCGCTGTTGAATGTCCTTGAGTCAGTCTCCAACCATACTTTGAGCTCAGCGCCTCGGGTGTCAAACTTACGTGTGATATCAACCTGTAATCGAATGTCATACACGTTGTTTTCTGCCTTCTCCTGTAGATACGGCAGCAGATTCGTCTCATTTGGGATGCCCTTGCATCGAAACGGTTCCAGTGCATCAGTCAGCACCACCCAAGGGCTGATGGTGGAGCCAAAGTTCTTGGCTAAGAACGGTCCCAGCGGAACGTATTCCCATGCTTGAATATCTCGGGCTGACCAGTCATTGAGCAGCACGAAGCCAAAGATATAATCTGCAGCCTCAGAAATGGGGATGTTGGTGCCCATTTTGTTGCCCTTGCATAGGAAAGCGCCGAGCTCTAGTTCGATATCAAGTCTCCTGCAGGCGCTGAAGATGGGTATCTTCGGGGTTGCGGCGGGATTCTCCAGGATCTGGCCATTGGGTCTTGTGATTGGAGTGCCTGAAATGACCACAGACGAGGCTCGCCCATGGTAGCCCACGGGCAAATGCGTATAGTTGGGTTGGAGGGCGTTATCGGGTCCTCGAAAAAGGCATCCAACATTGAAGGCATGGTTCTTGCCGGCGTAGAAGTCCGTGTAGTCGCCAATATGCATTGGCGTGTGCATCTCGACTTGCTCGCGGGGGATCAGGCACTTTCCCTGCAGGGGTTTGTTGCTTTGTAGCACACTCGCTAGGGATGTGTTCTCAACAAAAACATCCTGGAGGTATTTCCTCACCGAGCGATGAACCGGTCTTCCTAATGCCGCGAAGTCATTGAGAGTCGGCTTGGAGAAACACGAGACGTCAAATCCAAGCGAAGAAAATGCGCCTGATGCTGCAAATTCCTGAAGGTCCAAACAGTGTTCCCCAATAGCCACAGCCGGGTGCGGAGTGGACTTGGATGCCGTCGAGATGATCCCGAACGGTAAATTGGCCAAAGAGAAATGGCTCGACTTGGGGATCGGAAACCATGACTTGAGAGACGCCATCCTGACTGTCTGTGTTTTTTCCTTCCTAGCTCGGAGTTCTTCGGTGGTGTGAGGTTCTTCAGAAATCAATTCTGTTCTTGTTCAGTGGATTGTTTTCCCATTAAGACTTGGAGTGCAAAGCAGGAGCCCCAGTCGTCAGAGGCGGGCAGTTCGGAGGAAATTCCGTCGTCGTTTCCGGAGTCGCGGCTGCACAGACTAGACGCTTCTCAGGAGCCGATTCGTTATTTAAGTTGCCAGTCCCAGGGACTTTGGGCTGGTTAGATGGCCCATAGGGACCGCATAGCAGGGAGGCTCGTTCTGCTCGAATGGATGCCGCCAAGGGCAGTAAGTGAGGCGCCATTCCCCCCCTCAATGGCTGAAATTGGAACAACTTGGAGGTTCCTGGCCAATGCTTTGTATGAAAACGAGACAGTTTCGACTTACTTTGAGCTCCTTTCATCAACAGGAGCAGCCCTGCTGGAGGCATCCTGGTGTTCTTTTCTGTCGTGTCCTCATGAGAAAGGGCGGTGGCCAAGGGAAGGAGAGGAAGCAGTGGGCAGAGCGGGCCAAGTCCCAAAGAAAAAGGGCGCAGTCTGACAAGCACGAAACCAACGTTGCACACTGCGAGCAGGTTCAGAGCACGCAGGATCTCGGTGGGATCTACCACCAACATCCTGGATGCCGGATGCATATGTCCTTGTCAGACTGCTGCATACCATACATACTTGACGAATTCGATCAACGGCACGACTTCCAAATCAGACCATGACGACATGGCGGAGATTCTCTCGCTGGAAATCAGTTGAAAATGAAATATGAGTAAGGATGCCTCGTACAGAGGATAAGTCGTCTCGGTGATCAAGCATAGAAAACCCATTCCCCCTCTTTGCTCCTCCATCGCTTGTCGAGCTGCTGAAAGTGTCATATCTTGAAATGACCCATCGAGCCAGCATGCCCCAGACCTCATCAGCCTACTCGACGCCAAAATGGTGGAAAGAAGCTGTCGTCTACCAGGTCTACCCGTCGTCCTTTCAAGACACCAACGGCGATGGCTGGGGCGACGTCAAGGGCATCACCGCTCGGCTCGACTATCTCAGGCGACTGGGCATCGACATCGTCTGGACGTCGCCCATTTATAAATCCCCTCAAGCTGACATGGGCTATGACATCGCAGATTACAAGGCCATCGATCCCATCTACGGCTCCCTCGAGGATGTAGACAATCTCATTGTTGAGCTGAGACAGAGGGACATGAAGCTCATGATGGACCTGGTGGTCAACCACACGTCCAACATGCATCCCTGGTTCCTGGAGTCTCGCTCCTCGAGGACAAACCAGAAAAGAGACTGGTATATCTGGAAGCCGCCCAAGTCGGTCAGCGACGCCGGCGTGCCAGAACCTCCCAATAACTGGGCCCAGATTCTAGGTGAAGCAAACTCGGCATGGACCTACGACATCGTGACAGGAGAATACTACCTTTCGATATTCACCCCCGACCAACCCGACCTTAACTGGGAAAACCCCGACGTCCGTGAGGCAGTGTGGGACGTGATGCGGTTCTGGCTTGACCGCGGCGTTGCGGGCTTCAGACAAGACGTCATTAATATGATCAGCAAGGTCCCAAGCTACCCGGACGCCCCCATCGTGCTCGATCCCCAAACGCACAAATATCAACCAGGGACCCAGTTCTTCGTGAACGGGCCCAAATTGCACGACTACCTCCGGGAAATGAACCGAGAAGTGCTCTCAAAATACGACACCATCACCGTAGGCGAAATGCCGGGCGTGTCGGACGAAGACGAAATCCTCCGCACGGTTGGTGCGGAAGCGGGCGAATTGAACATGATCTTCATCTTTGACGTGGTGGACATCGACAAGCCGAATGTGCGGATGGCGCTGAAGCCGTGGGCCGTCAGGGAACTCAAATCCATCATCACTCGGTGGCAGCGGTGTATGATTGAAAAGAATGGGTGGAATACCGTCTTCATCGAGAACCACGACAATCCACGCAGCGTGACTCGGTACACGGACGACAGCGACGCGATGCGCGACAAGGGCGCCAAGTTGCTGGCGCTCTTGCAAACAACACTGGGTGGGACATTATTCGTGTACCAGGGCCAGGAGATCGGGATGCGCAACGCCCCGACGGATTGGGACATTGACGAAGAATACAGGGATATTGAAACCATCAACTACTGGAAGAAGTGCCAGCAGATGTACAAAGACAACCCGGAGCGGCTCGAGCAGGCGCGCAAAATCATCCACCTCAAAGCTCGTGACCACGCGCGCACGCCTTTTCAGTGGAACACCTCCTCCAACGCGGGATTTTGCGACGCCGGGGTGAAGCCCTGGATGCGGGTCATGGTCGACTTCAAAAAAGGCATCAACGCGGAAGACCAGATGAAGAAGAACACAGAAAGTGATGAAGATAGTGGTATTGATGACGAACTCTCGACATGGCAATTCTGGCAGCGAGGCATCTACTCGCGCAAGAACCACGCCAACGTCTTCGTCTACGGCGACTACCGAGAGATCTCGCCCGACGACCCCAACGTCCTCGCTTATGTCAGGAGCAGCGCCACCGCTACCGCTGGTGGTAGAGAACGGTGGCTGGTAGTCTTGAACTTCTCGGGCAAGGACGTCGAGTGGACGCTGCCGGACATTGTGCAGGTGGTGACCTGGGCCACCGGTACCTACGATACCAGGCACCAGCCCCAGAAGCCCCTGGAGGGCACGATTCCGCTGAGGCCATGGGAAGGATTGCTAGCCTTGTGCAGGAGTAGCTAGAAGGAAGTTAGAAAAGAAGCAGACAAACAGACAGACAGATAGATATAGATTGGTCCGTGAATTTCGAAGAGATGGATGATGTTATGAACAGTGGTCGTTTCCGCTCCGTATCGAGTCAGCATCTGTCTTCAAGGCCAGACCCTGCTTGCTAACATTGTCAGTACGGAGAAAGGCTACGCGTGCCATTATTGTTTTCACGAGCCATCAGTCAGAAGACGTATCGATCGATCGCAATCAGAACCAGGCAAGCGAACCAAGACATCCGTATTCAAGCCACCTGCCTGGTCCCCACTGCGTCGTCGTCGTCGACGATGAGGAGGGTAGTGACCTTCCCCAAGAGCAGGAACGTACCTAGGTACATAACTTAGTCTTTCATTGTAAGCGAAGGGCGTCTTCAACTTGACAGTGAATGGGTTATTGGTATAGAGATACCCTCTATTAGCAATCAACCCCAATTGATAACTTGAGCATATTGTCAACTTATCCTAGGCATCCTCTTACCGTCCAGCTTACAGTCCCCTGCCGAAGGGTGCTTGTGCTTGAACAGGACGCCCGCCAGACTCTTCCATCATCGTCCTCCCTTCTGTCAATTCGGCCGCACGCCTGCACGCTTCTTGCCATCGGTCAGCCATCTCTGGCATCAGGACACACCCAACTGCTTGGATAGTAGATACTCATGGCAGTATGCGGCGGAATTCTTCCTGATCAAGGCGCGTTGCTACCTGCGGACCAGTACAAAAGACGTCGAGCAAGAGGTCGAGTAAAGACTTGAGTTTCAAGTTGTGGTGCGTACGTTGGTCGCCGCAGAAATCAGTATGATGTCCTCAAATGCCCATAAAGGGAACGATTCCGCTCCCTCCCTGGTGACCGCCCGTCGAAACTAGAGAGGAAGCCTCGTTACCCATAGGGTTGATAGTCGAGATGTGAGACGAAAACACACCGAATCCTTCATAAGAGCCAGATATAGAGATCCTAGAGGGAGTCTGGCCATGATGCTACTCCCACAGCGTCCGTTGAACCACTTAATTTTAACGGATCCTGCGAGAACGATCCACGGCAAGGTTTTGATAGGACCACTTCGCACAGGGGTGTTCCTGCTACAGACGATAACGCCCGGCGATATGTTTCGTTTCGAGGTCGACCTCGTTCCACATCGGGATGCCGGATCGGAAGATGTAACACAAAGTTTGTTTTTAGAAATTGCCATTCCAAATCCACGGATCCGTGGAGGCGAGGCTAGTATCCAGCTCCTGTGTGGTCGTGATGAACGGGTGATGGTCAAGGATCCTTCGCCTGGTTACGCGCCAGCATTTGTCTCCTGAGCCACTTGTGCTCGTTATCGTGTCTCCCCTCAGATAGATTCTCGCGTTCCGACAGAATGGCTACCAGATACACTCCTCCTTCTTGAATAGTGGTTTCTTGCGTCTCTCGCTTAACGATCTGGGCCACAGGAGTGTCGGAACCGTGCATGTGTGTCGGGATCCACGGTTCGAATTTCTGCAAGGCCCCGAGAAAGACATACCCCTCAAGGAAGGTTTCGATGCTTTTTAGCTCCTTGCCTCTCGGAACAGCCTCCAACCCACCCAACGAGAGTGTATACGAATGATGAGAAGCATTCGGAAGCGATGAACCGGAGCATGATTGGTTGAACAAGCATCCATCTCAGGGGCGCGGCTTTCATCCGTTACGCCTCGTGGCAAATTCCGCACTGGCTTTGTCCCCCACAGTTTCTGGCAAAACCTTTGCTAGCCTTGACATGCATGACCCCGACTTAACAACAGATGAGCCACTCAAACCGAGCCTGAGGGCATGCGCCGAGACGCGCTTGGATGTTGTTGGCAAAGTATGCCACGGTGCCCGGACCGATAACCTGGACCCCGTTTTGTTGGAAGCTCAGGGACCACTACCCCAGTCTTTTCTAACCCAGGCGGGTACTTTTGCCGTTAAGTCACTCCTTACGGCAGTCGATCGACAAGGTGGTAGGGCCCTGGGACAAGCAGAAGTGCTCGCCTAGGGAAGCTGTAGAGGCCCTCCAATTGTACGTGAGAGGGATTCTTGCTCGAAACCAACCAGATTGTGCTTATTCGCGGTGTTCACATAGAGACCAAGGCCATGCACATGTGGAGAGGTGCCATTGAGATCCAGAAAAATCCAAGCATACCTAGCTTCCTAGCTCCATTGCTCCATAGCTCCATGCAACCCCAGGTCTGGGGAAGATTGACTGGACGCCACAGAGCGGAATCGACTCGTGACAGCTGTTCGGTAGTAGTTTCGGTCTGCTAGCGTATTCAGCATCAATCAATTTCCTGCATGGGGAGCCAGGTGGATAGGAAAATGTGATAAAATGCGACCAGCGCCCCGTTGAAATCTGGGCCGTCAGCAGCTTCGAGACTCGACCTTTGTGACTGTCTTGCCATCGTGACCTCAAGGTTATCGCTGGTCTCCCCTTTTTGGCCCTTTCTTCTCCCGTTCTGTGAACTGACGCAGCAATCAATCCCAATGGCGGACAAGACCATCAACAAATCCGAGATCGAGGACGTTCCTGTCGGTCAAGAGATGCAGGAGGTCACCAGCCTCAGTATCAAGGGCGAGGCCCAAGAGATAGATCGCGCTCTTGAGAAGAAAGTCCTTCTGAAGACCGATCTCAATCTTGTTCCCATCCTCTTCCTCCTCTTCCTCTGCGCCTTTATTGACCGGTATGTGTTTTGAAGATCCCCTGCCACGATCCTTCAATTGACAGCTCTCGTCCCTTAGGATCAACATCGGCAATGCCCGCATCCAAGGCTTGGAGGAAGACCTCAACATGGCGGGTCAAGACTACAACATCGCGTTGTTCATGTTCTTTATCCTGTATATTCTCTTGGAAGTCCCCTGCAACCTCATCTTGAAGAGAGTGCGCCCGTCCATCTTCATCTCGTCCATAATGCTTGGCTGGGGAATCGTCACAATCTGCCAGGGTGTTACTCAGTCCTTTGCCGGCCTTGTCGTCTGTCGAGTCGTCATCGGCGCGTTGGAGGCTGGTTTCTTCCCTGGGTGCCTCTACTTGATCTCAATGTCAGCCCGAATCAAAGCCCTCTGCATTCTGCCAGACAGTGCTGACAGACAACAGGTTTTACAAGCGTCACGAACTCCAATGGAGGTTCAACCTTTTCTTTTCTGCCTCCATTGTTGCGGGGGCTTTCAGTGGCCTTCTTGCGTACGCAATTGCTCACATGGATGGCATCGCAGGATACAGCGGTTGGAGATGGATCTTCATCTTAGAAGGCCTCTTCACTGTGATTGTAGCCGTTTTTTCATTCTGGATCGTCCCAGACTGGCCGGAGACTGCCAAATTCCTGAAGCCTGCCGAGCGGGAAGTCCTCATTCGTCGGCTGGCGATGGATGTTGAAGGTGCCAATATGAGCCACTGGAATAAGAAAACAGCCAAGCGCGTCTTCAGCGACGTCAAGATATACCTGGGGTCAGTCCACTTTTGAGCCCGTGTTTGTTCCTGGAGAGACGAGACTGACTGTACCCAGCATTGCAATGTATCTCGGTATTGTCACCACCAGCTACAGTGGCGCCTTCTTTACTCCTACCATCCTCAAACAACTCGGATGGACCTCGATTCATGCGCAGGTCATGTCTATTCCTATCTTCATCTTTGCCGCCTTTTGTGCTTTGACATGTGCCGTCGTAAGCGACAAGCTTCGCCATCGCTTTGGATTCATCCTAGCCGGCTGTCTTGTGGCAACCATTGGCTACGCAATCTTGTTGAACATGCACCAGTGAGTATCCCTAAGCCATGGACCAGTGCCGCAGTTATCCTTCTTCCACCGCTCTCTCACTCTCGAGATATATTTTCGATGCTAACAACAAACTAGCGTGAGTGTCGGAGTCAGGTATTTCGCCTTGTACCTTATCGTCGGGGGTGGATATATTGCTCAGCCAATTACTCTTGTGTGGCTGAATAACAACGTGTCTGGTCACTACAAGCGTAGTGTCAGTGCTGCAATGATGGTCGGGTTTGGCAACTGCGGCGGCATCATTGCATCGTAAGTAAATTGTAGATACCTGGAGAGCGTGACTGACAAGCCGCTAGTAATATGTTCTTAACAAGTCAGGCTCCGGAATACCCGCTCGGATACAGTTTAGGATTGGGACTGGTCTGGCTATGCGTCCTTAGCTCGGTCATCTTCCTCTTCTATATCAGGCGAGAGAACAGATTGAGAGACCAAGGTCGGCGGGATGACAGGTATAATTTGCCGGACGACGAAAAGAATAACCTCGGGGACGACCATCCAGGTTTCCGCTTTACTTATTGAGCTCTGAGTTGGGAAGGTACCTCCATCGCAGCGTTTTTGCTCCACGGGGCCCGATGCAGGACGGAGGCCTGACGTTTGATGAACTGGAGCCCGGTGATCCCAAGAGCAATTTCAATAGAGAGGTTTAAGAATGGCAATTGTAGTCCATAGATTGAATCGACCAGACGGGTACAAATGGCAGACTTCGCTGGGAAGTTTTCATCACTAGAGACTGCCTGCTGGTCTGCCAAAAAGAGAACCTCTCGTTTAATCCGGATGCTCCGTCGGAGCGCTTCCACCAGAGACGCTCAAGGAAAAGGCTGACCTGATGGCGAGAACCCGCCAGCAAACCCTCTATAGTGGAGGTCCATCAGAGCCCGGCCAGAGAAGGCAAAAACTTCTTCATTGAAGGGCTGGTTAATGCTCAGTGGTGCAAGGAAAAGCATGGACTTCACATACTCTTCTGTCCAAGATATTCCTCCTACAACCATTCTCGTCATGGGGCTGCCCATGAGTCTTGCTTCAGCCAACTCAGTCTTCGTGGCATGGGGCAGGTTTTGGGACGTCTTCTGCTCTGTGATTCGATTCGGTGTGAACGATGGGTGTTTGTGAGGTCAATTCGAGCTGTCACTTTTCCAAACCATATCCAAGTCACGTTCAAATCACACATGTTTTGTTGTCCCGATGACATCGCCTCTGACTTTGTCCCAGTCGATGCTTTTGTCTAACTCTTCATCCACCAGCCCCACAATTGTGATGTTGTCGCCTCTCACCAGGTACAAGCCATGGCTGACCTGCGAGCTAGGTTCGGGATCGTCTGCTGGTCGGATGATGCGCTCGACGGTTTCGTTAAGGACGATGTTGGTGACTTGATCGCAGGAGAGAAGGGTTCCGACAAGAGTCCGCCCATCAGCTGTGATAACCAAGACTTTCTCTGCAAGGTGGAAGGGTCAGTGAAAGATGTGGTTAATTGGGGATGAGTGCACGTACTGTCAATGTAGGTTTGCAGAGACATGGCGACAGGACGGCTCAAAAAGGAACAATCGCAGGCACGAGAAGATGTCGACCAGAGGCAGAAACAAGGAGCAGGGAGGCGCCCGGACAGCGACTGCGTGGGTCGTGGGTAGATAGATTCAAGTAAGTCAACATCCAGTTCTCTACCGTTGATTGTGAAGGAAAACTACGCAGTACTGAGTAGTGCTCGGCGAGGCAGACTTTCAGCCTGGTGCAGCCTCGTCGCTGGTCAAGTCTGGCCAGCCAACCACGATCTCTTCCATTCGGGAAACACAAGGCACATTCCGCCACCCATCGTCATCTGTAATAATATCCCCCCTCAGCTTCCTGAGATCCGTAGAGCACAAGACAGTTTCTGCTTCATTCATAGCTTTTCAGTTGGGATATTGTAACTGAAGTAACAATGGCTATGTAATCGCCCCGACGACAACCACGGACTCAACCAGTGAACCAGAAGGCCTCCAAGCATAATATATTTCCCTCCCACCATACAAAACCATGGCTGCTGTGGAAGAGACTTCGTCTTCCCCAAGTCTAGAATCACTTCTTTCACTATGGCCAATTGCCTCTACGTTAAGCCAACATCTTCCGGTAGGCGATCTCATTACTCTGGCTCGGCTGAATGTTGCGCTGCGATCTCTGCTTCACGGATTTGAACCACTCGAGGAGGACACTTCGGTGCCACCAGAAGACTCTCGTTTCGTCCGGACCGGACTGAATGTTGGCCATCACGCGACGCCCTACTGGCAGCGCCTCAAAAACCAGTCGCCTTTTGAATGCTCTTCCCGCATCCACACCAAGGGGCCCCAACCGAAGCCTTGTCGGTACTGCTCGAGACCCATCTGCGATGCCTGTATCGTCCGCTCCTCTTTCGCCCGAGGCCATGAGAACACATTCCAAAACCGAGTGCGCTATCTTTGCAAGAACTGCTGGGACTCGGGGAATCCAAGCAGAACGCAACGTTTCCCGCTTGCTGGGCCCTCAGAGTCGACGTCAAAAAGGAAATGGTACGATCCCGATGGTAGCACGAGAGACTACTGCGCCTGCACTCTCAAGGACGATGGGTGGCTCTGTCTGGAGTGTAAAGACTCGCAAAACTGGGATGCCATATCCTGTGCCGACAGAGAGTGCCACGGTCAAGATTGTAAAGAATCCTTGGACGCAGATGATAAAGATCGAAGAAGAATCTGCCTCTGGTGCAACAAAGGCCTGCCCAGGCAAATCGGAGGCACGACTCGATACTACTGGAATCAGAAGATGATTGAGGCAAGGGCCCGAAACGCTGCGTCCCGCCAGGCAGACTTGGAGGAGTACAACAGGAGACGACTGAAACTAATGAGAATGTCGCGCCGAGAAATGCGAGGCGACGAGTCCGTCAAGGGCGATCCAGACGCAGACCTCCCACAATTCGTCAGGCATCTTGACACCATCAACTATCGAAGCTACATGTCCGAGTCTGAGGCGCCGAGTGGCGATGCCGTGTACGGTTCCAAGAGAGGCTACTGGAGGTACACCAGGGAGTTTCTGCTAAGGATGAGAGGACGCTGTGGGCAAGTTTCTCCACCCAAGCCACTGAATGTTCCCGAGAATAATATCGAGGGTGGACGCTTGCGCTTCGCTCGGACCAATGCAGAGAAGGCAGAGGACTTCTCGTCCCTTGTACAGGCGCTCCCTCGCATTCCAGACAAGCGCCTGGCAAAATGGTGCACTTTTAAAGCAGTCATTCTTGAGTATCTCCTTGTGGACAGACTTAGCTATCAAGCGGCGCAACAGAACATGCATGATGACTATGGGTTTAACGCCAGCATCGAAGAATATCACAAAGTCATGCGCATCTGGAATACCCAGGACGCAATCAGGAAGCACCGAAGGAAATCACTCGATCAAGAAGTTGCAGAAGCCATTAAAAGCAAAAATTACTCCCTCGCCAAGCAGCCGCGCAAGGTTATCGACAGGGAAGCCGTCTGGCTCGATGGAGACGGTGGCGACTTGGGCTCTCAGAGTTCGTCAGAATCATCTGACATAGATCCGGGCGACTATGAGTTCACGAGTTGGCGACGAAGCAGCGCCAACCAAGAACAACACACTAACCAAGATGATGAAGGCGAGTCCGCCCTGAGGAGGGAGATGAAGCAAGACCGAGAATCATCGTCAGCGCAAGCGCTTGCCCAGCCATCATCGTCACAGCCATTGTCAAGTTCCGAATCAGCTCCTGAGCCATCAAACAGTGACGACGGCGGCGGCGGCGTCGATGACAACACGACCGTCTCTGCTCTACTTCCTCGCTCCGCGGAAGCGGCGTCAGCCGATGAAACGCCTCTTGACCCATCATTCGATGGCGTGGTTGACTCGCTGCCACACCGCGAGCAAGACAATGAGGACAATCCGCCGCCATACACGGCTAATGGTTGGGTGTGGCCCGGAGAAGAAGGCCAGAACTTATACTGAGGAGCAGGGGCTTGCTTCAGCGGTTCTCAAACACGGACATCACGAGCATCAGAATGCTGGTGCTTTCTTCAGTCCCACGTTTTACACATGTTGAGAAGGCAATGGAACCCAGTTTCGGTCGGTAGCTACCTTCATGGTGGCCTCGCACGCCACCTACAAAAAAACAGATTACGCTGCGTAAATGCCAAACGAATGAATTTATATAACAGGCTTGAGCAATTTTGTATCCTCCTCTCCCTCAACCCTGCTCGTTATTCACAACCTGAAAGCGCCAGCTTCCCACCTGCTTGCAATCCTCGATCAACGGACCCAACTCCCTCAGTTGCATAGCCCCAACCTGAGATGACAGTAGACAGGAATACTTCTTTGCACTTCGCGGCTCATCGCTAGTGATTCAGGTTCCACAATGATCTGTACAAGTGTATATTGCACTGGGGAAGCGACCCAAAACCAAGCTTCTACCTACTTCCTCCAGTTCCGTTTGGCCCTTGACAGACAAGCGGAATGCTCGACCAAGAAACCACACATTTCTTCCCTCCAAATTCAACCCTCTGTTCATCGGGATGCAAACTCAAACATCCACATCCCAACGGCCACCACTGATATACTAGCCTCTCCATTGAGACTCCCTCATAATCTTGCACTGCTAAAGCGGCTTTTGCGCTTTGCTTGTACCGCCACTGCCCGTTTCATTCTACAGTTCTCCGTCGACAGCCGACATATCGACTCAACTTCTATAGGCCATGGAAACGGCTATTCTTGGCCGAAGCCAAGCGTTTCTTCGACTGCAGTGGAGAGTTTGCTCTGAAGGGCGTCGTAGGTCTTGTAGGGCGGAAGATCGAGGCGATTGAAGCTGGCTTTTGGTTAGCACATTTATCCACAGATCCCAACAAAGACCGGAAAAGAATGAAACATACCAAGTATGACTCTTCGGTAACGCGTTAACTTCACCGGCCTTCTCAATGGTAAACCTTCTAGGGCCGTCGCTACCTTGCAAATCCTTGAACCCATTGACAGGAATGCGACTGGTGCCTGTGGCGAACTGCAACAATCGAGACTTTTGCTCGGCATCCCAAGATCGAATTACCTTCCAGAAGTTTTGGATCACTTCGTCTTGTTCCTGGTATCCGCGGTAGTCGGTGTGTTTCTTCCAGTCATCCACGTCAATGTCGGCGATACCGCCGATCAAAAGCTCGAGTTCGCGCTCGTCAAAGACATTCACGAGATCAGCGGGGATAAGTTCGTTGAAGCCGGTGATGAAGGCATTGAATTGTTCTTCGACTCGCTTCTGGATCTTCCACTCTGTGAGGAGTCTAGAGAAAGTTTAGAATCTTCACCTTAACTTTGTGGAGATCAGGGCTGAGACTTACTCGACATATTCTCTCTTGTTCTCGTTCGTGACTGCAATATCTCGGCCACCAGGTTTCAGATCAATCGTCTTTGTTTCGCCGAATTGCTCATCCTCAATGGAGAAGGTTTGATCAAGGACATCAGTGATATCGTTTTCAAGCATCCAAGTCAAGTTCTTGTGGTATTCTTCATCCACGCCCTCCATATCGTTAATGGCAACTTTCTTTCGTAGCATCATCTTGTAAAAAGCTCCAATGAAGAAGGAGTCTAGGAACCGACGGTGGAAGATGGCAAGACCAACCACTCGTCCAATGAATTTGAAGTAGTTAAGATGCTCTGGGTTGATACCGGAATGAGGATTGATTTGTAGTGTATAGTTGTCGTGCGCAGAGTATTCGAATAGACAGTAGAACGGATTGAACATTTCATGCGAGAGAAGGAAGAAGAATTCGCTGGTCAAAATGTTAGCCATGTGGAGGATTAAAATGTCCCCGGGAGAGGGGGGGCCATGGTCCCTACCGAGAGAGGCCACCATAATCTAGCCCGTCTTCTCCGTCGAATTTGATCATTAGTCGTTTCTTGAGATCAGTCGCGCTTTGGCGCATGATTTCAGCATAAGAGTCCTCGAAAATAGCGCCACGGCGAACTTTGATGTGGCATTGGCCAGAGAGGATTCTCAAAGCAGGTTGCGAACGGAAGTAGATCAGCTTCCGTCTGAAATCACGCTTGTACTGTGGGACACCTTGGTCCAAGGATGATGGCAGTCTGGGGTCGTCCCACGTTGTGGTCTTGGTGTTGTGATCAACGAAATACACACGGGCTGTGTTGGTCAATCGCATTTCCCACCCACTAGGCAATGGTCCCAATTGCGATACTGGCTGCTGTTGGATAGTGGTGTTGTTTCCAGACGGATTGTTGCCGTACATTCTGATGTATTGTTGCCTTCTAGGGTCCACCCAGGTGGTGGTCCGGGTATTGTGGTCAACAAAGTAAGCTCGCCCTTCAGGAGTGTGCCTCTGTTCCCAGCCAGCGGGAAGCTCGCCAGTCCCTGCAGTTGTTGCCCCTGTAGCCATCATTGACACTGCGTTCGGTTGCTGAGGCGAACCTCGAGATTCCTGCAAGTTGGGAGAATTGGCACCTGTACGGTCCTCGGGCAGCATACGGTTTTGGTGTCGCGTACGTTCCATCTGCATGTTGGCCTCGACGCGGTTTCGTGCTTCAGTCTCGCTCATGTGGTTGGAAGGTCTCGTCCAGGTGGTGGTTCTGGTGTTATGATCAACATAGTAAGTCCTGCCCAGGTTGTCTTCTCTGCGCTCCCAGCCGGCTGGCAATCGACCTTGACTATCTTCGAAAGAACTGAAGCCTCCAGACCTCCCAGCGCCAGTTCCGTTGGGTTGGGGTTGCGTACTATTTCCATTCACAGCAGCGTTAGATGATCTCGCTTCCCCTGAGCCCGAAGTTGCAGTCCGTGACGCCGGGCTTCTCGAGCGAACCGGCATCGGTTGATGAACATTGGTAGAGCTGCCGGCATAAGGATTTGAACCGCTCACGCTAGAAGCGGTACTTGGAGGAGGTCGGTTTTGTTGAGGCGGAGGGCTGGAAAGATTGGTAGACAGATTCACGATCAATTTCCCGTGGACGACGAGGTTGTCGGTGGACTTCTTAAGATCCTTCGTAAGCATCTCTGGTCGAGGTTTAGTATATTTTCCAATTCGGCGAAGCTACTGGACGTACCGTCTCCTCCCATTTCCAAGTCAATTACATCGCCAATGCGGATATTGATGACACCGAGGAAGCCCTGATCCTTCTTCTTGAACTTCTTTTGGTCGAAGATTTGAATCGCCAGTATGCTGTCCTCTGTGACTCTCCTAAGCAGTAGTCAATCGGTTGTCCCAGCAGTCCATGGCCACGTGTCACCCACATGTCAAAGACTTCGTTCCAGTAGGGATTCAATGTCTTCCTGATGACTGAAGTTGTCTTCGTCTGTTCTCCCGAGATGGTTGCGACGGCAAAAGGATCGGGAAATCCTGGATCCTCTCAGTAACCACATGCTTGTTTCTCGATATATCAATAACTCACTGAAGACATCTCTTTTGTACAGGCCATCAGCCGCGATGACTGGATAGGATTAGTTTCACGGCACAAAGTGGACGAAGGGAAGTAGTGGTTTGCCATACTTGTGACTCGCAGATTAGGCTCCCTGTATCATTGCAGTTAGCATCCATTGACGATCATGGGTACAGAGGGACACGGACGCTGGCAGATTTGCTTCAGGCATCTTGGTGATTCAACCACTGGGAAGCGCCCCCAGGTTCTCAGCCTTCGGACAGCTCTCGTGCGGCGGCGGGGTAACTTGCGGGAAAGATCTGTTGTGAAGAGGACGACCAAGCAAAATTTCTGTCGACAGTGGGAATAGCAATATGCGTCGAATTGAGGCAGTTGATGAACTCGACGTTCACAGGGGCGCAGAAGGCTGTTCTGATCGTATTCGCAAGGGACTTGATGGGTGACTGAGCGGCGGGTTTGGAGTGTCAACGAGGCGCAGCTCGACCAAGTGTGAGGCGCTAAGAGATTTGCGGAAGAGGACGGGCAAAGGCACACTCCACCTCACTCAAGTCATGATTGCATAATAGCTGGAAGGGCGCAATTACCAATAAGGCCACTGTCGCAGTAGCAGCCGCAACCCAGTAGTCGCGATGGCGTCCGACGCTGCTGGCAATTTGAGGTAGAACGAAAGCGATAATCAAAGTCGCAGGTTGCAAGTCTTGGGTGGGTGCTTGGTGGGTGGACGAGTGGACTTTGGCCGGGACAAGGCACCGGAACAAGGTCAAACGGGAGCCAGGCTTACATCATGCCGGCCGCCGTCCAAAATCTGAGCACAAGGTTTTTATATACACCTACGAGCACGGAGTCCAACATCGAGCAAGGAAGGATCCCGCTCATCAGGGACCAAATCCCCATGTCATTATTAATATTTATATTGTCTCAATTGTAGAGAATTTTGGTCCCCTCGCAGTGACGTCCGTGAAACTCTGCTCATATTGATTCCATAAATCTTACAAAAGGCTTCCGGCCCCCGTTGCCCGTCCAATATTGATTTGAGCAGCCCACGTATTGATGAGCCACTAAATCCTGCATGCCATCTGAGACGTGTGGCAAGTCACAGTTGACCAATGCTCGGTCCCAACATGCCGGAAAGGCTCAGCGCCAACGCTGCTTGCATTTTTGGGTGTCCCCGCGTGAACTCTTCCGCCTTGGTCACTGTCGCGTGCCTTGTTGTGGAGGACTCTATTGAAGCCGAAATCAAGAATTGCTTGATCCCCTCCTAGTATGGTGCATACCCACGGCCACGCCCTCTGAAGCCGCCCCGAGGGGCGCCTCGCGGGGCACCGTAACCACCACCAGCGAAACCTCCATACCCTCCGAAGCCTCCTCGTCCGCCGAATCCTCCTCGACCACCACGCACGGGACCTCCTCTTCCTCTGCCTCGAGTCATGCCGGGAAGGTTTGTACGTTTTGGCACAACCTGAACCGTCTTGTCAGTAACATGGTCCCAAGCCGGACCAGGATCGTTGCTAACCTTGAGATTGCGGCCGCGAAAGACACTTTCGTTCAGCACCAACGCTTGAGCCACCAGTCCTGGGTCTGAGAATTCCACATATGCATACCTGCGCGATAGTTCCATTAGCAATCCATCTCTTGCCAGGCAGCATGAAATGATTTTTCTTGAAGTCTTGAAAGAACAGCATCCAGCTCTTGAACAAGCCTTATGCATGATAGTGCTTGGAGTTTTATTTAACCCACCCCTTTGGATGACCAGTAAACTTGTCCAGGAGGATGGTGACTCGGTTTATCGATCCTGGTCCGCTGGCGAAGTGTGCTTGGATCTCTTCAGGGGTTGCACCGTAGTCCACATTGCCGACAAAGATGCTGCGCGCGTCTACATCCTCCCTATCTTCTCTGGGCATGTTCTCTGATGATTGTTCAAGGTGACTTTGCATCTCTCGTAGTTTAGCGGCTTCTGACTCCATCTCGGCGACACGCCTCTTCATGGCGGCAATCTCTTCCTGTCGACACAGATGAGTATGAGGCCATCTGAACACAGGATGGCCTGGCAACCACGGGGGGGATCTATCCTTACTTCTTCCTCGCCACCATCTTCGTGGCTCTCTTTGTGCTCATCTTTGACATCAAGGTCGTCAGGCATCTTGGACGTAGGGGTGAATGCGAACGTGGTGATTGTAGGATAAAGTCAAAGGGACCGTGCGGACGGAGTCGAGAAGTTTCTGTTATATGTCCAGCAGTTGGGTGAACGGAGTCATATGATAATGGAGGATCGGTGAGTGCAGGTATGCGGTGTCTCGGGGAACAACAAAGGAACCCCGCGTCGGGATAGAAGTGAGACTGGCCTGGAGGCTGAGAATGCAGTGACGGGTTGATGAGCGTTCACAGCAGCCACGGACGCGAACAGACCTCGAAGCCCATTTGAGAGCCGCAATCTGGTCCCTGCCAAGGCTCAAGCCCGTGAACAAAGTCGTCGCTGCTCTAAGCAAGTCCCGTGAAGTGATGTCAGAGCTCTGTCGATTGTGTCCGGTGGGAGGGAAGGTAAAGCGAAGAACCGTCCCGCCGTCCCGGCATCAGAGCCGTCGATAAGTGCCGATCCAAAGCATAATACGGAGTCTTCAATTTTCTTTTCAACTACTCTTTCCTCCTTCCATTCAACAGATGGTCGATTTAATCATCGTCAAGGAGTTGATAGTCGTGTCATGACGAGCGAGAAGGATGGGGAGATCTCAGACCTGAGCGACTCACTTGGGCAGCACCCTGAACCGGCTCTTAATTATGCATTTGTTCACACACCTCAGCCCAGTGATAGCAAGCGGGATCTCACCTCGACATGCAGGATTATTGGCTGCTTTTTTGTTTTCTTCATCACCTGGGGTGTCGCCTCCTCATTCAGTGCCTATCAAGCCTTTTATCAGAAGGACTTGCTTGCCTCCCACACACCATCTGTTATATCATGGGTCGGCACAGTCCAGGTGTCGTTGATGGGACTCACGGGGATCGTCTCTGGGGCTCTCTATGACCGAGGCTATATTCGAACGTTGTTGATTGTCGGTGGCTCAATGGTCGTTTTCGGTTTTATGATGCTCAGCTTGGCCAAAGAATACTATCAGGTCATTCTGGCCCAGGGTGTCTGCATTGGACTGGGTAAGTAGTCAGCAACTGTGGATTCCTTTTATGTGTCGTACTGACCAGAGTATCAGGCAACGGAATGCTGTACATACCCTCGATAGCCGTGATCAGTCAGACCTTCACCGCCAAGCAACGGCCACTCGCTATCGGAGGATCATCGTCTGGAGCAGCCATCGGAGGCATCGTCCTGCCCATCATGTTCCGTCACTTACAACCGCAGATCGGCTTCGGGTGGACCAATCGCATCTTCGGCTTCATACTCCTTGGCATGGTCATAGCTACTTTCTTCCTGCTCCGGCCAGATCCAACATATAGACGCCCAAATGGACAACTATTCGACCCTTCTGCCCTCAAAGAGCCACCATTCGTGGTTCTCTTGGTCGGCTTATTCTTTGTCTTCCTTGGATATTGGGTTCCGCTGATCTACATCACACCATATGCCCAGTTCTCCATCAAAACGAACGTCTCATACGCGTTTTATCTCCTCGCCATTCTGAATGCGGGAAGCTTCGCGGGCCGGATCCTCCCTGCCTTCGTCGCACACAAGTTCGGCCCCGCAGTCGTCCTTTCAGCCGGCAGTATCAGTCTCGGGATATTGATACTGGCGTGGATCGGGATTCACAGCATTCCCGGCGTCACCATTTGGGCGATTTTGGTGGGTTTCATGGCAGGCATTACAGTGGCAATCCCTGCCGCGGTCGTGCCTCTGCTCTCACCTACACCGAACGTTGTGGGTGCAAGGACCGGCATGGCCTGGTCTGGTTCTGCGTTTGCAGGCTTGATCGGTGGACCTATCGCCGGTGCCCTTGTCAATACAACGACGAGCAATTACGCACATGGTCAAGCCTTCGGAGGCGCGGCCAGCTTATTTGGCGGCTTGCTGCTAATGTATCCTGCATTTACCATTGCCAGGGGAAACAAGCGTTATCAAAAAACGCGACCACCAACGCATGACGTTGAGGTTTCGTCTCCATCTGCCCAGGCCGACCAGGTGACGTCGGCATAAAATGCTATAGGAGCTCCCAATATCTTTGCAGACATCCTTTTACGAGCCACACTCACAAGTTCGGTCATAGCTTTGCACCGTGAAGGTGCCGAATGCAGACCAAGTGGTGAATAGGTGGCAAAGTCAGGACTCCGGCACGGACTGAGGGTTTCGTACTATGTCTTGTCAAGCTGATTTGCAAATCTAGGATAAATGGCCGCATCCGACAGATTTCAGGCCAGCTGGCATATATGTATTCATCCCTGTTGATATCCGAACTAACAACAGATGGTGTGTGCAAAACCTGTGCTCGGAAGATATACATAGATTTAGATATAGAAATCTATATAACTTCAATGTCCATACCATCACGCAATGCAATCTCGCATCTCAACCCTTTGCTTTTCCACCCTCTGCTAGACCTTAGCCATCCAGCGCCAGCGCCACCCCAAGCAAGCCCACCGACTCAACACGAATGTCCCCAACGACACGCCCGCAACAACACACATAAACCCAACCATGATCTCCGGCCCGGCGGCCTCCACCAGCTCCCCGCTGATGGGAATGCAGACCAGCGCCGCGAGACTGCCGATGAAATAGGACGTGCCGTAAAACCGACCAAACTGGTCCGCCTCGCAGAGCTGGCCTATGCACGCCGGTGTAAGCGCCATCCACGAGCCGGTGCCGAAGCCGAAGAGCGCGACGAAGACGTACAGTGCCGCCAGGGAGGTGTGGCCCAGCGGGAGCCAGATAGCGAGCATGAGGATCAACGTGAAGACGATCATGAAGAGGAGCGTGTTGAAGCGGCCCACGAAGTCGGACACGTAGCCGGGGATGATCCGTCCGAAACACGACGAGGCGTTGAGAACTGAGATTATGTAGAATCCTGTGTCGGGCGGGAATTTGTCGCCGTAGTTCGCGTAGGTGGGGAGAATACCCAGGGCGCCAAACAGGACGATTTCGAACCCAAATACACTGATCGTCAGAAACGTAAATTTCAAATCACCAAACAATCCCAACGATATAATTGCTTGTTTCCTTGCTTCAGGAGATGGCGGCAGGCGTGGCTTCATCAACACATTCGCGATTGCCAAGCATCCCAGGAACAAAAATCCTAGGATGCGCATGGACCATGCATACCCATATTTAGGGAGCGTGGCCCTCAGGATCAGGGGAATGGTCACACCGCCGAAGCTCGATCCCACCATCGCAATCCCATGCGCGAGCCCTCTCTTCCGCTTAAACCAGTGGCTCACCACGGCCAAACTCGTCGTAGTCAGCGTTGCACCCGCGATCCCGCCCAAAAATCCAAGGCAGAGCAGAAATTGCCAATACTTTTTACATTGCGCCAACAGAAAGACCATAATGACGTAGCTTGTACTCCCCGACAATGCAATCCATCGTGGTCCGTACCGGTCAAAGAGTGGGCCAACCCAAATGCCCAGTCCTAGGGCGAGGTAGACAAAGACAGAGGGGATCCAGCCGATGTCACGGGACGTGTAGGTCGAGAGTTGGTGCATTTGGAGATATTCTTGAATGGTACCAATGGATACCATGAAGCCAAATGAGGCAAAGAGCGCGAGGAAAGCACCGGTTAGGACGAGCCAGGCCTGGAGGCCACCTTCTGGAAAAGGGTCATTTGGACCATGAGCTGGTTCTGGGTCGTCTAGATCGAACGTGGTAACTTGTTGCTCCGCATCGCTATATGTGTAGGGTCCTTTCTCTGTGTCGAGGGTAATAAGTGTTGTGGCCTCGGACCTTGCATGTTTCGGCACTGTGCCGCTCCCGGCAGGAGATACTTCGTCTTGCCTTTCTTGGTTATTAGACTCGACCTGCTGAACGACAGGAAGTGATGCTGCGTCCATCGAGATAGGGGTGGACGTCGAGTCCGTCAGTCGTAGAGAAGAGCGAAGCAGAAAGCAGTCGCTCTTTGCAGACCCTTTCAATTTAGCTAACTCGTGATCGTCATCACGCCCTTTGAGCAACTGGACTTGTCGACCAAAATTTGTGCACCCAAAAAATATGTGGGGAATGCAGGTGGAGAGAGAAAGCATTACCAAGCCGCTCTTCTCCGTCACCAAAGAGAGTCCTCGAGTCTCCATAATACCAATCTTACCCTAGGGCAACATGCCCACGTCTATTCCGGTGCAATGCTGTAGTCAGAATGCTGCTTTTCGCCAGCATGTATGCAAGGCACGGTGTTCGGGAAATATTGGCATCGGGAGCATGCCTTGTTCATTCCCCGATCCGTCTCGCCGTTAACCGAAGACCAAAGCAAATCCAGTCCACTCATTTTCTGCGGCTCAGACTTGCCTTTTGTCAACCTTCATGGGTCGACTCGGCGGTTACAGGCGCACCCTGGGGACCCCTGCAACCAGCTCAAGTCTGTTGGACCTCAGAAGTATCTGTGGACTCTCATCATAGCCGCTCCTTCAGTCCCACTCTGACCCTTGGGTTGGAACTGGTCGATTAGCCGACGGCGTTTCCCGTGTTGAAATGCTGCTGAGAAAATCAGCCTCCAATGGCCAAAACGTCCGTCCCCTTTGTCCTTCCTTGACCAACATCCATTTTTGCAGTCCTGGCCCCGAATTGGATGGCCCTCTTCCTTTCTGAAGCAACACTCCGCATGCCTAGCTTCCACATAGCTAGTCTCAACAGCATCTTTGAAGGTTCAAGATCCTCGGGCTTCTCGACACGGCCGACTTCCTCGTAGTGCTTGGGAACCCTTTTTGACGATCTGAAACCACACTTTTCCCACACCGGAAGACCTAGAGAAAACCTCACCAAATCTTCATCTAGATAAGGGTAACGCACCTCTTTACCCCAATGACTCATGACCCGGTCATCCCGACCCAAGTTGCGAGATCCGATTCGATTGAAATCTAGCTCGAGTTCCTCTGCCAAGGCAGCAAATGCTCCCCGACCAAAGGCTGCAGCATGTCGCGAATATCCTGCATATAACTCATCTGCTCCTAGACCGGAAAGCAGGACTCGAGCGTGGGAGGCATAAAGCTCCTTGGTTGTCTGCTGTACCTCCGTCTTTTTGAATAAATTCCCTACTCCCTGAGCAGCAAAGAAGAGCGCCATGGTGATAGACAAATCCATCTCCGTCTTGTGAGGGTGCATGAGCCGTTGAATCCTGGCTTTATAGGCTTTTGAGTGCTGATAAGGCACATCAACTGCCACGAACCTCCACTCTCGGTCTGGGCATGCTTCACAAAGTTCTGCAAAGCTGGAGCGACCGGTGGCCCTATCGGGACAGAGCTCGTAGGGCGAATCTGTGGTTTTGTTCGTTGCCGCCATTGACCGTGGGTTTTCAAAGGCCACATTTAACAAATCTATAGCTTCCGATTTGGGCAGAAGATCATGCGCAAGGCGAGCGAGCAGTGTACAGTCTAGACCTCCCGAAAAGAGTATGGCGACCTTCGTGGACTGTGGCATGATGTGATTGTGGTCGTGATTCGGAATGTCCAGAAGTCTTAGTTCAAGAGCACCAGTCAATAACTCCAGGAAGCGGTCGACACTCCTCGAAGTCGGAATCAATTCAAGAAGCTCCAAAGGACCGGCCTTGTTGATTATGGGGGACATGTTCTGCCATGGAAGCTCGCCCCGAGTTATTTCACCGTGCCCCAAAGAGATAAAATGGATTGCATCTGTGGACACTTCTTCGTCCAGCACATCGACAGGCGGAGTGCCGACGCTACACAGCGTCAGTGAGTCTTCATCGCCATGATTGGTGAGCAGAGAGCGGCGCCCTAGCCGATCTCTCCCATAGTAGACGGTTGAACGAGGAGCATCGTAGAAGACGAAGGCAAAAGGCCCGGCTATGTTTGTCAGCGCCTGAGCAATGCGCTGCTGGTAGCCACCGCTTTGACTTGAATGAGAGGCACGCAAGAGAAGATCAAAAATCTGCACCGAGTCATTTCCTTCCACTCTGACTCCATCCACTTTCCACGCCTCGCCATTCCAGCAGAGGATGGACCCTGAAGCGCGATCCTGGAGGGGTTGGCTCTGGACAGAATCTCCTCGCAATGCTAGGACGGAAGAAACAAATGTGAGGTGCAGTTCGTCCGATCGCGGAGTAGGAAGTCTGACATCCAGCTCTCTGTAGCTGTCTGGTCCACGTGCGTTGAGCTCGTCTACCGTGAGAGAATCGGGTAGAATAGGACGGTGTTTCGCAATGGAAAAGAAGATGCCGCACATAGAGGTGCCTGTGTGCTGGACGCAAAGTAAGAGAGCTAGAGCACAGGATGATTATACGTCGTAAATGAAAAAGAAACTCGGCCGCGAAACACATGTGACCGTGCCAAGAGATACGGAGGTCTGACCAATCAGAAGCCTGCTGGGCCCGATTCGCGTCCAAGTGCCCACACCAAGCCACATCAACCCTTCGGCTGCCAGCAGCTGCATGATGCCGCTCGGGAAACTCAACTGCCTGCGCCTGCGCTGGCGGCCTTGCAGTATCTCCGACGTTATCCATTATGCAACGGCTGCGGCTGTCATCCCAATCCTTGAGAAAGGGCATCAGAGGAGTTGCACTTTCACCAGAGGAGCGTCTTCGACCTTGCGCGTGAAATTTCCTGCACCTCTCCTTTTCACACGCTCCTCCTTTCTCGGTCAAGTGGCCGACCTTCTCTTCCCGTCGCGTGACGCTTGTCAGCCTATCCATCATTCATCATGAACCAACACTAGATCGGCGATCCTACGAGTCTTGAACCCGACGTCTTGAAAGCATGCCACAGATCCTGTCACCCTGTCAACGCCTACAATAAGACAGTTGTCGATGTCACCCAACAGCAACCATGCAGCCATGGATGCCAGCGAGAAAGCCGTTTCGTCGGAAACCCCGTCGCCCAACCTCGTAGATCTGGAGCCAGAAGGGAGTGACGTTGCTATGGAGCACAAGATCTCGAAGGATGCATGTTCAGAAAAAGGAAAGGATCCAGAACTGGACGTGACAGACAGGATACCAGATCTCCGAATCCATGATTCCAAGACCAAGAGCAATCATGTCCTTCCACCGAAACTTCTGCCATCCACGCCTCCTCCACCTGAACCCCCCGCGGAGAGTGAAAAGCCGTACCTCGATCCTACACCCAAAACCCCGGCGATATCGAGGCATCCATCTATGAGAGCGTCAGGTGAAGAATATAATGAGAAAGATCCGGCTTATAGTCAGGAGTCTCGGGACAATACTGGGGAAACGCCTTACCAGAAGTCCAGCAATGACCCTGATGTGGAATCGACGTCCGAAATACAGAGTATCATAGATCAATTCGATGATGCGTCGGCAGCACCTTCGAAGGAATCAATCATGTCTCCCCGACACGAAATGACTGGGCCTATTCTAGGATCAAGTGGCAGTTTTCCACCCAGAAGGTCAAGCCTGGAACCACTTCGATCTAGAGACATGGACACGTTGGCATCGCCGATGATCTCCTATCATACAGAAAAGCCTTTGCCGTCGCCGCCTTTGGGGGTTCTCAGTCATGATTCAGGTCCCCTGAGAAGTCCTCCGATGAAAAGTCCAGCCCAAGCCTCGTCGCCCTCGCACCCGATGCAACCACCTCCTCCCGAACCTGAGCCTGAGTTGCCGTTTGATTTTCATCGATTTCTGGAGCAGCTGCGTCACAAATCTGCCGATCCAGTGGCCAAATTCCTACGCTCCTTCTTGACCGAGTTTGGAAAGAAGCAATGGATGGTCCACGAACAGGTCAAAATCATTGGTGATTTTCTAGCCTTCATCACAAACAAAATGGCCCTTTGTGAGGTATGGCGGGAAGTATCTGATAATGAGTTCGACAATGCCAAAGAAGGGATGGAAAAGCTTGTGATGAACAGGTTATATTCGCAAACATTTTCTCCCGCAATACCACCGTCTCCTCCGGTCGCGCGATCCCGGTCCAGGGGAAGAAGGAAAGAGTTAGAAAAGTCCCAGGCACCGGGAAGACGCGGTCAGCATCAAGAAGACGTTGAACGAGACGAGATCCTAGCCCAAAAGATACGGATTTACAGCTGGGTGCGAGAGGAGCATCTCGACATAGAGCCAGTCGGGCCAAATGGGGAGAGGTTTCTTAGACTGGCACAGCAGGAACTCCTCAAAATCAAGGGATATCGAGCGCCTAGAGACAAAGTCATCTGCGTCTTGAATTGCTGCAAGGTTATTTTTGGCCTGTTGAAGAATGCTAAGAGCTCCGACACTTCGGCAGATTCATTCGTGCCGCTTCTAATCTATGTTGTCCTTCAAGCTAATCCAGAGAACCTTGTGTCGAATATCCAGTACATTCTTCGATTCAGGAATCAGGACAAGCTTGGGGGCGAGGCGGGCTACTACCTCTCCTCCCTATCAGGAGCGATACAATTTATCGAAAGCCTAGATCGGACGACCCTGACAGTCAGTGATGAGGAATTTGAACGCAACGTTGAGAACGCTGTGGCAGCGATCGCAGAGCATAATCGTCAGGCCGAGCAACTGAGTCCGCTTGCCGTGACTATTGCAGAGAAATCAGCACTTGCCGAGCCCGAGCTCACACCACGAAATTCGATGGATGTGACATCCAGCAGCCCTATACGCAGAGATCCTAATCGGCAATACAGCAGCTCGGGAGACGGCTCCGACGACAGTGTAGCAGGTCTTTTGCGGACCATCCAGAAGCCTCTTTCCACAATCGGACGAATATTCTCAGACCAGGACACATCATCTCAAGAACGCAGACCGAGTCCAGCGCCTCAAGCGGCTCCGAGGCTGAACCCGAACATGTTTCAACCGCCACCAGCTCATGGTGGCTCGGTATCTCCTTATGACGCCCAGGAAGCGGCCGCGAGACAGGCAAGCGCGGAAGCCGCGGAAGCTCGACGGATCTCAAGAGCCGAACATAGGACTGTGGTCGAGACCCTATGCGGCATGTTTCCAAACCTAGACAAGGAGGTCATTGATGACGTAGTGCGACAAAAGGAGGGAAGAGTGGGACTTGCTGTCGATGCTTGTTTGGCTCTGACAGCTGGAAGTTGAGTCTGAGGACTACCAGATGCCATCGAAATCTTCAAGGAAAGGAAAAGAGATCACATGAGCCTGCTCGCAGGGAGAAGCCGCAAAAAGGCGGCGGCTTCTAAGTTGACAGAGGGGCTATATTCTTCCTCTTAGCTAGTAAGTGGTCCTCCAAGCATGGCGTCCTCTGTAGGGTTAACGATAATACCTAGATGCACCCACGGTTCGCCCCGTGTGTTTAAGTCGGTACCCACTGCAAGACACTAATCCCCATGATCGGCAACATTGGCAGAAAGAGCGCGTCATCTATCTAGATTGGCCGTATCGTTCGATGGTTGCACGGTTGCCGTTGAGCTTGGGACTGTTTATTTGACGGACAAGGCGAGCCCTGACGAAGTCGCAATGGTTACCCGGCATAGGATGCCAATACCTTTGCTATAGCCACCGATGGGCGAAGGGTATCCCACAGATGGATGGGCAAGTAGAGAACAAAGAGAATGCGGCCTCGAGCGAGCGCAAGATCCCATTTTCAACTTTGATTCAACGCCGGACTGGTGTTTTCAGCGTAATATTTTTTCCCTGTTCTGAATCCTATCCAGGGCGGTCTCCGTCCCTGTTATTCTTCGGTATGTTTCTCTGCCAGACCATGCCATGCATGACTGTCTCGAACTTGGATCCGCCAGACAACATGAACCTTCCGTGGACAAAAGAAAATGAAACCCAAAATTGCGCTGAAGAGCTATACCGAGGTGTGTCTCCTGGTAACAGCCAGCAGGCAGCCAGGTCGGGCTGCACCACCACTCAACATGGTACAACACAACACCACACAGCATGCCGAGGACAGGACTCCGGTTGTTTCTGACATTGCTCGCCATGGCCGGGCCTTATTTCTGACCTTTCTGTCTTGTTCTTTTAATTTTTCTGTTTGGAACAGCCGATCGATCGATTTCCCTTTCTTCTGTTTGCATTTTCTGGTTGGAGCAGCGGATCTGTTTCTCCGCCGCATTCGTCGGTTTCTGGTTTGATTATTTTCTGATGGCCGTACATATGTTCGAATATAGTATAGTATTTCTCGTAGCGAGGCGGGGTGCGCTTTCTGGTTAATTTCTGATGCCTTATGTTCGAATATAGTACCACTATTAGCGAGACGGGTGGGTTTTTTGGGCCAGCGGGTCGTCTCGTCCGGTTAAAGGGCCGGGGGCTCTTGTTCGCATTTGTAGATACGTGGAACAAGGTCGCGAGAGGGACAGAGAAGAGCGGGGGAAGAAAAGAGCGCCCTGTCCCCCATATTCCATTTCCATTTCCATTTCCATTTCCATTTCCATTTCCATTTCCAATTTAAATCGGTGTTTCTTCTTTGGTCTTGTCTTCATTGTCGTGGTCGCATCCTGGTCTGGAAGGGCTTGGTAACGAGACTCTGACTCCTGGGGAAAACAAAAGACACAGAAAGAGAGAAGGGTTACCGGTCGGTATTCACGTCCACCTGATCGAGTTCTCTTTTTTTCTGGCCTCTTGCGTAGAGATAGTTCTTCGTCTCTCTCTCGTCTGCTAACCTCCCGCTTCCAAAGCCGTCTCATCGCGCGAATATGGTTCAAGATCCAGCCTCCGCCGACGCGGCTAAACCGGCGATTGTCATCGTTCCGGGCTCCTTCTCGCCTGCATCGTTCTACACCAACGTAGTCGACGCGCTCCACGCACACGGGTACGAAGCTATTGTCGAAACCCTCCTTTCCTCGTCCCGCTCGCCCCTCAACGACGAGAGGGCGGCGACCATGGAAGAAGATGCGGACCTCTTCCGCCAGATCGTCCAGGATCTCGCGGATCAGGGAAAAGACGTTGTTATTGTGACGCACTCGTATGGAGGCGTCCCGGGGACGGAGTGCTCAAGGGAACTCTCGAAGGCGACGAGAAGAGCGATTGGCAAGCAGGGTGGGATTTCGAGATTCGTATACGTAACCTCAGTGGTGCCCACGCCAGGCCACTCGTTGAAAGACCTTATGGGAGACCTGGTTCCATCTTTTCTCCAAGTCGAGGTGAGTAAGAGAGTGTTTTTGGCGACTGCGACATTCGGGTTCCTCGCGCTGTTCTCCGGGATGGCCTTGTCCAACTGGCTGACTGACTTCTTCTGCGTCGGAACAAACCAGGGCGATTTCATGAGCCACGTCATCGAAGAGAGTGCAAAATTGACGTTTTCGGACTTGCCGTTTGAAGAAGCAAAGGAGTGGGTGAAAAGGATGCCATACCACTCGGCTGCTAGCTTTGACGGCAAGCTCACGTACCCCGGGTACAATCATATTCCGGTCTCGTTCGTCATTTGCGAGAAGGACGTGATTCTACCGCCGGAATTTCAGCACTCCGTGATCGACGGCATTGAGCGGGAGAGTGGCAAGAAGGTAGATGTGCATACGTTGAATACCGGACACTGTCCCAATGCGAGTGCTCCGGAGGATCTTGCAAGCGTCATCATCAAGGCAGTGGTGACAGCGGCTTGATTTGTTCAGACTGGGGAGAATGCCTGGCCGAATCAAGGGGTTTGACGGATGATTTCTAGTAAAACAGATAGCCCCATTTCGCTGAAAATTCCTTCCCAATCTTCCATGCGGTGGGATCCCAGGACGCAGCACCGGGGTTCAAGGTAAAGCTCGTCAGGCAGAACAAGTCGGCAAGAAATTCCTCCTCATTAATGATGCCCATCAGCGTGATCATGTTGTCTCTCATTTTGGGAAACGGGAACCGGTCAATCCAGGTAGGGTGGATCGTGGTCAGTTGCAAAGCTGTAGGACGTAAAGACTCTGGGATTTCGGGCCCCACGGTGCTGGATTTGCTGGGGACGACCACGGAGCATGCTATTCCCATCTTTTTCAAGATAGAGCGGCTCTGTCAGCCGTTGCCTGACACGAAAGAAACCATGAAGATACAAATGATGCCAGTTCCGGGGCGACCCCGTCCGTGCCAAGAAGAGAACTTACCATTGCACCGTTCTGATATAGAGCTCCGTAGATGGACCCGGAGACAAAAGTGGTTACAAAGGTATCTGGCTTGCTCGTTGGTACAAGCGCCTGATAAAATGCGGGAAGTCGAGGCACTTTGGGTACAAGACACAGCGGGTCCTCTTGGTTGCTGCTGCTGCTGCTGCTGCTGCTTGGTGAGGGGCCTGAATTGCTGTCGCAGCCTCGACTGTCAGGACACAATGCCTCAACCGACTTTTTGGCCTCCGCTAGGCGTTTTCCTATATCGGAAATTCGTCAGTCAAGGCGTCGACCAATTCTGTGGCGAGAGTGGTTAATCGTAACGAACTCCTTGCTCGCTGGGCCAGCCTGTCCTGGATTTGCTTCCTCTTTCGCGGATCCTGGACACCAAACCAGTTGTCGTCTTCAGCTCGTGCTCTTCCCATACTGAGGGGGACGGTTCCTGGGTGCAGAAGACAGGTTGACTAATCAGTGCAAGCGAAGGCGAGAATATTGCGGGTAATGCAAAGAACACGGGGCGTTTCGTCCTAGTGATAGGGTTCGTCGAAACGAGATAATCAGGAAATGGGATGAACAGGGAGGATTTGGGTTCTGTCTCCGACTCTTGGCCTTTAGATGCCTCTACTGGTTAGAGTGAGACTAGCTCGTCCAGTCGAGAGATGAGAATGGGCGTGCTGGTATGGACCATGGTGTTGAGATGGGTTTTTGTGTAGGGGATTGAATGGTGTTGTGGGTGGTGTGTTGCTAAGCTGGGGAAGCACTGTAGTCACTGCACCTCTTGGTAGAGTCGTTATTACTAAGTTAGTTTGCTGCCCCTCCCTAAATTCTGACTTTACTCGCTCCCATATACAGGCATTCTGACATTGAGAAATCGAGCCAAACGTTACAGTCGAGGCTCGGAAGAACCACGCTGTATGAAGTCGACATTCCCATCAACTCCTCTTACCTGACAGTCCTGGCTCGGATTCACCCAAGCAACACCCATGGCCGACTTCTCAACGACACCAGCAAAGTCAAGGCTCCATCTGCCTACCAATCTCCCTCGCGCCCCTCCTTGTCCCAGATCATGTGGTTCGAAAAATCAAAGGGGAGAGAAGGCTGCCAGGCCGCGCTCCATGTTTTAACTGGCGTCCGGAGAACAGTGCGTTTATAACAAGGCTGATAAGGAAAGGGACATTGAAAAGTCTGGGGCTGGAGGCCTGCTCTTGCTATTCTCTCCGATGCACCTTCGACACGTGTGGCCGCGTTCGGATCCGAAGCGTCAACGGTCGTTGGTCAGGTTGGTGGTGGGGGTCGCCTAGGGTCGACTGGCCGGAAGCTGGATAGTGGGTGGACTGCCCGCCGTTTGGCGAGGCCTTGCAGCTTCCCGCCTAGACAACTGCAGGCACGGCGGGCGTTAAAATTTGAGAAGAGCCCAGAGAGAAAGTCAATCTAGATCGACATTCAGGACGAGAGGTGCGGCGATGCCATCGCGGACGGGCTCTTCGAAACGAGAGGGCATCCGACGGTTGGGATGCGGCATCGCGATGGCCCCTGCCAGGTGCCTTGATACGAGCCTGGGGCGAGACTGATCGACTCCTCCAACGGGGAATCCCTTTGGGCCGTGTGCCTTCAATTCTGGTTTGGTATTTATCTTGTTTCTTGGAAAGCCTGGGCTCTCCTGACACTCGGGTTGCCACCCCCGGATACAGACTCCTCAAATCCCACCCCAGATGGGTTCATGAAAAAGATGGCGTTTGGGCTTTTAATTCAAGGTTTGGACGGGGATTTTACGGAGTCTCCATGTCTTTGGGAAGTCGCCCCGAAGCAACGCCGCCATGTTTCTTCTGCAAAGCCTTTCCCTTGTTTGTCCACCGCTCTACCGTCCTCCGTTGCCTCATTCGTCAGCTTACTCTCACTAACTTTGTCGCTAAGTATTACGCTCTCGCTCTGTGAGCACCATCTGACGTGGAGCAGTTTGCCTCCAGCTTTTGGCAGCGCAGGCCAGCCCCCTGGAGCCCCGGAATAATTGGCCCAGGAAACATTTCTCCCCTCTTCCGATGCTTACTAGGTATGCTCCTCTGGCTATGTCCTGGCAATGCACCAAGTTCAAGCCCTATTTCCGACTCGGTCCGAATGGCAATGCACATGGGCTGGGCTAAGCACCCCCTTGTCTACGGCCGGTGGGAATGAGCATACGTAGATTAAGTATTATTGAAACCCTGGTGACGGGAATCGGCAAGAGCACAGCCTCTAGTTCGCTAGTTTGGACCTCTTGCTATAAACCCTTTTCCGTCCTTCTCTTCTATTTCTCCCCCAGCAGCATTGGAATCCTTTGCCGTCTCCCATATCCGAAATATACCGTTCTTGTCTAGTCATTGGGTCTCTTCCAGCGTCAAAGCAAGTCCAGCCATTGGGATTGCATATCTCGAGCCATTTCGGGCACCATGTCTTTTGTTGACCTCCTCTTTCCACAGAAAGAGCTGGAAGCTCTGGGAAACAAATGGCATGAGCCAGCTCCCAAGAGGAGGAGGCTGGATTCGGGGAGTGTTCAGGTTGTGAATGAGTCTTTTGGACGTCAGCAAAAACAACTCAGTGAGCCGAGCTTGGAACAAAGGCGCCATCGGTTGTCGACACCGGCATCAATCCAATATGGAAGACCGTCGTCATCCTTTGAGCATGTCAAAATCCGCGGCACCAAGAGGGCGAACTCGGAATCTCAACCCCTTAGCCACGCACCAAACTTGAGGAAGCAGACAACAACGACCAAGTCCTGCTTTCCGAGCTTCATTGAGCCGTCTATCTTGAGGAACTACCTTCACCATCTCCATCCCAAAGATCGCCATCGCTATACCGTCTCCGACCTGCCCAAGCGAGAGTCGAGACCAAGAGACACAACATCTCAGATGTCTCCACCCAATGTCGTTGAGGACGCCCTGTCTTCTCCAGGATCTCTAATTGCCGATACATCGTCTTCTCCTGCTTCCTCGGACAGTTGCCCAACTCCCGCCGCCATTTGTGAACAATTCCGTTCTGGCCCATTTGGGCACCTGTTTAATGGAATGCGCCTAACAGATAATGAGCGGGATCTGATGGAAGATCTCCTGAATCCATCAACAACGCTTCCCGAGGACGAATCACACGCCCAGTCGAACAGGGAGGCAACTCCCCGAGTGGAACTTGCACCTGAAGACTACTTGGCGATTGATGAAGCATTTCTACAAAATATGTTCCCTCCATTCGGAAAGCATATCGACCAGCCCTTTGACTTTGCGGTCAATGAATCGACCAATGCTGAAGAAGAGTATGATGTGCACTCATCGGGTTTGAGTCCTGCAGCTGAGGAGCCAGAGGAGCCAGAGGAGACAGAGGAAGTAGCCGAGGAAGAGAAGACCACGAGCCACAGGGGGATTGTGGTGTACGACTACAGCGCTCTCAGTGTTGACGATTTCTTCGATTTGGACGAAGCTTCTTCTTCCTGAGGCTTTAGTTGCCGAAGGATGGTTTGCCGGGTTTTGATATTGGGGGGGTGTGCATGGCATTGCGCCTTCCAAACCCACCTACTGCATACTGGTCTATAATCTTACTGAGTAAATGCTCAAAATTACCGAATGTGTCTCTTTAAGTCTAAATGATACCAGATGATGATTACCGAATGGTACCTCTTGTTCCTTCCTTTCATAACACATGCATTTCTCGCCCGGTGAATTTGTTGATTGGCCGTGCTTTCCATCGCGATCCTGCCCGAATCCTCCTTGACCTGAATCATTCCGACCAGCTCTTCAATGCCGGTGTTTGATGTTGCTCTACACTCAATGTCCAAGACTTCTGCTACAGGCCAGAGTGCAGGTTTACTTTGGCGAAACAAAAGATGGTGTGCATCTTCCGGCTTGTCGTGAACTCGGCCGTCCTGAATAATCGGAAGTGGACTTTGAGATCTGACCTCACTTTCTTACCACGGGCGACGGTGACATGTGCTTCTCTTGCTGTTTGCGTGGCATATCCTAATCCCATTGTCAAGGTCCAAAGGCCTTCCCAAAGTGACTTGCAACAAATCCTTGAGCCTGACAACATAATACTGCAAATCTCACACCTCACCTTCCGAGTGTGGTCGACGTCTCCCCCCCAACAGAAGCGTTCAAAGATTGGCGGGGATTAGCCGCTAGACAGTGCCCGGATATGATACCCATGGGGACTCCATGAGCACTAGACGATAGGGTCAAGCATCAGCAACTGCAGGGAAGTCGATAGGCGCCATACATCTGCACCGGGCTATGTACCCAGTACCAGCGTTGTGAGCAAAACACCCATGTCCTACGCTCAGCTGCTGAATACTACGATGAATCTCACTGTGACTAGTGTCTGCAATACTGATGACAGAGTCTCCTCTTACTCACGAGCCTGCGAAGACAGGGTAGATTCTGATATTACGACCGACTTTCGCAGCCAGAAAGGCATCGGCGATGAGCCAGCTACATACCCAGTACACGAGCATCCTCCCGCTCTTCCCCAGATTGATAATCGAAGTTATGACGATGTGATGATCCAACATAAAACGTTGGGAAGCTAGGTGTCCACAACCCGCAGGAAAGAGGACGCCAAAGACCTAGGCAAACCGGAATATGCGTCAATGCCTCATCAACCTTTCCACCGGAGCAACCACTACATAATAGCATAATCACGATAGATTGCTGAAGGAGACAGGTTGATGCACGATCTGTTCCTGCTCAGGGCACGGCCCACTGGCATATAGCCGCGGCTACTTGAACTTCTCCCTTCAGTAAGTCGATCCAATCCGCCTTCCCTGGAAACTAATCCTTGTGGCGCCACTCACCCAGGGGTCGTTTTCTTACCTCTCGGTAGATCGCATCGGATCCGACCTCTGGCCCTTGCTTGCCACTAGCTGCCACTGCATGGATGGAAGGCTTTTGCTGCCCGGACCGACGAACGACTCCACGAAAATAGAGAGAGCAGAGCGGTCCGGCTGCAAATGGATCGCCGTGGTTGGCTGACTGACCGGTCCATGACACGATGGCGTCTGCTTACCTCGAGCCGTGGCTATTGCTCGACAAATCGCTCGACAGCGCTTTCTATTGCGTCCCGCGCTTCGCCACGCTCCCTGGTCTGGTTAGATTCCTTCAAATTTTTTCTGATCATCGACCACCACTACCAAGACAGGGAGAGCAAGAAAAAAAAATTAGAATTATGCACAATCACCCATCCGAGCCTCGCATGACTTGGCTGAGTTTCCGTGCTGCCGTGCTCGTGCAAACATAGAGAGCGACATCTCTCTGCCGGCTCGTTACTTCCGACCGAGTACTCTGTATTGGTCCGTCCATCGTATTCAATGCGGGGGGTGCCAGAAGACACTACCCATTCTGGTTCGTGCAATTTCCCTGGATCTTTCAGAAGGTGAGAACGGAAACAGACCACAAGGGTTGTCGACACGCAATACGAGGGGAAGGGGAGGGAAGTCAGTTGAGAAGTCACTCAACACTTTGTCTGACCGGGGTTGATTTTGGCTTGTGTTTGATCGAGCCTGGGAGAAAAATTCATACATACGAGTAGTGTGTTGGATCTACCCAGTATTTTGCCTCCTTACCTGGGCGTCTTCAAAGCGAGAGAGGAGAGGGGAACCCATTGGTTGGATGGGACGGAGTCACTTACCTACCGTAGTGGTCGCTGATTAGTTTAGAAAAGAAATCACTAACTCACTCGCCAATTCACCGCTGAATGTACTCGGTGCTTCATCCGGAGTCCACGTACGGAGAACTTGTAGAAGAACCCAGCGAAACTCGTTCTCCATATCGATCACCGTTTTTTGCACCCACATCCCGTCCGCATACCCTCCACATCGAGCAGCAGAAACTAGTCTACTAATTAGAGTAAAACACAAAGAAAAGGTTCAATCATCGTAGTACCAGCACGGAGTACCAGCTAGGTGTGCCCTCCTGCATCGGAACGATATATCCGGCGGAGGAATCAAAGCAGACGGAACGATGCTCGGCGTCGAAATAGAATACCGCACGGAGTCTTCCAACCAGGCTACTGTCCAGACACAACGGAGAAGGGAAGAAATATTCATTGCGCTTGGTCCCGGTGACGCACAGAGTACGGAGTGCTTCCTTTCATGTATACCTCGTACCGGCGGACAGACAAGTACCTAATAGGTAAGTGCCTACCAGCATGGATATGAGGACAGGACCGGGCTGCGGCGCATTGTAGCGACCAATCAGCCAACTACATATGTACAACTGCGCGGGTAACCAGCCAACTAACTACTCCGTACCTACCCAGTACTCCTTCAAACTCCCCTGCCCTGCTCGAGTCGCGATGCGGGCACTGCGTATGTGTTGCCCGTACAGTGCATACACGGTGGTTGCACAATTAACCCAACTACTAGTAGCTTATATGGGGCTCAAGCAAAGGTTACCCCGGTACGGTGACAATGGAGGATTGATTCTTGGACGGAGAAACTCACATGGAGTACGAGGCACCGTGCTGCGGGCTGTGTGCCTACGGAGGATGTACATAGCACACAAGGCGAGCACAAGGGGTAGGGTTCAAAAAGGGGGTGTGAGGTTCAATGGGTGCACCAGGGGGTCCACAGCCTCGTGCCAGCCAGCGCAGCTGTGGGACGCTGATTTAGGAGGCAAGGCTGGGCCCAGCCTGCCTCCCCTTTCCTGCTCCTCCTCCCCTCCCTTGTCGGCGAGATGTCCGAACATTATTCCCTACCGTGTCACCAATGTGCCCTACTTGTGCAGAGTATTAATAGATGCCAGATGCGAAATCAATGCCTCTAACAGGCAAAGACCGGATGGGGGCCAATGGGTATTCACCCATTCATTCATTCGAACGCAGGACATCCAGCCACCACAAGGCCCCCTTTGTCGACTTTATTGTCCACTTCCTATAACACCCAATTGCCTGCTACAAGCATTCACCGACTCCGCCTCTGGACGATGCGTCCGTGGAGGGCAGGCTTGGATTATGTACTGCCCCCAGAGAATCATGATCATTGGAGCAATCAGAAATAGATATGGTATATGTATATATATGGTAAGTTGATGAGGAGAGCGCTGGACGTCGCCCAGCCTTACTAACCAGCTCACCGCGTCATGGTCTTCACAAGCTGTCTACGAATTTGACTCATTTGACTCCATTCGTTCTCTCAGGATGCTTTTCTTTTCTTTTCCCACAGTTCATCCAGTAGGGACAGGAAGATACACACAAAGCCACCCCATCTTCTCTCATCGGTACGGAAATTATCAGGAGCTCCGCTCCATCGGCTCCGCTCCATCGGCCCCGCTCTCCTTCTCCATTACGGCTTCTCTACAAGTATGTACGGAAGACAACCAATCATTGACCGACATCCGTGTTTGTACCTTCTAAATGTCCTCCCCAAGTCGTTGTTCGTTGCTCGTCAAAACAACCAGCCTCCTAACCACACAGTCAAGGACCACATGCCATGCATTTTCACATAACATAACTCTCAGCCAGACGTCTAGCCCCACCGATCATCCCACGTTCCATGTCTTCTAGCTGTCGTCCTCCTTGCCACCGTGACTTCAACCTGACCTGACCCAGGCCCCTGGCCTTGGCTCTGTCCGGAACCAGGCCTCGAGCCTGCTATGCTGCTATTGCTGTTAGAATTTCGGCATTGACTGATACTGCTAGAGTGTGCGTGTCTCGCCTCTCTCCGTGCTCTCTGCTCTGACACAGGAGTCGATGCTCCAGGCGTGCTTCCGGCACTGCTTTGTCCTTGATACGTTCTTGTGCTGGTTGCTGAACTCGAGTCCTTTTCCGTTGATCCCCTCGCTGACCCAACGATGCTCTCTCGTGTACTTTGGCGTGACAGACGATGATGTCCTACCACGCCTGTGGCTACCGTCGACTGGCGAGGATGCCTGCTCTTATTCACCGTCATCTCCGTCACGACACTGGCTGTGTTTGCTCGTGTGAGACTGGGCATGACAAATGCTGGAGAGTTCTCGCGGACGTACGTCGAACCGTCGCGACTGGCAGGCCGCATCACGCTCGTGCCATTGACATACACGCCGTTGCGCTGCCGTCGCGGCGTCTGCGCGACAGGTGGATCATACATGTTCATGCTGGCTCGCTCCGAGCGGCCTAATTGAGGAGACGTAGGCATGCTCATTTGACGGTCGAGGAGATGAGGTGGCGTCGTAGAGCTGGTGCGGCGTTGGAAGCCAGGATGCTTTCTTCGAGCACCGTTTGTCGCCGAACTACCACCCTGCCCACTTTTAATGCTCACGTTATCGGTCTCCTCACATGATCGGATGAGTTCGCTGGCCATGCTGCGGACAAGGACCGCAGAATCAGAATATGAAAGTTCTCGAATCACATCGTAGAGACCGTACTGGTCGAGAAGGAAACAGCCTTCTTCTGTCGAGTCGCAGATGCTGCCGATGATACGCAGGAGGTTGAGACGGATTGCGGGCTTGTTGTGACTCAGCTTTTGGCCCAAGGTGTCGAAAACTTGCGAGCTTCTTGCCATCGATGCTGCAAGAGGTGGCGACAGTCGAAGCAATTTCTGCAGGGGCTCTAGAAGGTTTTCAAATGAGCTTGATTTGCTGCTAGTCAACGCTGCCACGATCGCGGAAATGAAATTCTGATTCTCGAGTAAGTGATCTTCGACTCGGGCCGTCTCTTCTTGAAGCCAGGTGAAGATCGCATCCAAAGCTGTCACCTGCCAGTATGGATCCGAGAGTAACGAGACATAGAATGCAAGGCCCTTGTTCTGCCAAAGCTCACGGCGAGCAGCCCTGGTAGAATGAGCCATGTCACATAGAATTGGCAGCGCAAATTCTTTGACAGGGGTCTTCTCCTGCTTGACAATCTTGATGAGGATCGGAATAATACCGACGAGTGCTGCATCTTCTTGCCGTCTTTTTGACAAACGGCAGAGATTGTAGATGGTGTTCAATATCTGATTTGACATCTCCCTAAAATGCGGCTTGCTCATGCTATTGCTGAGGAGTTCAGACAAAACATCAATAGCGTTCGAATTGTGAAGCGCGTCCAGCGTGGTTGACAACATCGACAAGTTCTTGATGAATTTCAACATCGTTACCTGGTGTGCCGGAGCCATTCTCTTGAGATTCTTCAGAACTCGGTGCAAAACTGTCCGTTCAGCGACCAGCTCCTTGACATAATTCTCCGCTTGAGAGAAGACGAAGAAGATACTAGCAATGCGACCCTCACACAAGTCCGCAAGTTCTTTCTGATCTCCGGAATCCGATGGCTCCATCAGAACCCGGTTCAGGACGAGCGACAACGGCTCTAAAACCGAGTTCCGAGATAATATTCTGCAAAAGTCGTTCTTTGGAGTCGAGCCTTGGAGTTCAAAAACACTCCAGATGCCATTGACTCCAATCAGCACCAATTCTCGGTCATCGTCATAGTCATCTTCTAGGAAATCAACCAGAACCGTTAGACCCCCGGCACTGACGAACATTTGGAGGATGAGGGTGGACGTCTGGTACATTTGCCGGACGAAAGCGGCAGCTTCGAGACGTATCTCCCGTGGAAACTTCTTAGAGGCGAATTTGTTGATTTTTGGGATCCCTCCGACAAAACATAGGTTCTCTTGGACTTCCTCGTCGTTGAAAATGATTGCATTTACAATCTTTAGAAGATTGAGGACAATGTCCAGGCGCATGCAGTCTTCCAAAATCTCCAATATCGGTAAGAGACCATGCGCGCTGATGATAACGCTTTTTGTGTCCGAGAAGAGGTCAAAGTAGTTCATCAAATCCTCGGAGATCTGTAATAAAGCGTCGTCATCCTGCATGACTTTCAGCTGGCCTACTAGAACTTCCACATCTGTTCGGAGTCGCGCATGCTTATCTCGGGCAATGTTTGACTCTAGGTCAACTTCTGGCAGCCCTTCCTCGAGCTGTGCAAAAGGATCATCTTCATCTTCGGCATCTGGAAGCCATGATAGATTCGATATCTTCGAGTTTAGCATTAGCTCAGAGCCATCTTCGCTCTCAGCTCTCTCGAACACTGCAGGCGTCTGTGCAAAGACGTCTGAGAAGTCCTCATCTTGCTCGCTCTCAGCAAAACGTTGAATCTCGATGGAAGATCGTGTCCTTCGCATGGACAATTTGTTTCTGGGCGCAGGATGCCTCTTGAGGCTGCCGCCGGTCTTTGGCGGTCTCATACTCTGCATCAAATCGGTAACGCTGGGCGAATCTAATATTTTGGATGGTACCTCGCTTTCCAATCGCATCAAGCCCAGTTTGGTATCCAAGGCGAGTTCGTTCCCTTGGACGATGTCGGAGAAATCCTCGACAGAACTCTCCCGGTAACGTCGTGTTGGAGGTTCATCCTGTTGTACTTTTGGCTGCGGTGGTTTGCTTTTGGAAAGATTCGTTGTCTGACGAGCAGAGGGCAACGAAGCTTTGCGAGGCATTGGTGTGGGCTTTGCCTTTGTTTTTGGGGGCACTTCAGACTTGTGCCTCGCGTGACGAACTTCTGGCCTCTTCGCCGGCGCAGCGCTTGCAAGTCGGATGGTTTTATTTGTGTCCACTTCGGCAGGCGAAGGAGCTTTTAGTGTCGAATCCTTGTCCTCAACGGCCTCGTTTTCTTTTCCCAACGCGCTCTCCATCGTGGCGAATGCCTTCAATCTCTCAGAAGACAACATGCCTCCAAAGTTATCGTGAGGTCTCAGATGCGGCAACTGGAAAGTGCTCGGTGAAATAGCAGTGGCGAAGTCATCGTCCCAGTTGTCCTCATCTTCGAGGGAGCGGAACCTGGTTGTGTTGTCATCCTTATTGAGAAGGGGATTAGGAGATTTGGTTTGAGATTTCGTCGGACGAAGCATGTCCCTTGCCACAGGTATTGGACTGGCTGTCGAAGCATTGGAGTTCTTTCTTATCGAGCTGCCATTGGGAGAATCTTTAAGGGCTTCGTTCCATTCTTGAACGCTCTTTATCGCTTCGTCATATTCAGTGGAATTCTTTGGCCTGTCCGAGTTGGTCCTTCTTGCATTCACTATCCACGGATGTTTTAATAGCTTCTTGGCCGAGACTCTCAGATTTGGGTCCTTTTGAAAACATTGCATCAAGAAGTCCAAAACTGCGGGTGATGCACCTTGCGGCAGGGGAGGATGGTCGTCGTTCACGATGCGGAACAAAGCAGGCATAGGCTGGAGATTGTGATACGGCGGTTTCCCATCGAGCAATTCGATCACCGTGCAACCCAGACTCCAGATGTCCGAAGCGGTAGTTGCGCCTGTCAACTCGATCACTTCGGGGGCCATCCAATAGGGAGTTCCCACGACGCTGGACTCATGTAATCCTGTGGTGCGGCTCGCCACTCCAAAATCTGCCAGTTTGACCAGTCCTTGCTTGGTGGTTAGAATGTTGGCACCTTTGATATCGCGGTGAATGACGCCCTGATCGTGCAGATAGAACAAACCTTGGAGCACTTGGGACATGTAGAGAGCAACCAGATTCTCGGGAAAGCGGCCGAAATTCTTGGAGATTGAATGCAGGGACCCGTTCTCGCAGTATTCGAGAATGATGTTGAGGGTTTCGGGAGTCTTGACGAATCCGTTGTATTTGACGATATTGGGATGATCAAGATTCTTCAGCAGGTCAATCTCCAGCATAATAACCCTCAATTCGCTCTTGGGTAAATCCGCCAGCTTGATCTGCTTGACCGCAACAGTCTCTCCCGTGCCCCAATTCAATGCCCTGTAAACAGAGCCAAAAGCACCCTTACCCAGACAATCACCCAACTGATAGTCTTTCAGCTCGGTCACATCCTGCGCCTTGGTCTTCTCTTTCTCCTCTCTCTTGGTTGGGCTGGACGGAGGCTTGGGGGTTTTGGTGACCCTGAGACCCAAGCCGTCGACTGCTCTAGTAGTGGGGACATCGTCTGGAGGTTCGGCGGTGCGAGCAGGCATCTTGAGATCGACGGGAGTGAGAAAAGAAGGGAGAGATTAAAAGGGCAAATCGGCCTTGCCCTCTCTCATTGTCCGTTGGTCCAACTGCAGTCTGGTTGGCGAGAATAAGTGATTGGTAGCTGGTGGAACGGCCAACGCAGGATGCCGGGCAATGGTTTTGGACTGCCACTTGTGGCTGCGGCATCAAGGGTGGTATAGCGATTGCTGGTGGCACGCCGTCCTGAGCAGGAGACGGACAATGGCTTTGTCACGGGTGAGACGATCGTAGATGGTCGCAAAAAGGCATGGCAATGAAGACATTGAACATCAAACAAACAGGTCAATCAAATGTGGAAGGCACGAGATTGGATTGGGCTGCCAGATGAGGTCTGAGGTCGGCCTACTATGGGTGACTAGCCCTCGCTTGCGAGTTTGTGTTGCAGGTTGCAGGGCGATCCGCGGCCACTAACTGGCCTACGGTGAGCTTTGGTGCCCTCTCGTCCCGAGACCTCCACTCTGCCCTTCAGGGACGCGTCAATTGTAATCGCAGCACGCGACTTTCCTCCAAGGTACCCGCCTCGTCTATCTAGGTCCCCCAACGACCCCCAACTGAATATGATCCGAGTGGCCGTCACTGATGCTTTATGCAAGTCTTCTCTGCCGTCATCTCTGACCGCTGATCCGATGGCCATTGCCTAAGTGGGCTGTCTACTGCTACATCATGAATCGAGGAGAGGATATTCCCTTCACCAACAAGTTACAGATCGCCAGGTGGCGCAAACTGCCAGCACACCAAGACACACACCCGTCCACAACAGTCAAGTCGATCCAGACATGCTTCCTCATCCAAACAGTCGGTCTATGATGCTAAATGTGTCCACAAACGGATGTCTGACTCCACCCAATCCAGCGGCCAGAATGCCTTTGGCTGCATATCGAAGAGAATAACTCAAGAAACAGACAACCCAGACGTACCCGACAGCTCTAGTTTTCCCTGCCCAAGGTCAAATTGGGTTGTTCTGCACCCGGCACGGAGCGGTCACAAACACTTACAGGTGTCCTTCAGGCCCGTTTTCTTGCCCAGGTATATGGCGAGGTCTTCGAACGTGATTGCAACCGGCTGAATCATGAAGAAATAGAACTGACACCAAGCAAAGGACGAAGACGGGCAATTGAGGGCTCCAGCATGATGGATAAGGGCCGACACCAAGAAAGCATTGTATAGCTGCACATACCGTGAGACTAGAGTACCCTTTTTGACCCTCAAGAGCCGCAGAAGAGCGGAATTGGCACTCTCAAACATTCGACGAAGCAGTTGATGCCTTGCAAAGCCGATAAGACGAGGTTGGTGGTTTGATGCAGGGAACCCACTCACCAACAGGAACCCCAAATGTTCCTCAGGCTGTATCCCTTTTTGATGAACGAACCGAAGAATGGGGGCCATGATTGAGGCGTGTAGAGCCCAGTACCGACGGCGACCGCCGCGGCCAGGTAATAACCGAAGACCATTGTGAAACCGCTGTGGAAGGCAGAAGACCATCCCAGGAGAATCTGTTGCCAAAGTGGGACGGTGAAGAGATCGGGAACAGGACTGGTGCCGTCTCCGAAAGGTGTCCGACGCATGTACCACTCGTCAATGTCCATGTAAAGAAAGCAGTATGAGGCTCTGGCAACCTGCTCTAAGACAAATCGACTGCTTTAGTTAGACGAGGTCAGGGACGAAAAGGTGGCTCTGCACCTGCGAGAAATGTCTCTAGGGACCTCGCCAACGTTCTTGACGCGCCAATTCCAACCAATTCCACGCATCGTCGCGAAAAGTTGAAGACCCCAGCAGAATTTCTGCCAGATGGTCATCTTTTGTATGTCCTCCGCGGTCTCCGTTGTACCGTCCGATTTTACTCGTCGAAACGTCTGCTCCGCCTTATGCAACACTTCAAAATCGAGCCATCTGATCAAGATCATGCAGACATTGATGGCAGTCATATAGTCTTCTTCAAGCTTCCCGGTAGTGTGACGTCGCAGGTTGAAGATAATCCACAGAATCGGGGGTATGGCGATTATCTTGCGAAACTGACCTTGCGGGAGCAACAGGGTAGTGATGCCAATGGCGCTCGCGCCGAACACGCTTCGTTCTCCAGGTTGGAAGGGGCGATCTGGAGGAGGAAACCACTTTGGATCCATTATTGAGACAAAGATGCAGAAAAACGCGGAAGAGCAAGAAGTTAGGGAACACGGCGAAGGAGACGTGACTTATTCGACGAAGAGGATACACAACCAGAGGAACACAATCGATCTGTAAGCGAGCGGGAATGCGAATACGAGGCAACCTCTGCCTCGACTCGGCTTTAGCCAGGCAAAGGTGCAGACGCAAGCATCAGGATGCCTTTTCTCTTTCATCGAGAACATCAGGAGAACTCGTGGTGTTGTTGTCGATGGCAATGAAACAAATTCACGGGGAAGGTGGTGGTCAAGGGGAAACGCTCAGTTGTGAAAACGAAAGAGAACTCCAGGATGAAAGGTGGTTAGACATGGTTCTCAGACATGTCCGTCAAGCATGTGCCAAGTATGGTGTTGTTGTTGTTGCTGTTGCTGTTGCTGCCTCTGGTGCCTAGCTGCCCGTTAGGGATGGTGCTGATGGTGCCTATCGTGCCTATGGCGCCTCTGCGGTCTGAGGTAACAGGTCTAGTGCCTCTCTCCCCAGCCACTCGCTTAAGGATTGCGTTGCCTCGTTCAATCTGCTTTGTTGTGTGCGTAACTGGTGATCATCGCGGCTTAGCGATGCCGGGGTGATTCTCCCTGGATACACGCTCGCTGGCTCGCTGGCTCGCTGGCTCGATCCCCCCCCTTCCAGACTCATTCCATTTTCCCTCTTATCACCATCAATTGTTACTGCTGCATACTCGCAAAGCAATCCTTCTACAAATCCACTCTGCGACTTGTCCATCTCATCCAGCTCTCCACTCTTTTTCCATTATTTGTCGCATCTCGTTTCCTCGTTGTTGTTTGTCCCGACTCTCCTCTCCCATCATTGACATTAATTTGCTCCGACAATTGCTACACGTCTGGTGCGACAATATGGGCTTGCCGTAAGTTTGTCCTCTCGCTTTTTCCCACCCCCACCCCTTTCGCATATGGCCGCGCCTGCGCGCGCCGCCGGTCAGCATCATTGTTTCTCCATGTTCATCGCCGGCAAGCCCAATTGCTAACCCAATATGTTCTCTTTAGTATGTTCCAAGATCCTGACGAGGTTGCCGGAGAGCAACCTGCTGCAAAACTCGATCAGATTGCAGCCGCAGCACGATCGAGTATCCGGCGCGAGTCCACCGTCCGACCTGGTCGATTAGCAGCCAGTCGTCGCGCTGCCATTGAACGAGCACGGGAACAAGTAGAAGAACGACTACGCCGCGAGCGTGAGGCTGACGAAGTGCTCAATAACTATGCCAATACCTTTCCACGATCACGGTCTCAACGCGACCCGCCCGAGAACGCTCAGGATTCAGACACCGAGGCCGGGCGCATTCGTTCCATCAGAATGAGGTCGCGATTGAGGACGCTCGGGCAAGTGCTTGCCAGAAGAGCTAACACCGAATCAGAACCCCGGAGTGATATGGACGTAGCGCTCTTGAGCCGGCCACGCGGCGAGTCTGGTGCAAGAACACGGGACGACCTCGCTTCAGATTTCATCTTCGACACCTTTATGTCCGAATCTGAGGAGGCCGGTCCTCAACCGCTTCCGCGCCCGTTAAGAGAGTCCGGCCTGAGATTCGAAGTGGGCGTGACCTCCCAGTCTGAGTCAGAATCGTCCCGTCGGCCTCGATTTTTTAATCCTCGCTCTACAAGAGTCTCCAGTCCATCCCGGAGCAGAAGACCGCCCTGGTCATTTTCGGTCCACCGGCCGGTATTTGCAGATGCGGAAGACGAAGAAAATGACAGTGCATACCGCTCCACTTCACAGCCTCGGGGATTGGGACGAGGCCCTGGAGACACTGCGATCAGTACTCCTCCGCCAGAAAGCCTTGAAGCTGCGTATCCGCCCTTGCGACGTGTCGATCATATTTCGCCGCGCCCGTTGGGTGAGTCGAGGCCAAGGGTTGACGGACTTGGAGACCGCCTGCGTAGTCCCAGCCCCATGTCTGATGGGCCCGTGGAGGAGAACTGGGCAAATCTCTTGAATACGATGGAATCAGGCCGATCAAGCACAGCGACTTCGTTTTTATCATCGCGGTCGGACTCAGGGATCGGCTCGAACCAATCGTCTCAGGCAACTACTGCGACCAGCTTTGGCGAAATAGGCGGGGACGACTCGTGCGATCTAGATCTTCCCTCGGGCATCACTGAAGAGGATGTTCGGGAAATACGTGCGCGGCACGGAAGGTTACAAAGAGATCCTCCTCATCATCTCCGGAGGCCCGAAACCCGGAACGAGTTAGTTTCTGAGGCGAACCAGAGCGAGCCTGCAAGGGGAAACGAGAGAGTTCTCGAATTGGAGGTGCTGACAATCATTCTCGACCGGATGCAGAGAAGAGAAGAGATCCCAGATGAGTGGTGGGCCGCCGTTGGTCTGTCACCGGACATTGTCAGAGGCAACGCTTTTGATCCGGCCAGGCAATATGCTTGAGAAACGGTTCAATAACGAAAGTCCCGAGGGCGCTTAACTGCACCTCGGATAAGAACAATAAACCCAATCAAACCGGCAACACACGAAGAGCAAAGTATGTGAAGCTCGATTCTCTTGCAGGCGGGAACAGAATGATGAAGATGGTTGTGGGAGGCGACCTTCGCCAGGAAAAGCAGAACGTCCCTTGTGTGGACACGATCTTGCAGGAAATATATTTTTTTTTTTTCAAACTGCAAACTACTGCCTTGTCCAAATGCGACCCGAAAAGTCATACTACTTTCGTGGCTGGAACACCTTATTGGATGCAAAGATATGTATGATGTGGAAAAGAGAAGGCTGAAGACAAACCTAGGACACGAATTCAATGTCAGAATCGAGGTTTGAGCCCCCTTGATGCACGCTGACGATTGGATTCAATGACTGGAACTGGAACCAAAATGACTTTTGCAGGATTGTTTGCCATGGCCGGACCGGAGCATTTCTGCTTTTGTCTTATAATCGTTGTATTTCTTGACATACCTACCTAAGCTGCGTTGGTCTGCGCCTTGCGACGACAGAAGAAAAGAAAAAGTCAAGACGGGTAATTCGCGATTGATTTCTGATCATCTACACAATCCTCTTCTTGTGTGCTGCTGTAGCCTGGTGGTACTTTTCTCCCAGCTGGAAAAGGGGATGCTTCTCTCCTTTCAGACAAATCGCATGGAGACGAACAAGGAAGGCTGTGAAAGAGGTCCATGGAGGAGGCGACCTTCATCCATTCGTTCACCGATCTCGCTTGTCGTCTCAAAACTTGATGACTTGATCTCCGCCCATTACACGTGCATTGCAATAAATCCCGTCTTAACTTGGTCACCTGCTTGCCATGTCAGGCCAGTCTCGATAGGAAAGAAACTTCAATTTTTCACATGCCCACCCCATCCGCCGCTAGTAATGCGATACTGTCCATCCTGGTCATCCTTTCCCTCCGCATCTCGTCCTCGTCCCTATCGTCTTCTTCTTCTCCTTGCAATTGGCCGTCCACGTTCCTGACTTCCTCGCTCCGCCAGGCCTCGTCCTCGACGCTGGGCACAATCTCCTGCACGGGCAATCTCTTCTCCAACACCTCCTTCGCGTTCTTCATGTCGTTTTTCTCCGTCCGGTCGAGGCTCTCTTCGAAGGAACTCGAAATGCCGGCGACGAAGTTCCGTTTCGCGACCCGCTGTGTCGCGGTGGCGATGTCCACGTCCACGAACCAGGTCTCGTCCATCAATGCGTGGGCGTCTCTCCATCCCGGCTCGTCCAGGGCCGTATAGAGGCCTTCAAAGAGGATGATCCGCGCCGTGGGCGGGATGGCGATGTCATTGGCCACAGGATCCTTCACGGCGTGGTCGAAGCTGGGTGCGTAGATGGTCAGTGTTTCTGGGCTGATAGGTTTGCGCACTTGCTCTACCAGTTTGAGGTAGCTGGTGGGGTCGAACGTGAACGCGGCGCCACGGCGGAAGATGGCTTCCTCTGCATTTGGCATCTCGCTGAGTTGTTTGCGAGTCAGGTGATAGCCATCGAGGGGGACGACAAACGCGATGTCTGGTCCTGAGCGGTTCGGACTGTTGGGGAAACGCCTGTTTTGATGGCTGTGGTGCGTTTTGTTGAGACCTGCACAGACGGAGGCCGCCAGCGTGGTTTTCCCACTACCTGGGATGCCGGAAATGGCGATCAGGAGGCGTTGCGAGCCATCGCATTTCTGAAACTTCCCTGAGATGTAGGCGTCAATGTCGGGGGAGAGAAGGCAATTAGATAAGGTCGCATGTCTTACCCCAGGTCTGATCAACGAGGCGTTGAACATGGGACTCCATGACCACTATATGCGAGATTCCTTGTTTGCGTTATACCGGGGGACGATATTGGGACTTTGAGTCGACCTCATATGCCCAGTTTTGTTTCCTACCTATCGATAGATTTGCGTGGAAGCTGGACTTGATCGGCCTATATCATTGTAACATGCACGAATACGAAACGGATCTCCTTATCAACAGTCGCTCAGCCGAGCAAGTGGATAACACTGGTCATATCTCACTGGCGAAACAAGGCCCGACTCCGGGGTGTCCAGTGTCCAGTGGCTGAAGGAGCGCGAACCTCGGGAGCAACGGCAACTTTTGGCCAAAAAAGTAGTAAGGAAATTGGCCAGATTCAAAATAGGTCGATGATCTCGACCCGAGACGAACGGATGTGCAAACAGTAGTTGGCACGTCTGTTTGGGGCCCCAGATTTCGGTGATCGCAAAGTTGGGTTGATAAACGAGGCAAGATGACTGGCGGACCGGCGGAACTGGAAATATATTTCTCCCACAAGTATCACGTGAAGTCACATGCGGCCTCAATTCCTCAAGCGATTCGATGCCCCTGTCAATCAAATCCGCCAGACTTCGCGTCGCCATCCCATCCCCAGACATCTGCAAAGGGGTTGTTCTTTTATGCATTTCTTTCAACAGCCAAACCACTCAACCACCTTCTTTCATATTCACTCCCTTCTTTCCACTCTCTTCCGACAGTTTTGGTACTAACCTACAGCAGCGGCATACTCTTGCCATTCCTTCTCAGTCACTCTTTCATCATATTCCCCCTTGTTGTTTCTGCCACTCGTTCAAACGCCCTTGAACGCCCTTTTTTGCGAATCCCTTCCCGACATACCTGGCAGTTCCTACCAACGCGTCAAATCCCAACCCACACCATCAGGCCCCGAACGAAAGCGAACTTAGACTCTCGATAAGACACAAAAGCCAAGCATCCACCATCATGAAGACGTCGTTGCTCCTTCCCTTTGTCGCCTTCGCCTTCCGCGTCCTGGCAGCTATACCTCCAGCATGCCTCCTCAGCGCTGTCAACACACAAAATGAACCAGGTGACCTGTCATCCATTTGCGGTAACGAGGCAACCGACGTGCAGAAGGCAATTGCTAGCATGTGTAGTGGCAATGCTGTCTCGGTGGCACAGTCTGCATTCATTTCGACTTGCTCTGCTGCGGGTTCTTCTGTCGGTACGTACTTCTGGATAAACGTGGAAGAGGGGAAAAAGAGCCTTGATAAGTTCGTTACTGACATTGTGCCCTTTTTGGGGAATTCGTAGCTCCATACACAGCATCCTCTTCAAACTCGACCACAAAAGGCTCCGCTACATCCACGGCCGGCACCTTCATCTACACCACCGCTGTCTACAACTCCGACTGCAGCTGTACCACGACAATCGTCACCTCCGCTACCACCGGCGCCGCTATCTCCACTGGTCTTGCAAGTGCCACGGCAACAGGTGGCAGTGGTGCTTCCGCGTCCAATTCAGCAGGTGGTGCAGCAGCGACCGGCAATGCTGCCGCGGACGCTAAGCAAGTGGGAAGCTTTGCTGCTGCTGTTATTGCCATTGCTGGTGTTGTTGCAGTTTTGTAAAAAGGAGCCGGAGTTTTACTTGGCAGCCGTCCCACGGAAAAGCAGAAGATGGCCTGGATTTTTGGGGGGGTATCATTGGTGTCTCTCCTCTGCTCCAACACCAGAGGGAAGACATAATGAGGTTTCTTGTCCATCCTATTGCAAAACCTACGAGATGTTGGCAGATGCTGTGGATTGAGATGAAACAGCCCTTTGATCGTTGTCGAATCTACCTTGGGATTTGTGTCATCCACTGGGTCCCGTCTTCAGTTGAAGGGGGAAAGAGAAATACGGCCAGGAAACAAAAAGAAACATGAGCGTCTCATACATACATACATACCTGCCTAGATAATGGGATGGACAGAAGATCAGAAACATTTGGCATGGCTGGCCAACGCCTTTTGTTGACAAAGCCACTTTTCTGACTCTTTTTTAATCTCTCACACACTCTCTGTCAAAGACCTAGCTGCCTCAAATGTACAGGTCTAAAATGCGCGTTCCCTCTTTTTGGTCGTCTTTGATGTCTCGCTCTTTTCCTGGGAAGTGACGCTGCTCTAGAAGACTTCCTCCCACACATGATGGAAAACAATGAGCCTCTCTATGCCGCGACAATCACCTCCGAAGCCAGTACACGTTTTCCAGGTACATAATTACAGTACCCACCCCGTCCTGTCCTATCCTAACCCATTTCTGCCTCGTCGTGATGCCTTTAGCGGAAACACATATCCTCCCTCCTCGGGCCTGTGCCAATCCACTTGATGGGCACTCCGACCTCCCTCTCGATGAATTCGATATATTCCCTCGCCTGGTCCGGCAGATCTTCGAACGTCTTGCATCCCGTCGTCTGAGTCATCCACCCCTTGAAGGTCTTATATTCTACCTCCATCTCCTCCATGACGTCCAGGTCCGCTGGAAAGCCTGGCAGTGTCTGACCGTTCACCTTGTAACCCGTCGCCACGCGGATTTCTTCAAAGCCGTCTAGGACGTCGAGTTTCGTTAGGTTGAGTTGTGTGTAGCAGTTCACGGCCGCAGAGTATTTGACCAGGACGAGGTCGAACCAGCCGCATCGGCGCTTGCGGCCTGTCGTAACGCCCCATTCGCGGCCGACCTCCTGTAGACGCTCACCGTATTCGGCGTCCTTGGGGGAGATTGCGGCGTTGAGTTCTGTGGGAAAGGGGCCGGCGCCGACGCGGGAGGTGTACGCCTTTACCACACCGACAATGTTGCTTCCTGGCGCAGAGAGGGATTGGGGAGAGAGGCCAGCAAGGCCGGTGAAGACTCCGCCAAGGCCAGTATTGCTGGACGTGACGTAAGGATAGGTGCCGTGATCGATGTCTAGAAGGAGTGCGTTAGCACCCTCGATCAAGATGTTGGGCTGGCGAGCACTGGCGCCGTTCGAATTCGCCGTAGCCATTCCCTTTGTCCCGACCGCCTGTGCCAGTAAAGGTGTCTGATCGACGACGTATTGCTGCAACTCTTCCCGATATCCGCGCAACTTTTCGATCTCTTCTTCCAGGTTGTAACCCTGCAGTGCTGCGTCGCCGTAGAGTTTGCGGTAGTTCGCTTCGAGATCTCGCAGGCGCCTCTCCCAACGCTGTTGTTCGTTGACGAGCATCCAAAAAGTCACACCTCTGCGGGCGACCTTGTCGCTGTAACATGGGCCAATGCCCTTGCGAGTAGTGCCGATCATGTTCTTTCCGCCATCGAGATTCTTGAATTTATCTTCGGAGATACCATCCACGACGCCGTGCAAGTCGAAACATACATGAGCACGGTCTGAGATCAGAATGCGCTCCCGCACGCCCTGCAGGCCTTTCTCTTCCAGCCCCTTCAGTTCTTTGAAAAAGCTGGGGATGTGCACGACACAACCGGTGCCGATGAGGTTGATTTGGCAGGAGGGGTTGATGAGGCCAGAGGGGAGGATGTGGAAGTCATATGTCACATCGTTGACCACGATGGTATGGCCAGCATTATTGCCCCCCGCGGCGCGGCAGACGAGATCAGCGGAGGAAGCAAGGATGTCGACAAGCTTGCCTTTGCCTTCATCGCCCCATTGAGAGCCCAACACCAGAGTAACGGGCATGGCTGACGGTTATGAGAGGGTGGATGTTGAGGTAGAGGTGTTGAAGGGAATGCAGGCCGAAATCGGAGCAAGTGGGAGGAGGACGGAGAGTCTAGATTGCGTTTTGTTTTGGGGTTTTAGACAAGAAGGCCGCTGCCTTGATCTTCAGGTTGACATGTCTGTCATTGTCTGAGAATTCTGACCTCCAGGTTCAAAGACATGTCGCAATGCTGGAGCAAACAGAGGATGTCGATTGACTCAGATTTTGCAGGATGGATGGTGGGGTTTGAAGTTTGGGGTTGAGAAAAGATTCTTCGGAAAAGGCACTGAAGGCACTATTACGATTTGGTGGGGGTCTCAATGCCTCGCGAAGAAAAAAGCAAATTTGCTGCATCTCATCCCATGTCGCCTCCCATTTGCTCGCTTCCTGTTTACCTTCTGTTCCAAAGGGGAAGTGTATCGGATTCACCTGTCATATTCTTTGGCACATCCAAACCGAGTGGCACCCCGCAGAGTGGATTCCTGTCCGAAATATTCCGTCTGTGGCAGACAACGCTTCCCGCCAGGCGTGTGGGCACTGTCCAAACACAATCTCTTACTCCAGAGATCTCTTTCTGGTCCAGACAAGCATAAACACCAAGACAACTACAGCTTGCAAAGAATCCCCAGGTAAGATTCTGACGCCGTGTCTCAATGGCTTCTCAGGAAAACGGTGGGTTTCTCAATCCCATTCCCAATACATACCCTCCCGCTGCTTGTTCTCATGTCTGGGAGACAAACATCTTTCCCTCCTTATTGCTCTCCCAGTCTTGATCTGGCCCTTCAATTAGTGTGAGCCAGCTTTGTCCTCAAGAAGAGTGCCTCAAGGGAACAATGAACAGAATGGCTTCCTCTTGGTGCGTAGTTGACACCCAAACCATCGCAAATACGAAATAGACTATCACATCAATCAATGTTCCAGATGAAACGAATATATATATATCACCAGCACAGTTGTGGACAGAACTGAGATCTTTCTTCATTCACACACAATCGCCTCAGCTTTACAACCGCTCTGCCTTTAGAAGCTCTACCATAATCTTTGATCGAAAACACTTCGCAACCGGTCATGTGGGATTTCTCCAGATTCACTTCGGGAATGCATTTAGGCCGAGGGCGTCGAGGAGACCATCATCCACAACCTCAGCGCAGTCCCCGCTTCAACGGTGGCCACCGCTTTCCAGACGCATCCCTCCTTCACAATTTCCGAGACGAAGAGCTCCATCGCGCAATAGCTCGTGCCAACGACCGCGCGGCAGCGTTGCACAGGGAGTACGTATACTTGCAGAAGCGGCACGAAGCGCTACGGGAACGAGTCCGACAGTTAAATGCGGAGATGAAGAGCCAGCGAAGAGGTCTCATGCGTTGGTTGGACGTTCGAGACGCGTATCTAGAGGAGAACAAGGAGAGGGAGCGGCGACAGGAGAGGGAGAGAGGGGGGAGGCGATGGGAGCAGCCCAGAGGAGAGAGGGGGAACCACAGGGCGAAGAATGTGAAGGGGAATCCCCATCGTGGCCGGTGAGGAGGCAGGCCAATTCTGGATGTGCGAGACGCGGTAGGACTTGGTTTCTGTCCAGGGAGGTACCTCACGCTTCAATGCGGCCAAGATCGCACAAAGGGCTGAGGGTCGCAATATGGATGGGAGCGAGACAGTGACGGTCGAAGGTCCAAAAAACATTGCTGGAGATCTCTGGCACGGAGGAAATTCGTGTCCTGGTGAAAAGGACCCGGGTATCTACGGCAGGAGTCTACTGGCCGCAAATTCTGTCTTCGTTTTTCTAGAGGTCAAGTACGGCCAAAAAAAAAAACAAGGAGGGAATAAAAGGGGGTGGAAGTCTTGCCAGCAATAGAAATACTTGCGGAGTCAATATCGTGTATTCGTATCCGCGCACCTTTTATGGTTCTTCGTGCGCCATCCGGAGAAACAATGTCCAACAATACTCGTTAACTTTGCAGCAGGCACTGACATGCATCCAATCCACCCATCCATCCATATTCCAACGCAAAGACATCGGCGTCCTTCCCTTTTTTTGGCCTTATCCTTTTCTTTGTACGCCTTTGCCTGGTTCAAGAAGAAATCTGAGACAGAATCGATGCCATGGTTCCCGTGAACGCCCCTCAATTTCCATCTAAACGCCCGTTCGAAAGTCGTAACCGTAGCCGTAGCTGAAGAAACTCGTAAAAATAAAATTCCACAAAGAAAAAACTCAACACGACTCAGAATCTATCGCCCACCATTCCCCTGGGCACCACAGGTCGAGCATCGTACCCGAACCCGTCCAGGTCTTGTAGCGCGAATCCAGATCCCGAGCCATAGGCATACTCGTCGTCAGATTGCTCGCCGCCCTGTCTTCTAGCAGCACTGTCGCGGCGAGCAGGAGGCCACTCCCAGCGGTGTGCTGGCTCTTCATTACTGTACTCACTTTCGAAGCTGCCGCGGATACGGTACACGGCATCCAGCTCAGCTGGCATTGGGGGTGCAGACATCGGGTTGGGCGGCGTCTGCGCAGCAAAGTGCGTTTGCGAGCTCGAGCGAGAATGCGAGTGCTCCATCCTGTCACTGCGGGGATGATGTCTGTGTTGAGTGTCTTTTGATTTCCGACGTGGTTTGGAGATGTTGGTGGTCATGGGTGACGCAGGATGAGAAAAGTTTGAGATGCCACTACGTGGTGAGGTGCAGAATGATTGGGATCGCGGCGTGGTAAGAGTCGACGGGGACGACGGTGGTGGCATGTTTTCGAAGTTGAAGGACTTGAAAAGCTCAATCTCGCTTTGCTTGGGGCTCAAAGCTCCAGCGCTGTCAGGGACGACCGTAGTTGCTAGACTTGAAATGGTGGCAGCTCGTGATGGGTTCCGCTCACGGGGAGGTACCTGAGGCGCCATTTGCATGCTGGTGCCTGGACCTGATGGAAGTGGTGGTCCTGGCGGTCCTGGCGGTCCTAGCGGTAGCTGCGGAGTCGGATAGAAAATAGATTTAATGACGAAGACGACGCAGATGAGAACTCCCAAGCCGCCTAGGCCAACGGCCATAAACCAGCCGCCACGAATGCCGGCAAGTGGATCACGCCCATAATTGTTTACATGAATTTCAACAGTAGAGGCGAGACCAAGACCGAGAGAGATGGAGTAGTTGACCACGGTGCTGATGAGACTGCCAGCAACACCTTGTTGCTGAGGAGGAAAGAAGTTGGACATGATCAGTGTGGCCGCTGGAAAGGACATGTCCATGCCAAAAGGCATGACAACGAGGCTGGCGAACGTCCAGCTCCAGTATACCGTCTTGTCGACGTTTGAGTCGATGGCCAAAAGGAGCGGCCCGAATGTGAAAGCCACCAACGCCCAGAACAGAGTCCAGGAGGGGCAGCACTTCCGCATCATCCAAGCGGTCAACACTGAGGCAATCAAGGCGACAGGGACGATTGGTAAGACATGCACTGCCGCCTCAAGGGGAGCATCTTGTTTGATCCCAAGGAGAAATTTCCACAGAAACCACGTCCATATTCCAAAGGTGGCCCATCCACAAGCCACAGCGCCGAGGACAAACCCAACATCTGCCTTGAGCATTTTGAAAGGCACCAAAGGTTGTTCAGCGATTTTGACTTCGGTGATGACAAAGAACACAATGAGCAAGATGCCAATAATCAGCAGCATGAAAATGTACTGTGTGCTCCAGCCGGAGGCGGGAGCGGAGACTAGTGAGACTTGAACGCACACCAGGCCGCCAACACCTGTGAGAGCCCCAAGCCAGTCCATATCCCGCAGTTTCTCCTTGACGGGTAGCATCTGCTTTGGTGTCGGTGGTGGAGAGACCAAAATACTCGATGCGGCGATGGCTAGAAAACAGCTTACGATGGCCAGAGTATAGAAGCTCCACCACCAGGTTGCAAACTTGGTGAATAAGGCACCAAAGATCATCCCCATGTAGGCTCCAACTGGTGCACAAAGACCAAACAGAGTGAAGGAGAGGATCTTCTGTTTCGACCCCGGGGGATAGGTTCGGCCCAGCAGTGCTAAGCCATTTGGCACCATCAGACTCGCACCGAGACCTTGGAATCCCCGAGCGACGAAGAACAATTCATAGCCAGCGTAATGGCTTAGCCCAGCCACGACACTCCAGAAACTGAGGAAGGAATAGCCGATCACGACCATTGTCTTATGCCCGAATATGTCACCAAGTCGTCCTCCTATTAGGATGAATGTTCCAAACGACAATGCGTACGCTGCGACGAGCCATGGCAGTACCGAAGGATTCGATATCGAGAAAGACTGTGCGATGTCCCGGCTGACTGGAAAGACTGTCGTCAAGGTCGATTGAGGAATAAGTTGAAGGAATGCCACCATCAAGTTAAAGAGAATCTCTTGTTGTTTTGACATGCGAGTGAACAGCCAGCCGCCTGGAGGCCCAGGAGGTCCAGTCGGCGGTCCTGAAGGCATCGGTGCCTTTGAATGAAGAGCTTTCTCCATATCGACAGGAAGTTTGCTAGTGTGGTGGTGGTGACTTGTTGGGGTGGAAGGAATGCTTGACTTCAACCTATCGAGATCTCCGAGAGTCGTGACAGATAATATAGGGAATGCGCATTTCGCCAAAAGGAACGAGCGGGCAATGAGAATGTTAGGCCCAATTGACACACGGTTTGAGCAAGTGGTTGAGAAAAGGGTCGAAGAAAGGGATACAAGACTATAAAGTAGTATACCTTACCACAAATGTAGCTGCGTGCCAGGGTACTCCCTACGTGTCGCGGTATTCTTCTGCCCTCGCACACCGGCGCCGACTCACCGTTTGTATAACTCGAGGCCCATGTCACTTTTCTTGGAAGACGCATCCACAACATATTACTTAAATCGTCATGAACCTTGTAAAGGTGTTGGGTTGTGCAGTGGGATGAAAGGTGGAGATTTCCAAGCGTCACTCGGAAGGCATACTCGTATAACATGGGTCGTCAGAAGCCACCAAAAAGCCACCACTTTTAAGGCTTCAAACCAAGATGCAGACCTTGGATTGGACATTGGACAAGGCCGTCGGGTGCCAGTTCCGAGGCAGACATTCGCAGTCGATCCCTAATGAGCCAAGAATGTTGTGATTTTCAGTGCCCTTGCAGAAGATCTTCTTATGTCCTTGTTCAATGACGATCTCCCGTCCTGTTCGAAGTTAACAAGGACTAGGCACCTACTCATGGTGAACAAGGGCAATGATGATGAAGATCACAGGCTTCCCGGTTGGGAGATATCCGGACTTTGATGCACAGCGAGAAGAGAAATAGACGGTCGAGATGATCAAACAAGGGTGTCTGGTATAAACCCAGGCCACTGTATTCACGAAGATGTTGTACCACGGAGTAAGAGGCCTCGGGCACAGAGCGAACGGGGCTGAAGATGGGTTTGGGGCTGCATGACGCGATAGCAGGCTGAAACGAGGTGCCACAGTCATGATAGAGGCATCATTGGGCAGAAGAACAACGTGCATCTTTCAAGTGATGAGGAATGACAGGCAGAGTTGGCGTCGAGGAAATTTGATGGAAGGGTCGGAAATTGCAACCACAGATTGATCCTTATCAAATGCCAAGACAGGCTCGATAGCAGCCTCAATTTCCGCCCACATTCTATCACTCAACATTACTCACCACTACACGGGAGGGATGCCTGTAGAACGCGCTTCTAGAGGCTGTCATTACTCTGACCCTGAGAGAGAGAAGCACATACCTCCGCACGGAAGTAAGAGACCGATCACTGATGGAGGTGTCTGCAGTCTTCCGTGTGCAACAATCGCCCGCGTCAGGATAGTGCTTTTGGGGGCCAGGGTTTGCTGCATTTGATCATGGATGAGACCGAGACACGGGCGCGACTTCCAATACGGAAACAGGACCCGAAGAACAAACTCTCAGTGTCACCATCTTCCGACCAGAAAGACCCGGTAGAGGGTCTGAGCCGCGAGAGTGCTGAGAGCGCGTCCTGGATGAAAATGCATTAGCATATCACGGGCGACCTGTCATGGACGCAGATTGCCGAATCCACATCTCTTTTACGAGTACGCGACTCATCTGCATCAACCCCTGCCTTTCATGTGACCAAGGACTTCGAACGAACGATTGTGGCATATCTTTTTGCAATCCAGCTGGTATTTCTTATTTTCTCGCCCGCGCTTGGTTTGGGGCGTCCACTCAATCGAGAGGAGGCACGCCCGAGCTCAGGTTGTACTGCGTTGAATGCTGCACGTAAGTGACCCCTTCCGGCGCGCCTGCAGTTTCTATGTTTGCCTTTCGCAGGGCGGAAAATGGCCGCAATGAAGCAAATACCAAGGCAGAAGAGCGTGAATGGTTCCACAAGGCTGCTTTTTGACTGACCCAAGTTCCTTCACTGCAGGCTACGTATTTTCGCCCGGAACACAGGGTACAATGTCTGGAAGTCTGTTACTGGTACATTCGAACGGGGCCCAACCGACAACAGAGACACAGCCACCTTGTACCGAGACGGATAGTTCCATTGAAGCAATCTACGTACGGACTCTCGCCCATGCGTCCTATGCCGGATCTTGACTCGCTCTTCGAATCCAGCCTAGGACTTTGGATAATCATGAACCTGGTCAATTGTTGACAATTAAGCGGTGTCTGCGACCTGCTTCAACAATGCGTGCACCGATTCAAAGGCCTTCTTTGCAAACGGTCCCATGTCGTCCCCGTACTTCTCCGGGCCCTTGCCATCGAATATTTCCACCGACACCCAGCTTCTGAACCCAGTCTTGAACACGGCTCTGGTGAAATCTTCTACTGGCAAGCATCCACCGTCGTATGGCAGCGGCCGATAATCATGGCTCCACTGGCCCCGAGGTCTCAGGCCGCTGTCGTCTGGTTTATCGACCAATGGCGGCTCCATCTTGTATGCGTCTGAGATCTGCAACAAGAATATCTTCTCCGGAGGGATGGTCTTCGAGAGCTCTTCACAGCTCCTCTTCCATCTATTGTCCAACTCTTCGGCACTGACGTGTTCGATTCGTCCAGATTTCGTCGTCGGGCTGCCCCATTCTCCTCCTGCGCTCTGGAAGGTGTCGAGGCATAACCCCAGATTGGGTCGATTGGCCTTCGTGACGATTTCCCAGACATCCTTCCATGTTGTAGCGTGCGTGGCCCAGCACCAGTTTTCGTATGCAATTCGAAACCCCTTCTCGGCAAAAATATCTGCAAGCTCAGCCAGGTCGGAAGCCAGGTGGTCAAAACTAGACGAGATGCCCTCCGCATCAGAAGATCCAATCTGTTCTTTTTGTTAATCCTGCCGTGTTACGTCCCGGATAGGAGAAAATCGGAGCCTACGGACCTGAAGCATATCTGTCCCAACGGCCTCCATTATGCTCATCCACCCTCTGGCTCTGTCGAAAACATCTTTTCTCTCATCGCTTCCTCTAGGCCAACCCTCAAAGTTGGCGAATGGCTGTAACATCAGAACCTTCAAGCCTTCCTTTTCGCACAGCTTTCCGATCTCTGCGGCGACGGATCGAAGTGTTTGATAATCCATTGGATCAATTTCTGCCTTACTCTTGGAGACTTGTTGACCGTACGAGAGGATGTCAGGCATCGAAAGCTCAATGGCGTCGAATCCAGCATTGGCAAGAGTCTTCAGCTTGGCCGGCAGCGTATGCTTCGAACTTTCATATCCTATGGAGCAGGAAGCATAGCAGATCGGAATCTCCTTCCCATTGAAGGAGGCCATGCTGATTGCAATAAACCTTGCTGTGAGTGGTGTGCTTCTCTTCTAGCTTCCAAATTCCCTTGTCTCTTGCGCACAGGTGGCCCAAAGAGAGAAAAAGGGCCCTAGTATCTTACTACGTGACCTTTGGGGTTTATATCAAGCCTAAGGTATTGTGTACCTCGATTTCGTCACTTTTTATCAATTCGGTGGATATCCGCCTGAGCTCGGAATACAACATCCAGCATTCCCCCATGACGTCAAGATATGTGAAAGAAATACTTCCTCTTTACCTCGTACGCATGCATCTCACCGTGTCTCCCTTAATATTTGGTTTTCAATTCACCCATGGCATGGACTAATGACAGACTTCCCCCTAAACCGGACTTTACGGCTAGATAACCAAAAGTCTTGTTGTAACCATCGGGCAGATACGTTTCCTATCAAATAGTGTCGGGCATCTAAACACACACCATGCGTCAAGAGAACCGCCCAGAGTTCAAGAAAGTAAGCCGACAAGATCATCACGAACCACGACGTCAAAATGTACGCATGCTGACCGCTGATACAGCTTGGCATGATTGGAGTGGGGAGTATGGGTGGGATGATGTCTCTGTTATATGCTGAACATGGAGTTGAGGTTCACTACTACGACCCGAGTATGAGCTTGCAGATTTCCCTCATGGCCTCACTTCCTGTATCACAATCACTTGAGCTAATTTAGGATTGAACAGGTGAGGAAAACGTCAAGCAACTCCAAGACCACGCTGAATCCATCCATGCTGGCAATCGTATTGTGCACCAGAAAGACTACAGGGAGCTCTGCGAAAGCATTTCGTCACCAGACTCACCCAAGCTCTTCGTCTTCAGTATACCCCACGGTCCCGTCGGGGACAAGACTGTTGAAAGTCTACGTCCGTATCTAAAGACCGGTGACATTATACTCGACTGTTCAAACGAAGACTGGCGGAACACAGAGCGCCGACAGAAGGCCCTCGACCCCGATGGTATCCACTATATTGGCTGCGGCGTAAGCGGCGGGTATCAAAGTGCCAGACACGGCCCCTCTATGTCCCCCGGAGGTGATGCCGAGATCCTGAAGAAGGTCATCCCATTCCTTGAGCGAGTAGCCGCGAAAGACAAGGAAGGACGCCCGTGTACAACGTGCATTGGACCAGGAGGTAGTGGGCACTACGTGAAGATGGTTCACAACGGCATTGAACAAGGCATGATGTCTGCCATTGCCGAAGTCTGGTTTATAATGAACAGATGCTTGAAGATGACATATGAAGCAATCGCTGACACATTCCAGTCGTGGAATGAAAGTGACCCGCTCAGAGATAACTTTCTGGTGACAATTGGCGCAGACATCAATCGCACCAAAGACCAGGAAGGACACTTCGTGCTAGCCAACGTCCTCGACAAAGTCGTCCAAGACGTTGATAACTCTGAAGGCACAGGCGTCTGGACCTGCGATGAGACGATTCGTCTACACGTGCCCTCACCCACCATTGTCACTGCACACTTGTTCCGCCTTGCTTCAGCAGATGCTGCTAAGCGGGAGAGAGTTAACAGGGCTTTCAAAGGCGGCGCAGCACAACCGACAACCATCAAGTTAGAAGTGCCACATGAGAAAGCCCTACCATCGTTCATCAAGGACTTGAAGCTCGCCCTGTACGCAGCATTTCTCTGTGCATTCACCCAGGGGCTCAGCATCATCAAAGCCATGGATCGCGAGCAAGGCTGGAACCTCGATTACCGGGCCATCCTGCAGATCTGGCGAGGCGGCTGCATCATCCAGAGTGACTACATCTCGGACCTACTCGACCGGGTCCTGTCATCACGATCTGACACTCAGTCTCCCAACGAGATGGCCGTGGACGACCTCCTCTCGCAAGACGACGTCGCCGCAGAGTTGGGAACTTGTTTCTCGTCGCTGAAGAACGTGGTCCTCAAATCCCTCGCGGTCGACGCCTACATTCCGTCTCTCTCTGCCACGCTCGAGTACATCAAATACTCGGGCTCGACGGAGCTGCCCACGCAGTTTATGGAGGCCGAGCTGGATTACTTCGGTGCACACAGCTTCGATCTGAAGTCCGAGGGGCCCGGAAAGTCGCTCAAGGGATCCCATCACTACGAGTGGAAGCCGCCCAGAGGCATCTTTGGCGAGAAGTTGGACGGGACGAAATAAGTCTGTCTGTCTTTCTAGATGAGAAAGGCAAAAGATCTTGGTTCCAAGTTACCTTGGGTTTGCACATTGCCCTTACAACCTAAAACTCCCAGAGAGATGTGCCATCAGTAGACAGTAGGTCGATAGAAGAGATACTATGCAGGAAAAACCCCTCCCTCTCTAATGCCGTATATGCAAAAGAAAGAAGGTTTCTAGCTCTACCTGCAGAAAGCTCAAAGAGTTGAACTCACATTATAACTCACCCGACTGGTCCCTTTGTTCCTACTGATCTTCTTCACCCCGACGTTGCCACATAGACCCGTCGTGTCCACATGGGTGCCGCCACAGGGATAGGCCTCTGCGCCGACGATCCGGACGACTCTGAACTTCTCCCCGGGGCCCGGCAGTTTGACGCCTTCGTCGTCTCGAGGGATCAGCCTCTCGAGCCCTTCCCTCCGAAAATCGCTTTCGTCCCAGAACTCAATTTCCACGGGCATGGCGCGGGCGACGTAGTCATCGACGCGCTTCTGGATGGGCTCCTTCCACTTCCCCTCGATGAGGCCCTGGAACTCGCAGGCCGCCGAGTCCGGGAAGTGCGAGGCCTTGAGCTCGTCGAAGCCGGCGATCTCGTGCTCGAGCAGGTGCCGGACCGCGGCGCCGAGGACGTGCCCCGCCGTGTGTAGACGCGAGTACAGGAGGCGTTTGTCGACGTCGATGGCCTGTGTGGCTGGGGCGCCCGCGACGAACGTCTTGGCTGGATCGGCGAAGCGGCCGAGATGCAGGACCACGCCGTCGTTGACGACGTCCATGCGCACGGCGGAGACGTCGAATCTTGCGCCGTCGTCCGAGGGCGATGTGATGGAGCCCGTGTCGGACGGCTGGCCGCCTCCTTGCGGGTGGAAGATTGTTTCGGCTGTGGTCACCACAAGAGAGCCTTCGTCCGGTGCCGTCTTGAAAAGTTGCCTGCTGGCTTCGGCAAGTTGATGGAACGGTGTGATGGACGTGATGAGGGTGGAGAGCGTGTAGAGTTTTGCATTGTGCTGATAGGCAAGCACTGTTCGGGGAAGAGATGTCGACATCGTTTGATTTACCCCTGGGGGTCTCGCCAGTGGTGGGTAATAGTATTGCAGTAAGAATCAGGTCGAGATATTGTTTGCCGTTGCAAATTTGTGTGCACTTCGCCGCCCTATTCTAGGCGTGGGGCTCATGGATAGATTTTCACGTCTATGACTCAGATGAATAGAAAGGTGGTCTATATTGTATTATGGAATTGTAAGGAATGCACAAGAAGGAACAAATATTGAGAAAGGGATCGAAGAAGAGTTATCACAGGGCGCAATACTAAAAATATGGCACCTGCCCAAATAGGCAATGCGACAGGGACAACACCAATGCTACGAAGGACTTACCATTTGCCCAAGCTGCGCTGACATGCTCTACCTGGCCTCCTACAAAATGTTGTGGATCTCCTTTCGGGTCGCAAGATGTGTTCTTGCTTCTTCTATGATATCATGTCCAACAAGCCACTGGACCAGAGCTGGATGTGGAAACTGTTGGGCCATATCCTCTGCCGGAATGGCCAAGGGAGTGTCCTCTTGCAACTGCTTCTCTAACATCGCTTTCTGGGCCCTCCAGATTTGATCCCTTGCTTCTTGCATTGGTCCATCTGGTAGTGCAAAAGTGGTCGCGTTCTCACGAGAGATCTCCTGGATCCGTTCGCACCGAGGCCTCCGGAGGTGCTCATAGTCTTTTGCGGCTCTTGGAAGATCTGCTATCCCATTGCAAGTTGCAATGCAAAGACCAAGAACTTCGGCGTCCTCGAGCGACGTAGCAGCCCCAGAGGCGGCGTGTGGTGCCATAGCGTGACAAGCATCTCCCACAAGAATAACACGTCCGTTTGGACTTGACCAGGTAGGCAACGGTGGTAGGTCGGCTAACACCCACTTTGCGCAGCTGTCGATGGTGTCCAGTACGGCCTGAACAGTCTCATTGAAGTCTTTGAACACCTGACGCATCTCTGAGACGTCGCCTGGTTCATTGTATTGGCCCAACGGTGCGTCGCCATGGTCTGGAACCGTCATCACCAAGTTGTAAAACTTACCCTTGGCGATTGGGTAGGAAATGATGTGCTTGAATTGGCCAGCCCAAGCCTGTTGGCTCTGGTTGTCTATCAGAGTAGCAGTTACAGGATTTTTGAGCATCTCCTCACGTGGTATCAAGGCTCGATAGCAGTAATTCTCCGTTCTTCGAGGGACGACGTCCTTCAGGGCGGGAATTGAGCGGCGGGTCCTTGAATGTATACCATCAGCTCCAATAATCAGGTCTGCGCGCAGCGATCTTCCACTCGCCAGTGTCACCTCCACGTTATCGACGTCAATAGCTACGACTTTTTGGCCAAAGTCGATCTTGACGCCTCTTGTTGTAGCAGCATCCGCAAGAATTTTCTGGTAATCGACTCGATGAACAAGCCAGTGTGGAAATCCCCGCAATCTTGTGGAATAGTCATTGACGTTGGCGGGAATGAGACCGATAAGTTCGTCGTCCTCATATCGCCTGATCTCGGTGAAATCTGGACAGGTCGCTACCGCCTCGAATTCCTCGCGCAGCGCCCAGCTGCTGAGGACGCGAGATGCCGCAGCAGAACACTGAATACCAGCGCCGGCTTCAGTCAGGACCGAACTGCTTTCGAGAATCAGAATTTGATGTTGTGTCTTCTGAGAAAGACTAATAGCGGTTGCAAGACCAGCAATTCCAGTGCCGATGATGATGATCTGAAATGAAGCCATTTCCTCCGTGTTTCACGAGGGATTGAGATGTCGGTCGAGCACTACAGGCTCGCTAGAGATGCCGAGGGTAGACACGTCGAGCCTCTGATATGATAGCAAGCCAAGAAGTGTTGCTACAACACCCTTTCGGCTTTTCAACAGCACAGGTGAAATAATGAGCTTCTGTCGACGTCTTGATTTGGAGATCGAGCACTTGCCTACCTTGACATGGGACGGAACTTTAGGCAGCTCTAATGCATAGGGTGAAGGCCCCCCCGCCTCGCTTAGAGCATGATGAAGCTCTGGCACTATGTCCACAACTCTCGAGGTGTCAGGAACAATAGCAAGAACCTGACCCTTTTTGCTCGGGTTTATCATGGAAAGTCGGAGAGACGCGCCCCCTATGACACCTTGGACGCCATGGACGCCACACAATGAAGAACTGACCAAAGTCTTTACCCCCCGAGTCGCAAAAGGGGGGATTTAGTCAATTGATTTTCCGCTACCTGCAGAAGTAGGTCTGCCGAGCGTGGCGTTGTCGCGCAATTCCAACTTCGGCCTCATTCTGGTCGATACTTGACACAGTATGGTTTTGTAGTGATTTATCCTTGATCACAGTCTGGTTCTTACTTAACTTTGCCTGATTTTGGCCATTAAAGTCGCCTCAATTTCACCTCACTTCAAATAGTCATGGAGCAGGAGCCGGAAACCCCGGTGTCTGGGTCACCCTTGTCAGATATCGACTCAGACGAATTTCCTGAAGACAAGTTCCACCATAGATCGCGTTCCCATTCAAGAGACTCTACCATCTCTGCCTCAGACGATGAGACCGCATCTGCTATGAGCGCTACAGCGGTGGCTCTCGACATCCCTCCCGCCAAACGTCGAAAGACTGGCGTTTCAAGCTACGATCATGCCACTCCTCAGTCAGCTTCAACCATCATCCCTCCTCGCTCGCCAACAGGCTCAATATCAAGCGACTCTTCAGGCTCGGTGCCTACTTCGCCTTCGTTTGCCAACCTTGGTCCGACGCATCCCTTGTCGACCGCGTATGCAGCGGCACAAGCCAACCCTGACAATCCCGAACTGGCAGACTATGTGCAGGTGACAAAGTGTCTATGGGACGGCTGCACAGATCAAGAGCAAGGCAACATGGACAACTTGGTTTCGCATATCAACGACGTTCACATCGTACCACGTCAGAAGAAGTATTACTGCGAGTGGGAAGGCTGCGCTCGCAAGGGCCAGCCGCACACGAGTGCTTACGCGTTGAAGGCGCACATGAGAAGCCACACCAAAGAGAAGCCTTTCATGTGCGCCTTACCCGAGTGCGACCGTAGCTTCACTAGGTCTGATGCTCTCGCAAAGCATATGCGTACCGTCCACGAGACCGAGGCCCTGCGTCCTAGTGATCCAGTGCCCAGGGGTCATACTGGCGGAATCTCGAACGGAGGATCATCTAATATTCCGATCAAAAGGCTGAAGCTGACCATGGGCGGAAAGATCAATGGCGACAAAAAAGCCACCCTGGTCGGGGATTTGCCCTCACTACCGACTCGATATACGGTTACTATGATGGGACTCAACCCCGATGATGTTGTAATGGCCGAAGATGATGGGTCAGAAGAGCTCACTGACGCAGTTGACGTGGACAGTGTTCCGCTGTCTTTGCCTCTTCCTCCAGACTACTACCCGACCGATATCTGGGACGATATGGACGAGTACGAGCGCAATCTTCCTCCTTCACAATGGTTCCGTCTTTTGCGCCGGCAAATACACTGGGCTGAACAAGAAGGACGTGATCTGCAACAAGAGCTGGAAGGCCTACGGGCAACGACGGAAGACGCCAAGGGTAATCCGGTTAGAAAGGGAATGGGAGACGAAAAGGGAGCTGATGAGAATCGGAGGATGGAATGGCGTCGATCGGAGGAGCTGCTGGACGCAGTGTTGCGGGCTGAAGTCGGACAAGTTTTGGAGATGTTCACTGATGAGAAGGTAGATGATCGAAACCCGTGGGAAATGCTCAAAGGCCTAGACGCGCTCACGACGACCACCACCTCAGCGGCTTCAGTGGCATGAGCGATAGCGCAGGATGGCTCCCTGACGGACAAGCAGAACCCCTATAAATTGGCTGAGATGTGTGACCACCGACTAATAGTACTGGACCACGCGTTTCGACGGGGTTCAATCACCGTTTCCGCCACAAGCACCTTTCTGGTGCTATATTTGCATGCGAATAACGGTCAGGACCTGCCAACGCCTTCCGAACAGCACCGGTTCAAGGCGCCTTTTATGCAGAGAATCGTTGGGTTGCCATCTCACCGTCGACTTTGGCGGTTTAAATGGCATTACTCCTCGTCACCTTCGCTGGAGCAACTAAAAATAGATTGCTACCTAGCTCCGACGACGTCTCTTGCTTTGTCTTCCAGTGCAACTTTTCTTTTCTTTCAATATGCCTCAACACACGACGACCGCCCTCATTTCCTCCTCGAGCCCCACGCCGTACGAAGCTCGAACTACCATATGCTATCCAAATTCTGTCAAAAGATCTTTCCGGGGGCTTCCCCTCACCATCAAATCGACCATCAGCCTAATACCCAACAGCTTGAATTTGCAGCTATGGAAGGATGCTATATTTGTCGAGTAGTATGGAGCCATGTTCTAGTCAACTGAATCATCGGAACGCTCCTACACGAGCAAGGCTCGGCGAGAGCGTCACCGATTTCAAAGCACGACTTCAGGCCAGTAGGCCTTCCAAGCTCTCTCACAAAGGCTATGGATCATATGGCGCCTGTCAACTTTCTCGCCCATGAGTATGTCGTTCATAGAACTGGGAATGTGGTCATATTTTAGCTGCAGAGATTATGACCTGATCATAATGGTTTGAGCTCGAGTATGAGCTTAGCAAGAATGTGGCTCCGTCAATGTTTGGATAAGCATGAGAAGTGTCAAGCTGCGCTATCGTGTGAACTAAGTACCAGGTACCCAACTCGTCTCCTCTAGATTGGACAGCCTGAAGAGGATAAGATCCCCCTGTTCCTTTATCCGAACAAAGGAGGAGTAGAAGCCCGATATGCAAAGGTCAGTGATTGTTAGGGTCAATCGCAACCATCACGATTAACATCGGAATCAACGTCACGTCTCAAACAGGGCGTTGCAATTTCAGAACTCGGCCAAACGATTCAAAGATACCATTTTTGTTACTCGTTCTTTGGGTATTCAGCTACGGTGGATCGGCTCCCTTTGCATATTTCGGGACTCACGGGACGGATTGGAACGCGAAGTTCCTCTCACGAGTAGTGTGTACAGGTATGCACTTCTAAATCTTGCGGCAAGTGCTGCCGTTGATGACAGGGTCGGCTGTCTTCCTGCCAGAAATCCCTCCCAGATCAAGCCGTGTACTATCCAGACTGAGTGGCTTGAGACCATAACAACGCCGCCTACCATCTCTACCACAACTTTTTCTGGGAGTTTGCTTTTGCTGGAATGCCCCTGTTGAGATGTGCGTAGGTTCTCTCAGAATTACTTCTGGCCCCAAGAATCCTTCATTTAGGAGGCACACAACTATTCTGGGGATGCAACGAATTAGCCGCACGTGAAAGCCATCCATATGGCAGGCCACCAAGCACGCTTCAACGGGACAGCGCTCGAGAGATCGTATGGTATGCGATCAACAAAATTGAGCGTCCTTCCGAAGATATGGCCTGTTGTGTTCAATGGGCTCTGGAGAGAACAGGTCATACATATGGCATGCCCAGGGGTCTGGATCGTCCTTGACTATCAGCTCCCAACTCTTCAGTTTCACTTTTCACCCCTTTTTGTGAAGCGGGCTACTTCACGAAGAGGTTGACATTTATGCGGCCTGTTGCTCTGCCCTCCCAGAGACGTGAATGGACAATGTCAGAGGGTTGGGTACATATATACGAACCATGGAGGGTTCGAAATAGAGGATCGGAGGAGTTTTGGAAAGATGGAGAACGAAGACTGGCTTCAGGATGAAGCTTTTGGTGAAAATGGCCAGTATCTGATGTCAATTATTTGAGGAGTCCCTCGAACACTTTACTTACATGTGTTGACATTAGGCTCCTTGACTGTATTCATCGTCCACCCTGAGATTTCATTGGGCAGAGTTCTACCTAGCCAGAAATGGATTTGTTTTGAGCCTCCTTTTCCTTCAATAGATCACTTGCACATTGAAAGTGATCGATGCTAATTACACTTGACGGACTATGAACATCGTGGTAGGAACCTGATGTGAGTTCAGACTCCCGAGTCGAGCAAGGGAGCATCCATTAATACCATTCTGCCGTCGTCATACTAGGATTCAAATACCTAACAATCTTTCCCGGCACAATAATGAGTCTAACATAGCATAGTAGTGGATACGTTGGCGTTTCTCTCCCCGGGTGATATGTGCGGCTGAACGTCCCTCAGAGACCTCAATCCTCGACTGTGGAAGATAAAAGCCTGTCCTTTGATTAACCAAGAAAGATACCTTTTTAACCGGTGAAAAACTCCGATCACAACTTGAAGTTTGTATATCCCTGTTAGAATGCCTGGGCACGAAGGTATGTCTGGCCACCACGAGCTGTCTAGCCACGAAGAGATGCCTGGTCACTATGAGATGACTGGCCACCAAGATCTATCCGACGACCTTGAGACGCTCAAATCCGTCCTTGATAACGCGATAGAAGACTAATCGGCGATTCATGATCAGGCTGGTATAACTAGTACCCAACATCATTATGACGTTTTCGTAATGGCAAACGGCCCTGACAGACACGAAAGATGATGAGCGTCAGCCTCTTCTTCATCAGCACAGCAAAATCATCGTCCATTTGGCGAGAGAGATCCGCGCCCAACAACCCGACGATGCACATGTGAATGATATTTTCACCATGTTCGCGCTGTCCGTCAATGGCCAATTCCACGGTCCTACGCACATCGATATCACTGAGCACACTCCTCGAATGTATGAAAAGATCCCAGAAGAAAAGGATCTCAGTTACCTGCTAGATGAACTCCGTCAGCATGATCCTGAGCAAGATGAATATGCTGATGCGGGAGAGGGCGGTGACAGTGCCAACATGGAGCGCTATCAAGATCACGGCGATCACTACTGTCAGCACGATCAGTATGATCAGGGCGGTCAGGAACATCAGCACGATCAATATGAGCAGGACGATGAGGGTGATCAGGACGCAGACCAACCTACTTCTGAAGACTATGGCGGGGGCGGAAACGGGGCGGATTATTATCATTCTCATCATGACTGGAGTGGCCACGACGGAGGCAATGATGTTGATCCTCACGGTCATGGTCATGGTCATGGTCATGAGGAGTATCCGGATGGCAGTAACGGCCCCTAAGATGATTTTCAGGTTTCTTGGAGCACCCATGACCATCACATTCGCTACCACGATGCATCGTGATAGGATCTAAAGTTGTGACCACAAATGCTTTGATAGACCTCGCTGTCGCCATTCTCGGCCTTTGGGCCTGTGCAAAGCAGCCACAACGGCATCAAACAACACTCACTAACCAAGTCGCCATGGCGCAACTCGGGTGGTCTCTGCTGAGCGCTGCTGCGCCAACCGGCGTAACTGCAGGTCTACATAGCAAGGGACAAAAATCAAACAGAAAGCAGCTCCCCGCGCCATGGCCACGAGGCATACTCAAACTGAGCACTGTTGTTATGTCATCGGAGGACAATCGTCCAAGTCCAGCGTGGATAAGGGGTTCAGCCTTGTATTGCCTAAAGATGTACCTGGTAGTCGGTGTACCCAAGTAAACCTCGCTGCCCTGTCCCGTCACGTGTGAGCAACCTCTATTCGCGGTGCATTAGCTGCCACTACTTTCAGACAGATCAGCGGTCAGACACTGCAAAGTTCGGATCGCAGAGTGACTCGTGGCGTCCAGAGCTTTCGCGCTGATAGTGCCTGCCTGGATCTCAGCCGTCTGGCCGCCTATTGCAGGACGAATTGTCCAAACATTGGTCGATTGTCACGGAGTATTCGGTAAGTACTTGATGGGAAACTAGGTATCGGCGGCGATCTTGTGGGAACATGCATGCACCGAGGCAATGAAGTTTGAGATGGTCAGGGGGTGAACCCTCAGACACCTGGACGGGATAAACCTTGGATTTAAGCGGCCTTCGCGCGCCCTCTACTTGTGGGATTAAACCGGATCTCCCTGATAGGCTTCCGTTCGCGAGTACACAGTAATCTGGGTAGGTGACGGCTGAAGAACAACGCACGGATTTGCAAGAATATGTGGAAGTCGGCAAGATGGTGTCCAGGCTTTCATGGGAGAGCTCGAGACAGTTTCAATCCGCTTGATGTCCAACCGCGACTTCAAGACGTGTGAGATGGCGCCTAGCCCGCTCAGGAACACACCCCCATCGGCTACAATCAGGGATGTCAATGTGTTCTCAGGATGCAACTGTCTTCTATTTTTGCTCCTCCGGCAGCGATCCTCAATACTGTCGCTCTGGGAAACCAGGTTTTGCAGGTTTGTCAGCAGAAATGCCACATGACTTCTTGTTGGTTGGTGATTTTCATTTTCGTCTTCTTGTTCCGAACCGTCCGGGAAAAGGAGGAAGGTGAGGGATTCAACTTTCCAACACACCCCCCCCTTAATTGAGATAACGGCCTGAGCAGGGAGGGGTTGGTGATGTGCACTTGATCTCGTCAAATGGGGTTTCAAAGAAATAATCACGAGTTCCTCTCGCAGATGACTACGAGTACCTGTGATGGCACAGAACGGAATCGTCGGTTGTATGTCAGAGCCCTAAGTTCGATGCGCACGGTAGTGATAGGAGGATTAAATCTCTCGCTTGCAGTGTAGACGGGCCAAAGATGGGAAATTAAGACCCTTCTTCCGCAGCTTTCTCGTGGCAGCGATTGGAGGGGGAAATGGCAGTTGGAAAAGGTTTCGCGCGGAAAGTTTGAATGGGATGATGGGGCCTTTTGGCAGTGCACATGTGTGGAAAAACTGCGGACAATTCGCAGAAAGTTCCCACTGATTATTCGTGGGATTTCAAAAGTCGACGGACCAACGGTGCGATGAGCCAGTGCGCCACGTTGGAGGCGGATCGTTTCGAAGACGAGAGGTGTCAGACCAAAAGATTTGTATGGCAAGCACACACAGCCACTGCTGTCTTTACAATTGAGACTCGGATTTAGCCCTGCCCCGAGCCACCAGCCTTGCTCGAGAATCAGCCTCGCCTGAAACGCCTCGTTGCTCGCGGGTCTCAGGCCGCAAAAGGGGGTGGCATTTAATAGTTCGTAGGAAACTCCAGAAAAAATGATCGGGTAGTTCCCAGGTCCCAATGATGCATGGTACCTCGTACTGGGACTCCATCCTCCGTACTGGGTACGAAGATGCGGCCTAACTTTTCGCTAAGGCAGGTGCAGTGTCCCAGAAAAGGCGTGGGAAGATTGTGCGCACTTTCAACCCTCAAAGGCCTCCTCCCAAGCCCAGAGTACAGAAGTGCAAGCGTGGGAGGGAAACGGCGACGAGATTATTGGGAAAGACACGGGCCACGTCTCCACAATATGCATGATGGCGCAGAGCCTCAGCTTGTGTGAGTCACACATGCAGATTCGCTGCAACCCCAGCAGCCGGCGGTTTCACAGCGCTTCAATGGAGAGAGGCATTGGATTGCTTGGAGGTCAATGCGCCAGTTGTGCAGATGACCGAGTCACAACGTTGGATAGAGGGTCCCGACGATAGTGGCCTTTGAGTTGCCTATCCATGGGACGCTCCGACCAAGACCTCCTGGGTACCTAGGCAGGTACTGGGTACTGGGTAGGTATTCAATCTTGCGACGTTGCCAAAGGGCGCGTACTCGGCACTCCATACAGGGTTTAGCGTAACGCGGAGCACTTTGGTGTGCATCCCAAAGGTCTCAGTCGGCAGGATGAACCATAAGCGGAAACCGCAGTGGGATCGTCGGCCGCGAACCGACTTGGGTAGGATCCCGTCCAATCAAGGTAGCCCTGGGCTGAGGGCAATGCAGTGCACTTTTGTGGGCGCAATGGTTTCTTCATTGTCCAGGGTTGGGGCTTCGAACACGGGGCATTAGCTCGTCCATTTGTGCATCGCGTAGGAACGTGTTTCACCTTGGAAATCCACGTCTGTTCACAGGTTTGGTGCTCGGTCCACGGCCTCGGAGCAATGGTTCGATGGATAAATAGAGTTGCAACTAAGCACGACAGGTGAACCGTGGTTGTCTGCCTTGTGGCTAGCCAAAGCGAGCATTTCGGGCGGGTTCCTGGTCAGCAGCGGTTCAATTCCACAGTCCATACCGAGCACCGAGTACAAGGAACAAGTACAGTCCTGTTAACAAACTCTAACCTACAAGGAGCTAAACATCCCATTTTGGCGCAGCACTCGTAATATCACGTCCCTAGATTTAGGCTGTAAAGGGGGAAATGAGATGTGTGTTTGTAATTAATAGAGACTTCCTTCCCCGATCCAGGGGAATCTGCCTTTTCCCTTGATGGTCAATTTCTGAAAGAGTAGAAAGGGCTTCCGATGAATTATGAGTCATTTGGTAGAGGCCACAAGCCCCTCCGGGGCCCACTAAGGGGCGCCCTCAGCACACCCTATTGGCAGGGTAGCCCTCTAGCGTCCCAGTCCAGTCCATATTCACTATTAGTGGCGTCAAGGCTGACCAACACCCCCCACCCATTTGGTGATTGGGCACCAGGCCGGGAGGCGGCGCCCAGGCTGCAACCCCCCGGCCACTAGGCTTACTTGCGCACTCTGAATTATACATAATCTTGCCTTGCCCCCCCCCCATGGAGATGCCTAGACTCTCTTCCTCTTCTTTTCTTCCCTCACCCCCTCCACCATCATTATTCAACACTGCAACAATATCCAAGGTTTCACTGCGACTCACAGGAAATGGAGTCCTTCTGATCGCCTTCGCCTTCACCTCTTATCTCGCTCAGGCAAGATAGGATCAGTCACCATCCCAGTCACTGCTCCCATTCACTCTCAACTCACCCCTTACTCACAGTCTCCTTCTGGAGTACCTGTGAATATCCGGCAGGACTTCGTCGCTCCCAGCGTATCGAGCTCTCCTACTCCAACCGCAACCATTCCCGCGTTGGACTTCACATCCTTCACCACGGATCAATCGCAACCATGGCGTTCCCCAACCCCAAGTACATCAACTGCATCGTCGCAGAACCAACAGCAGCACAACTTCAATCAGGACTTTCAGCTCTTCGCCGCTCCGGAGACCCCTCTCAGGATCTCTCCAGCCTCGCGTGCGCAGGCGATATCGAGTACAGCCCCTAATAGCCAACGACTAGCCCAGACCCGGCATCTCTCTATCAACAGCAGAGTGTCTCCTGCAGTTCAGTCTATCTCGTCTCCATCTCACGGGCATCTCTACTCGTCTCCCAATCACCGGTCTTTTCCCAGTCTAGCATTGCAAAACCAATCCACTCAAGAGAAATACCTGCGCCAGCTTGTTCATTTGCAGCGTCTGCCGCCTGTTCCTCCTTTTGACCCAATCACCACTGTTCCTCGCAGAAACTACTCGGTTCCTCACATCCCACAAGGTACTGACAATCGCGGCCCGACTCGTCGGGCAAAGTCACTAACCGTGTCCTCAGGCGATATGGCTACCGCCTTCGACTCGATGTATCTCCCGGGAGGCGACTTCAGCGCCTCCCACGACGACTTCCTGGACCTCGAGCCCAACTTCCAGTCCAACCATTTCACCGCTGTCAATCCCGGAGTCAACGACGGCACGATTTCTCCGACTGATTTGTTCAAGGATGACGCAATGATCATGTCGGCTCCGCCATCCACGGCATTCCCAAACCTGAGCACTCCGGATTCGAGCTTCTTGGAATCCCCCGCCATTGCTAGCAGTGGCTTGAACACCTCTCCACTGGAAGATGGAGAACTCGACGCCCAGTTGAACTTCGCTGAGCTCGACGGCATGGTGCCCCTCTTTCCACAAAATTCCTTGGATCAGTTCGCCTGTCAACCCTTGTCGACGGCGCGTTTCACACAGTCAACTTCGAGCGCCGTGAGCTCTCGACCGGCCTCCACGGCTCAAGAGACCGGTATGGTCCGACAGAAGTCCTCGCCAGGACGACCACCGTCGCAACCGTACCATACCCGCAAGCGTTCAGAGACTCATGGTGTCTCTAAGGCATCTAAGCCCCGGAAGAACTTGCCTGAAATCACCATTGACAGTGATGACGACAAGGAGACTGCTAAGAGGAAGAAAAATACTGCCGCTGCCCGAAAGTCTCGCCTGCGGAAGCAGGAACACGCTGAGGCGGCTGAAGCTGAGATCCAACGTCTCAGGGGCATCATTTACCGCCTTGGAGCCGACCCTGACGCCGAGACTCTGTGAGCGCCGTGGGAGAAATTTTGGATGGTTGTTGATGGGTAAATGGTACCCAGGAGTGTGGACTCGAGTGGCCTTCGTTTTGAATGGTCTTGGTTTCTTGCAAATGCAATCGGACGACAATTTGAAGCTGTGACTGCCAAATTCTTGGTAGTTGCCGATACAGCAGCATGACGCTTGGGGTTGGGGATTTTATATTAGGCTGAAGCCAGGAGGGCTGCCTCCCCAAATCGCCACGTCGCCCCTGTTTTCTTTCGACGTTTATGATCTTGTTCGGTTCACAGCGATCATCGGGGTTGATGAGATCTACCGGACAAGGTGGCTCAGGCTACCCTTAGCCTTCACTGACATCGCTACGATTTCTTATCGCCGACGACAATCCCAACGCCATCTGAATGGGAGCGTAATAGCAGACTTTTAAATGGCGTTGCTGAGTTGTCACTCGGTTTCAGCTGACTTTGTATTGAGTTTTTTTTTCAATCGGCGAAAGCGATGGACGGCTTTCTGACCGTCTCCTCTTTTGTTCTCGATACTGCAAAAAGGATTCTTCCTCTGCTGTGGCGTCCTGCGAAAGGGGATTGACTCGAGGCCTGTTCTGCCATCGTGTTTTTCGCGCTTTGTCATGTTTTTCTTCCTCAATTCATGGACCATCACGGATGAAACACGTGCTTGCCTAGCGGCGCGGGTTGAACGGAGATGTATTCATCCACTCCTTTTATATCATGTATCCTACAAATAGCCTGTCAGATATGCATGGCGGGCCTTCTCTTGAAAAGGCCCTGCAAACCTCCTTTCCGTCCTTTGTCAGCTAGAGCACAAGGAGGAGAGGACACGAAATGCAACTCAGTCTTTTGACCTACCCATGTACACAGCCCATTACATCATCATCGTTGTCCCATACTTTACTGGGTACTCCTTCGGTAAACCTCAATTGGGTACCGCAGCAGCGCCCGTAGTAACACTAGCGGAGCAGCATCAGCCCGCCTATGGAGAAGCGAATGAGTGCCGCGCTGTCACTTGTCACTTGTCACTCGCGAGCGCGTGCCCTGCAAGGCCAAAGACTTTCGAACAAGAGAGGGAGTCCTTCTGGTGTCCATGGTATCGGTGTAGTATATAACTGGTGTATTGCGTGTCGATAGTCTCGCCAGAGTCGAGATCTTTGATTCGTTCATCTCATCTTGCAAGTATATATAAGTCTCGTATACATCCCCTTTCCTCTCCCTCTCCCTCTCTCTCTCTCTCTCTCACACACACACACAGAGAGAGAGAGAGAGACACACACACAAGGGGAAGGGGAAGGGGACAGGGGGAAATACCACAACGTCTCAATTAGAGGTACGTACGCCACGTACACGGGATGAAGTACAGACAGGTGCAGATCGGCGCGGTCAAAAAGGTAGTAAAGATAAAAAGGTCCATTAAAAGGTGGACGCACATGAGGGTGAGGGTGAGGGTAAGGATACATATCTGTCCAGACAGCAGATATCGATATAAATACGGAGTAGAGTACCCAGTACACAATCCACGTCTACAACTTGACACATACTTATCTACATACTACTTTGCGCACATACAGCTACAGCTGGAATGGTGAATACAGCCGAAGTTCGCTCAAATGTACTTCTACCAACCTACCGCGATCACTGACCGCTTCCTGAAGTTTCAGTTCTACTGTGGCCTACACAGCCCTCGGCCAGACCCAAGATATCGTAAGATACACCCCCGGCTCAGACCCCAGGACACACCACGTTGACTTAGCAATTTCATTTATTACTATTACTATCCTAACACTTGGTTCTGCTTTGCATGGCATGGCTCACTGGCTAGGTGTTCTGTTGTCTGTCTTGTTCCTGCTTTGCACTCATGATTCCTGTTCACCTGTCCACCAGTTCGGTTCCAATCTGTCGATTCCACTCAAAACTGTGAACATGGACATTGCCACAAGATGTGCTCCACAAGATTTCCGCAGTGTCTCGTATCGGGGGGGAAATAGGCACAGCTGATAAGCCGCCCATTTGCCTCGCGATGGTATGCCTTTTTCCTTGCCTTCTTTATCCACCAACAACTTTGCATTCGGGGGTATCTCTTCTCGTAAGGACAAGACTTGCCTAAGCGGGGTATCTGTACTGAAAGCACAAAACCAAGAAAACAAAATCCACAATAACTCAAGAAACACAAACAGTTTCGATCTAGTGCGCGGGGGTATCCTGAAAGAGAGAAAATGCATAAAAAGAGTGATGTCCGAGTTTGTCGTCAATGGGCCAAAATAGCCCGGGGGTATCTCAAAAGATCGATACGCAAAAACGGGACGGACTGATGTAGATCCAACCACGTCACGCTACCTCGAAACCACGAGGCCAGAGAGACGAGAAGGGCTGCGAGGAGGTACCGCCGGTGGAGTGCTGTAAGTCTTCTCGTCCCACCACTTCTCGAACTCAACTGGACTGGACGCTCGAGACAGTCGAGATGGATGTGACAGAGATGTGCGTGGAGTCTTGTCTCTGACCTCGTCGGACCTTCAAGCAGTTGCCTTGACCTCTGGGACCGCCGTGGCCACAGCTTCGGGCGTGGATTGAACGGGCTCAGCGACAGGTTCGGCAGGTTTGGTCTCGGCGGCTTCGGGAGCAGCAGCTGGAGTCTCAGGGGCGGCAGCTTCAGTCGAGCTGGCAGGAGCAGCAGCAGCAGCAGGTTCGGCAGGAGTCTTTTCCTTCGACCCTTCGGACTTGATCGCTTTACTAGCGCGACGGACAAGCTGGCCAATGAATTTGCCACCTGGGAGAGGAGACTTTTCCCGCTTTGGCTCAGCGACGGTATCTTCGGCTTCGGCGGTCTCCTGCTGCTTCTTGTTGAAGAAAAGGGAGGTACGGCGCTTGTTGTCGCGAGCAGGGCGCTCCTCGGTAGCAGCTGGAGTGGTCTCGGCAGCGGCCTCGGTGGTAGCAGCAGGCTCGGTGGATTCTGTACTGGCGGCAGCAACGGAATCCTTGGCAATAGCCTCGGCAGCCCTATCTTCTTTGGCCTCCTCTTTGGTTTCCTTCTTGCCTTCGAGCTTGGCTTCAGTCTTCTTGATGAAACTTATCAAGCCGCCCTTCTTCTCCGCCTTGTGAGCAGCGGAGCTTTCTCCAGCGGCGGCAGTCTCTTCGGCGGCAGGAGTTGTGGCAGTGTCGACTGGGGCTGTGACAGCCGCAGTGTCAATGGGCTTGTTCTCAATCGGCTCCTCGAGCTTGGGAGCTGTCTCAGAGACTGGGGGAACATCACTGCTTGTCATGGCATCTCTTTCAGATTTCTCAGTGGTTGGGCTTGCCACTCGGTTTCTGAAGAGGCTGCCAAAGACAGAACCACGCTTGCCCTTCTTCTCAGTGGGGCTTGCCTCTTCTTTCTCCTCCTTCTTGTCAGAGGCGGCAGATGTAGCTGGCACTGCATGTGTTAGGATCATCAAACTTTCATCGTGATAGGAATGGCTTACCTGCACCGGATGCCGCAGCTTCGGCTGCCTCTGGTGTCTCTTTGGCCTCCTCTTTCTTTTCAGGAACTTCTGGCTTCTCTTCCTTCTTCTCGGCATGTTCCTCTTTCTTGCTGAGAAGGGTTCCGAAGATGCTACCACGCTTCCGCGACTGAGAACGCTCAGCAGCAGGCTTTGTGGTCTCATCTGCGTCACTAGAGGTGGCAGCGGCATCAGCAGCGGCAGCAGCAGCGGCAGTAGAGGCGTCAACGGACTTCTTTGGTTCTTTGGATTTGGAGCGGGAAGTCTTCACGGCGGCCGCAGCAGGGGCAAATGCAGGTTTGGCTAGGGCTGTATTAGCTTATGATTATGCGTTGATGTGACGGATCCAGTGATGTGTATCCACTTACAGTATTCCTCGACGTTTTTCTTATAGCTCTCGCGCTCAGTGATGTCTTCCTTCAAGCTCTTTGCCTCTTCAATTGCCTTTTCAACAGCAGCTATCCAGCTGTCTCGTTCCTTTGATGATGAGGCTTCAAAGCGGTGGACATGAGCACCAGACTTGAAGGAGAATTGGAAACCTTCCTTGGTCACGCTAGAGGCATCGGACTGGCAGGAATTGTTAGTGGCTGTGAATCCTCACTTTTACATGAAAGACCCACCAAGTTGATGATACCAGCAGGCGTTGCCTTGTCCTCGACACGCTTGGAGTAGAAGAGTAGACCCTTTCCAGTCTCACGTGCCCATGCAGCGTCGGAGTGCTTTGCATCAACCTTCTCAGACTTCATGAAGTTGGTCAATGACTCGGCCGTGGAAGGCTCCTCTTGGAACCAAAAGTAATGCTTGCTGAAGATGAATTTCCTGCAATCGACACGCGTCAGTATTGTTCGTTCTCCTTGATTATCACTCTGCCGGACAAGCATACTTGAAGAAAGTTGGCTCCTTGTATCCCAACACGCCCTCTGAAGCAGGGGTGGTCTCGGAGGCCGGTTCTTCTTTCTTGGCCTCTTCTGTTGCAGCAGCAGCGGGCTCCTCAGCGAGAGCAGGAGTTGCCTCTGTCGTTTCAGCGGGAGCAGCAGCAGTCTCTGTGGGTTCGGCCGTGGACTCTGGTTGTTCGGCGGCAACCTTGGTAGGCTCGACGACTGGCGTCTCCTCGACGGGCTTTGGTGCTTCGACAGACATGATGCTGGATAAGGGAGCTGGAAGGATGTCCCGTGTATTAAGGTATGGAGGAGGTTATGTGGTCAAGAGAGTAACAACTTGAAGAGAGGGAGGAGGATGTGTCAAGAAGAATGAATACTTGAGAAGGAAGAATATAGTTGTCTGATGAATTAAGTGGATTTTGAGAAATTGACAATGGCAATCTAGGATGGCGAGGCTTTGGGACCGGGCAGTCACGTTTCAGGGAAGAAAGGTTGGTGAAGAAATAGTCGTGGCAGGAAATTTGAAGAGGACCAATTTTGTATGGGGGAGCAGCAAGGGATTGGTTTCCCAGACAGATGAAGGGAGCGAGATTGAGAAGGGGACAAGCAAGAGTGGTGTGAGATGGGCTGCGTCTAGTTTTTGTCTTGTCTTTATCGCTCCAGTTCGATTTGTTTGGGGCTGGTAACGGGCTCGCTGGCTCTCTTGGACGGGCTCCAGTCACGATGGCTGCGCAGGGCGTTTACCGGGCAAAGGAGATTTGAAGGCGCCCCTAGGCAACGCGCTACCACGCCCAACCCCACCCTTTTACCAACGCTAGCCCAACCTGCCTTCGCAGGCCCGGCTGCTCTGAATAATTTGGTGGAGAAACCTGTGGTCGTAGCCTGCGCGCCCCTCCCACGCTAGTCTGCTCGGCTGGTGGCCTGCGGAACACGACTAATACTAACACAGTAGCCTTTCCACTGGCCTTGCGGGTTGCCCTCGCCATTTCTGCTGCCGCCCACCTGTCTCCCCGGAAACAAAATCACATCAACATTCGACCATGCATCGATCCACGGGGATCTTCATGATCGTGCCTCGATATATTCGCCGTCAGCTCGTGCAGCCCAACCTGGCCTACCGTCGAAGGAAAATTCCATCATTACAGTCAGCCGTGAGGAGGACCATTGAGATGGCTATCATACAGCAGTCTACGCCTCTTTTCTGACGCCAAGGATGCCTCCTGCAAGAAGTCATGCAGTGTCTTGCGAACTTTGTGTCAAAGGCGTTGCGAAGCCCAGTAGGCATCCCGGTATGGATTGAACAGAGGGTACGGTACTTCCCGCCACCACGAGGTGTCCATGCTGCCCACCGATCAGCTTCCATCTTCCCACGAGAGAATGATCGATTGCAGCCATGGAACGGGGAAGAAACGGTCAAAGAACCGTCTGATATCACAAACAACCAGGCATCCCGATCTTCCCCTCACCGCTCCCACTCCTCTCAGGCCCTCCTCAATAGCATTGCACAAAAGAAGCAGGGGGGATAGAGTTGCATGTGACTCACAATACGACTGGCTGAACTCTGAGCGGAAAAGACATCGCCATATCGCTGGGAAAAATGGTTCTTGGTCATGCGACCATCAGCTCGCACAACTGGCCACCTGCAGAAATGACGTGCCTGGTGCATTCGTCACCTGCTCTTCACGAATCCATGAATACTTGTTAGTTCCTTCGCATCGGCGGCCGATCCGCACCACCTTGTTTGATGATCGCAAAATATCTGCACAAGTACGGAGAAAATCTTCCCACATTCTCCATCAGCAGGAACATGACAATGAGGATTGGTGACAGAGATGAGTAGCGGATTGCGCTCTTCCTCATCTCTGCCGTATGACCCGAGAATCCGAAGCACGATGGATTTGGTATGCTGCAAAGAAGGATCACCGAGTGCAATAATTACTGCCCGTCAGCGGGTTATCATACCGGACCAAGCCAAGACAACTTGATCATTCGATAATCACTTTCATGTCCCTGCACTGCCACAATCTTGTCCCGCAGGTTCTCTTCTCCCGGCAAGGATGTCTGTTTTGTTCACGTTATCATCACCGTCGGCGAGGCAATTGCGACAGAGCGTTTATTATTCAATCATCCATGCATGAACGCATGCATGGATTCACAGATACATGGATCCTGGTGTCGATCCCGATTCTCCAGGAGGGGCACACCACTTGGACCAAGCCCACAGCGGTCCAGATCGCCATCCAATCCAACCTAGCGGGGAACCTTGGCTACCAGTAGATGTGTGCAATGCTCGAGCAGGTCGCAATTTCGAAACCATCTCCACAGTCGAGATGGAACGGCGCGAATTCGGTCTCCATCCACTCCCTCAACGGCCCCAAAGCAAACCTGAAACAGCTCTGGGATATGCCGTACTACTTCTTCTGCTCATTCTCCCAGTACGGAGTACTCTGTTTCGACGATGTCAACAATAATGGAATATCAATGCACAATGGGCCTCGGTAAGGACCGTGTTTGTAGGAGCAGTAGCCTCCCCCTTCTCTCCGCGTCCATTGGCCTTCACCCACTCTCCGTCTCTTATTGAGATACTTTAGGCCGCTTTTGTTGAGATACGTATGGAGTACGAGTCGGTTGGAAGTTGGTCCAAGCTGAGACTTGTGGCTGCTCGTCAAAATCCCATCCTCATCCTCATCCTCCTCGCCCTCGCATGCCTTCCCCTTTCGCGCCATAGTAGGCGCCAGTTGAAAGTCTTCGCCCGGGGAGGCGTCACCGGCGCCAACAAGGGGATACTAAGAGTAAATAATACCTTTTCAACCCGTCTAAGTATCAATGAGGGTCCGAACCTTGAAAGGGGGCCCACGATCCCATCGACCAGGACCCGCTACTTTTGTTAGGTCCGCTGCCGTTGCGCATCTAACCGATGAGGATCAGGCCGGGTCTACTGTACTGTACCTACTTAGGGAGTCTCACTAGGCAGGTAAATCTACAAAGACGGGGGGCCATGTGGCTCTTTCAAGCTCGCGAAATGGTACCTCGTAAGTATTATGTACCTCCTCCGGGCGTCCGCGTTAGGTACTATTAGACTCTGCAAGTATTGCACAGACCCGCGATTCTCCCATGGATGGAATTTCTTCAACTGAGCCGGAATCGAAACCGCTCTCGCTCTCCCCTTCATCCCGATGGAGCGGTCTTGATGGTCCCATCTTAGTCGAACTGAACGAGAGACCGGGAACTCAGTCAGTTCTACTCGGTCCTGCGAATCTCAAACGACACGAGGAAAAACACTTGAAAGAGCTAAATCCGGATTCCTGCGCCCTGTCAGTGAGCTACCCGACATCGAGCCTACCTCTCAATTCAATAAAGGAGACACAACTCCTCCGTACATATTTCGTTCATTGCTCGACCAACGCCCAAACGATCAAGTTCACACTGGATACAGATTTTTCATCTCTGCCGCGATTTAAATGTCCTGTCGACCTGTACATGGTGGTGGTCCCCTTATTGGGGCTAAGGGGCTCGATGAATACCTCCAGCGCCAATTGCTTCCAAACAAACCAAAGCGCGAGACTGCTGATTGACCCAACGCTTGCCGATTTTGTCTTCCTATCTTTACAAGCTGCCTCTCCAAATATGAAGCTGCCATTCCGATATGTACTCCGTACCGTGTTTTGTCTCGATGACGAAATGAAAATGCCCCCTCCTCAACCTGCCGTCGTCAGGATATACGAAGTAACAGCATCCATCCTTTCTTTCGTCAATTTCATACTGATAACGAGCAGTTCTTGGGCCACATCCGGATCTCGTATCTGCATCTCATGCCATCTCCTTGCATCTAGTTTCCACGTAACGCAGTCCTTCTCTGCCACCATCGAGGCAGTGCGCGGTGTCTGGGAGAAAAAAGGCAGTTCTCCGCATGGTCGCCCCGACACAATCAGCTCAGAGTACTTGCCCTGTGGCCAGTCGTAATCGCAACGCAGAATGCCTTCTTCAAGCATGTAGAAGCCGTCAGCAGGGTCCCCGACTCTGAACAAGACCGAGCCTTTCGGGTACACAACCCTGTCAAAATACTTCATAGCACGATACCAGAAATCCTCGGTCTTCTCCGAGAGATCCGCAAAGATCTGTAGCATCAAGGGTAGAGGTTGCTTGAAAGCCTGCCACTTGGCCAAGCTGGACGCGTCCTCATCCAAAGTAGTCTGGGCGACTTGATGGAGGTGACTTCGTCTGGGGGAGCTGCCCATAAATTCCGCCTTGTACGAGGACGAAAGCTCCTGAGACCGAGCGCGAGGCATGTCAAGGTGCCCTCCTATCCGCCTGGTGCGCCGCTGCTCTTCTTGACGATATAGGGCAGTCAAAAGTTTATTCTCGCAGTGCTCCAATGCCACATTCAGATCAGGGAAGATTTGGACGTTTGAGTCTGCCGAAAACAGGCCAACATTACGAAGAGCTTGTCCAATCTCGCCATCAACGTCCAAGCTGCTCACGATAAGCTCGACTCCACGCTTCTGCAGTAGACGGTTGATTCTGGTGAACGCCTCCGCGGCAGAGAAATCAATGCCGTTAATTTGAGCCATGTCCAAGATGAGGAATCTCAGAGGTCGATCTCTGAACGCATCTTCCTCAAGAAGGGCTCGAATTCTGTTCTCAACCCCGACAATGGTGCCAAAGAACAAATATCCGGCCAGTTTAAGTAGAAAGATCTGCTTGCCTGTTTCTCGCAAGAACTTGAGCTGGACTGGCGGTCGTCTGACGAGAGACTTTGCAACTTGCCCAGAATAGGTGGCTCTGATGGCAGTTCTTCGAGACGTTTGTACAACAAAACTCAGAGCGGCGAGCAAAATGCCAACGAGGATTCCAATCACGAAATCCCACACTCCCATGGTGATGACAATGATCAAGATGGTGGCGTATTCAAGCTTGTGAACTTTGCCCCATGTTCCGACGAGAGCTTCTTCAAGCAACTCTATACCTAATAAGAAAATCAAGGCACCAACAACCATGATGGGAATGTAACCAATAATAGCCGGGCCAGCCAAAAGGATACCGAAGGTGCAGGCTGCCAGCAACAGCCCTGCAAGACGGTCATTGCCGCCACTGTCCATAAATAGGAGACTGTTGGTATATACGAGATAGTTCTGTACACTGCCGAAGAGACCACTGAGGCAGTTCGAGACACCATGGGCGATCAGCTCGCGGTCGACGCTCAGGTTATCCTCGCCGGTAGAAATGCCCAGAGCGGGCACGTTGATCGGGACATGCAAGACGCCGAAGAACGTCAGAGCAAACATCGCCGGGATAGTATCCGCAAGAGCTCCCCAGCTCACCGCGTTGAAGTCGTACAGCGTGTAGAAGTGATACCAGGGGTTCCCTGCCGGTGGGGGATCGAAAACCCAGCCTCCCGTATGCAAGGTATCCATCGAAATGCCCAAAGCAAACTTGAAGAAGTAGAAAATTGCAGCAACCGAGAGAAAGTAGCCGCCGACCAACAGATTTGATTTTACAAAGCGTTGTACAATGAGTAAGGTGATGGCAAGCGACAAGGGTACGGTCCACAGGGCGATTGTGTCGCCACGGAACAGCTGTTTGAGGGTGTCAAGGTTATACTCCAGATTGCCAGGTAGCCGAGCAGAGACTTCGATGCCAGTAGCGACAAGGAACCAGCCAACGCCTCCGATACAGCCAATGAGAATATGGCGCGGGAAGAACCCGATCAAGGATCCTAGCTTGCAAGCTCCCATGAGGAAGAACACCACTCCAGTCAGAACGGAACTGATGGCAAAGGACAGTATCGTGGTGGCAAGGACAGCCTTGGGGTTCTGCTCCCCCACCTTCTGGAGGATGGTAAAGGCCATCTTATGGAAGAAGGGAACAACCTCAATCATTTCGGACCCAATGCCTCCTCTGAAGATCGAGCCTCCAGAGGAATAGACGACCTGGGCAACGATAGTACTGACATAGAACATGGCAATGCCGTCGGAGCCGAGACCATCAAAGATTTCGTTCCCAAGAGGAAACAGAATCATGCCGTAGGAGAGCGCATCGAGGATGTTCAGGAGCAAACCTAGAAACACGGCTGGAAGGAGACTGACTGGGTGTGCGATAGCTTCCCGATATATGGCACGGGCACTCCACGTCTTGGGGTGTGAGAGAGTATAACAGCATGACCGCATTCTCCTCGCGGAGGCCCTGCATCTCTGGATGAGACCGCCCTTGTCCGAACCGTACTGTCGCTCGACATCCGTATAATGGCCATTCTTCAAAGGCTCTGCCCGCCGTTCACCAATGAGGGCCGTATACTCGTCAGGCTGGGTGGGCTCCAGCCTACTCGATGTTGTTGGACGATCTGGCGTTGCCTTGTCGATGCCATTCGTGTGCTGGTGACGCTCCTCCTCTTGTCCTATAGAACTTTGTATCATCGCCGTCAACTCGGAGATGGCTGGATCGCCAGGGTGGTCAAGTTCCGAGCCCTCTGGAGTTACAGGCTCGGAGACCTCTTCAATCATTTCAGGGTAACCATCGTCAGAGGCAGCTGAGGAAGAGGGCGGAGAGCTTCCAAGATGTGAGGCGTTCTCGGAGAGAGCAAACGCAGCCAGTTCAGCAGTCTGATCTCTTAGGCCAGCGGAAGAAGAGTACTGAGCCGGATCCAGCTGACCATGGAAAGAACGGACATAGAAGGATCTTGCGGGAGTTTTCTCTGCGGGCTGACTAGATGAAGAGCTGGCTCGAGGGCGTTCAATCCAAGGACGGTCCGGAGCGGCCAAGAGACTGCTCCCTTCGATACCTTGATCACTATGGGATCTTTTCAAGGGAGAGCTGGGCATCGGAGCTGGTCGGCTCTTGGAGAAGTTGGAACTATGGCGGGCGTGCTGTTTGCTCGAAGAGGTCGTCGACATTTTAGTTGCTCATGAGGATATCATGATGTCCCGCAATTCACATGCAAACTCCACTACTAGTGTGGCCGGCTCTTTCCAAGAGAAACACGCACAAGGGGCTGGGCCTGAGGAAGGGCACACTATGCTCATTCGTGAGTACTAGTCCGTAGCCTGTAATCGTCCCTCGTGTGACGCGAGACGGTCAGGGAATGAGGAATATAGAGCGGGACAAATAACGTCGACCCGAGGGTAAGAGGGTCAGAGGCCAACACAGTGAGGAAGATGCAGTTCGTGTTGACGCAAAGCTTGCTACTCGTGTTGGAGGTGGACGTAGCTGTGTGGGTTCCAGTCACCACTATGGACTTTACTCGGGAGCGGCCTCGCAGCACCAGGCTTGTCCTAGGTGCGGACGTGGTCCTCACAACTTAATCCATCATAACCATGTCAGCTGCTGAAAAGTAAAAAATTTTTTTACCTTCCTCCCCAAAAATTTTTTGCCCTTGTTGCAGTTCAGTGGAGACGGGGGAGGCAAGAGAGCATGGCGGGGCAGAAGACGACGAGCAGGGTTTGGTTAGGGAGGCTTTGAAGCTAGTGGCGGAAGGTGTCGACAGCATGAAAGTTCTGAAGAATTGGATGACCTTTGAAGAGAAACCAAGCTCAAAAGAGACACCATGGCCAGCGAGATGATCGCCGGCCCACTGAGGACTAGTGACGAGGAAAACAAAAGCCTTCGAATCGCAATGGGTACGGACCACCTCGTGCATGGGTGGCAGTGGCATGAGAAGAAATTGTACTTGTAGTAAGTGGATTGACGGCACCAACGGCCTATTCCCCGCCATTGTTGTTGCATGCAGCACCTGCAGAACCCATTGGATGTCTCATGTAAAGTAGCGAGCTACCAAGTATGTACAGTAACTGCCTTCATTAAAGCCCCTCTTTGGTGCCAGGGCCACTAGGCGGTGCTGGTGGTGCCCCGATGTCCCCTCTCAAGCCCCTCTCAAGCCCCCCTTTAACTACATCGGTCCATGCAGCAGCAACACGCATGCATGCACATCACTCGTGTCACCCTCATCATGATCTTGACCTGACCTCAAATCCCAACGTCCTCGCAACGTCTTCCACCTCGCCGACGAGAAAGGGCCAGGCTAAAATCAATGTTCTATACTCTTCTTGTTATGCTCTGGTGTACCTACTTATGTTGTGACGTCCTTCAGATAAATTAACCATCCCAAAGCAGGTCGACACTAAAAAATTCAACCGTCATATTGAGTTAGACTTCACTCCTTCAAAGCTCCGCGCGCGCCGTCAATGCTTTAATCCTTCCAGCCAAACGACCAGCCTCTTCTTTATAATCACTCCCACAAGCTTCCCGGTCCCCTCTTCGGTGACACACAAATGCCTGAGGCCAAGCTTGCCAAACATCTCCACCACAAACTCCATTGGGGCTTTGGCACAGATCGTCAACGGTGTCCGGTCGATGAACTGTGACAGATCAAGCTCTCCCTCGTGCTCCATTTGTAATTGCACACCAGTCACCGGGGGCAGAAGACGGACAACACAGCCCGCAGGAAACGGGTGACCCAGAGTCTCCAGCCCGAACTCGAGTTCTCCTTCTGCTAGATAGCCCTGTAGCATAGCTCTCTGGACAAGGACAAGTCCAGCGTCCATAAGGCCTCGACGGCGGAGTTGGTGCAGCTTCTCTGTCAGGACAACACGGGGGACAATGCCGCTGTCCGGTACGTCCACCGTGACCTCGCGCATAGTTTGGAGAGGAGGAATCAGCTCCTCGGCGAGATGAGCATCCTGCTGAACGAGCTTCATGCTATGATCCAAGTCGAGGAAAGGATGCCCTAGGACTGTCTGTGCAAGATCGTACACACCTTCTTGCTCAAGAGCATCTGCCACCCATTTGGCCACCATGATGCCGATCATATTTGGCACGACGAACTCCAGTTCGCCCGTCAACTCGAACATGATGACCGCAAGCGAAATGGTCATCCGACTAACGCCAGCCAAAAAGGAACCCGCACCAACCATGGCGAAGATTCCGGGGGAGATAGACTGTGCCAAGAAAGGCAGTTGGCCGACAAGCCGGCCGAAGAAGGCTCCGCCATCGAGAGCGGGAATGATGATCCCCGAAGGCACTTTGATGCCAAACGTTATAACTGTCAGGGCAAGCTTGACAAGCGTTCCGTAAGTCAGCCAGCCCAGGTATTTTGGTGACGGCGAAGCGTGTCCTTCTTGCACACAGACGTAGTCTGTTCGTGAGCCTTCGCCGCAGTCGACCAGAAGGTTCTTGATAATGACATCGCCAGGTTCTCGCGCCAGAGGGTTTGGATACTGCAAAAGGGCCGTGGCGAGGACAACCAAGAACACCTCTAGAACCGGATAATTCTTGATGATCCTGTACTTGCGAAAGCTGCGAGACCACAGGAAGTTGACCTTGCAAAAGATGCCCCCAAAGACACCCCCAGCAATACCCAAGACCACGAATACAACGTAATGATATGGTTGATAGGTGGTGCCGTAGTTGGTCTCAAAGAGCACAAGCTTGCCGGTGCCAGTCGGATTGAGAGCTTTGAGTGTCATGGCCGCGAAGAGAGAACAAACAAACGCTCGCCAGAGCACTTTGCGTGGGAAGTATGTCGAGATTTCTTCGTACGCAAACAGCACGCCGCCAATGGGTGCTCCGAATGCGACAGAAAGACCACTCGAGCAACCAGCAGCAAGTAGTTCTCGGAGCTTACGACCATTCTCTCTATACTTGTGGAATCGGATACCGACAAGGTATGCGACGCACGTGGAAATGTGCACGAAAGGACCTTCCTTGCCCAAACACATACCTGTCGAAACAGCAAAGACCGAACCGACCGCCTTCACGACTAAGACATTAAGGTCCAGGAAATGTGGAATGACAAAACCAGACAGAATCGTCTTGATCTCGGGGATACCACTCCCAGCTGCCATGTAGATGGACTTGCCCGCAGCTGTAGGCTTCAGAGTTTCGCCGTTCGCTTGGTTGCTGTTCTTCCGGATTGGTTCAGTGTCCCCAACGCCTGGAGCGGTTGTCGGAAGCGCTCTTCTCGTAGTCAACGTAACTGTTCCACTGATGATGCCGAAGAGCAGAGCAAATCCCACGTATATTCCAAACCCATACCAATAATTCCTCGTCCAATACTTCCATTCCGGGCAGATCTCACCAGTCTCGGCCAGGGGCATCAATGGTGATTTCCCTGAGCAGCAAAGTTCTTTACTGGCGAACGGATTGTTTTGGCAATATCCTGTCTTCCAGTCACTGACGGTGGCAACAGCGATATCCACAAGAAAAGCAACGCATGCTGTTAGAGTGCCAATTACCGCAGCTGCAATCCAACCCTCACAAGAGTCGAAGGCTGCCATAAGTCCATTGCGAAGGCCTTTCCCGCTGTGCACGGAACGATGTCTAAATGAGTCTTTGATCTGTACAAGGTCAACTTGAGTTTGGTTAATTAATCGTAGTCGATCTCTCCTACCAAATCATGGAGCCAGTCAATTGTCGTATAGTCATTGTACGGAAGGCGTTCTCCCACGGCGGTGTCGCCTAGTGCCTGCTCTTCTTTACTGATGGGGGAAGAGACGACCGAGGCAGCGTCTGCGTCTAGGGCGATGGAGTTAAACCTCCTGTCCCGAGGAAGGAGATGAGTCCTTTCATCTGGTTGCTCCTCATCCCCAGCCATGTTTGTTCACGGAACAGCAATGAAGCTTCACAAGGCCCAGGCACTCAAAAGGCGGCGACATTTTGACCAATGTCCACGGATTTTACAAGCTCTGTGGAAGATATGACACTGTGCCACGAAGATTACCAGCCGCAATCTGCATCTCCGGGGAACCTCAGATCTAGGAGAGACCACTGAGAAATGTCGATTCGGGCAGTCACTGATAAGCTCAACTCTGGCAATCGAGCTCCTGAAAGTGCTGTGTACATAGATAAGAAGCAAGCAAGATAACAGTCGCCTCGGCCTGCTCGGCCTCACAATGACCCTTTCACGTAAAGTCGTCCGGCATACCTGCTACTTTGGTCATATGCCAGGGACTGGATAACGCCTCAATGCCACCGGCTGCACCATTGCATCGGACGCCAGGATCTTTCCAGAAGTGGCTTCAGTATGAGTCGCAGCGTCATGACAACCTCCAGTGTCATTTCTTGCGATATGTAATACATACCTCGCTTAACTTCTGGCGAAAGAGAGCATCAGAGCAGAGCTGCATACTGGGTACATAGTAGCCAGCTGTGCCCGGGCCATGCCTGCATGCACACGGTTGGAGTGGGGGTGCGACCCTTGAACCCAGCCATCGGCTTCAGAGGATAATGAGGGGGTGAACACAGAGAAAGGGGAAAAGAAAATACCATACGCGGACGATATCATCATCTTTAACTTACGGAATGTTCCATGGAGGCCCGGAGGAAGGGCGAGTGCTGCGGTGGTTGTTTGTGATGGTCGAGACTCGTAACAGCAGGGACTGCGGGCATGCAGGCAAAGTTCTCTTGCGTAGGAATGACCATCCGTCCATGTAGTTGAAAGTAGGTGCTTCGTAGCGCGACATTAGGCCCCTCTATTAGCCCACCAGCTGTGTGGCCTAATGCTCGAAAGAGGCGGGAAGGCCTCAACTTGGGAAATTTGGTCGCGTGCCCTGCTTTCCCATGTTCCGTCTAGCCGAAAGTCAAATCTGTCCATCGGCGATTTCACTTGCTCCAGGCCATCAGCCACCAAGGTCCTGCAACAAGGGATCGTGTTCTTACTCATGACTTAGTGTAGCATGCATTCATTTCGAAAAGGCTCTTGAAGAGTACGGCCGTGTAGAAAGGAGGCTAGACTTAAAGCCTCTCCAAAACAATGACACCCAAACATGCCCCGCTGAACAGAAAAAGCAACCGAACGACATGCCCCATTTGATCCCTAGCATCGTTCACGCTTGCAAGCATATAAACAGCACAAGAGCAAGACCAATAATAACGGCGGCGCTCAGGCCGCCAACGAGACCCCAAATAAAAGTCCGATGCAGTTGCCCGTCGTGCACTATCATCAGCGAGTCCGAGTCTGACGATTCAATGGAAGCCGTCTCTTCGTCATATAATAATGGCGTTCTCTCCGTTGCAGGCTTGTTTCCTCTCATCAGAGCCCTGAGGGGCCACCACGACTTCAGGGTTCCCCACGCCTTGGAGATAGCTGGGAAAGTAGGCTCGTTTGGATCGAGGTAGATGACGTAAGATTCCTCAAGATTGACATCGGAGTCGCCATCTTCAAATTCGTTCCAGTACCTGATCGGAGACGGGCGCGGCTCAGGAACCACAATTCGTGCTCGCTTCCGTGTCTTTTTGCTTGACGGGGATTTTGACTCGAGAGGCGAAGTGACTGCCTCTGTGTTTCGAGCTTCATCGGATGTAATAGAGTCGCGTCCACGAGTAGCTGTAGAGAAGACACTGTCTGCATGGCCTTCACTGGAGGATGGTCCAGAGGACGTTCCACTCAGATCGGTTGCATTGACCCTGACCCGGTTTGCGGTTCTGAGTCGGAATAGGTGGGATGCTGTCTCACCGACGTGGGGAAGAGGCAGCTTGGTGATGTCCTTCTCCAGCAGTGATTGCCATGGTGATTGAGGGAGATCTTTGTGTACCTTGCGAATGGCCATGTCTTCAAGAGTAAAATCATAGACTCGGTACGCCAGATGCGACTCATCCAATGCACGAACAACGGCTGGAGTCCGAGCAAATTCCCAACGAATATGCAACGTGGCATGTGGGAAGGTGTCGCTGTCTTGGGAAAAGGGGTGCAATTCACCGAGGTGCTGCATGTCCACCGTACCAAAAGAGACCGAGGTATCGAGCGTGGCCCAATTCGCGACGTCGGCGGTGTTGGTCATGCCGGAGTAACGTGTCCGGTAGGTTCGTACTTCGGCCAAGGGCTTGACATCCCTGTGCTCGATGAGATATCGCTGAATGGTGGTGGCTTCTTTCGAACCACCTGTCAAATGGGAATCCCGGTTTAAAGCAATAACGAGGTCTTCGCGGTCGAGGAGAAGGGCCTTTTCACCGGAAGAGGTAGGTGAAAGGCCGGCGAGAGTGACTGCTGCGTCCTTAGCGCGGGTCCAGTACGCACTCAAGGCTATCTTGGAGGGTCTGACAGAACTTTGGTCCTTGACAAATCTCTGTGCGTTGTCGAAGAAGACCATGTGAGTGAGATTGTTGTTGTTTGACATGGAGAGGGACGCGTTTCTCTGTGGCGTCAGTGATGCATTGGAGCTTGTCCGTGAGGGGGTGGGAGCGAGAGTGTCATCCTTCTTCATATGTCTCTGAATGATGGCACGAGCCTCGTCGAGGTTGTCTGTATGAATCCAGTAGAAAGCACTGCCGGCGGCCTCGCCATATGGCACCGTCATAACGGCAGCATCAAACGCGGCAGGGGCTTGCTTGATGGTATTGTTGATTTTAGATATGGGTGACCGAAGGCCCAAAGCAGAAACTCTATCCTGTTGCTGCTGACCGGAGGGTGGTTGTTGGGGATGCTTCTTAAGCGTTGGAATGGCCAGTTTCTCGGTGAGGATGGCTGTCTGTTCAGCCAATTCCTGAAGATAATCTGAGTAGTCGGTCTGCAGCTGGTTGGACGAGAAGACTTCGACGTCCATGCGAGTTTGCAGCGTGGTCGAACCTGTCCATTTCGTATACTTCTTGAGGATTTTGCGGAAGGCGATTTTCTGAGCAGAGGCAAAGCGAGCAACCTTTTGGATGAGGTCCCCCAGCTCTTCGCATTCGCGGGTGAGTTTGCGATACTTGCGGCTCCGGATGCCGGCGACGGCATCAACTTCCAGCGCCCTTTCATCGCCATATGTCCGAAGGATGGCGATCTGCTTCTTGAGCGAGCTCAGTCGCCGGTCAATTTCTCCCCGCTTCATCCGCAGGAACAGAGTGATGTTGTCATATTGATCTCGTAAGTGATTGAGCAAGACCTTGTCCGTCTCCTCCCATCGACTCTTGCCTTGGACGGGGATTTCGACAGGGCCGGAAAGATTAGGGGATGTACGTTGCTTGATGAGTTGCTTCATACCATTGTAGTTGAAGTTGTAGGCGGCCCATTCCGGAACCGACCTCTGATAGAAGCTGTCACCGAACTTCATAGCGGTGAAAGAGCTCCTATGCGCCAAAGGTCGTATTGTCGTGTTGTGTGTAACTCTGCTGGAACGCTCCGGAGGGCCAGTCGGGAGCACATATAAACGGTGCGTTCAAATGACCAGGGCTGATTGTTCCATGGCAGTGAGAGCATGAAATGGAGAATAGGTATGCAAAATGAAGGTGAAGGTGAGCGGCGCCGGGCAACAAATGACCTGTCAGGCTATGTATGCATTATGCATTGGGGCGGGGTGCCAATGGGTACCAATGGGTACCAATGGGGGCGCGAGGTGACAGAGAAATCAATCTTAGCACGAGCAGAAACGAGAAAGGCAAAATGATTCACAAAAGGTAATAATATGGAGTACGAGTAGTTACTCGGATCAGAGTACCCAGCACCACTTAAGACGGTGGCCAGGGCTGCCCAGTGCCAGTGGCGCAGTGACCATAGGTAAGTATTTAAGTATAATTGTGCTGGGCCTCGTGGAGCCTGGCTTGTGGCTCCTCCCTTGGACGTTGGAGCCGCTTGTTCAGAATCAAAATACTCGGTAGTGTGACAGACAACATCCTGCGAGACCGCCGCTCCAGCATGTGGAGATAGAGTTTCGTCAATCCCACGACCACCAAACGTCTCCTGTGTACGTACAACAGAGTGGCAATCACTACGAGATGATAACAAGGTCCCTCGGCATCGGCATCGTATCAGTCGGGCACTTGGCGGTCGACTCGACCTGTTTCTCACACGCATCTTGGCCATGTCGCCGCCTCGCCGCAAAGAGCAAGAGAGAAACAGGTGCAGCCAGACGTCATTCGGCACTGGGCCAGTGACTCCAAGAGGCCCCCCTCCTTGCAAACGGCCGCTTGCATCGGTGGCTGTGCCCGTTATTGGCTTTGGTCATTTTTTCTTTCTTCTTTGTGGATTCGCAACATGTGAAATGTATCGAGATCTACAGAATTCACCTCCTCCCTTTTCCGCCTTCCCCTCCTCTATTTAATCTGCACTGGCTTCACACGCGACTGCACTGAGCACTATCTACCGAGTACTCGGTATTTATCTATCTACTGGGTATGGCCCGGTGCCGAGATCGACTAAAAGAGTTGCCTGCGCCTATCTCTACCTAGACTTCCAGGTGGCTGGGAACCTGATAATGGAAACTTTACTCCACGGCGTTTGATTTCTTCAGCAGCAACTCTGCGCAGGAGTCCATACTAGAACCGCAACAGGTAAATACCCTCACACAACGCGCGCTAAAGATGAGTTGCAGAAGGCTTCGGGGCACTCCCAGCCCAGCAGGGGTGCCTACCGGGTAGACTGGCGTCCCTACCGTAAGTACAGTAGGTCCCGTAGGTAGTCCCGCCGGACATCCGGGTGGGGTCCCTAGGACCTACTCGGTTACAGGCTCACCAGGCACACCATGACCTATGTACAGTACCACCAAGTACAGTAGTACTTAGTTAAAATTTCTGTCTTGCCACAATTGTTCAGCACCTCCACTCACGTACTAGCCCCCTCGCCTATTCACACTCCGCTTCACATTTTCCCAGCCCTTTGGCCAGAACATTACGGAGTCCAGTGTGGTTTTGTGCCACCACCATCTGCCGCCAAACCTTACCAATTTGGAGGAACCCCCCCCCCTGAAAAAAAAATTATCTCGAATCGATGATTACATGCAACACTGCACAGAACCCAAGTGTGCCGATGCACCTTTGCCCTTTTGCAGCCTTGCGCACAGGTAGCGCCACTGTTAACGGTTTGCAGTGCTGCATGCCATCTCTATTATCGGTGCCCTTGACAACCACAGCCCAATGGCTGATTCCAGTGCGCTCGTCACCGCGCTATTGACTTCCACCCACGCCTTCCTGCAGCCTTCCTCTTCTCTCCACTCCGAGACTTTGGCCTATGTAAAATGCATTCTGGACCCTTTGGCTGCCGACGTCGCAGCTGCGCAAAAGCTGAGGCGGGACCAGAACAGGAAGAAGAGAAAGCGGAGTGATATTGAGCGGGAAAACGAGGTCTTGCAGTTGCGTCAAGTTTACACAAATGGCTTTGGGGTAAAACAGGTGTGGGAACAAGCGAAAAGGATCCTGGATGCCACTTGTACCGAGACAGAGAAGGATATCGCCGTCCACAGATCTCGACTGCACTCAAGCTCAGACGAGCAAATTGTCAGAAATGGCCACCGCGCGGATGAAGTCGACGCTTCGGATGCCTGGGAAGACGAGGATGAGGATGAGATGCCGGGGTCAGGAGTTGACGATAGGCAGGATGACGTACTAGAGGATGAGTTCGTCGACGATGAGGATGGTACAGAAGACTTGAGTGATCTCGAGGACATTGACGATGTCGAAATGGATGCTTCTTCTTCCGGGGCCGACCAACAGGATCCCAGAACATATCGGCAAGATCCAAACAGCCTCAATGACGGCTTCTTTTCCATCGACGACTTCAACCGACAGACTCAATTTCTCGAGCAACAAGATGCACGGGGCGAAGACGACAACCCCAGCGATGAGGATGAGATTGATTGGGATGCAGATCCCTTGACTATGCCTTTCCACAGACCGAAGGTGAATCCTGCTAGCCAGGACAAGAAAGGGAAAGGCATCTCGGATCGCGAAGAAGAATCAGACGAAGAAGAAGACGGTCCAACCTTTGGAGATGCCGACCTCAATGCCGACGATACCGACGAAGATATGATGAGCCAGGACGAGGAAGCTCTCAATGACCGTGTCGACGGCCTGCAAAACACCAATGAGATTCGCTACGCCGACTTTTTTGCACCTCCGCCCAAGAAATTATCAAAGACAACGCGGATGCGAGCACTACCGAAAACGCAACCGACCAAGCAACCCGAACCGCCCCATGCAGACTTCGAGATCGACGTGCAGCGAGCAATCTCCGATGTTCGACGTGACCTGCTTGAGTCGGAGGAAGAAGAATCTGACTTGGAATCTGGAAGTGACATGGAGGACATGAGGCGGTCAAGTCAGAACATGTCTACACATGAGAAGCAGCGAGCCGCCATCGCCGCTGAGATCCGGCGCCTAGAAGCGGCCAACGTTGCAAAAAGAGACTGGACGCTCTCTGGCGAGGCACGCGCTGCAGACCGCCCGCTTAATTCCTTGATCGAAGAAGACTTGGAGTTCGAGCGAGTGGGTAAACCTGTGCCCGTAGTCACCGCCGAGGTCTCCGAGGACATTGAACAGTTGATCAAACGACGCATCCTGGCTCGCGAATTTGATGAGGTTATTCGCCGCCACCCCGATAGTTTGGGCGCCGCCACCGAAACGCGGAGAGGCCGGGTTGATGTTGACGACACAAAGCCCCAGTCCGGCCTTGCAGAAATTTATGAGCAGGACCATCTCCGTGCTACAGATCCAGGATACGTCGACAAGAGGTCAGCAGCGACGAAGAAACAGCATGAAGAGATCTCAAGGCTGTGGAAAGAGGTGTCAAGTCAGTTGGATCTGCTCAGCAATCTCCATTTCAAACCCAAACGAGTCGAAGTAGAGATCAAAGCAGTGGAAGATAAACCCACGATTAGCATGGAGGATGCAAGGCCTGTTGGAATGGGTGTCAATGCCGAGGAGAGCATGCTTGCGCCTCACGAGGTGTACCGGCCTGGCGAGAAGACGACGAAGAGGGACAATATGGCTGTTCTCAAAGGCGGCGCGAGTGTGAGCAAGGACGAAATGACCCGAGAAGAGAAATTACGCAGGAGAAGGAGGGAGAAAGAGCGGGCGAAGAAGGCACAAGGAAATGCGTCGACTTTGAAAGTTGGCGCGAGTGCTAATGGTAGAGATGGCGATTCCAGGAAGTCGAAGGCCAAATCTCGAGAGCGAGAGAAGGCGGACATCTTGTCTGAGCTGCGCAAAGGCGGCGTCAAGGTTGTGGGAAAGAAGGGAGAATTGCAGGACTTGAGCGGAAAGAAAGGGAACAAGGGAGGCGTCTCTGTGGGTGCATTGGCTGGAGGGGCGCTGAAGTTATAGTTTGTAGCTTGTGTTCATGCGTAAGCTGAGCGAGGTGTTGCGCGAAGCCCTCGTTGTCAACCTCATTGATTTTGCTCCCATCCACTCCAAAAATTGAGTCCGGGTTATATTCGGCAAAGCAACCCGAGCGTTGCTTCACAATCCACAGCACAACGTCGATCGTAGTTTCTCTGCATCGACAACGGCGCAAGGGTCCCCTCTCTAATCTTCTGTCCTTGATTTGATTTCCGGGCGCGATCTTGACAACGTCTTTCACTAGGAGATGGGCATAGAAGAGCAGAAGGAGGAGCGGGAAGTCCTCGAGTCGATTTTCCCAGACGAGATCACAGGTTCGTAAAACTCACTTGTCATTGACAGAGGATACCCCCACTCCTACTCCTCCTCCTAGTCCACATATATATACGCATGCGGTGAACGGAAATACCTGACAGCTGCGTTTCCGCTTTGGCAGACCTCTCGGACTCGTCGTACCGGATAGCCATAACGCTGGACCTGCCCAGCGAGGGGCATGGCGATGAAGAGCCCGAACCGCCCGTCCTCCTGCTCAACGTGGCCTACCCCGAAACATACCCGGACGTCGGACCGCACCTGGACATCACGACGCCGCCCAACGCGCCCAAACACCCGCAGCTGGACGTGGCCGAGGACAAGGCGCGGCTGCTCGACGCGCTGCAGCCGACGATCGAGGACTCGCTGGGCATGGCGATGGTGTTCACGCTGGTGACGACCCTCAAGGAAGCCGCCGAGGTGCTAGTCTCGGACCGCATCCGGCAGGCCGAGGAGGTTAAGGAGATCGCGGCTCGCCAGAAGGAGGAGGTCGAGAACCGCAGATTCCACGGCGCCCTGGTCACCCGCGAGCGCTTCCTCGAGTGGCGCGACAAATTCCGCAGGGAGATGGAGGAGAGGGAGCGCAGGGCCCGGGAGGAGGAGGAAACCGAGGATCGCAGGAAGAAGGGCGGCAAGCTCGAGGAGAAGAGGCTCACCGGGAAGCAGCTGTGGGAGAGGGGTCTGGCCGGGAAGGGTGACGAAGAGAACACTGATGGAGACGACGCTGTCTCCGCGGTGGAAAAGCTCAAGGTTGACGGCTGAGCCATATCTTCCTGTATTGGAAGGAAAATGGGGGTCACTGCCTTATCGCCTTAACCACTCAGAGGGGGGGAAATTGGAAGATTATCAAGGACTCTATGACGATCCCCAAGGATACAACAGCTGGTGAATGCTAGCTTCCATTTCTATCTGCGCCGAACGACTGAAAATACCGTCTGCGAAAAGGATTCAGTTCATCAGCCGTACGACCAGTGCTGGCTTCCAATGCCTCCTCTCGACTAGCAGACCCGTTAATGCCTCCCTCTGAATCGAAGGCCCAGGGCACTCTCTCATATACCAGCAATCTTCGACTCCACTTGTTGAACCTCTGAACACACTCGTGTTTCAGTTCGAGATGCCGATGCGTCGGTATGGTGGTGACTTCCTCCTCCCCAGCTTCGTTTTCGTTTGCGCTCGGCATCCAGAACGCGATACGGCCCCCATCAACCAATGTTTTGGCTGCGAAGTCAAGGATATCGTCAAGCATACGGGCGAAGGAGTAAGGCTTTTTGGGTGGGATGTATCCCGGGAGCGTATGCGCCGGGACGCCGTTGATCAATACCTCTGTCAACAGGCTGGAGCCCTCAGAGTGACCGGTTCCTTCTTCGGTAAAATCTGCTGCCTCGACACGACTTTGCCTCAATCTCGTTCCAAGCACTTTCAATCCTTCACGCACACCATATGGAGGATCACATATGATCCCATCTAGCCACCGGCCATCGCTTGACTTGAGTGCAGTCGCAGGACAGCGAAACGGCGTATTCGTCAAGTCGGAAGTCAGACAATCACCGAACAAATGGGTCAGACCATACTTTTGAAAATTGGCTCCTACGCCCTGATCCAGACCGAGACCTTTCCCACGAAAACTCCGGCCATCGATATCTGATCCTAAAGCAATAGCTCCTAACTCTGCAGCGGCAACCATAAAGCCTCCGGTGCCCACAAAAGGGTCCAAGAAGATCTTGCCCGGACTTGCCAGGGCGATGTTTGCTGTCAGCAACGCCAATTCTGCATCCATCGACGTTGTTGATATGTACGGCCGCTTCTTGAGGTCATGCTTCTCCCGTAGCCAGCGACATGAGTCGCCGATCTTGCGGGCCAGGAACACTTTTCTCAAACTCGTGCCTGCTATTTTGTCGACAGCCTCGTTAGAGGGCAAAGCGTTCTCTTGGATCTCACTGGGCGAGGCCACAGGAAGCCACTCTTCCAGGACCGCAAACTCCACTTGCGGGTCCTTCATCTTGATCTTGCCCTTGAAATCAAGGTATCGAAATGAGTTGATGATATGTCTCTGTTCATCGATATCCCTCGTGCTGCCGTAACAGTCGACCGAGAACTTGAATGATACATGACGAAATCGGTCCCATAGATAGGAACTTCTTGATTTCACATCCGCGTGAAGTTCATCATAGTCCCGTCCCTGCCCCCATATTTCGTAGATGCACTTTGAGAGGATGGAACGGCTTTCGAAGTTCTTTATCCTCGCATCGATACTTTCAAAAGAGCCGTCATCCCTTGCCACGGTAACATCGAGGGCAGGAAACCGCGCCACACAGAACGGTGAGCTCTCGGCATAGGAAACGATCTCACAATGCAGTTGGGCAAGGGTCGAAAGTGCCTCGATCTCAGGTCGCCGGAAACTTTCATGCGCCTGAGCCAACCGGATGAGATATTCCATCGTCGAGTCTAGTTTTATTAGTAGATGTCGCCATGGAAAGGTGGCCAGACGATTCTGCCTTGGTCACTTCCGAAACGATCTGCGCCTGATCTGAGAACAAGCCTTAGTCGAGGCGATGAAGGCAGAGATGATTTCAATTTGGTCATTGGATGAGAAACGACGAGGCAGAATTTTGAGTGACTCCAACTGTGGATCTCGAGTCAACCCCGTAGTTGATTGTCTGGCTGAAAAAAGCGTCTCGTCATTTACCTCGTCATTTGATATTGAAGCGAGCCCTCACCCCTTATTCGCCCAAGTGCGCCTTGATCTGTCATCTCTGGCTACAAGGATTTTGTCAGACAAATATCCAACTCAACCTCGGCGGCCCTTGTGCTCTCTTTTCTTGGCATATATCAGCCTTGGGCCTTCCCCCTCACCCCTTATATATCCCACCGTTGTGCTCCTACTCATCTTGGTTATATCCTCGTTACAATCTTTTATACGCATACATAGAATTTACCCTGTTTTCATAGATCTCTACATCTCTTTGCTGCATCGATACGGTATTGCCCCTTCAAGGGAAGCCTCACAAAATGTCCGACGTCCCTCGCCTCATTCACGAATCGAGAACCCACTCTTCGTCCAAGCCAGACCGGGATTTTTCTTCTTCCTGTCCGTTCTGCGCCATCGGAAGCACCTACGATGCAACGTCTCCCTTCTCCTCATCAGAGTCGATGGCAAAGGCACTCGACCCAGAGCAGCTCGACCCGCCGTCGTTTGTGCTCTACTCAAGCGAGCACGTCATTGCTTTCTTAGATATTATGCCCTTGACGAGAGGACATGTGTTGGTTGCACCTCGGAAGCATCGTGTCAAAGTCGGGGATTTGAGTCCCAGTGAAGGCGCAGAGGTATGTTTGACCATCGTCGTAATGTCTCCCTACTATTCATGTTCATTATCTGGGAGTTGGATCTCATAAGATTCCTTTCTGGACCTCTTCCAGTCATTGATACACTTGTATTCCAACATCCTACAAGACCTCTAGAGCTAAGGTCATATTCATTAATACAGATCGGCAGAGTCCTGCCTCTTCTCGCACGGTCTGTCATCAAGGCTGTCCTTCCAGATATACCGCACGAGGATGCCGACTATAACGTGGTGCAAAACAACGGTGAGCCATTGCCAGCATTTCACCATTTCACCATTCTCCCCCCTTATCTTACCTTCCCTGATCCCCAGACTGAGCATTTCCATCTACCCCATCTAGGCCCCGGCGCCGCTCAAGTAGTCCCGCATGTGCACTTTCACATTGTTCCCCGCCCCCCTCTGAACTACACCTATCCCAACCTTAGCGCCACCACATCATCTTTGAAGAAGAAATATCCACCCAATCCGCAGCCTTCAGGCCGTCAAGCAACGGCCATTCTGTTTGGAAGAGGAATGCGCGAGGATCTCGACTACGACGATGCCGCGGTGTTGGTGGAGAGTATGAGGGCGGCAATCAGAGAGGAGTTGGCGAGAAGCTTTGGGAAGGGGGAGGGATCGGTCAGTGCAGAGACTGTGGAGCAGATGAGAAGTTTGGATGTTGGGGCCGGCTCTGAAGGAGGCGGAAATGGAAGCCGAAACGGCAGGCGTTTACCTTGGAAGGTCTGAGACGATCAGCTCCGGCCAGCTCTTTTCCTGTCACGATGGCCCCTTTATCTCCAGCCTTGAATTGTTGAAGAACATGCAGCTCCGCTGATCCACTCCAGCCGAGACCCTCGCTCACCAACTACCACAGATGGTTGAAGATATAATGCTTCAATGAGAAGGTCGGCAGATGGTGGCGGAGTAAGATTCGAATTGATAGCCAGGGCTCGGGCTCACGCAGCCTGAGCAAACCCAAGCCGGCGAACAGCAGCGAACGTCAACCATGCAAAGGCCCGCAGCATTGACACCAACTGCATGTCCTTGACTAGATCAGATATTAAAGGTCGTTTCTAACCCCGGCCCAGGCCCTCCATGTTCAATTCTCGAATCTCTCGATATGCCTGTCTCTACCCTTATTCATTGTATGCTTCAGCGTCGCCCTCGACCAACACGACAGAATCCAGTCACCCTATTCCAAGTTGTCTCATCATACTTGCCTCACGACGAGTTTAATCATTCCCACGATCGAGTGTCTGGTCGATATCCATAAAACTGTCTGTTGCCCTTGGTTTTCCCAAGGCTGAGTGCACTCTTCAAGTGGCTAATGGGAATGTCTGGCAAAGTTCTAGAGACGTCGAGCTCCTGAAAGCCTTTCGCACTACCCAGAATCAGCATTGCCGACTGAAGACGGTGAACTGTTGCATTGAGGGGTTTTTGTTTTCCATTTCCACATCTCTAACAGGAGGTATTTACCTTCAACGGCAGCTACCAAAGTGTCACGAGAGATTTCTGGGGAGGAACTACCGTATATGGAGTCCGCGACAAGGCACCATCGCCTGTTGTTTGCTCGTGTGTGGGTTTTGCTGCAAAGCACTGTTCTTCGGCCCAATGCCCCAGCAATCAGGTTGTTTGGCTCTGCAAACCATCATCACCACGACCATCTCTTCCCTTCCTCATTAATAAATACAACGGCTCTGTCTCGCCAAAGCTCAAGTCTCGAGGTGGACAAAGCAGACACCAGAATAATCCCCAAGGCCCCATCCAGATAGCACACTCAATCCGGTCTCCAATTCTTCCTTGGCCCTGCACATAAAAGTCGACGCTCGTAATATGGAAGAAGAAGCGCATTGCTCGAAACGCCACCCACGATTGACCATCCAGGTCGACATCGACCAGCAGGCCCTCCAGGTCCAGGAACATCACAGTCCGCGGCGTCAACAGGAGCGCCAATCCCGACCCACCGCCAACAAGCCCGAGATAGCGTCCGAGTGTCAAGAGCAAGTACAGGTGGAGGTGCCAGTCCATCCTCGCGCGCAACAGTCAGCTTCTACCGCCTCTGCATCATCCCGATCCCCAGCTCTAGCCCCAGCCTCATCACCCTCAGACTGAGACTACGCAGCAAAAAGCCTTGGACGTGTAACGAGCCACATGAACAAGCACAGCCAGGCACGGGGGCAGGCAGGAGGGTATCTGGATTGATCTATCACTTTCAACGAGAGCTCACCGGGAGGAAGACAGGACAGGGAGGGGAAGGAAGAGGAAGAGGTGGGATTACATCGGATTGGATTGGATTAATACCATGTAGAGCGTTCCGTCTAGGAGCTCGATCTCGCCTTCTATCTGTGCGCATATGTGTGTTAATCAACTAATCAATCGATCAATCAATCAATACATACATACATACATACATACATACATACGTGCACGTGTACATGTACAAACCGTGCAACGAACCTTGTCCTTTGGTTAGATCTGCTTTGAGACACACTTAGGGATCACCAATCGGTCGGTAGGGACCTTCGAGTCAAAACCAAAACATCAAATAAGGAGACAGAAGAGAGACAAAGAGAAGAGACAGTCGGTGGACTCGGTCATCATCGATTAGGAAGCTGTTGCCCACGCAAATACTCCGTACGATTGCAATTGCGATAGCCCTGTTGGCGCGACCCATCTAGACCTTGAACCATATACCATGAGATACAGGCATGGACAAAGAACACGCCGCCGCTACCGCTCGATAATCCAAAGAGCACAACCCATTTTGGCCTCGTTTCATGTCCAGCCCCTATTCTCACAGTCACGACCCTCCCGGTCTTCGCTGCTGCGCGGGAATTCAAGTCAAACAACTCAATGCACGCAAGAGACAAATTTCAACTTTGCGGTTCTCCCGTTTTCAATAAGCAATAACGCCACGTTCGCCCGTTCTCGCCAGTCAATCAAGCCCCCGCCCGTACCGTAAGCCCACCCACATTTCGAACGCCCTCGCAGTGTGCCCCAACAAAAGCTGGAAAGATGCGCCAACGGAGATTACTTCCCAAAGTCTTTCTGATGCCAGGTAGTAACGCCGGCGAGAGTTCGCTGTGCTAGGAGGTTGCTGTGTGGTCAGAGGTGTTGGTGGCTTATCGATATGATGGTAATGATGCTGGATGCTAATCTATGTGCGGATATCGTTTTCAATCGTCGCGGTGATGGAGACATGAAAGCATGACCCTTATTTCAGAGGGGTTGCCCGAAAATTTCGTCGTGTACGACTTCCCAGAAAGATCAAGCCGAAAAGAGCTCGCCACCGTGGTCAGGCAAGCAAGTCGGGTGATGGCAAGTTGGCAAGCTACTGTGCAACCTTGGCATCGGGGAGCGACAAGGCACCGGTTCGGCGACTTGCACCGTAGTCCTTAGCCCATTTCCTGGCCAAGATTGATGCTTGTGTCTTTTTAGCCTCGGGTTGACGACAACTCACACTGGGTCTTGGACTTACCCTTGAGGAACTTCTTGGACGCATATTTCTTGAATAGCGCCTCGTGTGCAACTGGTGCTTCAAGATAGCTGATCATGAGGTCGAAGACGGGCAAAATCTCCTCCTCGTTGTAGCCAGCAAACTTGGTCAGTGTCGCGTCCTGTCAATGATTAGAAAGAGATCCACGCTCGGCAATTGGAATACATACCCATCCACCACGCTCAAGTATCATGCGAGCAAGGTACATGGCGGCAGCTGCAACATGACTCTGCTTGTATTCCAAGAAGCGGTGGTCCACGAGACTGATTTCCATCAAATACTTTCCCAGTGTGCGGGTCTGAATGTCATAGTTGTCGGCCTTCGAAATTCTTCGCAAGAAATTCATGGGGTTTGGATAGCTAAGATCGTATTTGAGTGTCGACAAGGTGTAGCGCTCAGCACTCAGAACCTCTTCAATTGTGAAACCATCGTCAGCGACGTGGACGAAGTTGCCAACGTGGGGCGAAAGAACTTCTTCGTATTTGGAGGCGATGAACATGGCAGTAATGCCAACAAGCTGGAGCTTGTCGAGAGGGACAACCTTTTGCGAGAGGAAGCGATCGACAATGTTGACGGCAAGAAACAAGGTTTCGGGCAGAAGCCTAAATCGGGTGTGCACTTCGATCAACCAGTCGACGAGGATGCCTCTCATCTTCCACTCGAGATCGTCTTGATGATCCATGTAGTTCGGGTTAGGCTGCGTGACATTCTCCAGGGCGAAGTAATATTCAAAGATCTCGCGGACGTATTCGGCGCACATGGACGGGTCGTCTAGGTCTTCGGCATCCAGGTCAGCAACGACGTCGTGGATCTCCTCGGTCTGAGCTTGGGCTTCTTCGACGGCCTCCTCTGTGCAAGACTTCTTGCGGGGGGGTTCATCGACATCTGGAGTGACATCTTTCGACGAGGGCGCGGTAGATGCGGAGGCTTGCGTCCTTCTCTTGCCAGTGTTTCCCAGGACACCAGAGCCACTTCCCGGTTTCTTGAGCTCAGCGGATGCTTTTGGCTTGACATTGTTGTCCTTGACGCCGAGGGCGGCTCTTGAGGAGTTGGTTCGAGAGAGCTTCTGAACGCCGCCAGCGGTTGGTTGAGCGACCTTTGACTGTAACCCAACTTTGCCTGCCGTTGCCTTCTTCCCGTCCAGTACCACTTCTACACCTTTTGCGGCATTGGTCACGTCCCCCAACGCGCGACGTCTCGTCGCCCCGTTCAGTGTTCCTGTTGCGGACTTCTTGGTTTGCAGGGGCTTCTTCGCGACAGAGGTGGTGTCGTCGGTGCTCGCCAGACCGGCGGCTTTTGCTCGGGTCAGCCGGGTTGTTTGTGTCACAGAATTCTCATCGTTTTCGTTGTTGACTGCTCGTTGCCGAGTACGGGGCTGGTGAGAGGTTAGCGGAGGTTCCAAAAGACGCGTAAAGGACTTATAAGATGGACCTTCTCGACGGGAAGACTTACGACGGGCATCTTGTTTGCGTGACGCCGTGATGGCGAGGGCAGAGCCGGCGAAAGAGGTCACGAGCAAGGCAGAGCAAAGAACCTGAAATGCTCGAGGAACGACCAAGATAGCTGGGTTCTAGACTGCATTAGCATCGATGCATGTGAGGAATTCAATATGATTGGGGAATGACGCACGAGCTTTCCCAGGCGTGTCTGGGCGAGTTGCAATCTCGAGATTGCTAGAAGGCGTTCTTCGGTGCTGGTTGAGGTACCGCGTTCTCGGTTGAACTTTGGTCTCGGTAAGATGTGCCGGTGCTTGCGTGGTTGTAGGGGCGCGTTGTTGTTGTTGTTGTTGTCTGAGCCAGCGAACAAGAGCGGCACGCGGGACGAGCGAGAGAGGTACGATTGAAACTGAACAAGGACGGGTGTCAGAGGCAATGGAGTGACAAATAAGATACGGCTCGGAAGACAGAAGAGGAGTTCTCGAAGGACAACATGAGAGGTAGAAGGGGGTGGAGGCGTGAAGCGTTGTCGTGGCCGTGGTACAAGCACAAGGACAGGTACAAGTAGGTTCAAGTGCAAGCTGACGGGTTTGGAGGTGCAGATGTGGCAGAGGTGAGAGGGTGCTCGGAGCAGTGCCAGTGGAGCAGCTGTTGTTTTTGCTTGGCAACAGCTGCAGCTTGGTTGTTGGTTTGGATGGGGCCCGAATTTTGCAGGTGGGCGCTTCTGTGCTCGGATGGCGCGTGTGCTGTGGGCTTCAAAGGCGTACCGAGTAGACGTGTAGTAGTGCGGGGTGGGGAGAGAGAGAGAGAGAGAGAGAGTCTGGCACGCACCTATTTGGCCCTGGATCGTCCGCGTAACAACAAAAAGTAATGGAACTGTGATGCAGACCTGAGGATGCCGCGATCTACTGTGTGCAAAGTAAAGTCAACAGATGAGATAAAGCCCTGAGGGGCAAATGAAAAGCTCAATGGGACGGCCTGAAGGACGAAGTACTGGGTAAAGGAAGACGAGAGGTTTGGTGTGCTGTTGATGGGGGAACTGGACGCTGTGGCTGCTATTACTACTACTTGGTACTAGGCGCTGCACGTAAGTCGCGCCTGGCGTTGTTTATGCCGGAGCCCCCAACAGGCGCTTTCGACTCGCTGCTTCTGCTGCCCCGGCAACCACAGTGAATCAACGTGAATCGGCTTACCAAGTACAAGTACGGGAGAAAAGAGCAAAAAGCATGAGACCATGCTGGCTACGCTATCTCCTAGGCACCTACTGGGTACTACATAGGTACTGGGTACCTCGTACACACCTCCGCACATACGAGGACATGGCTAGACAGTGCTCTACGAGTACAGACATACTCATACTAGCCTTTTTTGGTGCCAGTTTCACCTCTTTTCATGAGTCGCCATCAGTCAAGTCATCCCTCGTCAAGTGATACCACAATTCTATCTCCCACTCGCAAAGTTGCGTTGAAGCACAGCTTTGACGTTCCCGTCCAAAACCACGGCTCCCGGCACTTCTTTGTCGTGAATCAATCTCCCTTTCGTCTCACCTGCCTCCCACTGAGCCAGCATGTCGTTGCTCTCCTTTGGCTTGATATCCGGCCCTGCTGTTCCCACAGTGATATGTGTGATTGCATTGACACTGCGCCACGAAGGTCCTTCGCCACCAGGATAGATGCGGACAACAAATGCCATGATCCGGTCGTCCCAGACCACTCTCTCCAGCTTGACTCGTGCTTGTCCGAGATTGGGCGTCAGCTGATTCTTGTTCTTGAGATCGTTCGCAGCCAGTGCTTTGCGATATTCTTCCATGTACATTTCCCACAGTTGCGGATCTTGGGTAGCAGATGCTCGGTGGATTAATGTCACGTGGAAGTCATTCTGAATGCGTCGCGACTGTTTCAGCATGCGGTACATGCGGGCTTCTTCTGCCGGAGCGTGGTCGAACATGGAGGTTAGAATGGATTCAATGTTGTTGGTTGGCACCGATATGCTGAAATATTCAAGCTTGCCCGTTAGTTGTTCTAATGTAAGCGGCTTTTCCTCGTGCCGACTTTGGACAGGCATCTTCTGCCTGTGCGGCTTCTCTCCATTCGTGGACTTGCCGAATGAGAGGTCATGCTTGGTCGTGACTTCACTGCCCATGGCATAGTCAATCGCGGCTTGCATGTCCTCATCACTCGGCATTTCTTCCGGGAGGAGTCCAGGGTATGCATTGTAAAGATGGGTGACGACTGTCTCCAAGTTTTCCAGAGAAGACGCACAAACGTCCAGATCGATTACTTCGTCGAAGTCGGCATCCGGGAGTGTGCTCCTGTCGCAGCCCTGAAAGCGTTCCAAGAACCCTTCCATGATCCCAATGATCTCCTCCGGACTTTTGCTTCCGGCCCGGATAGTTTGATGATTGTCTCCACGGTCAAGCACACGCTGACGGGTGACTTTGCGAATATCGTCGAGCATTCGATCCTTGGGCTCATGGACGTAGTGTAATGCCACAAATCTCGCATTCGGCATCACTTTGCTGACATCATCCATGATCTGCTGTCGCTCCCGGCGTTGATGGTTGTTACGGTCGGCAATCACCACTTTGTGATTTGCCATGGCATGGACTACCGCAGCAGCGAACCGGCCTGGTCGACCTTTTTGACCCTGGATATTGTCGTTCTGTACGTGACCAAAATCGAAAAGTTTTACCAGTGCAGTTGCAACGGTGGTCTTGCCACATCCGATCGAGGCGATGGGAACAAGGACGATGTCGCTGACAGACACATCATGCCCAGCTCCGTCTCCTTCAGCACGTTCTTTGGCGATGATGTCAGATCCCTTCTGGCCGATGTCCGCAAGAAACCCATCACGCATCTTGATGATTCCGTGGTTCTTGTTATATTCTTTGGCCAACGATGGATCTCTGGCTAGTTGGCGCCGTGCATATTGCAAGTACGCTTCGGTAATCTTCTGGTGCTTCTTGTACTTGGGTGGATTTCCGGCAATGATAGCTTTCGTACATTCACGCCATTGCCGATACATCAGATAGGGCTCTTCGAATTTGTATTTGAAGAACCAGTCCGGCGCAAGTGACCGATCCCTGCTTCTCTTCTTGCATCTGACCACGAACCCTTCCGTGTCTCGTCCTTCCCAGGAACCAGTCTCACCACATTTCTCCAGGAACTCTTTGACCTCATCCAGTGACTGGATCATGACATACTGTGCCTTTTTGAAACCCCATGTATCAGCAAACTGGTGCACCTCCGAGCCGGATAAGGTGACAAACTCGGGGAGATTGAAGTTGATGCCGTGAAGGTACAGCCCCGCCGCTTCGGGGGGGTACTCGAGGACGTGTTCTTCGAATGAGTCGTCACACAACTCGCCGACCGCCGTAGCATTCATCTCTCTCAAGGCTTCTGCTAGCTGACGTGTGGTCTTGCCCACACTTTCGACGTGTCTCTTGATCCATTTCTCCCCAACACTGGCATGACTCTGGTCGACATCGCCGCGCGTGCCCGTAGAATGCTTGCTGCAAACTAGTAAAGTGCCATCTTCAAGTCCAGACATAAAGATGATGCAACCATTCTCTTTAACACTCAACTCGTAAGGCCCGGTAGTGTCGTTCTCAATGTTGACCCACTTTGTTTTGGGGACTTCGTCGACGTTGAAGAATTTGTCGTATCCTCGGACGGCAATCTCTGGACTACCGTCGGATCTCCTGGTGGTGAAGAGCCCACGAGCATAGGTAGGAAGGTCATCTCGCTTGTAGTCCCAGTCATTGAAACGCCACGAGTCAACCGTGATGCCCTGGGTGCCTTCAACTTGGAACGTTGCCTTCTTGCAAGAGAATCCTTTTTTGCCTTTCGGCCGTCCTTTGTATTTTGCAGCTTCGAGGGTTTGAATTAGTTGAGAAATGCGATGAGGATCCTGAGCCATCCTGGTCACTGGGCGACAAGATCGATCACGAGGAGGGTTTATGACGAGTCGGGGAGGCTCCCGAGAAGACAAAGGCCCAAAAGGTCGCTAGTTGCACGTTGACTGCCGAAAATGAGGTTGCGGAATTGATGAGGCGAACAGAATGTGGGCAGGTCGAGGAAGATGGGAGTTGCCGGAAAATTAAGTCATGAGAGTCACTTTTACTAACCACCAAGAAGGCACAACCCACGACGCCTCGATTTTTGACTTAAGGGCCAGGAATTCACAGTGAGTCATACGCCCGCTGTGACATTCAGCAGGATTTATCTCGACTTTGAATCGAAGTGAATGTGGATGAGAATTCGTACTAGTGGGTCAGAGAAGTGCTCAGCCTGATGGGGGGACGCCTTTGAATCAGCCTTGCAGCCACAGTTGTGACAGGTGCTGCTCGCTAGGATCGTTCCACCACTCAGAGCCTTGCGGACCCAGTTCAATGACTCAATAGCGACTCGGTGGCTCGGAAAGTATTACTACTTTGCTTTTTGAACCTCACCCGTTCACTTTCATTTCCCCTACTTTTGTTAGTGTTGCGGCCACATTGGACTGCGCACAACGAGTCTACGCCCTGGACAGCCCTAGACTAGCATCTGACCTCCCCTTACGGACCACCAAGTTCGGCTATGCTACAAGGCCACCTTTGAATCGTCGACTGCACTCCTTCCTCTCATGCCAACCATGTCAGCCGAGTCCAACCTGAACCCGTTTCTGCTCGCAGCAAACACGCCGGACCCGGATCACCGCCTTTTGCCCCTCCTGCGTTCAGACCCCGAGTTAGCTTCTGGGCAAGACGCACATGGTTACTCGCTGCTGCATGCTGCGGCTTCCTACAATCATGTGGATCTCTTACGCTCACTTGTTAACGAGTTCAAAGTGGATGTGAATCTGAAAGACGAGGATGGTGAAACATGTTTGTTTGTGGCCGAAACGGTCGAAGTCGCAAAGTGTCTGGTGGAGGAGCTGCACATTGACCTGCAGGTGAAAAATGACGAAGGTATGGACGCGCTCGAGAAGTTCGAGTCAGAGGAGGAATTTCCAGAAGTCGCAGAATACCTCCGCACCTTTACCTCCCTAGATCCTACAGTGGGAACGGCTCCTACCCGGCCTGGGCCGGTTTCCAATGGGGCCCAACGCCCTCCGTTACTTCCACCAAATGTGTCCATTAACATCGGCACTGAAGCCGATGCGGCGCCTGGAACACTTGATCAAGAACCCGACCCTGAATTCAGGAGAAGAATAGAAGAGCTGGCAGCAAAGGAGAATTTTCACACAGCAGAAGGTCAGAGAGAATTGCGTGAGTTGATCACGGATGCGGTAAGAGACGTAGGAAATGAGGGCCGAGAGGTTAGGAGACGTGTCGAGTAATTGCAAGCGCATTGGACTTTTGCAACAGCCAGTCATGCAAGGCGACTTCTCACCCACGCAACGCCCTATTGCATATAACACCGACGGGAACGGGCATAACCGGGTGTAGCCGGCGACATGGTTATATCTTATTCCCATGGGGTTTGCAACACGGAGATCTGTGTTCCGCAAAGGATTCAGTCGTTCATCCACGCAGTTACCCGATTGGAACCAAATCTAGCCGCGAGCCGCAACCCGCTACCTCCCATCGGAAAGTAGCTGACTAAATACCACACCAAAGCGACGAGCTGCACAATCGACGAAAATAGAGTGAGAATCGTGGAGTGGAGCTGACGCGGTAATGTCAGCAATGTCTTGCAGCATCGCGACGAGGCCATGGATTCTACTTACACCGACGGCAAAATAGATGGTCATGACGATGGAACCAAAGTAAGCGGCGGTGAATGGTAGACGAGGGCCTGAGAGCAAGTGTGTCGCGTATTGTACCGGGCCCATCAGAAAGGCCCAAGATGCCAGAAACATCAAGGAGCCGACCGACCACCTATCACGACGCGTCAGCCACACGCACGACTCCATTTAGACACATGCACAAATTCAGGTTCTGATTGCCAAAGACACGCCTCGCAGGGGTCTTCCCGAGCATGCGCTTCAAGCTCAATATAGAAAAGAGCTGACATCATCATGGGGTGCACGCGCTGTCACATGGCCCGTGGCCCAGCGCGTGGTGGTGTGTAGCAAATGCCGCAAGGGCGGGAATAACTTCAGCAGACTCACAGAATTGCGAATTTTCGTGGCTTTAGGGACAGAACCGGAAGCAGCACAAAACAGATAACAAAACATGCCAGCGCTGCAAGATTACAGACGCCAAAAATCAACAAGCGGTCCCATCGGCTTACTATGAAGTAACAAATGTTAGTAACCCTTGCGCCTGCGGATTTTGGATGTTCTGTATTCTTGGACAGGAGTCATGCGTAAAGCCAACTTACATGCGAACCACCCCTCTTCTTCCTCTCTCCTCGTCGGCGCCGGTAGGGGTGCTCCGGGAGCCTCGTGTGTAGGCAATTGGACATAGCTCTTTCCTCCAAATGGATTGAGTGATGAGATCCTGGACAACAACGGGTTTGACGACGACGTATTGGCCGGCACGTCCAGATCTCTTCTCGACCACCCCAAGGAATTCATTGACTCTCGAAAAGAGGAGGACGCCATTTGTGACCGGTCAATCTTCCCCCGTTCAGACTGCTCTACCCGGACAATGACTCTGTCTGCAACAAACGTGACACCTGTTACGACGACGATCTGCCCACTTTGGGTCTTTTGGTCCTTCAGACAGACAGGCCTGGGTCCTTTAGAAGCTTCGAGGTTTTGTATTGCCAGTCGGAGAAAGGCAGACACCAATTGGAGGAGCGACGAACAGTGGAATGTCTTTTGACTTTAGCCCAGTGCCAGGTTCTCGCTTGTGACCAAGACCCAACTCAAGACGACCTCGCGGGATGACGGGACCGAAGTAGTTGTCAGAGTAATGCCGTGCAAGGACAATCCACTCCGGGGCGCATCAATTGAACTCTTGTGGAGGGAGAGCAGATGGGGGATAGGCACGATAGGCAGAACCGGAGAGCAGGATTCTGCCGGCTGCCTGCAGAATGTCTTGCTTTGCAAGGTGACAGCCTCCGGAGTTCACCGAAGTTGCCGACAAGGCAGAGGAAGGATTCGAGGTCGATGGAGAGGATGGAGACTCGAAAGGGAGGTGGGAACTGCGGTAGCACCAGGGCTGTCAAGGGCAAAGTCTCGAAGAGGCCAGAGCGTGAAGCCCAAAGCAGAGAGGCCCGGCTGTATTGAGCGGAAAGTTGGAGAGGGTGAGCGACCAAGACAAGTCCGAGCGCAGTTTGCGCAGATCCAGCGTCTGGAGTGCTGCAAGGAAGGTGCCACGGTTGCGCTAAAAATTGACCCAGACCCCCTAGAGGTGATTTGGGCCAGGCATCCAATCACCGCTCCACCCTGTCCCTCCCACCACCCCTCTATTACCCCCCCCTTTTTGCGGTTTGTATGTAGGTATTGCTCGCATATTGCGCCAGGTTTGACCGATTGCCCACTGCAGCTTAGAGAGCTTAGAGCATGCTATGCCGTGAACAGGATCGCGATACTGCTCGTATCCCGGACCGAGGTCATCAGCCCAAGGGCTGAATGTCCGCCGCTAAGCCCACAAACTTCAGTTACTACTATCAGCTTCCCAGCACCCTCGCAGTTCTGGTAAAGCGTGTCTTTTTTAGTAAGGACTACCCGTGCTGAACAAGGCCGGACAAGCCAGCAGCCAGCAGCCAGAGCCCAGAGCGCGACCGGCCAGCGGTTCGTCCCATCCGCATGTTCTTGCAGCTTGGGTACGTTCGACCCACGCTCGTCCCCGTCAACTTGACTAATGCACGAGGAAGCTTCTCCTCCACGGTGCAACGGGCGCATCCGTTGCACTGCGAGAAGTGTATGCATGTATGTAAAGAACGCAACACTGCATGAGCGATGCCAATCTACCCTGCATGCTGAATGCAAAGCATGACGAGGTTGTGATATTGGCTGGCGTCGAACAAAAGGACGAACTCTAAGCGGCTTCCGTGGATCTGATCGCTCGTGTCGTGTCGCACAGCATTCCAGAGGAGAGTACAGACCTCAATCCAACCCGGGCAGCGTTGCGACAGAATGTGCTACTTTTCTCCGGCCGAGGATGGACGGGGGCCATGGGTGAGCAATGAGCATGGATTCGGGGTTTGCGAAAACAGTCATCCGCAAGCATCATGCCTTTTCTGGAAGTGCTGTCAATACCATGGTACGCACCTCGCAGCCTTGACGGCCCCTCTGGCGCCTCTAGTGAGCAGGAGATTGTGGCTTGGCTAGTCGGAGTGATGTCGCTTGGGGGGGCACTTGACCCGGCTCATCCTGATCGACTGATGTAATGCATGCCTTGATATACAAGTCATGCCGCAGTGCGGGCGACGAAAGGGTGTATGTACGTAGCCATGCGGGCAAGAGAACGAACTCTGTGCCAGAGTCATGAGCCTTCCAACACGGGCACCCGAGACAAGACCAAGTTGGCAAACATAACAGATATAGTTGAGGGAGGGGTGGGTGCTCGTTCTCTCTCGTCCCATGCCGCCTCGTCGCCTTCTTTCTCTCCAAGACCTGGGAGACCCAAGGAGACCCAGGGTTCACACCCATTCGCGGGGTCCACCCGTTGCTGCTCATCCCGCTCATATCAGACCAGGGTCCAAGCCTCGCGCATGTATTTCAATTGGGTTTTCCGGTCGTATCCGGCACCCTGCACGCCGCCTCATGTGGCTGCGCATGGAATCAAATGAGGGATCATGGTGGAGGTGCATACGCAAGAGGAGTGGCAGCTGGAGGGTGGACGGTTGGAAGGGCAGCCTGTACTTGGTACTGGTTGTGACGAGCCAGCCTTGCATGCACATATAAAGAGATCGACTGATCCGGGTTGGACGTAACGAGAAGTTATCGTCCGTCTAGATTTTCCCCTAGTGCACGCCGGCTCAATTCGTTCGAGCGCATACATACGTACCTATCTTTCTAATTATCGCCTTACCTTCTCTTCCATCTCGTCTCCATCGGCTTGCCCCTCTCTCCTCTCCGCGGGATCGTCCATGCCTAATGCTACTGCCACTGCCTACTGCCTACTAGGTACATCCTGCCACCGTGCCACTACCATCCCGAGTGTGCCACACAGTGCCTATCTGCCAGTCGACCTGTCAAGTGTCAACCTTGGGACGACGCACAGTCCAATTACGTCGTGCTTGTGGCGTGAGTGGTGGTCTCTTGAGTCACCGAGCCATCGAGTTGGTTGACCTGTTGCCGCTTGCCGCCGCGTATTGCAGCCCCTCCCTGTGCCAAGGATCGAGCTTCGAGTCCAGATCGACTCGGAATTCCATTGGCAGATTCGAATCGCAGTGAGAGCCACCAGGGCTGGTTAGCAGTGGGCGTCCACTCGCCAACCCAGAACCCAGAACCCAGAACCCAGCGCCGCCACTGCTCTCCCCCCCCTCGACTTCTCCGTCGTCTTTCTCCTGGTTCCCGCTCACTCGGTCACGGCAAGACACGGCCGCACTCAAAATTCACTTCCCCAAGTTGCCTCTCTCTTGCTACCACTGTCACCAACCCTTGACCTGACTGTACCCTCACTCCCTCCCTCCACACTGCCATCCAACAACCACACCGCATCCCACCTTCAACCACAACCATAACAACCCCGGAGCCTCGCCATCCCCGGACACTGTGTCCTGTTCTGTTTTGCCTCTGCCTCACATAGATTACGACGACTTCTGACATTGACGACATCGAGTTGTGCTACTTGTACCTGCGACCCACGATCCCTTGATTCAGCGCCGATCCGACCGTCGATCTTCTATCCGACTCTTGCCTCTGCTAGTCGTTCGGCTTCGCCCCCCCGCGACCTCTATCTCGTCCAAATCTCAAGCGCAAGTCGCAATTTGCGCTCTTCCTTCACTCTGCGCTCCTCCAACCGCGCGAGTCATTGTTCGCGATATCATCAAGGCAACCCGAAAAGAGGCGGTATCGGCGATTTGGGTCAGATATCACTCCCGAAACACACACGCCGGCGGAGAAATCCCCTTAACCCGTCTGCTGGTGTTCGAATTGGGACGGTTGTGGTCGCTTCGCACGCTACGCCACTCAGGGTAGCGAATATCACTTACAACTACACGACGGAATAAGGCCGGGCGACTGTGAATCATCGCTGACAGCGCATACAACCGTCAGCCTCGTCCGTATCTTTGACTGGGAATTTCTCGGCACAGATGGTCACTACGTGACGACGTCAAACAAATCAATTCACTACCGGTGTCACTGGGACGGGATTACCCTTGATCCCCGTGCCTTACCTTCACTACGACCACTTAACCGAGTCAGCATTTCCAATGGCTGTAGCCGCCTGACAGCCGCTTGGTTCCTTTTGTTTGCTGCTGAGTGATATCAAGGTCAAGCACACGAGCTAAGCTCTTTTATTCTTATTGCCACCCGAACCCGACCGCAGTCCTCCTCACCTTTTCCTTTGTTTTGGATCATGACACATTCTTCAGCCGGTATGCCCTACATTAAGAGTGAGCCCGATGACTTCGGCAACAACCCTAACCGATTCATGTCAGCGGCCAACTATGGCAACTCTCAGAGCTATGGCAACCAGTTCAACAACCAGCAAGATGGCGCGAGCATTGACCCCTCACAACTCTCCATGCCGACCACAAACTATGGCAGCATGCCATACAACTATGGTGGAAACGCTATCTCATCTAGTTTCGGCATCGGCCCTGTGAACGCCGGCTACGCCGACAGCGAGTTACTAGAGTCTCTCGACTTCGGAAACAACAATGGCCAAGGCATGTTTGATGATTTCACTATGGCGAATCCACCGAACAGCAATAACAGAAATTCAGGTGCCGTCCAAATGGACCAGCAGAACCAGGTGCCACACGTCTATTCAAGTACGCCCGACGGACCTCCCATTCAGAGCCCATTCCTGGGCACCTTTGACTACAATCAATTTAGGCCCATGGGCTCCCTTCCCACGCACATGTCGCCTCATCAGGGCTCCCAATTTGGAAAACGTCCTAGCATTCAGGCGGCAAATCGGAAATCGTCCGATCAGAGATCTCCTCTGACTCCACGTACGGCTGGGATAGCGGGACTTCAGATCGGGACCCCAGAGTCGGGAAATCTCGCCAACGGTCGCCCCATCCGTGCTCCAAATGTCCAGAACCGACATGCTAAGACCTTGTCGGGACAGTACGACAGCACTCCCGGGAGCTTTCATTCATACTTAGATTCTCCGTTGTCGTCCCCCGGCAATGGCATTCACCATGCTGGCATTTCTGAGACACTTGGACCTGGTCATCATGCCTCCCTGCCTGCCAAAGTCGATACGGGACTTAGCACTAGCAATGCAGAGACTGCGGAGGCAAAAAAGCGGAGGAGACGGGCATCTCACAACGCCGTTGAACGGAGACGGCGGGACAATATCAACGAACGCATCCACGATTTGTCCCACTTAGTGCCCCAACATCGCTTGGAAGATGACAAGGTCAAGAAACAGCTGCAGAGTACCGGACCGCTGTCGCCCACTACCGGCGCCACGAGCATGAGCCCGCCAAATGCTAACAGTGCTGCCACGTCATTACTTGCGGGTGCAGCCGGTCGTCGCGCTGCCAGCACTGCGGGGAATATCACGATTGGATTGCCGGTCGAAGAAAAGGAGAAAGGTCCTAACAAAGGCGACATCCTCAACGGAGCAGTGGCATGGACTCGGGATCTCATGTGGGCGCTTCATCAAAAGTACCAACAGGAAGATGAACTGGCGCAATACATTCAGACGATAGGTGGTCAATGGCCTTTCCAAGTAACAGAAGACGAGAAGCGCATGCGTTCCGAGGTCTTGGATGCTATGGAGAAAAATGATTCCAGCACCTTCTCCTACTCACGCACAGATGGCTCCGGGCTGCGGGTCCCTCGGCACACCAACGTCGCCGGCGAACGAATCCAAAACCACAATCCCAGTCTCAGTCCTCAAAGCAACTTCGAACTCAGCCCTGGCTTCCACAGTGGAGGCAGCGGCACCAACAGTGGCAGCAATGGGCCTGGCCAAACACAATACTGGCACAGCGCTGGACATACAGGCATCAGCTTCAAGGAAGAAGACGAGTTCATGGACATGAATTGATGAACTTGGGGACGGCGATGTCTCGAGAAGAATGCCGCCTCCAGAGGAACGCGAGTGACAGACACAGCAGCAATAGCGTTCACTTTCGATGTCAAGGTCACAGCTGCTGACTCTTCACACCTGCGTCGATAACGATAACGGAGCAGTATATGAGGGTGGGGAAATTCTGCCAGCTGATTGTCTCCCCCTTGTTTTCCCGTCGAGTATTTCCACCGACGTTTGGGATGTGACGTTCCCTGTACTTGCTGGATGGGATTTGTGGTCTGGTGTTCCATCCCGTCGATTTTTGTCTTTTGTTTGCCTGGATACCCCCTCGTTCTGACATTTGATCTTCTCCTTTGTAAGCCGGCGCACATTTGAGGGATTGTGTCTTTTTTTGTTTCCAGTCAAAGGCAAAGGGCAGCGCCAGGCCTGGGACGGACTTGTATTGTACTCGGTAGGTAGACACGGAGGATCCACGCCGTGATCTGATATCATGGATCATGACTTAGTGGGTAGGGAATCCATGATACTAGTAATACTTTGAATGAAAGGGTTGTGTCTACATATCACCCTAGTTAGTTCCATCGTCCATGGTTGAGGGCATGTACTGGGATTCCTCGTGAGCCATCCACGTTCCACCACTTCACGATCCGCAGCTTGGCCGATCTGTTATCCGAGACCCGGATATGCCTACCGAGAAGTCCGTTTTGGGGGACCATTCACAACGCCGGTCCCCTGATTTTCCCGCTTCTCCAACTGGAGGGAGCAGTGGGAGCAACCACTTTTTCTTCACCAAAGTCCCCCAAAGTCGCGAAGTCGGAGACGACTGGTCCCCTGCGCCCAAACATTTTCCTATTAACAATCCTTCCTACCTACTTTTCTTCTGTTTGAACCTCTGTGAAGCAGACACGGATTTTTTACGTTGCTGCTTCAGCTGAGTCTCTTTCTCTCCTTGTGCCCGTGCCCTCTCCTCTCCTCTCCTTTCCTCCCCTTGCGACCTTTGTATTTCTGCACTCCTGTCGCTACTTCTGCGCTTACACCTTCGCCTTCGCCTTGTCTTGAAAGCAACCGGATATCGCACACACAATACGTTAGAAGCAAGATGACGGAAAAACCTTTGGGCTTCGGCTACCAGATCGGTGCCGGGGCTATTGCTGGTGTCTCTGAGGTACGTGGAGAATGTAGATAGCGGCCAGAAGAAACAGAGGTATCCCCATTCAGAGCTCTGGCTGATCACAGTGTTTAGATTCTCATAATGTAAGTCCCAGTACCGCTTGCTGTGCACGGGAGACCAGACCATCGCGAATCGCAAGATCTTGCCGACCAATTTCCAACTAACTTGCTTTATCCAGGTACCCGCTGGATGTAGTCAAAACGAGAGTGTGAGTTCAATCACCACGAAGCCCAGATGGCGCAGACAACACCTAGCTAACCACTTCCTGCTCTCACCAACAGACAGCTTCAAGGCAAAGCACCCGTCCCCGGCCAAGACTACTACACTGGCATGTTCGATTGCCTGCGCAAGATTGTCAAGAATGAAGGTCCCTCTCGGTTATATCGCGGCATCGGCGCGCCCATAATGATGGAGGCACCCAAGCGAGCGACGAAATTCGCCGCGAATGACTCGTGGGGTGTATTTTACCGGAATTTATTTGGCGTGGAAAAGGCCACTCAACCCCTTGCGATCTTGACCGGCGCGACAGCCGGCGCGACAGAGGCGTTCGTCGTGGTACCGTTCGAACTGGTCAAGATCAGATTACAAGATCGCGCGTCGGCGGGCAAGTATAGCGGAATAATGGACTGCGTCGTCAAGACGGTGAAGAGCGAGGGACCACTGGCGCTTTACAACGGGCTGGAGTCGACCCTGTGGCGGCACATCCTCTGGAACGCAGGTTACTTCGGCTGTATATTCCAAGTGAAGTCGCTCATGCCCAAGGTCGACAAATCCGACCGCGTAAAGGCGATGCTGAACGACTTCATCTCCGGCACGATTGGCGGCACCGTCGGTACGATCCTGAACACGCCCATGGACGTGGTCAAGTCGCGTATCCAGAATTCGCCAAAGGTCAACGGACAGGTGCCCAAGTATAACTGGGCATGGCCTGGTCTGGGCACGATCATGAAGGAGGAAGGCTTCGCCGCGCTATACAAGGGCTTCTTGCCCAAGGTGCTAAGATTGGGCCCTGGAGGCGGAGTGTTGCTTGTCGTGTACACTGGAGTGATGGACTGGTTCCGAAAGATGGGCGCTCAACCAATCGGTTAAGAGAGAGAGAGAGAGAGAGAGAGAGAGAGAGAGAGAGAGTTGTGTGAGCGAAGGGAGGAGGTTCTCGTTTTGATTTTTTGCGTTTCTTGGTCCTCGTCTCCAGATTGAGAAGTCGAGCCAACAGACTCGAAAGGAAGCTCTTGCGCTTGGTTAACCCGCACGTAAGCACAGTCAAGGAAGAAAGGGAGGAGGAATCTCGCAAGCGTCGCATACGTCGCATAGAAGCAGATAGAAAGAGAGAAAGGCTTGATACGCAAAAACGGGGGTTTCTGATTTCTGCAATATATGGGAGGTTTCGAGGTAAAGAAAAAGGGCTAAAGGGGCACGCAAATTATTGAATACTGACACTACTCAGTTTTCTTGACTATTTTATTTTTTAACATTTGCTTCTTGCTCTTGCTCCTGTTACATACCATACGTACCACCAGTCCTAATCACAGTCTACATCCTGCATCCCCCAGAAAAGGGGGGACGAAGACATAGCTACGTAGGTAGGAAGGGCGAGCGAGATAGGTGAGAAGAAATGCTTTGGCAAGCAAAGGTCCACGGCCTCTTTCACTTTCCAACTGGCGTTTGTACTCGACCGCCAATTTTCCTCCCTGTCTCGGTCTTGATCTTTCTCTTGCTCTCACTCTCGCTCACCCTCTTTTTTTTTGGCCCGAGCAGATCCATGCAAGATAAGTCCGAATTTTGTGCAAAACTCGACGCCCTACACATACAGAGTCAAATGCTTCTGCCAATGTCAACGCCGATGCCTGCCCATGTTCATATCCAAGCCAATGCCCATGCCCGATGTCGATGCCAATGCCAATAACTCCGACTGATATTCAAGACATGCTCCACAATACAAGGTCAGGTATCCCGGCCAGCTAGAACCCCGATTCACTTTGCCCGTCTGATATACCATCTCGACCTTGTGCCTTCTTCGAGCTCGACAATGACTTTTGAAGGTGGACGAGACCCTGTTTTCTGCTTGTCTCCCCGGTTCCTGTGCTCGTCCGCGGCGCCATTGGGGTATTTTGATTTGTTTTCGTTCACATCGACGTTCCCGTTCTCATTTTCACTTGATCTTTGAATTTTATTCTGCTCAACATCTGTCTCAGCGGATTCGGTGATCTCTTCATCATTCACTTTGATAATGATTTCCCCGAAGGATTGGGCCTTAGGGTCAGTGCCTTCGTTCGCTTTCGGGCGTATCTGGAGCGATCCTTCGGCTTTCACTGGCGACGCATTGCCATTTCTCTGCCTCTGTCTACCTTGCTCTTTGTCGGAACTCGGGTTCTTCGCGGATAGATCCTTCGTGTTAAAGGAACTATCACTAGTCCAAAGTCTCTCTTTCAACGCGTCTTCCCAGCCCGCCCGCCGAGCAATTTCTTCTAGGACTAGATCACACTCCCCCAAAAGTTCGATGTCAACCTTGACCCCTTCACGTTGGCAGCGGTCCTTACTTATCCATATCTGCGGGACTGTTGGAGGGATGTTAAGCAGCATCTCATTCACCGGCTCGACTTTGAGAGACGTGCCAACGATAACGAGCAGATCGACTTTGCTTTTGTCAATTTTCAGTCGCGGAGCATAGGCATCCGCTATGTCCTCGCCAAAGAAAGTCATGTCCGGTTTCAGCAGACCCTTGGGGAAATCCGTTTTGGCTGCTGATTCTTCAGAGTCTGTGTCTTCAAATTCATCGCGCTTGCGTTTCTTCTTGCCGCTGCGCCCGCGGTGCTTGACGTTACTTCTGGGTTTTGGACCCCCATCGAGCAGGGTGCATTTGCAATAGGGTACTCCTCCCGCCCGCACTACAGGCATGTATTTCCTGGCTGTCGTCCGTCTCCCACAGCTCATGCAGGTGGCGGTTGCCAATGTGCCATGGCATTGGATCAACTTCGAGGAGGAAACACCAGCAGCTAGCTCTAGTCCGTCGATGTTTTGGGTATAGTTGGTCAAAAGCTTCCCTTTTGATTGCAGCATAGAGATGAAGGCGTGCGTCAAACTGTACTTTGGAACCAAGGGAACAGAAACATCGTGGACTGATTTGGTTGGGTCGACGGCCCTATCAGCGGGCACAAGTCCTTGCATCTTAGGAAACACCTTTGCAGCTTGTTTGAAAAACTCTTCTGGGTCGGCTTTGAAATTATCAATGTGGAACAGTTCCTGTGGATCGTTGTATACCGAATCGACGAGGAGATTGTAAACGCCATTCGCAGAACGAAAATCAGGTACCCCCAGTGACGTCGAAATACCGGCACCCGTCAACACAATGATATTCTTCGAGGATTTGAAGAGTGAGACAGCATGATCCAGTGTATAATACTGATTCAAGCGGGGCCGGATTTGCGGAACTCTGTTTGCGGGGGAAGAAAGCCTTCGGGGCGGTAGTGATGACGCCCTGTCCATGTTTAACTGATGAATGCGGAGTAGTTTAGATGGTGACGGCCGATCGGGTGAAGTGTCGAAATAAGAATTGCCATCTCGATGGGCGGGCGAGTGAGGTGCTGAAGCCGTCATTGTTGCGCGATCAAACGTTCTCGGGAAACTGTGTGATTGTCGAGACTTGAGAGGCGTTCAGTGTTGAGTCTAGAAGTCGTCTGTTTCAGGTTTTGGGCTGCAAGAACAATAGATTCTGACGCACGGCATCAGCACTTCGCCTGACACTTGGTCATCTGGGTAAGGCTGAACAGAGTGTGGTCCCAGGCTCGTGATGGAGGTTGCGAATCTCGAAGGTTCGGAATTGATACACTCGAGGCATGACTGTCGATTGATACACGGGCGCTCTGAGGGGGAGAACGGGTCAATGCACTTTTCTCCGAGAGCGCACGTACTATATACGACTGCGAGATCCTGGAGAGAGGCTGAGTCTGCTCGAGCTGACCAAAAAGCACGGAGTAGGGGGAGGGGGGGTGTGCTGGGATGTGGTTCGAGCGTCTCCTGAGCCCTGAGGCTGTGCCGTTCTTGGAGAGCCCTCCATGACATCATAGCACAGCAAGGCACGTGGACACGCTTCTTGACGCGCTTCCCGCCTGAACGCGACTTGTGGACGTTGTGTCCGCAAGTGTCGACCCTCCCTCCAAAACATTGAGAAATCAGTCAGTCTTCCTACAACACTCAACACACCCCCATGACTGCCACCGCAAGCCCAGCCGCTTTAGCATTATGCCCTCCGCCTCGTCGGGCGTCTCATCGCAGTCGAGAAGAAAGCTCAAGGCTTTTGCATTCGATGAAAGGCTGCTGGCTAGTGATGAAGACAAGGAGAACCAAAAGGATCAAAAGAATACTCTGAGGAAACCCGAGTCCGATGATCCTGACCTTCTCCGCCAGCACGAGGTACCCGAACCCAGAGTTCCCCATACACCTGCAGTGCGCATTCCCATCGAAGACCTCATCGCAAATACCGAAGATGCGTACAATTGCACTCCACCAATAAACACCCCGAAAGACCACGTTCTTTGGCAGACACATCCGGACAGCTCAGATGTTTCGATAGCGGCTGGCGCCACACAAAGAAGCAGAAAACGCGCTCACAGTTCGTCGCCCTTCTCCTCACAGCAGCTTTCCGTGCACAAAGATGCCTTGAACCTTGACGCCTTGAACAAGTCCCTTCGCACTCCCAACAATGACCCCACACAAGATCTATGGAATAGATACACGAATGCCAATGGATTGAAGAAAGATGCAAAAGAGCCGACTTTGCCCTCACATATTCATTTGCTTCCTTCATCGCCCCAAACACCAAGTACCACCAGTAAGGATAGCGGCTTGAGACGAACACACAGCTGCGGAATCGAGTGGCCTACATCAAAAGCGAAGCGCAGAAAGGTAGAGACGACCGCGCACCACAGCCGCACCAAGGAGCTTTTTGCTGCTTCTCGCAAGGATATTCTACGCCGTGACCTTCCTAATAATACTCGGGTCGGACTTCTGCTCGAGAGGATCCAGGAAAGTTTGACCAAAAAGGTTGACGCTGCTGAAAGTCCCTCAAGCTCCTCGCCACTTCCGGACAGACGCTCTCAGGCGTTTGTATCGCCAACGAAGCCGACAAACAGGATCAGACAGGTGTCTGATGGTCTTGTAGATACGGCTCGCTCTCCCCGAAAAGTCCCATCGGGAAAAGTTGCGATTCCGTCCGAAATATCATTCTCGTCCGAGTTCAGCGATGATGGTCTCGATATCGAGGCTTTCGAGAGTGTTGAGTGGGCCCTTGAACAAGCCGAGGCGAAGGACAAAACAAGTCATGTCGTATCGAATCACAATGAGAACGGCCTGAATACACGGCCTAATATTCACTCTTACGATGAGGCCAGGTCTCTCCAGCTTGATGGATCAAGGGATCAAAGGGGAAGGCCGCAAAACGAGAATGATGAGTTAATCTTGCAGTCGGAGCATACTGCCACAGAATTCGATGAATTTGATGATGACGATGACGACGAAGAATTGATGAATGAGATGCTTGATCTTGCAGCTCAGTATGATTCACCATCGCAAGCAGTGGCGACCAAGCCGCAAGCCCCTGGGAAACCGACTTCGGGGACCAATCCACAATCCAAGTACCTTGAAACACTGGATGAATTTCAAGACGCCTTTGATGATGATGATGATTTCTGGGAGGACATTGCAAATGCCACCTGTGGGGAGGGAAGGACACCGATCGCATCCAAAGATCATGTACGTTCTTCATAGACTTGAAGTTGATGACACGCATACTGATAGAGTAAATAGACATCAATTGACAATCGAGCCATCAAACGGTATCTCATTATGGAGGTCTTTGAGAGTGAATATGAATACAAGCCTGGACGTAGACGACCTGAGAAAGTATAGCTCCCCTTTCCCTGGCTACCCTCGGAACACTAACTGGACCTAGGTGCTCTCAGTCAAAGATGAGAGATCCGGCATGTGCTATATCATTCTATTGCGAGAATCCTGGTACGATACGAGATGCACCAAAGGATCTTATGTTCACGTCATTGGCAAATTCGGTCATACGGGTCAATGCATTGTCAATGATGCCGACAACATGATCATACTCCATCCTGACCATCTTATTTCCTCAACTGTTGTTGGAGATTCCTTCACCTGCATGCGACGTGCCGTTCTCCAAGACAGAGTGAAAGCTACCAGCGCAGCCAGCCAGCCTCAGGTGTACGGCCATATTCTGCACGAAGTGTTCGGACGTGCTTTGCGGATAAACAAATGGGACATGCAGTCGTTCAGAGAGATCGTCGACAAGACTCTTTCGTCTTACATCGAGTCGCTCTATGAGATCGGTGTCCGCGTTCAGGACGCGACTGAGTATCTTCTAGGAAAGACACCGGAACTAATGGCATGGGCTAGTGTCTTTGTCGGAGATACCCTCTCTGCTGATGCTCTCATTCGTGATCGGAACGGCCTTCTGGTTCCTGCCACTGTCAATAAATTGCTCGAACTGGAAGAACATATCTGGTCTCCCATGTATGGTCTCAAAGGGAACATCGACGCCACAGTCCAAGTACAGATGAAGTTGCCGCATGAACAATCACCCAGGACTCTGTTGGTGCCCTTCGAACTGAAAACTGGTAAGAAGGACAACGTGGAGCAGCATCGTGTCCAAACAGCGCTTTACACTCTGCTCTTATCAGACAGATACGATATCGTTGTGACATGCGGCGTGCTATACTACATGGAAACTTCTAAAACATACAGGGTTGAAGGCATCAGAAACGAGATTCGCCACATGATCATTCAACGAAACGAATTGGCATGCTTTGTTCATGACAAGTTAGCTCTGCCGCCAATGATTAAGAAACAACATCTCTGCAAAAGCTGCTACTCCAAGGCGGCCTGTTTCACGTACCACAAGTTGTCCGAAAATGGTACCACAGAAACCAGTGGTCTGGGTGAGAAGTTCAGCGAAGTCGTCGACCACCTGTCCGCAGCCCATCAGTCTTTCTTCAAGAAGTGGGATGATTTGCTCACGAAGGAAGAACGTGATACCATGAAATTCCGCCGCGAGCTTTGGACAATGCTGAGTTCAGAACGCGAGGCAGTTGGGCGTTGCTTCTCAGAGGTAGTGATTCAGCCTGGATCGGCATTTGAAAATCCTGAAAGCTCCAAGATCAACCGATTTGAGTACACTTTTGTCAAGCATATGCCTCGTCCCGGCTTCTCTTTTAGAGAGTCACAGATTACCACCGGAGAGCCAATTGTAATATCGGACGAGAAAGGACATTTCAACTTTGCAGCCGGCTTTGTTACAAATGTACAGCCCTCTAGAGTTGTGGTTGCGGTCGACCGGAGACTCGAACGTGCACTGAGAAAATGGGGAAGCTTCGACCCAGTCACTAATCAAGTATTTTCTAGTCATGTCAACGTGACTGAGGATGGCAACTCCCCGTCTTCGCAACCTGACGGCCCCATCCTCTACCGAATCGACAAGGATGAGTTTGCGAATGGGATGGCTACAGCGCGGAACAACATCCTTCGAATGATGGAAAAAGATCTCTGGCGCGCACGAGAGCTTCGCCAATTGATTATCGAGAACAAGCGTCCAGATTTCAAGGCCAGTTCAACAGCGTACACGCTATCTGGACCAGCCTCTCAACAAAATCTCAATGTCGATCAGCAACGAGCCATTGAGAAGGTTATGGCCGCAAAGGACTATGCCCTCGTCCTCGGAATGCCGGGTACGGGAAAAACCACAACCATTGCTCACATCATCCGAGCGCTTGTGTCTCAAGGCAAATCAGTACTTCTTGCATCGTACACACATACTGCGGTGGACAACATCCTGTTGAAGATCAAGGATGATAACATTCCCGTCCTACGAATTGGAGCGGCCAACAAAGTGCATCCGGAGGTGCAGTCATTTGCAGACATCTCAGGGCTTCCCAAACGCACGACAGAGGAGCTTCACATCTCCTGGCACGAAAGTAAAATCGTGGCAACTACTTGCCTCAGTGTCAATCATGGCATTTTCAACGCCCGGACATTTGACTACTGCATCGTGGACGAAGCTTCTCAGATCACTTTACCAGTGTGCTTGGGACCAATTCGAATGGCGAGAACTTTTATCCTCGTGGGTGACCACTATCAGCTACCGCCTCTAGTCCAGAATAAACAGGCTTTAGAGGGCGGCCTAGATGTAAGTCTCTTCAAATTGTTATCTGACGCGCAGCCAGATTCTGTGGTCAACCTGGAACACCAGTATCGAATGGCAGAAGATATCATGCTTCTATCGAGGGAACTTGTCTACTCGGGTCGGATCAAATGCGGCAGTGAAGCCGTCGCCGGTCGAATGCTGGAAATCCCAGACCTTGACGGTGGGGTTGCCGCTCATCATTTCACCGCTTCTTCCCTAGCAAAGTCCAGTCCACAGACAGTCTGCCTCGCCAATGCCGGTTGTTGGCTCCGACGCGCCCTCTCACCTTCCTCTCGCTGCCTCTTCCTCAATACCGACAGCATCATACCTAGCGGTGTGGCACGAGAAACCGTGACCGGTGCACGGATCACCAATAATGTCGAAGCAATCCTTACTGCACAGCTAGTCACCACGTTAATTCACGCCGGCGTCGCGCCCCGCTCCATCGGCGTCATCACTTTCTATCGCTCCCAACTTGCCGTCTTAAGAACCGATGTGAGAGCCTTCGCTGGGTCTGTTGCGGCCGGCGAGGTGGAAATGCACACCGCAGATAAATATCAAGGGCGAGACAAGGAGGTCGTGATATTGAGTTGTGTACGAAGCAACGAGAGTCATCATGTGGGAGACCTCCTCAAAGATTGGCGACGGGTGAATGTCGCGGTAACCAGGGCGAGGAGTAAGTTGTTGCTTGTGGGGAGTAAGAGCACATTGGAAGGGAGCGGTGTGCCTATCTTGGAAGGATTGACGAGGATTATGGAGCAGAAGGGATGGGTATTGGAGATGCCAGGTGAAGCTTGTGAGATGCATTGCTTCGAGAGTGCCATCACTCAGACTAATGGCCGTACTGCGCAAATTTGTAGTGCTGGTGGACTTGTTGGAGCGCAGGAAGCGAGGGGTTCATCACCATCACCGTCCGCGCAGAAGAAATGGGCGATGAAGCAGGCGAGCGAAGGCAACTCCGCTTACGTGAGTCCTAGAAAAAAGCAGAAGCAAGGCACCTCTAGAAAGCCGGACAAGGTTGTCAGAGGAACTGGGCTGGTCGGTGGCCCTGATGGCGGGCTGCAGAAGTTGTTGGATAAAAGACCCGTCTTGCGGGATGTACTGAACGAGCTCGTTGGTGATGGGTGCGGAAACGAGTTGGACAAGGAGAATATCAATTTGGATGCAGATCCATATGTGGACATGGACATGGATGCGGATTTCGACCCTGTGGATTTTGGAGTATACTGAATACATGCTCCACAATGCAGATGGAGGAAAGCTACGGAGTTCAGGAACTGTTATTCGGATGTGGGTGGGCAACTTGCTTTTGGATTTTCGAGGCGAAGGTCTTCTGAAACTTTGAAGCCACAACACAACAGGTTGGATAAGCACTCTACCGTGGGGGTTCCGGTCTCCTCGTGTATCTGAGTTTGAACTGGACTTCGTCGCCAACTTGCCTCGTAGACATGCTAGTCGGCCAGATACATACTCCATCGGTTGCAGGAGAGTCAATCTCCAAACGAAATGACAGTTTGATGTTGAAGACATGCTGTACTTGACGGAGAGAAGAGATTCAAGAGATACCGACGAGGCTGTGACTCCGTATATCCTCGCAGCCTGGTGCCTGCCCCCGCTAAACCAACCTGGGATATCGCGTGCCCCTTGCAGCCTTGACGTCCTAAATTCCAAGGCTCCCTCATCTTCCACAAACGATTCAACACCATCCGTGGCCTCTCTTGGAAAGACTCCGTTCGATTTGACATTCATTTTGCTCTGGCTAGAAATGGAGATTCACTCTTCTGCGCTCGGGATGGTGCATTAATTTCATTCGATACTTCTCTAGGGTACCCCGGGATAAACAACTTCTGACAGTATGGCCAGCGGCGAAGTGTATGTGGGGCAACGCCGCAGCTATGCTGGTGCACTATGTAGTGTGCGTTATCATGGCCCTCTTTCCAATACGAAGGGCGAATGGCTGGGAGTCGAATGGGATGATCCCAGCCGTGGCAAACACAATGGACAACACGAAGGTCAACAGATCTTCCAATGTCTTTCGTCCTCACCGACTGCTGCCTCTTTCGTGAGGCCCTCCCGCAATCCTGACCTGGAACGGACGCTCCTCGAGGCGATCAAGTTCAAATATGCACCTATTAGCAGTTCAGGTGTTAATGTCGCCGTCAGCAGCGCCGCGGACGATATGATCGAGATATCAGGAAAGGTGGTAGAAGAGGTCGGATTTGAGCGGATTCAGAAGCAATTATCTGTTCTCACCGATCTCAAGATTGTCCTCGTCGATGAGTTGGTGGTCTCAGGCATCGCTCGACGCGGCGCTTCCAGACAGCACATTCGCAATGCACAGCTCGAAGTCGAACGCACATGTCCAAACATTGTTGAACTAGACTTGGGTTGGAACGTCATTGAAACCTGGCGAGACATTGTGGACATGTGCATTCCCTTTCGAAAATTGAAGATCTTGAAAGCCGGTGGACTGCGCTTACGGGACTTTGAGGTCGACTATTCGCAGGAAGCATGTCCGTTTCAGGATGTCGAGGAGTTGCATCTAAACGAGTGTCTTCTCACTCCAGAGCAGATCCTCAACATTTTTTTCTCCAAAGGGCAATGTGGCTTTCCTTCTCTGAAGACGATATCACTATCACTGAACGAGCTGGGTTCGTTTGAGATAGATGGCGCCACAGTGGCGTCCCAATGTCCTGCTTTAACGACGTTAATTCTCGACAACAACCGATTTGCAGATTTATCCTCTTTACCCGTTCTCTTCTCATTATTTCCCAACATCAAGACGCTTTCGTTCCAAGGAAATACTATCTCGAATCTGGGCCTCGACTCTTGTAGCTCCTCTACTTCTTCGAGCATCTCGAACCTCGAAACCCTGAATCTCGCCAACAACCAGATCCGAGACTACTCATTCGTCACCAGTCTTCCGGACCTGTTTCCCAACCTCACTTCGCTGCGCATCTCACGGAATCCATTGTACGAACAATCCACCACTTCAGACGAGGCTCAAAGCACCACTTCGGATTCTACATCATACTATCTGACCCTCGCGCGGATCCCTCACCTGAAATCTCTGAATTATACGACCATCACACCGCGGGATAGGGAAGAAGGCGAGATCTACTACCTATCGGTCGGAGAGAAGGAACTGCGATCCCTATTGCAAAGAAATACCGCCAGGCAGCCACTAGACCAAGCGTCTGAAGCGCAATCAAGTCTTTCGCAGCAGGAAACGATCGCGCTAGCCCGCAAAAGCCACCCGCTCTACTCTAGTCTCTGCCAAAAGTACGATCGTGAGGATATCCTTTGCCTGTATCTCCAACAACAATCGTCCGCAAACCGCTCTTCAAATGTCTCTCAGGAGAAGTCCGACTTTGAGAATTATGCGCCCGGGACGCTCGGCTCCCGGCTCGTGGACGCCTGCTTCTATATCCCTCTCGGTCATGCTTCCACCACCACGATGGTGGAGCCATTCCAACGCCTCCTCCCGACAACAATATCGGTGTACCGCCTGAAGTCTCTCCTGTCCCGGCACTTCAGCCTTCCGCCACTACGGTTCAGATTAGTTTACGAGTCGCATGAATACGACCCCGTCGAACCCATTTCGAGCACGAGGAACCCGACTGCCGGAACCGGCGAGGCCAAAGATGCCTGGGATGCGTGGGGCGAGTGGGATGTCGACGAGGACAAGAACGAGGCTGGTGACACCGATGGCAGCGGCAGCGACAGGAGCACTAATAGTGAGGGTGAGGGTGATTGCCAAGGCGATGGTGGCCGGGGAGACCCAAGCCAAGGGAAACATCTCAGCCATCTATCCCCGGTTGACCATGGAAACCTTCTGGACGGAAACACCCAACCCACGATGGTTTCTATGCCCATGTACATCACGCGCGAGGGTCACCGGTTCAAGAAGCGCGAGACTGAGGTCCTCGACGGGATGCGCCCTTGGGGAGACTTCTTAGACCTGGATACCGGTCACGGCCACAGTCACAGCCTCAGTCATGATTTGGACCTGCAAGGCGCACATGCCGGCCACTGGAGTAGTGGTAGGAGGGGGAAGAGGGAGGTGAAGGTTCGTGTGGAACCCCATGATACCATATGACCCAGGTGATCAGCATAGGTGGGGACACCGGGTTTGGTTTGTTCTCAGGGCGTTTTCACAAATGATTTTCTTCCCTTTTTCTTTTGGTACAGTAGAGTAGATAAGACAGTGCTTGCTTTGGAACCAACAAAGCCCAATATTTGCACGTTATCGATATTCAGAAACAGAAAAGCTCCCTAGGGCCTCGAGGGGTCTCAATCATCATCCAAGTTACCAACAATGACCTTCTCGTTCCTCAAATCCTCCACTTCCTTCACCCTCGCCTTCTCCTGGCCGCGACCAATCCTATCCGCTCTCACCTCTTCTTCCAGGTCCAATTGGAACTTTCTCATTCGCGAACCTATCCGATCGTCGATGACCATGTCGCTGATCCAGATCGGCTCGTAGAGCGCGTCATCATCCTTGCGGGGTTTGCGCACGGATTTGTGCCACTTGGGTTCCTCTTGAATAAGCAGGGATTGTTGTTCCCATTCTGTTAGGTTCTGCGAAGGCGATGAAGTCGAGATTGGAGAGGCGTCGGATTCGGGGGATCTTGTAGCCACAAGGTCCGCTTGCAGATCTGACGGATCCGCGGAGAAAGTGGACGATGAGGAACTCTGTTCGTACGGTCTACTTGCGGCGAGGACAATGGCAGCTGTCTCGCGACCAATTTGGTCCGCCAGATATCGACGCGTGAGAAAGTGGTATATTCTCTGAGGGGTCTTGAGGAAGCCTAAGAGATGCTGTTGGTGGATTGGTTGAGACGGCTCGAAGCTGCTTGGAGTATGGGGCGATAAGGTGGCAGATGAGTATTTATCGATGGGGAGGTATGTTGGAGGAGGGTATGGCTTTTTCTTTTCTTCCTCCTTCTTCTCTTCTTCACTTGTTTTCATTTCCGATTCGGGTTTTGGCATTTCCTGGTTTTCTGCGGCTGTGGAATTATCTGTTCGACCTTCGATGGGAGGATGTGGAGACAGGAGTTCAGCTTCGGAGATGGAGACAGGTTCAGGCGCAGCTGGAGGTTCGTCAACTGGTCCTAGCCATCCCTCATGCAGTCCTCTTATGTATTCCTTCCAAGTATGTCTTCCAAGGACTAGATCCCCACGAACTCCAGGCTCTGGTACGATCTGCATCTTGTCCCGAATCAGATCTATCGCTGCTTCGGTGTCCATCTCTGGGTCGGCAGAGTTGGTCCCTTTTTCGCCCTTTTTCCGCCGCAACCGGCGTATTTGTTCTGCTGTCCCATATCGTACATCTCCTTCCTTCCGGCCCTCGATCACGTCGTAATCCATTGCCGCGGCCACTAACACGGGCTTGACATAGTCTTTGAAATACTGTCGTGACGGTCTGATGCCGTCTCCTGGCGGAGCGGATAAGAAGACAGTCAATTTGCGGCGCATCTGATTAGGAGACAGAGGCTCTTGGGCAATATGAGCGACCAAGTCGCACCATTTCTTTTGGGCTTTCTTCTTTTCCCTCCTATCGTAGACAACAGCTGCAGTCCAGGAACCGACAATCGTTAGGAAGATCATCCAATTCCGCGAGGGCAATCTCAGGCGGAAGTTGGGCATTCCTGGTGCATGTCAGACAAGGTTGTTAGATTCTGGGCGCTGAGAAGACTGACCCATCATTCGAAGCGCGGGATTTTGTTTATGGGGCTTGGGAGCCTCATATTTGGCACCCTCAGGTAGGCCATCCGGCTTTGGAGGATTCGGGCCGTCCGCCATTGTGTTGCTGGCGCTCCGGCCTCAAGCTTGTGGATGGCCAGGTAGTTGTGATTGCTCCCAGAGAGCATGCGCGTGCATGGTCCGCCAGAAAAAAAAGTGACGGTCGGATATGCTGCTCCGACAATGGTCTGCAAGCGGGCTCGGGCTACTTTCCCTTAATCCTCACTCGGTGTAGTTGGAGTCGGGATACTTTCCCTTGGGGCTCACAGTCCCTGTCGTCTGCCCCTCGCCCCCTTTAAAGGTTCCTGGAACTATTACCGCTCATTCCAAACACCGGGAGTCACAGCGACGACATCTCTTAACCGTTGTTCAAAAGAAACAACTCATAGGTATGTACGTGTCTATAGTAGGCCCACTGTCTGACGAAGAGCTGGGCAGAGGATACCAGGACTCTCCCACCCGAGACATAGGTTACCTTGATATCTTCCGCTTGCCCGTGCGCCTCAAATCAACTCAGTTGATTTTGTGCCTGTGCGCTGTGCACAATTTGACGTTGGGGTCGCAGTTTCACGCAAGAAGCTGTGCGAGATAGAAACAGAAAGACAAGCGAGGCGTGTGACCACGCGAGCAGCCAGCTGGCATCCTCGCCATGGCTTCTTTGCCATAGCTCTACTGTATGTAGGTGGGATGTCAGCCCAGGGTAGGAGGCTGAGAACCAATCGCGTGGTTGTGCCTGACGATGAAGTCAGTTCTGCCGTGCAATTGGGACACAGGCGTGAAGGACAATCCTCGTTGATGCTGGAAAACCCCCTTTGGACACCCAAACACCCAGGAGTCTCTTTAAGCTTGCCTTTAGTGCAGCGGGCAGCCTCCAGTGGGCTTGTGGGCACCTGCCCCTAATTCTTAGGCTGTAGCTAGACCTGTTTCCCACCCTGCAGTGACCGATGTCCATGCAGCGCACCCTATTTTTCTGCACCGTTTCCCATGCACCTCCTTCTCTTCTACATATGTCCTCTTCACCTTGCTCTTGTCCTTTGCTCTGGAAACGTAAAGGGAGTCCCGCTTTCCTTGCTGGTCGTCGCTCACCTCGTCGATTGAGCAGAAGTCTGCCACTCCCACAGTCGCCGCAATTGAGCTCAACGAAGCGCAAGACTACACCGACTACTGTCAGTCTAAGGGGGATTTGTCTACACCGTCTCCGGTGTGAGGAGGTTCCAGTTCACTTACTTGTGGCCCTCCGAGGCATCTGCGACTAATAGGAGTGCCTGCAACCTGGTCAGCCAGAGTCACAGCCCAGCAGTCTCCCCTTCCTTAACTGCCTTGCGCTGGCCCTTTGATCTGCTGCAACAATGGACCACGACAACAACCGTCTTCGACTGAACTTTCAGTTCGACAACCAGCATAATTTTGACGCTGCCAATGCTCGAATGTATCCTACCACTCCGTCCACCTTTCCTCAGCCGATCTATGGCACTCAACAACAGGATTATGCCAGCGGTCTCGTCTCCCCGAACCCCAACACCAACGCTGGCTATTTCTTGAACCAACAATACCCTCCCCAGTCGCAGCAGCCTCAATATCAGCAGCAATATCAATACCAACCTCAGAGTGGCCTCCAATCTCCTCAACCCGCCTACCAAGCGAATTCGAGACCCTATATGGCCAACAATAACGATGGGACAAGCGGGCTCATTCAACAGTTTTCCAACCAAGATTTGAGTGCCACACCACGTGGCAATGTCAACCGCACTCCGTCACCTGCCATGTCGCGTCCTCGGACAGCAGGCGAAACCAGACAAGTCCAGAATCCCTACCAGAGCCATCTAGCGCCACCAATGCCGAGGCCTTCACCAAAGCCCGAAGAGGAGGAACAACCGAACCCGCGCAGATACTCCGATAACGTTCTTAAACGAGGCACAGCTGCTAAACAACTGGTCAACAGTTTTTTCCAGGAGAATATTGAGAGAGCCAGGGATAGGAATAGTCGTGCAAAGGAGCTGGAGGCGCTGCTGAAGAACCCGGCCGTCAGCGACCTTGACAAGCAAAAGGAAATGAATACGCTCGCGCAGAAAGAGGCACGTTTCTTGCGTTTTATCCGGACGCGGGAAGTGCCCTCAAACTTCACTACTATCAAGGTCATTGGCAAAGGAGCATTCGGAGAGGTCAAACTAGTGCAGCGCAAGACGGACGGGAAAATCTATGCTTTGAAGTCTCTGATAAAGTCAGAGATGTTCAAAAAGGATCAATTGGCCCACGTCCGGGCAGAGCGTGATATCCTGGCAGATTCTAAAGACAACCCTTGGCTCGTCAAGCTGCATGCCTCGTTCCAGGACAACACGTACTTGTACATGCTGATGGAATTTTTGCCCGGTGGCGATCTGATGACTATGCTGATCAAATACGAAATCTTCTCGGAAGACATCACACGATTCTACATGGCTGAGATCGTCATGGCCATTGAGGCCGTACATAAGCTTGGCTTCCTCCATCGGTAAGAGCGCCCAAATCATTTCCCCTAGGTTGTCAAGTTGACCGCTGTTCCAGTGACATCAAACCAGATAACATTCTCCTGGATAGAGGAGGTCATATCAAGTTGACAGACTTTGGTCTTTCCACCGGCGGTCGCAAACAGCACGAGAACTCGTACTACCAAGCACTCCTCAAAGCTGGAGCCAACGACAAGTCAGGGAACCGAAATTCGATGGCTCTGAATGAGCAGATCAATCTGACGGTGAGCAACCGAGGACTGGTGAATACTTGGAGGAAATCGCGTCGTCACATGGCCTACTCGACCGTTGGGACTCCAGATTACATCGCTCCTGAAATTTTTCTCGGCCAAGGTTATACCTATTTGTGCGACTGGTGGTCAGTGGGAGCCATCATGTTTGAGTGCTTGGTTGGCTGGCCACCCTTCTGTGCCGAAGATACACATGACACCTATCGCAAGATTGTCAACTGGCGGGAATCATTGTACTTCCCCGATGAACTGGTCTTGGGTCGAGATGCTGAAGACATGATTAGAAGGTACGCGAACCGGCTGAGCGGCTAGACATTCTCTGATGCTGACCCGCATAGTTTTCTCTGCGACGCCAATGATCGATTGGGCAAGGAAGGAGGAGCTCATGATGGGGCGTCGTCCATCAAGAAACATCCCTTCTTCCGAGGAGTGGTCTGGGATCAATTGCGGAAGATCCGAGCACCATTCGAACCCAAACTGTCATCGAACATCGACGTCAGCTACTTCCCCATTGACGAGATTCCTCAGGAGGACAACAGCGCAATGCACCGAGCGCAAGCCAAGCAGATCTCGCCGGAACAAGACGCCGAAATGAGCTTGCCATTTATTGGATACACTTATAAAGCGTTTACTGCATTCCAGAACTCATAGAGAAGAATGTTGCGACATGCAAAAAGGAGATTGAGTGAAGACGAGGGGAGGATGAGAATATCATAACTCTAGCATGAATGTTGACGATAGAATGCATGTGGCGCTAGAGTGTCGGGCTCTTTAGGCATTCGAAATATAGGTATCAGGGCGAAAGCTGATGATGAATCGACTGGGCATATCCTGGTTGGGGCACGGGGCGAAAGCGAAGCATTTCCATGGCTATGAACCACATTTACCCAACCCGCACAGGGTTGCATTGGTCTACAGAAATGATGCTATGCAAGCACTCGCTTCTTTGTTACAGCCGTTAGCATGTCTTAACCACAATTTACTTGACCGACAAAGATTGTAGGTCCTAGCAGGTCCTAGGCGCTTGGATGCTTCTACGTACATATTACTCCGTACTGGTGCTTCGTAGTGATGAGCATCGCTCACTTGGCTAGCACTCGTACAAAGCTGGCCGATGACGTCATACGTATCTCATTTATATCCAGGTGTTTCGTTCCCTTTGGTTCAAGTTCGTTGTGCCTTTTTGCCAGTGAGCCGCGACTCCGACACAGGGAGACCCAGGATCGGTCCGCTTCTTGACCTCAACTGTGCCTGTCTCGAGGATGGATGTGAGTCGTCACTGTGGTTTACTCCCCACCATAATGCCAGCTAACCCCGGGCCTTTTTATCAGGTGTTTTATGCCTACACGTATGGCACAGCAATATGGCTCGGAATGCAAGCAATCCTGTTGATTCTTATGCCCAAGTTGGCCATCATGATGCTGGCAAACGACGGACATCAGACTTCAGGTAAGAATTATAGATGATACTACCCAAGCCGTCATCCTCCGCGGCTGCATCCAAGGTCTTCCCCGGTTACGAGCCCCCTCTGACGAGCCTCGGACCCCGAACAAAACAGAAGTCGAAGTCTATTTAGGCCGATCGCTAGGCTTTGCTCTAGTTCTGATTGCGGTGATAACCATGTTCTTTACGGGGACAATCCCATTGTCGTCGAGCATAAGTGAGCCGGTCAGCTTGGAGGACAACGATCCCAAGGCGCCCTACGCCAGACCGATACTACAGGTAACGACTTTTTTTCACAGCCTTAGCACGGTATATTGCTACACGCGATATGTCAACTACGGACAAACGGCGTACATGCTCGGAGCTCTGGGGTACGGGATGATGGCCAGCGTGGGACTGTGGAGCGTGATGTTTGGGGGTACGGAGGCCAGGCGGTCGAAAAGGACAGGTGCAGATAAGCGAACGTGGGGATTTCCATTCCAGAACACACAAGCTTATGACAAGAGAAAGGATAGGAAGATGGGGTGAAGGTTGGAATCGGGACGGATGCAACGAGGAGGCAGTACGCAGTACGCCAGTGTCATCTGTCAAGACCACTGATGGTCAGACACACCTTGCTTGGAATAAGACCCCGACGAAGATCGAAGCAAGGGTCGGGCAATCGAATAGTACGGCTCTGACTGAGCAAAATATTGCCCTGTAGAGTAGTGGGGAGCAATGGGGAGGTTGCTATGGACGGAGTAGGCAGTATATCACGGATGACCGAGTGGATGGACTGCCTCGCCGCTTACTAACTCGTATTTCAAATGACGTCTTGGGCTTGAAATGACAAGGGCAACTCGAGGTACCCAGTACTTTGCCGAGTTGCCAACTGGCCAACCTTGGGACTCTGCCAAGTCATCTCCAAATTTCTTTCCACCTTTCTGCTCTCAGCCCTCATTCAGCCCTCCCTTCAGACACGCCGCTTTATCACGAACCTGAACCTGCGCATCCTCCATCCCGTTAATCAATCGCCCTTCAGCCATGGAGGCCGACACTCTCCAAACCTTCGCCGCGGCGGTTCAACAACAATATCCTGCTTTCAGTAATGAGAATGACAGCGCCTCACAAGATGCTGCCGCGGCTGCTGGATATGCCCCTGCTGAATCCCTCAACGCCAGCCCTCACAACCAATCCTATCCCATAATCCTGCCACCACTTCTGCTGCCACAACAGACAAACAGCCCTCCCGCCCCCCAGACCCAGACCCGAAGACAAAGCAATAATTCGAGGAATACAAGCAGTTCAAGCGCGAATGTCGCTATGCGCAGTCCCCAGCAGGCGCGCCCCGCCACATCGGCTCAGACTCGAGCTTTCCAGAATGCGGGTTCGACCACCCCGTCTCGCACCGGCGGCATCGTTTCGAATACGACTCCTCAAACGCAGGCCACGCAGATGAGCCAGCAGCCGGATAACTTGCAGGTGCAGCCAGACCCGGCGCAATCCCAGAAGCAGAACGGCTTCGTCTTCAGAAACTCCTCGTCTGCATATCCGAATGGCACTCCCACCCCGGCTCGATCTTCATCAAAACAGTCACAAGTCTACACCACACCACATGGCGTGGTCCAAACTGATCCCTGGATGTCCCATTACCAACCCACCCCTTCCACTACTGAAGGCAATGCCAGCTCCAACGCCAACGACAACAACGACAACGGAGAAACCGAGCCCGTTATTGCGGCAAACCCCTTCAGCGACACATTCCCTTTAGTTCTTCACCCGCCAAACCTCGAGGAGTGGCGTAACAGACTTTTCAATATCGTTCAACCACTGGTGCTGTCCGAAGAAGAGTTCCTCACCTACTTTCCCCATGTTGACAATATCTACTCTCATCGTTCCACTCAAAAATACAAGCGCAAGGCCTTCGTCAGTCACTACTGGGACTGTCGACTGAAGGGTCGCCCTAGCGGTACCCCCAAGAGTGATGATCCCAACAAGCAAAAGCGCAAGCGTCAGGCTCGGGAGCGAGATCTGTGCGATGTCAAGATCAAGATCACGGAGTACTTCAGTGCCGAGGACGCGAGGAAAATGGGGTTGGGGGCGGGGAACGACACGAACGGCGTCGACAACAGTGCTAATGCTAACGGTACCATGGCGAATGATATGGGCACTTATGGGGGCGTAGACAACGGCGAACTAACCATTGTGATGGAAGACGGTAGCCACGGTCTCGGCGGCGTTGGTAGTGGTGGTGGTGCTCTTCACAACTCTACCAACCCCATGGATCCAAATTTTGGCCTGCTCGAACTTCCCCGCCCTCTACCGCGAGGCCATCCCGGTGCTGATGGAAAACGATGGTTCACCATTCAACGAGTCCGAGGCAACCCGGGGGGTGGAGCTATCAAGGACTCGAAACGAGACAGTAATGCCACCGGCGACGCAGAAGACGAAATACATCACTCCCTGTTGGATCCCAATCTGAATTCCGATTTGGATCACAAGCATACTCTCGAAGAAAGCGATCGGATTAAAAAGAATAGCGTGCAAAGATGGTTGTTGAAAGAAGAAAAGGAGAAGAAGCGATTGAGTGTAAGTGTCTCTTCCAAAGCTCATGACCATTCGAGCACTTCCACTGTTCCTACCCTGACCAGTCTCCTTCTGCTCCCCCCCCGTTGTTTTACAACGGAATCTGTTTGGGACTTCTTCTTGTACTCACTCAATCTCGCTCAGCGCAACTGATCATCCCTTCCTAGAAAATCCCCACCCTCGCTTCCCTCGATCAATTCTCATCAAACAACGAGTCGACCTCTCCTTCGTTCAAAGCCTCGGGAATGGCTTTCTTCACTGCCCGGTCTCACGCCGCTCCCGCCCCCACAAAGATGACCTTCTTCGCCAATTCCTTTTGCCCCTTCGCACAACGCATCTGGATTGCCCTCGAGATCAAAGGTATTCCGTATCAGATGGTGGAAATAATGCCCACAACTCTCGACAGTTACAGACCACCAGAGATGCTGGAAGTGAACCCTGAAGGGAATATTCCGTGTATAAGGCATGGGAATTGGGGCGTCTGGGAAAGCGGCGTTGTTTTGGAGTACCTCGAAGATTTATCTATGGGGCATTCTCTCCTGCCCCTGGGCAACCCGCAACTGAGAGCACATTGTCGGCTGTGGACGGACCATATCAACCGCAAGATTCTCCCAAGTTTTTACAGCTTACTGCTTACCCCGCCTCCTTCGCCCAATGTCGAACAACCACTGGGTCTAGACGGCATGCAGGTCGACGGAGATGCACACGCACAAGTCACTAACGCGGCGTCAGCGGCGCAACATAGCATGCTCGTTGCCACGTTACAAAAGAACATCACCGCGTTGGTCAACGCCAGCCATGCGACAGGGCCGTTCTTCCTGGGCAATGAGATTGGGTTTGTTGATGTGGTCTTTGCGCCCTGGATCATCCGGCTCTCCCGCGTCTTGAGCTATTATCGCAACTTTCCCAAACCGGAAGTTGGCACGCGCTGGAGACAGTGGGTTGATGCTATCGAAGGGGACGATCGTGTGAGGAGGACCGTGAGTGACGAAAACTCTTACCATGGTGTGTATAGAGGTGTGGGCGAGGATGGATGGTGCGCGAAAGATGTGCATAAGCCCATTGTGGAGATCCAGTATGCGAGGAAAGTCGTTGCGCAGGAGGGGTTCGGCTTAGGTGGTGATGTCTGGGGGCGTTTGCCAGAGGAGGAGGCCGCCCATAATGCTGACGGTATTGGGCAGACTGTATCATGAACACCTCATCTGAGTGCGGAACGTGAAAGTTACGGCGGGAGGGTGTTGCACGGAGGGCTGCAAGGCTGGCGAGCTGTATATCACAATTCCATGACCTCGAGTGACAAAGCCATCATACAATTGAGGCCTCGCGTGGAATGATGGAGGGCCCAGGGGCCATGCAGCCTTGAGCCTCAATCTACTCTTTTCTATGGTCACTGGATGCTCGTATTAGACGTGAAACGGATAACGCGGATACGATGAAGATTGCCTGTCTATTGACCACGACTGGATGACCAATCCTCAGATTCCCGGAAACGCGCTGTTTCGTCTCACACAGCACAGGTAGAAGAGCCAAGGCATGCCATCCAGTACCACAACCATGTCTACATTCTGCAGATGAGCCAATCACTGGGTACTTTCAATTGAGGGTTCGCCGACCTTGGCAAGGCTATGCGTGCTTGTAGTTGTGTGTGTAATAACGCGTTCGTGTCGTTGTTACCTTCGCCTTGCGGAAACCAGGTATGAACAGGGCAGAGGCGCTAGCTAGCTACATATAAGTATGTCGGTATAAGCTACTCTATATACGTAGAATACGAGAGATCCAGCGAGACAAAAGCAGCAATAGCGGCAACGATTAGCACGGCGAGAACGTGGCCGATGGCAGCTATCCAGAGACCAGGAGGGACCGAGGTGCATAGGAAGGAGACACAGTCAGTGATGGGCACTGGAAGGGTGGATTGAGGCCTTTGATGGCGTTCTACACGCCATTCGTTGCCATGCTCGCTGTCCATTACCCAGAGAGCACGCCGTGTGTACTCTGTAACAAGTCTAGGTAGATAGGGTAAGGCGGAGACAATACACACATGTAAGGACTGTCTACGATGCTTAAAAACCCCAATACACCTTCTCCCCCGCCCACCCTCCTTCTTTGAACGAGACGCTCATTCAGTCGGTCGGTCGAGGCTGGACTTGGTCTCAGAAGTCGTAAAAGTGCTACTTGTTGTTCCCATCCCGACTCGCCCAAGCGCCAAGAGGGGGAGTCGCTCATGAAGGCGTCCGCATCGCATCGACGACGGAAACGGGAGGAGGAGTGGCATCCTCTGTCGCTATAGAACCAGGACTTATAGTGGCCGATTCGGCTTGCACAGGTATGGTTGTTGTTGTTGTTGTTGTTGTTGTTGTTGTTGTTGTTGTAGTTGTAGTTGTCGGTTTTGTCGCAAAACCAAAGCCTCCTCGGCCACTCCCGTCTGGCCCTCTCGGTGCCCGGATTGGTTCTTGGATCTGCTGCTGCTGCTGAGACATCCCGAAGGAATCGCGGAGCGCTCCCAGTCCGTTCTCCCGCTCTCGTCGCTGAATGTACGTCGAGTCTGGCTTTGAAGCGTATGAGGGATCATATAGTTCCCGATGTTGAGATCCGCCTCTTGATTGGTTTCGTGAGTTGATGTTGTGATTCCCCGCCGCACCTGCTCCTCCGCGGCGCCCTCCCCTGCCACCTCGACTGCGATTTGGCGTCGCGGATCTTGAACCTGGCGGAGTTAGACTCCCGGGACTGGAGGTTCCCGACTTGTTATGGCCGCCTTGCTGGTGAGCGGACAGTGTTGTACTGGCACTAGAGGTCCCGAACAGTTCTTGTCTCCGTTCTTCGTATTTGCGCTGTTTCTCCTCCCGGTCCCTGGCGGCTTGGGCCTGTCGTTCCGCGACAGAGAGTTCGCGGGCCTTGACCTCCTCTTCGTCTTCGGACGACTCGCGGTCAGCGGAAACATTCTTATCACTGTTCAGGTTCAGATCTTGGAGACCGGCAGTAGGTGGTCGTGGGGACTGTGATTGTACTATGGGTCCTTTTCTCGAGAGGAGGATCGGAGGGGGTTTGAACTCGGACCGCAGCGGAACGATGTTGCGCGACTCGAGGAAGTAGTTGGTTTCCCTAGGGCCTTCACTGCAGTCAGGCCAAACCTGGGAATTAGCATACAGACTATGAGGCGGAAGAAGTTCTTTGGGAGAGGGGGAACCCCCGTACGCTTCGGCCCACAGCCGGCGATTGAATTCGGCCTGCTGCGCCCTTCGCTGGGCTTTTGTCACTTTTGACGAGACTTTCTTGGGTTCCGTAGGGGCAGTTGGCGGTTCCTGGGGAAATAATGCTTAGCGACTCGGAGACAGGGCTTTGAGAAAGGACCGCATCACATACATCAGCTGCGGTGGACCACTCGTCCTCCCAGGCATCGGGAACCTTGCTCATCGCAAGCGCTATAAGGGCTGGGGATGAGGTAGACTCGAAGGGGAAGGGAGGTGGGCAGACCGAATGCTGGACATGTGCCAAAAAGTATGAGGAACCTGCCCAACAAGTAGTTGTTTACCCAGTAGTCATGATTGTATTCGAAATATGTGTTCGACCAGGTGGGGTGCGATCAAGAGATTTAGGTACAGTAGTTGGAGGAGGAGGGTGGGACACTACTGGGTATGTACAGTACGAGGGAGATGCATAGTGCCGGGAACAAGCGCACATGGGTGTGGAGAAGGGAGGACAAGAGGAGCCGGGACTCAGGACAAGGGAGAACCAGCCTCGTCAGATCAGTGACTTGTGGGAAAGCTCTCATAAAGGACGCTTTGGCCCATAAGTCTGTGCTTCTCTGTTCGTATCATGTCTGCTTTATTCAATTCCAGAAGCCCGGACGAGGGCGGATTAGATTAATCTTAAAGGTGCCGAATACTGTAGCTGATCTGCTACCCGTTACCGTATGTATAATAGCCAAATTCGCTATCATTGCCCGTTTCCAATTCCAAGTCCCATAAGGTAACACCCAGCCTTCGCCAGGTGCTGTTGCGTTAACTGGTCCATAAAGGGGGGAGCTGGCTCCATTGTGAAGAGGTCTTCAGGAGAAGGTCGGGCTCTTTTCGAAATGCATCTCGCATCCAATCCCAACCAGATCCAGCTTTGTCAGGAGTCCCGCGATGCTGCTTCTCGGTACGAGGCATCCACAAATCTACTGTGAAACGACCTCCCCCTCGAGAAAGTAGATGCTGCATCACTTCTCTTCCTCTTTTCCTTCCCCTGCGCAATCTTCTCCCATTCTTCCCATTCCCTGGCGATCTCTCCTAGGACCGTGGCCATGGCGGAGGCGCTTGCCATTAGGCCGTGCCCTTCGCCGTCCAGGATTCGTAATTCGCATCGCTTCATCACACTGTGCAGCCAACGCACGTTGTCAAGTGGAACCCGTGTGTCCTTGGCCCCGTGATGGATTACGACTGACCTGGTTACTTCGGGATATCGAAACCCGATAGGTCTTCGCCGTTCTAGACAAACTAGGAGGTCGATGGCGGGATTCGCATTTTGAGTGGCCAACGTCCAGATGCGATGTGTGAGAGTCTGGTTGTAGAGTGCTTGACGTGTCTCGGTGCTCAGGCGGGGTGACATGGGTCGAGGAGTCACAGCAGAAGCCTTTGTAGACGAAAATGCCTGTCGAACAGAATCCGCCTTTGGGCTGGACACAGGTGGTCCTGGTATTCCCTGCGTTTCATTATTGGCTTGATAACACGATAGAGCTCGTGCTCTATTCGGCGTACCAGTTCGAGGTCGTTCCGGTTCAAAGTCAGGAAGGGCGGCTCTGAATGAACTGTCGTCGTTGAGATCTTGGAAGGGATAGTCATACGTTACATCCATACTCTCTAGTTGCTGCTTGGCCTTTTTCGACTTCAACGGCTTCGTGTCTACAGAGGCACTTGTCGCGGTCAAAAACCTGGAGTTGGCGACTTTAAGAATCTGTGCTGGCAAAACGCTGAGGATCTTGTGAGTAAAAGGAAGATTGGCAATAGGTTGCGAGTCTGATCCTATTGTCGCCCCTTTGTGCATCTGGGAAGGTGGTATCCATGGCGCCAGGAGATGAATGCGCCCTCGTACATATTGTGGCATTTTCAAGGCTGTTGCGAGAGCATAGATTGCGCCTGCGGAATGCGCAAGGAGAGAGAACCTCGTGATCTCTAGAGAACTGCATATAACAGCTACATCGTCAACCCAGTTCAGGGGTGTACACTGGGTTTCGGGCAATGGCGAGCTTGCGCCTACTCCAGGTCGGTCAGGTGTGATCAGTCTCAGGCGCAAAGTCCTGGCCAGTTCGTCGTAAAATGCCGTGAGGTATCGAGTCAAACCCATACCTACACAACACAAGACAACAAATCCGTTTGGATCTCCCACTTCTGAAAAGGTGATCGTCCGGCCGGTACGAGGATGTCGTATTTTTTGCGTAAACCGCGGGGCACCGAGAAAAGCCTCAACCTCGTCCGTTATCAACTTCATTTCCGCAAGTGCGGGTTCTTGCTTAGCTGTATGGGTGATAGAACTCCGTTTCCCTTGAGTCACAGAATTCCGGTAGACACTGTTGCGTCGGGATGGCGCTGCGCTCGGCGGATTCGACGTGACAGCGCCCATAGAAGGCGGGGCGACCAGCGGTTCTTCTTTAGGGCCTTCTGGGACAAAGGCAGGCATGTCCGCGAGATCCGATGCGGTGACTGTTGCGGACAGGTCAAGCGGGCTCTCCACTTCGGGCGATTCAACCACCACCTCGGTGACAGAAAGCCTCGAAGTTTGGTAGGGGCTTGACCGCTGTGATGACAATTTAGGTGTTGCAATAGTGTGTCTCTTCGCAGCCCGCTCCGATTTCCTGGCCTCATTTCGCCACTCCTTCTGACGCTTCTCCCGGGCTTCTTGCAGTTCCCGGATCCGCCGTACAGTCGAGTTATCGCCTTCGATCAGTTCGGAGTCGATATTAAGCTCTTTCAGGTCACGGCCAGAAAAAGAGTATCTGTTGTGCTGGTCCTGTGGGGCGTCCGAAAGACCTGTGACGCTGCGTCTGAGCGACGACCGACGAGAGGGTATCATATGGCTTCCTAAGTCGCCCCTGCTTAAGCGCAGCGCAGCGATCGTAGGGCTCTCTGAGGGCGGTGGGTCTAGCTGTGTTCCTATGCTTGAATGGCCATCAATGGATGATGCGCGAGTGGGTAACTTGTTCTCCTTCTCCTGATCTATGCTGTAAAGCGATTCAGTCTTTCGCCGTCTGTCGGATGAGACTCTCCTGGGAATAGGTCTTGTTGTAGCCGTGTCGCGCATTGACTCGGTAGTTGGTTTCCTGAGAGGGGCACTCAAACCACTCACAAATGAGAAGGTCGAGCTGGCACTAGAACGATTCCGTCTCTCAATGCTAGGCACTCCCACACTGTCGGACTCTGCACGCGATCTCAGGCTCTGTATGGATTCCCTTGCGGCTAGAGCAGTCTGAGAAGACATATTCAGGGAGTGGATGAACGATCTACTCGAACGTTTGGATAATAACGGCGGCCTTCTGGCGTACTTGATCACCGGCGCAGCGGCGGCCTCTCCCTCGCTACTGTCATCGGTGATAGGGGGGTCGTGCTGCTCCCTGTCCAAGTCATCCGCATTGGGTGGTTCGGTCGAATTGGAACGACTGTACAGGTCCCCGGGTATATGTATACTGCCGTTCGCGCTCGGCTCTTGGTTCAAATACGACGAAGCGGATATTTTACTCAGAGAGTCGATGAGTGAGGAGATGACCTGGACTGACTCGGGGGGAGTCTCGGGGCGGTAGGAGAGCGGTGGTATTTGCGCGAAATCGAGGGGGGAGGAATCAATATCGGGCTGAGAAGTCAAGGCGTGGTCGTATGGATGTTCGACAGACGCAATACCGTTGCGATAGTCCATGCCTCACATTGCAGGTGCAAAGAGCGAGAGAAGTCACAGCAAGTAGTGTTTCGAGGGGATGGTGCAGGAGCGCATGCACAGTCGAGGAACGGCCAGGAACGGCCCAGGAGGCGGACAGGGGAAAGGCTTCTTGCTACAGCCAATCGGGGCCAGTTCGATGGACTGGCGAAATTTGGGATGGGATTTGGCAAAGAAGCCGCGTCGGCGGGCTGGAGGTCATCTCTCAAGGAGTGAAGACATGTCTGGTGCTGTATCGCAGCTTCATCGTTGATAGAATGATGCGCAATGAAAAGGATAGGAGGTTTGGAATAGGACGCTGCAGTCGTGGCCAGTGATGGGGGGGGAGCAGGGCGAGATGTCGAGCCCTGAGCCGGGGATGTCTTGCTGAAAGGGACTTAAAGAAGGGCCCAGCAGGCACCAGCAGGGACCAGCAGAAACCAACAGGAACCAGCAGGACTGGCGGGTGGATTCCCAGTAAAAACTCCGTAAAGGGCGAGCCAACGACCCCAAAGTCGGAAAATTAACCTGCCGTCTGACGGCTGGGAATGTCACCACGTGCTGTTCCCCCCTTTGCCTTCCCTTAGCAGAAAGGTGCTCAGTCCTCATACAACATGGGAAAATCTCCTGGTCAGACTCTGCCACTTGTTCTACCTCGTGGCTAGCTCGAGGCCTTCGAGACGAACAACACGCAGGGAGATCATTCCTCCATCACCTGGCGGCCATGGACGAAACACGGGCAGCATTCGACCATGATTGATCGGCGGCAGTTGAGCTTGTTCCTTTAGCTGCAGTCTGCGGAATAGCTCCAAGCAAGGCACGGGAGCTCCCCTGTCCATTGTTGGTTGAAGGGTTCTCTCGCTGATAATGGCAGAGCTGCGAGTTGCGAATACCCGTTTCTAGTGGACCAGGTCTTATCATCTTCGCACATTGCGGTGCTACATTGATTTCGCGTCCACTGGGTACAACCGAGACATGTCGAACTGCACCGGCGCACTTAAACCTTGTCACTCCAAATGGCTCGAATCTTCCTAGGAGCATGTCAATCTCCTGCGTCGTCAAGTCTTAAGCGCCCACTACCTGGAGTTGTGCGGAGTCGAGTACTTGTACTCGGTAGGCTTGTAATGAACTCTAATTGAGCGGGTTTGACCTCTATGTCTAGTATGTTGACGAAAGCCGACCTGTCCAAGACGCAATGCTCTCTATGCGGCGCCCAAGGCGTTTGGGACCAATTCCTCAACCAAGTCTAGCTACTCTGTTGCGAAACAGCCCAGCTCGTAGCGAGGTCCTAGTCATCTCTATGCTCGCCTCGCCCTGAAGAAGAAAGTCTTTCCCGCCGAGCAATCCAGTAAAGACATCGATGTATCGTGGTATCTCAAGCAATATTCATTCCCGAACGCCACGCTCAAGGACAACATGAATTCTTTCACTTTTCCGCGACCCAGTGTATCCCGTTGAGAATCAAAAGCAGGTTTAGACGCGCAACACCAATCTATGTCCTTTGTAAAGTCGTGAATCATGATGGCGTGGAAAGGACCTGCCATCGCTGACGAGAACAGAGTGTAACAGGCAGAAAACCTTGGCTGCATGGCGTATCACACAGTGACCGGCAATCCCGCTCGTAGTCTCTCCCGTTCTTCGCCAAAGACTCTGCGCGACATTTCCAAGACCATCTCGAAGCCTTCGCGACCTCGGGCTGCATTTTCCCGGAAGCGTTCAATACTGGCGTCTTCAATTTTGCTGCGGATCTTTTGCCATCCACCGCACAATGCCACGATCTTGGCCTGTTGTTTGAATTCTGTCTTCTGTTTTGTGTCGCTGGAAGAAGGCTGGTAGACCACGGTCTCACGGCATTCCAAGAGGTTGGACCAGGTCATGTTTGTACTGCACATTGTGACTTTCTTGGAACCTGGGTCGACGTACGAGACCTCATAAACATAGCTCGTAGTGTCGCCTCCAAGGATGCTCAGGATCCATTTCGGCGCATTCTGTTGGCATGTAATTAGACGTTCGGTGCGGAGGATGCCCGTCTGAGGGTCGATGTGACGAGAGATCGTGTCAACCGCCAGAACATGAGAAGCTTTATCGTTCCAAGGGCAGTATTTTCGCCAATTGTTCGTGCTAACCTCCTCCCAGGAGTAGTCGAAGGTGTACGAGGATGAGAAAATCTTCATGATATCGGAATAGGGTGAATGGCCACCGAGGGATCGAGAGGATTTGGTGAGCGATAATTATCGAGCTTTCAATGCAAGGGAGTGGATGTTCTATTGATCGCTTTTTTGTTTATGTTATAAGTCGACAGGCTGTCGAGGATCTATGCTGAGCTTCTTCAAGGCTAGGGACTGAAAAAAAAAAAAGGAGCGTGGGAGGGGATGGCTCTCGACGTGAATATTGCTCGTCCAAGATTCGCATGCAGAGGAGGGAAAAAAGGGAAAAAAGTCAAAGTCCCGATTACCGGAGTTCGACCTTGGGTTTTCTTTTAGCGCCCGGAAAAGATCGGAGGGGAGTCCAGTCACGTGCTTTGATTCGCCTCAACAACTCTGCTGAGAAGGCATGACGTCTGACAAGAAAGAATTTCCTCCAATCTCGCTGGTCAACAGATAAGAGTTCGCTGTCAGGCAAGAACGATTTTGCATCATCTTCCTTCCAATTCCGGAATCTCTTCCTCTCTTCCATCATCCCGCAGCCATTTTCGGGCCACTGTCGCCGAGATTAGCGCTCAAAAGATCTTGCCATTCGCCCGCAGTTCTCCAAATCGATCACCTATGACATAGCCCATCCTCACTCAGCACTCATTCATTATGTCGGAATACTGGAAATCAACAGTACGTCAAGGCCTTCTCGAACTCTCCACGGTCTATATGGCGCACCACTGACTGATCTACAGCCGAAATACTGGTGCAAGCATTGCAGCACCTATGTCAAAGACACCCCTTTCGAACGCAGACAGCATGAGGGAACCACCAAGCACCAAAACAACCTGAAGCGATTCCTTCGTGACATTCAAAACAGCCATGAGCGAGGTGAGCGGGAAAAAGAACGTGCTAAGTCAGAAGTCGAGAGACTGAAGGGAGTTGCTGGTGGTGACTCTGGCACGTCCGTGAGCCCTTCACAATCATCCTCGAAACAGAGCCGTCCTTCCGCACAGAACCCTCAGTCTGCTGCAGATCGGAAAAGACAATGGGCGCAGCTGGCCGAGATGGGGATCAAAATCCCTGAAGAATTCCGTTCTGAAATGGCTATGGTGGGTGACTGGCAGGTGGTGTCACAACAGGTGGTTGATGAGACCCCATCAGAAGCCCCTCTGAGTATAGGTGTCAAAAAGCGCAAATACGAAGGTCAGGAGGAAGATGAAGAGGAGAAGCATGAAGCTGGCGAGGCTGTCGTTCGACGGGGATGGGGTGCTACCACCAAAAAATATCCCGGTGAGGACAAAGCTGACCTGGATGAACTCTTGTCGGGTTCAATCTCATTGAAGAGAGAAACGCCCGGGTCCTTGAGTACGCAATTTCAATCGGGAGAGAAGGACTCTTTGCAGGCGGGACACAAGCCAGTGCTCAGCCAAGATGGACATCAAGGTGGAGATTATACCTCACCGAAGGTGGAATCTTTCTCCAAAAACCGCCCGGACGAAGATGGACTGGTGGTGAAAGAGGAGCCAGGCTCAACACAACCATCCAAGTCTATGGACCGAATCCCAGAGGAGATTCCGGTTCCTGTGTTCAAGAGACGTAAGGCTAAAATATCCTGAAACACCACATCCTCGCGGTACCCGCTGGTATGGTGGAATCTAAGCCGGCAGAAGCGAACCGGAGTCCAGATAAGCGAGATCATGATCAAGCCAACCTTTGATTGTCGACTGATTACATTCAGTTTTGGCCCAAACTCTGATGCTTAGTTGGCAAACCGTTGGCCACTGGAATTAATTGACCAAGTTGTCGCACGAACTCCTCAAGTGGCGTAACCACGTGGGGTTTACCGTCACACAGTACGACAATATTGATGATATGACAGCAGTGACAGGACCATCCTCGTTTCGAACGTGGCTCACCTTCAACTTCGGCCAAGCGAAGGTATAAGGTAGGTACAAGAAGGTATTTCCCGCGGTCGGACAACGCGTGGAATTCAACCCCAACTTTGACCAGGGGAGCAGCGGTCAGCGTTGTCTAGTTTCGGGCGGGAGGAGGACCACTGCAATCTAGTTATGCGACACACTATGAGCAAGAAAGCCAAACATGAGAGAAAGCCTGCATCCAGACAGGTTGATCGGTCATGCCGAGTGGCCTGGTGTCAATGTGACCTGGAAGCGCTGCTTCTCCAGGCGAGGTTTACGTAGGCTCTGATAAATCAACAGCGTCATCACTGACCGCCTTCAGTTCTTTTAGAAAGGTGTCATGCATGAGCTACATGTCACCGGCGGCCAATTGCACATCGTGGAAAGGTCGAATCATTCCAGTTGTCATCCTCGTTTAGGCTTGATTATGCCGAGGAGTCCTCGATGCGCCCAGCCGTGAGGGCAGCACAAGCGGTGCGCGTACAGTACGGCCAGTCTGCCCCAGGAAGGACCCTAAGGCAAGGGTCTCGGTCGCCTCTGCACGCCTGCATGCTGCTTGTGCTTCTCGCCTTTTGGTCCCGCAAGGGATCTGGCTCGTTCGGAGAATATTGTGCTGCATTGTTGCATGACTCCCGTCTCTGGCGCACCTCCGTCAATCATCCTCGTGGTGTCTCTCGACAAAAGGCAGTTTTAGTGGAAACCCATCACTATCATCAAGTTTGTCAAAATTTTTGCAATTTTCGTCTCCTTGCAGGATGCCCTTGGATAGATAGGCTATTATCCAGAGGGGCCATGCAATGGGCCAGTCGAGGCTCACAGGGGGATCAAGGTCCTCTTGCCAGGGCCGTCTCAGGGTATGATTTCATGCACCCTCTCATGTTGAGCAGACGGGCTCATGTGACACCAAAGCCACCCTCGAGACGACCAGTTGACAAATGGTACCTGGGCGGTACCGGATCAAATGCGGGCCACCATGCATTGTGGCTGGGCGATCATGACGGCTCGAGGAGCGTTCCTGGGATGATCAAGGCAGAAAGTCCAGAGCTCGAGGGGGAGGCCTGCCAAAACGGAGGCAAGCACACATCTCGGAGCGTGGTCCAACTTGTCTCGCTAAGAAGCACACATGAACTTAAAAAAGGCTAAAAGTGCCCTGTGCGCCGGAGACTTGTGGATGATGGACACTTTCGGTGGAGTATCTTGAAGCCCTTAGGCCGTCGTGGACTTGTCGAGGACGAGTTTCCTGGGCTATTTGTCCAACTAGTTTGTCTGGAGATTTTCGAACACTTGTTTCAGTCGATAGCGTGACGGGGGTTATGGTGATCAAACAGCAAGGTTCCAGGGATATCACACGCCAATCCCGAAGTCTTTGCTATCTCTTGTCCCCTCAATCCACAACCTCTCCAATAGTCGGCCAGGGTGGAAGCTGAATGGGTAACTGGTGGCGCACCGCTTCGAACGCACCAAGACAGGAACAGAGGGAGAATCAGGAAGCGGAGCGCGAGGGTCGACGAGGTAGGAAAAGCACCAGCACCACTACCCTCTTTTTTTCTTGGAGCCCGCAGGTCCTCGGTAGACGACATGGGTTGATTCGGTGGGTTTGGATGCTGACATGGTCACATTGAAAGACAGCCTCAAAGGAAGGATACGGAGTACCCTGTCGGCGTGCTATTCTCGAGTAGGCAGAGTCAGGGAGGGAGTTGCATGCAAGCGCAAGTGCAGCGAGTCGACTACTGGGCTCGGTTACAGAAGTGGGCGCTCGCTGGCTGCGCTTTTTCCAAAATTGTTGGTGGCTCGACTGATACGACTCCATTTCTCGAAATCCCGCTAGCAGGGTTCTAGAGTCCCTTGGCAACGGTCAAGCAGCAGCATCGTGACTTCCAGGGCACTCACGTTCGTTCTCTTTCGGGATATTGCATTCTCAGAAAGAAGGAGAGCGCCCGGGAGCATCAACGACAACATTGGTCCGTGTCAAAGGCTTCCTAGGTCGACAGTGGGACGAGAGGAAGCCTGCTCTCCACGGTGTGTTATCTATCCTTTTGTTTGGCCCAGTTGCTTCTGCCTGATTCCTGATTTGTTGCCTGTGTGGTGCTATGTACGGGGACTACCTATGTGGTGTGCGAGTGTGTTTGACATCCAAGTGCTTTTTTTACCCGCCTCCGTTGGGACCACATCTACACATCCCTGCCCATGATTTGATCAATCTTCATCCTTCACCGTATCCACCGGGACAAACATACGGTGTACATACTTACCTAGGTATGTACGGAGTCCTCGTACACTACTGCTCCAGCCTTGAAAAGGCCCAGAGACTATTCCTCCAGGGAGGGCCGGGACTATGCCCTGTTGGACGATTGTGGTTTTGTCTTTCTCAGCTTCTGATCAATTGACAATGATTGTTACTGTGTATAGTTGACCGCGCCGATGCACATTAATGCAACCGACCTGGAGCGGGAAGCGCTAGGAGTGGGCAAAGCCGGCAAAAAAGGGCGCCCCCAGATGAAGCACAGTCTAAGGGTGCTTAGACTCGGGCCTAACGTCGTCTGGCGTCGGGAGATGCCCTAAGCGAGAAGCCTCTTGACTGGGTACCAGGGCTTTTGCAAACTCTTTGCTCAGCAGGAGGCCAGAGACTGGTGTACTGGGTAGCCAGGTCAAAGTCATTTGGGTCGCTACTCCTGGGGACCGTTGATTGACACTCAGCTTGTTCCGGGCCGTTCGGGGCACTGATGGAGTCGTGCTGTTGTCCGTTGTTTTCATCCACTGTCTGTCCAGTGCCCTCAACCAGTCTCGTCCACTAGTGCCTCTGGTGCCTCCAGGCCTGGTATGGCTTTTGGAGCACGGCCACCTTTGCATTATTGCACCTGGTTTCCCCCCCCCCCCCAGAGAATGCTTGTCGTCTAAGGCGGCTGATCGAGTCGAAGCGATCCCAAGCGAGGTTCGTGCCAATTTCGCCATCGAAATCTGATTCATGCTCACCTGCGTTTCGGCACTTAGGACGTCCGCGAGGCCTCGAGCAGAGGGCGAGCACTCTTATGGTCAAGGCGTTGACCCATTGTGCCCATTGGCGACTGGTGGGCGTTTCACGGGGCCTGAATGGGGTGACCAAGCACTTCAGCAGCTTCCCCCCTGCCCCGTCGAGCCCTGTCAGTGGACTCGCATGCCTGTCAACCGCCGCTGCTCCTTCCGTCCAGTGCCATGCCACTTTGCTCCTCCATCCCAAGTCATATGTTTATGTTACTATGGTGCAGGCACACCATACCACATACTCCATACCTTTTCCGAGTACTTTGCTTTCTTCACAACTTTGCTTTGCGCTCCATCCTCTCTCATCCCCCGGTTGTTTGTTCTCCATCGTCGCTGCGCTGCGCTGGGCTGTTTCTTGTTTTGTTCTTTTGCATCGCTTGCTGACTTGCGTTACCTTTGCCTGTTCGCTGCAAAGACGGGTCTTCAAATTCCTCCGTCTGCAAGGAAAAGACAGAAAAACCGGTCGGGAAAAGAATCGAAAATCTCGCGGAAGCGTTGCAAAAAGGCCAAAAGGATTGGGCCTGAACACCGACCAGCTGGAAATTTCACTCATGATCATCCAATCGGTCGTTTGAGACGCAATTTCCAAGTTCACTGCTTGGGAAAAGCACCCGGCGACGAGAATCTGCACTTGCCACCCACCCACTCTTTCATCGACGTCGCCTTGCCTCGCGACTTTGTTGCATTGACCGACCCTGCTCGCGAGAAGCAGCAGGAGGGCGATAAGCAGCAGACCTGATGAACTATTCAAATATGACCACGGCGGCTCTACAAGCTTCGACGGCACCCATCAGCTTGCCTCCGATCAGCAGCATCGATTTCCACACCCAGGTCGCACATAGGCCGGAACCAGAAGTTGTGCAACCTCTACCACCCCCACCGCCAGCACAGCAGCGTGTGCTGCCACCGCTGCCGTATCCTTACGCTGTTCGACCAGCCCCGGCACCTGGCCCGCCGCCGCCAGGACCTCCCGAGTATGTACAGTCACGACCAATCTATCCGGGGATTCCATCGCCGTACCAGCAGATGCCAGGACGGATGCCTCTGCCCTCGACCACGGACCCGAATTTGATCGTTGCACCTCCACGACACAAAGCCAAGGAGGTGAAGAGACGGACCAAGACAGGATGTCTAACATGCCGAAAGAGGCGCATCAAGGTGAGTCCGTTTCTTTTCTGCAACCACCTGATCATTTCAGTCTTGCCCGAGTTTCGATTCTGTTCATGTCAACGTCACGTCTTTGCCCACGTTGTCGACACGCACGGGGTGGGCGGGTTTTGGCAGCGAGCGCATGGCATGGCAAGGCCAGCCCCGGAGGCAAGGACCATTTGGGGGGGGCGGGTTGAGGGCAAGTTTACACGGGCGGGAGCTCCACTCGGGCTAGTGAAGTGATAGCCGTGGATGGCGCCTAACACCAAATCCAGGGAGCTCCCTGTGGTGCCTGCCCCCCCCCCCCCCCCCCAAAAAGCCCCCAAAGGATGCCCGGCCCTTTTTAGGCTACTACGCCTGGTACTATGCCTCGGGGCTTGGTGATCGACCATGCCATCTCCGCCCCGTGTCACAAACCTTCCCTTCTCCATCCCTAACTCAACGGCGCTACACACATTTTTTTTCTGTCTAAGCGACTCCATCGCTCAACGCCTCTCGTCGTCTCGAGATTGCTCTCCCGTTCTTCAGTCCCCTTTGGGTCACGGCAGCACTTTCCCTCGCGTCCACTTGCGCCCTGCTAGTCTCCTCCAAGCGCGACCATTGATTTCCCTCCTGCTACCCTCACACAAGCGCTAACGATTCGATTCAATTGAACAGTGCGATGAAGGGCGACCAGAGTGCAGAAATTGCATGAAGAGCAAGCGCACTTGTCAAGGCTACGACCCGGTCTTTCAGACGCAAGGACCGCATTCTCTGCACCCTGCGCCGTCGGCCTCGACCAACAACAGCGGCACCAGCAGTAACAATCCTCCTCCACTGCCCCCCACAATCAACCAGCCTAGGAGGTTTACCACAACTCCCATCAGTCCTCCCGTGGCCAATCACCATTCATCCATTGTCTCGAGTTCACCTCGAGATCACTCAGAATATCCTTTCCCACGGCCGCCGGAACAGATATTACCTCACATTAATCAGCCATATCATATGGACGGTGCGCATCAGCCTGGTCTAGCTCCATACCCACCGCCTGGACGAAGTGAGTGGAGTTTCAGTCGGTGATATCTCTCTCTTGGGACTAACCTGAGGATAGTGCAATAATGACTGACATCGGTTCTCGTCCGGCCACAAGGACTATTGAGTCAATTTGTACAATTGCTGGCACAAAGATTCCTAGTGTACCACCTATTCCACCTGATTCCGTCCCAAATCTCGAGTCTATTCGGAAAGTCTACGACATTGCCTTTGCTCCTGGTCTTGACAAGCTCTTGGAGGCCGACCAGTCAAAATGGTTTGCAAGGGAAGGGTTTCCTCTACTCTGTGCGGATCGGACTCAACTGGGCAACATGTTGGCGTATCTGACTCTGGTTAGTAACCATGCAGACACGCCTACCGAAAATGCGACCTTGGCTAGTCAAGAAGCACGAGTGACCTGGGCATTGCTTGAGCTGTGCATCAGACCGGCGCATGACGGTGACGAGGAGGCAGACAGACTCACCCACCGGTGCCGAGTGTTAGGTGCGATCCTGACTGGTGAACCATTTAGCGGTCCGACAGCATCGATGGCCGATTTTGTCCATCAAGAGGAGGCAGAACCAGAACCGAAAACAAGTGCGCTTGAAAAGCAGCTTGCTAGGAGATCTGAAGAGTTCTGGAAATTGGTTGAAGCGGCTGCTGCAAGTCAGATGGCTGATGGTTCTGGCTTGTCAGCTGCCGCTGTGAGACAATGCCGACCTTATCTTGACGGGATGGAGAGCAGAGACATCATCTACAGCATCATGTTACTGGCGTCAGGGGCCAATGGCAACCTTACTTCCGAACGAGAATTGGCAAAGAGATACCTGGAAACTCAGGCAAATGGACGAGCTACGAATCAAGTCTTTGCGACTCTTTCTGGCATGGCGTTGAGGGCGTTTGAGGGCTAATTGTGCCGTTCAGTTTCATTGGAAGCCTACTTTTTTTTGACACGCAGTCGACATCTTTCTTTTACGAAAATTTTCATTTGTGCCTTTTTTCGCTATGGAGGTCAACATAAAGAGAATGAATGGCACACATACCTTTTTGTTCGTCGAGATGGGACAAACCTGCAAACGCCAACATCTACTGTTTTTCCCTCGAGCCGCTTGCAGTCTAGTATTGTCACTACTACCACTCATTGGGTCACATCGGGACTACACGCCCGTTGAGGGCATAGGACCTCTGGCGGGAGCCAATCTGCGGCGTGCTTGGTAAGTAATGGAAGAAATGAAACTGGATAGAGGACATTGTCCGAGACGGAAGCCGGGCATGTGTTGAAAGAAGAAACAGCAATGCAAAATGGACAGAAACACCAATTTTTGGCGATGTATGTCGTCACAATCTCTACAGGCATTCCCCGCCGTCTTTGGCACACACTCGACATCATGGTCGGCAGCATCTGCGAAAAAGGTCCTATGGTCCCACGAGATGGTCGGACCGTCTCTTGTTTTCTGGCAGGGAGAGAGGTCAGCGACAAGATTGGTATGGGTGCGGGAGCGGGTCTCGAGACCAACGGCTATCTATCACATATGTACCGATTACAAGCATATTACGGTCCTCAATGACATGAGGCTAAACCAGATGATATCCGGGAACCTGAGGTACAGTACATAGTGGCTAGCGAGGCTAGCAAGCTGGCGGGCTGGCAGTCTACGAGCAGTAAGCGAGGATGGCAGGGATTGGGTGGTACAGTCCTATATACGATCGCGCGGGCATCCGCCCCCGGCCGGAGAATTCGTATTATTCCTTACTCTACTCGTATGGAATAGTTGGCACCAGTGGGTAATTTAGTGGTTAAGCGAGTCTACCCAAGTACTAAGATATGCTCGAACGCAGCACGCAGAACGCAGACCGAGAACGAGAAAAACAATGACATACAATTGCCCCGTCGAGGAATTGATTTCCTCGACAACAGTGACAGGACGATATACGAGTAGTACGAGTAGTGTTAATTGGGTCGTTAGATACTGTCGACTACTCTGTACATCTGGTTCGCGTCAGATCCATACGCATTCTGATCGCACAACGCATGGGGGTATGAATAGGTTACTGGGGTATGTATTAGTTAGCTGTGCCTCCTGTTCCTACAGAAGAGCAGCATCCGTGGGCATTCATTCGCATGCCTTTGTCAATTTTAATTTTTTTTTAAAAAAATAAAAAAAAATTCACGAGAAATGTCGTGGGCCGGTTGAAAAACGTCTCGTGTATCCTCGTGAGTATTCATGCCTTATGATACCCGTCCTTCCAAGCCTCATGTCATTGGGACTCTCTCCAGCCCGCATCATTCAATTGTTGTCATCGACCAGTGCCCAACGTAACGTGTGGTTCGGCCTTCGTCATTTCTGAATCATTCCCTGAAACGGCCCCCTCTGCCAGACCGAAACATGAGGAGCTTGAATCGGATCAATAATATACGGCGTCTTCTTTAGGCAATTAACTGATGGAGACCAGGCTCCAAACGATCCTTCATCCTTTTCGCCCATCAGTCCCGAACTTCTTTGGTCTTCACTGTGAAATTCGTTTTACTGCGAGATTCAATGCTCATTTTGGCTCGTAGCATTTCTTTCAAGCGTAAAGCTCACAGCATCTCGCAGGTTGCTGATTTTGGGCTTCAATGACAATTTTTCCATTGCTGACTCGCTCGGTAGCGCGGGATGTAGTGAGCGTTGCAACATGAAAACCGCCCATCTCGCTTTGCGTTGCGTCGTTGCGTCGTGCAGCAACTTGAGGATGTCGAGGTCTTGCCCCTGTAAGCCAAGCCTGTCGGACCGGGAACAGTGTATATTGTTGGAGAGTTGCTGTGTGCTGAATTCTAGACGTGCAGCTGGCGCGCCATGTTTGCTCCAGCTTCTTAAATGCCATTCAAAGCAATGGCTCAGTCGATTGGCACAGCTCTTTGATAGAGGTAACAAGACATTGATGACGCTCGGATAGTGACGGCATCGAGGGCCTCGAGCGGACAGTAATTGCCGTTGAAAAGGCAAAATCGTTTCCAGGTTTCATCAGGACATTATTAGCTTCCCCGTTTCAATCATTCCCCATCCCTGTGCTTCTTTTCGACACTGACAATCCTCTTGCCGCCCATCTTTTTGATTTTCTCCTCCAATGTCCCCTCCATATGCATTTTGGCAATATCGTCGCTCCCGCCTAGACTCTGCGCGTTGATCATGATATTCGGCACAGTCCGTCGACCAGTCAGTATCGCTAAGAGATCTTGTAATTTGCGGCCAAGTGTGGGAGCCGGGGCATCGTCATCTTCATCGGCGCCGTGCGGTTTGGGAACGGGAGTAGTCATAAGGTCGAGTTCCACAACATAAGGGGCTGGCGTGATGGTGTAGGTCTCCAGTAGGAGGGCTTTGGCACGTTTCGAATAGGGACAGTAGGATTTCGAGAATATGATAACTAGTTCGCAAAGATCATTAGTAAGGCAAGATGATGCGTGATCAAGTAAACGTGGGTTTCCACCTACTCGGACTCTTCTTCAAAATGCTTTGCAACTCTTGCCGTGCCATATCCTCTCCGTCATCCTTTGCCTTTTCGACTCTATTCCCGTTGTACGCGGTTTCCTCACCCTTTCCATCCGCTGCGACATCCGTGGCATGGGTAGTAGCCTTGGCTGTGTCGACGGGGTACTTGGGCTTCTCTCTCGGCATGGTCTTCCTCCCACCTATACTAACCTCGTCGTCGTCAAAACTGATCGTCGAAGTATAGGGATGATTGCCGTGAACGGGCGCGGTGTTAAAGATCCTTTGATCTTCATCTCGTTGTAGTCTTTCCTTCTGCCTGTCCAGAATCATCTGCAACTCGCGATTCGTTTGCGCAGTTAACTCTTTGTCGGATAAGGCACCTCGCAAGATGCCTCGACGGCGCGACAACGAGGCTTCGGTAGTTTTGCGGAAGTCTGTGTTCGAACCGGAGCCAGAGAAGAAGAGGAAGTAGATGAAGAGAAGGCCAAGGGTGAGGCCGACGGCCTGGCTGCGGCGCATGCCCGACATGTTGAGTATCGTGTTCGGCGGGGTCGTTTCGGCGCTGGGGAACTTTATGCACAGGGCCACGCGATGAACATGTGAAGGATTTCTGGTATCCCCTCGATCACCAATGAGTATGCGCAACCTACTTCTCTACGCAGCTGACGTAGAGCGCGCTGACTCTCGGATTTCCTTGTATTGAGCCAGATACAAACACCAACAAGCAGAAAGGAGAGGCAAAGTGGAAGGGAGAAAATGATGGGCGACGAGGAGAGTTTGTACCGCGCGATCAGAAGAAATGGATGAACCGTTCGGAGAATCGATAGGGAAATGAGGTCAATGCAGGTGCCACTCGGAGGTCGGGGGAGGGCATGGGAGGGGGGATCGGCTAAACACCAAAGGGATTAGCCAGGCACAATCACACCTGTCGAGCTGTTCAGCGCCGCCTGGCGTCCAGGGCGTCCTAGCCTCAGAGGCGCGAGGAGGCAATCTACGGAGGTAAAAAGTAGCAGGACATGATGGGTGCTACGGGAGAGGTAAGTGTGCATTTGGGCTAATCTAGGAGAGACTCCTCGGGGAGTAAAAGGCTGAACAGGCAGCGAACAGGGGCTTCCAAGGGCCCCTCCGAACAGTTGGGGGCGGGCAATTTCAAGCACGTTACCCCACGAATCAGGAAAACCCTCCTGGTGCCCCTAATTGTCCCCCTCTGGGCGCATGGGCCTGTCTGGCCACGAGGCCGGGCAAACTACTGGGTACCTACTAACTTGATGGACCAACCACCAGCTAAATGCGGCAAGCCCACCACTGCGAAAAGCAATCTGCCCTAAGCGAAAAGACATTTCTCATTTCCGGAAAGCGTCGTCTTGCCAAGTTTCTATGACATATCCTTTCAATATTGTTCGTCCACCATGATCCCTACAGTCTTACTCAGTCGTGGTGAGTAGGTCGGAAACAAGAAAAAAAAGGGGCTGCTGAATCAAGGAGGAACATTGTCGTGATCGCGTGTCAGGTTCACGTTCGTGTCAGCAATATCAAACATCACAGCCTTGTCACGTCCTGTTTTGGCGATGCTGACATGGTTGTACACAATAGTACCGAAGGCTGTACGGAAAACCCGTTGTGTACTCGGTAGTACGCCGGGTCTCCTCTCCCCTTCAGCTAGTCGTTACATATTCTTGCGCTGCGCCAACCCTACAGGGTTCTTTTCCAAACGCCGCGCTTTGACATGGTATCCAAGAAAATCATCATAGAGACCAGGTAACATAAGAGAGGGACCAACTTCTCCTATCCATTTTCATCTCATTTCGTTTCTCATGCTTCATGCCATCAATCCTCCCAACACCACTTTCTGCACGCCTATCATCTCTCTTTTGGCCGCCTCCCGAGAAGCTTGCTCAAACTCCCGTATGATCGAGGAGACGATCACTTTTCGTATTCGCCCGTCGACTTTGGCGAATAGCTCACTGATAACGTTTGTACAAGCCGCCGGACCCGTCAGAATCTGTAGCAACCGCTGATAAGTGTCGATCAGCGTGTCGCACAAGGTTGCAAACACGGTGAAAAAGTCCGGCGTGAACGGGAGAGGCGGAGTTTGAAGATGCGTGTAGGGTCCCTCATTGGGTAACAGTGTTGAGTTCGGCGCATCGAATGGTGCTGGAGGAGGAAATGCTGATGCGCTGGGAAAGTTGACTGCTGGCATGGGAGCCAAAGGCGAAGGATTCACCAGCGTGGTTGTCGATGAGGCAAAAGTAGCTCCACTGGCCGTAGTATCTATCGAGGGTTGTGAGCCATGGTGCCCGCCTTCCGGCACTGATGAGGGCGGTGAAGTAGTCGGAAGCATGGGGAGGCCAATGTCAGTGACCGGTCCGCTTGATTTCCGAGGTCTGGACGTCGTAGTGGCCCTCTTGAACATTTGAGGGATTCGAGCCCGACTCAATGAACTTGTCGAACTGCCATCAGGGGGATGTAGTTGTTGGAAGGATTCAAACTCGGTAAAAAGCGTATTCAAATTCTTCAAATAGTCTTGTGCGACAGCTGTGCTATTCGCAGCGTTGGTTTGAGTCTGCGGCTGAGGAGGGTGAAAGTCTAGAATCGTTGGCAGAGACATGCCCAAGAGCATGAAATTAACTGCTCGTCGTGAAAGTCGGTTGGGCGTATACGACGGCAGTTTTGTGATATCGGCCTCATGGAATTGGACTGTATTGAACCAAAAAGTCCTGCCCTCGTGCGCCTTTCGCAGGTACTCCAACGTTCCTATCCTCTTGTGTGTCAATTCTTGTATCAGCGCGTAAGAGGCAAAATAATTGGCCTGGTTTGCTCCTGCCACGGCCGAGTTGTTCAGGAGCAGCCCATTGAGTGCCAACGCCGAGGGCACATCCACCTCTCGCGGTGTGTTTTCTTTGCCTTTCGTTGCGTGCGTGCTGGCGGTATCATCTCCAACGCTGACATTACTGGAGACTTTGTGCAGCGGCGCGCGATTCACGCCCGAGGGGTTGTAGACTGGGCCAATACTCCCAATTGGAAGGGCTAGCATATTGTTGTCAGATGTAGCGTGATTGGTCACGTCACTGTTGGTTCGGGCGACGAGATCGGGTTTGATGGTGTTGAAGGTGACGGGCGCAGGAGGGGCAGTGGCCGTTCGCGTGTAGGCTGGTCGGGGACGAGGGCGAGGTGGTGTTGAGCCTGCCGCAGAGAGGGCACCGTCGACGGAGCCGTTAGATCCTAGAGGTTTGTGTCTGCGCGAAGGGGATCTGGTGATCTTGGACAGAAAGCCAGCCGCTCCTCCTGTCGGTACAGCTCCTCCTCCTCCTGCTGAATTGGTTGAGCTGATTGAACCATCGCGTGAGGATTGAGACCGAGGCTGACTCTGACTCTGCGTTCTTGGCTCAGTCATACTATTGCTCCTAGTTGTTTCTGCTTCGTACCACCTGACCAGGCGATCGAGATGGCCGAATCAGATTGGAGGCTCAGGCAGCCCAGGTCAATAGTGTGCACCGGCGAATTGTGCTACCACGTAGGAAAAGGGAGCGGAGTGTTGAAAGGGTACCTGCAGATGGTGTGTAATAGCTCATTAAGGGGCACAGGTGATGAGTTGTGGGGAGAACCTCACTAGGGGCGCAGTGTGTACCACTCAGATTGCGCCATCTGTTCAGGGGCCACCATGACCTTGCACCACTACCTCCATCATGTGTCTGCCCTCGTATCTTTATTCCACGTCAACAATAGTCTAAGAATATGCTTGACCCTGCATGCACAATCCTCAAGGCCGACTCCTATCCTTATTGTAACTGAGCGGTCGACCAGGAAATGGACGTCGACGTGCCTCAGCCAGGCCAATGGCCAGTTGATCCTCAGGAGGACCAGGAAATCCAGAAACATCGCATTTGGGTTGATGGTTGCTTCGACTTCACTCACCACGGTAGGTCTCCGCCATGAACCAAAGGTAAGCCTGTCTAATCCATCCAGGTCATGCTGGCGCACTGAGACAGGCCCGTCTACTAGGCACAGAGCTCTACATTGGACTACACTCCGACGAAGAAATCTTGAAGAACAAAGGGCCAACGGTTATGACTTTGGATGAGCGGTGTGTACTTCCTCTTAGAATCATTTCGCAAGCATCTAAACTGAGTTGTAACCAAGGATCGCTGCCTGCGACGCTTGTCGATGGACCACCAAAGTCATTCCCCGTGCTCCTTACGTGACAGCCTTGCCTTGGATTTCCCATTATGGGTGCTGGTATGTCGCCCATGGCGATGACATCACCTCGGATGCCGGCGGCGAAGACTGTTACCGTTTCGTCAAGGCGGCTGGCCGCTTCCTCGTCTTCAAGAGGACTCCCGGCATATCTACCACCGACTTAGTCGGCAGAATGCTTTTGTGTACCAAGACACATTTCATCAGGTCCCTAACGGACGAACTGCAGGGTAAGATCGACGGCGTGGTTGATCCAACAAAAGCCGCCACTGGCGCCGAGATGTTTGAGAGAATCAAAGACTATGCCACAGACGAGACAGCCTCCCAACCGGGCGCTGAAGTATGGACTTGGGCCAGCACTCAATTGAACAAGCTAGAAGACGCCGATGCTGGGATGTTTGCGAAACTTGTACCTGGGAAGGCACCAAACCCCGGTCAACGTGTAGTGTATGTGGACGGCGGCTTCGATCTCTTCTCCTCGGGCCAGATTGAGTTCCTCAAACGGGTCAATGAAGCCGAGAACTATGAGGCTTACGTGGTCGCCGGTGTTCACAACGACGATGTGATAAACCATTGGAAAGGCCTCAACTATCCCATCATGAACATCTTCGAGCGCGGGCTCTGTGTACTGCAATGCCGCTATATCCACGCTGTGGTTTTTGGAGCTCCATTCTCCCCCTCCAGAGCATATCTGGGAGCGATACCGGTGGGGAAGATTGCTGCGGTGTATCACGGACCGACCACGTTCATGCCCTCGTCATTCGACCCATACGTTGACGCGAAGGAAATGGGAATATTCCGTCAAATTGAAAATCACCCTTACTCTCATGTAAATGCTGGCGAGATCGTGGGGCGCATCCTGAAGGGCAGGCAGGCATTTGAGGAGCGCCAGAGGAGGAAGGGCGAAAAAGCTGTCGGAGAAGAAGCTGTCCGGCAACGAGAGATTCTCGAACAACAACAAGCAGCTACCGAGGCGGAAAGGCGAGCTGCCATGGAATGACACGATGAAGGTCTCTTTGGTTCTTCGCCATGCGCCCTTGAAGGCCGAGAAGACTATATACATTTGCCCTTTTGAACTGCAATAGAATCTAGACAAAGCTTCGGCACGGATAACTGCAAGCACCGTTAGCAAGATACCATGTCTTACAAAAGGAAAAGCATACCCATCTCCATAGCTCGTCGGCCCAACCTCATACTTGACATCCTTCTTGTACCCGTGCATTACCGGCATAGGGGGTAGCCCATTCTCTCCCAACACTGCCGCGGCCTTCTCATGGTCGAAATATGGTGCCAATCCCTTCTCTCCTTCGTGCTTCACGGCCACCAGTTGCTTGCTGCCTTCCTCACCAGCCAACAGCTTCGGACTCGGATTCGCCGCACTTCCCACTGTTAATAGCCCCACCACATCACCTTGTGTGACCGTGCTCAGCTTTGGATACGCCCGTCGGACATCTCTCTTCCAATACGGGTTATCTGCGATGTCGGCGGCGGGAGTGGTGACGGCGTCGTCGTAGGACTTGGGATCGAGACTGCCGGGGGTCGGGTTGCGGAAGTGTTTTACAGGAACACCGTTGCTGCGGTTCGGGTCAACGGAAAACAATTTGCGGACGGTCTCCCAGATGCCGGTGCTTTGTTGTGTATATTTCTGAGGGAGTGTAAGTCCTGCAGTACAGCAATTGGGACTACGGAGGTACCTTTCCGACGGCGACGACATCTTTGATGGGTTTCGCGGCCATTTTGGCCGTGGTCAAGGTAGACGACCTATCTGCTCCCGATCGCCTTGAAGTAACGCACGTTGGCCTCAAAAGATATGGAGTGAGAAAGGCAGGAAGCTTGAAGTCAATCCAGGAGTACGAGGATGGTGGGATGCTGGAAGGCCTTCTCGAGATGTCGAGCTATCGTCTGAAGTGCAAATATCAAGGTCTGCCGTATTGCTTGGCACGGGTGGAGCACTACACCATGAAATACACTTTTGAACTCAACCACAAGTCGAATTCATGGACTCTCCTCCAACAATCCACCCATCGTGCCCTGGCGGATTATAGCTTGATCCTGAGCTGATAGCCCAGTGTCCGTCAGGCTATTCCCTATTGCATACTCTGTTCTACCAGAGATGGACCAACCAATGGATAGTCGACGACAAATCTCTAACCCGCTGAGAAGTGCGTCAGGAATCTCGTCGAGCTCGCCCGAGAAAATCACCATGGTCTGACATGGAGTTTCCCCTCGCCCGCAGCTGAGGCTGCTCAAGGCTGCTTTTACTTGCAATCGAGAATACCATAACCCTGAAGGCCTGACTCTCTGTCTCGATCCTAGAGGGCACCTCTATCGGACCAGCACTCACCTCTGCTTGTTCAGTGCCCTGATGCCCCATCAGGTGCAACATGTTTCTTGTGTGTCTGACAGCAACTCATTATTACTCGAGATGGCCCGTCGATTCCATCCCTTATCTGTCCAATATGACGCGTCCAGGGTAGGAGGTCATTTTTCTCCTTTATTCTCCCTTCCTTACAAGGACAAGATCGGACTCAGATTCCCTGCCACAGTTGATATAAGAGGACGCACTGTCCACTCCTCTCAGCCTCTTCTTGGTTGCTTCATTTTGTTGAGTCAAAATACAAAGAAAGAAGACTGGGCTTGAAGACGAAACGGCTTTGTCCGAAGTGAAGAGCTTGTTCGAGTTACATTTGAGGGGACTCACCTTGTGTTGAGCGTCGACATGTCCTCCAAACCAAAAATACTCCTTCTCGGGCAGATTGACCAGTTAGTAAACCAAGTCTCTTCATTTTTGGTCCTGTCCTAACCATACCCACAAACAGTGCTCAAGAAACATGGCAATCCCTCAGCTCTCTTGCCGACCTGATAGTTCCGACCGCCTCCAATCGCGACGACTTCATCAAAGATTGCCGATCTGGTAAGCTCGACGGAGTGGTCGCCGCCTATCGTACTTTCCAGTCAACAAGCATAACTGGTCTTTTTGACGCCGAGCTCTGCAATGCTCTTCCAAAATCATGGAGATACCTCGCTCACTGTGGGGCTGGGTACGACCAGATCGACCCCGAAGCCTGTTCTGCAAGGGATCCCCCCCTTCTGATTTCCAATGTTCCAACGGCAGTTGATGATGCCACAGCAGACACGGCGATCTTTCTCATGTTGGGAGCTCTGCGAAACTTCAATACCAGCATGGCTGCATTGCGAAGAGGTCATTGGCGTGGTACTCCACCCCCGTCTTTAGGCCATGATCCCCAGGATAAAGTACTTGGAATCCTAGGCATGGGCGGTATCGGGCGAAACATGAAGAAAAAGGCCGAGGCGTTTGGCATGACGGTCATCTATCATAATCGACGACAACTTGATCCTTCATTAGCCGGTGGCGCGGAGTATGCTTCCTTCGAAGAACTCCTGAAGCGAAGTGACGTACTGAGTCTGAATCTCCCACTGAACCCGAAAACTCGCCACACCATTTCCACCGAGCAATTCAAATTGATGAAACCGAGCGCGATAATCGTGAACACCGCACGCGGAGCGGTGATTGACGAAGCCGCGCTAGTGGACGCCCTAGATAAAGGGCTCATCGCGGGCGCCGGCCTGGACGTGTATGAAGAGGAACCCCGAATTCACCCGGGCCTGGTGGGAAACGAAAAGGTCATGCTATTGCCGCATATGGGCACGTGGACGAGCGAGACGTTGAAAAAGATGGAGGAGTGGGCGATTGCGAACGTGAGACTCGCGCTGGAGAGGGGCGAGTTGATGAGTCCTATCTTTGAGCAGAAGGATATGCGGAGGTAGTCTCGGCAATGAGTCCCCTTTGCTTATTGGTATTTGGTCTTTTTCTCTCTGAATTTGGGATGCGCATGGAGAGGGGGGAGGGGGGAGTTCAGGTCAGAAAGCAACCCAGAGTCTGTCCTCCAGGCAATCACGTAGTGTGTGATACCTGTACGTAGATACATGTCCGACGCAATAGAAGATTTGTACGGTAACGATAAACCTGCCCTCCCTCCCGCACAGAGATAACCGCGCAATTGAGCGATGGGGAACTGCTACGCATATCTCTAACAAAGACTACGTATGTAGTCTACATATTGTAACTGAAAGAATCGCGGCGAATGGTGCGTCACCGGTATCTTCGTGGAACAGGTTGGCTACGCACTACTTCTAGCCGAAAGACCTGGTAGTGGCAGATACAAGATTAGCATACCGTCCTTTGGAAGAATCGACTTAACACTAGGCCCCTAGAAGAGGCGGACGTGTGCCGAGAGTGATGAGGGAGTCTCTTTCGCAGTGGTTTGAGCACGATAATGCCTAGTGCTAACGTCAGGGTCGATATTTATCCTGCCTGTCGTATACCTAATCGACCTAACCTGTGCCTGTGCCGCTCTTGCATGTAATCCGTCTGGGGGTATCGTGTCGTAGATAGCTCAAGTTTTCCCCATGCCAAAGAACGCCGTCGCTATGCAGTGTGCATCCCAAAATGCCTTGAAGAGAAAAGAAAACCCTCTAACCATCGACTCCGACATCCTCAAAGACATCATCTTCATCGTCCTCCACACCCGACTTCGTATCCATGTCCGAATCCTCGACTTTTGGCGCGACCTCCACGCCCGTGGGGTTCTGCAGGAGGGTGTCCTGCTGCTTGAATTCCTGCTTCAGCTCCCATTTGCCATTGAAGTCGCCGGATTTCCACATGAACGCGATCTCTGTGAGTGCTTCGCGGAGATACGCCTCGGGTTGGTTGACTTTGGCTTTGAGGTCGCGAAGACCCCAGATGCGATGTTGGCGGAACAGGTCCAAAAGCTTGTCGATGAGGACGTGCTTGTCCACGCGTGCCGCTCGGGTTTCCTTTTGGGCGTGCTTCTTGGCTTGGACGGTCTATTGTCCAAGGTTAGTCGTGTTCATATGCAGCAAAACTCGAAAATGGAGTTCGTTGGTGGTCTAACTTACCTTCAACATGGCTTGTCTTTCGCTCATCGTCATAAACGATCTGCTAACCTTCTCTGGGTCGTAATCGCCGGTCGCAAAGAGGGCTTGTTCTCGTTCGGGGACCTTGAGGAGCTCCGCCGCCTGCTTGTTCTCGAGCACAAGGTATTCATCGTTCTTGACGGGTATGGCCTCGAACTCTCTCGCAATTGCGCCTGTGATGGCTGTTTGTTTCGGTATAGGTCGTCGCGTGTACGGAACGTAACGACCCTTCTCTTTATTCTCTTTCTTCTTTTGTTCGCGCTTGTGTCTTTCGTAGAGAAATGAACGGCCTTGTCCGGGATTGCCCTCCTCATCAATGTCATCCCATGCAAACGTACGGGGCCTATAACCCGGTAAGTCTTCCTCGGAGAAGATTAACGCCTGGCCGGGTCTTCGCGACCGCAGTTTCTCGGGTGGCGGGGTGAAGAGGTTGTACTCCTTGGGTTCGTTTTCGAAAGCTGGCAGTGAGTACAACAGTAAGCTGACCTGTCGCCGACCTTGTTAGCCATCTCCCGCGTTTAAAGCACATCTGTTGTGGGTTGTGAAGGGGTAAGCGCACCCTTGATGGATTCGACTCTGGGCCTTCTACCCTAATTTTGCCAATCTCGATTTCGTCGTCGTCTTGTAGCTTTGACAGTGTCTCCCATAGTGTTCGTGGAATGTGACTGAGCCATAGTTGTTGCTGCGCCTGTGAAAAGTCGAGGTCTCCTGCGTCCTCGTAAATGTCCTCATCCTCGTCAACATAAGGTGACGGCGTGTCGTCCATGGGTTCCAGCTTAACATTTTCGTCAGGTACCGGTTCTAGCTTGACCCTAGGAATCCCTGCTCCCTGAAGAGTAGCCATGTTGGAGGTCACGGGTGGTGAAGACTGGGTGAAATGGGTAGGACGAGGATGGTAAATGAAGCTTGAAGGTTCTCTATCGCGGGCGGGAGTTTTGGGTCCAACCGCTCGCGGCCTTGCCGCCCCCCAGGCAGACAATGTCATCGGATCGGTGCTTCAATATTAGCCAATCACAGCTTGAGTTTTCCAGCCTTGCCATCCAGAGCCCTACAGTAGTTTGTACTCGCAATACTCGGTACTCCGGACTCGCGTGCTCGACTAGGTCTTCTCCGTAGTATATAGTTCATCCCGCCTTTCATCAAACATCATTCCAAACGTTCTTTTACCCCCTACCCCATCAACAGTGGCAGTGTTACAGTGTTGTGGCCTTTGTGACTGTGCCATCCTGACTGTCATTCGATTTCTCCTTTGCTATGTCGTCACATCTTTAACTATTTAATTCCGCCCTTTATCAGTGCTCCCTGGCAGTCTGCTGCGGACACCATTCCATTCTCTAGCTTCTTTTAGCAGATCCAGACATCAATAATCCCGAGGCGAGTGGACGATCCATTGTCAGCGCCACCAAAACTTGAGCGACAACGCTCCACAAGGCGAACTTGACCGCACTAAATAGAAATCAATGTCTGGACGTTCCCAAACCTTGTCTTATGGGCCCTTTGCGGAGCGCTACAGAAGATCGAAAGATTACCATCAGACTCTCGGACGTCCGGGAGTATCGTATAGACAGCAGGGAAAAGCAAAACAGAGGGGCAGCAAGACTGGTCTCCCGCGCTGTGATGGTGTCAGTTGCTGGCTGGGCGGATTTGGGGTGCAGTATCTCACAGGGCATAATATCGTCTTTGTTTGTGGCCTCCGAGGCTCGACCGATATCTTCATTTGGACTTTCGGCCATCTTTTTCTTCGAATACAAGAGGCTCCACGAAGTGATGTTTTGATTGCACCATTCAAAAACGCCGATGCCGGAGGCAAACAACACCAGCCCGTCGCCTTCTTGCGTGGCAGGCAGGAGATGGAAAAGATAGCATCTTGGAAGAGGCTCGACTTGCGATCATCTGGTCATAAATGCTTGTCCAGGTCAAAATAACATCAAAGGCTGTCGCCGGAAGCCATCGCCAATGTGAGAAATAGCAAGGTCAACTGCTCCTTTCTGAGTAGCTGTGAGATGTTCCGATCGCTGCAGCATCTTTAGGGGAAGCACCAGCTGCATCGCCGCAATCACGTTGATTTCTTGAAATCCCTTTTTAGGATGCTGGCCGGATACTGATGAATGGAAGTCTCCGGTGGGAGTCACATCGCCTAAGGCGTATGCTGTCAGACCAATGAGTTCCGATGCAGTCAGTTGAATGATAGCTCGATATTTGGAAATCTGAAGATTGCTGGCCGAAGAGGGAGTCTCCTGGTCCTTTGGCAAAGGCTTGCCGCGAAGCTTCAGAAGCTCAATCATAGCCTCATACAGCTTATACCGCGCAGCCAGGAATCGCAACCAATATAAGAAAATCCAGAAACTGTAGAAGTGATAGAGCGCGTGAGATGGATACAGAGCCCACATAGTGCCGGCTGTCGTAGCTCGTACTCTCATCATATCCCAACCCGGTTCATCCTTGCTCCAGTCTGCCATGCTTTCGTCCAATGTTTCGCCATATTTTAACAACACATCCGCCGTGGTGTTAGTAAGGGCTAGCTGAGCAGGACTTCGACTGAGAAATTGCTTGATTTTCTCTAGAAGTCGAGCAACGCGGTGGAAGTAGGCAGTAGCTTTGTTCGCTGTCTGAGACGGCACGAACTCATGTTCGTCTTGGTAGACGTCGATTTCGAGATTATCAAAGTCCTTCGAGGTAACGGAGTTTAATATGAAGAGTCTCATTTGCTAACGGTTGTCAGTGGAACACGGGGTATCGGGACGTGGATAACGCACAATTGCGGCTTTGAAAAGACGAAATATTCTCTCTCCGCGCGCCGTGGTGAATTGCGACATTCCTCGGAGGCGTAACAAATTCATGGCCCCCCTGACATGCAAGAGATGAGACTGCCACTCTTCCTCCAGGGTTCGCGACTCAGGAGTTGTTCGCCCGTGCATCAACACAACGCTGATCATCTGGGTAGACTTTAGTCGAGTCACAAGAACATTATCTGCTACCTTTACCTCGTAGAGTCCAAGGAGCCAGACAGCAAGCACTGTCTCATCTTGAATGCTGGCAACTGTGTCGCGGATAGTCGCGTTGGTCAAACTCAGCGCATGGCCATACTCTCGACCAGTCTGGAGCCTCACATCGTTTCCACTGTATCTGTCGGCAAGGGTCATTCGTGATACTGCCATTGCAGCCTTGTGGATGCAGGTGCGGGGATCGGCATCCTGAAGCATTGCCGGTAAAAAGTCGAGCACCGGAAAGGAATAGAGTCGGCCTGCCTGGAAGCAGAACAAATTCAGGAAAAAGCACAACGACTGGTGCTGAATGTCGTAGCGCAAGGGAGGAGATATGGAGCGTTGACTTCGCGCCAATTTCTGCAAGGCTAATTTACTTGCATCGTCCTCGGTCTTGACTTTGCCGGCTGGAAATTTGTCTGCGGCATGAGCGGCCAAAGACGGCGGGTTCTCCTCGGGGACGGAAGGGCGGATTGGGAATATGAATGGACCAGGAGTCTGACCTTCTGGGCTGAGATCCGAAGCTTCACCCTTTGGGGGATCTCGAATCTGTAGTTGGACTTGGTATGGGTATCCTGGGCACGGTTTGCGTAATTGAGCGCATTTCTTGCATCCTGGTCTCCCTTCATCACACTTATACATAATTAGTCAGAATTCACAAATTCGAGGCGAAAATCCTTACCTTAACCTTCCGCTTCTTACAGCGAGCACACCCTGTACTTGATCTGCCAGTATTACCCATAGCATCCAATAGGCATGAGGAGTAGTAGAGATGAAAGAAACCTGTGGAGCAAACGTTGGGTCAGAAAAGGAATGACGGCCAGCAGGTCAGGGCAGTTGAAAGGTTTGGATGCGTCTCGCGACCGAGTGAATTGCTTATGGGAAAACATCGACGTACGGCCGTTTTCCCCCAAGGGTCATACTTCTACTCGTTGAGGTCTCCTAGGAGTTCCAAGCGGCCCTAAAAACCTTGTGTCTAGCCAGCGATGTGACCAAGCCCGCTCGACGCTGTTTGGACCCGTCCTTTCTCGGCTTTTTGCTCAAGTCGGTGGTCGGCGGAATAAAAAGCAAGGCCACATGAGAGTTAGATGCAGAGCCTCCATAAGGACGGGAGTACAGGCAAACAAAGTTTGATCAAAGCTGCTAGCCCAGGGAACAAGGCATCGATTCAACCAGCTGAGGTCAGGAAATCGGGCAACCAGCAGTGAGAGAAGGAGGGGGATACTCCTGACAAACCTGGATTGACCAACTGTGACCAAACCTCTTCTGGCCAAAGGCGCTGACCATGGCGGAGGCTTTGTCCCGAAGCTTGGCAGTCATTTGAGCATCTCTGACTCCAATCTCGACCAGCTCCCAGGGTTGAAACGGAGATGCCTTGACAACTAGCTGAGAAAAGGAAAGGTCAACGAACGACATTTGGAGCGGGTATTCACCCGGGGTTTCACAGGATCGAGTCAGCCTTGCGCAAGAGTCGTGAGAATATTCGCCGACTCATACGAGGTTCACCACTGGAAGGGCCGACTTGAACCAGAATCCTCCGTACCGACTCCTAATGGTCCGGAAAGTCGTGGTCGGGTAGAAAGTGTGAATGTAGGTCGTGAACGACGAAAGGCCCTGAGTCTGCCTCTTGTTCCAAGAATAGCTGAAGGCGTAGACGAACTGAATGTGCGATGGGGGTCGACCGTGGTCTTTTAGAGTTGCTTGTTTCCCTCTCGAGGTCCCTCAGCCTCAACCGGGTTACAGCCGTCCTGAGCCGTCGAGGCTTCTAATTGGACATCGCCTGACCTTCCCTATTTGAAGAGCCTTGACCTCGCCTACACCTTCTGCGATGCGAATAGCCCACCTGCGCAAGCCCATGCAAAACACCACTGCCTGGCCCCCCCCTCTCCGGACATTCAGCTTTGTTTCATTCTCGAGCAATGTGTGGTTTGAAATTAGGCTGACTTTGTGGGAATGCGCTGTTGCTGCTAGGAGCCATAAGTCCGCACGGAGAGGCATGGCCTCCAGGTTGGTGTTGGTCATTGGCGACCTCTTCATCCCGGATCGAGCGCCGGTAAGCATTCGTCTTGTGTAATCCTTTCACCACCCAGAAAACTTACGTTGAGACATAGGAGATTCCTCAAAAGGTCTGTCGCCACTTACCGATTTGTTAGTGGCAGCATTCAATCTAACGTTTTGTGACGCAGTTCCGCAAACTCCTTGCGCCGGGAAAGATTGGACAGGTTGTGTGTCTAGGCAATATAACAGACAAAGAGACGTATGACTTTCTGCGACAGACAGCTCCAGACCTGCACATTGTGAAAGGCGATTTCGACACCGAAGCATCCAGCTTGGCTTTATCAAAAGTGGTGCAACATGGAGGACTTCGAATTGGGTTCACGCATGGTCATACCGTCATTCCCCAGGGAGACGCGGATGCCCTGCTGATAGCTGCACGCCAAATGGATGTTGATATCTTGCTGTGGGGTGGTACGCACAAGTTCGAGGCATACGAGCTAGAGGGTAAATTCTTCGTCAATCCGGGGAGCGCCACAGGCGCATTCAGCACAAGCTGGTTGGCCATCGACGAAGAGCCAATTCCCAGTTTCTGCTTGATGGACGTACGTCGTGGGTGACAACCCTGTCCACATGCTTCTACTGACCGATTTTAGATCCAAGGAGATGTCCTAGTATTGTACGTCTACCAACTGCGAAAGGATGAGAGTGGAAACGAAAATGTTGCTGTGGAGAAGGTTTCTTTCAGAAAGCCAGCCCCGGTCGAGGCATGAATGCCACCATACGCCGAATCGAATATAGCATCTCGTCCGGTGACTGATAGACTGCGACATCACTGAGCACAGCAATGCCATTAAGGGTGGGAATGGGAGCTTACCACTCTTCACTACCCGAACTCCAAAAACCAGCTCAATCTTCAGAATCATCTTTCACCTGAGAATTCGATCAATCTATCAGACACACAAAACCCGCAATGTCCGAAGACAGTCGTTTGGCCGTCGCTGTCCAACATGAGAAGGCTTTGGTCAGGCCGATTCGAACATTGGTGGATTTGAGGTTTGAGTCTGAGAGCCGCTGATTTAGTGGCCACAATTCATGATTCTCTTATGGATGTTCGATTCTGGGTTATGTTCATTACAAGCCCGGCTACGGCTGACAACAAAAATACTTCAGTCCGGTCAGCTGATGAATTCAAGTTCGCAAAGATATTGCAACTTCGACGGTCTTGATCCACCTGATTCGTGCCTCGGGGAGATCCTGGGCCTCATACATTGGTCTTTTTCGCTTCTTCCTCTTCCGTCGGCTTGGCTTTGACAACGAGCCGTCCATGTTGACATCATTTCCACTGTTCTCTCTAGATATTCCTAGTTCGGCTTCATCCATCGTGGCCTGGTTTTTTTTCTCGCCGGAACTCATTGTATCCACATCAACACCTCCTAATAACTCCAGGGTTGTATCACTGCATTGTAATTTTGAGGACTCTTCCTCTTCGTGCCCTCCTCCATTCTCGTCCTCGCTTTTCTCACCGCGACTGTCGTTATCATCCTCGTCCTTCTCCTCCAAGTCGATCTGTAGAATGTCGTCCACGGTGCTGACACTCCCAGCCCTCACCTCTACCTGACAAAGCAGGTCGTTCTCCTTGTTTCGAAACCACTCGCCCACCCGCAACGCCTGTGCCATTGCCCGCCCACTAGCCTTGACTAACACCTCCTCTTTGTCCCTTGCCAATGCGTCATTCGCCAGCTCGACTGCCTTGGCCGGTGGTCCGCGTCCATGGTTTTTCGTCACACTGCCTCCCCCAGCGGCATGCTGAAGTGCGCGCCTTTCGATCTGCACTAGGTATTTCTTGACGCGCTTGACAGCCGCGACCACGGGCGTGCGAGACGAGACGTAGACCACCTTCGGAGCCCCGTTTACGCCCCCCGAGGCGCGTGCATCAGCGATGGGCGCGTGATTCAACGGCCGACGTTGAATGGTTGCATTGGGAGGGAGGAGACGGAGATTTTGATTCCGCTTCTCGTGTTTGAGGGCTTTGAGTTCTGAAGTGATAGAGAACGGCAGCGGTGCCGGAGAAGAAGAAGAGGAGGAGGAGGACATTACCACCAGCAGCGCACAAGACTTGGCCACCTCGCGGGTATCGCTGACTCGGTTGTAGGAGAAGAGAGAAATGTCGTGCGCGGGGGCTGTTAATGGGTCATGAAGGGGAGCGCTGAGATCGACGGCCTTGTCACATTGTACTCCGTATTAATATGGTCTGGTGCGTATGTACTCGGTATGAACGGGTAAAACAAGAAGTTTTGTTCCCTGGGACGAATTCCACTTTCAAGCCTCCAACCCACCAACACAGGTATCTGACGAATTTGGGCTAGTGGATTTGCGTGCGAATGGCGTCAGTGAGAGGCCCGCCTATGTACCAACGCAAGCGCTATTGTGAAATGAGACGTAAAAGTCTACTGGGTAGGTAAGTATTAGAACTAATAGCTAAATCCATGTAACCTACCTGGGAGGCTCACTAGGCTATTTTTACAGCCATAATTACTAGGGGATTAGAATATCTCACACTATCAACAGAAGCACACTTCATATCTGTACCTAAGATAGCATTCTGCCACCGGTCTTGACGCTGAACATCTACCGGGCCCTTGCTGTTTCAGATACAAGATAACTGTGTGTAGTAGTAGGAGTCATCGAGTAGTAGAAGTGAGTAGGGAGACAGCCTGATGACTTGCAAAGACAACGCAAGTTTATCACAAGATTATGGGTGTTTCAAGGCAAGCACATTACTTCATGACAACTGCTATATACCTAGTATCAACATGACCATGCTTCATACATTGTTAACAAAGCGCCAGCTCCCTGATTGGACCCATCACCAAGAATGTGCTCCTGGTTCCCATATGAGTAGGCACAAGTATGTTTTGCGTAGGCACCGAAGTAAAGTGGCCCGGACAGGCCTCGCATTTGCCACCACATCGCTGCCTCTGTCACTTTTCTCCTTGGTAAACGTCCATAGACTTATAGCCTTTAGCCCGGCGAATTGCAACTTCAACGGCAGCGGGGTCTGTCGTCCAGGACACAACCCAGTGCCGATTTCAGCATGACCGGTCAATTAGACCAGAAGCACCGGAGGAAAGAACTTCAATCCACCCAGGTGCCATTTGCGATACTGCAGATTTTCACTGTTGAGACTTCTCTTTTGCAAGACTCCATAGGCCTTGTTTTATCCACTTGTCATCTTGCACTGAACCAACGACAGGATGGAGCGCCATTGGCCGTTTCCAGAACAAATGTGGAAATCATTAGAATCGAGGACAGTCCATTGAGCTGTCACCTAAGGTTGTGCTTACGACGTCGAAAGTTTGTGCAATATTGCACATTCCAAGCTCACCATGTCAGAATGTTCGCGGGCGAGAGCATTTCCTATCGATTGGCAGACAAGAGTGTCCTTGTATTCTGAGCTGGTGGTTCGCTGTTTCTCACTTGCCCCGGTCAGCATTATATCTGGAATAGAACCCTCTTCGTCAATGTTGAGAATATTCTGCTGTGCCTGGTGCGGCCCATTTTTTTTTTTTTACCGTCAGACCGAGGCGACTTATTTCGACATGACAGCAGGACTCGTCATGCCTCAACCGAGTTCTTAACTCCATTAATCCGCGGTTCCACGAAAGGCAATGACCAATTGTCCGTGCAGCCGTCAAATGCTAGCCAGTCATCAGCTCCAATCGAGGGTAGGAACATCATATCCAGGGTGGATGTCGCATCTGCCGATGAATTCGACAACGTCTGGGACACGTCTGACTGGACATCAGTGTGCGGGGGTGAGTCAAAATAAGACTGAGAGGTTGCGAGGTTGCGAGATACCAACGTCGATAAACAGGTGTGTTTCCCTATGCTTGTGTTTTCCGCTGTCCAATCGTCCAAAAGCGCCTGTATCTCGGCTGCATTCTGACATATGTCAACATCGTCCAGATTCGTTGTAGGTTCATCCACAAGACCCTCGCGGGGCGCTCTTTTGAGATCCTGTACGCTGATGCCCAACTCTTGCAGCATTTTCGCCATGGCCGCAGGATCATTTGACAACCCTCCTTCGACTATTTTGCCAATAGCTCGAAGGAGACAGTCTCTCTGGGACTCCACAAGTTGGACGTAGGCCGCATTCGGTGGTTTGGGTTCTCTCTTCGATTCTCGATTGGTCGTGCAAATGACGCCATCGCGCTTGCACTTGTCACAGATTTTCCCGACGCTCCACTGGCAGCGCGCTTTCTTCAGACGACAACGGTCGCAGGCCTTGGGCGTACGCTTAGGATAATAGCCCGATATCTCTTCTGCTTCGGGAGACAAACGCTGGCGCTTTCTCTGTGGCGGAGAAGCCGACGGATCGTCCAAGGGAGGGCTGGGAGGCGGGTTTGAACCCTTTCGTTCGGGGACGATGAAGAACATGGTGGGTGGTTGTAGGTAGCAGAGTTGGTGCTTTGAGAGACTTGCCGGTTGTACAAGCGTCTGGTTCAACGAGATATATTTCGTTCCAACACAGCAGTGCGCACGGGAGCACCCGGTTGTGTTGTGTTCATGATCATGACCAGGTCTGGACGACGTTGGCTGACCTTCGGAACTCGGTTGAAGCCCGATTAGCGTAGCGTCAGTAGTTGTGCGGATGTGAAAAAAATGACGTCGGCTGCACCAATCACACACCTGCCGCAAAAATAAAACTCCGCATTGTCCGCACTGTGCCTTGTACGAGGTACCAACTTCAGACACACGACGAGATCAGAGGAAGCTCAGGAACAGCGATCCATGGCCCAGTTCAGCACCGGTCACGGGGAACATCAACGACCGTGACCATTGCGGCCTCATTCTCCCGTCGGGAACGTTTTACGAGGTACCCAGCACTGCACCCAACAATCTGTTTGCGATCCAGCCTTAACGCCTGGTTCCCCTGCATGACATCAATTTCACCATCTTCTCACCTGAACTCCACGTCCCTGAACATTCAGCTCGCTGAACCCCTCAACCACACCCAGCCAATCGTCCTCTGATGCCGTTTGTAGGCTAGCCACCCCTCCACTGCTGTTCTTTCGGTATCTCTTATCCGCACGAGCAGAGCAAGGCGCCCGATGACGACTCATATAGATGATCCTATGCAGCATCAGCCCCGAATCAACCTCAGTAACGGGTACCATTGCCGGGAATTTGCGTCCCTATTCAATTGTCCCATCATAGCACTTGAGACTTTCTGACAATGCCACTTGTTGCGTGGGAGAATCGCGCTGCCGCCAAAAGGGCCAGCCTGCTGAAAGCCATTCCATCCATATGGCACGTGCCTCCTGATCAAATACCCGTCGGAGACGGTAGCCCAGCCGTCATTGACATGCCAGGGAAATACCTATCCGAGGACGAATTTACCATTACCGAAACCGCCCCTTTGGACACCTTGGCCCACATCCACGCCGGCATCTGGTCTTGCGAGGACGTTGTCAGTGCTTACTGTCACAGGGCCGCGCTTTGTCATCAATTTGCGAATTGCTTGACGGAAGTACTATTCGAAGAGGCTGTCAAAACTGCCCGCGAGCTGGACCAGTATCGTCGTGAGACAGGCGGTCTGAAAGGCCCACTGCATGGCTTGCCTGTCAGTTTCATGGACCGTTTCCGTGTATCTGGCACAGAAACAGCCGCCGGCTTTATCTCCTGGCTCGGTCCTAAGGAGACCGACGTCACTGAATCTCTCATCGTCCGGCATATGCGGGCGCTGGGCGCGATTCCCTTTTGTAAGACTAACATGCCTCAAAGCATGATGTTAGCAGAAACCGCGAACAACATACATGGCTGTACCAATAACCCCTATTCAGCACTTTTATCCAGCGGTGGCGCTGCAGGAGGTACGCTTAATGAATATGAGAATAGGCGGAGACTTGTACTCTGACTGTCATCAGGTGAGGGGGCGCTTCTGGCCATGAAGGGCTCCCCCTTCGGCTGGGCCACTGAATTTGCAGGCTCAGCACGTATTCCTGCTGCATTTAGCAATCTGTTTAGCCTCAAGGTTTCATCTGGTCGCCTTCCAACTCTCGGAGTGGCTTCAAGCGAGACAAGTCTGCCTTCTAGGAATTCAACAATCGCCATGATGTCCTGGGATTTCGGTTTGCTGCAACACATCGCAAAGCTATCCCTCGGGGCTACCGCCTTTGAAGAGGACCCTATCTGGATTGACATGCCATGGAGGGAAGCGAAAGTCAGAGAATTGACACTGCGGCGCCCAACATTTGCAGTGCTGGAGTGCGACGGCTACATCCAGCCTCAGCCGCCAATTCGGCGAGCTCTAAGATCAATTGTTCAGTGCCTGAGGCGAGCCAACTATCAAGTCGTCGAATGGAAACCTCCATCCCACGCGACCCCAGTAGAGACGTACTTCAAGATCATCGGCGCTGATGGTGCGCAGGCAACCAGGCAACACATCAAAGCAAGCGGGGAGCCACCCGTCCCTATGCTGAGGGATTGGTATTTTCACCAACCCACCCAACCATTATCCCTCTCCGAGTATCTGGCCCTTATGAAATCTCTAGAAAAGTCCCAAACAGCGTATCAGAGGTATTGGAAGTCCACCGGGAAAGAGACGGCGAGCAGACTCCCAGTCGACGGAGTCATCATGCCCGTCTGTGCAAACGCTGCCTGTTGCAAGAACAAATTGACATATTACGGTGAGAAAGGAACGCCTAGCAGTGGGAAAAACGCTAATTACAATTATAGGATACAGTGCTATAGTAAACGTCCTCGACTTCGCCGCCGTCTCGTTTCCGGCTGGATTCATCGATAGACATCTGGACCCGAAGCCCGCTGCCTTCGTCCCACTCGGCAGGGAGGATGAATCCGTGAATGATTCATGTAGTTCTCCTTTGATTCGAGTTTTTGACTTCAGCACTGACGTCTGCCAGATGATAACTTTGCATTCCATGGAGCCCCGGTGGGTCTCCAATTGATGACTCGCAGAACCGAAGAAGAGAAAGCATTAAAGCTTGTGGAAATCATCCTTCAAGCACAGGCATACTCGTTGACGCCCGGCTAACCAGTATGACGTCCCAAAGGGCATGGCCATAGCGGACCTCTGTTATCCGAATGCGGTTCTAATCAGGGAACTGTGGTGTTGATTGCCTCAGTTCACGGGTTTCGTGAGCAACGGACCAAACTCGACCTTATCTCGAGGGACCGTTGCTCGTGCGAGGGTATTCGACCTTGTGCCAGGCGGTGGTGAGATTGCCACGGAAGTTGAACTGGGCCTCGTATGACTCCGGTTGAGAATTATAGCTCTCGTCGACTGCCTTCACAACGAATTGCTTTCCAGCGACGCGCTTGGGCACCACAAACTCCCATCGTTTCCATGACCATGCTTTGTGGCCTTTCGACCCACCCGGCAGGAGAAGCGCCTGTTCCCAGGATTTCCCGCCGTCGGCGCTGACGTCGACTCGAATAATCTCTCTGCCTCCTCCACTAAATGCATATCCTTCCACTTTGACGGCGTCTTCATCTAAACCGTATTTCTGCAATGACCTTCGACCTTGCCAAGAGCTGCGGGATATATCTTTTATCGAGGTGATGGCGCTTTGCACGGGCGTTTCTTGAATAGCAGGAGCAGAGGACCAGTCCACATCCTTGGCAGTTTTATTGGGGCCGAAGCACTTATAGTCCCGCCGTTGCCACTGCGAATGGCTCTCCTCTTCGGAAAGGACGATCTTCTCGATCCATTTGACACTTCTCGCAGCCGTGTGGCCTGGCACCAGTACTCGCAGTGGGTAGCCGTGATCAGGTGGTAGGGGTTTGCCATTCATTTCGTACGCGAGCATGACATCTCCTCTTGGGTCGACAGCTTTTTCAATGGGGATTGAAGCGCCATATGCTTCGGCGGCAACAAACTGGACGTGCTTGGCATGCTCCGAATCGCAGTCATTGACAGGAAACCCTGCGTCACAAAGGATATCTCTCAGACGGACACCGGTCCACTGTGCGTTTGAGATGGCGCCCACGTCCCACTGAAGGCCGGTCGCAGGTCTTGCCCCGGCAGTCATGTGTTTCCGGCGATTTCCCGAGCATTGCAAGGTCGCAGTGATGCTAAAAGGTTGAAATTTGCTTCTGAGGTCGTGCAAGGTGTATTCCTTTTCGGTACCGTCTGGAAGCTCAACCGTCAAAGTGTGGGTCTTTTCGTCCAACTCGGGAACCCACAAATGATTGCGCACGTAGAAGGTCTGGTTGGGCGTGATGTAAGAATCCAGGCAGTCCGTTGGGGTCTCGGCGTTGCAAGGCTTCTGGGTATGCTGCATCAGACGGGTATCTCGAGTGGGATCGTTCACAAAAGGATCTTCGACGTCACGTCCCGCGACCTTGCCATCGACCAGGTCTCGTGGATCGATGTCGCCAATGAAGTATTCTTCGAGCACATCATACACGTCTTGCTTTTGATGGATGGTGAAGATATTCCAATAGGGATCGATTGAGCAGCCAACTGCGTGCAGAATGACTGGACCCCCAGGATGCGCTGCTATCCAATCCGTAATGTCAAACACCCGCGTCCCCTTGATGACCCATTTTCGTTCGGCGTCTTTGCCATGTTGTCTGACTTCATCCAGGCGAATCAACCTCTTCGGCTCTGCAGACGGCGCTTCAGCATATGCTATTGGAGACCAAGTTATGACTGAAGCTGCGATGATGGTACAGCCAACGACGGCCCATGCCGTTAAAGGCGCAGGAGATATCGACTTCGTCCTATGCGAGAGCTGATTGGTCCAGCTGATTGACCTATTTTGGCCGATAAATAATCTCGCATTGTCGCTCCGGGAGCGGTGGGAGCCGGAACCGGATTGAGAACGCGTCACTAAGGCCGAAATCCTCTGGACGACGCCGTGAAACCGAGACAACTTGGGCATGTCGAAATGGCACAATCGACGATGGCCAGAAAGCCACGTCGAATTTGGGGTGAGTGCTGCGAGCTCGTCTACTTCAGGCACTGCAGTCCCACTATGGCAAACCTTTCTCAACCCAGAATGTGCACAAGGGCTGTTGCAAAAAGAAAGTTCTGCAAATTTGGGTATTTGTTGAGGCGACCAATGCCTGACATGAAGAAAGAAGAAGGTCTGAAGAGGTGCTGAGACCCCCTTTTCCCTGGCGACCAAAGATGCCTCACCGACGCGGAAGTGCGGACTGCGGGGCACGTCGCTCAGCCTCGCAGCCTCGTGGATCTTATAAGTGCCTCACCCAGGGCCAAGATCTCGCTTCCTTCTGCCCGTTTGGGTACCCATCTGCTGCAAATCACCGGTCCAACTCGGTTGACGAAGGTCGCCCTCTTTCCGGAAACGAGGGAAAGGAGCAGGCAGAGCCAACCCTTAGTGCGAGGATGGCTGGTGAGGCAGCTCGACCCTGCCCATTCCTAGCTGGCAGTCAGTCACGTGCCGGCGCCATACGGCTTCAGCCTTGACCGGCTCTCTCTAAGAGGCCGGAAGGGCGGCAAAACTTTGCAAGCCACCAACGCCTCCAGCAATTCTGATTTGTTGACAGATGACATCGATGCAACGAGGGGAAGCTCAAATTATCCACTCGCTCCCCAATAATCGGGCTACTCTCCATCATTAATCATCGTTTACCTACGTCACCAAGCATTTACACGAACTTTTTGCCGAATCGGGGCCCCCTTTGGCGCTCCCCAAGCGGGCTGTCCAGACCTCATACATATACCTACTCCCCAGGAGACCAACAAGTCGACCTTCACCAGCAATCAGCGCCTCTCCCACACTCGCCAACATGGATCCTGCCGGTACATACGCCAACTGCCAAGTGGCGCGGAACTCATCCCAAGAGTTCCCTCACGAATGCCAGAATGGCGAACACCAGACAGCCAAGGACGAACTGATGGACAAGTTCGCAGCCAAAAACCAGCGTGGATGGAGGAAAGTGGTGCTCAACTTCACACCATCATGGTTTGCAGCCACCATGGGTACAGGCATTGCCTCGATCCTCCTGCACCAACTTCCCTACAATGGCGACTGGCTGTATTGGCTGTCGGTCATTATCTTCTGTCTCAACATCGGCCTCTTCTGCCTCTGCCTGCTCATATCCATTCTTCGGTATACTCTGTTCCCGGGCCTGTTCATGGCCATGATTCGACACCCTGTCCAGTCTCTGTTTGTCGGCACATTCCCCATGGGTCTTGCCACGATTGTCAACATGGTGGTCTTTGTATGCGTCGAACACTGGGGAGTCTGGGCAACAACTCTGGCTTGGACATTGTGGTGGATTGACGTGGCCATCGCAGTCATTACTTGCATGTGGCTGCCCTTTGTCATCATGCACATCCATCAAAGTGAGCTATCCAAGATGACTGCTGTTTGGCTCTTGCCGATTGTGGCAACCATTGTCGCGGCGGCATCGGGTGGTATTGTGGCCGAGATCCTCCCCAATCCTCAGCATGCTGTTTGGACGGTCGTCACCTCCTATGTGCTCTGGGGCACCGGCTTCCCTCTCGCCATGGTCGTCCTCGTTATGTATTTCCACCGACTCACGATTCACCGACTGCCGCCACGTGAAGTCATTGTCTCGGTCTTTCTTCCCCTCGGTCCACTGGGCCAGGGCAGCTTTGGGCTCATGCAACTGGGGAAAGTCGCTTCAGAGGTCTTCCCTCGCACTGGGAACTTCGGTCCGGACGCCGGCAAGGCCATCTACAGCTTCTCGATTGTCATCGCTCTCGCCATTTGGGGTTACGGCCTGGTGTGGCTTTTCTTCGCGCTAGCCAGTATCACACGGAGCAGGTTCCCTTTTAACATGGGATGGTGGGGTTTCACTTTCCCTCTCGGCGTGTTTGCCGTATCAACGACGACCCTGGCAAAAGAAATTCCCAGCAAGTTTTTCAAGATCCTGGGAACGATCTTTTCCGTCGCGGTTGTGTTGCTTTGGTTGATTGTCGCTTTGGGCACCTTGAAGGGCGCAGTCACCGGCACCTTATTTTATGCGCCCTGTGTTGAACAGTACGAGAAGGAGTTGACTAATGGACAGAAGAAGGAAAAGAAGTTGAACAACCGGCTACCCTTGAAGCATTGGAGGAAGAAGAGTAATGCGGAGAAGCAGGAGGTCTAAATCTCGCATATGGGAAGCTCGAGCGGAGGAGTCCTGGCGCAGATGATGGGTAATATTATTTGGACTGGTTTATTGGTCACTGGCATTTGTGGTGTTTGTGGTTTGGTTGTTACCTGTGAGCGATCCAGACGTGGTATGATACCAGCATCGGCCTGAGAGAAAAAGTGTATTCATCAGCATGAGAATAGAATAAATGATCTAGACCCCCATTATCACTCAGCGCCTGGTTGACCATGGTGATAATGACACGGCGTACAAGCAGCTTCAGGAGCTGGCGGTGCTGTCTCCTTGATCAGAGTCTATTTGACGACACCCACGGAGGCTGCTCGCCAAACAGGTACGTAAGCCAACTCCACAAAAGCGGTTGGATCTGCTGCCAAGAGACACGCTCAGTACCTAAGAGATACGAAAACTATGTACCTAGGGACTTAGAATTCGCCAAAATGGCAGCCTAGGAATGATGCGGGCGGGGCAACCCCTTTCCTCCTCGGGTAAATCACCCTGTCAATTGTGTCCTTTACCGAGCGGACATTCTGAACCTCAAGGAAGCCATGAGCATGTTTTCCATGACAGATATTTGAAGAGCAGAGGAAACTCGCATTTCTCCGAGGCAGGGCTCGTCACTCATTGATCGCTCTTTTTCGTCTCCTCTATCCAGGATATTATTATTGCCCAGAAGGTGGTCCGAGCGGGAAACAGGGAGTTGCCTCAACCACAGCCACAACCACAGCCGCAACCACAACCACAACCACAAATCAATCATCGATCGACAAGGCCGAAGATATCGCCGTGGACTTTATACAGACCTGCAGTCAGTCGCCTACGATTGTACGTACGAGGTAACCGCAGACGAAACTCGACACAGACAAGATGGCTCCTACGATGCTCGAATATGTTCAAGGCATGGTTTTCCCGCCGCTCTTTATGGGCGTGAGTGTCTCCTGTAAGTGCTCCCCCCTTTTCAGCATATGTACATACATACATACATCTGCAGGAGATGAGAGATGTGCCGCCGCTGTAGGGGCCAGGATACGAGCTGGGCGGGGCAGGGAGACAGGGGTGCAAGACAAAGCCCGCCCATGAGATTTGAAGATTTAGCACAGCTTACACATCTACATTTACTCACCCCTTCGGCGCGTTCACCAGATTTCGCTATTACCTTTTTAAGCAACCCGCTCCTTCCGCTCAGCAATTTCAACTCCTTCAAGGAGAAGACCTTTGCCAGGCTCTGGCTCAAATATGGGCCCATGTACGCCGACCAGATCCCCAAGGGTCTCCCACCCTTGCTGGCGCAGTCGCGCGGGCTGGTTCTCGACATCGGCCCGGGCACGGGTGAGCAGGTCAAACGCTTCACGCACCCCGAGAACATCACGGCCATCTACGGCGTCGAACCAGGCGTCAGCATGCACGACAAGTTGCGGGACAAGGCCGAGCAGGCCGGTTTGGCCGGGAAGTACCACGTCCTCGCGGCCACGGCGGACCTGGACGCGATCATCCCGCAGCTGATCAAGGCCGGCCTGGTTCAGCCCGACAAGACCTCGTCGACCGACCTGCAGCTCTTCGACGAGATTGTCTGCGTGCGCGTCCTCTGCGGCGTACCCGACCAAGCCGGCACCGTCGCAGACCTTTACACCCTGCTGAAACCCGGCGGTCGGTTCGTCATCTGCGAGCACGTCCTCAACACGCACCACTGGGTCGCCCGCCTGGCGCAGAGACTGTACATGTCCTTGGGCTGGAAGCAGTTGATGGGCGGGTGTTGCTTGACCAGGAGTACCATGGACACGCTCTTGAAGGTCGCGCAGGCCAAAGATGGAGGCTGGGCAGAGGCCAAAGTTACTGTCGACGACGAGTACACCCCCGCGATGCATGTCACAGGCGTTTTGACCAAGAAGAAGTAGTAGTAGTGGCAGTGGCAGTGGTAGTGATAGCAGTGGTATCCGTGAGCTACAATGATTGACTGTATCTATCACACGCTCGTATGCGTAAGGGGAGAAGTCAAATCAGGCCGGGGCCGTACCAGTAAAATGAGGTCTTGTACGCCATATCTTGTCTCTTATGTTTTGTACAGTACCTATCCTTTCCATTTTATTCTATTCTATTCTAATCCCATTTCGTATACTGTACCTTAACTACATCTCTTGACAGATATGTACCTCGACCAAACTCCTACTACTGCCTGCACAGCGACCAACCAAAGTCTCACAGCCCGCGCAACTCGCAAAACCATTCTTCTCCTTCCCTTGTCCTTCCTTTTCCTTTTCCTTTCTTTCCCTTTCCTTCCCCGCCCAGCCCAGCCCAGCCAAGCCATCCTCCGTGGTAAAAGTACTTTTGCATGCTGGTGCTGGACTGTGCAAGTATATCTACCGTCGCTCACGGCACAGGCATCCCTCCCCTGGCCTCCTCCCTCCCTGGCCCGTCTGGCTGATTGGCTTACTGACCGGCTCACCGACCGGCTCACTGACCAGCTGATTGAATGACGTAGGAGCAGCGGACGCGGCCTAAATATAAAGGTACTTGGATGTACTGTGTGCCGCGTGCTCTGGTCTAAGGAGCGTCTCGTGGGTGGCATGATGCGTGAATTCTGGCCGATTTCCCTGAAGAAAACGAGACGAGACGAAGACTAAGGCTTCGAGCCATTTTCCCTCCTACCTCCTCCCTTGCCCTGGTTGGCCTCGAAGGAAAAGAGTGAGCGGGTGGGTGAGTGAGAGCCGTGCTGATTATGACGAGCGAGTACAATGACCCCCTCTTTCCTCTCCTGTCATACAGAGGGCTCATCTTGATACCGGAGCCCAGAACCCCTCCCCCGCTTCTCCAAGGAGTTTGTACAGGTATGTTTATCCTTAGGTTGGTGTTTCTCTCTAAACACGAAGCCCCAACAATCCCCTCCAAATACTGAAATCTTGACTTTTGCGTGACCGAGCCGCCTGTATAAGTATCCCACAGATATCCTATCCCATCCCATTTCAGCCCATCTCGTCCTGTCCGGTTTATCTGATACTACCACACATAGAAAAGCTTAACCCCCGAGTCGCGCCGCCTGAGTCGTTATCGTTATCGTAGCATGCAACATCAAGGTCCCCCCCCAAAAAAACAAAAAAAAAAAAAATTTTTTTACAAAGTAAAGACTGATCTGATCATGTGCCCAGTTCGAAATCGGACGGCGTCTCGCGACCCAGTCCCTTGTCCTCGAACGTCGCCGGCGACATGCTCCGTCGTAGGCAGTCGACTTCGGCTTCTAGAGACGCCAGCCTTCCCCGCAGGTGACTATTTTCCTGCTTGACGAGTTTCTGCTGCTCGAGGGCTGTCGAGAGGGCAGCCTGCAGCTCGATGACCTTACCCTGCGTGAGGCAAAAATTCAGTTGCCTTCGTTCGCGATGGCGTCGTTGTCTGTGTATAGTGCCACGGAGTTAGCTAAACCAGACCTGTTGCTGTAGGCTTGTGGAGAAGAAAAAAAAAGGAAAGGCTGGGGAGGGGGGCTTGGTATGACACACTTACGCTTGTCGATTCTGTTCTCTCCTGCGTTCTTTCTTGCGGTCAAGCCTCGTGTCAACTCGTCCATTGTAGGGCCCGCCCGGCGTATCTAGACCGTCCAGCGGAGATGCTAATTGCGACAACTCTCCATTGACAGCGGACAGGTCTGCATCCGGTGGAGGATGGCGGACGTCTCCAAAAGGCTCTAACCACCAAGCTGCGTCCTGGAGGGAGAGCACGTGTAGACTGCTGCTAGATGGTTGCCAGGTGGTGTCTGAAATGTACTCGGATTCCAATGACGGTACGGTCGAAACCGACGATTGAGATGCATGGCGGCGGTCAACTAGCGTGGGGTGGGGATTCCCATCTCCAACCGACAGGTGAGAGAATCCTTCCAACACTTGGCGTGGTGAAAGCATATAATGTTGTTGAGGAAATTGGTTGTCAGGGCGAAGTGATTGATTCATTGAAGCTGCTGCTGGCCGGCTGCGGTGCTGTTGCATCTTTTGAGGAAGAGACCAGCGGTTTCGGCCAAGGTATATCAAATCGCTCGAGGCCAGTGAATTTGGCCCCGGAAAGCTGGCACTTTGGCAGCCCTCCACGAGCAAACGTGTTCGAACAACGTCAATCAAGAAGAGCCTGATTGCCGAGTGGAGACGCCCGCGGTACAACGTTCTGGTGCGATCGGCTGACCCTGACCCTGCACTTGTATCTGGGTTTAGGATTGCGATTTTCTTTGGTTGGGGGATCGTAATTCCCTGGTTAGACGGGACCCTGTTGATATCGACCATCGGCAGGACTATATACCATTCCTTCGAGTGTTGCTGGCAGCGCCAAATTGATCGAGGTTCGGCTCAGCAGCCCTGATTCTGCCCTGCATGGAATGTATTTTGCATTCGAGACTCTGGCTCCACCCAAAATATTAGTCATTTTGCCATCCTCTAAGTCAGTATATACCTATTGCGTTGAAATAAGCTCTCCAGGTACTCTGCTTGGCATCGAGCGACTGGAAACTTACTGCGATAGCAACCATGTTGTCCCATGCCAAGCGATGAAGACATGGCTGGTTTAGCGAATGCCTTGCAGCAGCAAGTCCTACCTCTACTGGGTAGGTAGGAGCTGTTCGCGGTAGCTTGCTTGATCTGCAGTGGCAAAAAGGAAAGAATGAGGAGCTACCACCATTGAGTGACTCTACCTTGAATGAATTCAGGCCACGCAAGCCACTGTTGAGGCTCTGGATGATAGGTTGAGAGGGCCGCCCCTCCCCCTCCCAGAGTCAGGTAGAAGGCCCAGAGAGAGAGAGAGCCCCCCCCCCAAAAAAACAAAAAAAACAAAGACGAGTGGGAAAATGGCTAATTCGGGCCCGATATTCCAAAAAGACCAACTGTCATTGAGAGTGACAAAAAGGTTGTGACATCTGCTTCAAAGACCAGGGTTGCGGTCAAGGGTTCAACGTTCTACCTTAATCATCAGCCATGCATGAGAAGCGCCCATGCTTTCCCTCATAGGGCTTCCGGATGAGGAAGGAGTTTCTTATTTGGACAGTCAAGTAAAACGGAGACCGCCTCAAGTGATTGGTCTGTCTCAACCTTGGCTGTGCTCGGCACTTCTCCGCCGGTCTGCGGAGTTTCATTCAAATGGTGAGCTAGGTACCGACCCAAGGAACGAAGGAGACGGAGGGGTGTATCTTCGGGAATGCGCACCATTACGTAGGTGGGCTTAAAGGGCTAAATTCTTGGCCCGCGCCGTTGGCAGTCCGTATTAAATCCCCACTGACTGCGCTAGCCTGACTAGTTTCATTGCTAGTGTTATTAGCGGCGGCGCCTTCCGCCGCAGTGGGGTTACTAAGCTGATACTTTGGCTGCCCTCGGGCCCTACGTAATACTCCCACAACACAAGGCTGACCCTCGCCTGGCCTCCCCTACAAGGATGCCCTCGGTATCGCCGAGTCAGTCCTGTGCCCGCTCCCTACATAGGCTGCGCATGGGTGTTTCCCGAGGGCCATCTACAAGTATAGGAGCGAGACGTCTCGACGACGCAGTCAGCTCTGCAGCTCGATCTGGCGCCCAGCCTTAGCCGACCCAGATCTCCGCGGCTATGGGGTGCAGCACATTCAAATACTTGACCTGCTGCTGTGGCTATGCGAAAAAAAGAGCACCCTAGGCGATAATCGTTCGTATTGATGTTAAATACAATGGCCAGGCCTTCGTATTCTGCAACAGTCATCTCCCCTCGAGGGTATTGAACCATCTATTAGAGGATGCCAACGGTAGAGGAAGAACACAGCACGAGCTCCTTCACCCTGTTTGCTCCATTTTTGCCTTTGTCTCGCTCACTCATGATTTGGATTGGGTCCGACATGCTCTCAGCGTATGGTCATACGCCTAACCTGGCTGGCAGGAAGCACGCATTCCGTCTGTTCGTAGAGCTCCTGGTCCCTGTGTTTCCGTGCCAGTGAACCCTCCGGGTTGAGAACGAAAATGGCGTGATTTATTAGCCGAGCTCATACGACATCCCTCTGTGACCCCGAGGCAATTGTTTCATCATGCGCACTGGTGCAGGTTGCATGACACAGAGTCAATGATGGGCAAAGACTTGGGCCTCGTGCTGAGACGGGTCCAGAAAAGGTGGGTTGGGAAAGATCACCGCAGTGAACACTTGCCGACTTGCTATTCCGATGCATTTTCGCGGCCGCGTAACTACTGTCCGCTCTTGATTCACTTCCTATTATCTTGCATCTGCGGTCACCCTCCGGGAATGTGAGCGGGAGTTGAATAACCCCGCGGATGCAGGTTGAATGCTAGCAAAAGGACCCTCTTGCATTGAGGATGAAGACCATGATAAATGTCCTTTCACATGTAGCGGGAAGGGACACCAACTGTTTCAGGTGGGAGATGACATCCTTTCGACAGGGGGTCTCCCTTATTGGCAAATAGTACCTTTCATTTCAGTGGAGAATGTCATTGGGTTCGTGATAAGCAGCCTGCCGAAGCGCGGGCAGCATTTTTGTCATCAAAGATCGTGCCGCCAAATATGGTGTGCGGAGGCCGGTAATCTCGAGAGCTGGAGCTGTAGCAATATTAGTCCACTTAGACATGATCGACTTGCCGATCATCACCCGTTCAGACCTTCCCTGTGTCCAATGTCTAGTGATCGCAGTGGTGAATCTCGAGCAGCGGCGTCGCCTTCATGTGGCTGCTGGGTAAGATCAAACCCAGTGCACGTCCGCACGCGGCCGGAGACTGTGGATGTCATATATGGAGGCCGGTCTGGAGGATGAGATTGTTAGACTTTGCACCCTTGTGGCTTGGGAGACTGGCATCACAAAAATGCGTTCATGTTGGCAGTTCAATGAGACTCCTTAACACATACCACGGAGCTATGAATTCAGTAGCTGGACTAGCAAGGCGCTGGAGTCGGATTAATCAAGGCCGGCAGATTTTCTCTCTCTTTCTAGAGGAGACTCTTGCATGTGAGGTCCGCATATATGCATCTAATACGATGGATAAGCCCAAAAAATCCGACCAAACTCGTATGAAAACTTACCAGTGGCACACCTCCGGCCGCCGAGTAGCGAAAGTTTGCGCATCGGAGCCGAAATTCCCTGATTGGCTTGCGTGATAAGCGTTTCGTCACTTGCGACAAGATCACACTGTCCGAATGGAGTCCTCGAGGAGCTTTTGAGTATTCGGACCGAGCGCCCCACCTTTGGGAATTTAACAGCCGCTTGGTGCGTCCACTGCAATAGAAGTGGGGATGCTCGCTCTTAAGTGAGGATGGCTGGCTCTGGTGGCAATCGGTCTCAAAAAGCCAATCATCTCTTCGACGCTTTTGCCTCCGAACTCAGACGTGGAGGATGAAAGGGCTGACATTATCTTCAGATCTGCTGGAGATAATGAAGCCCTATATATCCTTCGGTGATAAGTGAAGATCCATCTTGGTATGCCTGTTCCGACAAAACTTTCAGGGACTTGTCCAGCAGCTTCTTTTTCAGACCTATTACATTCCGAATCAGTAATCGAGAGGTTCTTGTGGCAAAGAACGCTTCCTACTAAATAGGTAGCCTGCGAAAAGCGAGCAAGCATCCCCATCCTAGTTGACGAAGGTGAAGACACAGGTTGAGTCTGACTAGGATAAATGTTGGCGTCTGTCAGCATTCCAGTCGCAAGCGCAGAATGTCACGGAGGGCGGCATACTCCCTTATCCCGATCCTGGTCGCAGACAGGTAGCAAATCAGTCGCTTGCAGCTTGGGGCTTTTCGCACGTCTGGGAGGATACATTGTGGCTTCAGTTAGTTTCAAGGTGCAGTCTTGAGACCAATCCCGAATCCGGACTCGAATGCCAAAAGTGGACATGTCAACCATGCCGCGGGGAAGACCTAGAGACGCGACCCAGAGAAGTATTCCTTCGAGATCTGGTCGGGATCATCCAAAGACTCTAGCAGTCCAAGTGTTAGGACATATGCTAGATCGTAATTTCGCTCTGTGCTAGGGAGGAGCCCTGCAGTTGCGCGTCAATCCAAGATTCAACACTAGATGCGGTCTGGACACATCCTCTGAGTAGCGACAATCCTGGGGCTTTCTAAAGCTTCAATTAGCTCTCTTTCTCCCATGGACTTGGCGTCAGATCACTGACTGCAAGCACAGGGTACATTTAGGTGCCGGTCTGTGATCATCGTTTCCTGTATCGACGGTAGTAGTCGCAAGCTCGAGGCAAAGAGCTCTCTTCGGGGTGTGCGTTTACTCCGTCTCTGTGTCAAGGAAGGCAAAACATTCTCGAAAATGAGATACCCCGGACTGTAGATGGGCTCTAAGAGGCTCATTGAACTCACCGTGTCTGATCAGTCCCGCAAGCGCCATGCTGCTTATACACCGCATTGAATGACGGCATCAATCAAATCGCTCGAAGAAGAGTCAAGATGATGAAATAACATGCGATGTTGCCCTGGCCTCTAGATATGTACTCCATGTTCTGTTTCTGGTGTAGCGGCGACGCGTGCTGCCTTTGCCAAGGCTGCGGCGAAGACGGTTGGGAAACTTTTCTTGGGCTGTGCAAAATCCCGCTGGGTGTTTCGTAAATATCATGTACTGGTACTCCCTGCTTGATTGTCGGCCTCGTCCCCTCTTCCTTTAGCTGATCCCTCACTCCCGGGCGCTGGCGATGAGCTCCAAAAGGTGCAGATAGCGCATTTCTCCATGTGACACCTGGTCCGATGCTTACCGCCATGACTCTCTCCTAAAAGGAGATGGCCCGAAGTCTGTCATCGGAGGCGCAAAAGGGGCCCAACACCGTTGGACCCAGCGATATCAACACATGATCGTCACGAGCGTCCCCCCTACTGCTTTCTCTAGACCCTCTACGGGAACTCCAAGGGTCGTTACAAAACGCCAAAATGAGACTGATGCATGATTGTTAACTATCGTATTTTCGAGCTGCCTTCGAGAAGTACATGGTTGACTTGGACAGGATGGCCGATTGACGTTACTTTGAACATATGAGGCATAGTTCTGTTGCACCAATTTCTCCCTCAGCACGGAGACAATTCGCCCTTCTCTCGCAGAAGTCCAAAAGGTCTTGGGTCTCCCGTATTGTGGACAACGCTTTCGACACCAGTCTATTTTAGTGGATGAATCTTTGCTATGGATTACCAAAGCGGAAGATTCTTGTTCCAGCAGGTCGGTTCAAGACCTGAATGCTTGGAACGTCAGGACTGAGCGAAGCTACAGGTAGGCTCGCGGTTGTCGTGATGATCTATTGAATGGCTCACTGGCATATTATAGGTTTTTGTTTACTTTATCCAGGTCAGATTGCCGATATGTGTGCCGTGAGCATCCAGAAGCCTGTACGAAGGATGTTGACTACAACCAGGAAGGCACGAGTTGGGCCTCGGACAGGGTTCCTGAAGGCGCTGTGGCATGGCTTGTCGAAGAGGGCCGTTGCCCGGGAGTTGAAAGCGGGATTGATCTTTGCCCGATGTCGGTCATCTCCCACCGCTGCGAAATCATGGAGATGGTAGCATTTCTACAACTTCTCTGATGGATGACAAGGCTCACAGGTATTCTCGATTACAACTTTCGATCGGAGCATCTCGTTGGCTCGTTAGTGCTTTCTAACCTTCTTATGGAACATTCTTGTCCGTACAACCAGCGACCAAAAGGGAGCTTCAGCCTTGATATTCTTCCCGGGAGCCGGCAAATGATGGTCAGCTTATTTTCCCTGACCCTCGCACTCCATAAAACCGAGTGGGGGTTCAACACCCTCATGATTGGTCTAGGAGTTTGCCCGCGGCTATGTCTTGCCGGGTAAGGGCTTGACGATTCTCGTGCCCGGTCAGATGAACGATCAGCCAACGTCGCAAGCCTTTTCTCAAATACTTTGGTTCTAGAAACATAAGAAAGAAAATCTCTCATGATCTGAGTCCGTTTGATATCGAGAGTCAATCTTTGCAGAAAACCCCTGTTCGGCTCTTTGTCGGGCAAGCTGAGGAACAGAAACCATGAAAGATCTGCGGGTTATCGTTGTCGGAGCCGGCATAGGCGGCCTTTCGTCGGCTTTGGCTCTTGCCATGGACGGCCACCAAGTCACCGTGCTAGAAGGGGTCAAAGAATTTCTCGAGGTATGAGTTGAGCGACTTCTTTCAACTTTAACAGGGCTCATATATTCGGCCAGGTTGGTGCTGGGATCCGCGTCCCTCCAAACTCATCACGCCTGAGTCGTAGCTGGGGCGTTGACTTTAGCAAAATCAAGAAGGAGAAAGCTGGCGGGATTCGCTTCTTGGACTGGACCGGTAAGGTGATAAAGGATGTTCCATACGACGACCTGGAGGCAAAGTATGGGGCGCCATACTATTTCATCCATCGAGCAGACCTGATCAACCTACTCGCCGAGACGGCATCCCAGCGGAAGAACATCACCTTGAAAATGAACAGCCGAGTCAAAGACTACGACTTTGAAACGCCTGCGGTGATGTTGGCCTCCGGAGAGCGGCTTACAGCGGACCTGATTATCTGTGCCGATGGCATAAAATCCGCTGTCCGAAATACAATCAATGGAACGCCCGTAGAGCCTCAAGATACCGGCGACGTCGCATATCGAGTGTTGGTGCCCGCCGAGCCGCTTCTGAACGACCCGGAAACGCGTCATTTGTTCGACAACGCGTGGGCGATGCATTGGCTTGGGCCTGAGGCACATGCGGTCGGTTACCCTTTGCGCGGTGGCGAGCTCTACAACATCATCATCGACATAACTCACGCGACCGATGTGGGTAAACCCATCGGCGACGAAGAATGGCGGTCTCAAGCCGACAACACCGAATTGGTGAAGCGCTTCGCGGACTGGTGTGCCCCCGTGCGGAAGCTCTGCGGACTCACAGGCTCGTACCTCAAATGGAAGCTTGCCGACTTCGACCACTTGCAAAGATGGGTCCATCCGAGCGGGAAAGTCGCAATCCTCGGCGACGCCTGCCACCCGATGATGCCGTACATGGCGCAAGGAGCAGCGCAGGCCACCGAAGACGCCGCCACCCTGCAAGCTGCTCTCCGGGAGTACGACGACCTCCACGAAGCGTTGAAGGCGTACGAAAGGCAAAGGCTGCCGCGGGCCACGCACGTGGCGAAAAATACCCGCATATTACAGTCCTGGTGGCACCTCTACGACGGAGCCGAAAAGGACAGGCGCGACGAGCTGATGCAGCACGACAACCTTGACAATCCCATGTTTTGGGCGAACTCCCAAAGGAGAGACTGGCTGTTCGGCCACGACGCACTGAGGCTCCAGACGGAAGATGAATTGAGACCGCCGTCCTTGGCCCCTACGCCTGCTAAGGGGTCGGGTGTATACAACGGCGAGATTACAGACACGGACCTTCGACGAAAATTTAGAGCCATGCGTCAGCTCAATTAGCCAGATTCCAAAGAGCATCATCTGAAACAATGAAAGATCTGGAAACCTTGAAAATCCTGCTTCCATGGTTCGCATCTCTTGAAAGCGTTGATTTCGAATACTCAAGTCGACAAGCTGAATTCCCCCCATCCAACATCTGCCGACTCTGACACGTGTGAACGCTTATGATTTCATGATATGCATCTGCAACTGATGTGCTTGGCTACTGACAGACCCCTTACGCGACTCTGCCTGAGACCTTGCTACGAGGATGACATTATTGACAGTCATTGGAGTCGGGCATGAAAATGGTGGGTATTCTGCTGACGCCGGACACGAAATCCGAGTTCGTGGAAACGAGCGAATTGGCTCTTGCGTTGCAGAAAGAGACTCGTATGTGCTATTAGGACTTTCCCACAGGGCAAACCTGCGCACTCTACCCTGCCACATTTCAAAAACTTGGAACGATGACCAGGTTGTGTGGTGCATCGTCGGTAAAAGGGGAGGCATCGGCCTCTGATTTAGCAGCTCGCTACCTCTTGACTATTCCTTCTTTCTATTCCGCATTCAACTTGTTCCTAGCTAACTACACAACTGCGCTGGTATGCCTCGTAAGTTTGTGCCCGGCGAGACTGGCCAGGCGCAATATTGAAGCCCGCTCACGGTGCTATGGAGTACCGTTTGAGCTCTTGTTTGACAACGGCATGGAATATAACGCATTTTTAGCTCCGCATCATCTCAGTCCAGGAAGCAATGGGCGACGGCCATCGGTGGGACTAACAGCTGAGTGTGTGTTTTTTTTTGGCTGTACCTTTCCCTCGGTTTCATTATAGCTCTCGCGACGTTTCTACACTCCCTTCAGGAAAGGCATCCAAGAGGTGAGGCGGTCATTGGGGGCATTGGAATGTCCCCTCACCCAGAATATGGCCTCGATCAAAGAAAACAAGTGTCTCAAGATGTTCTGCAACTTACACAGGAGAACCGAAAGTGCAGCTGAAAAGGTCGCATTGGACTGGGAAAAGAATCGACTCCGCTTCCACGCCCTGTGTCTTTGTTTGCCACCAACCCGAATTTTGCAGCCGAACACTTGTGGATGTTGCACGGCCAGTACAACGCAGCATGGTTGCCGAGCTCAACTTTCCAGCAATCTGAAGCCGTAGTCGCGGGGCGATTATGACACGAGGGTGTTACCGACAAACCTAAGCCAAACAGAGCATGTCTCGAACTTTTACTCATCAACCGGTTTCCAGAGCTGTGTCACTCCGAAAGGTAACACGCGCGCTCGTTCTCCACTGACGCATTTGCTTGTTCCCCGTTCCACAAGGGCAAACATACGGTGGAAAGCAGCAAGCGATATCCCCAAACAGCCAGCCTCCTCACCAGCAAGGCACGCGCATTGGGAATTGGTACGGCAGTCCGGCATAAAAGAACATGGGCAACGCTCCATCCAAGGCGAAACACGAGGAGAGATGCCCCGACCGACGCTCCCGACGGCGGTCAAGCCAGCAGCAAAACCAGCAACGAGGGCATCGTCGTCGCTCGCGAGGAGAATCTCGGTGCTGGAGTGACTCTTCTCCATCGAGTCATTACCACTATCAGCGCTCGGCGACTTCCTCATCCTCAACGCCGTACAGATCAAATCAGCCCCAAATGCCTACACTGCCTGATGGATATCGACTGCCGAGAACACGTGTACGGTCTGAATCTTCCAAGCCGCTTTGGCGGCACCCGCCACCTGAAGCTCCTAGGCGACGATACGAAGAAACTCCACCACGCTCTCACGAGGAGCCAGAAATTAATGATCTGAATTCTTCTTCAAATGTCTGGCCGGGACGTATGCTGCCTCACGCTCCCATTCCTCCGACCTGGGATCCTCGCTTCTACGCAGGCGTGCCTAGCAACCCAGCTGCGGAGGACTTGCGGCGTACACAACGCCAAAGAACATTCAACCGAAGACACAGATATGAGCGTCATCAGTCTCCTGCAGCTAGGCGAGACAGGCGCAGAGAGAAGATATACGTCAACCCGCGTGATCCATACTGGTTCGGAGTGCGCGTGGTGCTGTTTGAGCCGCATCTTCACCGTTGACTGGAAGTGGAGTCTGTGCTTCGTCTGCCGGATTCGCCAGAACGCCTCTACGCAGGAGATCGATCACACGTTCATGTCGGCCACTTGACAGCAACATTTGTGAGGAGAGACATTCCTTGTGCACGAGAGCGTTGAACGGTTGTGTGTGTTTTTTCCTCTCACTCTCACCGAGATCGTATCGTACCCAGCAAACGGCCTCTTTCGTTAAATGCAGACGATACCTTTAAACGACGTCGATCCAAACCCCCCATTCTCGTTTTCAGTTGGACAATCCGTTTTCCCTTCACTCAGGTGGCTCCTCTTTCTTCACAGTGTGAAGGGCAGAGCCTCTCGCTCTCCTCGAGCGTATAGCAACATGGTTCACCCTTTCTCGTTATCCTTCAGAGAGTCTGACATCTGACACCGCTGACAGCTCAACGACGCTGTTATTCTGTCTCGGCCGCAACGGGTTCGTCCAATCCTTCGAGCCGGAGGAGGTTCTAATCTCCCATTATAGAAATACCTACTTCGCAAATTCGTCAGGCTCGGCAGGCAACACTCGACTCAACTTCACTTACACTCATAGGACTGTGTCATGTCTCATGCATCGCTATCTCATCAAAACCTCGGCTCTAAAAGAGAGTCCCTTTGTCTGAGCGTTGCCAGAAATGCATATGACATACGACCACTCTACCATCTATCAAGCTGACTCTCTTGGAGACTAACGTGAAAACTCACTCGCTTTTTGTCACTTCCACAGTGATTCCCAAATGCCGCGGGTCATATCGGCTGCAACATTCATTCACTTGAACATCGACCATCGGTCAACGACTCAACGCAGTGAACGCGACTGAGTGTCACTCCAGAATCGTATAAATAATTTCACCACCCCTTCCCCAGCTCTTTTCCCTCGAGTTATCTCATTCGACCTCTACATAATTTTCCAAGGTCGCTGGGGGAAAAACGAAAGTCCGGATTCAGACATCCCATTTCCACACTTCCATTCGACGATATTGAAGAAATTTCCCTCGACGCCATCGGTTCAAGACTCCCCGTTGTTAAACAAAGAAAAGAAAAGAAAAGAAAAGAAAAGAAAAAAGCCAAACTCGTCATGGGAAATAGCCACTCTTCCTCTCCTCACATAACAGCCCGAGATCTCGAGCGCTGGCACCGCGAAGGCCGGCCGGTTATGATCGAACAGACTCGGCGCCGACGGAGTCCCGGCGGCCATTATCACGACGAGCGTCGACATCGATGGATCGAGCGAGATGACGACCGTCACCGCGGACGGAGGTCGGGGGGGAGGGGTCATCGTCGCGACGCGTCGCCTTCGTTCCTGTTCGGGGGCAGAGCTGGAAGACGGGCCAATGATGGCTTCTTTGCGGCGGGCAGACGGCCAGGCGAATTCTATCATGATCCCATGTCCAGCGCGGACCGCCCTCGGGGATCCGAACGCGGTCCACGCTTCGGTGTCGGGAGAGGTCCAGCGGTCGTGGAGGAGCTTGGGTTTCATCGATTCCCGCCGCCGCCGTCATGTCATCGCCCCCCTCCACCTCGACGTCCTCCTGTGCCTCCGCCCTCGTTCGGCTTCCGCGGCCCTTGGGGCGATATCCCACCGCCTGCCCCTTCTCCTCCTCCTGCCTTTCGATCCCGGAGAATGCCTCCCCACTCCGACCATCCGAGAGCTGGAGGGCCGTACATGTTAGACGGCTTGAGGCGAGGAGACCCCGTCGGAGGCGCGCTAGCGCAGGAAAGGGCCTATGTCGGGTTTAGGCCCGAGTATCTTTCGGAGGATAGTAGGACGAATGACTGAGGGAGCGACAGGAGAGGACAGGAGAGGACAGGGCAGGACAGAATAGGACAGACCGTCTCGGGCAGAGAAGAATTTTGAGTTCGAAGTGGATGAATGGGGAATCCACCGGTACAGACATCCTAGCGGGGACTTGGGTTTGCTTTTTCAGCTCTGGTGTGAACTCTGTCCCTACATACTTATCATAACCTAGGCAAGATCAAGACACGCAAGAACATTTGGTAAGTACGAGGTCTCAGAATTTGAGTCCAAATGGAGGGTGACCTTCTCAAGGCTTCCTTTTTATTCTTGTCTCATGAAGCAATATCGCTATCTTGTCATAGTCGAAGTCATATCATCGTAGCCAGACCGGCTGGTCTGGTCATATGCAATCATCTCTGGAAAACAATCGCCAAATGATCGAAATGTAAGAATGTCGAGTGGAATGTCTTGTCCGCATCCACGACCGTGAGACCTAGTTTTATCGCCGAAATGATCGATCTCGTGATGCTCGTCAGCCAGACAATGTATTCATTCCCTTGGTCGGAACCTCGTCACCCAGTCTCTGCCCGGGGGACACCCATGTGCGAGGGTGGGGGAGTCGGGACAAAGGTGGGGGGTGGGTGAGTGACAGCTCCGTAAGGGTTGTCGTCAGTGTAATGGACAGCTGCGCCAGGTCCAAACGATGCCCCGGGCGGAGGAGGAAATGCCGGATACTGTTGACCGTATGTTGCCAAGTTCGGCATGCTTCCCGTGAAACCGCTGTCGGCATAATTATGAGCTGCTATCATGCTCATCTTTCTTCTCCTTGCTTCTCGCTTGAGTCGGTGTCTCTCACGTTTCTCCTTCTCCTCCTTTACCTCCTGCTGTTGCTCATGCATCTCCTGCCACTCGCTGTAGGCGCCCTTAAGACCAAGAGCAGCGATGCCAATGCTTGCAGCATCTTGCAACCTGTTCTTGTTCTTTGCTCTCCTGGCTTGATCTTCAGTAATATCGCCCTCCTTCAATAATTTTTTTCTCGTTTCTCGCTTCTCCATACTCTGGTAAACACTATGCGCGGCATGGATGGTCGCGATGGTCGCAAGACCTCCGGTGACCCACATTTTCTTGCGACCTTTCTTTATCTCTTTCTCATCTTCGGAACTGGAGCCGAGGTCAGAATCGGAGTCTGTTTCTGGGTCACCAGTATGACGTGGGCCGTAGTCGAGCTCATAGCCAGGAGGCGGCCCCCTGGGTACGCTCATGGAACGGGGACCGCCATCCGGATAACCAAAGTGGGGTTGAATGGTACCTACATCTCGGGAATCACTATACCCATATCCTCCATTTCGACTTGATCGACCATCATCATAGTAGTCGTCATAATTTCGGCGGCGATCGCGTTCGCGGTTGGGGTCGACCTTGTCGGCCGCATCTTTCAGTCCCAATGCCGCAAGACCCTTGGCTGCAAAGGCCGACACACTTCGACTCCGCTTGCGCCGAGGACTTGGGCTACGGCTGTCATACGACGAGGCGCTGCGAGAGCGAGCACGCCCACGAGATCGAGAGCGAACTGAATCATAGACTTTCTTTGCCGTGGCTGCCACCACACCGCCGGCTGCAAGATCTCCCAAACCGCCTCGAGATTGACTCCGCCCTCTACGACTGTCCGGGCTGCCGTTTCTGCCACGGGATTTTGACCGAGGTCCATTGATGATGCGGTTGGTCGCCATACCGGCTATAGCAGAGCCCACAATGTCGCGCTTCGAGTGGTGATGAGGGTCGTCCTTGTTGGAGATCAGGCCATCAACACCTCCCGCCGCCAAAGCTGCGGTAATGATGCGTTTGCCTTTTTCGCCGCCCCAACCGCCTTCGACTTTGCGAGCACGGAACGCCTCACCAGCTCCAGCCAAAACGGCAGCCTTGATGGCTTGGGAGATTTGTTCGTTTCGAACTTTGCCACGGCTCTTGCTTCGGTGCCGAGATCGGTCGGATGATGACCGGCGACCAGCTCGGCTGCGGCTTCGGTGACGACCATCGCGGGAACTAGATCTGGACCTGTCACGGCTCTTGCTCTTCCCCAGTAAGGCACCGGCAACACCTCCCAGACCAACGGATCCCAACAGCTCTTCAGCGGTGGACTTCCTCCGTTCTTTCTTTGGAGGTGTACGGCTGCGGCTGCGGGATTCATAGTCTGACGAGTAGCGTCGGGAGCGGCCTGCTATGGATTAGTTACTGAGGTGACAATAGACCGAGAAGGCAGATGCTTACGTCGGTCGTCATAGTCACGACTTCGCCCTTTGGGATTGTCGACAAGGACATAGTCGTCCTCGTGCTTTTTTCGCGAAACGTACGAGCGATCATCGTAACGATCATCGTAATAGCGATCGTCGGAGGATCTTGCACGAATGGGGCGATGACCGCTCTTGCGCACAGTGGTTTCACGATATATAGTGCTGCGATCCCCGGGGGTAAAGTCGCGGGACACATCCTCGATGGAATCCACGCTGTCGTCGCGCCTCTTGACTATACGAGTGTCTCTCGTGTTTGTGTCGTAGACAGTGTCTTCATAGTCATCTCTTCGAGATCGCTCTCGTGTGCTCTTCTGGCGGCGAGGCCGGTCATCGTCGTAATAGGACATTGTCACTGCGGGCGGGGTAACAGGAGAAGGAAGGGGGGGGGGCAAGTAAAACTGAATTGACAAGGTGATTTGTAGCCCAGAAGAAAGACTGAAACTACGAAAAGGGGCCGGGTCGTAGTGAATTCGATCGCGTCGATTTCCAACTCAGTGAGAGCAGGAGCGGTTCGAGGTGAGATATAAAAAGGATGCGATGGCGAAGTGGGCGACGGATGCTTTTGAAACCAGATACTGGGCTGCTTGGCGGATTGCAAGGCTCCCCGGTGGGCGTTGGGTGTAGGGAGCGAAGGAGTATGAGTGGTGGTGGTGGTGGCTGGTATAACTGGAGTCGCCCAAAGGGCCCGCAGTGGGTGAGTAGTGAGGTGCAAAAGGCCCGCGGCCAACAGCAGCAGGTGACCTTTTGGAGACAGGCGGCTACGTAATGGTTGGCTTGGAGCAGGAATCTCGGGCTGGTGAGGCGCTGAGTTCGTAGGGCCTTTAGGCAGCAACGATGGCCAATTGGTGTTGACACTGAGCAGATGGGCAACCGGGCGCTGAAGTTTGCACGGCAACTTGGCAACGAAGTTTTGTGAAGGACAAGAGAGAGTTGGGAAGAAGGAAACTGTAAGGCAGAAGTGAGAAAACACCCGCACCCCATGCCCATATACCCATGCCCCTCCATCCGCGGCGGTGGCTGAATTGTATTGGTATTTAGTAGTAGTAGTATCAGTAGTAACAGTAGTAGTTTGAAGTCCCCCCTCTCTAACGTTGCACAACTGGCCAGGAACTTGCAAGGAACTGTGGCTGAAGAGGTGAGGAGGCTATGCTCATGACCCTGGAGAGTCTATTCCCCTTTCCCTCTGCCACGTCAGCAACCAGGAGTCTGTAGGAGTTAGGGCACAGTCCTCTATGCTCTATCTGTATGCAAGGTGCGATCAACTGGGTTCACCGCCACTCCCAGAGGGCAGAAGGGGAGGGCTGTTACCGGTCAGCCTTGGGCTTTTCTGGAGTTCGTGTGCGCCTTGGTCCAGAAGCACAGCCTTGCCCCGATGAGCTAAATGGCTAAGGTGAGGCGGACGGAAGTGGATGTGCTTCGATCCAGCTTCGAGAAACAGAGATCCAGCTTGGCAAGCTCGCCCAGCTCGCCTTAATACCTCGTCCAACTCGAGCACAACAGGGTCCCTGCGCCAGACCATGTACGGAATCCAGCCTCCACGAGTCTAGAAATCATTTCCCCTGCAGCAGACAAATATCTATCTATTGCTACCCGGTATTTCAGATTGACTTGTTCAACAAGCTCAACAGATCCTTGACGATCTCCTGAAGACGCCCTGGCCACGTGCAGAAATTGGGCTTGCACTGACTTTTTCGACAGATTAAATAGAACTTTAATCATTCTTTACAATGCCAACATGGAATGTATTTAGCCAGAGGCCGACACAGGTTGCTCGATCACCGATGGTCCTCACGTGTCAACGTGCCCCCTTCCGCAACAACTTGTCATTGATCTTTCTCACTAAGGGCAGCATTGACAGGGTCCCGGATATGCCGTCGAGTGGCCGTGGGTGACCAGGCAAAAAAGGCCGACATAGTGAGCCGGGGGTGCAGAAAAATGCAGCGCCGAGAGTTCTCTTTCTGACTGTCACCGGGTTGGAGTTGACGGTCGAGAGTCGACACTGGCTGATTGCAGTCTTGTGTGAGAGCGTTTCCACTGGCAAGGGAAGTCTTCTCCGCAGAGTTGGTAGGGATGGCGAGGTGGGAGGGTTGGTGGAGTCGCCGTTTGCTGCCCCGCAGCTGCACGAACCAACAAGGCAATCAAGACCCTGACTTTCAATCGGAGTTTTGGGTCTGGATCGGATTTGGCATCGTCGGTCATGATGTCACGGTGTGTTTCTTGGCTTGGTCTTGTCAGCTGAGTTGGAAGGAAGCCGGCAATCTTTGGAATCTCTCTCCCACTTTACCAGCCTTCGTAGTCTGCCAAGTCCCCTGGAGGTCCTCGGTACTGGGTACCCAGTACCTCGTCTTGCATCTCATCGCATTCACTCCATTTCCGGTGCCTTCGTGCCCGGTGTTTCCTTTTCCATTCGCGAATCAGCTACTCGGTACCCTTCATCTCGTTCTGTGCACATTTCCAACTTGCAAAAGGTGTACCAGCCTACACCAATCACCCCCGACACCGCCTTATGGTGTCTTCTCCCATTCTCTCCCTCCCCGTCCAATTCCCTGATCCCGCGGTACTGCCCACTTCGGCCTTCCCTGGTCACCATGGCCAAAACCTTAAAAGCTCACGAGCCTGCCGCTGCTGCCTCCAACGTTTGGACGGATCCAATTGGCCTTGTTCGCCCGTGTCTGACATTGTGTCCCTGGCCGGGGGGAGCCTTGAGGTAGGCCCTCCTGACGCAGTTCATGTTCATGGACCATGTCTCCATTCAGGAAGCCTTTCTAGTTCAAACCACCTGTTGACCCCACCAGTGACTTTTGGGGATCGCCATCTCTTCGTGTATCGGTCGATCGAGCCTGATCTCGAGCATCATCGATGTTAGCAGAGGCGCCAGAGGATCTCCCTCACGCCTCAACAGAACTAGCAACCCCTTCACCGTCGCCAGGTCAGCGGTCCTGGCTGATACACAGACTGCCGATCACCCATCCCATCAAGGCAAAGCTTCATCCTCAGTTGTGGCTAATTTTTGCGACTCTTGACGGCATGACGGCATGATGGCATAGTTAATTACAAGAGCCAGGGGCCCCGTCATCCACCGCGGCTGGAGCCATGTCTTCCTACTGTACCTCCTCGGTAGTGCCAACCACGTCACGAACTCCTTCTGTGCGACACAGCCGGAGAAAGAGACATGTATACTGCCAAAAGAGGCGGAATTTTGTTGGAGATATTGATCTTGTCGTCTCTTGTGCTGCAGGGTCTTTGGCCACGACGCCTCTTATCCGGACAATGCACGATGGAGCCAGAGATACCCAGTACTTACCTATTTACTCCGGGACCTCGTATATCTGGCGCCCCCAGGTCCCTGTGGCTTTGAACCATCGGCCGATGGAGGCTGCATCTTTTAGGGAGCATGGTATGCCGCTATGCCGGCTAGTTCGTCCCTAATCTGCAGCAACGGGGCCCAAGGTCAGTGCTCAGGGGTTTCTCGGCCACTCGTGCCTTGTTAAGCGTGCATGGTGGTTGTTGGTTTCCCTTGCTTCCCGCCGCCGCTGACATTGTTCCCACGAGACATGGCTCAGCAGCGCGTGGAGAAGATCCAATTATTGCCAGGCCGCTACCCTGGCTGCCCTGGTCCCTCACCCGCTCAAATGCCATTTTGAACATTTCCATCTGCTCGATCCTCGATCGCTTCCCCCACCGAACGCCAGCAATCGCAAAAAACTTGCAAACCCACCGAAACAACCCTCGCGCAGCTTCCGGCTCAAGAATCCCCAACCTTGCCCTCATAGACCCCGTCTCCTGCTCTACCTCCTACATATCGACCCTCCTCCCCTCCTACGTCAAGTACTGTAGAACTACAGAAAATACATCACTTGGATGTCCCTGTCTATCAAGGGTCCATTGTCTCCTGCCGAACTCTCAACAGGGCAACTTTCTCTATACTTCCAGCCCGCAGATCCCCTAGTTGGTTCTTCCTATACCCAATTTTCAGTAGACCAACCTGCTCCATCCATACTCAGTGCTACCCTTCGCTGCCGAGCCATCTCAAATCAGAAACTCCTCTGGCAAAGCCATTGAGCTATCTCCTGGCCTCTGCAACAAGGTGTGAACTCTGATCGTCCTGAGGAACACCACCGTCTTCAGCCAAAACTACCTCCCAACCCTCTCCCCCCCCTTCTGAACCTTGATTCACCCCGAGTTGTTGGACACTTTTACCAGCCTTTCTCAGGCGTATGTACTTCCTTCATTCAACCCTTTCACAATGCCAGTAATTGGCCCCTATCCTGACTCTATGGGCAGTTGTTTTCTCTAGCTCATTTTGGACCAGCGGCCTGTCCGCTGGGCGCGTGGTGAGGGCGTCCAACAATGGATGTTCAGACGCAATCTCGAGGAGCACGTATCTTCTCGATCTTGAACGACAACGATTGTCCGTCTTTCGTCATCCGCCCGAGGCAATCTAGGCATTCTTCTCCAGAGCCGGAGCCAGAGTCTGAGCGCCGCCGTTCGTCAATCTCTCCGTCGTACTCTCCGCCACAGCGGGAAGAGCGACCGCTTCTCCTGCGTCAACCAAAGTACGCGAGAGAATCGTCCATCTCCTCGGTCGGCTCGCCTCCTCTGCTGCGGCTCTCGTCCTCTTCATCCAAGGGTTCCAGTTTCAGCATGGACTCTTCTCCGTCACCAGCAACCCCCTACAACTACGTGGACAACAGCCTACTACACTATGACCCGCTCGTGCGCCAAGACCTTGTGGGCTACTTGCCTTCTCCCACCACCGTCACCCCATTCCTAGAACAACACTTGATGATCACACCAAATATGCCGGATCAATTCTCTAGCAAGCTGATGCATCATCCCCTCACCCCTGCCCAATATCCCATCGTGCCCGCGCCGCTTCATCCGGGTCTCCAAACTCTTCACCCCACATCAACGAATGCCACTACTGCGACCGCGCCCGTCCTCCCGCCGGTCACCTCGGCTCCTGCATGCGAACCAGCCGCAAGAACCTCTCCCACGACGAGCACAGCTCCCCCTTCCGGCAAGAAGAACAAATATCCTTGTCCATATGCGCAGTCACATAACTGTCAGGCAACATTCACCACTTCGGGGCATGCGGCGCGTCACGGAAAGAAACACACGGGAGAGAAGGGAGTGCATTGCCCCATCTGCAACAAGGCATTTACACGAAAAGATAACATGAAGCAACATGTGCGCACACACAAGGGTCTGTCGGCGTCGGGCAGCACTAGTGACGAATCCACGCGTAAGAGCAAGGCCGCCATCACCAAAGACGCGCAGAAGGCCAAGCAGCGGAAGAAGTTGGACAAGATCAACACAGAAGCCAGCCGCCGGTCCAGTTTGATTCATTCGCCTTTGTCCGAGGTGACATCGATCGCACCTACAGCTATCGATACCCCTCTCAATGTCGAGGATTCCGCTTTCTACCAGGAGCCGCCTCAAATCGTGATGCCCATCCAGGCCATGCCGGAGAGCGTATCTCCCAGCTCTCTCTATCCGCCTTTGGTCGATGACCCACTATTGAATAGCACTCCGATCGGCCAAGTGCATACTTTGCGCAAATCGACCCACCCCACTTTGGGAGGGAGTGGTCTGTTGGGATCCATGCCTCCTTTGACGCGTGGCTTTTCAGATTTGGATACCCTGGCGCAGGCCGCCGAAAGCTTCGACACATCCTACTATCACCCAACTTTGTAATTCCACGATGCTACAATATCCTATAATCACATCCTTTCCAATACCGGCGAAGCCTCCTCTTCGTGAAAGAGAGGGAGTCCTTGTCTTATCGATACCTTGCACAGCGCTGGCGTTCTGGATATGCATGACTACGACCAAATGACGGATTCTGCCGGGATAAGAGGTCCTTCTGGTGCGCTGGCAAAGGTAAGGCGCACTATGAAGAAGGGTTCTGAGTTGGACAGGGCATTTGGTCCATCGACTCGGCCGGTAAAAGCATGACTGTCTTGCTTTAGCACCTCGGTCGAATTGGGGCTATCACAGAGACAAGGATAATGGGCAACAAAAGCACCCTGGCACACAGCAAGGGTGGGCAGGCGTTCTGTTTTGACGTCTTCATCGTTCTGAATTGGTAGTCATACTACCACACCTTCGAGATCGAACAACGCATTATGATACCCGCGACTTGTTACCATGGAATGTATTTCTGGCTTGTATTTGAGTACCAGGCATAAGAAAACGTATTCACGAAGGCGAATACGGATAGTTGCAATGGTGCTAATACAATGGGGTGCCGACTGCAATACGTACTCCTCACAATAGTGACACACAACGAGCAATGCATTAACTACTGCTTGAAGATATCCCTTTCTTTGAGTGTCCCTCTAGCATCAGCCACTATGGTCTCCTAATCCCCTGTCTGATATTGGATCTCCAGGCTCCCCGACGATGATCTGCAATGGCGCGAGATCGCAGCCTCGTCCCTGTCCCACAATGTACACGAATAACGACAGGTGTATCTACGACCACATATATATCCGGACATGATCCACGGTCCTTCCATATGGAGTGGTATATACCAACTACCCGCCCATCTGCACGGGACCATCGGTTCTTACGACACGGAAAATCAGCACTTCCTTCCTTCCTCACTCATTCATTCACAGGTACAGGACGGCAAAGACAGCGACGCTGGCCTCGAGCACAGAGCATCAAGCATCAAGCATCAAGCATCAAGCGCTTTTTCAAACTTAAAAGTATGTATATGTGTATGGAGTAAAAGCGCACATCACCCCGCAGCGCACCAGCCCTTTCTCTCGCTGCATACGACATACATTTCACGTATCTTTCTCCCGGTGAAGAAGAAGCATAGCAACAACAAAACGACACATGTCTTGGAGCTCTCGTCTTGTCGGTCCTCTCCTCTTGCAATCGATGAGGTATTTTTGTTTTCTTACACCTTCTCAGTGTCGACAGCAACGACGGTGTTGTCCTCGGTGATTGCCAAGGTGCGAGTTTGGGTGGAATACTTGACGGGGCTCTTGGCGTCGAATATCTTGTCCAGTTCCTCGAGCTGTACGCGACAAGATCATGCTTTTGTCAGCCCGACAATCCTCCCAAGTAGCAGGCACGTCGCAGACAGAGGTAGGGGGGAGAGGGAAAGGGCAAGGAATCCACTCGACTTACCGTTCGCTTCCGCGTCTCTGGGAAGAAGAAGTAGGCCAGCACACCCTGGACGAATGTCCACACCACGAAAATGATATACGTCTTCCACTGGATCTCTTTGATCGCAACGGGCCAGGCGAACTGGTTGATCAGACCCGCAGCGTTGACGAAGAAAGATTGGAAGGCCATGCCCTTGGCACGGATCTCAAAGCTGAAGACCTCGACGGGATAGAGCGCTTGCAGAGGAGTGATGTTGAATGAGTACCACGCGCCGAAGATGAAGATGAAGGCCAAGACGGCGTTGCCGGCTGCATGGTTGCTGAATACGGCGTCACTATCGTTCACGGAGCCAGAGACGAGAGAGTTGGCAAGCGTGCCTGCCGAGGCGGTCATGCACACCCAGATGACGGAGACGCCGAAGAACCCGGCCAACATCATCCTGCGACGCCCGATACGCTCGACGAAATGGGCGCCAATAACGGCGAAGCAGAATTGCTCAACGCTGTATCCCAGTTGGACGTTGGCCTTGCCGATCGAGGTGTTGACGCCGGCGGTGTCGAGGACGGCGGACATGAAGTAGGAGAGAGGGCCGTTCCCGCACCCTATTTTGAGAAAACGGTGAGTCGCCAGAGAGAGAAAAGGGGGGGGGAAACGAGTGCTTTAGAGACTTACATTGCGTGAAGGCAGAGAACCAGCAAGCCACAGCAGTTCGGTAGATGCTCGACCTCTTGTTGAAGAGGGCACGGTAGTCCCACCAGCGTTTGTCCTTGAAAAATAAATCAGTCAGCTGGCGCTCGCCCGGTTGCGAGACAGCGGAGTGGCGTGAAGACTTACAGAGCCGTCCAACTCGAGATATTCCTCATACTCATTGAGCTGGAGTTTGACCCACGGGGAATCTGGGTTGCCATAGCCATGCCACTTGGTGAGGATGTTGTGGGCCTTCTCACGCTTTCCGCTGGCGTACACCCATCTGGGCGATTCGGGCAGGAAGAAGGCGAAGACGGCGATGAGTCCAGGGAAGACCATCTGCAACCAGATGGGGATGAGCCAAGAGCTGTTGCCCTTGATATCGAGACCACCTCGGGTGGCTCCAGAGGACAAGATCGAGCCGGCCAACCAGGTGGTGTTGCAGAGACCAGTGATGATACCACGATACTTGGGATGGGCCGTTTCCACGATCCAGATTGGCCCGGCTGCAGCGGCGATGGTGACACCGAAACCAAGAACGAATCGACCGCCCATCATCTGTCCCTCGGAGGCATTGGCCGAGGTCAAGCCCTGCACGACGGTACCGAGAATGATGAGAACGCTGCCAATGAACATGCCCACGCGCCGTCCCCATTGGTCAATGCAGGGTCCGACAAAAGGCAAGGCAGAGACACCACCGATTTGGTACATGGAGGTGATGAGACCTGCCCAGATGCCCTTGTTCTCGCCGTTGAAGTGCTTGAGGAAGTATTCCTTGTTGTTGAGCAGGCCACCGAACAACATGGTGTCATAGCCGTTCATGGTCTGGCAGAAGAAGCCAATGAGCAGACACGCGAACAGCTGCAAGGAGCGTGGGTGCATCAATGGCACCTCTTCTTGGATCAGAGCCTCGTTGAAGGCTTCGCTGCCTCTGACTTCCTTGACCTCGATGACCTGCAGTAGACGGGGGGCGACGTTAGCCTTGCAATTTACAAGGAAAATTGGGAAAATGTGGTGTCATGGCTCACATCTTTGCCTTTGTCGATCGAGCCGAGATGTTCAACGGTCTGCGCCGTCGGGTCAGCAATCTTCTCTGGAGTGGCCATCCTTGTACTCTCTATCGTCCTGGTACGGAGAAGGTAGAGGGAAGAAAACTGTCTGTCTGGAGTGAGAGTTGGTATGGCAGAAGAACCGGAAGAGTGTGATGACGGCTTCTTTAATATCTATATCGAAGACATCTTGCCATATAGCGGCGGAGCTTCAGATGGAGACCACCGTTCCTAGCCTGGCGTGGGCAATGAAGTTTGGCGGTTGGTCAGACCATCAGGTCGTATCTAGTCTTGGGTAGTAAAAAAAAACCTGCCGACATGAAGCCGATGGAGGAGGAGGAGGAGGAGGGGGAATCTAAGAGGCCCGATTGATCGCCACAGAGGTGGAGGATGGAGCACCTTGAGCCCCCCCTCCCCCCAAACAAGACTCCTAGCCACCTTGAATCCGGGGGGCATGAGATTTCCTTGTACGGAGTACTGCTTGCGGAGTACCTGTACGGGGTTCCCAGGATACGGTGGGTGTCTGGAGCTTCGATGCAGGCCACTGGGTCACTGGGTCACCCAGTGCGGTAGCTAGCGTTTTCGCTTAGAGGCTCCAATCCCGCTTCCGATAGCCTGATAATAGCAAGGAGGAGGTGTGACATTCTGTGTTTTTGGCAGCCAGAGTCCCGGCGTGGAGGGAGATGGGATGGTTCAGCCCGGCCGAAGACGAGCCTTCAGAGCCTCCTCGCATTCGCCAGATTGTGCTGTACTTCTTTCCTCCGTTCGAACAAATTAGTGCTAGTCCAAGAAATCAGTCTGCAGTCCGAGGTTCAAGCGGGCAGGTCAGGCCATGGGCTAATTTTGGCCGTTTTCGACAAGAAAAAGCCAAGGTCGAGTTTTGGGGGGCCCCGGGGATTTTGGGCTGGCGGACTTCCTCCTAATACGGCGTCGGCGACCTTGGCTGGTCGTAAGTAATTCGCCAGGGCGGCTTCAGAGGGTGAGCTGGACGCCAGTCTAGAAGCCATAACGCTTTGTTCCTTCAGGGCTCTAGCGGGCGCCATGGAACTTTCATCACCCCTTCGGTCCAAAGGCTTGCGGCTTATCATTGGCGGGAAATTGAGAGGATGACCAAGACAGCAAGTGAGCGAATGTCTGTCCAGGTCTCTCTTCCCAGTCGTCCAATCTTCCGAATATTAAGCGGTGGTAATACGGCGCCAATGGCCCAGGACTGAACCTCTGAAATCATCGGGTAACACCAATCGTGCCGGGCCCAAGTTTTCTGTTTGCCGTCGTTGTCGTAGTATTTGAAGCTCCTGTGGCTTTTTCCATGCCTTTTCCGCATTGGTTCATGTCTTCTCGACACCAAAAGCTCCTGCAAGACCTTTGCACTGTTTGCAAGGTTGAACTTCGGACAATTCCTTGCTGGTCCAGTTCCATGGGAGAAAGGACGGATTCTTCCTTTCGGCTAGCCAGAGGCTCCTTACATACACTTCCTGTTGGATATGGTGGCTTGCAGACCTCGGGCCCAGAGTTACTAACAGAACTGAGCGATGGTATTGTTTGCAAAAGTCCTCTGAATCCCAAAGCTCGGCACTGGCTGATCCTCGGGACCACACTTGATGCGTCTCCGTCAAACCGTCCACAAGGCATGGCAGGACAGGACTGGTGAACTGCACCTCAGCCTTGCGTGGTGATGATGGGTATGTAACCCTTCCTCTTTGGCTCTCCCGCTCCTACATATCTCAAGAGGTTGATTCTGACCCTAAACTGTGGCGTTGGAAAAGTCCACTGCTCACATTCGGTTTGGGGGCCCTCGCTGGTCATTTGCCCCTCTTTGTGCTCTCTCAGACACGCTAACGGAGGGAGGTGAGCAAGAACTGGAGCTCCCACACTATCCCGGCCATTGCGATTCCAGGTTCGACTGTCTCTAGGCAATTATGTCTTGGGCCACCGTTTGCGAGGATCTCGACCCGGAGACGTGTGACCGCTTGAGCCCATATCTTCCCCGAAATCATGCCATTTGCCTCCTCACGCCAGTTTGACAATGCAGAGAGATCAGTCGCGCCCAAGTTCAATCCTCCTTCGATTGTCTAACTGGTCGACTCGCGTTCCTTGGTCAGGACATCGGAATAACGACTCCACAGCGGCCACGACCCTCCTGGGAATTTGAGATCATGTTTTGCCACATGGAATTGCGAAAGTCCTGGCCTCCTAGCCTGGCCGTCAACAGTACATAGCTACGACACCATTCACCTGATGCTGATATTGATATTCTGGGGAATACTTCGGTCTTTCTTTGGCCTTCACTTCTCCACAGATGTAAGTCGGTTGTGCGGTGAGCTTCCGATCGATATTCCAGAGCGGCACTCGCCTCTGAGGTGTTGTCCTGTCCATAAGGTCCAGCAGCAGTACGGACCACCAGATACGCCACTAGTTGGATTCAGGCGGGTAGAGATTCTGGCCGCCAAGGTGGCTCTCCTGGTCCGATGCCACGCGTTTTTATTATTTTCGTGACTGTTGAGCCTCGCTCCGGGCTAGGCAATCTGGCCCCGGCGGGCGCCCAAACTCTGGTCGATTGGGCCTGGGTGGTGGCGCTCGAACACCATTGAAAGCGAGAAATTTGGGTGTCTGGGCTCCATCCACTGGATAGATTGGCCCAGATCCTGCATCAGTTCTGGCCTTCTGCACACATGAAGATCTTGTCTTGCTTTGAGCGCATGTGGAAGAGACCGTTCTATTCAACACCAGGAGATTGAGCCCAGATTCTAATGCTGGTGGTCCCCAGGCCCGGATTTGGGGGATGTCGACCTCTGACCAGCTCCTGTATGTGGATTGCCACCTCCTCTAACAGGGAATCTGCGGCTGTGTCTCAGCTCGTTGATTTGCATTGGTCAACATCTCCCTGGATATCGGTGGGGTAGAAGTGCTGAAGGGTGTAGCTTCCGTCTCAGGAATGCAGCACTTGTCGATAGGTCTATTCTGTGTCATTTGGTCCAGAATCCCAAAGGCAATCTGGGTTGTTGCTATCCGCCACCCTTCTTTTGCACCGCTATTCTCTTCATTGCCACTCCGTGATGACAGGAGATCTTCGGTCCAGTTGGCGAGACTCGCGGAGAGCTCCAAAAGATTTCCCAACACGTTATGAGAGCGTGAGCCCAAGTTGCGAAGTACTTCCACTTTCGACTCAACCCGAGTCTTTGATACCATTGGCACGTGCAACCCAGAGAGTACCTCGTCCGAAACAAGGGCCGGCCAAGTAAGGTGTGTCCGCAAGTCAGCAGGCATTATAGCCTCAATCGCACATAGCCATTCCACCAATTTCGTCATTTTTGCAGCCGCATCTGAATGACCGAGCGTTGCTGCATGGTCTCCGTTCATCACGAACCCGGTTATTTCCACCACGAGCATGGTGATCAGAAGTTGGAGACTGATGAAATAGGCCCATAGCAAGAAAGCTGCCTCGCTGACTGCATCCGGGGAAAAGACTTCTTTTGCTTCTGCAAGCTTGAACCATACAGCGTAATAGCTGAGAAACTCGTCATATCCCCAACTCGGAGATACTTGAAATCCAGAAAACGTCGACTCCAAGGCTCTATAGAACCTTTGGCCAGTGCCTGCGTGTTCAATACACGGGTGAGCTGCACGGAGTGCTAACATGCCCTTCGACAGCAATATTTGGAATCTAGAACCTGGTGACAGGCTTGCGGTACTGAGTCTGGATAAGGTTGCGTGTTGGGTTGGAGATCCACTCAAATTACTCTGAATGTTGAAAATCGTCTGCTTTCCTTCATCTCGGATACGGGTTGTGACAAGAGCGCAACCTCTGACGAATGTGGCAAAGTCGAAAGCTGACTCTGGCAAGAGAGCGGACTGAAAGGCCAAGGCATAGCAAGTTGCCAACATCACATCGTACTCGACTGAGGAATGGTGGGATTTTGCGAATGCATCTTTGAGACCAGATATTGCACGACCCTTGTGCAATAATGCAGTGCATTGGTCATCGTCTACTCCGGTTAGTGTACTCATGTGCGACGCTGCCAGAGCCAACAAAGCATTCATCAGGTGCTCCGAATGGTGACTGAGTTGAGGTACCTCTTGGGTCCAAGCTGACTTGTTGGCCAGGGGCAGTGGCGGGTACGCGAAGCAGAGAAAATGGTGGAACAACCGAAGGTCATGCAGAGTGAAAGATGCCGAGACCTTTGACATCTCGACACCGGGTCCCAGCGGCGAATGCTTGATAGCGGCAGCCTTCCCTTGCTTTTTGACCCATCGTTTGATCGACGCCGAATATTGACAGTCCTTTCCCTTCGACACACAGTTGCTACATCGAGGCTTCTCTTCGCCGCATTTGACATGACGGATCTTGCACGTAAAGCAGCCTGTGCGGGACTTGTTGTGAGCCCGACGAACAGCTACCCCAGCAGGAACTATTGTCACGAAGAAGCCGTGCAGGTGACTCGCCATCTGGCCTTCTCGTGTCGCCCTTGTCGTCAAAAATATGGGATCCTAGAGCTTGCTCGAGACAGTCGAAATGGCAGGGAGATTGCTGGCTATGAAAGAGCAGTACTCGTATTCAAAGAAAGAGACAGACACAACTTCATGCCATGTCTGCCTCGTCGGCCTGGCAGGGAGGACGCTATCGCCAATCGGGCATAGTTTGCGATACGAATACGGTTTCCCCTTTGGGGCTGTCGCCCCACCGCCATCGTCATTGGACAGTGACGTCTTCTATCATCTTCAGAGGCTTCTGTCTTGATCTCTTGCCACAGCTAACTTACTTTCATATGTTCCCCAATCCTGCCGGGAACCATAAGCAGCCTCGTTTTCTGTGCACTTACTTGCTTTGTAAAGTTCCTATCCACTGAAAATTGACCCCTACTTCGAAAATGAGTTGGATGGACTCATGGTCAAGCCCAGGCAAACACGCTGCAGTACCACCTCCATTTTATCTTACTCAGGGAGAAGATGTGCCCTACTGCCGAACTTGCGGTAGAGTAATAGGTCTTTTACTCGTGCCAAAGCGCTACGGGACTCGATTGCTGACAGTGTTAAGGTTCCCGCAAGCAGCAACAGAAGGGTTCAAACACCATCAAATATTGCTCCGATCGATGTCGAAATCAAAAACCAGGTCCCGTAGACAAGAAGGTCGAGAGAATGATGGTTTCGATTTTGAATGCAGAGACCGGATCCGGAATTGAGAGCACCGCTGCCAAATCCAAGTTGACCAAGGGCGACCGACGTATCATTGTGACATGTGATGAGCTCGAAGAGGTTATCTTTGGCGGTAGACACGATCCTGCAAAGACATTTGGGCGCAAGAAGAATCGTGCAACCCGTGCATTGCACGGAGAAGGTGAATGGAAAAGTGTCGACATGGATGAAAATCACGATGTCCACTCGGATCAGGATGGGTCGCCGGTAGAGGCAACTCATCCGCGAATCCGTCCAAAGGTTCGACCTCCTCAGCTAGAATCCGACGTCAACGGTAGCATCGGTGGAGAGAAAGGCTGGGCCGAGCGTCACTTTGAAACACCCGAAGAGTACGAAAAGAGGTTGGAGGGACGGCAGCGTGCCGAGGAACGCGAGATGATCCGGCGAGCTGCAAGGCGAGGTGTTGTTTTTGGCTTTGAGGTGGACTGGCCACATTTGGATCACCAAACACAGCAGGCCAAAGGAAACTTAGAGTCTGGTCGAGATGATAGCAACACCGGGAATCGACCATCTCAACAGCGGCGACGAAAATGTGAAGCGGTAATGAATGGTTCAGTGGTTGAACCCAGTTTCGCCAAAGGAAATTGGGCTATTCGGTGGAGGGAGTAGGGCGTCTGCGTCCTTCAATGCCAACCTCGCCGTATGACAAGGCCATCATCATGGCAATGCTCAGAATGAAGACGTTAGTGGGAAGCTACGATTCGATAAGTCGTTCCCCAGCACCCGAAACCCCAGAGGCAAGGGAAGCGAGTTAGGTTGCGAGAATAATTGGGCATTACTCGATGCTTGCGTTTGAATGTGCCTATTCGGCGGTTCATGGTCAGTCACTATGGGAGTCCTTCAACAAAAAAAGAACAAGCATGAGCCTGCCTTGCTTATCATTAGCACAACGATAACCCGCTCATTGGAACAGAGAGGGGATTCTCCACCAGCGGAACCCGGAGGAGCCTCTGCATCGCGACTGAGATTGGAAACCTAATATGGCCCCAAAATGGCATCTTGTCGAGTCTCCCACTACATGTTCGTGTGAGCCATGCCCCGGGCAGGATAACGATCACCCTTGACAGGGTTTCTTTTCAAGATGTCAGCAATCTCCTTCATCTCTTCGTCCGACAGCTCGACAATTGTCGTGTTCTCGATGACCCGCTCCAGCCTGGTGGCGCCGGGGATGGGGATAATGGTGCCCAGTGTGATCTGCTCTCCGTTTTCCGTGGTGATGGTCCGTCCGCTCAGGCTTCGGACCCAGGCGATGGCGATCTGCGCTTTGGTGACGCCCTTCTTCGCCGCGAGTTTCTCAACTTCGTCCACGATCCGGTTGTTGTACTCAAGGACGTCGTCCTGGAATCGGGGCATGTGCTTGCGAATATCGCCTTCCGGTATATCAGCGTGCTTGCGAATGGTCTCGCCTGCCAGGGCTCCGCGACTGAGGGGGCTGTAAGCGATAATAGGGATGTCGAGTTTGGCGCACGTCGCCGCGACGCCGTTGCGAAGAATATCCGTCGTCCAGAGCGACACTTCAACTTCGACGGCTGCAATCGGATGGATGGCATTTGCCCTGACGATTGTACTGGCTTTGACTTCGGACAGACCGATGCCGCCAATTTTACCCTCTTTGACAAGCTGAGCTAGGGCGCCAATAGTCTCTTCAAGCGGTACATCTGGATCGAGCCGTGCACACTCGAAGATGTCGATGCCCTTGGTGCCATCGAGAATCTTCAGGCAATCTTCGACGCTGCGGCGCACGTTTTTGGCAGAGCCGTCAGGCTTCAGCTGGCCTGGGACCAGGCCGCCCTTGATGCTGAGGACGATCTTGTCCGCATCCCCAGGGTGCAGTTTGAAGTACTCATTAAGCAAATGGCAAGAGTGCCGCTCCGGGGTGCCGTAAAGCTCGCCACCATTCCAGAGGGTTGCACCTTGCGAGAGTGCCGTCTCCATGGCTTTGAAGCTGTCGCTGACTGGTTGTGGAGCCGGTCGCCACGTTAAGCCCATCAGACCGTAGCCTATGGGGCCGACGGGCTTGCCCAGGATCTTGACCGTGGCAGACATGCTGGAATTGGTGAGTCTTTAAGAGTGGCACAAGGTCTAAGATCTGAGGAAGCGTCTTTGACGTAAACCAAATCCGTTACAAGCTAGAGGGCTCCGTGCTAACGATGGACCTGGCTCAAGAGGTTATGGGGGACGATCGTAAAAACGGGGAAAATATAGTCGAACTTTGGAGCTCGGGCTTTTTGAACTGATGTCGAGGGTAGGAAGGAGATGGCGTTATGAACTCAGCTGACTGAACAAGGGAAGTCATGATGTCGGCAATGATGCGAATACGTCAAGTTTGCGGAACGGCGCGAAGTCGATATGCAAGGTCTGAATCAACGGAGCGGAGAAGAGCTGCTGGTCAATCTAAAGTCCGGCTGTTCATGGTTGGACAGCCTTGTGCGTCCTATGGCATATCAAAAAGATCAAAGTCATTGTACTATACTATGGAATACATCTGGGTTCTGTAAAGTACTATTTGCAGGAACAGAAGGGTCGCCGACTATCGTTGGGGCGAAGAGAAAAGGAATTCATGCGTTTCATCCCACTGTGAAGACCTGACTCAGAGAAGAAGCCTGAGTTGTGTGTAATCCAAAAAAAACCCCCCTTCCCTCAACAGCCACGTTCTCGTCCATGCCACTCCAAGTCATGTACAGGTCACGATGTTTTGTAGAGCTTGGTTATATCCCGGTGCCAAAAGAGAAAAAGTCAAGAGATGGTGACCTCCCAATAAAGTAGAAATGCGCTGGCACAAACCACTTTTTCCCTCTCGAATTCCATCCATCGCAGCCATCAGGCCCACTGACCTCAACCGAGGAGTTCCTGGCTCTTGTTACAGTCTTCGGGCTTCAAGCCACGCCTTTGTGCATTGTCATGTCTTCGTTCAATTAAAGGAAAACAGTGCGCCTGTCATGTCTTCCTCGCCGAGGTCATTTGTGTATAATATCTATGCTTGGTGATGTTGATGCATACGTTGCCGACAGGAGAAAGGAAGGACTCCAAACATTCCTGCTTCATGCTTGTACCAGTTTGTCGCCGACGCAGCGGTCGCAATGCTGGAAAAAAAAAAAAAATTGAGAAACTCGTCACTCTGATGAAGGGTATCATTGGTCACCGGTATCTTCACACAGCAAATCCGATGTAGAGCCCGCTTGTACGCCGAAGTGCTGAAATTATTCAAATTGCTCATTTTGCGTGTCGGTAACTGTGTCGCTCAAGTTGATGAGGAGTTGGGCCAGACATCGCTTGGTGGCAGCATCATCCCGGAGGACATTGGAAAAGGTTGCATCCCGAAGCGGCTCTGGTAGGCACTGCCGCAGTGCTTGGCGGGCTCGATTGTTGTCACTTAGCCTGGTAATTCGGTCAGTAACCCACGCCAATCTTGAATCTCAAACCTGGACAGACGGCTAACCTCAAAAAGCATCTCACCACGTGTTTCAAAAGCCGGACGGTCTGAGTTTCGACCAAGCCGATGACCATGTTGCTCAGGACGGTGCCGACTGCGTAGAATCGCTCGTAGGTGGCACAGATATATCCCAGACCTGTGTCATCAAGCAGGATCTTCTGGACAATGAAGATGGCGACAGTTTTGGACAATTCGCTGCCCGTCTCCATGATACGCAGGCAAAGTGGAATGATCTCTGTCGTCAACAGGAACGTGATTGTTGGGGAAGAGTTGTTGGAGTTCCCATGTGCTCCGGGGGTACCTGTCGGGTTCATGGACACACCAGATGAGGGTTCATTCTTGACCAGAGCGCCGATGACACCAAGTGAAGTGAGCCGCAGGTATTCGAAAGGTCTTGACTTGGAGGTGGTGTTCAAGAAAGGATAGAGGAATAGTGGAATGTGAGCTTGCGGCTGATATTAGCGTCGTGTCCGCTTTTCGAGGCCATGAGGATGCTTACCATTGAGAAACAGCCCTCTGGTTTCATTGTGGCTCGCCACACATTGGAGCAAGGCCAAGGCGTTGCACACACGGTTACTGGCCGCGGCGGTGAGCTGACTTGGATTCAGCAATGGATAGACCGAGATAATCTCTTGGAGCAGACTGGTCATGACACCAAAACTGTGCCAGAGAACCAGCGCGAGCTCAGGCACTTGTTCCCTCTTTTTACTGAGTTCCATCAAAGCTCCCTCTCTTCTGTTCGGATCCATCAATTCCGCCACCCATTGTAAGACCTTGCGATTCTCTTCCGACAGTTGCTGATCCATGCCAGGCGATGGCTGTTCGTTCATCGAGGTCAAAGACGGGCCCATGGGATTCTGCGCGTTGTCGGCCGCAGCCTGCCGGGGTGCGTTCTGCGCATGGGAAGAGTTATGGTTCGGATTGATCGCGAGTCGGGAGTAATGTTGCTGTTGAGCCGCGGCGGCAGCAGCAGCAACAGCGGCGGCTTGGGCTTGCGCCTGTTGCTGCCCGTGGCTCAGAGTCTGGTGACTCTGCTGCGGACCATTGTGCTGCCAGGAGGATTGGTCATGCTGGTTGTACTGTTGCTGATGCGAGTAAAGATGCTGTGTCTGGAGCATGATGTTCGGAGTGTCGATCTGAGGTCAGGCCAAAGTCATTCTCAGGTCAAAAGGGTGAGGCAGGACGGAGGAAAAATGGCAGACACTCGAATGATGGTGAGTGAAAGACCGTGGTTCAAGTGACTGAGCAGATTCCAGGACAATGTGAGAGACTAAGATCCCGAAGTATAGAGGTTGAGACTCGACAATGAAAGAACAAAAGGGATTCGACGCAGGTTGCGGGTTGCAGGTTGCAGGTTGCAGAGCGGGGAGCGGGAACGAAATGGAATCGGCCCCCTACATGTACTTGCGGTCTGCAGAAAACTCGAAAGGGATCACGAGCATCAGAAGCTAACCGCGGCCTCAAGGTTCAGTTTCTACCAAGTACTTGCGAGTTGGTACGTGGCTCGCCGTACATGCCTTTGGTAGCGAGGCTTGGTAGGCCTACCAAGTAGTGAGCCTTTATGCTTGGCAGCTTAGTTAAGATGGAGGCCTTTGGTGACACGGCGATGTCACCGAGGCTAGGGGGCTCAGCTTCACCACCGCCTACCGACCGCCTGTTAGCAACTGCGGGCGCCACCTAACCAGCCTTATTTGCACACCATAGGCTTGTACCGAGTACATAGCAGTTACAACATTATCAGCGAAGTACTGGGTACCGAGAACACAAACACCACCACATTCCAGCAACTGCAAACCTCCGGGCAACGGTAGCCACATGTTTTGACTGGTCGGCAAGCTATGTCGCAGTGCTTCAAGATGATTTCATTTGTGCATTCTGTCCATTGTACTCCGTATACTCATTTCCATCTACAAGTCTCGTCCATCAACTGTGCGAGGGCATCCCTTCATTACACCCCCTGTCCAACGTTGAGGTTCAGGCGTCCAGAATCCCCGTCGCAATGCAATATGCTTCGCTAAGAAACAAAAATGAATTTGGCATCATTATCTACATTTCATCGTCTCGACCTTGATCTGCTGCTTCGCCTCGTTCTTCGATCTGAAGAGCTTTCACTACCTGTTGCAAAGTTAGAAACCATGTGTAACGGAGAGAATCAGTGACTCAGCTGTACTTACTTGATACCGTGTAGTCAGAAAAGTAAGAGGAGCCATAGCCAGAGCTGCTCTTATCGTCACGTCGATTCCTCCTCTTCAGACCAAGCCACAGGGCTAGAGCCCCTAATGCTGCAGCCATCCAGCCTGCTGTTCCCCATCCGCTTCTCCTCTTTTCTTCCACGACCTCGCTTCTCGCGGGTCTTGTTCCGAACCATGTCCTTCGTCCTCTTCCGTCCCGGTGCGAGTGTCTTTCGACATAGACTTCTTCTTCCGTACGTCTTCGTCTTGGTCCGAGGCCGAAAATGGCCAACAGCCCGTCAATCAGTCCTTTGAAGATGCAGCAGGCGCAGAACAGGATGAGGAGGAAGATGCCAGCAATGACGCCAATCACAATGCCGGCAATTGCGCCGCCACTCAACCCACCGCCGGAACTGGATGACGGTCCAACAATGATGCTGCCGTCCGTTCCGACAGGCGTCTGGAAAGGTGCTGTGGTAGTGGCACCTCCGATGCTCGTTACGGTGACCAGAGTGTTGCTGGTAGGTCGGAGTGGGGCGCTGGCTGTGTTGGTAATAACTGTTGTCACGGTATAGAGGCTGCTATAGTATCCAGAACTTCCCCCACCCACAGCTACACAGACTCCCGGAGATTGGCAGAACTGTCCCGACAAACAGCAAACGCTGTCGCAGGGAGTTTCGCCCAGGGAGTATGAACAGCTGATGGTGCTGACAGGCACAAAAGAGCTGTAGGTAGAGGTGACGGTCTTGAGATCTGTCTGAACAAACGTTACAGTGGTATATTCCCATTGTCCTGAGGCGGTTGTCGTGGTTCCAGCTCCGCACTGGGCCTCGTTGTTGGCATCGGTATAGCAGACTTGACCAGCTTCACAGCATAGCTGGCCGTAGTATCCGCATGGGTTGTCACATCTCTTCTCGATATCTTGAAGGTCTTCAAAACTCTGGAGGAAGTCGGGCAAGAGCCCTGCAACAACGGATCGCGAGAAGAGGGCGGTGAGGAGCGGGGTCAGCGACGACGGTGTCTCGTGGAATCGCATGGCTGCACACAGAGTTGAGCGTTGGTTTGCAGCTAACGTCGATGCAGATGTGTATCCGAGTGTTATCTTCGCATTAGGTGTATATATTGCTTTGGGGTGGGTGGTTCGATGGTCGGATGTGAAGCAGTGGTTACGCTATCCAGCCAAGCAACTGCCTGCGAAGCCCTCTGATCTTCTACCGAGTAAAGAACAACAATAGACAAGAATTAGAGTACGAGAGTAGAAAACAATTGAAGAAGAGTTAGCATTGGGTAAAAGCGTGAGGATACTTTTGGGTGGTGGAAGCGTGTGAGGTACCAGCCTCCCCTCGCCCTGCCACCCGAATATTTGACACACGAACAAATTGAGACGTGCAGCGAAATTAGATAGCTTGCCAGGTGGCTGGGAGACAATAATCTGGCTGTTCACTGGGTAGGAACATGTGACTCGGATACTGCCATTGAGAGTTGTGAATAGGACATCCTTACGATGCCCGCCGGTGTTGGGTTGATGTGCTGCATGCAAGGTGCGGGACTGGCAGCTGGGACTCGAATTCGGACTCTGGGAGCTGTTGGCACCCACCAGGCACCAACTTGGCACCTAACTGATAGCGGGTGAGCCCATTCCTCGGCTGCGTGTCCTGTCCAGCCAGGAGCCATCTGGTGATCCTGCTTTCGTAAATAGTTGGCGACTGTCGTTCAGGTCAAGCGTGAGGTACGAGGTGCGGAGCAGACAATTGTGATCTTCTCAGGAGTCGAGTCCTTGGGGGGCCCTTTCTCGAGAGCTCATCGTGCGCCCACTTTGCTGCGTTGCCTGGTTGCCCTGTGCAGGTGCGCTGTGGCACTTGAAGAGCGCCGCCACATTCATCTCACCAGCCACACCTTGGCGGCTTGGCAGAGAACTACAGCTATATCCCCCCTCTCGGCAGACTTGCCTATCACGTGGTACCTTGGTGACAACGAGAACTCCGTGCTCCATACTTAGTTTTGAGTTCCTCGTGATATCTTCACCCTCCCAGATTACCCTCCAGTTTATCGTCTCCTTTAGGTGTCAGGATTCCAAGATTCCAAATCTCCCTCATCTGGATGTTTGACAGTGACGCTGTACAACCTCACCAATGACCATAAAGCCCATACTAGATGACACCAAACACTAAGACGAAGCTCGATGACGTCAATAGGTTCAAGTCCGTTTCCGAGGATTTCCGGCGAGGCTGGACGAGCTAGGAAGTCGTAACTTGAATGGCAAGGTGAAGAGCACTCGATATCGAGGTAAACCCATCCAGATGGAACCCTTCTGGAATCAAAGGACACCACGTAAACACGTGGGGCGGCCCACTATCACCACTGGCGCATGACCGTCGTCGCCTTGCGCCGACCAAAGGGCCTTGTCCCTTAAGAGCCTCAGGCATTTTTACCGGAGGTATGCCCGTCTGTATCCAAGCTTCCCTGACCCAAGACTGCCCAGGTGTGTATTTGTAGTGCTATGACCCCTGTTCTGTACCCAGTACACTGAGCTAATCCATAAGTACGGAGTATCGACACATCAGGTTTTAATGACGTCCGTCGTCTAGGTGGTGTGACACATCTACTGAGCGCAGTGGGAGCAGCGAGGTTTTGACGACATCGAAAGGTATTTTCTTTCTTTTTGGGGTTTCAACCCACTACAGAGACCCTAGTTACCGAAACAGCCTCAGTCTCCATTATGACCAGCCCACACTGTCCTCTGCACTTGCATTACTATCCATACACCGCAACATGGGAAAGGCTGCTTACAACTGCGCGAACGCTGATAACGTCAGCTACCAAGCCGGTCTCAATTTCCCTGCCAGCCGCCTATTTTTTTTCCGGAAACCAATCAACTGCTTTGTTTCCAGGTTTGGGCGCTTGACGGTGTCTCGGTACCCAGTATAGCCTAATGCCCAAATTTTGCAAAATGGTCTGGACCTCGCGTGATGTCGAGCTTCACCAACCTTCGACACAGAGGGACTTTTACCAGAAGCATCGAAGTGGAAAGCATCCAAGGTGTATCTGTTCAGACCGCTCCATTCCCCACGAAAGCTTTCCAAGTCAAGCTGCTGGTAGTGCCGGAATAGGCACATGTGGAAATCGGGTTGGCCACATGGAGTCTCTGCTTGAATGTCTTCTGTCTTGGCTCTTGGGCCCAGGGCGGAGGATTTCTGCCGGTATCCGGACGTTGTGGGTGCCAACCCGCTGAACGAGCAAGTCCTTATCGAAAGGAGGCTTAAGGAACGCAACCTTGAACCGACTTCAGATTAGTCACCCCATCGGATGATCTGCTGCAAGAAGTGCTGCCTAATGTTCCCCGGGACTTCTAGGTGCATATTGCAGATTCTCGGGTCCAATAAGCCAAGCTCCTCCAGCTTCCACTGCTGCCCCTAGATACATACGGAGAATTCACGTGGCAGAAGGTTCAGTGTTTGCCTCAGCGCCGCAAGTGTGGCCATCAGATCTTGGGAGTGTGTTCAGATCTTGCGTGCCATGCCCCATTCCCGCAAATGTCAATGTTCTCGCTAACAGCCACGGTACTCATCTAGGAAACAAACTCATCTATAATGTGTCAGGCCTATGGGTGCCATTTTGTTCCGTTCAATAGGCATCTTCAGGCCATGGAAGTCGACGGGCTAGTCAGTATCTCGGTTTCTGGAAGCGCACCCTTACATGCCAGATCAGGTAGGCGGCGATCGCCAAGGTTGCAGAAGATCGACTGTCTTCCAGAAGGCAGATCACGTTCCGGATGATTTCCTGACTCAGGTTCGCGCCGGTATCCTGGGTCCATGGTGAAGCGGTGCGACCCGGCAAGCTCCAATGCAGTGAGAAAATGGTGGACATATCAACACGTACGTACTTGGAGAAGACCCTGCTTTGTCACTCCCCTCCTTCAGTAGTGATCGCTATGTACCTGCGGAGGAGGCAGAATGGCCAGTCATGCCACTTCCACTTCGGTGTTCCAAGGGGTCATATCCGCTTGGTCCATTGAAGCGTCGTCTGATCAGTCCGAATGTCCAGAATCCGGGGAAAGACGCCATTTACCCATATTGACACCATTCAAGCGCTGGCCGTGCTAGCACTGCCCCTTCGCAGAGGCCGTGTAAGCACCCGTCACTCCACCTACAACACAACATGGCAGTTGACAGGATCGTGGAAACAAGCATCAACCTCAAGCTGATATTTCCTGATCGGTCTTTACACAGGAAGAAAATGCATCTTCTCTGGAGAGTCCACGCTCCTGTGGTTTTGTGCATTCAGCGTCGTCGGCAGCTACAACTCTTATTAGTGTCAGATGCATGAGGATAATTGCCGAATACTCCTTCACAGGAGACGGTGAGTTGGTCCCCATGTGGCCTTGGTTGCAGCCTTGCTTTCGACTCATCACCGTAGTAAACAGCAAATAAGGAGAAGATTCCTGATGTATGTATTTACCCGGCAGCCGCTGGTAAAAACGACAATATACCGCTGGCTAATTAAAGGTAAATGTCAGGGACACTGTACGCTTTTGCGCTACCGGTTGGGTTTGCTTTGGTGCCATTATTAGCTATGTAGCCATATGCTACTTTTTGCCAGCCAGGTACTTTGTACTCCGTGCACCCTACCATGCCTCCGTTGCCAGCTGTCACTAAACATGGCAAACAAGGCTTGAGGGTGCTTGCCAACATGCCCTACCTACATTCTACAAGGGCGTTTCAGCCTCGCTCAGGTTAATGACAAGATCCAGATCTGTTGTGGGTTGACCAAGGCATTGTGACAGATGCCTAAGATTTTGGAAAGGGGGGGGGAAGAATCAATTAGCGCTGTCTCTGGATGTCACAAGCCATGGCAAGTTCCGGCCACTATGTCATTGAGCAGGTCGGTTTCCGAGTCCAGGGCTACCAGGCCACCAGCGCCGCTAGAATGCGGATATGCGGCGGGTATTTTCACGGCCTCTGGGGTTCCTCTAACGTGGCCCCTCCTACCCAGCGCGTATGTACTCCGTACTCGTATGGATGTACTCACCTAGCTGCCCTCCATGCCTCCATGTCCACTATGCCCACAAATTTTGAACTTCCTTCTACGTAGGTATGTAAGTATTGGCAAGGCGGCTCCTACTCCGTCATGGCGCCTGGCTCGATAGCACTCTCAACGAATGGCTCTATCACTATGCCAGGGGATTACAGCATCTCCAATCCTACCTGGTACACCCTACCGGGACACCAACCTGGGAGCAGAACGGAGCTATTTCCACGATCTTTAGCGTTCAACTAGGGCAAGCCACTTTCTGCCCCTCTAGGAAAGGAGCACACTAAGGTTGCATAAAGGTTCTGGCTGACTGATGAAGGCATAACTGGGTCTTGCTGCACAGTGAGATAGCGAACTAGCAGGGGCCTGCATGATTAATGCGCCTTCTGAGAAGGGAATAGCCCACTCTCTTCCATTTCTCGCGCCGGACAAGGGTTATGCTGGGTCTTCCACCTTGACCGCGACGCCAGCACTGTATCGAAACTGCTGCTCCGAGTGGGCGACCCTGGGCGTTTTCGAAACCACACAAACCATTCGTGTCCTCTCCAAGCACAACACGACGCACACCACCTCTACGACCTGCGCCAGCCTCGTGCTCGGGCGGGCCTTGTATAAGAAATGCACTTGCCCCCCACCATTTGCCATTGCAGCCCCTCCTCCCTCCAACCCAACTGACAACTGAACTTCCAAAAGAAAGCATAAGTTTGAACATCTTCAAATATTCCCTCACAGCCCAACACATATCAGAACACCATGGCCGACTACCGCTCTGCGAATGGCTGGCCGCAGCAATCCACCAACTACTCGCCCATGGATACCTCATTTCAATGGGACTACGCTGGCGTCCAGTCTCCCAAGAATATGGTTAGCCACTACAACGACCTTTTGCAGCGAGCGGCGGACTTCTATGCCACGCTCGACAACTCCTTCGACAGCATGTCGTCGTCTGGCTCGGACAGCTCTTACCGATCAACACCCGAGCGACGAGTATCGCCGACGAGTAGTAACGTCGTCGCCCAAGTCAAGAGTTCCATTCCGGATAAGATTGAGGTAAGTTTGAGTACCGTCCATTACAGCGGGGTCGAGGCGGCTGACATATCCACAGAGGAGACGAGAACAAAACCGCTCTTCGCAGCGAGCATACCGCGAACGCAAAGAGCGCCATCAGAAGGAGCTCGAAGAGCAAATCACCCAATGGCAGCAAAAACACCAGTTGCTTTCCCGATCGTATTCGCAGCAGACTGAGGAAGTCACCCGACTGAAGGCCCAAATCGAGCAACTCAACCATGAAATTACTCAGCTCCAGTCTGGCTTGCCCACTCTATGTGGCTCGTTATGCCAGTCGCCCCAGGAATTCGATCTCGTGCCATTTTTCAACGCAGATGCGCTCAGCCCACAGAGCACTCCACGGCTATCGCATTCCATTCCAAGCAGGCGTGGCTCCTAAGAGTCTACCCACCACAGATGAATGACGTACGAGTGATTTTACGGGTCAGCATAGCGCAAGGCTGGGGCGACAAGGGGCGTTGGTACGAACAGGGAACGCGGAGTTCTGGCATTTGATTTTGCAAGGGATGATCAGATGTGCATCTGAGCGCGAGGCAAATTGTGCATTCTATTGTGTTTTGGTCCTGGAACCTGTATGCCGATGTTTGCATCAGTGGGAGAGCAGACATTCGGAAAATTGTCCTAAAAGGGGCTGGTTGAGATGTCTTCGTCAGTCAGAAAGGCACGTAATACTTAGGTTACGATGACAGGCACTGTTGGCTCGGGCAGGCTCCATCGAACGAGTTTTGATAGAACCCTTTTCTTCCCGAATCGGCTCGCGCCAAATGAAAAACAATCGAACGGGCAGAGATTTCGAGCGGGCAAAGCCCATTCCTCCCTGACGTGTCAAGTCATGCCTCTCACGGAAGCAATATCAACCGATTTCAAATTTAAACGATCCTGCATCATCCCAAGCCAACATCAACACGGAGGCCATGGCAATCTTTAGCATGCCCCTTCTGAGAACTCGGAGGCACCTTTCATGGGTTTCGGCTCAGGTCCGGGCTTCATTCCCGGGCCATGCCCTTCCAGGGAGTGGGTCCTTAGCAGGTCGCCTGGAAAAATGGGATCGACCCGTTGGTACGACGCGAAGCAATGAGCTCAGCAGGATCCTCTGAGTAAGAACGTCCGGGCTCTTACATAAGTTACATAACCATTGCCAGCTCGGTGCCAGCAAGGGCCCGCTTGGAGCTCTCCTGCCCTGGAGGTCTCTTGGCAACTTCCATTCTCGTACCCAGTAGAGGTCCACGTGGGAGGGTTGACGGAAGCACTGACGGTTGCTAATGGGCGGTGGCCTGTCTGGTCTGCGGAAACCGCTTTGGGCTGCACTGTGGGCGAGGAGCACAGGCGAATCACGACCTACCATACCCCGTTTCCCTTTCAAGCCACAGAGTAGTATCCCTGGAACTGGTGCTTCTCGTTCTCTGCTTCTGTCCGTGCAAGGGAATCATCCTGGGGAGCATTGGCATCTGAGCAACGCTCCAGACGTTCCTCGTCCCTCTTCTTACCCGCGGGAAAGTCCAAGGCCAAACTGGGTGTATTGGCTCATCCCAAGGAGGCAGAACATCTAACAAGCCATGACCCAATCACGGGCTTGCCGCGAACTACCCAAAGAGGCCAAGATCCGACAGAGGGTGGGAAGTCAGACAACCAAAGAATTGCTATACCTTCGACAATGTTTGGGCTGAGGAGCTCGTCGCATGGGAAAAAGGAAGACAGCCGTTAGGAAACTCGGATAGTCGGCTTGGCTGCTCGAGCAAAAAGTCCCCAAAACGCTTGGAGACTCGTGAGACACGAAATTGGGAAGACACTGAAACAACACGGCTGAATCATCGCATTTTGCCAATGACGTGGGCTGAGCCCTCTAGCGAGGCGTTCTGCTGCACGACAAAGACGACAAATCCAATGCCGAACAGCATCGAACAGGCAGCATTATGAAAGCGACCCCATGTCTTCGGCTTTTTAGGGTTGGGGAGTCCGTATTTCTACCGGAATGCCTATCAAAACGCTACAAGAAGGCACAGCGCCTTACCTAAGCCCTCGCTTCTTGGACAACTTTTACGCAAAACGATGCACCGTGGAACGTCCATCTGTGCCAGTCAAGGTGCTTGTCAATGGTCCTGCCGTCTGCAATACAGGGCATCATTCTCGAATGGGCCACAGTGATATCGCTTCTCGTGGATTGAATAGGCCGTCCAGAAGAGAGAGTACTCCCAAGGGATCTCTCAATAACCATGCGCTTTGAGCAGGTACTCTTCAAGCACGCAATTGGGAAGGCGCTCGTCCCACTTCCTCCCATCCTTTGTAACGGCCGGTGTGCCAGTGTACCTGTGGGAAAGTTGCGAGGGGAAAAGGGCCAAAGATGGTGTAGCAACCGAACCGCCATCTCGCATGTTGGCTATGGACCTTTTAGGAAGTCGTACTCCACAACGCTCCAAACTCTACCCTGCTCCATTACGGTCCCTTTGGGTCCCTCCTCCGGCGCACTTGGCAAGGGTCGTCGAGCGTTCGAGACTTTGCAGTCCCTGGTCATCGGTGGACAGCTATACCAATCGTAGGTAAGAAGCCGTCGGACTATACCTCTTTTCACAGGTGCACTAAATGTTTTTGACCGGGGCTGATCCAAGGAACATGCAGCCCTCTTTGACGCCCGGTTGAAAATCTCCAGGAAGCATTCTGCCTGGTCCTGCCAGCATCCCCTTGGCACTCAAGATTCATGCAGGCAACACCACCAATTGAGGACTCTCTTCTGACAGATCTCTATCTGCCTTGGCCTTTTGCCCATGGCTCGAGACGATAAGTGGTACCTCCGGTATAGCGCAAAGCAAAGGTGGCCTGACCAACGGCTTTCCATGTCCAATCACCCCCACTCATGAAAGAGCCTCGCCGGGCGGGTCTTGCGAATCGGGTTTCGCCTTTGCGGTGCCAGAATTTGGTGGTAATGTTGGTTTAATATCCACAAAGCTTCCGGCACCCGCGAACTAAGTACTTGGTAGGCCTCTCAAACCACGACGCTTAAGGATAGGAACCACCCATCTCTTGACGGAAAAGATTGTCGATCCATACCATCGAATCGCTTGCTGTATTCGATCCCGGCAAGCAAAAGCAATGCAGCATGATGTCTATCTGAATCAGCCCATTCCCCAAGGGTCCCATCAAGCGCCCAAGAATATCGGATTCCTTCCGCCATCGCCGGCACTATTAAGTTTCCAGAATACTGCTAAAAACGATCGAGATCTTCCTCTGCTGCAACATGCCCTACGGATTTTCAGAGACCCTGCATCCAACAGTTCGCAAGTAGCAGGCGTAGCTACCCATGGACTGCCGGCACTTCTCAAGGAGTCCACGATTGTAACGTGTCTTGCGTGTGACACAGCTCCAACAAGCGGTGTCGCTCGCCGATCGTTACATTTCGTTCGGGCTGAAATGTTGCCCAGCCCCCTTGTTCTAGTTGGGGGGATGTGTCTTGGACGAAGATATTCTCACTTCATCCCTCCCATCAGCAATTCCATCTAGCTGCCCCGTGACCAAATACGAATCTGTCTCGTAACGAGTCCAGGAACAGAATTATTGACTGACCGTTCAGCCAGGACCCAACTCGTCGCTTCCGGCAAATCACCGGGCTTCGAGATAACTTTGCATTGCATGAAGCTTTCAAATTCTTCATTGTCCACATCATCAACTGTCGCATGCTCGCGTCATTGAAAGTGTCCACGCAAAGACTGAATCAATGCATCTTGTAAAGGGTCGAATAGTTGGCATTGGCGCCAAATTCATTGTGATTGAGTGTACTGGGCGACGGGAATTTCTTTCGATATCCCCCATCTCGGAATGCAAGGTGAGGACAGCGTTGACGCAGTAGCGACCTTGAGAATGATTCGAATGATGCCGATATCCATGAAACAAAGAGGTACTCTTCTGCGATTCACCAACTTGCAAATTCGTATCAGAGTGTTGCGATACTGCCTCAGACTGCGGCAATACTCTGACTGAGCCATCGAACCACCACAAGAAAATGCTAACAAGTGGTAGCTTTGTTTCTAGCAGATATATCTCCCGTTCTTTGCAGGAACCCCCCAGCAAGAATTCCAGTCGTCGACCCTGCCTGCCGAGTAGAGGCTGACCTCGCCGGAGTTCACACGTTGCAGGAAGATACAAGAGTACCAGAGGGATCTAAAACGGCGTGGTGGGTTTGCAGTCTCCGGTAGCGGCTGGATGATAGCGCCTGCCCTTGAAGGCCTGCGCTCCACTCCCGAACAGAACTTCCTTGCTCGCTATCTACGTACCTACCAGAGCTCTTGTGTCGCATGAACATGAAACCGTGCCATAATGCGATGAATCGAAACGTGCGGCCGGGCAACACAGTCTCCAGCTATGCACTAGATACGGTTCTTCCTGTCTTCTCGACAGATCTTACACTGCGAGAGTATCATGGGGCGCAAAATCCGATATTCAATCCAATTGCACTGGGGGGCCGACATTTTGCGGATCCCGGAGCAGTGATGCGACCATGTCCATCTACACGTTGAAGTTGCTAGGTACCGGTATCGATTCAATTCAAAGATTGCACATCACTAGGAAGACTAACGTGTAAGTCCTGTCATTGCCAGACGCGTAATCCTCTAGAGTTGCATTCATGACTTCTTCCATCTCTTGAGCATCATGATGGTTATGGAATACCTGCAGCACGCTAGAGAAATGGATATTTTTCCAGAGGTCACGAGAGGGGAATCCTACGTTTGTCGCGCACAGTATTTCGATCTGAGAAGGACCACATGGAACTTGCGGAGGGACGACAACGATTCACCTGTGTGCCAACTCTGATGGCACCAATACCAATCAAAATGAATGATACTTTCTACAACAAGGGCTTGACTCGATTCCAGAACCACATAACTGAACAGGGCCTTTTCTCGCTTAGTCACGAATTATTCTCCCTGTCCTCAGGGATTCCCCGGTCATCGAGGCATTATTGCTTCAAGAGGTTAATGCTGCTTGCTAGTTACTGCCCCGAAATGGCAAAAGGCAAGGATTTCCGGGATGCAGAAGCGATTCGTCGAACGAGGGTCGTTTCCGTTCGCATATCTATATGATTGGCTTATTTCCATGCATTTGGCATTATTCAATATTAGTCACCAAGATGCACGGAAGTTGACAACGGGTAGTTCTTGAGCTCGATATGTGGCGCTTGGGAAACCCCTTCAACACAGCGGGGTAGACGAAGGCTCGTAGCTCGCGAGTTGTTTCATCCTCATTGGTGTCTTCTAGGAGGCGACGGCAGCTTCCTTTCGTTCTCTCAAATGTTCTTCCAGCTAGCAGATCCTCGTAGCCCTCAGCTGAGGAGGTGGTCTGAGTAACCTGATTGAGTTTCTCTCGTCTGATATCTAGATGTTGTATCAGGTTTCAACTTTGACGATGAAGCGCTAAAGAGTGGTCGGCCTAGGCACATGCTGAGCTTGAAAGGCTCTCCATCTTGAAACCTGGTAATTTTCATTCGTGAGCCTCGCTTTACCTAAATATCGCCTAGTGGCTTTTCTTTGTACCAGAGACACCAAGCACCCATATCTGTTTTGACGAACGCTGCTCCCAGAGCACCACCAGGAGACAATCCGCCGTTTACGTAAGGAAGAGGCACTATTCAAGTGCACCGTACAGGAAAATCGCCGAGGCCGTGCTCCGGCCGTCCCCGACTTTCGATATGATACCAACTTACGCAGGAATATGAATGAAGAAGGTCGTCAATTCCTTTGATAACCGGTATGGTATGGGAATCACGAACGAGAGAGAAATTCATATTTGGAATTCTGGATTCTCCTCAGTCCAAGTACGCTCCCTATTTGTTTCTGTCGGCAGTTGATGAGCATCGACTGGGCAGCATTCGATATACGCACGTAAGTCGGCGGATTCTCAGATTCATATTCCAGAGACTTGAACATCCCCCGACAGCTCGCAACATTACCAAAGAGGCGCCTTGAATCTCCCGGATCTCGATCAGCGCCAGCCTCCTGAAACAATCTCTAGTTTACCGTGGAACGAGGGAGAGAACGCCGGCGCTGGCTCTGAATGTGGGGGAACCTTCCCTTCCTGGTTCCTCCGCGGCTCTTAGACTCTTGTCGGATTTACATCGCCGATGCTTGCGTGGACCGTGGACATGCAAGTTCCCGGTACCCAGTACTTAATTCAGATCGCGGAGCCCTCCGTCCCTGAGGTCATCGTACAGCCTCTGCCGACCGGGTACCATCATCCGCAGGCACTACAGAGAGGCTTGTTCTGCAGTAGCGGTGAGCCGGGAAAAAGAATGGGCACTGGGCGGGCACACTTGCGGACTCAGATGCCATGTGACTTGCTAGATGGTGCTCTCGGCGTTAATAATGTGTCGGCTCCAGACCCCGAGAAGACCTTGCTCTCGCTCTTTGGAATAGCATCTGCTGACGTACTCACTTTGATCCTGCATCCATGCCTTGAGAGATGTCCTGTACGGGCCTCTGGAGATGCACCGAGCGCGTGTTTGGGGATAGAAGCCCTCTCAGGACGCTTCGGCGATGGCAGAGCCCGAGATGCATGAGCTCTCCCAATCAATTGGGCAACGTGCGGGCCAGGTGCACAAAGTACACCAGCGCTGTCTCTGGGACTGGGGGATGGCTTTCACTCCAGTCTGGATTCTTCCTCGGCCGCAGCCTCGTCACTTGCCTTGGATTTTTGACGCAAGCTGGCTCCACTTGTCCCTTCGACCCTAGTCGCCACATCGCAAGTGACTGCTTGTACATATACAAGTCTCAAGCTATACATATATGTCAGGTACTATACTCTCAACGACAGAGTGTAGCGAACATCGAGGCAATAAAGCCCTGTCATCACCGAAATTTGTGATATGCAGTTCTGCAGATTGCCAATTGATATGCTGGGCACGACCTCACCACTCTCTGTGTCGCGGGTTAGTAGCTACTCCTTCCTACACAATCGCCAGTCTTGTCATTGAAGTATTGGGGTTCCTCACCTCTCGCCAATTCTGTCTGCAAAGTATTCCAGCTGTCTTAAGCTGTTCATATATCGTCAGCAGGTATCCCAGGCTTCTTCATTTCTATATTTGTAGCCATTTTTCCCACGTTCATAGAAGATAGACGGGTCCCGGAGTATTTGAGCAAGGATAGTGTATTTCTCATCAGAAACAGTTCAATTCGACAACATTTTCAGTGGAGTAAAGTCGCCTCCTCGTGGAGACTCGGATATTTGTCTTCTGATTCATCCTACGCCCTCCAATTGAATCACGGGCCATTGAGACGTCGAGCTCTGCTGTAAGCAAAATATTGCCGAATGCGGACCCTCCGTTGACAAATGTGGCTTGATGTTTCCTCTCCCTCAACAGTAACTTCGATGCAAAATGCTCCTAACAAGCACCTGGTTTTGATGGAGGGGTGCGTGCGCGGGTCAACAGCGACTACCCTTCAAACGATCTTAGCTGCGGGAGCACCAGAGACGCCTGATTATTTAGCAAAGCCGGGTATGCAATGCCAGGCTCTCAGGGACCTCCTAAATGCACTCAGCCTTGTCTCGAGGAAGCCTACTAGGTACTTCACGTGCTTTCGCTTCTTCGGGAAGTTGCGGAGTCCAAGTTTGTGGGGGAGCTTAGTCATCGACCCAGCCTCAACGTCTTTCGCTCGAGCCGCACCAACAAAACCCACTGTCCTCTACATCACACACGAATCCGGTCGCATCATTTCTTGGTCCCATTTTCCTCCTAAAATCTTGGTAGAGCTAGCCGAGGCAACGCTGTGATACATTTTGTTGCGTTGGTGGGCGCATGGGCTGGACTACGGGTCAGATTACGCGTTTTGCCCGGAGGTTGCATGATTGATCGGATTTTCAGCTGGACTTTTCACACAAGCGCAAATCTCGAATGATGTCCCACATCAAGGCATGAGTTCTAGTTCGTCGGCAAACCAAGATGTCACGTCAGGTTCGGCACAGGCAAAGCAGGCTGCATGTCTCGAATGTCGTCGGAGCAAGGTGAAATGTACACGTGACGCGAACGCCCCAGTGTGTCGGAAATGCCAACAGGCCGGCCTGCAATGCGTGACACCAGAGTACCATGTTGGGAGATACAAAGGCATCAAAAAGTGAGTTTGTCGAGCTTCGCACAGTTTGCCGAAGGCTAAATCCGAACTATCAGCAAGAGGACCGGGTTGGAAAAGGCAATTTATCAGGTCGAACAGGCGCTGAAGCGGAATAAAGATGGCTCAACTGGACTGCGCTCCGAGATTGAAGCCGACCTTCGCCAGCTGATCGGAGCTCCCCAGACAAGCCCTATTCTCCAGCGGAAAGCCAGCTCAACTACCCCGACAACAGCCCTTCCACAGTCTTTTCCTCAGTCGCGAACAAGCCTGATTCCTGGCGACAACAACGGCGCCACGGAAGATAGCAATGACATGTCTGGCGTGGAGCATGGCGAGAAGCCTGACGAACTTGCACTCAACAATGCTGACAACCCCCTACAACTGCTTGCTATGGCTTCTGTGCTTCCCGGCCAATCTCCCTCGACCGCAATGTCCACGTCGCCAGCTGGTGTTGCATCACATCCAGGAACGAACGACGCAAACCCTGGCGATTTTGAGTTACAGCAATTTTTTGGATCGTTGATGCCTCGATTGGATAATTCTCCGGACCTCGACCCCATTGACTTGGGCCTCGTGACGCAGGAGGAAGCAGATTCACTGTTTGCGTATTTCTACGAACGACTGTCTCATACAAGATGGGGCCTCGATCCCAACCTACATACAGCCTCGTTTGTGCGCTCGAGGTCTGCTTTTCTGTTTACCTCCATTCTCGCCGCATCTGCCCTATTCCTCCCGAAAGCGGAGGCTCTGTCGAAGCGGCTCTCCAATCACCAAAACCACCTGGCCCGAACGGTGATCTTCAACAGACACAGATCAGTGGAGATCGTATTGGCTTTCATGGTCAATATTCCTTGGATGACGCCTGCGAAACACTGGGCAGATGATGAGACTTGCGCTTATCTCTCGATGGCGCTGAGCCTGGCATTGGACCTCTCATTGAACAAGATCGTGGTCCCTTCTCCCACGATTCGTCCCGCGGGCTTCCTGAATCGAGTCGCCAAAGCCGATTGTATTGATTCCGCAAAGGCTCTGCAATTGGATGGGTTTCCACAAGTTGATCCGTCTTCGGCCTTGGGTCGCCGTTTACTACGAACTCGCGAGCGAGTATGGTTGGCATTATTCGTTCTTGATCGAGGGTAAGTGTATCATATCAACTCCACGCAGTGCTACGAGCTGACGGATGCCTGCAGCATCTGCCTCGCAAGAGGAAGGCCATACGCAGTTCCAATCGGACCACTGGTAGATAGTTGTGATACGTGGCATATCTCTGACATTGCCGACCGATGGGACGGCAGTGTCATCTCAGCGGCCGTGCTGAGGAGAGACCTGGTATGCCACTATTCCAACCATGTTCTAATTTCTGCTGACTCTGGTCAGGTCGGCCTCATCACGGGTGTACGTGAATTTTGCGATGGAAGCCAAGGTGTCAATGGTGGCCCGACGGCCGTGAGATTGTAAGTCTACCCCGTCCGAGGGCGGTGTTGGAAGTTATGGACCCGTCATGAAGTTATTGCTTGGACTGATGACTTGGTAGCCTGAAAGACAAGATCGACCGATTCTTCGAACAGTGGTATGCGGTCTGGTCACGCCAGATCACCCAGGGCGATGGTAAGAATCAAACATACTTCTAATTTATCACGTCCTAATTATTTTACACAGGTCAGTTGCCTCCGTACGTCGAGATCTTGGTTTCTCACACGAAGCTTTCTACATACTGTAACGTCGTTAACCATCCAACGGCATCAAATGACGTGAAACAATTCTTTCGGGCTGCGGGGTTGGCATCGGCGATGAATGTTATGCGTGCAGCAGTCCAAGGGGAGAATCGACTCAAATCGATGCCCAATAATACCGTCATCATGGTCTCTTTCGCGGCCACTTTTGCACTGGCTCTTGGGACCACAAGTCTGGGCAATCGCGCCATGGTAGCCCCCAATGCGAAGGCGCTGATCGAAGAGACAACCCAAGTATTGGAGAGAATTGGGAGCTCCCCCAGACACCGCAGGGGCTTATCGGTCCTTTTCGCGAGGCATATACGTCGAATCATGCAGAGTTCCGTTCTCAGTCCTCCCGAAGAGAACCACGGCTTGGGTCCAGGGCCTTCGGAGCAACCTCACCAGCAAGACCGAAACGCCGAGTATGATCCGTCCCAAACAGCTCCAATGCCCGCGCCAAATATTCCTCTAGAACCGTATGTCTTTGACATGACCGACGACCAGATCCTCGAAGCTATCAACAACGCAAGTACCTCGCAGGACTTGTTCCAACTTGATGAGACAATGTTCTTCGACTGGTTAGACTGGCCAAATGTTACCTGAGCGCCCTTGGTTGCGTCGCTTTCGTGCAATTCGGAGCCCGTTTTTCAGATACGACATCAGATCTACTGAGGAGCTGCAGGAGTGGGCACTATAGCGGGCACTGGTTCGGGCACTGGTTCGGGCGACTTCATATCTCTTGAAAGATTCACCAGTTTCTGCAGCTGCTCGATGAAGATGAAAGTGAGGACCGTATTCGGCCTACCGATTGTTAGATACTGGCCAGGACAGGGGTTTTGTCGATGACCTTACGCCAGTCTCAGCCAAGCAGGAGTCCAGCCCCTCATAAGAAATCCTGGTCCCTCGTTGCGCAGAGATTCCACAATGAGCTTCCTTACACTCTATTCATAATTCATTAGCTCCGCCAAGCCTCAGAGAGTATGCCTTACCGGTTTCACCCCGTCGATGGCAACTGCATTCTGAACCCGGCTCTTCAAAACATCGGCAGGTGCGCAAGCAGTTGTCGCGACCGTGCCCGCGAGCAGCGAGGCCAGGAAATGCGTGAAAATCCCATCTCCAAGGCCTAAAGAAGGGTTCGAAAGGAGCTGCCGCTTGGCTGCGGAATACCTGCACGAGTATGAGTATCAAGAATACTGCGGAAGTGAGTAGCATACGTTGCTATTTGAGAAACATCTGGACCTGATTAGCAACCAATTAGACAAGGCATATCTGAGACTTACTCATTATCACACTGCGGACGATATTAGGGCCTAGACCTCTGCTAAAAGTCCGAACACCTTCTTCACGACCGATTCTGATAACGGCGTCAAAGGCGTGGTTATACCCAAATCGCTGACTTGGCGACCTTGCCCCGTCGGCACACATTCTCACCAGAGCAACCTATACCACAAATCAGTGACCTCTTAAACTGCGTTGCACTTAATGCAGACCTCTGTGGGATTTCCTATGAGTCCGGCCAGGCCGCCCGCAGCTCCCGCGCAGCCGATCTCCCACGAGCTGGGTAACCGTCTTTGACCGGTTCGTTCTCTAGCTATACCCGCAAAATAATTATAAAGACCGAACCTCGCAGTCGAATACGTGGATTGGCGAAGCATCGAAGCTGAGATTCCCCACCATAGCGACCGAATGCCTGCCATTTGCATGAGCTTGCTTGTGACGGAAAAGGTATCCATGCAATTGCTTACCATCTCTGCTTGCGAATTGCATCATCGTCCGCAGCATGTTTTGCCTTGTGGACATAACTTGCATCCTGCTATGGTTGTTGTCAATGCTTCCTGTTCCTTCAAATGGGGTACTGGACCTACTATTTTGTCTGATCCAACGGATGAGCTGAAAGGTTACGTCAGACACATTGTGCTACGTTGTGCTCTCCCACGAAAAGAAACGGGACTGGATTTGCATACTGAAACATGCTGCCATTGCTGCAGCAGCGCCTCTACGTCCAGTCAGCATCCGGCTTTGGCCGAAACGAGCCCCGACACTCACCCGAGCCAGAACGGCTGCCCTTGCTTCTTCGGTTTGGCCATAATCTGTTGCTCTGCCCACAAGAAACGACGACGGGACTGGTCGGTACGTCACTACTAGAAATGATGATTGAGCTTGGGAATCTCTTGCGGACGGACAGCCTGCCGCTCGATGCCGATGTTAAAAGAGTCTGACCATTCTCTTGAGGGCGAAGGTAGAATCGCGAATTTCTGCAGCAATATACACGCAAGACCTCGAGAGGCCAACCTCATTGCGCACCTTTGTATATTCCCGCATTCTTTCTCCTTGGGAAGTCCCACTTTGCGCGTTGTTCGTCCACAGAAGCGCGAACGACATCGTCGGCAATTTCCTCCGTCCATCACATGGGTCTGGCTTCGCTCGCACAGTTCGGCATCAAAAATACCACCGAGCTCACACTCTGATCACGTGGACTGCCTCACACGCAGATCTGACATATCGAACGATTCGCCGCCGACTACTCCCGTGTCTTGAGCCGATGTCGCTGAATTCCTCCTAGTGCTCCCATCCATAATCTCGAATAATTATTTTTCCATTCCTTGGGGCCTTACATTGATCAGGAGGATATATTGTTGTCGAAATCCCATCCACGTCGGACACAGAAAGTGACAAAAGGAAGGCCAACAACCAAGATGGCAGCAACGGCGAGGCGCACTCTGCTTTTTTGTGTCGACGACGTCAGAGCCGCTAGCTTCTTCAAGACTCCAACTAACGGCATTAAATTGCTTTCCGGCAAACACCTAGCCTTCCGCCAATTAAGATTCAGATCATGGACTGTTTCAAGCCGGCAGGATATTCGATACTTTACGTCCTCTCGGACAAGATGGCGTGAAGCAGCGCCATCGCCACTAGACGGCGGCGACAAACAGCCGGTTATCGATCGGACGAGGTCGAAGCTATTCAAGGATGCCGACGAGGCTGTTGCGGACATCAGATCAGGCTCCACGATCCTCAGTGCTGGATTTGGACTCTGTGGAACGGCCGAAACCATCATAGCAGCTATGCATAGGCGCGGTGTCGAATCCCTCAACAATCTCACAGCGGTGTCGAATAATGCTGGTGCGGCAGGCGCCGGCGGGCTGTCACCGCTGACCCACTCAGGCCAGGTTACGCGATGTATTCTCTCTTACTTGGGGAATAACAAGAAGCTCGAGCAAAAGTATCTGAATGGCAATATCGCCATTGAGTTGTGTCCGCAGGGAACGCTAGCGGAGCGCCTTCGTGCCGGTGGAAGTGGTATTCCAGCATTTTACACGCCAACGGGTGTCCGTAAGTGGTACCTGGTTATAGACGCGGTTGCGAGGGAAAGGTCTGCTGACATCTTCCAGATACATTCATCCAAACTGGCGAAATCCCGACCAGATTAGGACCCGCTGATGCGGAGACGAAGAAAGCGAGCGTGCTGGAAGCGGGCAAGGCACGGGAGACAAGGATCTTCAATGGCAGAACGTATGTTATGGAAACCGCGCTGACCGGTGATGTTGCCATCATCCGAGCCTGGAAGGTCGATGAAGCTGGAAATTGTCAATTCAGGTATGGTCTTGGTGCACTCCACCATCAACTCTGAAAGACCGAAGTTAACATGTGTGAAAGATACACAACCAAAGGGTTCGGCCCCGCCATGGCCAAGGCCGCCCGCCTTACAATCGTCGAAGCCGAGAATATCGTGCCTATCGGCTCCCTGGACCCCAACGATGTCCATCTCCCCGGCATCTACGTGGACCGCATCGTGCCCGCCACCGTGGATAAGAAAGTCGAAATTAAAAAGACTCGCTCCGCCAGCGACGAGGAAGGTTACTCATCTGACTCTTCCATGTCCAGCAACAAGTCAGAAGCCCTTGCCCGGAGAGATCGTATCGCCCGCCGTGCCGCAAAGGAACTCAAGCATGGTATGTATGTTAATTTGGGCGTGGGGATGCCCACATTGGCACCTTCCTTCCTGCCGAGCGATGTCAAAGTGTGGATTCAATCCGAGAACGGTATTCTGGGAATGGGACCCTACCCGACCGAGGATGAAGTCGATCCGGATATCATCAACGCGGGCAAAGAAACCGTCACGCTCGTCCCGGGGGCGTCGACTTTTGACAGCTCCGAGAGCTTCGGCATGATCCGCGGCGGCCACGTCGACGTCTCCATCCTGGGAGCCCTTCAGGTCTCCGCGGCCGGCGACCTGGCCAACTACATGATCCCCGGTAAAGTGTTCAAAGGCATGGGCGGCGCCATGGACCTCGTCTCCAACCCCAACCAGACCAAGATCGTCGTCACCACCGACCACGTCGACAAGTACGGCAAATCAAAGATTGTTGAGTCCTGCTCCCTGCCCCTGACCGGCGCCCGCGTCGTCAGCACCATCATCACAGACCTCTGCGTCTTCCAGGTCGACCGCGTCAAAGGCACCTTGACTCTCACCGAGCTGGCGTCTGGTGTGTCGGTGGAAGACGTCAAGGCCAAGACGGGTGCCAAGTTCGCGGTCGCGGATGAGGTCAAGTCGATGGAATGATTTTTGTTTTGTTGTTTTTTTCGGTTCTCTTTCCTTTTGAGATTGGTTTATAACGTTGTACTTGTTTGGAGAGGAGGGAGAAAGGGGGGGGGGAATTAAAATGTACCTACATATGCATATACGAATTCTCTTTTTCTTTTTTAATTTTTGGATCTTTATTTGAGAAGAGGTCAAAAGAGAGGACTTCGTCTATATAATGAAATCGGGGTATCCATAATAGCCAAATCCGTGTCCGAATCCGTCTTCGTAGCTTCAGCCTTCGCATCTTTTGGCATCTCTTGACAGGGATTTTCATCCTCGTGATATTTTTCCCACTGCCTGTGTGAATGCTTGCCTGCTGCCTGCTGGTGAACTTTTTTTTTTTTTACGGCAAAACTCTTCACTCTGTAGTATAGAATAGAAGCTTGCGGTCTATATATATATATATATATATTCACTCGACGTTTGGAAAAGTGTAGTAGACGTTTTTACAGCTTTGCTTTGAGTGTGTCCGCGCTGCCACCCATGCCAGGCGCAAATGTCGTGCCTCTTCCTCCACTAAGCGCCCGGATAATCTCGTCGATGCAGTACAAGATCCACTGATTACCCTCATCCGTGGCCAGCCACTCGCCGCCCTCAATGTCCTTCTCGGCGGTGCCGTCCTGATATGCCTTGCGCAATCCGAAAACGTGGCTCACCACTTGAGGTCCCACGCCCGTCTGAGCGCGAAGACACGCGATGGCGGCGAGGGAAGTCAGGACTCTCCCGACCCTGAGGGGGGCGTCGGACGGCGGGTCTGAGAGCAGGTTTGAATAATGGCCCGAGAGAATATGCACGGGCAGGTTCGGATGGGATTGGGCAAGTTTGTCGAGCAATTTCTCCTCGAAGGGGTAATAGACAGAGTCCCAGAGTCGGCGGCCTCGAGCCATGCATTCGTCGATGTTTTGAGAGGTCAGTTGCCGTGACGGCGGAGGCGGGATCTTGTCAAAGACGTCCTTGGGCATGCCTTCGCGAAAAGCGCCGAGGCAGTTGATCGAACGTGGAATGCCGTTGAAAGAAATGCACTTTAGGCCAACTTCTCGCATGAGTCCAGCGGTGTCGGTTGGCGAGGGTGCCGATGGAAGTGTCTGTGTAAGGTGGTACAACTCCACCATTGACGAAGGCGAGTTCATCGTCATTGTTGCAGCAGTTGAGAAAGTAACCCAGGCCGGGATGCCCACGCCTCTATCTCTGGCGCTGGACGCTATCTGAGAAAAGGTCGAGCGTATCGACGGCGGGGCCTTGAGCTGCCCTGGAAGGGCATGGGCGGCATTGATGAGCTGTTTTAACGGCTCGGAGAGCTTCGACATGTTTTCTGACGGAGAAAGGGTTCTCTTGGTTCCAGCTTGAAGGCGCTGGGCTGAGGATTGTAAGTGTCAACTGGCACAGAAGAGGCAGATCCATCGTACGCCCGGTAAATAAGGGAAAGGAACAGAGATGCCTTACAGTTTGGTTGCCGTCGGCCGGTTTGCCGAGCTCCCCCTGCCTTGCCAGTGCCGTTATCACTCATATGACGGATCTGACGACACGCGATTGGTGGACTCTCGCATGCAAGGCTGGGGTCTAGGGCATGTAGAGGCAAACGCTGTCGGCGATATTGATGGCCCCCAAAGCCCCTGTGAGGAAACGATATGTGTTGAGACTGTTAATGAGAGGGCGGCTTTCTCACGCGAATGATGAACAGTCGATGTTTGAGGAGATTTATCGGCATAAAGAAGCGCCGAGCCGACACCCGGCGCTGAGAAAATGGCCGGAAGAGGAAGGAGCAAGCTTGGCATTGGACCTCGGCGAAAGGCTCCTTGTTGCTCCGGGCCATTTCCGCCTGCACATCGGCCATTCTTCTACCTCCTCCCTATCAACTCCCTCCGCGTGACGGATCCTGCTTGATTGTTGTCGCTGTCTATGGCCGTGTCGTCTCCCCTCTGATGCGGCCATTGACCGGCGTCCGCCCTCCCTCGCTTACACAACCACTTTCATTTTCATTGGTCCTGACCGATTGAGTGTAACCTTCCCCAGTGCATGTTCGCCGTTGGTGTCGTGCAACCGCTCGCCAGGGAGCCCAACAATACTGTTGCTGATCACTAATTTTGGTGGCAGAACGTATATCATTCAATCATAGGAGCGGGATGGTGTCCATCAATGAAAATCCAACCCACGGGGTAAGAATAAACAGCAGGGGGCCCCGGCATTTTATTCCTGATATAAAACCAGCACAGAACCCTTGAACTAGAATCTGGCCGTGTCATTTTCTCAGTCCTAGAACAGGAAATATCTATTACAAGCCCGTTGACTATAACTTGATTGTCCAGTAATCCAATTCAACGTCGTCGTGTTGCCTCTCTTCCCGCAACTCGACCCATTCTCCATCAAGGATCTGACCTGGTGCCCTAGCCTCCACTGATATGGCCGAGGAGAAGGTCATAAGAGACCCAGTGGTCGAGAAACCGGAAGATACTCAGAATGAGTTCGAGACATCTAGCCAAGTCCTTCCAGGCGAAAAAACAGGCTCCATATCGGCATTGGATGACGATGCCCATACCAATGCGTTGACTCGAAAGCTTCTTTGGAAGCTGGATACAAGGTATGCGTTACTTAAACGACCTGTTCCGATCTGAGGCGCTTTATGTTGTATTTAACATATCCTTGCGTGCAGAATCCTCCCTGTCCTCGCCTTACTCTTCCTCTGTTCTTTCCTCGACCGTACCAACGTCGGGAATGCAAAGATTCTTGGCCTCGAAAAGGACGCAGGTCTTAACAACAGTCAATATGCAAATGGCCTTGCCATCTTCTTCGCCTTTTATATCGCCGCTGAATTGCCCAGTAATCTGGTTCTGAAGAAATTCAGTCCGAGACTTTGGCTAGCGTTTCTCACCGCTGCATGGGGTATTATCGGAATGTGCTTGGGTTTCATCCAAAACTATGGTGGATTCTTGGCTGTCCGAGCATTTCTAGGCCTTGCAGAAGGAGGATTATTGCCAGGTATGCCCTCTCAGCCTTCCTAGATTCTCACGGAACGATGAGAAAGTGAGCGGGAAATGATTCTAATCTCAATTACAGGCATGGTGCTTTACCTCTCAGGAATGTATACTAGGGGCGAGCTGGCCCTCCGCATAGGATTGTTCTACACCAGCGCATCTCTTGCAGGAGCCTTTGGAGGTCTTTTAGCACGTGGTCTTTCAGCCATTGGGCCCACTGGCAGTGTCGTGGATGCTGGGTGAGTAGTCCTCTTCTCTCTTCTCTCTGCAGGCTATGTGATGCTTATACCACTCTTCAATAGCTGGCGATGGATCATGATTATCGAAGGTCTTCTGACGTTTGCTGCCGGAGTGGCTGCATATTTCCTACTCCCAAACAGCGTCTCAACAGCCTGGTTCCTCCAGTCTGAGGAGCGAGAGCTCGGTAAGAGGAGACTACGGAATGACACCTCCGCGCACTTGCCCGATGGTCAGCATTCTGAAGGGGTTGAAAAGTTCCGATGGTCAGAGGTCCAACGAGGAATCCTGAATGTTCAACTATGGCTGACCGCGACGGCCTATTTCTCAATTCTTTCTGGCCTGTACTCTTTCGGTCTATTCCTCCCAACCATCATCAAGGGCCTGGGATACACTGCCAACGAAGCTCAGCTGTGGTCTGTCATCCCTTATGCTGTTGCAGCTGTCGTCACTGTGATCGTGGCCGTCGCCTCGGATCGACTGAAGCTTCGAGGAGTTGCGATGCTCTTCGTGTTGCCTCTGGCTATCATTGGATATGCAGCAATAGCCAATGTCGACGAGCATGACAACCATACAAAATACGGTATGACATTTTTGATGGCCACAGGGTTATATGCCAGTGTCCCACCTGTCCTGGTGTGGAATTCGAACAACTCTGCTGGACACTACAAACGCGCCACAACAAGCGGTCTTCAGCTGGCCATAGCCAACGCGGGTGGATTCGTCAGTGGTGAGTGCTTTGTCTTGCAACAGCCAGACAAGCCATCGTGGTCGCTGACCTTTCAATAGCTTTCATTTATCCATCCACCCAAGCTCCCCAATACCACAAGTCGCACACCATCATTTTGGGATTGCTGGTCTATGCATGGTTTGCGTAAGTCTTCCGAGAGCCTCTCCTCATTTTGGTCAAACACGTTCCCTTTCTGACAATCGAACACAGGATATTGTGCAACGTCCTATATTGCGCCAAGATCAATCGCGACAAGGCCAACGGCAAGTACGACAAGTATATTGGGTACGGCGACGACCGGGATCCGGAGTTCAAGATGGTATTGTAATGGGCTAGAGATGATTTGATGTGCTAGGAGAAAAAGAGAGCTGGGTTCTCCGTACTATGTAGACAGATTTGATGTCCACGGTAGGGCTAGAAGACGCCTATGTATTTTCCCACTTGCGGGGTGCGAATGTGGCCTCCGGCCCCCAGACGCGGGGTATTTATCATTATTGCTCGGAATATTGCACAGAGCAGTCTTGCCCAGGTCAATGTTGGCTTTTGTACGACCATAGACAAGTAAAGGTCGGAAGTGAAAAGGCGATTTCCACTGCTTCAAGGACGCATTGGCGGCGGTGAGGTGACGGCAGCTCTTCCTCGCAACCTCAATCTCGCTCTCTTCAAGTTCATCCCGACCTCACCAATTCAAACCTGCAAGTCATTTCCACCATTTGTCTTCGCAGACATGTCAGCCTCCCGTCCTCTTAATCCTACGCAAATTCCAAACAATCTGCCTGGCCTCACCACTCACATCACCGGTCACGATGGCAACACTGGCAAGGCCATCGTACAGGACAGCAGACCCGGCAACTGGACTGTGTTTGACGACAAGCTCATGGCCTTCAATGTGATCTACACGACCTCGGAATTCCCAGCAGACCTCAACAACGACCACGATCTCAAAACCCACGACGAAGTCCTCTCCAACGGAAAACTCGGTCTTGTCAGCCCCAACGGCACAGTTTGTCGCGTAGTCGACTTTGCCCCCGGATACGAGTGTATCATGCATAGAACTCAGAGTCTAGACTACGGCATTGTCCTCGAGGGTACGATCGAGATGATCCTAGACAGCGGCGACAGGAAGTTGATGCAGAGAGGCGACGTGGCGGTGCAGAGGGCCACAATGCACGCGTGGAAGAACACGAGCGAGACTGAATGGGCGAGGATGATCTTTGTGTTGCAGGACTGCAAGAGCTTGGAGATTGGGGGCAAGGCAATGAAGGAGGACTTGGGTGAAGGAGTGGAGGGGTTGCCGCCGAGTGGGAACGACTCCTAGACCACAAATCCGACTGACTGGAGGGAACGAGGTGTCAGCAACGCTGTGCCTTGGATCAAGTGGTAGAAAGGAACGGCGCGACGGCGGCACTGGGCACGCATTGAGGCACGGTGACTGCGATGAAAGAGACACCATGAGGCACAAGACAAGAAGAGCTCAATCAGCAAGACGATGGAGACCAAAGGTCATGTACTGAGTACCCAGTAGTCTTTTTCCGATACCTGGCTCGCTGGATAGGGAGGGGATGAGGCAAAGGAAAAGAGCAGTTTGAGCACTGTCATTCACAAGGCCATTTCTCTTCTCCAGCGAGCCAGGTCCTAAACCCCCCCCCCCCCTTTTTCCACCCCTCCCCCTTGTTCCTACTCCACCCCAAGTACAACTTCCTCCCGCTGTTCTGCTCGTTGTTCGTGTTCGGGGGCCGCTTTCCCGGATTTGGGGGGGCGTTGTGGGCCTGATGTTGACGGTGGATGAAAACTGGGACAACGATAAGGGCTTTTTGGGGGCCTTTTACCCAACCAACCCTGGCACCGACCAACACCGCCAACTGGTTTGTTCCAGCTGCGGCCCTCTGCGACACCAGACTCTTCCCACTGTTTCTGTGTATATACTAGTAATTTTGTTTATCTACCGTTCTCCTTGTATGCCTGTGTACTTTATTGACGAGCCTAGACAATACTGTGAGAGTCTGCAACTGGAATCTTTGAGAGCGCGACACTTGTACGATTAGAACTCACGCCGAGAACTCAATTTGCATCCTCCAGATCAATCTTGGATCTTTCTGCCACGCGCGCCACACCGATTTTGCGCCTGTACGCTCTCTCTTCCAGAGCGTTTTCTTCCCGTCTTGCGACAGAGTCTGTCCAAGTCAACGATGCGCCGAGGCTGCGGCCCGCAGCAACGAGTTCGCGACAACAATGGGATGGCCACGCAGTTCGTCGTTGGGAATAGACAACGCAACCTCGATGGCACGAATACGGAGTCGGGGAGAAGCAGATCTCGAGAAGGAAGGTTTTCTAAATCGTCACCCACACAGCAGCGAAGACGATAGTAACGACACCTTCGACGAGGAAGAAGGAAACCCTTCGATCGCGTCCTCCCGAGCCACCTCTGCCTCCTACAAGCCCATGCTCATCAACAAAGCCTACAGCTCTAAACGTTCCTCTTCACCCTCCTACCTTGGCAGGATGCCTCGGTCCATTATGCGATATCTCTGCCTAGGGGTCGCTGTCGCCCTCCTCATCTTCATCTTTTCGCTGGTGCGAATGAGTTACGTCGCAGAACAGGAGGTGCAAGAAGCCATTGAACAAGAACAGGTGAAGCCTAAACCTCCCCCATGGGAAGGTTTTCCGTTTCTGCAAAGGTATTATGGCGGAATACGATCGATGGTGCCCGTCGTGGATAACGTGCCCGAGTACCCAAGGAAGGAGGACGAGGTGGAATGGGAGAAACTGAATATTACTGAAGAAGCTGCCGAAAACTTAACGCCAGACGAGGCGCAAACGCCAGACGAGGCGCAAACGCCAGACGAGGCGCAAACGCCAGACGAAGCCCGCCCTGCTAGAAAGGAAAGGAGAAAGAGAGCGATCCAGTCTAGCAAGAGATTCGAACCATATCCCAGCTACACTTCGCCAGAATACGTTGCCAAATACGGTCAAAAGGTGGACTGTTACCTGGATGCCGAGAATACCATCTCAATCCCACAGGTGCGGATATACGAGGGCATTCCATGGGGGTTTCCGGACATGGTCATGGGTTCTGCGAAGCTCCTGGGTCTCAGGGACGACATCTGCTATGACCGATTTGGGCGCCTGGGACCCTATGGCCTTGGGTACAGCATCAACCGAGGTGGAAGTGGTGCTCAGCAGGAAGGCGAAAGAGAAGGAGCTGATTTGGTGTGGCAGGAAGCGCCCGAAGTGGATTGGAGAAAAGTCCATTGGGTTGATGCTCAGCAAAGATGCGTGTTGGCAAATAATCACCGTTTCAAGGAACTGCCCGAGAAACCAAGAATCGACACGTTCCGAGCGATGCCAATCGGCACCGTCTACAACAAGAGAGACGATACTGTTGATTTTGAGGCCATGCCAACAACGACACCCGAGAGCCCCAAGAGGCCCAAGACCGGCTCAGAAAGACTTCCTCGGACGGCAGTTGTGATCCGCACTTGGTGGGATTACCCATACACGCCCGAAGACAAGATCTACCTTCGTTCCCTCATTTCAGAATTGACCATGTTGAGCGGTGGCGAGTATGTGGTGCATTTCCTGGTCCAAGTCAAATCCAACGACGTGCCCATATTTTCCGACGATGAAACCTACGAGCGTGTTCTTCGAGACTCATTACCCGAAGAATTCCGAGGCATGGGCACCCTCTGGACCGAAAAGCAGATGGAGCTCATGTACGGTGGTCTGGAAGAGACAAACATGCGCGAATTGCCTGTTCACGGAGTGTATCGCAGTACCTTTATGCCCATGCAATACTTCGCCTATCAGCATCCCGAGTACGATTTCTTCTGGAACTGGGAGATGGACATTCGAACCACACACCACTGGTACCATTTCTTCGACAGCGTCACGAAATGGGCCAAGCAACAACCACGCAAACTCCTCTGGGAGAGAAACAGCCGGTTTTATGTCCCATCCGAACACGGCGAATGGGAAGACTTTAGCCAAATGGTTCGCATCCAAACGGAACACGGCACAAACAGCATCGCCAATTTATGGAGCAGTCTGAACCGCGCAAACAAGGATCCCAACGACCCGAGCTCCAAGACTACCCCTCTGGGAGCGATGAAACAGCAAGGTGACAAACCAATCTGGGGCCCTGAACGACCCCTTGATGACGACGTCGCCATGGATACGGACCCGACTCCGCCCACCTCGTTTGAAAAGGACAAGTACACATGGGGTGTCGGCGAAGAAGCAGACCTGATTGTGTTCAACCCGCTGTTCGACCCCGATGGCACGACCTGGCTTCTGACGGATGACACCACGGGGTACAACATCACGCGTGGCCGTCCACCACGCCGGACCGCCATAATCACGGCGTCCCGTCTTTCTCGCAAATTACTGTTAACTATGCACAAGGAAACTGCCCTGAAGAAACACAGCATGTTCTCCGAGATGTGGCCCGCCTCCTGCGCGCTGCAACACGGCCTAAAAGCCGTTTACGTGCCTCACCCAGAATACGTCGACCGCAAATGGCCCACCAACTATCTCGCCTCAGTCTTCAATGCAGGCCGCAATGGCGCCACTGGCGGCGCCCGCACCTCCGTCTTTGGCGAGCGCGAGCATAACTTCCGAGGTACCACCTGGTATTACAATGCCGGGTTCCCCGAGGTTCTCTGGCATCGATGGTTGGGAATGAAGTTCAACAATGACGGCGGGGAACAGTGGGAGGTAGCAGGAGAAGGTAGGATGTGCCTGCCCGGCGTGCTGTTGCATCCAATCAAGAGAGTCGAGTTGGTGCAGGAAGGGAGGAGGGCGGATCAAGCTGGATGATGACAGTAAGGATGATTGCCATCCGAGCGAGCTGAGGCAATCAATAGCAATGAGGTGGACTATGGAATCTTTCACGGAAAATAGGTCGTAGGGACGGGGAGTCTTGGACATTAGCGACTCGGAGGAGCAATATACGCGCAACGTTTGCTGAGCCGGTGGTGTTAGAGCTACATATGTCCTACCTAGGTAGGTAGATGTGTATGTACGTACCAAGGTCTGCATCTACAATGTCGATACAACGCAACAACAACAACAACAACATCTTCACCAACACCAATATCAGTTTCGCGATAGTCCACTAGATCCAGCAGATCCAACAGAGCCTCGTATGGCGTAGCATAGCCGAGCCAGTACGTGTCACCAGTACGTGTCACCAGTGAGTGAGAAACTCTCGCCAACCTGATAAATAGCTGCAAGTAAAGTACGGAGGTAAGTGAGCACTCGGTACATAATTTGGACATGAGTGTACGCAGGAAGTCCATCATCTCCGCAAGACCAAATTGAATGGATGCGATGTGATGATGGGAACATTGCCAATTTTATCAAGCTAGCTAGCTTGTTTTTGCTCTTTATTCTCGATGTCAACCTTTTTGTTTGCACACAGATGGACACACGCACGCACAGCAGATTTCTCCTTGCAAGCAAGCACAAAGGTTCTTTTCGTTCTGGCTCAGATTACCCAAATCCAAAATATTTACACCCCTTCCCTAAACGCCATATGAGTCGGTCACCCGAAGGTATATGCAAGACAGTTGGTGGTAGCAGGGGATGTCAAGGGTGTGGCGACATTTTAGATGCCACTTTAGCAATGCATGTCGAACTTGGGCTGTCGGTCAGAAGTGAAAGATCCCCAGTGCTGCTCGCTCGCGGATTGACCGTTGTCACCAATGGCGTTCGCCTTGTTAGGCTCGTCAAAGGCCTCAAACCAGAACAGGTCAATGCCCCAGTCCAAAATGCCGCAGACGGCGGACTGCCAGTATGTCTTCATGTTGTTGTCGCCCGCCTTTGCAGCGCCAGCGTCCGAGCCACCGGTGCCTGGCCAACCCGTTTCTGGGAGAGTCGTTAGAGCTGGTTCGCAATGAAATGGCTTCAGGGCTTGTTCTTACCGCCGTTCATGAAATGGATCTTGTCCAGGCTGCCGCTGACTTCTTGAACGTGACCGAGGGCTTGCGCCATGTCATCGAAGTAGGTCTTTGTGGCATTGGAGATATCTTGGTATTGCCAGTAAGCAAAGCCATTGGCGAGGCTGTCCTTGGTCAGCACTGCCCCAAATAACGCACAGCTTTTGGTAGCTCTTACACTAGTTGAATGCCGCTCTGGATGATGGAATCCATGGTGCCATTGTTCCAACAATTCCAGCTGTCTGCAGTCCCAAGCTGCGTGTTGGGATAGGACTTTTGCATGTCTGCAATCCAACCTAGAAGCTCGCCGGCGTTGTAGGTGCCTCGGTACATGCCCTCTGAACCGATTGTGATGCCGTACAGTGTATCACCGTAAGATGTAGGGTCTGCTTCGTCAACCGCCGCCTTCTCCTTGTCGTAGGCACCACCATCAGGCCTAGCATATGTCCATTAGCCCAAGTTCAATAAGCCTGCGCCCTGGTGGATCACTCACCACATGCCCAACAACACCTTGATACCTGCAGACTTGGCAGCCGGGAGAACTTCTGAGGGAGTGTGGCAAGGATTGCCATACTGGTCGGAGGAAGAGTAGGTTCGAACTAGCTGAGCATCGGTATTGCTCAGGATAGCCTTGAAGTCGGCTTCGAAGTCGGATTGGGTCTTGCAGGTGCCATCGGGGTTGGTATTTCCCACGGCGAAGCCAAGTGTACCAGCTGCGGACACTGCCAGCGGTGCCGTAGCCAGAGCAGTGGAAAGAACGTCGCGGAGTTGCATGCTGGAGTTGTTGTTCAAGTCAGATCTTCACAAGGGATGGAAGGGGTTTCGAATTGTAAATCTCGTGCAGCAAAGAGTAAGGTTTGAGAAAAGAACGAACAGAAGAACTCTCGCGAGAAGTGAGTAGAATGACCAAAGAGAGTGACTGAAAAAAAGGTAGTGTTGCAAGACAAAGAGTGCGAATGGCTAATAGGAAGAAAATGGTCGACAACTGAAAGACAAACACGGTCTTTTCTCCAGAGGTTTGGAGGTTCATCCCTTGGATTGACGCGCCTGAACCACTGTCCCTGGACTATTCCCTTCCGGGAGCCATGCATTGCCGCCTTAATCTAACTGCGTCTCGTTGCGCTTGGCGCCAACTTGGCGCCAAGATTAATCAGGCTTTGGGGCGGAAAGGAAACCTGTTAAATATTATATCGCGTCTGATAGTCTTACATATCTGTTACACAGGTCTAGTAACGAATCAGATGCTAGTTCATCATGCCAAGCACAGCTCCAGTACATCCGAAGGAATAGTCCACGTCCTCATAATATCGTTCCGTGCCTGGAACTGCATGAGGAGGCCTGCCTCCATGTGCCAACTGATATGGCAATGCAGAGCCCACAATCCCGGGTTGTCTGCCTTAAAACGAAGGAGTGCCCAACCGTACGCATCAATCATGAGTGTGTCCCGTCGCATGACATTGGAAAGTGTCTTGTTCAATCCGCCGTAGGTCGACCAGTCGAAGTACTGATCGGGAGACGAGGCAAGAACCCAGAAAGTGTGACCGTGCAAATGGAACGGGTGTGCTCCTTCATCGTAGTTGGTGATCAAAAGATCCACGACGGCGTAGTCGGGGATGTCAATGATATACTGGTTGGCACTGAAGGCCGAGCTTACTCCAGAAGAGGTAAACGAGGTGTTGGCCGCCTGGAGTCCTGCTACAGCTTGATTCAATGTGGGCACATCGGCCATGACCCAGGAGGTTCCATTGATATAGGCGCGATCTAGAGCATAGTCTCCAATCTGGAAGTTAGCCGCTATAGCATACATTGTCGTGGCTGGTGGTGCTTCTGATTCGAAGAATGGTGTCAACAACGACGAGTTCAGGCCAACACATTGAACATCCATTGCATCCTTCCAGTCCGTCGAGTTCGTTGGTTCATCTGTGTTATTGGCATACGTTATCAGAGCCCTCACATTAGGGTCAAGGACTGGGTTGGGACCTCCAAAGCAAAATGTATTCATCTGTGCTCGCATCCAGTAGTTTGATCCTGCCGATTGATTGGCGTTGACGACGATCGAATATCTCTGCGCCACAGCAATATCAAGTCGGTGGACAGGGAGGGGTTCCGTCGCAGTCCCATCCGCTTCGATGACGAAAAGAGGGTGATTGTCGATGGAGAATTCAAATGTGGCGAATGCGCCCGTGTTGATCAAGCGATACCGATAACGCTTGCCGTGCTGGACTGTAAACACTGCACGGGTCGAATTTTGCTCGCAGACATAGCCACTGTCAGAATCGACCGCTGAACAGTTGAAATAGTTGGTTCCCTGGATCACGCCATTGTCGGGTACAGGTTCGCTGTTTTCACTTCCACTGGCGAGATAGTCGGGGAGAAGGGCCTGACTATAGTCGTGGTACCAATCTTGTATGAGCACAACTTGGTCCACATCATAGTACTTCTGCATTTTAAGTTCATCCGGCGAATGAATAATCAGCGGTCCGACTGGGCCATCTCCGTTTGTGGTCGAATAGTGGGTGTGATACCAATAAGTTCCGAATTGGTTTTCCACGGTGAAGTTGTAAGTGAAACTTGCACCCGGAGGAATTGGGCATTGAGTTATCCCGGAAGTCCCATCCATCCAATTTGTGCCATTCTGATAAAGACCGTGCCAGTGAAAGGCAGTCCCGTTCGGTAGGTTGTTTTGGACATGAATTAGGAGGCGGTCACCCATATTAGCACGGATCAGCGGACCCGGGAAACGACCATTGATGGCGACGACCGGGCGAAAGACACCATCCGGTGACAGCTCAATTTCGCTGACGGTGAAGTTATATTCTCGTGTGGTCGGCAGTGCATTGAAGTCCCAGCTTGCTATGTCGAGGGTGTAGTCTTCCACATTTGATCTCCACGGAGGAACTACCATCGATGCTTGCGAATCCTCGCTGGGCGACGAACTGTTTGACGGCGAAGGAGACCCGGCGGTGCTGTTCGGTTGTCCTTTGTTGGAGTGTTTTAGTCCCAAACCAAGACCCAGCCCTAGCGCCAGTCCCAGGACAACTACCACAACAACCACGAAGAGTGCGAGATACGTTGTTCTCCGCGAGGCTCTCGAATGAACTCCTCCATCTTTCGCACCTAGTGCAGCTCCAGCACCCAAAGTGGGAGCGAACTTCTGCTCCTCAGCAGCCTTTGGCTCTGCAGACGTATTTTGGGCCATTTTCTTGACAGTGCGTTCAAAGTCGATGGCACGCAGTCGACAACAGGGGGGTGTCGAATGACCCGTGCAGATAAACACGAAGAAATCTAATCTCACCAGCGGGGCGTATGTTCAAGTTTGCCACAGACACTTCCCTCGCTGATTGCCGCCGTGGCGGAGGGAGAGAGTCCACGAATGATTCGCATCGCCGTCACCGGGCAGCTCGCCGGTCTAGCCGTTTGAACCGCTTGCAAATCCTTTGCCATTCCAACTGCCCAGGTTGGTGTGGGCGCACGTTGCAGCTCGGATGGCCACCAACGCAAATGGCAAGGCTGATTTTGGGTCGGGCTCGGGTAAGAATGACATAGATACTTACCTTTGGCGCTGCTCGCCGTTGCCCTGGCGAGCGAGACTGAGAGGCGGCCATACTCCGAAAGCCTCTGAAGGCGAGCCTTTCCGCGTGCTCCATCCTATGAGAGTGAACACGTTTCCAAGCAGCCTGTCCCTGCGCGAAGCTTGCTAAAGATGCATGAGGTTGGAATCGAGAAGTGCAGTTGGAAGAAAGAAACTAAAGCCAAGCCGCACGTGCTCCAACCTCACAATTGGTTGGCCCGATGCCTTGGCGTCCGCTGCTTAGCCTCACTAGCCTTGTTGGCAGCGTCGTATGGGACCCCCACCTAGGCCCCACTGGATCCGCCCTGGATCCACCAAGCCCCCATCGCTGTCTCCACTCTGCGCTCAAGCTTCAACAAGCAAGACAAGGCATTCTAGAGATCGTACCGCTAAAAGCTTCTTCTGCAGCTTTGTTTGGTGGGTTCTCTGCCCCTCACAACACGCTTTGCAGCTACTCTAGCGACCAGGAAAGGTGACACTGAGATGTGCGATTGCCCAAAGCCTGCTCGAAAGATTCGCCGCGAGGGAGCGCATGCTCACAGCTGTGGACCAGCGGCAACGAGAGCTCCCAGGACCCTGGGAACGTGGCCTGGCATGACATCGAAGCTCTGGGTTCTTCTACGTACCTCCACTGGCAAACCATATAAGGGCTCATCGCTCTTGAGACTGTCTCCCTGGTTCTGCCAGATCCTGCATAACACGAGCTGTATTGGTAACATCCTCGAGAAGCTCTTTCATCATGATGAACTCTATCGCTTTGCTCGTTGCTGCGGGCTCTCTAGCAGCTGCCTCTCCTTACGCATCCCGTCCTCCCGTCCCTACCATTGAACCTACGCTCACCCAAATAGAGCAGACCGCTGCCACCGCACTCAGCCTGTCACCCGTGAGCAATGTCAAGGGAGTTGCGTTCAACCGTTTCTACCAGATCTGGCTGGAGAACACCGACTACTCTGCCGCCGCCGGCGACCCGAACCAGCAGTTCCTTGCCTCGCAAGGTATCACGTTGACCAACTACTTCGCCGCGACCCACCCCTCTGAGCCCAACTACTGTGCTGCAGCCGGCGGTGACACTTTTGGCATGGACAACGATGACTTCAATCAGATCCCCGCAGACGTTGCCACCGTCGTCGACCTTCTTGACACCAAGGGAATCAGCTGGGCTGAGTATCAGGAAGACATCCCTTTCCCTGGCTTCCAAGGCTTCAACTACTCCAACCAGGTTACCTTTGCCAACGACTACGTGCGCAAGCACAATCCTTTGATGCTGTACAGGTCGGTCACGAACAATGCCACCCGACGCGCGATGATCAAGGGCTTCAATGGCTTTGACAGCGATCTCGCGAACCACACTTTGCCTCAATGGGCATTCATCACTCCCAACATGACGAACGATGCACATGACACCAACGTCACCTTCTCTTCTCAATGGCTGCGGAAGTTCATGACTCCGCTCTTGGCCAACGAGTACTTCATGAACGACACGCTTGTTCTTGTGACCTTCGATGAGAACGAATCATATGGAATCCAGAACAAAGTCTTCTCTATCCTTCTGGGTGGCGCCATTCCTGCACACTTGAAGGGCACAAAGGACAACACATTTTATAATCACTACTCGACGATTGCCAGTGTCTCGCAGAACTGGGGTCTTCCATCCCTCGGACGCTGGGACTGCCACGCTAACATCTTCGAGCTTGTGGCAAACAAGACCGGATACAAGAACGCTAAGATCAACACTAAGGGACTCTTCTTCAATTCGTCGTACCCTGGCCCCCTCTCTGACGACGAGTATGTCTCTGCCTGGCCAATCCCAACCAACGCCTCGACCTGTGCCCATGGCAAAGGTGTCTTGAAGTCTGTGGTCAACACCTACAAGGGAAAGGCCGCTACCTTGAACTACACGAACCCATATCCTTATGACGCCCTGACTGGCAACAACGTGCCATAAGAGCTCCAGGGCAATGTCCGGCGTAAGAAAGCGTGCTATGTGATTGGCCGTGTACTACGAATGAACCAGAGATAGCTAGTTAATAAGCAAAATAGTCCAAATGAGATACTACAAATATATTCCTCTGCCTGATTCGTCGCCAGATCGCCGACTTAAGTGATTACCCTGGAAGATTCCTGCTTGCAATTTTTACGTCACGTCAAGACCAAACAGCGTAGACCTGATTTCTCGCCCGGGAAGCCGTGTGCTGCAATGTAATTTCTTCCAAAAACCCGGCCCGGTACCTCGTGATGACCGCGAGAAGCGAAGGAGCCACAGACGGTATTCGGCATCAATTAGCATGCTAGACGTTTGTAAATAGCTCATGATTATTTGGCCGAGCGGCAAGGGGTGAGGCCCCGGAGGAGGAACCATGGTACCCACCGTGATCGCCTAAGCATCCCCGAACCTGAATCCTGGCGGCTTGTGTTCGGTGAGTGCCGTACCTTGACCCTACGATTGGCTACGTCCAAACGAGGTACCCAAAGCAGCAACTCCTTCCATAGACCAATGACAACGGCAGAGATAACAAACCATCCTTCTGGAATCCTTCCACGACGACTAGTCTATTGCAGAGAATTGAACAGCCTAACAACGCCCATGGCACAACCTGCTGCTGCGCCTCCAATTATCACCATCTGCCCCGCACCCGCAAGATTGCACTTCATGCTTCCCCAACCTCGCCAGCCCTCGACAAACCCAGTCTTGACGTATCCAAAAACAAAGAGTGCAACAACCATCACGCTAATGCTCCATATCAGCCCTTCCGTGACGTGACTCGCGAAGAAATATGGGAGTAGTGGTACGAAGCCACCAATGAAATATCCCAACGCGATTGTAATGGCACAGACTACCGCCCGACTGGGCGCGGGTTCAGGCGTGTTGTGCTGGAAGTGCATGAGGAAGTCCACAACTGCTTCTGGACTGTTGGAGGTAATGAGTTGATGAGTAAAGTCCTTGAGGAGGGAGGGTGAGAGATGGTAGGGTGCGAATATGGATGTGATCTCCGAGGACAGATTGCCGCTTGATTCCAGAACTTGTGACCGTGTCGAGCGGTATGTGGCATTGTATGCTGCTTCTTCACTTTTTGCACCTAAGTAGCCACCCAAGCCCATTGAGATTGCTCCTGCGATGAGCTCAGCGAGACCACCAAAAACAACAACTTTTGTATCGCCTAGAGCAGAGAGACCGGCGGTGAGAGCGAAGGGCACTGTCAAGCCGTCTGAAAGACCGATGATGGCATCAGATACTATTCTTGCATTGACGGGGCTGCGTTCTCTTTCTGAAGTTGGTTGAGGTCCTTCACAGACAGTCTCTGCGGAGGTCTGACTGCTGGTTTCGATCGCATCGTCTCCTTTGGTGTGGCAGGATGCTTGTCCCAACATGGCGTCTTTCTCTGTGTCAGCGGGTACTGTTGTATACGAGCGCTTCATCAGAGCTCTGAGCATGGAAGCCATTGCATTGGTATCTTCGAAGCTTTCGATTGACATCTTGTAACGAAAAGGCTTTATGAGGATAGATCCTTGGTGGACAACCTTTTCTGCTGTCAAGCTAGAGAACTAAGGTCCTCGGCAGCTCTAGAGATCGAGAGGAGAGAAAAAAACAGAGCTCGAGGAGGGACTTGTGCAATGGGGGGAGGCTGGGCGTATCCAGGCTATAGAGATCCCTCAGCATCCGCAAGCCTCACCGGCTTTACCTTGCCCAGTAATGGGGTGTTGTACGAATGTAACACAATCAAGAGTTGAAGCCGTGAGGCAGCAAGCTTGCGTTCATCTCCTACCTTCCTGATGGAGATTCACGTCAAGTACTTGACATGGGATCGATGACAAAAACTTTGCCTAGTGGGAGAACAACGGAATAACTGTCAATTGAACGCCTGTCGACGGGCAACGTGCCCAGCTTCGACAGAACAAAATTCCATGGCCTATGGCTTTTAGCGTGGCGGAAGGAAGAAACTGGAAGCAGCTCAGGAACTTAACTTCCATGCAGAATGACGATTGTGTTGCCTGGCCACCTGAGCTTCATGGACAACGTGCCTTGTCAGCTGCAAAGAAGCGAAGATGATTGGCGATTGAAACAAGAGTCGGGACAAGCATGGGCCAAGCTCCCCAAGCTCCCTTTCCCACCAGAGCATTAGCACTATACTAATACAGTAGTAAGTGGGTCACAAACCTAATGCACGCTCCGCCCAGCTGGGCTTGAGGTGCTCCAGGCGCCCCACGACCCCCACTTCACGAGGCTATCAGGCTTTCTGTCCATTCTCAATGGCAGCTCTCTTTTGTATTCCAACATCCGGGCAATCAATGCAGCACCTTGTCCAAGCTCGCTACCCACTTGCTACCTTTGCACGCCCTCAAACTCGGACACGTTGTTTTCCCATTCTCAGAAGGTGACATGCCGGTCGTCGAGCGCTGTCCGAATGCCAAAGGAACGTGTCGACGAGGATACACAGCATTGGCTGTTTGATCTTTGCACGGTACCTGGGATGAGAGGTTATAGCATCACGTTGACCACCAGCGGTAAAGACCGTCCGGGAGAACGCCGCTGAGGGAAAATTTGTCTCTTCAATGCATGAGATAGAAGGCATAAAACTGAGTGCCCTGCCTCCTCCTTTGGAAAGCTGCCAAGCGCAAAACCCACGCAAAGTAGCCTGTTGTTCAGAATGCTGTCCCCTCTGTCTTTCCTGGGTGCTTCCGCGCTCATCAGCTCTGCTGTTGCTGTCCCAGTCAACCGACGGGCAGCAACATGGCAAAATCTAAGCTCCAAAATCACCCATGTTGTATACCTCATGATGGAGAACCACTCCTTCGACAACATAGCTGGATACTGGGACTTTAATGATATTGACAACTTGCGCAACATCACTTTCTGCAACGAGTTCACCAACCCAAACTGGACGGTCTGGAACGAGCCTTTGCTGATCTGCGCCGGCAAATACGAGGCTGAAGTGCCCCTCAAAGACCCGGACCATAACTTTGCGGGCACCAGCTACGAGATCTATCGCAAATGGCAACCAACAGCTGACGATGTCCCTGACATGTCAGGCTTCATCGAGAGACAGTCCGAAAGGTACAACGCCACTCCAGGAGACTCCTCTTTTGTCATCAAGGCTTACGACCCCAAAATGGCGACCACGCTCTCCACATTGGCCCAAAACTATGCTTTCTGGGACACTTACCACGCAGAGCACCCTGGACCTACCAACCCAAACAGACAGTTCGCAACCTCAGGTTCGACATGCGGCTATGTCGACAACACCAACCAATCCGCTGGCTGGTTCATGAACACCACGGGCACGAGCTGTGCAGTCTCCATCTTTGAGGCCTTGTCCAACAAGAACATCAGCTGGAAAAACTACTACGAAACCGACATCATCGATGCGTACATGTATAAGTGGGTCCAGGACAACGCCATGGACAGACTCGTGCATGCGGACCAATTTTACAAGGACCTCGCCAACAACGAGCTGCCGCAATTCTCGTACATCAACCCCGAATGCTGCACCATCGACTCCATGCACCCTACCAGCAACATGGCCGCTGGAGAAATGATGATCAAGCATCTCTACGATGCTCTCCGTAACTCTTCCTATTGGGACAATCTGTGCGTCTTCTCTCCTCGCTTTTTTCCCCGCAGACTGTCTTGGCTAACAGATCTTCACTCTAAAAGGCTCCTTATCATGTAAGTCTCCACACAAAAGCCACCGTATGAATTGTTTCTCGCGGTCTCGCTCTTACTTGAAGCCACATCTTTCCCGACATATCGCTCTTCGATGCTAACTCCGGGGTAGCAACTTCGACGAGCACGGAGGTTTCGCCGACCACGTCCCTCCTCCGGTGGGTATCCCTGCGCCTGAAGACGGCATCACCTTCTCTGGCATGTCCGACGGCCACAACGTCACCTACGACTACACACGGCTGGGCGTCCGAGTGCCCGCGTTCGCCATCTCCCCCTGGATCTCGCCCAACACGCTCATCCACAACCAGGGGACCATGTACGCCGAGAACTCGGCCTACACGCACACGTCGTTCCTGCACTTCTTGCAGGAACTGTGGGGCCTTGAGGGTTTGAACAACCGTGTCCAGTGGGCCAAGACGTTCGAGTACATCTTCGCCGACACCCCGCAAGAGGGCGGCGGCCTGATGAGCCTGCCCAGCCCCGTCTGGCACGCTGGATTCGGTCAGCCGGAGCCAGATGCCTTCTATCTGCTGAACCAGGATGAGGGCTATTACGCCAGCTTAGCTTGATGAGATAATGAAATTAATATAGTCAGCCCTTACGGCATGCAGATTTCAAACTTACATAGTTAACTCGGAAAATAAAATCTAGATTCGAACTTTCAAATCTCGCTGTGTCAGAATCGGCAGAACAACGCCTAACAGCACTTCAGTGAACGCCAGCTCCTATGTAGAGCTCGCTGAATTCGAGAGAGTCGATAAAGCCAACATGCTAAGCGTTAAGGCAAGCTGTGATATCAGTAAAATGCACACTGATTCATAGTGTCACATTTCCAATGCTTCTGGTCGTCGCCGCTGTCAGATAACGCAGCTCCTTGTTCAAACCGGCTGACGTAAACAGGGATTATGGTATCGCGGCTTCAGCACTCCTCCCCGTGCAGGGCCTAGAGTTAGAACAATCTAGTTCCAAGATCTTTGTTCCCCGCAAGAGCGAAAGCAGAGACCGAAAACACCCCCATGTCCTTACAGGCACTGTTCCAATCAAGCATTGACCCGTTGCCAAACATCCGAGCCGCCGAGCAATGCACTAACCGTGCCTGCAACGCCAACTGTGACGGGATCGAGTTGGAGCAAGCCCACCGCTGCACCTGGTATCAGCAAATCACAGCTGTCAATTGCCAGTTGCCTGTAGACAGCGCGGCGTTTTGCGGATTTAGCATGTCCTGCTTTCGACTGTGGCGGCTCATTGGCCACGCCCTTGTCACCAGTCTTTTCGATGATGGTTGAGGTAGCCTCCTTCTGGTAGGCTGGCTGGTCGCTTTGCGACGATGCGGAGTCGGAGTAAACAAATAAGAGTTCGTATAGATCCAAGGCAACAGAAACTGACAACGCATAGAACCAGAATTTCAACGATTCAGTTTGCATGGTCACCGCCCAAGGTCGCCAAGTCCCGAGAACTGCATCGACCTAGTTGATTAGATTAAACGCCTTTAGTCAGCCTTATATCAGAGGTAACTTGCGATACTGAGGCAGAGTACGCACAATTGTAAACATCTCCAAGAAAAGATACATGCCGAGCAAGGACCACTTTGAGACAATGAGGAGAAAATGGATGTTGTTTTGAGCGACTTGTGGCTGAGATTGTTTCGGTAGTTTCTGCTTCGCTGTCTTACTTGTTGTTAGAAAGGACTGGTACTGGTTGTGCGCCAGATTCCAGCAGTCGATCCATTTGAAGAGGCGAAGATACCGACGTGCTGGACATCCGAGGTCATCAGTCACCGATCTTCCGAGCACAATTTCAAGTTGCCGCCGGTCAGAGGAGGTATGCATGGTGTCGTCAACCATAGTGGAAGGTGCTCACCGAGCGCAAATTGATTCTTAGCGGTTAGCCACTGGGCAGCCTCGTTGGGTGACAGGTAACCGATAGTTGCGGCGATTTGCGAAGTCGACTGTAAGAACTTAAGGCTCTTCTCAACCCCAACTATTGTGTTCCAAAGAGTTGCATATCAGCACCAATGTCTCGTTGTACCGCTAGCGCCATCGAAAGCAAACGGAGTCGGCTTGCTTTGACGCCTTTCGACACTCGTTCGAGCAGGAGAACCAGGGGAATTGATTGCTTACGGGCGTCATTCGAGAATCTCGTTACAAACTCCAACATCTTCAAAGGATGATCGGGCGGGGAGAAGCTGACAGACTCGGGGAAGTGACAAAATGAGAGCACAAATATTGCAGTTTCATCCGAACTTGAAAAGAAACCTGCAATGTCTGCGCTCCATTGAAGGGGAGAGGTGGCTGATTCGGCGAAGCCCGCTAACTGGTTGGCTCCTTCGGCCTGGAGCACGCCATCACCACATACCGTGGTATCGATCCATCCAGGTAGCTGCGCATGGCTTTCAATCGGGTACGGGAGTAGCCATACATCAGTAAAAGGTTCTATGGTCTTCTGGAGCAGAGACATTTACCGAGTACAGTGACATCGAGGAGAAGACAGACAGAGAGAGGCTGGAAAAGTAAAAGCGGCGAGGGAAGAACCTATTTCGGCACTAGTTTGTTGTTTCTGGCCTCCGCAGTTTATCCGACAATTCGAACACAACTTCATTGCGTCTTCGCAGGGCCAGTGCACTCTTGCGAAACCTGTAACAACCAGGGCCAATCCAGCATGCCGCTAATTTCGCGACTTCTAGTCCTTGTTGGACTTTTGTCCCTGTTCCATGCGTATGCGTGCCGCAGAACCCGTTTGTTAAGATTTCGAGTACTGACGGACATAATGCAGGGCCTACTCCGCTCACGAATTCTCGACTCTCTCCACAAAACTCCATAAGAACGCCGCTCTTCCTCTCGACATCAAGCTCGAAACCCTGATCTCAGTATTCCTTGCATGTTTCGGTCTTATACTGGGCTCCGAGCCGTTGAAACCCGTCAGCTGGAGCGCATGGGCGGGGCAGATTGAGCGAGAAGGTGGAGGAGCGAATCCCTTTCGGGGGTTGGAGGAGAGGGTGGGCTTTATGGATATCAGGGCTCAGAGGAGAGCTTTTGCAGAGTGGGCGAAACAACAAGGCGGCGGGTCCAAAAGTTGAAATGGTCATGAGTGAAACGTCAATTAAGATCTTCCGCTTTGGGAGAGGGAAACCCAGGCATACGGGAGGGATTATCAAAATAGCGGAGACTGGATTACGCCGATTCTCGATCCTATACTTCTCAGTCATTAGAGGCCCCGAAACGATGGCCACTTCAACCAAGGCTATCTGCCGCGAGCAGATCAGTCCCTCACTCAGTGCGACTTTCCTCGACCAGTGCAGTGCTCACTCAGTTGCTGGATTCTTTGAATAGGTGGCAAACCACCGAAAAGCGGCTTCGGCGGGCAAATGTCCATCCGTTCCGTTATTCGTTAAGGAGGCTAGACGAAGAAGCAAACGGCCGTGAGTCTCATTTCCCCCGGGGTACCATCATCTCCGCAGTCGTGGAACGTGAAGTGGGCCTATGTACGGAGTACTTCAAAGATATCAGGTAACGATCGATGGATGTTCGAATTGTTCAAGTATTGGACATCCTCCACAATCGCAGTCGAGAAAGTGACAGGAGGTCTATATCGATCCGGAAGAGGACGCGCATATCACGACAACACCTAAGTAGAAATCAAGAAATAATCTCCAAATTTTAATTCAACTAATTTATTCGATTAGAAAAGCCTTCTTAACGGGGCAATAATCTGCTCTATCTAGAGCCCTTCGCGAGACACATTGTTCATATGGCGCGTCATACGCCGTGGCGCTTCTCTGTCGTGATACATTGATCGATACGATCCATTTCCGTATCGTCGGGAGTCCTGTTTTCCATCATATCCTCATTACAGTCATAACTTTCAGGGCTGAATCAACTCCATGTTAGCCGCTTTCAATATCCACCATTCGCATGCGTTATGCATACAACCCCCGGGGTTAGAAAGCTTCATCGTAGATGACGAGGATTCTTTTTTTCTTTCTCTCTTTTTCTCAGAAGGACAACAATTTATAGGTCCAAATGCTGAGGAGTTCACAGCAAGGAGAAGCCAAGAGCGGCCACAAGAAGGCCGAGACCAGCACCGGCGACTTTGTTCGTGACTGCTGCGCCAGTGACTTGGGCGAATGTGGCTATGGCGGTCCCTGATGAGGTGGTTGAAACGCTATTGTACGAGCTCCCACTGATCGTGCTGGTCGCGAGAGTCGTGGGACCGGACGAAATACTCTGGGTCGATGTGGTGCTGGAACCGTTGCCGTAGTAGTATCCCGAGTAGCTGGGTAGAGTCGGCGAAACGGGCTGGCTGGTGACGACGGCGGGCTGCGTGGGCTGAGACGTCACGACCGAAGGCATGCCGGTGATGACTCCCAGGGAATTGGTCATGGAAGTGTAGATCGTGAAGGGATTCTCGTAGGACGATGTCGACCACGATGAGACCTCTTCGGTTGTGCTGGGTGACCACGACGTCGAAGACTCGGTAGGCAAACTTGTTGAGGCGACTGGGCCTTGGAGCTGACCGTCTGATATCTGGGAAACGGCTGACATGGTGACGTCTGCGCGTGTCATTTGCAGGAGGAAAGCGATGACAAGGGAGAGTGAGGAAAGCGTGGTCTGTGAAGTGTACATTTTGTTGATGTAGTAGACGAAAATCTAGCTGTCTGCCCTGTCCACTGCGAGCTGATGCGGTTTAAATGTGCTTGAATTCTCTTCTCAGAAATGCGTAGAGGTACGCTATCAGTGCAAGGGAGTCGTTTCTCACAGGGTGAATAATTGATGTTGCTGGAGGGCGAGAGACTCAGACAGGAGGATCGAAGTTGATTGAAGTGAAGGAGATCAGGCCAGATGTTTGCAGCAGCTTTTCTCTTTCAGAGCTTATATATGTTACCCCTTCGCCGCAACCGCCGTATGTGCATATCAACCAACCCCCCTTCTGGCCTTCTATTTGTTCAGTAGCAGAAGGCTAGAAATGGAAAAATATGTTGGCGGGCCACTGGACTATTCTTTGTTTGCAGATGGAAGACGCCAATGACGTGCAGGAAAATGCGAATCAAGTGGGTCGATGCTAGCCTAAAGTGGCAGGGTGCGTGGCTGGTTGCAGTCTTATTGGAGGTTGGAGCGGTTGGGTGGGTGATGGCTGGGGTCTGTGCGCTGGGTTTCAGGTGTCAGCCCCTGCCCGCGCTATCCCTTGTTATAGCTTTTCAGGGGTGGAAGCAGGGGGGCGAGGGGGGTTTACGGAGTAGAATACTGAGTATCTCGTACGAGGTACATACTGTGAACGAAAAGCAGCATTCTGCCTACGTAACAGGACAAAGCTCGATGGGCTCTCAAGGTTTAGTGGTTCACGATACCGGGTACTCGTGAACCTTTCGCGCCAGCCATTGGGCATTCTCTAAACAACCCAGTCCATCTTATGTACAGATTACTCTCTACCTAGCACCGAGTGCTCCGGACAGGTTATGAATGGGTTCATTTTCTCTTGACTGGAATTACCGGGCCACGTACTTGGCAAGTGGGTGGCAACATGGTGTCCCAGCCGCCAAGGTGGCATACCAACGACACGACGCGAGCCTCCCGTTTAACAGTATTCACGGAATTCGCTTGAACGCTCTGACCAACACTCGGTACAAAGAAGATCTAGAACAACCTGGACATCTTCCACCCCTTGAACTCAAAGTCTTCGGATACCTATCCGCGGCAGCCTTTTCTTCGCTGCACTTATGTTCGAGGTTCTTCGTGTGGCGGGCGATATCGACGCCGGCAATTGGCAGAGCAGACTTGGCTTATTTTGTGCCATTATGGTTTGCTCTTCATGTTCGTTTCTATGGTTCTCGAGTTCACCGGAGACGCCCGGAAAAACTGACTTGCTCTGGTCAGGCGCAGCGGCCCGCGTTGTTTTAGGTGACTTTCTCTTTGGTTCTCCGATTGCTTCGGACGAAGTTTGCACGTCACTTTCTTCGGACAAGGCTATTTCCGAGAGTGAGCGCTTGTCTTTCATCCTCGTCTGTGCACAGTTAAACGCTGTGTTTGATTCACTCGGCTCGTTCTCTTTCGTGTCGTCCTCTGGAGTCTTTCCTCGAGAAGATGAACGTTTCTCTGTTGACCCATGCTCAGGTTCCTCCCCACGGCGCTTCGCTTCCTGGACAGCATCTGACAGATGCTTCGGAATGGGCGCATGAATCCTCGTCATCAACTGCGCTTGTGTAGAAAAGCTGTCGTAGCTTTCTTGTATCAGAGCCCCTGCAGCAGCATTTAATGCAGAGTCAGGATTGGGTTGAATCAACAAGCATGATATGGTGACCAGGATGTCTTTCAGAGTTAACTTGGGATCCCAATCTCTTTTCAACGTCTCCAGACACACTGCTCCAGTCGTAGGATCCACATTTGGATGGTAAATTCGGGTCTGGAAGGTGGCTTTCGGAGGACTTTTGGGGTAGTCCAGGGGCATTTTCAGATGTAGACGCCATAATCCTTTGGAATAGGGCGTGCCCTCAGCGCCGGTGATACAGACGACGAGCTGGGTGAGATCGTCTTGGAGCGATGAGCCATGGTCGCTTTCTGGGAACAGGTAATTTGGAGGTAGCGCAGATCGCAGTGCTGCATGATCTTTGGCGAGACGACGGAGAGAAGCCTTTCCTGTTGTTAGACCTGCGCGACACGAAAATCGCTGAGGGGAGTGGTCCCAGGATTGCACATTGGTAAGAGGTCTCAGAGGTCTCATTTCAGCTGTGCTGCGACGGGCATGATTGTACCTACCATAGGACTCATGTACTTTGAGAGGCGTCTATGAATACACCGATATCTCTTTTCTGGATATGGCTATGTTGGTATCTGTTGGGCGCAGCCACTGCTGGGGAATATCGCGTCAACGCGTTTCACTTTTCTTGTCGGAACAATGTTTCTCCATCCGCGTGTTGACGTCACTGCCCGTTGGTGCAGTCGCGGCTCGGAGACTCGAAGACGAGCAGAGCTATCTTTCCTGCGCTTTACAGCGACGTGCAGTATTCCCTTATTCTTCATCCTCTTCTTCATTGCCATGGTCCTCGCTGACCTCTCCTGTGAGTTTGGGACTCAACGGTCCCTCTCTTGTCCAAATATTCAACCCTACCTTCTCCCCAGAAGTCACCACGCTTCCTGAGTGGATAACCCTTTGGTCCCCTCGGCCACCAACCAGATTCACCCAAAACACCGCGTTCCCAGGAATGGGAAGAAAGGTCACACCCTCGTCAAATGGGGTGTCACAATCGATATATTCACACCAATGTTCGTCCTTTGGCGCATCTAGCAGTGGGAATGTCGTGCCGCCGGCGGAAATGTCTGCACTTGCTTTCACGTATGCAAAGAACAATGTCAGACGGTTCCCACCGTGCGAGCGGGTCGTCTGCGCCGCAGACGTGAACCAGTCCGTGTGAAGATCGTAAGTCTCGTTGGCATGGCATCGCACTAATTGCAACGGCTCAAGGTGTGAGTGAGGGGCGTCAAATCCCTGGAAGCGCGGAGCGCGCTCTTCAATGCAGCGCGTCACAGCATCGCGGGAAGCAGTGGCAGACTTAGAACGTCGCGTGCTACGAAGGGTTTGGGTACCGTCCTGGTCGGCTGTTTGGGAGCTAATGAAGGCTGAGGAGCTATGAATGAAGGTAAGCTTGAGATCAGGATACTTCGGGAATATTGCGCACACGACCTACCTCATTCGAAGGAGGTGCTCGCACTCGAAAGTGATGAGAAAGTTGGCTATGTAAACCACGAGCGGATCGCGAGAGAGGAGGTGGATGGTGTAGGGAGGGTGTGTACATTCTGGGGAAAGGTTGCCTGGCTGTTGAATGCGGCAACATGGCCGGCGGTTGATACAGTACATATATACATACTGTGTCAGGCTGGCGATAAGATAACAGCTCCCGAAGATCTTCATCTTGGAGGTCAACATCAGTGCAGGCAGATTCCAACCTTCACAAATGGTCGACAAACTTCTTGAGCCCGCAGGTTACGACGATGAGGCCGTGAATCCCCTTATACAATCAGCTCTCCTGAAGATGGAACAGCTATCCTATCTTCCTTTACTGCTGCCCCTTGAAGTGGCTCCTCTCCCTCGTGTGTTTCACCGCTGCAGCTTACAAGGCCTCTCTCAGCGGACACCATGAGGAGTATCAGACCCATTCCTCACATCTCTTCAATGTCCTCAACTCCCTATTTCTGTGGAAATGTTGGTCTCTGGTCGAGTCATCCTTGGTAGTCTGGCGGCCGCAGTCCACGCACAATGGCACCATGGGTCCAGCATCGACTTCCATTCAATTCTCGACTCCAATCCTCTCACGCTCGTAGCGTTTGTCGCGGTATCTAATGTCCCTGATTAGAGCTCGCGAATCCTTTTTCCTGACGTGGAATTCAGCCATGGACAGCTCCAAGCAAATCCCTTGCTTCGGAATGGGCGACCGCGAAGTTCCAACTCACTTACCCGCTCGTGAGCATAGACTGGACTGCGGAACCATCCCTGTGCACTGCGCACAAGGTGCATTCCTATCCTGCTATACGCCTCTTCCATGTTCCCGATGAATCGACGCGATACGGGGGGCCGCGCAAAGCATCTGCCATCGTTTCCTTCGTTGTGCGCGCCTCGCTTCCAGCAGTCTCGGAGGTGAATGTCAAAAACATTACGGACTTGGTTGGGATAGATCGCGTGACGGTCGTGGCGCATCTGAAGATAGATGAGGGTTCTATGAGGTCAAAGTTCACAAGGGTTGCAGAGGCATTCCGTAACCAGTTCGTCTTTGGAATTGCGGACGACAAGAGACTGGCGCAGAAAGAGAAGATAGAGTTTCCCTCTATCATTGCTTATAAGACGGATGTTGGCGATCAAGAGGTTCTGCATGGCGCCGTAAAACGCTCCGTCATTGAGAGCTTCGTCCTTGAGGCTGGCAAACCCCTCATAGATGAGCTGACTCGACGAAACGAACTCAACTATATGAGCGTAATTTCCATCAACATTCTTCTGATGCGAGATGGATGCTGGCCCCTCACGTCAACAGTCCCATGAACTCATCGCGTATATCTTCGTCACCGACGCAGCCGACCGCGCCTCACTCCGTCGAAAGTTTCACCCCGTCGCAAAGCAGTACAAGGACTGCGTCAACTTTGTCACCATCGACGGCATTGAATATGGTCACATTTCCCCAAGCCTTGGACTGCATAGGGGCCACTACCCCGGGTTTACCGTGTACAGCGCTTGGAAGGATCAGGTGTTTCCGTATCCGGCGGTCAAAGGAATCGGGGCGGACAACATAGAAGAATTTCTGTTGGAGATCTTGCATGGGAAGAGAGCGCCATGGAACCCGGCTGGTGCGGGACATGGACAGCATGACGAGTTGTAGAGGACAATGATACCAAATTGCCCAGCACTTTGCGGAAGTGAAAGAGACCGATATGGATTTGGGTAAAGGGACACGTGTTTGGGCAAGAATGGCAATGCCCTCTATACCGAGTAACAAGAGGAGTATGGTCTCGGCAGTCTCATCTCATAAACAGATTGTCCAAAGTATCACTCAGCCTGGCCTCGCGTATGTCGTATGTACTGGTTATGTCGGAAGCGTCGAGGTGGTGGCTGCGTTCGTGTCATCAGCCACTCACCACAGGAGCGGCTGCTCGATCTCATACCCGTGCAGAGACAGCCGGGGGTGAGCCACTATGAGGATCTAAAAACATTGCTGTCCAGGCATGATGGGGAATTTCAGCAAGCTGGTCTTTTCTTGGGAGATGTGCTCGGTTCCTCCTCTTTGACCAATTGCAAGGGCCGCGTTCCTGCAGCCTCGCACCCAGCCCGATTGATTGCTTGCTCGTTCTTTTGTGCGTGTTCGGTAAGGAAGCGGCAATGCGTCGAGGCTACTCCGGACATGGTACTGAGTGCATGTGTGATCCCGTCATTGTGTAAGAGTGTGAGCAGAGCAGGCAGAGGGTTGAGCTGCGGTTGCACAGCCACCCCGCACGGCCAATGCAGTCTATCGGTACGAGCCAGCCAATCAGACGTGCCGGGCCACACAGGCGCAGGTCGGCCTCTCCGCTCCGTGGACACAGGCGGATCACACAACTCTCCCCGCCAGCGAAGCTCCTCCTGGTCCTTTTGTCTTTTCTCTTCCCAACCTCAACCGCACAAACCACACCAAACCACACCAAACCACACCAGCTCCTGCACCAGCTCCTGCAAAAGTCATTCGTACCAATTTGGCCTCGGCCCATATTTTGATTGTATTTTTTTTGGGCCTCTGGGCCCATCTCCGGTGGTACCCACGAGTTGCCCCTACAGACCTGCTTACCTAGTCACCATCCACTGTTCATTGACAAGTGTCGGCGACACCGCCTAAACCATTGCCATTCCAGGCTTGCCGGGCTTGCTCGCCCTTGCCTGCGCAACTGCCCATCGAGCGTCTGCTGGCTCTTATTGCCTGGGTGATTCCGGCCCCCCGAGGCTCTTTGCTACAGCTGAAGCCCTCAAGTGCTCTTGGAGCAGCCTGGCAGGCTATCTCGTCGACAAAGGACCTTCAAAAGTTCGGCCTCGACGTTGACAGCATTTCACGACCCCTTCATTGGTATATACGTACAATAATTTCCGCAAGCTTGCTCCGTCGTAACAGTTCCTGCTTCATCCTCCTTTTCCCCCCCCTCCAGTACTGGTGGTACCTGCATATCACGCTCACTCAGACCCCCTCCCCGAATCGACTGCAGAACCGACCGCTACCGTACCAATCTCGGCTGCCGCAGATCTTTTTTGGCGAGCTTGCACATCTCCGCCGCCCATTGTTGGCCACCTGACTGCAAAGTCCGCGACTGGTACCCCTCGTACTTTTGACGCAAGTCTGCTTGCCACCTTGTCTCAACTCCGGCGCCCGCCCGCCATGTGGCCAGAACCTCAAGCTCGCCCCTGGGCTATCCATCTCCCCTCCCACTCGCTTGTCCCACAGTACGTGTCTGTGCCTGAGCCACAGTCTGATACAGACCTAGTGCTCGCTCTCGCTGGCTCAATGCCTGGCGGGATTGGTGAAAGACATGGGCTATCCAATGGCACCTCGCATGTCTTGGCGTCGCGCAGGAAAAGGGCTAGCAAACCAAAAGTACGAACGGGATGCAAAACGTGCAAGGTGAGTTTCCTCCTCCCGCCCGTCTCCACCCAAACCACCTCTCTTTACATTCCTCCAAAATGCCAGCCACATCGGTGGGTAGCTGAACGAGCAACAAACTCCTGGTGTCGACCCGTGTCTGACTAAACCTGTCTCCGGCCACGCTCTCTTACTGGTCTCATCGCATGCAACTGACATTAAGAACAGATCCGCCGCATCAAATGTGACGAGACAAAGCCCAGCTGTGAGTTGTGCTTCCCCATCGCCTGGCCCGTGCCAGACCTCTCGCTATTGTCCGGATTAGTGCTCACTTGACCTCGCAGGTAAGCGATGTACCTCCACAGGACGTAAATGCGATGGATACGAGTTCCCCAAAGAGAGCTCCAGCAGCTCACCATCAACCGCGTTGTCGCCACCGCAGCAACCCACGGTGCCTTACCAACATCTATTTCAACCCAACTCAATCTCAAAACCGTTTCAGGGCAACACACAAGAACGCCGTATCTTCCATCGATTTCAGTATTGCACGGTGCCCGCATTCACTGGGGGCTCCGAAACCGGTTTCTGGACAAAACTCGTCCTCAAAGTGGGTCACGAGGAACCGGTGGTCCGGAACGCAATCATTGCCTTGGGGACGTTGCATGAAGATTACCAGGACCGCTGTGGCAAATACAGCCCCCAGTTAATTGACGACCAGAGCTACCGATACGCCCTGAAGCTATATGGGGGTGCGTTGCGCGAATTGAACCAGAGACTCAACACTCCCTCGAGCACCAACGCCAAGCTCGCCATCATTTCAAGTATATTATTCGCCTGCTTCGAAGTTCTTCGACGCAATAACATGGCCGCCGTCATCCACTACCAGCAAGGAATGAGAGAATTGATCAGACAAATGAATCTGCCTCAGGGTGATGACATCTCACTCGCACCCTATTCACCTGAACAACAGTCCGGCTCGCGACCAACCTTCCGCGAGATGCCTCAAGATGAGCTGGATGAACTGCTTCGAGTCTTTGCCCGATATGACATTCAAGCATGCACGTTTTCCAAAGAGCGAGCGGAACCTTTGTTAACCCGTGTTGGCCAAGTGCCTCGGATACTGCCGACCAACCTTACCTTGAGTCAAGTTCGCAATCATCTCGACAACCTCCTTGTTTCTGTCTACCAACTTGTCAAGTCCGATGCTCGGATGTACCGGTATTGGAGGAGAGATGCCGTGCCTGTAGAGTGGCAGACTCGACGCCAAGAGGCAATCGACATCTTTGATGCTTGGGTGGCAGCTCTAGAGAACTTTTTCTCGGCGCAGGCTCCGAGACTAAGTCGTACCGACACCAAAAGCCTGCTGGGTCTCCGCCTCCAGATCAGGACTGCCGTCATGATGCTCAAAGTGTGCATTGATTGTGGACCAGAGAGCACCTTTGACGCCTTTAAAGATGACTTTGAAGACATGGTGTCCAAAGTCGAAGATGTGACCAGAGCTCTGAGCTTGGCCGAAGCAACACCCTTGGAGGATGAGCTCACACCTTTCACCATGGAGCTTGGCATTATACACCCTCTCTTCTTCACGGCCTGCAAATGTCGAGACTGGGGTATCAGACGCCGGGCCGTGGCCCAACTCAAGAGAGCCGGCAGGGAAGGTGTCTGGGAGGGACCTATAATGGCCGTCTTGGCCCGGAGAATCATTGGTTTGGAGGAAGAAGGCCTATCTCAAGGAGACTTGGTGCCCGAGGCGAATCGATTCCACGACATCAGGAAGAACGTTGATTATGACAGTCGGCAAATCTTATTCGAAGCCACCAGAGCTTTGGATACTGCCTGGGAGAAATTTTCGGTTCATAGGGAGGCGGTTCCGTTTTGACGCGTTCCATTTACGACCAGCAAGGTGTTTCGGGAGAAATTGCCCCCATCAACCAGGAGGAATTTTAACAGCATAATCCGAGACTGCGACTATCCAGGTAACGATCACGACGTAATGACCAAAGATAACGACCTGGACGCGGAGCCATTTTCTCGTGGCACGACAAGGAAAATCTTTGCAACTTGGGAGTCTGTGAATTACGCGATTTGGCCAGGGCGTGGAAAATCGCTGAGGAAATGTACGGTAACGAGGATAATGTCGGAGTGTGTGGTAAGAACGCTGGGTATTGATGGGCAGAGGGTGGGGGGGCAGCCTTTGGGACGGGCTAGGGTCTTCTTGGTACCTAGGTACATGGTCATAAATGAACCTACCTAGTATATAAGATATACATATACTCCGTACTCTCCAGAGGGAACATACCATTGACGATCCCTTTTTTTTTTCTCCTGATGGCGTATCGGAGAATTTGTGTGTGTCCGCCCTCGGGAGGCTTGCATCTAGGCTGCGACCCTGATCCCTGGCGCTTGGAGCGATTCCAGTTTTGACAGCGGACGGCGCCGCCGCTTGGCGGACACTGGGCCAATTAGGGGCTGCCAACAGAGCTATTAGAGGTATTAGAGGCACTTGGGCGGGTGGTCAACGGGCCTTTAGGCAGTATTAGGCATCACAAGTCTGCCGCGATCCCCACCGTAGCGTGTCGCGTCACTGTCACTAATGAGCACCGTTTCTCAATTCCCCGGCTGATTTCCCAATCTCGATTCTCATCATGCTCTCTGATTTTGACACCTCGACACTCAACCCGACTTGTTCATTTTCACCATCCTGTCCTGTTTTCCATGGCGTTGTGCGTGATTTCCAGTCCCTGCTGTCCTGCCGTTGTCCACCTGAAGACCCTGGGACTTGACTGCTCTTCCTCCGCCCTGCGACGACAAACCTTGATCTGCCACGACCTCCGTTCATGAACCTCGACAAGCTCAGCCATTTCGAGACTTCTCCTTCTGGCAGTCACCGCATCGGCCTCTACCCTTTCCGAGACTCTGAGCCCTCACTGCATCCACTGAAAGCACATGGTCTTTCGTCCACTCCTTCAGAACACGATTGGGTCTCTCCTTTTACCCTCCCCCCGTTACCGACCCTACGGCGCGACCGCGATCCGTTAGAGTACCGCCAATCGCCAGACAATCTTCGGCATCGAGACGGGAGTGGTGCCTACTACGCCGCTGCTTGGGGTTCACCGTATGCTACTCCAAGTCCGCGAAGAACGCCTCAGCCTTTCGACTCCGCAAATCAGCGCCTGAATATTGAAGCAATAGCCCCTTTCGCGAGCTCAATTGGCCGATCCACCATCACCTCCGCCCCTGGTAACGACGTCGACAGCCTCGAGTCGCACATTCGAAACCGTCTGTACAGGAGAACTCGTCTAGGTTCGAGAAAAGAGCTACGAAATCCTCGATCCGAAAGACCCAATTGGCTGAGTGACTCTGAAGACAGCGGATCCGAGACAGGTGCGGAAGAGGGGGACAACACGCCCACCCGCATTGCATACCTCGACAGCTGGGGAGCGTCTCCTGTTGAGACCGTGAAGAACCGATCCCCCGTAAGACACAGAAGCAGCGAAAGCCTTGCTACCATTACCCCAGATACGTTCCATGATTCCGGGAGGCTGTCAATAGCGCCAGAACGCGTTCGCATGCGGCTTTCGCCGTCTGGGCAGCATAATATGGCTGAGCACGATTCCGAGAACGCCCAGGCAGCGGAAAAGCCGCTCCCAGTTTTACCTCGCCAAACATCCCAACTGGAGGATGACGAGAAGGCTCCCGAGAGCCCAACCTTAGCGGTTCGCCCACGGCCCATGTCGATGCAATCATATCAACGCCCTAAGAAAAAAGTCATCTGGAAAGGCAAGGCCTGTATTATAGCCTTGCCTCTCACAGATCGGGAGGCCGTCGGGCTACCTCCTCTGCTCACGCCGCAACAGGTCAAAGAACGAATAGATGGATGGATTGCGGCCGGGTATTCGGTGGATGGCTTTGGGCTGACTGATATGAATGCTGGGGCTTCGGGAGAGAGCAGTGGCCAGAGCCGTCCCGTGTACCCTGACAATTCAGAGATGCACGCAGAGCGCAAGTTACGGGAGTTTCAAGTCCATATACCCAATCAGGCAGAATGGGAATCATGGGTCAACTACCTTAAGGAGGAAAAACTTCGCGCATTGGGGGTCAGTCCAAGTAACTCTGAAGCTGCGCCATCGACGCGATCGCCCTTCTCTCCCGCGTTGAGCCGCATCTCATCCGGCTATCCAGCACTTGCGACGTCGCCTCCCGTTGCCCCTTCTTCATCAGCAAGCAACCCCCTCAGAGCTGCAAGTAATCCTTTCTCGCCATCGATAATGTCGTCTGCTGGGATCAGTCCTCAGCCTGGATCTCTCGCGACCTCGCAGTTTAACGGACCGCCGAAGAACTTGCACGGATACAAGCCCTCGATTGCACAATCGAATTTTCACGGACGAATCCCATCCCCACTGGAAGCCACCCTATCTCATTCAAACTCTTTCGGCAACGGCGCACGACCAAATATTCAACGCCTCTCCTCCCGACAAAACAGCTTCTCCCCAAATCATCCGTTGCTTCTTCCAAATATGGGAGAAGTTTTGTCCCAACAACAGGCCATGCATATGCGCAAGGCAACTGCAAACTTTGCCAGCGAACAAGGGCGTCCGAATCAGATGCAACAGAGAGGATATTTACCCTTTCCGCAGAATGCCAATCAACCTACACCGAGCCCTACTTTGCCACAGCGAATGGAGAGTCTGGTGCACACACCCCACTATAGCGATTCCTCTCGGACTCCCATTGAAATCGCACATCCTACTCCAAAGAGCCACCGGCATAACCTTAGCATAGCCCTACAAAGAGAGATCGATGAAGCTGAAGCAGCTTTGCACGAAAAAGGTGACGGCCTGCATCCTGAAGGCGCGGACCATATCGACTTGTCTTCAAGAAAGGACTCGGCTCTAGACGAATCTGTGAACGAAGAGCCTCCAATCCTGAGACGGCCTGAGACGATAATAACAGCAGATGAGAAATCAGAGATTGAGACAAATCCAAGCATAGCCGCCACACCCATGTTGATGGACGACAAGAACCCATTTGTGAATTGGCAAGCACTGAGCGATGCGGCGAAAGCAGAACCTAAGCCCGCTTCTGAGGCTGCTCCGCCAGCTTCCAAATTTAACGTGGAGGCCAAAGAATTCGATCCGCGAGCGGGCTTCTCGAGCTCCAATTTCTCATTTGCTGGACCCAGTTCCATACCGTTCGGCCTGCCGCCACCGAAGCCACCGCCACCGAAGCCAGCGCCACCTGTCGAGAGGGCTGCAGCGAGGAACCGATTTTCCTTATCGCATCTTAACGCCGACGCCCCTGCCTTCACTCCATCATTCATGGCGCAACCGGCACCGAAGGTCACCCCGTTCACATTCAGCTCTGCAACATTCAACCTAGAAGCCCCAGTGTTTAACCCTTCTCAGTCACCTGGTGCCAATTTGAAAGATAGTGTGGCCTCCGCTAGTGAAGGACCACCTGACAATGCGAGCAGTATATTTGGCAATGTTGTCATAGACCCGGGCTCCAAGGCCGTAAGAAGAGCCAGCAAGGGAGTACCAATTGTCGGTCCGAAGTCGAAGGACGTTCAAGAGGAGGATACGAATTTGATAGATGATAAAGGTCGACCAATGGGTCCTATAGACCGACAAAAAAGAGCACGAAGGAATGACGGTGACGGCGATCGAAGCTCCGTCTTTGCAGATTCGACACCGTTCCATCACAGAAGGATTCTATCGGAGATAGTGGATGATGTCGATGCGAATGGGCCTACTCCAGAAGGTCCGAAGAAACATTTCGACGGCTGGGCTTATATACCTGCAGACGAGACGCAGCTGACCGACAACGCGGAGGTAATCAACGCCCAAGAAGGGAACGATGATGCTGGCGGACCAGATTCGGCCTTTACTTTCTCGAATCAGAGCGACGCCGCTATGCTCAGCGAAGCTCGACCGCCTCTTGAGGGCGATCAGTTGAAGTCTGAGCAGACGATCGAGCCAGAGTCTTCAGACAACCTTAAGAAGGAGGTAGAAACTTCAGTGAAACCAACAGCTCTGCCAGGCGAGCCCAGTCGAAAGCAGAAGTCTTCTCTTTCGGCGCTAGCTAAGCCTTTCGAGTTCAACCCAAGACTCTCGAGGTCGTTGGCCTCCTCATCATTCGCTGTGCCGCAGAAATCTCAAGGGCTGGAAGATTCCAAATATGCAGACACATCAAGTCCGCCGTCTGAGCTTAAGGCTGCTCTTTCTTCACCACCCACAGATCTACCACATTACGTAGAAAAGGACCACGAATCAGTCAACGACTTGGATGATACTGTCGAAGTCTTCGAAGAGAAGAGCACCGAGGACGAGGCTGTCGAGGTCATGGAAGAGAAATCTGCCGGCAACGAATCTGAGCCGCCTCGACAGCGAAAATATTTCCTGGAACCAACGAAGGAGTTTGATACAGAGCCTGACGCAGAACCAGATCGGTTTGACCTGCCGGGAACCTCATTGCGACGCCAAGATCAACCTGTGCCATCCTTTGAAGAAATCGATGCTGTCATGAAACACCTTGAAGTCCATCCGGAGCTTGGTGTGGAGCGCAATGACACACCCGTTCAGTCTACGCCGCTTGTTGACATGCGCATGGGAGGCCACTTCCGAAGCGACGCTCCAAGCCCCAGCCCTGCCAGACCCCATGACGCCAAAGCTGCTCAGAGCGACACCTCATATCCACCATCGTACGGATTGGGCATTGGCGTGCACAACCTGAATTCGGGCAGAGACGATGTCAGCGACTGGGGTGACGCGTTATCCGCCCCAGAGGCGGCCAAACTTCAGCTTCGTTCGCAATTCTTTGACGGTCACGTCAATGATTTGGTGGATGGGCTGCTTGAGAACCGTCTTGGACCTCTTGAGCGCACATTGCAGACCATTCAACACTCCCTCGCATTGATGGCAACGCAGCAGAACCTAAAGAATGATCGCCGGAGTATGTCAGCCGGCCAAAAGGATTCGGACGCTGATGATGAGGATGAGTACGATGCCTTTGAAGGTTTCTCATCTTACAGAACCCGATCGCCGAAGGCTAAAAGAGGTGAGCGGAAACAAGACCTGATCCGAGCAGCTGTTGCCGAAGCACTAGTTGCACATCAACCACCTCTCCCGCCACAGCCTTCGATCGATTTGACCGAGTTCAACGCCGTCCTGCAGGAGATGAGAGAATTGGCTCAGCAACACGGCTCTCAGAACACTCAAAACGAACTGAAGACAATCATGGAAGATGTCATTTCTCATCATCCCAGACTCCGAGGTTCAAGGGTGCAGCAGGAACATGAAAACGTTGAGATGAAATACAAACCCCAGATTGATGGCCTTGAGACGATGCTGAAGATCTCTCAGGAGCACGCTGCCGAGGAAGCTCGCCTCAGACGGACGGCGGAAGAGGAAATAAATGAGCTGAAATTACGACTACACATTGCCGAGGAGGAGGCCGCACAATTCCGAGAATCTTCTGAAGAAGCTCAGCACACATTGGAGGCCTTCGTCGAGGAAAAGGACTCGTATAAACATCTTGAGCGTGAGCTGGAAGGCATGACTCTCAAGAATACAGCCCTCGAGCATACGCTTGAAGAATATCGTGTCTCAAGTGATCAGTGGCGAGAAGACATCCGCACTGAACGTGCCAGTAATAAAGAGCTTAAGCGCACCTTGCAAGAACTTCATCAACAACTCGTAGACCAGACACAGTCTCGACAAAATCTTCGAACCAAAGTTGAGCGTCTGCAGTCTCAAATCACGCAGGTTGTGCAAGACCTGCACGCTGAACAGGAAGATTGGCGAAACAAAGAACACGGTCTGCAGAGTAAACTTGCCGTCCTTCAAGATGCGCTTGAGCAAGAGCGACGGCACCGTGAGAAGGCAGAACTGGAATTGGACACCCTGGACAAGGAACACAAGGCTAATCTCCACTTCAAGACTGTTCTGGACCAGGCTCAATCGGATGTTTCACGACTTAACGAGCTGGTTGCGACACTTCAGGAAGAGAACAGGGCTCTGGATAACAAAGCTTTCAACCTCGGTCGAGAATTGGATTATGTTAAGAACAGCAAGGATGCAGAGCTTGCGACATCCACGGCCAGGTTGCAGGCCGAATTGGAAAGTGCCTTGACTAAACTTGAAAGCATACAGGCTGACTCCAATGCTCAAATTTCACGACTACAAGGCCGTCTAGATCATGCAGAATTAGATCTCGAAGAACAAAAGGCAAGGCATGACGCACTCCTTGCCGAAACTATTGAAGCACACAAAGAGGCTCTTCGAGAAGCTTCTGAAAAGAAAGAAACTGCACTGGAGGACCAACATCAAGTTCATGAGAAAAAGCTTAACGAACTACGCGATCGCCACACAAGGGAACTGCACAATTCGTTCGACACCCGAACGAGACTGGAGCATCAGTTCAAGGAGCGGCTCGGCTTGAGCGAGGACAAAGTGAAACACCTTGAAAGTAAGGTTGTGGATCTAGAAGAGAGGTTGGAGATCACGAAATCTGCTGCGAGAGCTGCCGTGGAAGCTGCGACTGCCAAAGGGGCAAACCTGCCCACTCCAGCCCCTTCAGTTGTGGCATCGCCACCACAACGTGCGGCAACCGCTTCTATGTCGTTCGTCAAGGGATCGGATGTGCCCGAGAGGATCTCCCCGCAAGCCCTTCGGGAGTCAATCATGGTACTGCAAGATCAACTACAGAATCGGGAGCAGAAGATAGAACAACTGGAGTCTGAGCTTGCCGCTGCGGATAAGGATGCTCCCAACAAGCTCAAGGAGCGCGACACCGAAATCAGTTGGCTTCGTGAACTGTTGAGTGTAAGGATCGATGACCTCGAGGACATTATCAATACTGTTTCAAAAGCCGACTTCGATCGAGACACTGTTAGAGACGCTGCGATTAGGCTCAAGGCGAACCTGCAAATGGAACAGCAACTGAAAGAGCGGGGTTCAGCAGGCGGGTTGACCAGTTCCTTCCCGTCAATTTCGAGCCTGTCAAGCTATGCTCAATCACCCCGTGCGCTTCCAATGGCGGCGGCTGCTGCTTGGGGCAATTGGCGAAGAGCTCGTGAGAGCTCAATTGGCGCCATATCCGAGCTGGCCACAAATCTAGGAAGTCAGACACCCTCAAAATCTACCATCGGTAGTCCCGCAAGCTTCTTGTCCGGAATCATTACACCGCCAGGTACCGGTCAAAAGACGCCAGGCTCGAGTGAAACAGCGATCCCACCACCGCCAAGCATGAGAAACGCAGCCGCAGTCCAGGTGCAAGCTCGCAAATCCGGCGGACCGGAAGCTCGGCCATTGAGGGCATACAGTTCGCAGCCCCGGACACTGTCAAATAGGCAGGCAGATAAACGCCCTGAGAGTTTACAGTTAGGGTCCAACTCTTCACCAGCTTCACAGCTGAAGATTGATCCACCACAGACTCCAGTTCAAGCCAAGGATGACGCGAACCTAGATCTTATGGAAGATGTGGATGACGATGCCTCACCGCTAGAAGGCAAGACTACCCAGCATCTCGAAGAGGCAGAGCCGCTCGCTGAATGAAGATTTCGCGCACAAAGTTCTTGATACGGGGGAGACGATGTGCATTGGTCATGCCAAAACATCTGATCCCCTTTCTTTTCGATCATTCGGTTTCTCTGTCGATTGTTGATCCTATGCGCCTTGCATGGACATGTGCGCGCATGGATCTCACTTGTGGTGCCAACAAATGGAAGAAGTACAGGTTGAAAAACACAGATTGTTTGAAACGAGAACGAAATGCTGCGCGCTGGTATGAGACCATGGCAATTTCTCCTACACGTTCATCCTGCTCACTCATTTTCTGCCTCTCGCCGCGGCGACTGGATTTTTTACAAGAGGAAGAACAATATACCCCCTTCTCTGTTGTGAGCGTCTTTTTGCGATGATATCTCTCTTTTGTTTAGTACTCGGGACGGTCGCTTGTGGATAGAATGTTGTCGTATTTATACATAGCATAGCGATTTCGTACATAATATTTTGACATTGAAATGAGGCTGGAAAACGCCATTCAATATATTGAGGATGAGTTTCATCGCTGACCGTTGCTCATACACCTCGAAATATTGCAGGGACAGTTGCCCGCGAAGCTTGAAGATACGTCATGAGATGGGCGAGCGCCATGAACATAGCGAGTTCTCCAGTCCCCGCGTGTGCAGCCTCGCAGCCTCGCAGCCTTGTGGGGGGGATGCATTTCCAATATCAGAAGTAGGCTGCCAGCTTTCTCTTCCTCCACCTCTAAAAGCCCAAGCCTACAAGCAGACAAGATACAGAGCTGAGGGACTTGCCCTGGTGTTCTCGGTCTCCCTCAGCTGTCATGGTTGTTTTCTTGCCTTGAAAAGCTAGTGCCTGATTCCGACCACGAATCATACCCTGTGCGTTTTTAGATGGACTGCGAGCTTTCTTCACCGTTGTATACATCTCTGGACCAACTTCAAAGAAAATCAACTATCTCCACGACTGGCATACCCAGTACCTGTTGTCGTCTCACAAAGTCGCTTGCGAACCAATCACATATCCAGTCCAGGACTTAACAACCAATTGTCATGATGGGTACTCGTTTTGGGAGAGCCATTCTATTGACGACATTTAATTTCATCTCTCTCATATGTGCAACCTGCTCGTCTCAATCCCCGGCTTTCCCACCACCGAGTTATTCCGGATCTCATCCCGAGCTTCTCAAAACATTTAAGCATATTGAAGTGTCTCTGGCATCTCTGTTTGCCAACCGCTCTGATCTCAACACGTCATCCTACTCAGTCGAGGTTACTTCCCCTCACTCAACACTGTGGACCACGTTCCACACGGCCGCCGAGAAAGACCCGAAGAGGCCAGGAGCCGAGCAGGTCGACGGAAGCAGTGTCTACCGCATCGCGAGTATCACCAAGGTATACACAGTCTTGGGGATATTGCAACAACATGCTGCTGGAAATCTGAGCCTCGATGACACTGTGGATGAGTACATTACGGTTCTGAAGACTCCTCGGTATCGGAGCGGCGGGACTCATAATATTCCATGGGGAGATATTACCTTGAGGTCGTTGGCGAGCCAACTCTCGGGCATCCCGCGCGATTGGGCGCAGGGTGATCTCATCACAGCTCTCCCAGACCCCAGTGTCGTCGGACTGCCTCCACTGCCTCCATCTGCTCGAGAACGGTCGGACCTCCCAAAGTGTGACGAGTACGCCAAATACAAGCCGTGCACGGCCAGAGATCTTCTGGACTATCTCCTCGACAAACCGCCCGTGTTCATGCCGAACCAGAAGTCCACATACTCGAATATCGCCTTTGAATTATTGGGACTCGTCCTTACGAACGTCACGGGGGGCAGCTATGAGGATTATATCGAGTCCTCCATCCTCCGCCCTCTAAACATGACATCAACCTCGTTCCAGAAACCGTCGGATTCCGTCGCCGTCCTCCCCAAGGGCAATGCCTGGTACTGGGACGTCGACGAAGGCGTGCAAAACCCCACGGGCGGCCTATATTGCCCTTCGAGCGACATGTCAGTTTTCCTGCGCCACGTCCTGAAAACGTACAGCAACATCGCCAATACCAAGGTCAATTGGCTGCTGCCCGTCTCTTTCACGCCCGGTTGGAAGTCATTTTACGGCATGCCGTGGGAAATCTACCGCACAGACCGCATCCTCGGGAGCAGCTCGGTGCGGACGGTGAGTTTCTTCACCAAGGGCGGCGGACTGCCAGGGTATCGCACGTTGATTCTGCTCGTGCCAGAGTACGAGCTAGGAATCACCATCTTCACCGCGGGCGAGGAAACTTTTATCGACCAGGTCGTGGACATCGTGACCACTTCTCTGATACGCGCTGCCGACGTCCTGGCGGCACGGCAGGTAGCACACAAATACACGGGCACGTACCTCGCCGCCGAACCGGGACCTGGGAGCAGGGCCATCAACTCGTCGCTCCGACTGTCTTATTCCGCCACACACGGCCTGGAGGTCACGAAGTGGATCTCCAACGGCACCGACATGCTCTCGGTCATCCCTTGGCAATTCCGTTTCCCTAAGGACCGCGGACTCCACGCCCAACTCATTCCTACGACACTCTTTCGGGATCCCGAACAAAAACGGGGCGAACTGTGGAGGATTACGTTTACTTTTGATCGCTTGGGCGGTGATGTTGATGATTACAATTATGGTGACGACAACGACAGCGATAAATTCCTCGATCGTGGGCCGTCGAGCTCCGGCTCCAGCTCAAGCTCTGCTCCTGGCGTGTGGGCGGATTTCTGCGTGTCTGACGTGGACACGATGATGTATGCGGGAAAACCGTTAAACGAGATCGTGTTTTGGGACCAAGATATTCCTACTGGAGCAGATGACGAGGAGGATACGGAGGAGGAGAGGCTGGGTGCGAGGCATGGCATGGTGGAATTGACTGCTTTTCGGATCAATATGACCCGTCGCCGCGGCAGCGGCGTCGGCGGTGATGTTGGTGGTAGCGGGAGGGTGAGTGAGAAGAGCGTGCTTCATCACGACTGTGACCGTGATCGTGATCATGAGAAGCTGCTCGTTCAAGACAAGACACGTAGAGCCAGTCCGCGAGAAGAGTTGAGCCGAGAAGACCTGGGTTGAAACCTGATTTGAATTGGCCCATTACCTGCACCGAGCTGACTGTATACAAGAAGGAGACATGACGAACCTTCACCAACTTCCGGGGGACATCGAGACATGGACAATACATACCCATACCCATAACCATAACCATAACGACGAAGACGATGATCATCGGGACGGGGGATGGAATACGCGATGACGACGGGTGAGAAGGGGACAGAAAAGGCGAAGGCAGGCCACAGAAACAAAGAAACAAGACGAGCCGAGGCTATGCATGACAACAGTTTGTGTTTCTCTATCTGTCCGTCTGTCTATATTTGGTGATTGAACCCTTTGAAAGCGACATGGGCCTCGCAGGCCAGCTCTTCTTGTCTGAATGTCTAAAACCTTCTGTTCTCTTCTGTCGTCCTGTTGAACACTGAACACTGAACACTGACTACCACAAACCTCCAAACGCCACTAACAAACACTCTTCCCCTTCTCATACACCGGACACTGCACAAACACATTCTGCAGAAGTAGCCGAGTTGGTCGGCAAATGTAGAACTCGAACCTCGACCTACTCTGACCCTACTTCCCTGTCGGCAAGTCCACTCTCGATCCGTCCACGGCGGTCGCAGTGGTCGTGGTGGTGGCGGTGCTAGTGACGGCGGCCTTCTGAGTGGGTTTCAACACGGCACTGTACAGGCTCCCGTCCCTCAGCGCCGCATAGATGACCGAGATCCAGGACCCGATCGTCTTGACCGGCCGCTCGTTCAGCGCCTGCGACAGGACAGGATCTTCAACCTGGCCGCGGTAGAATGGCACGCCCAGCTCCTCGCGCACGAAGCGATAGAGGACTTTCGTGCCTTTGCCGAGGTACTCGGGCGTTGTGGGATGGTCGAAGAAGCTGGCGCGGTGGAGCAGGAACGAATTGTACATGATCTTCTGCAGAGTCTTGACCCAGGCCTTGTGCTCTCGTGCGAATCGCTCAGGGTGACATCCGTGGTGGTGGAGTGGTAATTGATCAAGAGCGTTCAAGATTGGCTCGACCGTGGCCTTTGCGACTTGCTCACATCGATCCACTGCGTCGCTGTTCGCGGTCGCGTACCAAGTCTTACGGATCGCTGCCCATATCTCGCCTGTCAACAGCTGCACCCCGTCGTTTCCCGCCCAGCTTTCAAATGTCTGAGCGATGGCTGCTTTGGCAACGTCTTTGAACTGCGCTAGGAATGTCATGTGCATGGTACGAAGATCGACGCCCTGGAGTCCGACCCAGATCGCCGAAGCCGACATCAGCTGGACAATCTCGACGCTCTGCATCGCGTAACGGGCCGAAACCAAGGCGAGAGAGTTGATGCCCTGATTGTGCATCTCCGCCGACTGCACGTGAGAACTGACCGGGTTGGCCAGGAACGCCAGCTCTGATTGATATGCCGCCATGTTGATGTCGACTCCCTTAGCGCAGAAGGAGAGACTGGGGTCATCCGGGGCAAGGTTTGGTGGCAGCCCGTTGTTGAAGGCCGGGTTGACCAGCTCGCTCGTCTGGGCGAACAGCATCTTGCCGATCATCTGCAGGCAAAGCCTAATCCTCTCGGCGACCATTGTCACCGTCGTGGCCTGGAAATTGCCTCCGCAGTGGATCTCGCGGGCCTTGAGATCGACAATCGGGTTGTCGGTCGTCGAGTTCAGCTCGACCTTCAATTGCTCGCATGCGTGAAGCAAATCTTCCAGCAGGGGACCAACCCACTGGGAGGAGGTTCTTGTGGAGTATCGATCCTGCACGATGCCTTCCTTGTACCGATTTGCATGGTCGAGGCCATCGACGAGCTTGGAGCCTTCGAAGAAAGAGCGTTGATTCTGCGAGACTTCAATCTGACCTGGATGAGGGCGGATTTCTGCAATGTACGGATGAGTCCATTCGACGTTTCCAGCCAGAGCTTCAGAGGTGAGACAGGTGATGAGCTGTGAGAGAACCACAAGGTGGTTCGCCTCATACATCGCAAGGCACGCGACGGCGGCAGAGGGCGCGGTGCCATTGACCAGCGCCAGTCCTTCCTTCGGCCCAAGGACGACGGGCGAATATTCAATGCTTCTACCATTGACCAGCTGCTTCCCATGCTTTGCCTCTTCCACGTTGAGCCGCTGGATTTCTTTGAACGCCTCGCGAGCGTTCACCACCTTGGAGTCCTTACCTTTGCCAGTGCGGACGAAAGTGTCAGGATTTCCTTGCAAGGCTCCGGCAATGTATGAGAGTGGCATGAGGTCACCAGACGCGGAAATCGAGCCTCTCAAGGGGACAACGGGCGTCATGTCTCTCCGGACGAATTCAACAAGAGTGTCGGCGACTTGCAGGCTGATGGCAGAGTGGCCACGAATGTTGGTGTTGCACCTTATCAACATGGCACCTTTGACCCAGCCAGAGGGCATGGAGTGAGACGTGGTCTCTCCTTGGCCATCACATCCTGCTCCAAGGTCTTGCCCGGTGAGGACAGCAGATTGTTGATGTTGGATCAAAGCCCGTTGAAGAGCCACCAACGCGTTGGTGCGAAGGTCCGCGTTGCCTCCAAAGCCGGTGTTGATGCCTGTGACGCCCAAGTCAGCCTGAGAGGTGCCTACGTCCCCCAATTAAAATCGGTGATCTCACCATAGAGCTTGCTTCCGCTCTCGAGATGAGCTTCCAGGATGTCCTGTCCTGCTTCAATGTTGTCCACGAGCTTGGGTGTTTGCTCAATGAACGGCTTGCAACCAAATCTGATGCTTCGGGTCAGAACAATGCGCAGCTTCTGGGGGTTGGAGAGCAATCAAATCACCTCGAAACTGCCACGACGGTGGCGATGTCAAGCTCATGTCCATTTATCTCGACTTCACCTTCCTTGACCAGGGTCTGGACGCGGTCGCCGAGCTCCAATGTCGCGTTCAGATGTGGCGTCGGACCCCTTTTGCCTGCGCGAGCCCGGCCAGGAGACGGTGTGTTCACCGTCATTGTGTCCTGGGGGGATTTTTTGGACCGTGTCAACAGTAGTAGCAGCAGATTTTGAAGAAGATTGCAGGGAGACAGTATGTATTAGAGTTATGGAGAGGAAAGGCAAAACAGCGTTTGATGCAGGCACTTCGCTTGGCGTGATGCGGTGGGTGGTGGCAGGGGGGGGGGGAAGCTGTTGGGGCAGCCTTGCCGACGACCATCACCCTCGTACGCTCTCTCCTTTATTGTAGCCACCTGTACGGAGGAGCACTGGGTACAAACATGCAATTTTGCCCATGCAACAAGTACATTGGGGGGGGGTACTTGGGGGGTATTAAGAAGGTACTCCCACGTCACATTCACTTAATGTTTGCGAAATGGAAGCAGACAAAGCCACGTACCTGTCACATTGTCAGGGCAACTGCATACTGTTCTACTCATGTGGCCTGGAAACCCACCTGATTGACAAGACAAACAACGGTCCACACAGGCGAGTGTTTGGACATGTTTGTCCGGACAGATGCATACGTATTGGTTCCAACGCAGCCTTCCAGACACCAAAGCAACGAGAGGGGGCCGCTTGTTGTCATGTTGCTTTCAAAGGAAAGAGGGACAAACGCGCTGAGAAAGGGACAACAAGATAGGACGGCCACCAGGCTGGGGCTGGCTGCACGTCAAACACTTTATACCCACCTTTGGTCTTCATGGAGGCTTTCGGCTGCTCCTCGCGATAAACCACGGTAGAATCTCCTGCTGAACCGGAAGCTTTGGAGGGTTGCATCTGCGGTAGAGGTGCTTCCCATGGATTGAACAGCAGGACAGTGTGGTATCGTACATACATGGAATCGAGGTATCAATCGCACGCCGTCTCCCCGACGGCCTCCGGACTCGTGGAATATTGCAGCTCAAGCACACTTGTACATGACCTTCAACCCAAGGCCAGCATACCGACACGCTTTGGGAGCGGAGCACGAATTTGTTTCTCGCTACCTCGTCTGTGATGGTGCGGGAGAAGGGATGATCTGGTGTCAGCAATTTTCGTGTACAAATGTACCCCATGGGGGAATGGGTGAAGTCTTGACCCCGGCTTTTGGTGCCGAGCCATGCATGGAGGAAGATCTGTCAAAGATGGCTGGAAAAGCATGCCCAACCTCTTCATTTCTAGGCTATATAGGTAGCCTACTTCGCCTGTTAGATGGGCAATCCATAACTTCAACCTCTCAAGCTCTGATAAGATCAGCATCTTTGCAGCCTTTGTCTTAGAAGCCCGTGCCTGCTTGGTTTCTGCTGTGCCATACGTTGTCCGTTGTCGCTCATCCGCAAGTGGCCGGTTGTCATCAGAGCTCTCTGTCTCATCCATCCGTAACTCTTCGGTTTTCGAACCCAGTTCATTGTGAGGTCGGATCATCTGGCTATCTTGCAGCCCTAGGAACACCCGGATCTGCTCGAGCTCTTCGAATGGGAAGTAAAAGCGACCAGCGAATATGCCAATCTGAATCTTCAGCCAGGACGGCATAGACCAGTCCGATGGGAGCGGTGGCACGGCATAATAATTCAAGTCGTTGAATTGGCTCCATCTTCTGCGTGATAGGTGCGGCATAAGTCAGTAGATAAACCAATTTCTTTCGGGAGCCTTGACATAGGTCAACCAAGAGTTCTGCTTCCTCGGGGCTGACTAGAATTGCTCTTTCTGTGGCCATGCTCCAGAGAATATAATGAACAGGTCGCTGTGTTCAAAGTCAGCAAAGAATTGCGAGACAGGGATCGTACTTACCAAGAATGTGTCATTCGGTCTCCCAGGGGGCACTGTTAACGCACGCCGGAATTCTCCTGAAACGAGGAGATTGGGGGTATGCGACCGAGATTCTGATGTCTGCAGCAGCCGCAAGAGCCCCGTCCTTCTCTAGTTTCGCGATTCGCCGACCAAGTTTTCTGAACAAGAGATGAGCGAGTTCCGGAGCTTGAGAACCAGCCACCGGCCCCAGCAATTGGGCGTGCAGAAGACACATCAGGGCTTTGTACATGGCGATTGAAACAGACGGGCATGTCAATTGCTCCAGATGACGCAAGATGCCAACACGCAGACGCAGCCAGAACGGCGATCTCCTCCATGGGATGCCCGAGTCTTTCCAGCGAACTTCATCTCTGACACGTTTGCGGATGGGGCTTGTAGTGGCCAGCTGGCTGAGACCCTCCAGTAATGTGATCAATAGGCCTGTAATCAAAGCAGGGTTATTGGTGTCCCGTGCTTCAGGGGTTGGAGACTTGACCCTGAGAATGGTCGCCCCAAATTTACCGACTCTTTCGAAGCTTGCTTTCTGTAGAAATTCGGCAAGGCTTTGCTGGAAGCTTTCGTCTGCAAAGACTTTGTTTGGAATGGCTGCGGCAGAGGTAGGAAAGTCCCACTGTAGTGCGCCCAGGGATTCGAGGACATTTTCTGATTTTGCAGAGACTTTGAAGGCTTCAAAAATGATATACTCTTTCAACTCGCTGAAAACCTTGTTAGAACTGTAGCCCAAGCCATCGTGATGTGGAACTTACCTGGTGCCATGTCTTACCAAGAGTCCCGTGTTCTGCTCGCTGACATGGACAATAAGGATCTCGTCGACCTGCCAGTCTACGAAATGCTCGCTGTAGTTGCAGGCTGTCGAGATGTGCAGAGGCGTGGATATTGTAACAATGAGCTAAAGAGCTTTGCAGCAGGCGCAGCTCTTGTTGGAATTCGCCTTTGATGGCGCTGTCCAACTCCCTGCAGGCATTCTGGACGCGCTGCAGAAGCTCGTGATTAACCTCGGCAAGGTTCTTATCGACGTTGTCAGGTAGATCCGGTGGCAGGACCAGGTGGTTGACGATCGCACAGAGTAGTTTGGCAGAGGATGTTGCCATGGTCGATGAGGTCAGGTAGGTTGAGGGCATAGAGAATCCAGCCAGCAGGTCTTGCGGAGATGAATCGTGTGCCCTTGATCAATATTGGTGGTTTTGAACCAGCCTCAAAATGCCTTTGAGGCCGGTTTTCAGATGCCGTTCTCAATCGGTGTGGTACTCTTGGATGGTGAAAGAGTGCATTGCTGAAATCCGGGTAGAAAGGACCTTGTCACTCTTGAAGCTACAAGCCTCTGGCAACTTTATCATGCTCTGTGGGGGGGGGGATCAAAGAATTAGGGGATGATAATGAAAGCTAAATGCATGAAGCCGCAAAGCCAGCGGTGGGGACGACATCCAGTTGTATTCCAAATCAAACAGCATTGTACTGTAGTCCTGATGGAACAGTGCAATGTCGCAGCCTTGCCTCCCTCGCCCTCATTCACAGTCTGTTCGTGTTCCTCACATTGGAGGCATGGACCTGGACATTTAAAGCGAGCCTAGTGATTGCATCGCGACCATTTCTGCACAGTCAACATGTCAAGCCGGCGACGAGGTATCTGATCAAACTGTATCGAAGCTTTGGATGTTTTAGACGTCGGAAGCTCATTCCTTTGCAACCCCCTATGTCACCCACGCCGTCGCCACCTACCGGAACTGATGGCTCGCGTGCCATGCTACCTTGTTGAGACAATACCCATGGGCCATCACATTCTTGCATTAAGGTCCGATGAAGCCAAAGAGGGATCTATTGATAGAGGTAGAAGGATGGCAGTTGTGAAAGTGGCTTTTTTCACGACGGAGCAGGATGGAGCTCAAGAGGTCTACTCTTCGGACTATCTCCGGTGAGTTTCAATACCAGCTGTACCCAGCAACACCCAGTAACTGGCGAGTAGTCAAAGAGCCGGTGGAGCAAGTGAGGGGAAGGCGGGGGACGACAAGCGACCGGCGGGATGCCCAGGATGCCCAGGATGCCCACCGATGCCCACCGATGCCGGCGACTCCGGCAAACACCGTCCATGCCATCAGCACCGGCTCTTCAAGCATCTGCAAGTATATATCCACGCCACACTACTGTGTAGTATTGTAGTGGACACTCGCAATCAACACCTGTTGCAGTCATGCCTATCTACCACATCGGTGAGGCCTTCATACTCCACCCCTGTCAATGGCATTCGAATCGACGGATACGCTGACCAACCCCACAGTACTATTCAAACTCAAGCCCGGGGTAACGCCCGCTCAACTTTCAGCCTGGACGACGCAGGCAAAGGCAATGGTGGGCAAAATTCCAGGCCTGAGGAAACTTGAAGTGAATACTCCTTTGCCCTCAACGGCGCACAGGGCCCAAGGGTTCAATATGGGACTGGTCGCCATCCTGGACAAGGGAGACGATGTAAAAGTCTACGCCGAGCACCCTGCTCATTTGGAGTACGTTCTGATCACCTCGACCCCCCTCCCCCCCCCCCCCCCCCCCCCCCCCCTGACCCCGGTCCAGGTTGTGTTCTTCCAGGCTTTTTGGGGAGTCACTTGAAAAATGGATCAAATTGATCCACTGTTGCGCCTATGCTGACTGCGTTTGATAGAGTGCACAAATTTAGAGAGGAACTTTGTGACGATACACTGGCGTATGACCTTGAGTTTCAAGAGTGAATTGCTGGAAAACAAGGCAAAAGAAGAGTCTTCGCACAAAGCGTCTTGATGTAGTTTCGAACTCACTACAAAGTACTTAGTAGTTTATGAGACTACAGCCGTCGATCCCAGTCCTACGCGGTCGTGTGCTCCTTGCAACAAAATCCCGCCTACTTCCGTCTTCGTCGCAGGAGTATGCGATTGAGCATGGTCACTGCTTCATGTCATATCATTGGTAGCAGTGATCCTTCGTGATCAGATTCCTCGTGCCACATTTCCCTGCGGTACGGGCGGCGGAACCATTATCCGGGCAGACGCACAGACTAATCCCTCAGCGACCCGATGTCGATACGATCGAACCTCGCCTGTCATCCTTCTGCGCCCGCTTGAGCCCAACCAATTGCAACATCTCAGTCCAAAATCCAATGGGAGGCGAGATGAACGTGGCCTCATATGCGTCGACCACTGGTCGTTCCCAGACAAGATCGGCCTCTGAGGCGGACACGATCTTTGTGCGCTTGATGAGTTTCCACCCCACGTAAAGCACGGGAGCCACGATGACCATTGTGTAGTATGAGAAGAAAGTCCCAACGTCCCAGGGCGTGAAACTGGAGTATCCGTAAAATATGACGATCAGTGTCATCCAGACCAGCCCAATGTATCCGCAGTAAGGTTGGAACCATCCGGTATAAGGGAATGTATTTCGATCGACGCCTTGAGCCACGCAAGCGCGGTAGAAGAACAGATAGGTCACGCACATGACGATATAGTCGATAATGCCACCAGCCGTTATTAGATTGATCAGCCATGTCAAGACTTGGGATGAGCCGCTGGATACCTGCAGGAAAGACAGGAGTGGGAACAGCATGACCACGCAGAAGGACCAGATAGGTACGCCGTTGCGGGTGCACTTGGCGAGAAATTTTGGAGCTCGGCTCTCAAGAGCAAGGCCGTAGAGGCTGCGGGTTGCACAGTAGGTATAGGTGTTTCCGGCGGAGAAAATGCTGGTGACCAGTAGTGCGTTGGTAATGTGAGGCAACACTTCGACTTTCAAATTCTTCATGGCAATGACATATGGCGACGCAGCAGCAGTACCACCGCCAGACTGAGTGCCATTGACAATAGCGACGAGGGTCGGATCGTTATACGGTATCACCACCCCAACGCATAGCGAGCCAAGGATGAAGAAAAGGCCGAACCGCCAGTAAATGGTCTTGAAGGCCTTCTTGATGTAGATACGAGGCCGTTTGGCTTCAGCGGCCACCATGGCCAGATATTCCGGGCCCTAAGGTACAGGGTGCGTCAGTGATGTTGCTAACAAATCAATGAGACCTCGAAGAGGACGTTTTGCCGTCTGAGTAGTAGTATTAGAACCTACCACAACGCAGAAAGAAGCGCTCCAGAGGCAGGCCAGGAAGCCCTCAAACCTCCCCAAGGCGCCGGTTGTATGATATTCCGCCATCGGGCCAGGGTTATTCCAGTAACGAAAGCCGTAGGCATCGTGACGAGGATTACCTCCAACCATAGTGATGAAGGTAAACATGAACAACATGAAGATCAGGATAACTTTGCCTCCCGAGAGCCAGAACTCGGCCTCTCCGTACGCCCTGACAGCCAGGATGTTGATGAGGCTAAAAATGGCAGGTTAGTACATAGTACATATGGCCGCGCGAATATCAGTAGTTCTTACGCATAAAGAACAATACAGGCCGCACAGACGGCGGCGGTCGGGATGTCGTCTCTCCAAAACGATAAGACGAGGTTGAGAGCAGTGATTTCGAATGGAATCAAGAGGGCTTCGTAGAAGAAAAAGTTCCACCCGGCCATGAATCCAAAGGCGTCATCAACCCATTTTCCAGCCATACGAATAAAGCCCCCGGAAACTGGTTGTAAGCAAGTCATCTCGGCCATACAGTTGTTGACGAGGCCCAGCATCGCCGAGTATATTGTATAGGCAAGGAACAACGAGAGAGGGCCTCCCTTGGCAAGTCCACTGCCGATACTGACGAAGAGCGCTGTCCCGATCGACCCTCCGATTGCAATCAACTGGATTTGCCGGTTATTGAGGCGTCGTTGTAGCTTGTCAGCATTGTCTGAGACTTCGCCGGGCAGAACGTCGACATATGCATTTTTCTCTCCAGGGACGGCATTGTTGGCATCGATATACTTGATCTCTTTGTCATCCATGTTTGTCAGGAGTTCCAAATGTCTTGTGGGGGAGCAGACGAATTGACAGGGCTCTGGACCTAGACGTAGCGGTTGTCATGCGAGAGAGCAATTCTTCCCTATATATACCAAGGCAACGTCCGAGCCCAGCCTCTAAATCTCGAAGAGGCTTGTCAACGAAGAGCAAGCCCCGCGCTTCACGCGACCACACCATCGACCTAACATTTTTGCCGATCCAGGCCAGAGTGACACCGAGGGTGAAATGAGCTGCATCGCAAAATCCTACCATCTATGGTGGAGCTTTCCGGCTGCGACGGCGAACCTCAGGATGAAACGAAGCATTGTGGCAACCCCAGAATGCGCCCAAAAAAAAGTCAAAAAGAAGTAGAGTAGGGCTGGCATCATCCTTACAGGAATAAGGGAGGAGGAGGAGAGCACTAAGTTCGATGGAGCCTCGTGCAGATCTCGACTGGGGTTGATCTTACGAGGTACTGGCCCAGGAGTCGGGATCGGCCTCCACCGCCGCAGGATAGAACGGGACGAAGTACCATGGTCCTTGCATGGTCCATGGGTGGTCTTGAAAATTTTCCCTGCAAGATGGGGAGTGTCTGTCGTTGGCCTAGAGATTGCCAGTGGAACTCCTATCTCTTGGCCCTGCATGCCAGGTTGGTGCCAGGGCCTCGAGGATTCAGGCGGAATTGACGTCGAAGGCTGTTGAGAATTCCACGAGAAGAACTGTGGCGTGCGAAGAAACAAACTCTGTCGTTTTCGCAGTCGTAGCAGATTTTCCTCGGAAGCTGCATCAGGGAACGATTTACGTAACCACCAACCAAAGGCGACTGCGGCGTGGGATCTGCCAAGGCTGATCGCTCTGGGCGCTTGGCGGATACGTCAAAAGTCAACCGCTGGCAAAGACCAGGAACAGCCACAAAAGAACAGGGACTAGGTTGACGAAAACTGGCGACCAAAACCGTTTTCGCATTGGATTCTTGGAACTTTAATATGTTCAACTGCTACCGCTATTCGCCTAGTTCTGATTGGATGCGATGACCGTGGGCATCGAGCGGCATTGTCAGCTGATCGGCTGGAGGGTTGCCGACCCCGGACTCTGTACATCTTTGCCCGATTAGAGATTCTTGCATGGATCGAGAGGTTTTCGGGTTCTGGTTTGATTGATATCCTTTGCGCGGGGAAACCCATCGAGGTGGCATCGTTCAACTTTCTTATCTCGCTTTCTGATGGCAGTTCTCCAGTAATACTAGTAGCTCGACAGATCCATAACCCCTGAAGAGGTGGCTCTGCAAAGCAACAAGGACCTGTCGAGTCACACCCAAAGATAAATGGCAAGTCCTATGTAAAGAGTTCGTAGCAAGGGAAAATTAATTGATTACCAGTGGTATTAAAACGACGGTGATTACATCTAGAAACATGGTAGAATCCCAATAACCCGCAGATGTCTCCTGAGATGTTAGGACATCAACAACCAACCCAGGGTCCAGTACAACAACGCAGCAAGGATGCCGAAGGGAGTAGACGAAGAAGGCACGTATACGAACCGCATACCTCTCGCAAGTTCCTGAAAGCCTCCCTGGGGCTTTGAAGCTCTGTGTATACGCCTAGTGTACGAAGTAGTATCATTACTCAATACTTCTATTGACTTGATTATTCCTTGATGGCCTTCGCTTACAGGCAAATTCATGCATCTGAGGCCAGGACTAAATAGGAGGTGCCTGTTAATTCCTATTCCCTAGTTAAGAGAGTTGTTGATAAATGAGGGCTTGTATGTGCCACGTCTAATATTGTAAATATATTACCTTTATCTGTCAATAGAATTCTCACATCGTCTTGTACCTCCTAGGTAATACGCCTGATTGTTTTATCATAGTTCTGGCTAGAGTATGGCGGACATGTTTTTCCAATTGCGACAAAGAGATGGCCTCTATCTGTTATACACTTCAATTTTCTTTACATTCCGAGAAACTGGGGAGGGAGAGGCAAGGAAATAACAAGAAGCGATTGCCACGAGCTCTCCTGTAAGATATGACGCTCTTGTTGAAAAGCTAATCTAATTGCTTAAGGGAAGGAGAACTACCCACGGGTTGTCTACTCATACTTCTCTTTATTCGTTGCTCTGTGCTCATCCACTCTGTTTGCGGACGAGATGTTTGAGTACCATTGTTTAACAACTCTTGAAAGCTACCCAGGCAAGTTACGGCGATATTGCGCAAGGAAAGAAGTGGCCGTACTCTGGCAGTGGTTTCAACATGTCCTACCTGACTCGCCTACCCATTCGATAACAAAATCACTGGTTCTAGTTTAGCACCACCCATTACTGTGACCTTGTTACCTCCCGAGTAGGTATCTAATCGCGCTTGTCTCCGCTGTACGGACTGCCATTACATACCAGGACCTCGAAGCCCTGAAAATACCCATGCCCATGCCTTTTTTCTTTTCTTTTCTGATAAAGTATAAACCTCCCCCTTCCTCCCTTATCAGTCTACTAACTCCCCTCTAGAACTAAATGTGCCGGTGGATAGGGTATCGTCGACTGTTGGTCTAAGTAGGGCAGTTGCCAATATCCCACAAGGCCTCAATAGAGCGAGCGGTGTTTGCAGCGGTAACAAGTCAATTACCTGACAATGACCAGGGACACAGCACTTGCAGCTTTAGCCCACCAGGTTGCGTTATCACTCTCTTAGCTTTGTATTGACAAATTGTGTTTGAGTCTCATTGATAGGGCTGTAACTAGACTTCGCAAGACTCGATCTCCTTGACCCGGCGCCTCTCGATTTGGGATATTATTGATACGAAAGATTGCAAAACTTCCTTCCGCTGTACACAGCAGACTGGGCAACCGGGTTCCACCGAAGCCATCTAAGTACATGTTAAAAAAGACCTCTTGTCCAAGCATCAAGCAGAAAAAATCGTCTCTGCAAAATAAAGTAGAGCATCGGCATGTTGAATAATCCAATGATAACCCACAACTACTGCCACAGCTATCGAGAACCACACGTTTTCTGGTGAGAGGGAGCCGATAACTGAAGACACGAGGAGCATGGCGGCGTCTGAATGCATTGATGTAGCGGTTGCTAAGTGACGAATAAGGAGCATTTTGTGACTTAAATAATCATAAAAACATATCTGCCATCTTCCACCTTGCGCAGATATGCGTCGGATGACAGATCGAGCGCTGGGCAGCACATTTGCTCGAAGCTCGCGGAGGTCTCCCTGTGGAAGAACTTGGCATACCCAATACGACTGAAAACGCCAGCTGGCAAGACCGAACTTCTTGCAAGTAGCAGTCCTATGGAATTTCGTCTGCCCTCATCAAGAAAGGGAAGCGTTGCAAAACGACAGAAGTATATTACGAATCCTGCCAAAGTCTCACCAGATGAATGGTACATCGAACCATCATCGAGGTATTCCGTCAGAAAGCCTCGACCAAATCGACGTTGTCCTACGTCGATATACTGAAGGCGGGGGGCTCGCGTGCCGAAGCCTGGACCGAAGTTGACGGGACAGAGCGGCCCACATAGCTCTATCTTTGCAGCTGATACTGGTCCGAGGGGTTTTGTCGCATCCACGAGAGATATGTCGATCTGGAGGACGCTGCAGGCTAGGTCTTTATCGGGTATGCTTCTCGCACCCTCCGGATTCCAACTGACCGTGCCTTTAAGTGATGCCCACGACCAAGAAGGCGCATGATACTTTTCATATCGTGTACTATGCGGCTCGGCATGCCATAGCAGATCTTCTGGAAGATATGCCCTCCACAACCCCGCCGCATAGTCCAATGGCAAGCATCCAAGGGCGTTCTGGATCACTTGTGCGTACCCTGCTAAGGCGACCAGCTTGTCGGAGTCTTTCGTCAGATCGCAACCAGAGTAGGTGTTTATGGCAATAAGCCAATGCTGGTCGATTCGCGACAAATCAGCTTGATCGGACCTTGCTGCAGCCGACAGCGCTCGCGTCTTTACCGTGAGAGGGTCTTCGGGAACCCCCTTCGGCCACGTCTCGTTTGCCCGAACTCTCGCACACTCCCACGAAACCTGGTCGGCTGCGAAATGGATGGTTCTTCGGGACAATAGCCGCTCCTGCAAGACCCATGCTCGCTTACTAAGGACGGAGCGCTCGATCCCAACGTACCATGCGTACCGGTCATATATCACATACTCACCGGCAAGTAGCTCATTCCACTTTGCTTTGACGATACAGGGGTTCGCAAGGTATTCATTACGTGCCAGAAAGAGGCCACCGTCACCATTGGGGGCTGCGGTGGCTGCGATGTTGATGCGAGCATTCGCGTATATGCTCGCCATGGCAAGTGCTTGGTCCAGCCAGTCACCGAACGAGTCTTGATTAATGCAGAATGCGTCGATCCAAAGGTAGTGTAACCCTAGCTCTCGGGTATAAGTCACGGCATCCTGGAATGTCTTTGTGAGTTTTTCCAATGGGATGTTCTGCGCGAATTCTGCCTCGTTGCTATGTCGGAGAACTGCCATTCGAGTGGTGCCCCAGCAGTGACTGAGAGTGGCATATGACATGTCTGGTGGAAGAGTCTGACCCTCAACGATTCTTAACCTCATCGACGTCGGGTCGTCGATGATTTCAACCAACCTGGCTGGCTTCACAGTGGATAGGGGTGAAGCCAATGGTCGGCATTCGTCGTGGTTTTGTTGGCAATCACTTATCCACTTCTTCACATCAACCAAAGTGCGGCCTCTGATCGCAATTGCCACGTCGGTCGCAATACCTAGGCAGTATTATTGACGCTGTCAATACCAACTCACGTTGATGCACCTGCTTTGACTTTACATACTGTGGGTTGGGAGTAGAGTCATCCCTATCGGACCATACACATGGACAGGAGCTCCATTCTCGTTGATGTAATAGGAGAGCCTCAGGTTCAGAGCACCCGGAATGTCCTCTTCAGGCAGACGGTCTATCTTTATCACTCCATTGAGGTAAGAGGACTGCTCTTGCAAGAGTCTCCGGTGCTCTTTATTCGCCCATTCGTGTATTGCGGTGTCCCGTGGAAGGCGCTGCGATAACAGATTGCATAGGTGGCAGCCACTAGCAGCGGCCAGGACTAAAGCAGCCATGTTGTGATGTACGAGGATTCGAGATGTGGAAGATCGACTGATTCTTGGTGGCAGCTTTGGGCGTCTATCACGATTCTCAGGCTGATTGTCACCAGATATCGAGACGAGATCTTCGTCCGATGCTTGGTTTTCATCGTCAGAAAGTGCATCTATGTGTTCAAAGGGCACGCTGTCTATTTCTGGAGGCTGTTGTGGGCCCTCGAAAAGTCTTCGACACTTTTCGCAAAGGTTGCTCGGTCTCATACTGATGATCCTTCCATCGAACACGATACGCGTAAACCTATGGTAAGAAATGGGATTGAAGCAATCTTAGTCGTGGAGAGCAGTATGATGGTAGAGGCGAGGCTGGTGGACGAAATTCAAGTGAAATATGGTTTAAGGTGGCATGATACTTGTGCCGCACTTTAGAAGAGTGCACCAGGCTCAGGAGAGGAGGAGAGGAGCATAGCAGCAAAAAGAGGTTGTGGACTCCGTACTTGGTAGACAGAAACGCGATTCGAGACTCAGGAAGGGGAGGTTAACCGAATTCCCCCGGGCTGCTGCGTAGCGCCTGCAACAACTGGAATCGTGATAACACTAATAGCTACATAGTAAGCACATGTGTACTTGTTATAGGGAAACTCAAACGGCGCTAATTCATATTGGCCGACAGCGATTCTGGTCGTGGCTCCATTCCGAGACAGAGATTCTTCGGAACTTATGCTTCGGTGGAAAGTAGTTTTGCAATCTACTATAGGACGAGGTATAAAAGTGTACAACGTTGCTCATGTTTACATCTGGAGGATAGGATCTAGCGTTCCAAAACTGAAGCCGCCAAGAGTCGCGTCGGAGAAGATCTCCGCTGTATAGCCCGCCATAGCCTGATCGGGACCCCGCAAGCCTGCATCACGGCCTTGATGATAGTCCATGGAGCTCTGCGTCCTATGGACTGGCCTCTGCTGTGGGATCATTTGACCATTGAACGCTGGATTAGAGAAAGGTAATGCTTGAGCCTGCGAATCTGTGGGTATTCGGAGTCTGCTGTACATGTTCTCCGTGTCTAGATTGAAACCCTGAGCCATGGTCAGAGGCATCATTAGCTCAAAGTACTGCCGGCATTGGGTCAATGTTGGGTTGATGTCGCCAAAAGAACGCAGTAATTTCATGGCTTTTTCGATGGCGATGTTGATGGCGTTGTCATCGAGGTTCTTCAGCAGATTCTGTCGTGCTCGGACTGCGAATGAGGTGGCCAGTGTGGTGAAGATGACTTGGTGAGATCAGATTAGCTTCTGGAGGACAGAGAGAGAGAGGGGGGGGGGGAGAGAGATGGCCTGTTTAGTGCGCTTACATTGTAGAAGAAGCCACCACGGCCCCAAGCTATTCTGTTCATAGTATTCCTCAACAAGTCGGATCAAGTCGCAAGAACATTGGACACATTGCTGAATGCTGGCGGTTAGAATGGCTTTCAAAAAGCCGTCATTTCCTTCCAGACTCTCTAGGCCTTTGTCCAGGCGAAGGGCTGATATCATGTTTGGTCTATGAATCATGAGCCTGGTGTGCAAATAACGAGTCTGTAGACTTCTCTGTTGTTTGCGGAGCTTCGGATTGGAATTGTTGTAGTCAAATCGAAGATGTTCGGGGAGGCCCGAAACCCAGGTAGCAAGTTTGCTCTCCTGTTCAAGAGCCCCTGATATTTGGGTATAGATGACTTCTTTCGTAACGTCCTTTTCTAATCCACCATTTGCCTTCCTTTTGGATGGGGCATTGATAGAACTGGACGAGAGTGCTGATTCAGATATATGGATCAGTTGCATTAGCGAATTGAAAAAGTGAAGCTGTGAAGGCGGTCGTCTTGGATCTTGGGATTTGGCGATGTATGCAGGTAGGATTTGGTCATCGTCCACCGCCGCAGGTTGAACACAGTGACCAGCTTCGATGTTCAGAGCAGGTGGTCGACCGTGTTTTAAACTAATGAATCTGGAAATCGTCAGATATCATCAAGAGTATGATGCAGGCAGATATCGAATACCTGTCAAGAGAATAAATCGACCACCAAAACCTTTTGCGCAGCTCTTTCTCCATCATGCTAATATCCCAGTCCGACGGGTCCAGATGCAAATTTAACGCCTGTGCCGTCCTCACGAGCAAGCCAGTGTTGATCCACATTCGGTGAAATTGCATGCTGCTATTGAGATGCAGTGTCACAAGTAGAAGAGCTTGAACAACTTCAAGGGACGCCAGCTCGTAGCAAACAAGAAGAATCAAATCGGTAGCTCGTTCGTGAAACGCTTGAGCCAGTTCGTGTGTCCGTTTCAAGTCAAGATCGAGGTAGTCGCATCCATAGGCAAAGACCACGTTGACGACGCTGCTGAAAGCTATGCTCGCTGATTTGTGATCATCGTAGAGTGCGTCCAACTCTTTCCGGAAACTGGGCTCGTGCACCAACGGCAGAATCGGAGCCACATGGTCGAAGAACAAATCGACCAAGCGATGGGCAAGTGCACGTGGAGGAAGGACGAAGCAATTGTGGTCCGGGATTTCCTCTCGGAAGTCGACATCTGCATCTTGGTGAGAGAAATCGTCGTCAGGCATATCACTCGATGCAGTTCGTGTCGCGTCCGAGGGCGAGGTCCCAGACGGCGCGACTCCAAAGTCCGCCAATGCCGAATGTATCGACACTTCTCCTGGTCCACCTGTGAGTCTATTGCGACAAGTCAAGACACGGGACGCTAACCGTATCTTATGACTTTCACTAGATCATGGTCCTTCTCAAGCGAGGTACTGTTGGCGTCAGACAGGACAGGTTGGATGTTTTCGACCTGAATAGTCCTCGTCCGAGGTTGAGGATTCCGACAATGGAATTCGCGCACAAGTGCGTCGTCAGTCTGTTGGGGGAGAGAAGGGACATCAAAGCTGGATCTCCCTCCAATTTGCCTGAGTTCTTGCTCGAGACTTCGCACCTTGTGTTCGAGTGTCTCGACATAACTGCAATACCAGAAAATCAGGTCGACTCGTTCCTCTGAAGTATACATGACGCTCACCCTCTATCAATACCAGAGAACTTGCCAGGGCTGTCGTAGATGCATCTCAGGGCCCTCTTGTTGCAAAAAGAGCAAGCCGGACGGGATCCATCGCATTTGTTCTTGCGTTTCCTGCAGGTGAGACAAGCTTGGCCAGAACGCAAACGGTCGATGCCACCATCGTATAGCTGAGAGGTATGTACATCCATATCTGGGCTTATCTGGGTACCATATTGCTCTGTACGGAGAAATATAAATTGAAATTAGTGGCAGAAGAGACGCTGGAAGAGAGACGTTGGTCAGAAGCCCAAACAGCATTTTAAGCGGGGCATAACTGGAAGCCTAATTAGGCCTAGGCCTATTGAGCCTAAGGCTGGGGAAGATTGCGGGGTTGGGTGGGTTATTGTTGGCCTGGGGAGAGTCCACGAGATCACCACAATGCACCCTCCAAGGCTCATGGGCTCGGTACCAATCCCCGAGGTCCCCTTGACGAGGAGAGCTGCGCAGCTGAAACCAAGTCTCCACAATCCCATCAGCGAATTTGGGTTCCTCTAGAGGTTGGGACGGTTCGCTGTGGCCATCTGGGGTTATGTTCCGATTTTGCCATCAGGACAGACCCTTGTGCCTCCGATGTTATACAATACAATCGAATCTCCAGTGCTTAGAGCTCAAAGCCGGGCGCGAGGTTGTACTTCCCCTTTGACCCATGGGCTCGCATCCTCCACCTTGAAATCAAACACTCGATGGTTTTGCCCTTGTGGAGGGATATTCTTCGGAACATACGCTGTCCCGTTCTGCACCGAGCTCGCCGCAGCATCGAACTCTTCATACGCATATCTCTGGGGGTCATGTCCGAATAGCCAGCTGGGAAGAGGCATAGACAGAGACTGAGGATTCTTCTTAGCAAGCTCCCAGTCAGTCTTGTGCCAGATCTCCCGTGTTTCTTTGCCAATCTGTTGTGCCAGTGACGCACGAGCATATCTGGGATCAGTTAGTCGACCAAAAACCATCATGGGCGAAGAAGATTACCTCAGTCTTTCGCATGTGCGCAAGGCCAGCGGCACTTTGGTTTTACCGGCGAGCTCAAGGCAAATAGCAATTGTGGCTCCGTCTTCGATCGCCTGCCCGGCTCCCTGGGCGCTAGTGGGTAAGAATGGATGTGCAGAATCACCGATGAGGATAATCCTGGCGTGCTCGGAAACCCATTTTGGGAGAGGATCTCGCCAAACCAATTTGTAATCGACCAGTTGGTTCTTGGGGGTAGCCAGAACAACGTCAAAAATACGCTCGTGCCAACCTTTGACATAGTTCAGCACATCCTCGTGTTTCCCGGGGAACGACCAGGACTCCGCAACATTATCATATTCGTCCTTGTGCGTTATTGTCCATACCACACCCTTCATCCCTGAGCATGTCCCCAGAATGCAGTGCATGTCATTTCCAATATATGTTTCCATCTTGTCAGAATCGCCCTCGAACATCCATGCGAGCTTGGGATTTTTCTTGGCCTCGGTCGCATCGAACCAAGCTCGATAGGTAGCATAGCCAGTCGGGTACGGCCGATCGTCAATGCCCACCACGAAACTGCGTGCCTTCGAATGGACACCATCGCAAGCTATGACGCAGTCTGCAGATATCTTTTCGCCCTCGACCACGATGCCAGCGTCGGTTTCCGTCTCAAAGTAATCTTGAATGCATTTGTCAAAGTGAACGGGGACCCCAAGATCTCGGAGATGATTCGACAGAATAATCGCCATAGGACCACGTGGAGCGGTGTAACCAGAGCCAGCATTATAGCCCACCATGGGTTGAGGGTAGAGAATCTCGCCAGTGTCAAATCTTCTGATGTTGTTCGCTCGCCACGAGGACAGAATAGGTTCAAGTCTTCGGTGAACACTGCCGTTCCCCCATTTGGCGACTATTTGCGCTGCGTTTCCAGTGATACCGATAATATCGCCAAGTTGTGAGATGCCCGGCCATTGTTCGTACACGACTACGTCGTGACCTTTGCGATGGCATTCGACAGCAGCCGCAGCTCCAGAATATCCCAGTCCAACGATGATGACTTTGATTCCGCTCGATCCTGGGTGGGCAACACCGTCAGGCCCAACACCCTTCATTTTGCGAGTGCAATACTTGAAAGCAGAGATTGAAAGTTATCGGCTTTGGGTTTCTGGATTCGAAACACCCCTCAAAAGCAAGGGCCATTCTAGACCCAACATCGGGGCGTGCAGCGACACTTCTTGAGTCCATTTTGGGGGGCCGATCTCTCAGCCTCGAAGCATTGACAAAACATGGGACATCTACCACTCAGTCAGGGACCCCTCAAAATCTTGAAAAGCCTATCGCAACCCCGAAGGCGTGGACAAAATGTTGACGTTGAACGTTTCGAGTGTCGGGGCCCACTCCGGGCATTGGAGCAAGATTCGGGCCCACTCCGGCGGTTACTCCAACACAGCCATCCAATTAGGAGCTTTGAAGCAGACTGCCTCGAACATAGAGACCACCGGCCAATGAGAGATGAGGCAGGCTTTGATCAGCCCCTTGTTCTCTGCTATCGAAGGAGCAATTTGGAACCTGAGATTAATAGTTTCTAACCCAGAACAGCTGACTCATCATTTTCGACACAAGCCCGGCAAGTCCTCTGGCCACCAACAATGTCACTTGCCAATTTGCTGAGAAATATTGCTTATCAAGGAGAGAAGTTAGAGAATTTCCTTGGGAACGACACGCCTTCTCTCTTCGAAACTGCTGCGTGGAAGTACGACGATGAATTACTGCCGCGCGAAGCATGGGAGGCGTCGCAAATGTTGATGGCAGACTGCCAACAACTGATAGCGCTTCTCATACCAAGAAAACTGAAGTTGATGTACGAGAGCATCTCAAACAATGCGGCAGTGGCGTTGGAAGTTGCGTGTGACCTAAAAATTGCCGACAAGATTGCTGAGAATGGTGGAGAGATGACATTAACTCAGTTGGCCAGAGCCTGTGAAACCAATGAGCACAAACTTGGTGAGCACAACTGTGCTGAGAGAACTTGGTCCTGTGTTGACGGTCTTGTCTCAGGATGTACCATGCGAGTATTGACTCACCGCCATGTCTTTATGGAAGTCGCACCTGATGTCTTCCGAAACAATCGCCATAGCACAGAGTTGATATCTGGAAACGGGGCGCGAGAATGCTGTTTGCTCGAGTACATCTACCGTAATGCCCTTTGATCCGCTCTGCGCGCTAAATATCTCTTGCAGGACTCATGATGCCTATAAGGCAGGGCCGGCCTGGCTTACCATCATGAAAGACCCAAAACGGATGCACAGCATTGACGCAAAGGACGGAGCATTCGCTGAAGTGTTTGGCAAGAGTGTCCTCGAATACATTTTCACACCCGAAGGTGCCACCTGTATGACGAACATGACTGTTGGAGTACCGTGGATGTCAACCATCACCGTGGCAGCCACATGTTTCGACTTACCATGGGACAGCTACGGATCGACAATCTGTGACGTTGGCGCCGGCTTGGGTAGTGTGATGCTTGAGGTCAAGAAGACGTTTCCGTCCTTGAATGTGATATGCCAGGAACTCGAGCACATGATTCCAGTCTTGCAGAAGGTATTACTGACACTCTGTTCTTCTCCGGCTTGTCTTCTAACACCTGCAGACTTTTGAAGGCTATGAAAGTGAAATGGAAAGAGGAGAAATAAAGCTCGAGGTGCATGACTATTTCACTCCTCAAGAAACTGTCGCCGAGGTTTACTGGCTACGTGGCGTTATGTAAGGGGGAATTTCTCCGCGTATCCATCAGGATGACTGATTTGATGCACAGACGAGAGTATGAGGACGAAGTCGCTGCAAAAGTATTGGCAAATCTGAAGCCTGCCCTGAGAATGAACCCAAAAGCAAGGGTGTTTGTAAATGAGCTTTTCATTCCTCGGCTTATTACGCCCCAAGCAGCGTCCAGCAGCACAGCCTCACAAAACATGTCAATACAACAATCCGGATGGCCAATGATCACACAGATGCAGCAGCTCGGTGGCCAACAACTCTTCAGTGGAAAGGAGCGAACCTTTGAGGAGATCAGGAATATTGGCGAGATGGCGGGTTTGCGATTTGTCAAATATCATAGATTCAGGATGTTTACTGGAGTCGCCGAATTCGAGCTCCCTTCGAGCTCGAAGTTGTGAGTGGTTTGAAGGGTCTTGAAGGGTCAGGACGGCCTTCGAACCTGTGGTGTCGGTTTCCTCTCTTGGAGGAACAGTGCTGTAAAACCTTCATTCGGAAGTACTAAAGACATGGAAGGAGCGAGGAAAGACCTATCCAGAAGTAATAATAAGTCAGAGCAATATTTCTGGAGGGCTTGATCTGAGGCTGACAACGTTCCATGATATGCCTTCTCTTGACCCTTTTTAATCATAAACCACAAAATTGCTCCCATCTAGATCTATAACATCCTCCATCGTCCAATTCTTATGCCGATACCCGTCAGGAACATTCTTTGGCACGAAGTCCCGGTTGTTTCTTATGCAGTCAGCCACTTCGTCAAAGGACTGATAAGCATAGGCTTCAGGATCCCCACCAAACAACCAGTACGGCTGCCTGAAGTCCAGGATCTTCGGATCTTTCTTCACAGCTTCCCAATCGGTTCGATGCCAGAGATGGCGCAATTCCCAACCCATGCGTTGAGTTAGATTTGTACGAGTGAAACTGGATGAGGTTAGTCGAAGCGTATTTAGGTCATAAGAGTGGACAGGAGAAACTCACCGGATCTTTTCGTATGCACGCAGCCCAAGAGCAGTATTCTCCTTGCCAGCCCGGTCAAGCACAGCTCCTACGGTTGCACCATCCTCAATTGCTTGGGCCGCACCCTGACCAGAACTAGGAAGGTGTGGATGAGCTGCATCACCCACCAGAGCGATCCTACCATGTTTGGAGACCCAGGATGAGGCAGGGTCCCTCCAAAGTAGCTTCCAGTCGATCAGCTTCTCAGGCGGTATTGATTCGAAAATCGTTCTCAGTTTTTCGTCCCACCCTTCAACCACTTTCAACAAGTCCTCTTTCTTGCCTGGAAAGCTCCACGACTCCTCCGCTGTGTAAGTGTCCTGTATAACCCCAGTTGGCATGGCTCAAGAAGACACAAGAGCATGCAAAGGGAGAGAATATGTTTGTTATTGGACACTCACCCTGTGCGTACAGAAACATGCCAACCACTGTAATTTCACGTTGGTCATGACGAGTGCGTGAACGTCTGGCCCAATCCAAGTCCAATATCGATCTTCTTTTGCATTGATGATGTCGCCAAGTAGAGGGGATTTGGGCAAAGCTTCAACTGGAAACCAGCAGCGGTATGCTGCAAAGCCACTTGACTTGGAATTTTCGGGGCTTTTGTTGACCAAAGACCTAGCTTTACTATGCACTCCATCTGCTGCTATCACTGCATCTGCAGTGAACTTCTGATCCCCAGAATAGACCCCGGCTTCATGCTCGTCTTCAAAATATCGAGATATGCGAACACCGAAGCAAACTTCAACACCTATCGATTTTGCGTAGTCAAAAATGATTCGGTGCGCACGACCACGGCTGGGGTAAATGATGGGGAAGCCGTCATAATTCAGAGGCAGAACCTGTTTGTTAAGGAGCTCTCCTTGGGAGTTCTGACATTCTAGGAATTTCGGTCGGGCTGAATCTTCCGCAACTTTTGCCAGTACATTTCCCCATTTGGCCAAAATCTTGGATGCGTTCGAAGGTATTTGAATGGTGTCACCTGTCATCAGCATCCTCAGTATCATGCAATGCTGGCGCGCTCCAGGACCGATAATGACTGACCTTGCTCAGTAAGTGTTTTGGTGCTCTCAAAGACCAGGACAGATGCCCCCTTCCGCCTCAATTCTATTGCGGTGGTGAGGCCTCCAAATCCGGCACCTACTATTATCACGCTGACGTTATCGAGATTCGACATATCTTTAGTGGTAGAAGGATTCTGAGGCTTCAAAGTCCTCTCAGAGGAAGGTTGCTGGTTCGGTACCGAGTGACCTTCCGTTGCCGGCACACTGATACTAAAATATTTATTGGTTAGACGATTGGAGACCGTCCCGCTGAATACTCCATGCGCCTATAAACGTGATTGCCACAAAGATACTAGTACTTCTGGGCAAGTACATTCTAAGATGGGGATATACTGCCCACTCCGAGCGTGGAGAATGCATGGGGATTGTGCGGTGGGATACTAGGTGGGGTTGACCTTCTCATCACTCGGATTGCCTCTACAGAAGTCAACTGACGAGGTTGAATGACTCCTCCCGAGGAAGAGATTATCTCGACTTTTGTTTACCAGACTTCTCTCTCGATGTACGAGGAGTAACAATGACGGCCAGCGAGAAGTTGATCGTCATCATCGGTGCAACTGGCACGCAAGGGGGCTCAGTTGTTGACGCCTTTCTCGAACTACCCGGCTGGAGACTTCGAGGTGTCACGCGTCATGCATCAGGATCGAAAGCCCGGAAATTGGCAGCCCGGGGCGTTGAGATCGTTGAAGCAGATCTCGACAACTCGGAATCACTTATACGTGCATTTAATGGAGCTCATGTCATATTTGGAGTGACTGACTTTTGGAGGCCGCTGAGCGACCCAAATCTCAACAAACATCGAAATCGAGGACAAGACCTAAGCCAGTGGGGTTATGAGTATGAGCTTCAACAGGGAAAAAACATATTCGACGCAGCAACCAAAATACACACCTTGGAGCGTTTCGTTTTCTCTACAATTGCCGACGTGGCTGAACATAGTGAAGGAAAGTACACTGGTGCCTATCACGCAGATACAAAAGCGCATGCGGAGCGATATGGAAGACAAAGATACCCCGAGCTTTGGAAGAAGACCAATACTATTCAAATTGGTGTATATTTGTCAAATTTTGCAGAACTTTCCACAGAGATGCCTAAGAAAGTACGTACGTCGAAGGTCAAACTTCCGAGAAAGTAACTAAAATTCAATCATCTAGGAATCAGACGGGTCTTTCAGCTTCGTCAGCCAGTTTGCTGTTGAAACTCCACTCCCATTGATTGCAGCAAACGAGGATACTGGTCTACTAGTGAAAGCCTTGCTCAATGAGCCTCCGGGGACAAAACTCATAGGCTACAGAGCCTGGATGACATTCGGAGAATTTGTCGAGATATGGAGTAAAGTACTCAATGTCAAAGCCAAAGTCACTACAATTCCCATCAGTGACGTGTTAGACAAGATGCCAGGGGACCTGGATTCTGGCGTCAGAACAATGTTGGCAGAAGGCATGGCAAATATGACAGAGTTCGGGTACAAACTACGAGAAGATCCCGCTTTGACACAGCCTTACGAAGTGAGTCGACCTCCTCCTTCACTCAAGAATACCTAAATGTACGTCAGCTAATTCTCTGCCAGCTGCGACATCAGCCTCAACTAGGTAGCGTGGAAGAATGGGTGAGGAAGCAGGACTGGTCTGCAGTGCTGAACAATGAATAAATTCTGCTACATGTTTCGAGAGGGCATGCTGCGGCGTTGTCGTTAATTCGGGGAAGATACCATAAACCAATAGTCGTAGCTATCAGAAGTGTCAGAAAGTAAGACACGCCCAAGCCCTTGATTTACTGCCTCTAGTTAGTTGGTCTCCCCTTTCCATGGGCAATCCACAGGCAATCCACAACTTCGACCGTCTCAATCTTTGACAAGAAGCAGTCAGCTCGGGTATGACTTTCGCAAGCTCGCTCTCCACAGCCCAATCCCGATAAGGAAAGTTACTCTCTGCAGCTCCTTGCAAACCAAGCCGATGTGGAGAATCGGGGTCTTGCCGCCGAGTGTCAGTGGGTTCTGTTAGAATCAGTCAAAGCCACAGTTAGTGTATCGAGATGCCCGTTTCTAGCTAGTCATAACCTCGACGCTCAAAAGTGCAGATACTCCGCGGAAAGACTTCATAGCGTCATTTTATTTTATTTTGTTCTATTTTTTGAATAGAATATTGGAACTCTATCGACGCTTTGAATTCCTTGAGAAAATATCAAAACCATCATGACTAGTACGGCGGAGTCAGAATGGATGGACGAAGTACAGCCATAAATCGGTGGTTCGAAAGGAAGTATATTGGCTGACCCAATCTCTAGACCAACCTGACAACAATCAAAACTCTGCGAGAGAAATTAGGAATGCCCGCAAGCAAGGTATGTCCGCCGAACACACCTTCTTCCCCCTGCTGAGCTGGTGACGCGAAAAAAAAACAACCAAAAGAAAATAGAGATCAATTCACAAGATGGTGCAACCTAACATTCTGTATACGACGCCCCCAGTACCACAACCCCTCCCTAGAAAAAGAAGAAGAAGAAATCCTCGCACACTACAAAGCCTGGATCCACTTCAACCACACCGACTTTGGCAACAAGTCGCGGGCCAAATCCTTCTACGATCTCCCAGAAACCATGTACTTCGACCTCATGAAGGTGATCCCCCGCGGCGGCTTCGGCCAACACTACGATAGCATCGACGCGTACTACGACGACTCGCACCTCGCGTGCAAGGATTTGGAAATCGTCGCCACGTCCAAGCAGACTGGGTACGCGACGATGATCCAGCGATATTGGGGCACGGGGACTGACGGGAGGGAATTTTCCTTCACGTTTAGAATGACGAGTTTGTTGAGGAAGGTGGAGGGAGGGCAGTGGAAGTGGATTCATGAACATGTTTCGTTTCCCGCGGATTTGGAGACCGGGAAGGCTGATTTCACCTGTGGAACGGGCACGTCGGGCAAGCCTTCTTGATTGAAATTTGGGTCAGGATTAGGCAATGATTGTGAGTATATCCCGTGCACAACTCAAGTAGGCTCACAAGCCCCCTTAATCATTGACTGCCCCTTGCAGCATCAACATTGGTCTCCATCGGTGATGGTCTTTTGCATTTCACCCATCTGGAAATCTGATCCTCGTAATCAAAAGTTGATCCACGATCACAGTGAGGCCTTCAGCGTCGACACGACATTGGCATCTTCCAAAAAACAATCAATCATCCGATGATATATGCCCGGATTCTGAATAAAAGTAAGGTGTCCCGCACTCGGCATCTTGAGATAGCTCGAGTTCGGAATGAACTTTGCCATGCGGTCGTGTGTCTCTGGTGGAATCCACTCATCATGATCACCCGTCACGATCCAAACGATCGGAGCGTCTTTACTCTCCCCTCTGACAGGAACGTGCTTGAAAGTCTCGGCGGTCCAAATCGGCTCCCGCGTCCACATTGTCATCCACGCACCCAGAAAGTCGTCCCATTTCTGGCCCGGGTGCGTCTCCTCCCATTCTCGCCGCGTGCGAGCAAAATACTCCCCCACCATCCAAATCTGCATGACTTTCTCAGCATCGGCTTTTCTGTAGTCGTCGAGGGCTGAGTAGCAGAATGCGCGGTCGATGCGATGATGCTGGTCGTACGCGAGCATCGACCAGGCGAGCATGGTCCCTTCAGACCAGGAAATAATCGCCACCTTGGGAACTTTCAAAACATCCAGGACCCCCGCAACGTCGCTGGCGAGCTTTTCGTAAGAGAGCTCTCGGTCGTCGAATGGTGACCGCCCGTGCCCCGGCAGATCAAGTACAATTACCGTATGATTTGGCGCGAGGTATTTGACCTGTAGTGCGTTCCAGTCGGAGCTGCTGACACCCCCATGCATCAGCAAGATGGGTACTCGTCCAGCGCGCAGAGTCTTTTCGAGCGGGATTCCGAATATTGCATGCCAGAGCCGGATGCCTCTTTTCGTCTTTACGAGTCCCTGCTGCTCGGCTTCAGATAGGTCTAATTTCGGGGTCGGAGGGAAAATATCCCAGGGAACAGTATCTTGAGGCATCTGATGATTGGGAAGAGGAACAAATGTGCCTTCTCTATCTGAGCTCCGTTCAGGTCGGCTCGGTTTAGATGAGCTCAGCTCATTCAAGACTTGGGCGAGGTGTAGCAATCTATGACAGCTGACGGCGACCCTTGCCAAGATGCACAAGAAGCACGCATCCACGAGTTTGAAGACAGCATCCTCCCCTTCGTGAAGCACACCGACCATAACTCCCCCATCTGGAATGTTTTCGGGCAACATCCGAGAAGAGTCATTGCTTGACCTTTGGCGGGCGGGAGCCGACGTCGCCCCGCCGAGATATAGAGTTACGTGGAAAAGGGGCACCCCGACGCCGGGCTTCCAGCCTTCTCCAACGCTTGGAGACTTCATATCAAACTACGCTTCGGGGGTTCAACAATGGCCGACAAAGTGGTAATTATCAGGCTGGTAATTAGTACTTGAAACTTGTGAATGGAAACTCATTCCCTTTGTAATATTTTACCATAGTTTGCTCTTGCTTTCCAAGGGCGGCTAGTGAAGATTCAAGCAGACGTGTAGACGAACTGGTCTCGGTTCACATTCAAATAGAGAATTGTGGAGTCTCACAGCCATATCGGCACATTGTTGGTATTTCTAAAGGGACAACAGATAGCTAATATAATTTTGCTAAATTCTCAAGAGAGGAGCGAAATATTGGCCTTCGAGATTGATCTATCCGAGGTTTGTCTAGATCTTCGCCTGCAGAGTGGCAGTTCCATTGAACAACTTGTCACTCGGTGCATCCTTGAAGTCGCTGATGCGGTGGTTCACTTCGGGCGGCGGCACGTTAATTGGCACATAAGTCGAACCAGTTTCGACAGCGTGAGCCGCTATATCAAACTCGTCGTAGGCGTATTTTTGAGGACTGTGTGCAAAGAGCCAGGCAGGATTTGGCATGGAAACCGTTTCTGGCTGCGACTTTACCACCTCCCAGTCGGTTTTGTGCCACAGGTCGCGGGTTTCAATGCCCATCTTCTGTGCCAAAGATGCTCTGGCATGCCTTTGAATGATAACCCATCAGCCATGGTTCCCGAAATTATGGAATTTCTCTGCTCACCTGAGCTTTTCGCAGACTTGCAGTGCGAGTGGAACTCTCTTCTTCCCTGCCAGTTCCAAGCAGATGGCGATAGTCGCACAGTCTTCAACTGCTTGACCTGCCCCTTGGCCAGAAGTCGGCAGAAAAGGGTGCGCTGCATCTCCCAATACGATCATCCGATTGTATTTTGACGTCCATCTGGGTAACGGGTTTCGCCAGGCTAGTTTATGGTCGAAGATCTGGTTTGCAGGTGTGTGCTTGATGACTTCGTGTATCCTTGAGTCCCAGCCTTTGATGTAATTCATGGCGTCCTCGATCTTACCTAGTTGGGTCCATGATTCGGTAACGTCAAAAGTGTCTTTATGGGTGACGGTCCACGTAATGAGCTTTTGTTGAGAGCAAGTCCCGAAAATGGCATGCATATTGGGCCCAATGAAGACTTCCATTTTGTCATAGTCACCTTGGAATAGAAACTGGAGCTTTGGATTGTCGCGAATGAGATCAGCATCATACCAGGCGCGGTAGGCTGCATAGCCCGTTGGATAAGGCCGGTCCTGCCAGCCAGTGATGGTACCCCGGGCTTTCGAATGGATTCCGTCGCAGGCAAGTACACAATCCGCCTTGATCCTCGTACCACTTCCTTCAAGGATGATCCCCGCCTCGTTCTCATCTTCGAAAACATCAATCACTCTGTGTCCAAAGAAGATAGGTATTCCGAGTTTTCGGCAGTAGTCCGCAAATAGCTTCATGAGCACAGGCCTTGGAGCGAGATAGCTTTGGAAATCCGTGTACCCAGACATTGGTTGACTGAACAGGATCTCGCCGGTGTCGTGCTTGTGAATATTATTCTCGACGTACTGACCTGCATGTGGAATGATTTGCTCGTGGATCCTGCCTCCGTCCCATTTTGCGATGATTCTGGCAGAATTGGGGGAAAGTCCGATCATATCGCCTGTCAACGCCAGGACCGTTAGCAACTGCAGAGTTCCTCGGATGACACCTACAGACCCAATACTGAAACGCCTGGTGTCTGCTCATATATCGAAACTCCGTGACCTTTCCGATGGCATTCAATCGCCGCAGTCACACCGGCATAACCAAGTCCAATGACAATGACATTGATGCCGCTGGAGCCAGGATAGGCGATACCGTCCGGGCCAGTTCCGTTTCCAGTGCACTTCATTTTGAGGGTAGAAGCGATGTTGATGCTTATGTTGTTGTGTTGGTAATACTATTGATATCCGGCTTAATGAAGGAGACCAATGTTAGATGAGCTGGGTGCCCCTGGGGAATATACGATGAGAGGACCATATCGAGAAACTTTGGAAAATACTATATAAGAGACTTTTCCCGTCAACACCACCTGCCACAACTCTGCATTGTTGAGAAGGTAAATGTGGAGCTGTGCAGACTCGTAAGGGAAAAGCACCATCAACGGGTCCCGACGTTCAAACGTCCGGCCTTGCAACTTCCCCATTCTTTCCCACGGGCGATGCGGCGGTAAACATGCTTGGGGAAGTGACTCACGCCTAGGCCCCAAGTCACTCTGAAAGTGTGAAAAATGGCCTAGCTAATGCAACTATTACGTTCAAGTTCTCTCGTATTAAGTCCCCCGGGGAAAGGGGGGTTGGGGTGGTGGGAGGGGGTCAATCAGAAGATAGGAACACTTCGAAAGAAATAAAGCGAAACTGGGATTCACCTTGTGTGATTATTCGCTTTGGAGGAGCATTAAACAGCATCTGACATCGCAATACACTTCAACCCAAGTCAGATTCTCAGACTCTTTACCCTTCAACCACCTCTGTGTCTCGACCGAGCCCGAGATATGGCTAAAATTGCTCTCAAATCGATTCCACATGGTCATGTACCTCTCTTTGCTTGTCCTCAACTACATTCACTCCGATAGCACGGGAGTTCTCTGCACGCGTACACTTATAGTTCCTGAATTTGCGTGCACCAATCTTCTCGTCGAACATCTCATCAATTTCCTCCAAAGTGCGATCTTTCGTCTCGGGGACCACGAAATAGACAAAGATGAGGATAATGACGTTGGAGGCGAACCAGATGTATCCGTATTTACCACTCTATCCTCGTGTCAGCTCCAAGTTGATACCATTTCGAGGCTGTTTACTTACCCAGTTGAGGTCTAAGGGATTCAAAAAGTATGGGGCTGTAAAAGTGGCAACCCAATTCCACGCGAATGAAATGCCGATAGCCATACCTAGAGTATAGCCGCGGAGTCGTTGTGTCGGGATCTCTCCTGCGCAGAGATAGAGATATGGGGCAATGCACATGTTGTAAAAGAAAAGGTAAATGATCGTAAAGGCAACGAGCACCCTCCCACCCGTGGCACTGGTTGAGAGATGTTGGAATACCACAGCCACAATCAGCATAGAGATTGCCTGAGCTGCAAAACCGATCATTAAGATCACCCGCCGTCCGATGCGGGTAATCAACCACATTGAGAAGAGAGTTGCGGCCAGCCCAGCAGCGGTCATTCCTACACTTTCCGCAAAGGCATTTGTCTGGCCTGCAATGGCAAAAAAGTAAGTTCCGTAGACTAGGATGAACACTGCGCCTGAGCCGGTAAGACAGGTCATAAGTGCCACCGATAGGAGCGTTCTGCGAAGGTTTGTTTTGCGGAAGCAGTCGAAAAGTGCCACGTTCCCGGTCAGTGTGTTTTCCGCCTCGAAGGACGTGGCTATCTCTTGCATCTCTGCCTCGAGCAGTTGAGGGCTGGTATCCTTGTTTCGGAGCCTGCCTAAAGCCTTTCTCGCCTGGTCTGGTTTGTTATGTTCGATGAGCCATCTCGGGGTCTCTGGGATGAAAGGCAATACGACCATTAACATAACCGGAACAACGAAAAATGTGTAGAGTGGGATCCTGAAGGCGTTTCTGCTCATGATGGTTGATGTGTAGTTGTCCACGATGGATCCAATGAGCAAGCCAATACTAACAAAGACATTGAAGGCTCCAAGAAGAGACCCTCGCTGCATTGCTGGAGCGCATTCATGGATGTATAATTGTGGCAATACGTCGAGGATGCCAACTGAAAGGCCCATGACTATTCTGCCAGCATAGAGCGTTGCTAAATCTTTTGCAACTATCATAAGAACGACGGCGAGGTGATTAATGCAGCAGCCGACGAAGATGACCCATTTTCTGCTGAGATATTTGCCCATTATGCCAATACATAGGCAGGCAACAAAGGAGCCAAGTAGCATCAGCGAACTGATAAGTTGTTGGACTGTTGGGTCGATGCCCCAGCCAAGGGCTGAGGTTTTCGAGGGAAACCCGAAAATCATGAGAAATCCGGGCATTGCCTGAAAACCAGCTATAGCCCCAAGATCGAGACCTTTTGACGTGAGTTGCCAGACAATCTGCGCACGAGGCAGCGAGACAGCTGTGACTTACCAAGTTGAAACCCTCCGAGAGAAACTAGCCCACAGTAGAAGAAGGCACGATAGTGGTGGAAGAACTTGGCCTTGGTGGACACCAGCTCCACGTGGTTCGCTTCATCAGGCATGATGGTAGCTGTGACTGTAGCAGGCTTCGACATGCTGAATTGGAGTTGGTGAGATTGCAAAGGGAGGGTGATTGTCTTGGAGATCCAAGCAAGAGGTTGTGCTCGCTATAACAACTTGATCTTGACCAGAGTCTTTGCAGAAGATGGAGAAACCCAAAAGCTTCAAGTTGGAGTCCTTTACGAGGTCGCTCAGCAGCCTCTGTCTCTCCGCAATGAACGCTGGATGTCTGAACCTCAGTTTTCGTCCAGTAGTCACACTTCCGTCAATGCCTGTCTACATAGTATTCGAGCCCTCCAGAGCCTAAAGCACTGCTCGGTTCAAAAGACGTTAGTCGCACACCCGCGCCATCTTCCCCGTGGGGTTTTGGCTATTGGTCAACAAGATCCGGTCGAGGCTGAAGTGACTGCGCGCCGAGTCCCTGGAGTCAATAATATGGCCGACCTCTTGATCAGATTGCAAATCACTGGTGCGAGCGTATTGGCGTCGCTGACATTCCTAGACTTCTTTCGAGACATGAACCGGGCCTCGGTGAATTCGGCATTCCTATCAACCTATGCAGTGGGAGGCCTGCGGGTGGAAGCCGAAGTCGACGGAGTGGGGTCCCGATGCCCTGGGGCATACGTGCATTAGCAAGTAATCCCCGCAATCGCAACCACGGCCTTGCACAAGTGGCTCAAGCTCGAGGTCTCTAGGCCTGTTGAGAAAAGCGCCGCTTCGTTGACGATAGGCCGCAGACAGCCCTGACAAGAGCACGGACGACCCTAGTGGTTGATCGCCATGGCTGACTGGCTGACTATGGCGGCCTCTAACAAAAGTCGGCCAAGGCGCCATTTGCGGGCGAAATTGGACCTCGATTCCGATAACGTCGCCGTCGACTATTATCAGGATCAGTGTGCCTTGCCATTTTTGGCCCTGTTGGCGGACGGTCGAGCCGCGGTATAGTACTATGTTTCGCTAGCGGCCAGTCATGGAGCTGTTGAGTTGAGGACCCGGAGAATAGGTGGAGATACATGGCGGCCATATAACAGGAGCAATTCCTCAAGCCAGTCCATAGGCAGACAGAGCAATCAATGCATCCCAGTATCGTCCTGATTGCAACAGGATCGACGTAGCTGCCGCATCTTTGCATTACGCAGCAACTCTAAGTGGCGGCACGACAAAAGGAATGGGAGAATGCATATTTGTCGGGGGACAAAGAATACAGGAACAGATAGGGCCTAGGGGGGGTTTGGGGTTTGGACCGAAGATCCGATATTGCTATCCAGCACACTAATGAAATACAAGATGAGAGACCAAGGACCTGAAAAAGGGTCTAACTCGAGGGAAAGTACTAATATAGATGTACCTCTCCTTAGAAAGGAGACGCAGTCCCTTTAGCACATTCCGAAGCTCAAGATAATAATATTCCAAGCGTTAAAGCATTCGTAACTACATACTATGTCGCCTTCTCGATAAGTGTTAGATCGATTCGAACTGATTCGACTTAGCTTACTAGTGAAATAATAAAAAAGAGAGATGTTCGATCCTAGTCGGCAGCGCATTTTCTCGAAATGTTAATTTTTATCTCTTTAATTTTAGTCTTATTTTAAATCGATCTAGCCTAGTTCGAGCCGACTCAAAATGATCTTAAAATCGATTGGGCTTAGTTCGAACCGATCTCGAATCGGGTCAAATCAGTCTAGTCCACCTATACACACACCCCTTAAATCGAGTCCAGCCCAGGCCAGAACCGGGCTGGAGCCGGTTTAACACTAGGTGGGCGGGCAATATAATAGCAAAGGGTTTCGGAACAATCGCAACAGGGCTTTGAGACAGCCTTGGAGGGCTTAGAAGGGTTCCATGAGGTTTTGAGGAGTTCGATTTGCAGCTTCATGGTTTGCGCATCCAAATCGTTGTTGTTCCCAAGGAACGGTGAGAGGGGAAGAAGCAAGGATTTCAAAGTTATCATGAAAGTTAGACCTCTGATGACTCACCTTTCAGCCTTGCTATTGGAGATTTTGATATCTCTTGATATATATGTAGTCTAATTAGTAACAAGTATTCTTAAAGGGCCTCTAGTATTTTTGTAATATACTTTATATACGTCTTATAGTTCTTAAAGAAGATTAATATGTCGTCCAAGTACATATCCTATAAAATATAGGATCGAAGTGTTCCCTTGATATGCTAGCAAACACCATTTTTTAGGAATTTTGAACCGTGATCGATATAATATTTCTAAGTTACTAGTAGTGCTAGTATGCGATCAATCGCGGATTGGAGTCTTGATAGAATTGACAGAATTTAAACTTATAATTCTAGATCAGAGCCCGGGTTAGATATGCGATCGATGGTTGGAATCCCTCGTACATTGGGATATCCCATCCCCTGCGAAGCTCCTGCTTGAAATTGTTACTACCTCTTAATCCTTCGATGTACTGAGGATACCACTATGTGCTAGGCAATGATATGTATACACTCTTCACCTCAACTTACTTTCACGAGCAAACTACTATAGTATGTACGACATGACACACTAGTTTGCAACATTCTCTAGCCTTTACAGTGTGAACGACAGAACCCTATCAACCTCAGTGAAGACAGCGACAATGAATAATTGGGAGATAACTTCGATAGAGCCCCCTCCTAGTACCCCCCGACACGGTGGATCTGGAAGACGATGACAGTTCCATGGAGATGATTGACGACGGGTCTACTGATCATGTTCGACCCAATCCACGCCAATCTACATGAAGCCCATGAATAGTAACCTTTGTCTTCGGGATCAGTAGGAATAGAAGGCCCTAGTGATGGAGGATTTGCACACGAGGGTACGTGCTGGAGAGAGGGCAGGAGCGAGTGTATCAGAAAGTCGAACAAATGATTACAATGGTTTCTACTGCAGGGAGTGAGGGCAATGACTTACAAATTGCTCCGAAATGCGCAAGGAAATTCAGTGACAGACAAGCGCAGCACCAAAAGTCCCCAGAACAGTCTAGCCGCCAGTCGTTTCTAGTGTGTGGCTGGTGCATACGGTGGCGTTTTGCAATTTGGTGTCTGCATAAATGGATTTCAAAAGCTGTTGCGCTATCACCGCCAATGGCCAGCTTATCACCACGTGACTACCACTCAACGACTCAAGTAGGAAGATGGGTTGGTCGGTATTTGAAGACTGATCCGAGAAGTCATCTGTTTCATCCAAAGAAAGATCCAGTTCGTGATCTCCAGGCCACCGTGGGAGTAGCCTGGATCTACCCAGGACCGCGGTAGCGAATGCAGTATCCATCGTTTGAACCTGCTTTCTCGGGAACTTGATGTAGCGTAGCGGTCGTGGGCCCGCTTCGCCTTAGTCAGTCGCTGTTATTCAAACTCAGTTATCTAGTAAGCCGGTCACGGATCAAATCAATGTCAACTGCCTCCTCAATAGCCAATGAATTGATGGAACGCAGTGCGAAAGACGACATGGTATCTGAAAAGGTCGAGGTTTCCGTGGGCGGTTGATATCCAATGTATGGTCATGTGACCTCCAGTGATCAATGCCTCTTGGCCAGTCCGTGGCACTCGGTCAGCTGCTGTCATTTTAAAACTGTCCAAGACGCACATTTACCTCGTAGACCCCCTTTTAATTGTTCACCTGAAGCTGACCCCCATGTAGGGGAGGAATTGTTGGCGTGCCCACGAGGAATGGCATCGCTGGCTTTGCCGCTGGGACTTGTTGCGTCCTCTGGCAGAGTGAAAACAATCTCGAGGCTGTTTTATGATATTACTCCCTCGTAATATCCATCCACCAAGATGCTGGATCCAATTGCGGCGAGGGTTGGACGTCTGTTTCCGTGCAGAGGTTCGGCTCGCCTTTGCGCACAGGGCATTTCGCTTATCCCAGAGGTGGGTACAGTACTTCTAGATCTTTCGCGAGCATCGGCAATGTTATCACAGTTATCGAAGGGCTCGCCAAGGTCTTCTCTATCTAAGCGCCCCAAGGATACGGGGTAGCCTTGCGGAGGGTTTTCGATGCGCCACGGTCAAGTTTTCTCTTCGGTCTGAGACCCAATGCCACGGGCCAGACCAACAAAGAGACGGCAGCGACTTGTGCACTCTTGTCCCATCCAACGTCAAAGTCTGAATGCAGTGTCGTGTGCAGATCAATTCTCGTCCAATCACGGCCCGTGGACCAGCATCTTCGGAACGTGAAACGCGAAAAGCAACCCCTATTGTGCCCTGTCAAACGCAGGGGGTTCAAAGTTTGTCTGTCAACTCCAATAATGCGGAATGCAAAAAAAGGAATCATGACAACTGTGAGACTGGGCGCAAAGAATAGTCATGTTCGCACCCGTCCATCCCTACTCCTTGTAGCAGTAGTGCTGTCATGCCCAGAGATATGTATATAGAGCCCTCACGTTCCCGTGCTGTACCGCCCCCATTTCAACTCTGGCCACATTCGTTCGTTAAAAGTTCTTGTTGTGCGCGCAGGTCGTGCATCTTTCATTCTGCTGTAACTTACTCTATAGTCTACACCGTCTCTCTCTTCGCATCCGCAAGACCAGCTAGCCCGAACTGCACTTCCTTGAACTGCCTCAGATTCAGCTGCAAAACACCCAGACATCAAACAATCAACAATGCGCCTCGCTCCTGTGTACGTCCTCGCCGCCACCTTCTCGGCTCTTCCAGTCCTTGCTCAAAGGGGCCGTGGCGGTGGCGGAGGTGGGTTCGACCATGGCGGCGGTAACACCCCCAGCACCTTCATCACCAGAGTCTCTGCTGCCCCTCCTCCTGCCGCTGCTACCACCGCCGCCAGCACTGGGAACACTGGGAGTACTTCTACTGGCGGCAACACTGGCTCGGTCGATGCTTCACTCATTCCTCCCTTTGGCATCACTCCTGGAATCAAAGCGACCGATGGAACCGCGAATTGCGTGGGTGACAATGGGGTCGATATTCCGTAAGCGGCTGTCAACGTCACTTGGACAGCGACCAAATTCTGATATCGAGCAGGTGCAACTGTCCCCCAGACTTGAACACTTTCGTCAGTGCCGTCGAAACCTCGGTGGCAGGCGGAGCGGCGTTCCCAGCTGGTAAGTCGCGCATTCTCGGTCACCTCATGTCGGTCTTCCTAATCGCTGCGACAGGAAATTCAGCGGCAGACCAACTCACCCGCCTCCAGACGTGTATCGTCACCCTTCAGAACTTCAGGGGAGGGGCAGGGAGCGGCGTTGGGTGTCCCATCGTTGCCACGACATGGAAGGAGCTGCAGGCTCAACTGCAATCGGAAGCCAAGTGAAAGGGGGGCAGGAAGGCAACGACAGAGGGAGCAACAAGCTAAGCAACAGGGGCACTTGCCATATTCTCACGAGATAACCGAATTTGAAACCTTTTCCTATATGCCTCGTCCTGATCCTGGCAGACGTGCCGAAAGCAAGCCTATCAGTATCGCCAGCCCACCTGGATAAGTTTAGCGACTAAGCGGGGGAAAGGTGATAGGGGGTAAGTGGCGAGAGTTATTGCGATACTCTTGACGGTTGGAGACGTGGGTAATAAGGTGTCGAAGCGCGGGTTTGAAACAGTCGTGTTTCAAAGCCTCGACGAGGGTCGAGTGGCCCGTGCACCATATATGACATACCTTGGACATATCAAGGACATATCTACAACTACATAACGTCCACACTGCGCTTGACTCATTTGGGATTCCGCCACACTTCCCTCCTCCGACCATGTCAAAAGCCAAGGGAGCAGGCAGGGGCGCTGTGATCTGATTCACGATTCCTCGGTTGACAAGCCATGCTGACTCCTCCAGTTCAGAGTCCTGCCGAGGCCATCGACCTCCACACCATCATATGGCTGGTCATTGCCCGCTCCCAGGTAAAGCTGAGACTCGGATCCATATTATCACCTTCACTACTACTTCCGTTTGGACAAGAGTGGACCTTTCTTGGTGAACTACATCCCTCGCCACAAAGCCGAAGGCATCGTTCTCTCTTCAAGGCGATGAAGACGTCCTTGATCGTTATTTCAAGTGCAAATCTCTTACTTGAGCAGCAACTGTCTGCCTCTTGCCTCTCGTTCATGAAACATGAAGAATTTCCAGCTCTCATTCCCCATGCTGGATCCTCAATGACTACTACTTTCATCCTGAGCGGTGGACGTCTTTCGGAAGTTTCATTATCGTGTGTTCCCACTGACAACCCCGAAAGCTCCTGGTAGGGCAGAATGGTGATATCTGTGACGTTGTATCCCGGAGCCTAACGTAAAACTGGCTCAGGGCCCGGACTACTCCTTGACGCAAAGTTCAGAAGCTGGTACTCTGAGATCCACCCAATGTTTATCGGATACCGGTTCTGGGTCGATAAAAGACCCCTGGCACCTGGCCGGCAAGTCCTTTTCCCCTGTTACCTAATATTACCCTGTAGCAAAGGTGCGGATAACCTATGAATGCCTCGAGACGCGTGAGCCAACTGGCTTGCGATACTGCGTCTCATGACAGAAGCAAATACGTAGGCGACTGGAATTGGGACGTCAGATGAAATGTGCGATGTATGGGTTGATGAGATCAACAGTGCTGTGACGTCTACGCTTTGTTGCGATCTCTAACAAGTCATGACCGATTATATAACGACTCTATAGATCTATTCCCGTCCCCTGTTTTCGAGAACTGCCTGCCATCCTGGTGTCCAAGTGAAGACTTCACATTCAAGCATACACCATAGACCGTCAAAATCAGCGGAGATGGCCCTGACAACTTTACGCCTCAGTTGGACACTCGATATACACTGCGCGGCAAGGATGGGAGAGATGTCCAGGTCCCCTTGATCGTTTGGGGTGCATGGTCATGGGGAGACGTATCTACATTCCACTGGTCGGATGATGAACTCCCTACTCTTCGTAAAGCATGGCAGGCATGTCTCAAGAGGGGCCTGACGTTCGTTGATACGGCTCAAGTGTATGGGAGTGGTAACAGTGGAAGGATCCTGGGGGATTTGATCAACAACCACAGCCCCGGAGTCGACCGCTCCCAGATTATTGTGCAGACAAAGTGGCTGCCAAACGTCACTGACGGGGGCGACAAACATCATCCATCCTGTCGATGCCCCATTCAAGCAACTGCGGAATTCTCTAGAAAGGATGAAGCTCGATTACATCGACTGCTACCTCGTACACGGCCCAATTCACGTCAGCTCCATCAAGCAAGCTGCGAAAGGCATGGCCAAATGCGTGGAGGAAAGGATGACAAAGACCGTGGGTGTCGCGAATTACTCCGTGGAGGACATGTTGGTCATGAAAGAAGCACTGGCGGAGCATGGTGTACCCCTTGCCACCAACCAATGCGAGTACTCGGTCCTGCGACGCATGCCAGAGATCGAGGGCATGCTCGAGGCATGCAGCCAACACGGCATAGTATTCCAACTCTACTCGGCCCTTGCCCAGGGACGTCTGTCGGGCAAATACAGCCGGGAAAACCCGCCTCCCAAGGAATACCGCTTCAGCAGTTACGATATGGAGCACGTGGAGCCTGCCTTGGAAGTCCTCCGTCATCTCGCCGCGAAGTACAACGTCAGTGTCGCATCGGTGGCAATGAACTGGAACATATTTGCAAGGGGGCAGTACCCGTGGTGGGGATCAGGAAGGAAAGCCAGGCTATCGAGAACATGCAAGTCCTAAGCTGGAGACTGACCAGGGAGGAAATTGCCGAGCTCGACTCGAAGGGGTTCAAGGGGAAGACGACAAAGCTGTGGCAGCAGGGATAGAAGATAGTTTGGCAACACCATGGGTTAAGGATTAATCGACTACTTTCAACTTCCAAGGTAACATCGAGGTCTTGAATCGTCATTTCGCCTTTCCTGGCACTCTCAGAAGAGGCAAAAGGAACCGTTTTGCCTCCATCGATGATGGTTTCAGCGCCCAAGGTCACAAGGTAATGGCACGCTGTCGTACCTCGACCCTGCTGAGCAAAATCAACGACCAAAGTGTTTCCTGTCTTATACCTTGCTTGAGGCTAACGGCGTTCTCCTCGCCGATGGCTTCAATCAGCCTTTCCAGCTTGTCGGTTTAGGGGACGATAGATTGGAGCCCATCTTATGAAGGAGAGGGCTGCGAAGGTGCCAAGAAAAGGGTGTTGTAGGGGCTTAGTAATCGAGGACCCGCGTGCGCGTCTCCCAACGCGTCGCGCCTCAATATCTATTTACGAACAGTGACGCCCTGCGGAGAAGATCAATTCTGCCGTCACAGACATCACGGCGGCCACCGACGATGCCGGACCATCTTGAGCATGCTTGCTCCTCCTGGCGCCACCCCGCCCAAGTTGAAAAGATGCCTTGCCGAACTCCTTCGCACGTGCGTGCATCCACCCTTACTGCTCCTCCGAGTCGAACACGTATTTGGGAAAGCGCAGGCGGGTAGCCATAGAAACGCAGTCGTCGATCGTGACGACGAACAAGAAGAGAACCACCAAGATCAAATTCTCATCACGACCGGCGATGACCACAACAACGAAGCTGCTCAAGAATTTGACTCTCGGTGTTTTCGTCTTGCCCTCTCAGATGGCCATCTCCAGATTCAGGCCTTACTAGCCCCAGACCTCCTCGGTACGGCAAGGGAGCTCTTGGAATTGCAGCGAGGGGACCTCATTGAGGTGGACAAGTTCCAGGTGAGGAGCGCGCCGCGACTGAAGGGGAAAGGTCGAGTGGTTTATTTGGGGATACAAGATTGCGAATGGGTGGGTCAGGGCAGGGAGAATCTAGAAAAATCGGGAGGCGACGGACTTGAACTTGAAGAAGGCGGCTTCTTCCGTGAGAAGGAGCAGAACGAAATGTTACCCAGAAAGCAAGACTTGACTGACGGTTCAGACAAAAGCAAGTCTAAGGGCAGAGACTTTGGCAACCGCGACAACAAAGCGCATGGGTCGAAGGGGACGCAGGGCAAGTCAAAATCATCCAAACCTACGCAGCAGGTATCTCGGAATGCGTCAGAATATGAGTCAGATGGCGATGAAGGGTTCGGTACGATCCTTGTGTCTCAGTCACAGCTCAAGCTGCGTAGGGAAACACTCCGCCAGATCGAGCAACAGCCTTCTACTGATGAGGTTACTGTGAACCGACTACAGCCACAAGGAGAGAACATTCACGCCGAGACACGAGGCAGTTTCACAACCACATCACCCCCGCCCACGTCAAATCACTCCCTTCAAGACACCACAGCGGATGACGGAGAACGAGCTATCCATGAAGACAGGGTGGCAGAGGCCGACAATCAGAATGCCCTTCCCGACCACCATCCAACCGACCTCGCAGTCTCGACTTCTCATTCCGCTTCGCTTCATCCATGTGGCGACCACAGCACCCGCCCCACCAGCACGACATCTATACCTCCAACAATTGTCGGCCTCTCTTCCCTCCTTTCCCTTCCCACTCAGAAAAACTACACCTGCACCGTCCTCGCCATCATATCCTGGGTATCTCCCTCGCTGATCCGCCGCCCGAACACGCCCTTCCCGCCGAAACGGCACATCAAGATTCACGACCCATCCATATCGCACCGCACCTCCGGTATCACTGTCTCGGTATTCGTGGACGCGCAGAAATTTCTCCCGGTCGTAGGTACGGTGGCTCTATTCAGGGGCTTAGTAATGCATAGAGTCAGAGCAACAGGCTACCACGCCGAGGGCGAAGGAGGAGGGGACGTGATCTTGAACAAATACCCCCCCTCGAAGACGTGGAGCCAGGCTCAGAGAGCAGCGGAAACTGCTGAGGGTGGAGATGAGTCTGGCGACGCCGCCGCTGGCGATGGGAAAGCGGACCGACAACGAGAAGCGGACGGAGGCGAATGGTTCATCTGTGACGAGACCAGGCTGATCCAGATGGGCTTCGACGTGCAAGCGCTCAAGACGTGGTGGGGGCAGAGGGCTGCCGCGAGGACAGGGAAGGGGCAGGGACTAGCAGCAAAAAAAGCAAGCGAACCTGCCTCGGTGGATGCGAGAGAGGATGCCTGAGTCAATCAAGAGGAACTGCAGTAATGAATACCCAGCCCTCGTTCGAGAGAAGCTGGAGGAGTTCCATGCGCGCAAACAGAGGTTCTATCACGGATTGCTCGAAGGAGGGGGAATCCAAAAAGAAACGTAAAGAGGCTTCGTTATTCGTCGCATCTACAGGTAATGTGTCTAGACCATAGAATCCCACTCGGGAGAATCTTCTGCTGTCCAATCCCGCTATTCTACCAGTTGTCCGCTTCGGACGAGAAGAGACATTTTTCATCATACGCATATATCCAGCTGTTTGTTCCTCGCGCATCGGGTTTGGCGGAATGACCATGGCATCAATCGGGTCTCCCCATCTCATGATGACGGGCCGTAGCAACCACCCAAGTTGGGTATTTTCCCCCCCCTCTCTGCGCAATGGAAAAAATATGAGCTGTACTCGTTGATTTTGTTGATTGTCTTGAGTTCGTTTTTTGTGTTTTCGCACGTTGCTCAAGGGGTTTGTTTGCTTCGTTCTGGTCCAGAAGCCTGCTCCCAGGCAAAGCATGGAGTCTCCCAATCACGCCCCAAATTTCTCTCCAGGCTTCAGTTTCAGCCATGGGCACGCCTGCCAATCGCATCCCATCTTGTATACCTCCGTGCCCCACCACTTGAATCCATCCATCCAGCCTGGATACACGAATCCAAAGAAGACAATAAGCAGAGAGAAAGCCAATCCAGAGTCCAGTGCAGCGGACATGGTCATGGTGTATTTGCCCCACCAGCCCGGTGCCTTCCTCCTCACAAGCCAGTTGAACATAAAACATACAACGGCCCAGACCGAGAAGTTCAACCCGGTTGCGGGCGGAATCCAGGACAGCGAGCCGAAAAGGACGGGGAGGTTGATCTTGCGCCAGACGGACTTCTTCCCGCTTCCCCTTCCCAATAACCAGATGAGAATAGGTGCGATGAAGCCGATTAGAAAAGCCCAGACAAGGTGCCGATAGAGGGCACCCGGACCGAAGAAGCGTTGTGGTCCGACCACACCCCAAAGAATGCTCCCGTTGAAGTGGACACGGGCAATGGGACAGTTGAACCCGTTGATTGCCTGCGGCGTGCAGATGCCGGGGATGTTGATGAACATCCAATTGAGCACTGTAATTTGTACCAAGCTGGAAACCAAGGTGGCGACCATCTGGACTTTGAAGAGCAATTTTGGTGGAATCTTCATATAGTGACCCAATTTCAAGTCAGAAGAGAACTTGATGCCCTGTGCGGAAGAAATATAGCAATAGGTCACAAACACCATGTTGGCAACTGGGCGGCCAGGAAAGACAACGCCACAGATTAGTTGGCAGATTAGATAGAGGCTGCTGTGCTGGTTGGTGATGGCCATCACAATACCGACGGGGACAAAGAGAACGGTGGTAATGCCAAGAGCCATAAGGAGGCCGTACCATGGCAGATGCACCGGGTAGTACTCCACGACGAAGATTCCGACGCCTAACATGGTGACGAACGTTAGCGCGTACCATAACATGGGTACATCTTGATAACGCTTCATGAGACGGTTGTGGACGTCTTCACCCCCGGCCTGGCTAGATTGACTATCAGTCCTACCCAGATGGGGTTCGCAGTGGCCGTTTTCGGCAGAGCTGGGAATGGGCTGGTACTCGGCATTGTCTTTCTCCTGTCTCTCGTGGAAGGCTTGTTGAGATTGTCGCCATATATCCTTGCCGTGCCAGCATGTCGTATGGGTAAGTAAAGCGGACAGAGCAGCAAATTGTACTCCATACGAGAGCACATATGTGATTGGTAGGTATACTTTGGAATAGTTGTCATAGGCTTCTTTGTCAAAGAGGAAGTTTGGAGTGAGAATTTTGCTGACGTCGTAGGGCTTGCCCGTGTTGTCGAACACGGCCGAGGAGAGTATGGGTAAATATCCCGAGAAGAGGACATTCCGGTAATAAAGTATCGGGGCGATAATCCACATCACTAGGATGAGTCCGGTAACCACGTTTGCAGCAGCCCACCATGGAGTCAGCAACGGCGATCCGATGTAGGCAATTTGAGCCCAGTCGAAGGTCATAGGGAAGAGCCCCAGGCCCGACGCCACTCCGAAAAGGTTTGAGACGACGACATTTTTTGGGGCGAACCAGGTAACGACGTTGAAGTAACTCAAGGCCGGCATGAGCAGTCCCGGAAAGAAATACCACACGAAGGCTGCAGCCCAAACATAAATGAAGAATTTGTACCGCGAAATCGTCCATCCATTGGCCGGCTTGTTTTCATCCTTATGCATTGTAGTGAACATGGCAGTCGACATAAGAGTGCCGGGCCAGATCATGGCAGCCGGCCGGACAAGGTATCTTCTGGTCAGTCCAGCGAAAGCATAACCAAGGATTTGGGTCGATATGGTCAACAGGAGTTGGTATAGAATCGGCACGTCCTGCTTGTAGAACTTGTGCTGCTCGACAATGACATCGGTGGCAAAGGCAAATCCGAAGGAGACGTTGCTGCTAATGTACACGCAAGCGTGTTCCTTTTCGTTCCAGCGACCCTGCGCCAACCATCGCCGCAGCCATTCAAGTCGAGTCTGCGAGACCGTGAGCTCATCGTTCTGCAGCGAGCCATTTACGAAGACCTGTTCCTGGTCGTCCGTCCTCTTGAGGAGGTAATCCCAGAGCTTTCCCATCGGATGAACTAGCACCAGAGCAATAACTGGAGTAATGGCGACGCTTGGGTATCTCAATGAGAAAAACAGATTCGTAGCCGAGCCCCCTATTGCAAATAACAACGACAGAGCCCACATCCGGGGCGTATTTATAGACAGAGCAGTGTTGTCGGTGGCCGGCACCGACGCTCGAACCTCTGGGTACGGAGAGTTGTCGGGGGGATCCTCTGCAGAGGGAACGTATTCATCATCAATGTCTGACGGGCTTGCAGCACCGGTACTTGCATTGGAAGACTCTGCTTTGTCCTCGGCAATCGCAGAGTTGCAGGCGAAGGATGTTTTGGCATCCAAGCCCATTCCGACTTCACTGGCGGCCGAGGAAGACCTCCGACGCACCCATTCCGAGCTGCGCCGTTGCTGATAGTGTCGCCGCGCATCTGAGAAGTTGCCATGATCATCCCGGACATCATGGGCGGACTGAATTCTTTTCCCACGGCTCTTCCTCGAAACCCTCGGGTGGTGCGCATCCTCCTCGTCTTCGGATTCCACGTCCGAATCCAGCCTCTCATGCAGCACCGGGACAGTGCCATAGGAACCGGTGCCCAGGGCCGGAGAAGAGCGCATCAGAAGCAGACTGCGAGACATGATGGCATCCCAAGCACGGGAGATCAGCCCTCGGCGCCTCCGAATTGCGTGGGAGCTGGGAGGTGTCACCGCACAGAAGGCAACGGAATCGTGGGTTCGCAGAAGTTGAAGAGCAGTGCCCGGCTCAGTTGGGGGCTCCAATTCAGCTGATGCAGTAGCATCTTGCTGCGCATGAGAAGGAGAAGAGGACAAGGGAAATGCAGAGAGCTCGAGAGCTGGGGGGATGGTGATGGTGGTGGTGGTGGTGGTGGTGGTGGACCGGAGGTGGGAAGTCGTTGTATTTGGAGCCGGACCCGACCCAGGGAGCATGGCATTGTTAGGTCCAAGTCATGGCTAGGCCGCAGGAGGAGCAATGGTAAAGAAAACGAAAAGTGGCCACGACACAGCCAGCGACACGACACGAGACACGACGTGGGAAGACTTCGCAGGTAGAGGTTGCGCAGTTGGTTACACCAGGCCAAGACCAGGCCAAAGTGGGCTGCAAGTGGTGCGATGGAACAACTAATGAGGGCAGATTGGGCGGGATTCGGCGAGCGAGCTAAGCTACAAGTATGTACTGGGTACATATGTACATATGTATGTAGCTACTGTATTATGTAGACCATCACATCAGATAAGATTATGGGGAGCCCGACTCCCATTGCATCGCCCGGGCGCTTAGGGGGGGCCGAAGGGCGCCCCCAGTCACCCCCCAACCGACTCTCGCCGTGCGGGCACAGGTGCTGTACTTGTACCAGTACAGTTACAAGTACAAGTATTTGGTACAAGTAGCCTCTGCACAAGGCTGGTGGGCTTTCCATCACAGCCTCACCAATAGCACATTTCTCTCCATCCACCCCAGCGACCTTAAGAAAGTCGGGTGACTTCGACTGAACACCAGCCAAGGCAGTCTAGCGCCTGACCCCCTTCTACTTGTACAGTACTTGGAGTACGCACTGATTCATCCCTATCAGATCCTGTCAGAATGACGTTCCCGGTGAATCAGTGGAGCTTGTCTTGACATGATACCGACATCGGCCTCTTTCACAGTATCATCTGCTTCACTTTTCCTCCCGTCCACATATAGACCATGCCTCTTCCATATTACTTAGTCTCCTTGATCAGAGTGTCGGTGCATTGGATCCATCAAAGCTCTATCCTCTCTCCGTGCGTCCCACCTCAAAACCCTCCAACATCAGCCCCGGCCCGAGTCAACATGTCATACACTCGACCTGGCAACTTGTATTTCACTAGCCCCGCAAAAACCATCAGATCCTTGGCCATGTTACTGAGTTGCTCTTTCATTTCATCCGCATCGCCACCATATCCTGCCTCCCACCTGCCATTCCGTATGATATTACCTCGTTCTCCCCCTATTGCCCGCACCGCCCACACAACACTGACTCCAGCGCAACGGGCAAGGATTTGTGGAAGGGCGCTAAAGGCTGTTGCGGCCGCCCGGATGGTTGGAATAGATCCATTCGCCCGCAACGGCAGCAAGCCCAAGTCGTGAAGTTCCTCTAACGCCGTCATGTATCGAGGCGGTTGAGCTTCGAGATGTTCTCGCACCGAAAGCAGTCGGATGAGAGCCCCACAAATCTCTCGGTTCGCGCTTGAAATTCGATTGAAGTAGGCGGCATTCTCATTGTACAAAGATATCATGTTCTTCCCCAATTCGAACGGAGAAGATGTCGATTGTGTCAGTGACAATGACGACTGAGGGCCTCCCTGAGTGCTGCTTGACGGCTCACTCTGGCCATTGGACCTGCGAGGCTTCAAAGGTTGCAGCTGCATCGGTGCCTCCCCCAGGTCCAGCGTCACTGCATCAGCCAGTGCTCGGTTCAGCACGCTAATGACGTTGTCGTAGTCCTCACACAGATGATAGAGCAATACTGCATCCGCAATTTGCCCCCGCTGATCCGCAATCGCTGCTGATTGGCGGGTGATGGATCTCAGAAATTCTTCCCGTGTATCGAGGTGGATCAACCTGGCTCGCAACTCGATGGCTCCAGGTATCCGAGTCCCGTCGCTACGAATGTCGCCCAACAATTTGGCAAACTCGCGGGTTTCGAGGCATAGTTCTCGTAAGCACTCGTGACAAGCATTGATGTGGACCAGACCGAGGCTTGCAGGTTGCAGGTCGGAGTTGAGGCATAGCATCGAAAGGTAATCCACAGCTGGGACAGGCAGTGCCGTCCTGAAAGTTCCTGTATGATAGGCTACGAGCGGCACAAAGTTGATCATAGGCTGCTGCGTCGTCGAAAATGTCACTGTGTCATGGATCAGCGCTGACCAGCAAGATTGGATGAGACGGTTGTACTTACAGAGCTCGTTGCCTGCCACCGAAAAGTCCGACACTCTCAACAACCCGTAATATGACAGGGCAATGGCGAAATGCACTGCACTCAGAGGATTGAAATTGTGCAGATAGTCCACGGCATGTTCAAACATCCCCGCGAGAACTTGCATCAAGAAAAAGGTTCCATAGGCATTCGAACCTTCGACTTGATTCTTTTGGAAGTGTTTCTGCCCAATTTCCGAGATCGTCTCACAGATCTGTTCGAGCCCAAAGATCTCCCCAGATATCTCCTCGTACATCTCTGGCTCTCGCGCAAGGCTGAATTGGAGCCATAGCCAGTCCTCAACCCCCTGTCCTACGGTGTCCAGATGTCTGGAACTCAAATCGCATCTTCCGATCACTTTGTAGCACGCGATCCTGTAGGGATCCACCGTGTTCTTTGGGCCAACCTTGGTCCGATTTTGATATTCGTTGTCGATCATGTCTTGCAGTTTGCGGCCCAACCGTCGGTCTGGATTATTCGCATATGCTGTCAAGTATGAGACAAACCGCCGCTCGACAGACTGGAAAGCAGGATCGTTGGTCACATATTCTGCCGCTTCCTTGACAAAACCGCATCTCAGCAGGTAAAAAATGAGGACCCAGCAGTAATCACCGTTCTCGCCGCCCAGTTGTTGAAGCTCTGACCCATCCGGTGCTAGGTCTCGTCGGGTGGCCCGCAGGCGGATGTAGGCCCGCACAATATTGATGACACTTGGCTGTCCTCCCAACGCTGCTTCTCTGGCGTTTTTCTCAATCAAAGATCGGAGTTCTCGCCAGAATGCCTTTTCCAAGTAGACCCGAGAGCCCTCGACCATCTGCTTCTTCAGTTTCAGGGTGGCCGGTGCAGAAACCGTTTCGTCCAAATACGCCTGGGCATATTGTCGTTCCTTGATTGTTGACTGGCCTTCTTGGGTAATTTCTCGCAAGGCTTGATACGCGTCCACTATTTGCCGCGGGCTGTCGGCCTTGTTTTGCTCCTCTGTACTGGCAAAGTTCTGGAGAAGCGCATAGGGTTCCTCTCGTAGCCTAGCTTGGTTGAGGTCCTCCACTTTGCCAATGAATGACTTCTCCTTGGCTCTGAGCTCACGCTGAACTTGTGAGCTCGAACGCGGCAGCCCTGACGGCACTGGAGCAGCACCTTCACTCTTGAAGAAGGACGTCGTGCCAGCACCAGAACCTGGGGTGCCAATGATTGATTTTTCCATAGCTGAGCGACCAAACACACTTCTGGCGGGCCGTGATATCTCAGCAATCCCTTCCTTACCTCGTCCGGGAGGTTTGCCGAAGCCGCCGGGGGTCGATCTCCCAGCCTCTGCCCCCGTGCCGTCCTCCGGGGACACCAAACCCAAGTGTTCCATGATCCTAACCTTCTGTTGTTCCAGGTCAATACCCAAACTTTCTTCAATAAGGCTGTCGACTTCTCGGTAGACACGTTCCATGCTCTCCTTCAGCACTGCCTCTCGGCCCTTGACTCTCAAGTCTCTGAGGTAGGCACTGGACTCATCGGCGAAGGTTTGTGCCGCAATTCGCGACATTGGGGTAGACTCATCAGGACCCAATGCTTGAAAATCCTTGTAAGCTTGACCCGGAGCTACACCGGAACCAGCCAACAGATAATGGGCACGACTGTCCAGCAGAGGCTCTGTCTGTTTTGCCCCACGTTGTCTGATCTCTTGTGCGCGTCTCGCCAGATCTCCCAGGTCCATACTAAGGCTGGGCAGCTGAGTCTGACGTCCAGTACCCTCGGCCCATAACCTCGGCTTCTTCTTTTGACGTTCGAGCAGACTGCTGAAATATGCGGCATCTCGATTGTTTGGCGGAGGGGCTGCTGCCGGTTGAGTCGCCTGCAGAGCGGTTGTGCTTGCTGCGGCAGTACCACTCAAAAGTGAAGGAGTGCTCGCATGTTGTTGCGTGGTCGGGGCGCCGAAGAGAGTAGTTGTTGCTGCGGGTTGTTGAGCAGCGGACGACATTGTTCCAAAGAGACTAGTCGACGGACCTGAGGTGGTTGTCGTGGTTCCGAAGGAGAAAGGGGCGGAAGTTTTCGCAGGACCACCACCTAGACTGAAGAGGCCACCAGATGGAGCAGCACTTGAGGCAGCAGCAGTGGTATTGAGGCTGGGGAAGGAGAAAGGTTGAGACGATTGCGAGGTGGAAGGGTCAAAGATAGACTTTCGTTTTCCCTGCGCATCAGTGGTTGGGTTCAAATTGGCAGCACCAAAGGGATTGCTGGAACCCGAGGTCCCTTGTCCAGAAGGCGGTTGGCCAAAAAGCGACATGCTGGATGGAGATCGGGGGTTACCAGAGCGAACAATTGAATCGGGAATGCTGAAAGTCGCGTCTACAAATTTAGACCGCGTTGAATGAATCGCAGCAAGCCGCAGTCTCGGTGGCAGCCGCAGCTGGGAGCCTAGTGTGGCCTTGGCAAGGACTCGCTGCTTTAACACTAGCTTCATTGGGCACTAGTACGAAGGGCATGGAAAAAAAACCCATATCATCATCAATGTGAGAAACAGATCTTGCCAACCGCAGCCTGCCCAAAACAAACGATTGAAGGTTCTACCAATTACAGATTACATTCCTCTGCCTGGACCAGAAACCAAAAGTCAGGTTCGCAACATCCACCGTGAGGCTGATGGCGACTAAAATACAAGTCTAAAGTTCTGATGAGGGCCCGATTTCGTGGCCGGAGCTAGGTAGGACAGAGGACAGGTTTCTGCAAAATCCCACCCGAATTGTGCATCTGAAAACGAGTCGTAAGGCGCTGGCGATGGCGCAAGGAAGTTCTGGCTTTCCAAGCCGCCGTCATTGGCCCAAAACTCATACTTGAACGGATCTTCCGTGCCCAGGGGCTCGACACCCCCGAAAGGTTGATCTGGCGGGAGCTTATCAGGAGTCTCAACGTCAGTCATCTTGTCTGGACCCGTCGACGGGTCCTGGTAGTCACCCCATTCGACCTGAGGCTGTGTTTGACAATCCTCAGCACTGGCGGGGGTGGCGGTGGAGGAGCTGGCAGGTGAGATGGTTGACTGTGAGTATCTCGCGCCGTGCTCGTTGTCAGCCTCGGTAAGCTCGAGAGGCGTCAGCCCAAGTTGCTGCAGGATGTCGTTCACACTCGAGTCGTCTTTCGCCAATTGAGTGGCTGGTTCATCCAATGCTTCGCCCGTCCTCAGCCGGTGATGAAGTATTTGGATGGCCTCGATGAGGGTGGCCTGCTGTCGCCCTAACATTTCGGCATAGCTTCATACCGATCAGTTCCGGGGTCGATCAAGAAGCGCAATCATGTCAACTTACGCCAATACCGTATATGGCCGGGAGTTTCTCCGCACATGGGTGTATGTGCACGACGTCCCCCGTCGGGTGCAACTTTTGCACGGGGTATCTCCATCGCACTATAGTTGCCATGGCTGGTCAGAGCTTTCCACGGGCAAAGACGAATATTGAACGAACCTTGGCCTTTTTGATCCTACAGAGATCGCAAGCGCGAATGGTGCGTGGGTTTTTCTTCTTCCTTTTGGCATAGGAGAAGTCGCCTGCAGCCCCAAACCCAGCACTGCACCTCTCAGCAGGAGGAGCGGGTGCAAGTGAGATGGAGTATTGGCTTCCCCGGGGCATGATGGACGGGGGAGTGTTTGTATTGTTCATGGTTCCTGTTGATGGCTTCACTAAAATGGATGATACTCTTTTGGACAGCGCTGAGGGTGACTATAAATGGAGAGGTTGACCGCCGAACTTCCCAAAACTCCGTGTTACGACTTTTTAAGGATTTGATAAGATGCGGATGCCGGAGTCTGGTCGTTGTTGATAAAGTTATCCTTTTGCATCGTCTGAAAGTAACGTACCGCTTCGAGCCAATGTGCCATTGTAGAATCCCTGAGGCGGTCCCGCATGGGACAGCCATTTAAGCAATCATGAGATGATTTTCGGTCTCAAGGCTCAAAGCCGGAAAAAACCCGCGCCGCGAGTCATTCCCCCCCATGCCGCTTCCCATGCCGCTCACCTTTCCTACCAGCAGGAAAACGTCGCTCACCTGATGGCAATACTATTTCCCACTTGCGGCTTCTGGTGCCATGCCTTCAGAGCATTTGCTCAAAAGAAGTTGGGCGAGTGATCCTCACGTTCTGCAATCAAGCGAGTGCAATATGTCAACGGTCAGTCCGGCTATTGGACCTTCAAGAAATTTCCATTGCGGTTCTATTCGCAAAGGAGCGACAGTCGCACCATTATCATCTCATCGCCATGGTGTGATAAGACCGTCACTGTCCATGTGGCTTCCCATCTTTTCTCTAGCAGCATATCGTCGACGCGATGCGACGAGAGTTATATAAACAATGTGAGAAGTCTGTCTCCAGTTATTGCATTCAATCCACCAACAGCTCGAATCGACAGCAAGAATCCCTTGTCTCGTCAAAAGAACAAGTTATTTCACACACGCTTCCGCGACAACACCTTTTGAGTGTTAAATGGCAATGAAGATGTTCGAGAAGGTGACGAAACCCAGCGAGACCGTCGTTCGGAACGTCTCCAGATTCCTTTATCAGGCTGAAGCCTTATTTGGCGGTGTAAGTAACCTTGAGAGGGTTCGACAGTGTTGGCGCTGTTGTAGCATTTCCAGTCCCTTGACCAGTCTCCCACCCCGGGAGGTTGGTTGATGACTGGACTGGACCGACAAGAACACAGGCTAACGCATTTGATTCCTCTAGATCATCCTTGGTATCGTCAGCTGGTACCTCTCCCACTGGCAGGACACCGAAAGGTATCCTGGCGCACGGCTGTGCTTCACTGAAATCTTTGCTGGCTTTGCCATCATCTACGGAAGCATCCTTATCTGGACCTACAACTGGTTCCCCTATCTCTTTGCGGTGATCAATTTCATCTTCAGCCTGGCATTCTTCTCTGCCTTTGGCGCTCTGATTGAATGGGACTGTGACAAAAACTGGGTCGGATGGAAAGCGAACATTGGCGGGTCATACAAGGCTTGTTGGAAGGCCACCGAGGCTTTCACCTTCATCGCCGCCTTCTTCTTCCTTGTCAGCACCGTCTTTGCCTGTATGACCACATCCGCCACGACCGAGCACCACATGCCCATGTATCACAGGAAAGCCAGCGGAACCAGCAGCACCCCTGAGACCCAAGTCTAAGCCGTGTCAAGACCGTCGACCATGAGCAAAAGCGAGCACACACTCTCTTTCAGCCAACACTTTTCATTGTCGCCGATACCGAACGCACTCACTGTAACAACACTTTCCTTTGTGTGATCATTTTCCTTGCGCTTAATGGAGAGCCTCTGATGGCGTGTTATCACTCGCCAGGCACGCCCTCGGAGAAGGGAAGGCCAATCCAGGGCGGGGAGGGAAGGGGGACTGGCCGAGGGAGCTGATGTGTAGAGAAGCTCTTGTGTACAAGTTATAAAGCGAGGTTTAGCGGTACTGTCAGCGCGCGCATGCTATTAAGAAATGATACCCCCTGGAGCAGTTCTCATGTCAGCAAGTACTTCCATAGCTTCTGGACGTTATGGCTTGTATCTGAAAGAAATAATCATAATATTCGTGCTCAAAACGCTTGATGCTCTGAAACAAACAAACAAATAAGCTCAACTCTCAAGGCTGAAGATTATGTGTAGAGTCTCAATAGAGCCAAATTTCAACCAACAACAGATTACTTCAGGATTTCTTTCCACCATCCCAAATTTTTTTTTTTTTTTTTTTTTTTCTAGAAACATATGTGATGTCATACATGTGTAACTCCACGCTCACTACCGAGTACTGATACTGTATGGAGCACATACCTTGTGCCACGACATACGACGGACCGGTCTAGCGCAATCTGGCGCACTCTCATCTAACGTGATAATTTATTTCCCACTCCCAAGCCCAAATCTCATTCGTGAGATGTTGGTGTGACTATGTGAGGAACTTTCAGGACCCTGCAGCCAGAGTGGAGCCCGGCCACATGGGCTGTGAGCCTGAAAGCTAAGGACTGAAAGCGGAAGAGCCGATGAGATTTCGTGACCAGGAAAAGTTGAGCTGATCTCCAGATTACGGCCCCCAAAATATCACGCAAAATGTCAATTTGACTGTCAGGTAGGTTCTCGTTAGTCAACAGTGTCAGCCCTACGCTATCGATATCCCCCAAATACCCCCAGACTGGCCGAGAATATGCGGTGGCTCAGACCCAACGAGTCTCTACTGGTAGGCAACACATCAATGTGGCCGTTTTGCACATAATCGCGCACTCCCCTCAGTCCGAAGACAGTCAACTCTGTCCGAAAATGAACCAAGTCCAAAATCACCCATTACACTCCCTGACCCAGGGTTGGCATAGTGTCAGCTGATAACTACGTACCTGATTGTCGAGGCCCAGAAATTTGAGAGGATGTTGGCTCGAGACCAAGTCATCGGATCTCGGAATCGGAGGATGCGGACGGAGCCAAGCAACGTGGGCTGAGGAGGTGCAGAAAAATCTTTCGATGGTAAAAAACAAACAAACCAGTGACCCCTCAGCGAGGAGGGGAGATGTCCGCCCAATATACTGGCTCTGGGGTTGGGTGACATTCTTCGCTGTTCGCGTTACTTCGGGGATCAATCGCAGTTCGAACCAGTCTTATCCTTCCCTCGCTGGCTGCCAGGAGAATACTCCGACAGGCCGTTGCTGTTTCATAGGCCTCGGAATTGCCTAGAAACACACTCGAATCATCTCTTGTATACTCATGAGTTTGTCATACGACAGCTTCCAACCACTAACAATTGAGGATTCCGGAGCACACGAAATACTTCAATGACACCGGTCTCTCCTCGGATAGTTGCGACCACGGAGTCAAGAAATCCAATTCAAGAACTACAAACTACTTCAAACTATTTTACCTGTGTAAAAGTGGCATCTCCCCGCCGAGATCAAAGACAAGAGCAACCAGCACCTATCCTTGCTATCAACATCATTTACATCTTGCAGAGTGATGGCCCTAGTCATGGACGAGACGGCCTTCAAGCTCCTCTGGCTGGCCCAGTGGAAGCTCCAACAGGAGTCGGAGCACATGGAGCCCAAGCTTACCAAGATGATTGGTCACCTTTCCGTGTATCAGAAAGCGGCCCAGTATATGGAGGAACATGACGTGAGCAACCTCACTATTTGGGCTCCCACGCAAGATGTTGACCATGGCCAGGTGGAGGATACCATATTCGGCAAAGAGGATCGTACCGATGTCCTAGATGAATTCTCGGAGCTCTTGACGCACGATTCAGCTGAACTCTCTCAACAATCAGAAGAGCCATCAAGAACCACAAGCTCAGTCCTGGTCACCGAGGTTGAAGTTGACGCCGAAGGCGAAAGAAACCCTTTCTCCGACGACGAAGAGGTCTCCAGTCGAGGAGAGGATGACATGGACTGGAGCAGCGACGAAGAAACAGAGTTTGGCAGTGTGTCGAGCTTCGACGAGGAGAATGATGCCGACAGTGGAGACATTGCCAACCATCGCGCACTAGAAGAGAAAAAGGGTGATGTGGATATGGACCCTATCTGGAGGCTCCAAGACCGCGAGACGGATCTACCTCCTGATTTCGATGGCTGGTCGCGATATTTTCCTCCGCTGGTACGGCCTGGCACTCCTTCACCCACGGCAATCGATGGTATTGCCATCGTCGGGGCTTCGTGACCAGTCGCCGATCCCGTAGTGCGGGTAAATCCTCTTCAAAGCATGGCACCGTCGAGTTACGCATGTACGGAGTTGCCAGTCCGTCCTATCACTTTCAGCGACTGGTTCAGGCCAGGTCCCGAAGACACTTCATTGCCTTGACCCAGGCCACGCACTGAGCCAATGGGCCTTGAAGTACTGTTGTACGTCGTGTGCTGCCACGGTCTACCTGAAGTGGGCAGATATGCCTAGGCTCGGTAACCAGGCGCAGCCCTGATCAATGACGGAATACTCGTTGGGAAATGGGAGGGCCTCGAGGGATGGGAAAGAGAAGGACCGGTATGGAGAAATCAGACTGCATGAAGTGCAAGTGCCACAGTCTGATCCGGTGAAAACAAGTCGAGCTATGGCCGACGTGCATTCGAGTCCTTCGGAGTATGTCAGAGGCGCGACCAAGGATCCCCTCGCTAGGACTTGCAAAAAAAAAAAAGGGTACATGTACCTAGGGATGTAAATTAGGAGCCTGTACGGTCTCATGAATGAGGACTAGGAGAGAAAAGCACTTCAGCATTTTCTTCAATCACTGAGACGCCAGGTGACACGAAAGTCTATCGTACTCAACTCAGAATATCAGCCTACTATTTGGGCGACACATTCGTCAACATAAGAAAGCTACTAGTACTCCGTATTCTATACTAAGTGTCCAGGTGAGAAATAGTGGCTGACCCAAAGCGATTCAAGATGAGGAGGCTTCCCCAAAGTCCTCGACGCAACACTGACGCGACTTAGCGCGGCTCGCGGATATGACAACTGCTCCGCGCGAACCACCCTGCCCCAAGGTCTCGAGTCTCGTAGCGACGTTGGATTATCAGCATCCTCATCGTCCCTCCCAAAGACATTGTAAAGTTACCGAAGAAGGGGTTTCTTCATTATTACATACATATTTGGTTCTTCTCAGCATCAGGAAAATTTTCTGCGAGGTTTTCAAAGGTCCCCAGCGCTGGCCCTTTTCCAATGCGCTGCCTTGACCACCCAACTGCCCGGATGCCATCATCAATGATTTCATCATCATCATCGTGTGCATCGTAATTCAATCCTCCCTGCCTGCCATGCCTGTCTGTCTGGCATGCACGTATGCTTGACAAGGCTCAATGCCCAAAACCTCCCTCCCAAACATGATGAAAGAAGCAAGAAAAATTACGTACAGCAGACACTGCCCCAGCCGAAAAAGTCGAAAACCCCGGACAAAATGATTTTGTTTGCCGGGGGAGTACAGGACGACTTTGTCTCAATATACTCCAGCCGGTACATTGAAAATCAGAATTTTTTCCCTCCCTTGCCAAAGGTCGTTACACAGACACATAGACACACACACACACACACACACACACACACACACACACACACACTCACACACTCAGTCGCGCAGAGTGACGACTGGAGAAAGAAAAAAAAAAGAAGAGGAGATCGTGGAGAAGGTTGATTGATGATGAGGCGGAGGCGGAGGCGAAGGACACGGGGCGGAACAAAATCTCAGGACAAAGAACTTGATGAGAGCACAATGTCATTGCTTTTGGACGTCGAGTTGCACCATATCCTTGAGAAGCGAGGAGCAGTCGTCGTAGTTGACGAGCTTTTGGAAGATACCGACTTGGTCCTGCAGGCGCTTGATCTCATCATCCAGGTGCCGAATCTCAACTTCCGACTGGTGGATGTAGTTGATCGCCCTAGACATGATGTCGGACTTGCGGACCCTGCCTGAGAGCGTTGGACTTGTGGGTGAGGTATTGAATTGAGAGGCGGGCGAAGTTGGACTGGTCTCAGCGGCCAGAAGCACGCGATGGAGCTGCATCATTTTGCCATTGAGATTGTCACGATAACGCCTCTCAATCACGGAATGGGCGAACTTTGCTTTGAGAATGGCTGATTCATCCTCGCTTGACGAGTTAGACTGGTTGCGCTTCTTGCGGGGTCTTCCCTTCTTTGGTTGGGACGATCCCGAAGCACGCGGGGTGGTGCGATTGCGGGAAAGGCACTTCTTGGGACTGTATGTCTCGATGTCTGCCAGGCTGGGCGACGACAAGGGTGAGACGTCACTGCCATCATCCTTGGCACCGAGGCCACAGAAGTCTGCTTCGGGGGATTGGTAGTCCATGGTGAACTCAGAGTTATCCAGCTGCAGTTGAGCTGGCCCGACTGTCTGCACCGCGGGCCCAGCAGGCTCAAATGGTTCCAGACATGGGCTGAGATAGGGAGCATTCAGATACGACTGCATAGCGTAGCTTCTGCTCGGTTGCATCTGTTGAGTCTCTAGGGGCAGAGGCCATGTGTTGAGGTCCTTTGCGACCAAGTCGTGGTCGTCCCCGTCAGACTGGAAGTTGGTAAAATATGTTTCATCCTGAAATTGCTGTGACCCCTGGTCAAGGAAAAAGGGCTCTTGATAGTATGCCATGATGGGTTGGGGGTTGCTGGGACTGGACTTTGGTCAACAGAACGAGGTACAACTGTTTTTACTAAGGGGACACTGGAGGGCCGGCATTTTTTTCCAGAGCGAGTCTGATGCTCTTGATAAAGGTTTTGGCAATGCCAGTGTACATGCCGACGATCTCTGATCGCACAGGTTCTGGGCCCTGAGGACCCCGGGGGTCCCCTTGTCAAGGGACCCAGCGAACACGATTGGATAGGCTCTGCAAGGAAGATGGTTTCTAAGGGCCAATGTGTAGGGCACATGGGGTCGGAAGTTTGTCGCAGCAGACCACCAATCAGTCCACCAAAGATGGCCCGAAGGGTGCGAGAGACCAACACATTACAAAACTGGGTCTCGTCGTGTTGTTCGGCTGGACATCTCCGTTAGCAGCTGTGCAGCAGCCCCAGCTGGACCAGTGATCTGCACTAAGAGCGCAAAAGTCTAGACATATCCGCGTTTTTACACCAGAACTCGATATTTTACAGGTATTCTGCCCGCGTTGCCTAGGTAATAAACAGGTTATTTTTGTCCCCGATGAAATACTTTGCAAATGATTGTGTGTCTTCTCGGCAGCTTTCTCAATATCTTATGTTATTGTTGTGCTATTTGGATAGAAAGGAACCCCTCTTTACGCGCTCGTATAAGAGCCGTGAATTTCATATGGCGCGACCATGTAACTCTCTCGATTTGGTCACCGAATATCCCGATTACGATGTCGACCTTGAAAAAGATTCCACCAGGCATGAGAAGAGGATGTAAATACTTACACAGAATACGAGAATTTGATTTGACAGGGGACACTTGAGTTACTGAGAAAAGTTGTAATGAAAGCGGTCACTTTTGGTGTACTTGTACTGCAAGTTGACGTGCCCAAGCGTGCCATGCCTAGACTGTTGCGCGCTCACTGTACTTCCTTCGTCTTGTATTCCCCAATCATGTTCCAGGCCCGGGCGAAAGGGCTTGCGAAGCCCCAGGCTCTTAGGCTCTTGGCTCTTGTTGGCGCTTGGTACCGGTCGGAAAACGGAGCTGACTAGCCAGCCCGAGTCTCACGCTCACATGCTCTGCCCGTCTGCTCCCTGGGCCCTAGTCAGCTTCGCACAAACTTCGCAATAGCTCGGACGTCTCTCGCAGACGATCGGATCTGGCCATCCGTGAGTCCCACTTGGGGAACGACGTCACCGTCCATCTTCTTGCCGCTGAGTCTCTCGCAAGTCCGAGGAGTTGGTCTCACTGTCGTCGGCAGAGCAAGACGGCGGCAGCAAATCTCACCATACCCTCACGCGAGAGCATGTACTGTATTTGCACGCGACGGAGAACTTCGGCTTTTCGCGGGTGAGTTCACGTGAAATTGACTTTTCATTTTTTTTTTCTCTCTCTGTGTCTCTTGGGACTTCCAGCATTTCCCACCGATGTTTTGGCTTTTTGGTCACATTCTTTCAGGAGAGATATTCATGTGACACAAACCTTGTGGGAATTACCGGATTAGGCAATTTCCACTTGGCACAGAATTATGAAAGCTCGAGCTTTTGAAAACCAAGGCTCATTGTGGAGTATTGGCTTCCGAGGAAAGATCTGGGGCTTCACGCCAAGCGCGAATCGGCGGCCAGTGTGGAGAGGTCGGTGGTCTGATCGACAGTTATCTCGTCCCTAATACCTCATTACCAGATGGCTTAAAGAACTTGTCCACTGCGTACGCGGTGACGGCACTGCGAAAGATTGCTCTAGCCCTTACATCGAGGGAATGGACCACATACCCACGCCGGAGCACCCCTTCCGGCCCATCCATGTGCCTTGGTTGGGTGGAAGCCAGAAATTGAAAGTCAATTATGAATATGATTCCAAGGGATTTCTCGATTTTCCTTCGCGGCATGGCTGGAATACGCAGAGTCTCCAGGATGCCAATTTCGAGGGCAAGAACGCGGCGCAAACAGCTGCCTTCCTTCAGGAGTGGCTCTATTTTGGATTAATCAGTTCCGTATTCCAGATTTGCGGCATCTCTTTCAACAGGCACGATTTCATACGACGGACGTCGGGGCTCGTAAGTCCAATGCACTGAAGTTTGTCATGTCACAATGACACACGCACAGTCTCTAACAAGTGCAACAGGGGAAGAAGAAGTACAGAGCCTTCGTTACCACGAGAACATTGGGCAAGAAGTTGCAACAATGGTACGACAAAGAAAAGTATGGCTCATCGTCTACAAAGTCGGAGCACGAACAAGACATCAGGTACAACTTCACATTTACCTCGGGAGTGCTAGAGGCGTTCAATCGCAAACTACGATCCGCCGGCGACAATGTTGAAGAAGCGACATATCTGCGCAACTGTCTACCCGGAGAGGCCGAACTCTCAGTTGTCGTTTTACTGGCCACGATCCAGTACTTTCACATGGTCATCTATGACCCTCCAAGTAGACTGGTGGTCCCAACCTGCCCGTGGCTCTCGTCGCTGATGGTGAGCGAAGGCTGGTGTGTGGGGCAAGTAACCAAATTGTGGAGGCGCCATAACAATGTTTTGACCATGTATTACTTCAAGATGCTGGGGCCGCCCACGGCGAAGAAAGACCATTCCCGTTGTTCAGCAACACGGTGCGCCGCCAATGATGTCCTAGAAGACATATATGCCACGGCGCATTGTCCCGTAGAGCCATCTTTTATGCACTTCCAAGTCCCGAAGATGATTACGAAACGTATGAATTGCAGATGTGGTGGCCACATGGGCCCGCCGAGCGATAAACTTGTTGCTATAATAAAGGATGGGAAGATTCCCATCATCTCGGTCCGGTGTCCAACCACTACTCAGAACGGGAAATGGGATGATTCTTTAGACCTTAGGGTCATCGCGTATACTGGAGATACTCCATACATCGCGATATCCCACGTGTAAGTCTGTTGATCCCGTAAAACTTCAACATGCAAAGGCTGACGTCTTTGAGCTGGTCTGACGGATTGGGAAATCCCAGAGCAAATACCCTCCCGATTTGTCAGTTGAAGGCGCTTAGGACGCAGCTACAATATATGATCCTCACGAACCCAGAGTACTTTGACGATATCTTTCCCGAAGGCTTGCATATCCACAAAACGGCCCGTCTAGAGCGACTTCATTTCTGGATCGACACTCTTTGCGTCCCCGTCAATGATCTCGAAATGAGAAAGAAAGCTATTCTGGACATGCGCAATGTCTATGAAGCGGCATCGGCTGTCTTGGTCAAAGATGCCGAATTGAATGCGCAGAGCCGGTACTGCCCTCTCGAAGAAGTCATGGCCCGCGTCTGCGTGTCTCCCTGGTGTGGACGATTGTGGACTCTGCAAGAAGGAACCTTGAACGACAGGGTCTTCGTGCAGATGTCTCACAAAGAGGTTGTCATGCTTGATGACCTGAACGAGCCGACGCGCGCTCTTGTTCTGCTGTCAGATGAGTTACTCGATGCGGAGTCGGCTGACCTGATCGAGCCCATTTCCGGGTCACTAAATGGCGATCACAACGGTGCACCGGGGCACATGGACTTTGCGGCAAAGTTTGCAGCTTGTCCGTCGGCTATTCTGTCAATGAACGTCCTCCCCGGCAGCATCGGATCAAATCCCATTTCGCGGCAAACAAAGGCAGAATTGTTTTTGCAAATCTTGACTGAAGTACAATGCAGGGAAACCAGCAAAGCCTCCGACGAAGCAATTTGCATCACGACCTTGTTGGACGCAGGAGTTGAAGACGTGCTTAGGGAGAACACTCATGACGGACGGTGGACTGTCTTCTTATCAGTTGTCGAGGATGTTATTTCAGCGCGAATTATCTTTGCCAGTTTACCTAGGATGGCCCTCGACGGATACAACTGGGCACCGCGGACGTTTTTGAGCTGCGCCCAAGGACCGGAGCTCGCAAGGGTGGTCAATATCCACGGCTTTGACCCCGGAAACCAGGAGCTCCAACAGGACTCGGACATTGAAGAGCCAAATCACACGCGACATGTTTCCAGACCGGTCCGCATCGGTGAACGCGGACTGATGGTCGCATTCACAGGGCTCACATTTCAGCCGCTCACGAATCCTCTATCGCCAGAGTTTTGTTTCACAGAGGACGATGGCAACGTTACTTATTGGTGCGTTACGGAATATTCTCCTGTTCATTTTGCAGCATACTTTGAGGGGACTGCTTTTCTACGCGAGGAATCCTGGGACGCGGTGAAGCCAGGGGCGCCTTCACGGCTGTCAGTCGTGCTCGAGAATCACTTTTCGGACCCAACTGCACCGGTCCGGGGAGCGCTGTTGACGAACTGTCGTGACGAGGCCAATGTGGTGTACGGAAGGTACCTGTGTCTTGTTCTTGTTATGCGGACTACAAAAAGCTACCAGCCGCCGGCGTTTGAATTGGCCAAGGAGAAAATGGTACAAAACACGGATCACGCCCAGTGGGAACTGGCCGTGGCTGCGAAATTTGACGGGCAACAAGAGTGGTGCATTGCGTAGTTTTATAAGACTTTGCTGGTCGAGCGAGTCCCAATCGACGATAGAGCAATATCATACGAGGAATGGTACGCCAGTTTGCCTGGTATCCTTGCAAAACCACAATACAAGTTATTAGTTTCCTACCAGGTACATACCGGGCACACCTCACGTATGGAGTACTACTTGGTACGTATGGAGATGAGGCTGTGGGTGTTAAAAGGGTGAACTGCGCGTTAGGGCGGCGAGTGATGTCTGGATCCTCCTTGGCGTTGAGGTCATGGTGGTTGGGTGCGCCCCGAAGTCTCCTGAGGGCGAGAAACCTGAGAAGTTTTGAAGCATGAAAACTGCATTGTTTGTCTTCCCACCTGCGTTCAAGCTACGCATAAGCGGGACTCTGTGACTGCCTCCGCCATCATAATCAACATCGTAGCAGTCTCCCAGCTTTGTTCGACTTCCTTGTAATTAACTAATCACAAAAGTCTGATCGACGGGGCCACACAAATCACGACCCCCATTTCGACGTCCATCCATACTTCTTCACCTTCTTCGGTGCGTGCTCCGTCCACGCACCATGCCCGTTTTCCAATCGAAGCCGTTTCGCGGCGGCGCAGCGGCCAAAGACCTCCCCGGGCGCATCGCGGCATGGTACACGCGCAAGCAGGAACACAACCCGTTTCTGTACTTCGGGCTGCCGTTCATGGGGCTCATCGTCGTGGCGTCCTTCCTCCTTACGCCGGCCACTGCGCTGCGGTACGAGAAACACGACCGCAAGAACAGACAGGTCTCGGACAACGAGCGGATGGAGCTAGGCTTGAAGGGCGGGCCGGCGGGCGATGGCGGCCTCACGTACAATCCGCGACGACGCAAGATCCTCAAGGGAGAGCTCAATGAGCGCGAGGAATACTATAGGCTTATGGCTAAAGATCTGGATAATTGGGACCAGAAACGCGTGGAACGCTGGAAGGGTGAGCCGGATGGAAGACTGCGATAGGGGCATCGTTGAAGAGGCACCTGTGCCCCCATTTTTGGGGGGGGGGGGGTGCTCTTTTGACTGTGGGCGACGTCGTGCAAGAATCTTTATCCGTTTCATCCGAGCCTACCGTCGTTACAAGTGTTTCGAAGCTTCGCACGGATGCTCCGAGATCTCGACAGTCCCGCCGCCGAAGCATACAATATTTAGAGCAGCAGCTAAGACATGACGCTCAGGAGAAGCCGACAAAGTGGCAGTACGGGATAGAGATACTTGGACGGGATGAGGCAGCTGAAATGGCGGTGAGCATACAACCAGCCCACGGTCGAAGCGTCAGGAGATGGCGGTGCATGGAACGGAAGTACATCCCCGAGAAACTCCAAGACGCACAGTACGAATGTGTCATGGAGCTGTGGTGAAACGAAACGCAACGCGTTCTGGGTGATGGACATGCGTGGAAGTTAAGGTGTAGAAGAGGGAAGAGGGCTTCTTGTGGTTCCCGGGAAAGGGAAGTGGCAGTTTGGGGGGGGGGGTGCTTTGAACGAATACTGTACTTGACACTCGAAGGAGGGCTCGCTTAGACGCCAGCCGAGGGCGGGCGACAAGATTCTGGCCACCTTGGAGACGCACGGGCTGAGTGACAGATGTGGAGGGAGACGACGGCATTTGATTTGTTTGCAAAGGGCGTCATATCGCTTTCGGCAGCAGCCGACAGCGAAATCATGGCAGTGGCTGACGAGCGAAACGGGTCGAGCTATGACTCTCCATCTAAACGGCCAACGGTTGGGTTGGAAACAGGTCTGGACTGTCAATGTGTGTATTACATGCAGGGTCCTTGGGGGAATTATTGTCCACAGAATGACATGTGAACTTTGGGCAATTGATAGCTCGATAGGTCTTGTTCTCTGTTTTACACACCCGGCCATCTACCGAGTTGGCCGGGACATGTTGCTGAGAAGCACGCCAGCTACAGGCCGCATTTCGTTATCGTTTACGTGTTGAGTGTTAGATTATGCCGACTCACCAGGTCTGCATGCGGCACTCCATACCTGGATAGTGTCGACTGGAGGTCCCGCATTCTAGCGTCGCCCAAAGTCAGCTTTTGTACTGGTAGGGTGGAGGAGCACATAGTTTGTTGAGAGATGGAAAGAGGGGTCTTGGGCTCTGTGTGGATCATGCCACTTGGTGAGACCCTGAATCCCAAATATACGGTCAGGGAGAGAGAATTAAGAGGGAGGAAGATAAGCGAAGGGAAGAGTCACCGCCAGTATGTACATACCGAGTAAGCAGTTGAGACGTGATGGCGGAGGGATCTGGTATGAGCCTGTTTAATTTATTACTTCAGGGTACCTATCATCTACATACATACGGACACCTACCGCTATGTACCTAGTAGCTATGTACTGGAAGATGAGCAGGCTTTTGTCCATGATTGATTTCCAATCACCATTCCTCCTTCCCCCCTTCCCAAAACAAGGGTCTCAACCCCCCCCCCCCCCAAAGAACCCCCCGGCCCACAACCGTTGATCCCAAAAATCTGGTCCAATAACTGCGTACTGCCTACGGTAGTGCAAGTGTATCGCAATGTTCCTTTGAGTTCCAGACCTTTTGTTCCATCATCGATCCCTGTTGCGAGTCAGTGAGAGGAGAGCACAGGGCCTCTTGCGTCAATTCCCTTTCCCTTTCCCTTTCCCTTTCCCTTTCCCTTTTCCTTTTCCTTTTCCTTTCCCTTGTCAATCCCTGTTTTGTTTCCCCAGAAGACTCTATTTCCTCCTTCATGGGTGTCCGCAACCTCGGAAAGCGTGTCCTGGGTACGAGCACCCAATATAGTGTCTTTCCTTCGTGCGAGGTTCGGAATCAAGTATGCGAGGAGTGACAGGTACGAAGTAATACCTACCCAGTACTGGTGTGCAGCTTGGGCCTGGGCTGGGCGAAAGCTAGTAATTAGGCGCAGCCTCACCAACCCGCCCCTGCACTCTTTTCGGACCCTTTTGGCACCCACCGACGTCATTCCTCGTTGCGCCAATTTCATCACCCAAAGTCGCCTCTGCCTCGCCTCTGCCTCGCCTCTGCCTTTGGGCTGGTGGGCGTCGTTTATACCTGGACTCAGATGCTTGTGCTCCCCCCTACCGATGCTGCTAGCCCCTTTGTAATCTGTACCCAGTACCCAGTACAGGAGCTGCTCCCCCTGACGATTGCGGGCGGCTCTTTTACTAACACTCATTCCCCCCCCTCAACCCTCAATCCGGCCCATTCTCTCACCTCTAATCTTCGCCTCTCGCCGCTCTCCTCTCGCCAACTTTAAACTTCCCTCGAATTAGTGATTCAATCCCTCAGCTGAGAACAACAATATATTCCATCTCTTTGTTGCCCTAGCAGACAATGTTTCCACATTCCACCTCGCTGTCCGCCTTGTCGCGTGCACAGTCCAGACCACAATGACGTAGATCTCTGGGGGCAGATCTGCTTGGTCGACCTTCACGGATACACACGAACACACACCCACACACAACTGACTCCCGCACTCATCCTGCCTGCGCCTGACCTTCTAATCCACCAAATCCACACCTTCACCCTCGCATCGCAGCGCCTCATATCCCCTATCTCGTCCCCCTCGACCTTTCCAACTACTCCGGCTGCTTTTCTACCTTGCCTTCCCTCCCTTCCTGTGGAGGCTTTTGATTTACCGCCGTCGACTCACGGACACGACCTTGATGACCATCCACCACATCACCCCGACCTCACCCATTGCTCCAGGCCAGTTGGCCAACGTCACCATGTCCGCCACTGCGACGGCTTCCCTCAAATCTCCTTCTCATTCTCACTCGCACTCGCAATCGCAATCGCTTTCACATTCCAAGTCTCACCCTCATTCCCACGCCCACTCCCACTCTCGCTCCTCCCGGCCCTCGACCACCCCACGCACTCAGCCCATGGTTGCCTCGGTCGGTCAATCCATGCCGCCTCATCTATCTCCAAATGCTGTTCGATCTCCTCAACAGTCCAAAGAAGTCAAGAGCCCGAGTCCCAGTTACTTTGGCTTCGTCGTGGGCAGCGATGACACCATACCTCCCGACTCCAACCCGGGTGCACATGCTCGCCAAAATTGGGTTTTCCCCAACTCGGCCGCACCGAACAATGTCTCAACGCCCCGTCATATCCCGCTCGAGTCCAACCCAGAGTTTGAGGCGTTTAGGAGACAGTCGGAACATAACCACAGATTTGCTTTGAATACAGCGTTTAGACCCTCCCAGTCCAGGAACAACTCCACCAGCACTTCTTCTCGCCTCGACTCACCCGCTTCTCCCCATACAAAAAGGCCTTCGATAGACAAAAGTTCAAAATCGACAAATGGAGGATCGGCATTGCAGGAGCAGCAGGGGGATCAAATGGATGATGTATCCTTCTTTGACGTACCGAGACGACACTCCCCTGGGCCCATCAATTCCCACCACACTGTTGCCGACCACCAACATGCCCGACTCTCCTTACCTGATAATAGAATCCATACCTCCCCCCTCGGCGCTTCGACAAATTCTCATCGCTCGGACACTTTACCATCTTCGGGAGGAAAAGACGTTCCTCCTATCGTCTCCCCAATCCAAATAGCCGAGATTATCAAAAACCAAGCCGAACAAGTTTTGGTGCTGGATCTAAGAGTATATCAGCAGTATGCCACGGCGAGGATAAGAGGCGCTCTAAACCTATGTATCCCCACGACACTCCTGAAGCGGCCCGCATATAATGTCCAAAGACTCGCCGAGACGTTTGCATCGACACGAGACCAGGAGACGTTCGCGCGCTGGCCGAAATGTGCGTATATAATAGTGTATGATGCCAATTCTTCCTTGCCGAAGGAGGCCGTCACCCCTTTAAACGTGCTCAAGAAATTTACATCGGAAGGCTGGGCCGGCACCGGCCTGGTTGTCAAGGGTGGCTTTTTGAAATTCCACAAACTGGTGCCGGAAATGGTGGACAGTGGCCCGGTTCAATCGGGAAATGGAGCATCGTCACAACCACTGTCCATTGCAGCTCCGGGCAAAGACGCCCTGCCTGTGGCTGGAGGCTGTGCCATGCCATCTGAAAAGTCGGCCGCCAATCCCTTCTTCGGAAACATTCGCCAGAACATGGATTTGCTGGACGGCGTGGGGCAGATGCCCATCAAAAAGCCTACTGACATGACATCGGAGACGGAACGACATATGCCCACGTGGTTGAGGAGGGCTGCTTCAAAGTCGGACGAAGGCAAATTGGTGTCGGACCGGTTCCTCAATATTGAAAAGTCGGAACAGAAACGCATGCAGGAAGCTCTCACGGCCAAAGTGTCGTATGGAACTCCGCGCACCGAACAGCCACAGAAAATCCAAGTTGCTGGAATCGAAAAGGGCTCCAAGAACCGGTACAACAACATCTTTCCTTTTGACCACACGCGAGTTCGACTGCAGAATGTGCCGAATGGGAGCTGCGATTACGTCAACGCCAGCCACGTCAAGGCCCAGTTTTCGAATCGACGATACATTGCAACACAAGCGCCTATTCCTGCAACCTTCAATGATTTCTGGCGCGTCGTATGGGAACAGGATGTCCGTGTGATTGTCATGCTCACAGCCGAAGCTGAAGGGGGACAGGTCAAGAGTCATCTCTACTGGAACCCGGGCGAGTATGGTCCCTTGAAGCTTAAGCAGCTGTCAGAGCGCCAGGTGAGCTTGGAGACGAAGAAATTTGCGAAGCAACTCGCACCGACAAGCAGACCATCCATGGCGCCCAGAAGATCGACGACGGCCAATATTCCGGGGGACCGAGGTCGAGAGGAGGTGAAGTCGTCTACCTCCAGAACGCCTACCGCGATGGTTCGCCATTTCTCGTTGAGTCACTCGGCATTTCCCTTCCAGCCCATGCGCGAGATTACTCAAATTCACTATTCCGACTGGCCAGATTTTGGTGCCCCGGCAAGCCCTCTGGAGCTACTTGGACTTGTAGAGCAAGTCAACAAGTATGTCCGAGGATCTGGGACTCCGTCCCATGTCGTGGGACCAGATGACGCGGCGCCTGCAGGGCAACGGCCAATTCTGGTCCATTGCAGCGCAGGTTGTGGGCGGACGGGCACTTTCTGCACGATCGACTCTGTCATCGACATGTTGAAGCGACAGCGACTTTCTCACGAGGCCGGCGGGGATAAAATGGACGTTGACAATGGCGATTGGGTGAATCGGGATGACGTTGATTTGGTGGCGAAGACAGTGGATGACTTCCGCCATCAGCGACTGAGCATGGTACAGAATTTACGGCAATTTGTTTTATGTTACGAAAGCGTATTACAGTGGCTTGTGATGCAGGATTCGGAGCGTCAGAAGCGACCGGGGCTACCAGACCCACGACGGAGTTATCACGGTTGAGACCTTTGCTTTTTTTTTTTTTTTTTTTTTCCTCGGAAAAATATAATAAAACAGAGGCTATGGGACATGATTGTATGCTGAGCATGGAATAGGATGCATATTTGCCGTCTTTGGCAGTCGGTAGGTTTTGTTTGTCGAAGGGTCCTATAAAGCCAGCTATGCATGGCTTTGGGATGCATAGCATGCACCGCATTTGACATTGTTTTGGAATCATTACAGGGTATGCATAGCGCAGCGGGTATGAGAGCATATCCGTTTTTGGATATCCAGGTTCACCACATCGACCCAACAACGACACGGGGAAAGACTAAAAGGAATCTCATCTTCGCCTGCGGGATCTAAATCTTGGCTGATCGTCATTGCTCGTGCAGCCAACGTCGGTAGGAGCAACAGGAATCATAGGTAGACTTCGCTTTGCTGAGCTGAGCACACAGAGTTGGCATAAAAGGGATTTGGTCCAGAAGGCGGCTGTGATCGGATGCAACATGTTTGTTCCTGTTCGCGAAGGGAAGGATCTGCGAGAACGCACAGTGGTTATATTCGATTACCTTGCGTCTGGTCCTGGTCCTGGTCCTGGTCCTGGTGTTGGTGTCAGTCCAGACCAAGCCCATTCTCCCTGATCCATCTCTTGGGTTTTGCACACTCCCTGACAGTAACTTTGTTGCCGGGCTCCAGTTCGAGGACAAAATATAACATATCTATGTACCGAGTACCGAGTACGCACCAACACCCTCCTGCTGACTTTGAGATTCCCTGTACCGAATAGATCCTCCGGGAACTCGGTGTGCGCGCCCGAACAGCGCGCCCGAACAGCGCCCGCCGAAGGAGTCTAAAGGAGTCTGAAGGAGTCCAAGGCCAAGGTAATAACGGAGTTCCAAGAAATCCTTCCAAATCTCTCCAAATCTCGAGTCAGTGGTGCTAATTTCCAAAATTGGTAGCCCGTTGTCGCAAAGATGTCTAAAAGATTGCCATCTCAGCGAGCCCTGGGCCAGTGGGCTCGGCTTCGCCATTCGCCCCTTTGGCTGTGTTCGTTGACAGGAGTGATCCTTTTTGTGGCTTGCTGCACCCACAGCCGTGCTGATCAACAGCTGAATTGGTCTCATTGGACACGATGTGCCACGTTGCACTGGAACTTCGGCTGGATTCAGCTCTTTGGCTATCCTTGTTCAGGGATAGCGAGCCTGTCAGCACTACCTCGTACTATCGAGCCACTTTCTCTTTCTCTTGGGGTTCTCCATTGCGCTCGCTGCTTGTCCAAATCTCCCTCTTGAAGCAGCAACAGGCAACTTCCCCGTTTCCCGTACCTAAGTATGTACAAGAGCTCGCAGGCAGCCACAACTTTTCCCAGCTGACTGCAAAGAGGCCGCTGTCACGACATAACTCGACGGTTTTCTCCCGACCTACAAGAACCAAGACATGTGCCCCCCCCCTCCAGGGTGCCTGTTCCACAAGAGCGGCCAGAATGGGACGGACACGTCGGCGCCGTTGCCCGTTTGATAAGCAAGCCAAGACTCTAAGAGGTCGAGCTTCGCTGGCTCCGACCGGTTGGCCTGAAATGAAATGGCCTTTTGCCTGCTCCCCGTGAGGCTTGATCGTCCGCCTAGTGACACGTCTCCTTCGAAAATAACAACACACGGCAAACAGGCTTGGGGGTGATCACCTTCCCTATGCAGGCTTGTATACGGAACACCCAGCAACCAAGGCAGGTCCCACGGGTTGGGCGTCCAATCTAGTCGTCTTCGTGAAGGAGGTACACGCATCCCCGGCTTTCAGAAATACGAAGGAGAAGCTGAAAATCCCATGCAAACTTGGCTTTGCAAGGGACTCGCCCTCAGCCACTACTCTAGACACGGTAAGTGAATAGAAGTGCGAAGTAAATTGCTTGTTGATGCAAGGCGCCATGCCTTTTCAGCCCTAAAAACTCAAATTCCGGGCCTACGATGCTGAAAGAGCGTTGCAGTGTTATAAAGCATCTCTCCTCCCCGCCTTCGTTCCACTTGGGATTTGGCCACACAACCTACTCACGCCTCCCGTTGGCCGCCGTTAGTCATATGCAATCCTTTTGCGCTCAGGTCACGGATTGATACCGAGTACACCATAATCTTATTCCTCCCATCAGACGCGCTCTTGTTTAATTTCTACTTTAAAGTCAAGGCTGTCTCCATACGGACGCATAATTTTGATACATCGTTGTCGGAGACATTCTCAGATCTTCACGAAACGTACGCAACGATGTCGAACTATTTACCACTACACGTTGCCATGTCCTTCTTGATGGTCGACGCGGTCATTGAAGTGGGGTTTGTCGGGTCGATGGTCGGTTTCTTGCACGACCGCGCAGGCAGATTCTTCACCATCGATGCTCCCAACGGCACTTTCGACCTTCACGGCAAGCCAAAGGGACTCGTCGTCGACCAAGGTCATACAAGCAACGGCGCTGCGGGAACCGCCCTTGTCCTGGTCGGCTTCTTGGGATTGCTTACGATTTGGAACGAGAAACGAAGAACCAGAAGGGTACGTGGTGCCCACTCTTTCGGGTCCATAGAAAGAAGCCTTCCTGCTAACAGGTGACACCAGACACAAGCGACCAACCACTCGGGCTTCTTCGTCTTCTGGGTGGTTATGACCGTTCTGTCCGCTCTCCTCACCCTTGCCGCATTAATCTACACTTTTGTGGTCACTGCTCAGACCGACGACCAGACGATCAACCTGACCGTCGCGGCAGCGAACCCTGAACCGCTGATGTACCCGCTCGACAAGTGGACGCCCGAAAACTGGTTTGTCGCGGTGCTCGCGCTCCCGCTCGCGCACGCCAGCGATCGTCGCGACATTCGCAATCACCTCCGCCTGATGAGAGGGTGGAGGTGGAACCTCATTCCGCTATTCATCCTCGGCGTCGTGGTTGCCGTGCTGGCCGTGTGGGAGTTGGTCGGCGGGCGGAAATGGAGGCAAGGCGATTCGAAGGAGAAGCTGAGAAATTCGACGCAGGGCCAGCGCTATTAAGTTGTATCCTCGGGCCCCTTCTCGCATACTCGGCCATGATTCGAGGTATATGAATTGGGAAACACGAAACTGATTGCTTCTCTGTTATCGGATACCCCCTCCTCCAGCCAACCGGCTTACTGAGTATTGACGTTTTTTCGACTTTTATCGTTTATTGGGCATACATTTTTTGGAGCAAGCAAGCGAGCGCGTACCGGGACCAAACAAAAAACTAGGAAAGCAAGATTGTGCAGGGATTTTGACATCACACCTTCCTGATGACTTTGACGACACGACTCTCTCTCTCTCTCTTTCATCGTCTTCTGGACGGACATACATACATACATACATGGGTATAATCTCTCACAGGCAAGGAAGGTAGTACAAGGTAGATTTTAATGCCTATTGATATTATCTCCATACATATTTTGCCCTCTGAAGAGCTTGCGGGGTTTGCGCGGCAAGAGGCTGTCGAATGCATGTCGTCCCATGCATCTCCATCCCATAACACCACCCAGGTGTTTGTCTGGTCTTGGTTCCAAATGCGGAAGAAAGAGAGACAGAATCGCTCTTCAGGCCTCCCGCCCGGTGTTCGCCGAAGCACAAGAGAAGAGGAAGAGGACCATGTGATTATACAGTAGTACCAAAAGGCACCCGGCGATGATGATGATGAAGATGACTCCGAACTCCGTCTGTGCTGACTTAGCCGCAATTTAAAAATAAGGCGGGTCCTGGGATGGGAATTATTGGGATTTGGGACCCCGAATGTGACCGGGGCGATTGCCCGATGGGTCGGTTCGGTGGGCAATCCAAGGCCACGGGCATCGACACGGCCATGTGGCTGCCTGGGGTTCTGTTAAGCCACCCCAACTACCGGCCCTCAGTGACGTCGCAAGGGCCCCCAGCATCACGCTTGTATGCGAGGCTCAGCCTCGTACCCAGTACTTGCTCTGGGATGCGGCTGCCTGGCGACAATCACATAGGAGGTACCGAGTACACATGAGTACGTACTACGGTCCACAGCCCTTCCTTCTATATACGTGCACGAGAGGTACACAGCCCGCTTCTACAGACGTCCAAGTAGTAACCTGTCCGCGGATATTCAAGAAATCGATGCAGAGGTAAGAAATTTTCGGCACGAACGGCTGGAACAATGTGCCACAGCCATTCGTGTAGTTCAAGTGCTGCCTGAGCTTGCAGACGAGAGAGTTCCGAGAGAGTTCATTGCCTAATCAAGCACACTTCCACCCATGCAAGATACACTGCTCTCTCCCACGTCTGGGGAGAAAAGGACGATTACGGCAGCCAAGAGACAATAATAGTTAAATGGGCCTCGGCTGGGGGCTTAACCAGTAGTACGTCAACCACATCCACCGACATGCAAATGCTCACGGTAGACATAGGCTAGACAATACCACCAAAATCCGTCTCGCCGAGATAGAGCGGGACCGTGCTGTGCAAATTGCCCGTCTGGAGCGCAATGGTACGTTGTTCCGTTCTGCCCAACCAGGCATTTATCCCCGGCAAGCCCCAAGGCTGAACCGACTGTCCAACCCCTATTTGTTCCCGGCGAATCCCTGGGCTGCTTCATTGCCCTGACTCTCATTCTTCCTGGTGTCCTCAAAGCCTCTACTGAGCTGTGCGCAGTCCAGACGGAGTCGGTCCCGGCTACCGGCAAGGCGGATGGAGGTGGTGGCGGAGGATAGTCCAGGTTGAGCGCCTCGGCCCCCGTCGCGGTGGAGCTAGGAAGCACCGGGTGGGCTTGTAAGTACTCCCGTGCTCTTGATCTTGGACCAGAACTGATCCATTGTTAGGGGGAAACCCAAAAAAGCTACATTGCGCGAGCCTTTCATTCGGCCACGACGACACGGAAAGATCTGCCTTGCACGAGTACTTCACTGCAGCTCCTAGAAGCAAGAGCAAAGTCACCACAAGAGCAATGGCATTTAACTCTGGCCACAAGACATGAAACAATCGGCATTGCACAACCATGGTCCACGAGCCCAGATACAAGACAAGCCGCCGAAAAGACTCGATGTTCTGCTATCATTTAATGCTCCAAACATCTCGTTGTTGCCCGCCCTAAAGTCCCCTTTCTCTTGATGAGTTAGGTTCGGCAATCACAGGTGAGACAAGTGATAACTATTTCGAGTACACAGCTAATGCCAAACAGCAAGCAACTTGTTCGTCGCCTTCACCGCAGCGGGATGCCACTTTTCCACATATCTCAGCATACATCGTCCATATCATCTACACAACTGCCATGAACGAGTCATCGTTTCTCCCACGCTGTTTATTGACAGCCAAAATCACTGCGCGCACATCGTCTTCTCTTCGACTCTTGCACAATTTCTTCCATAGGATTAAAAAGCTCGCCATCAGCCATTGCCTGCAGTCTCGCCCGCTGTGAGCGTCTCGCTTCCCGTCCGAAGCCTTCATAGGCTCTCATACCACAACACCAAGCTCTTGTCGAGGAACTCAAGAATGGACTCCGTAGAATCATAATGCCTCCACTTCCACATCTCCGACACATTCCTGCCAGAGTACCTAAATATGGACTCGGCATCAATGGATATTGTCCAGGAACTCGTGGCGCAGAATGGAACCTGGCAAGTGCCTCTTCCTCGAAGTCGTTTTCCGGCGACAGTGCACCCGACAACGCACCCAATGCTGCGAAACCGAACATTCCTAAGAACGCTATACCGCCAAGTCCGCCGATAAACAAGAGTTGTTCGCCAACGGAAGGTAGTCCTGAGGGGTTAAGTGACATGGTGGAGGAATAATGGTTATCTGGCGCAGAGTGAACTGCACTGACAAAAAGGAGGTTGCTAAAGCGATGCGAGTGGATGCAAGGATGTCGTCCGATCAATGCTGTGGAGGGATTGTTGGTGGAATAGTGTGGTGAGATTGATGGTGGAAGTTTTTCGTCGAGTCAGCAGCTAGAGGAGCAATGTCGTCGTATTCGTTGGTCAAGATAATTTCAGGAAGAAGAAGACGAAGATGTTGGAAGACAGTCTTTGAATAAGTGCTCTGGTAAATGTGGATCACAAGAGGACCTTGCTGTACTGGAAGCCACTTAATACCTCTAACCAAACTTTTCCTCAACTTTCTTCATCGCGGCCCATCGTCTCGAGCCAACGTACTGCTAGAAGAGCGTGTGGTCCGGACGTTGTGTTCTCGCACTTGCTGTGGCTGCAGATACACCGTTAATAGCACCTCGACGAGGGGCAACTCATCAACCAAAATATCTCGTGGCAGCGATGAGGAGGGTGTACTCTATGGCTTATGCCACGACCATTCAGGTTTTAATGTGCGCTAGCTTTTTCATTACTACTTGCGTACTTCATCGCTGTCCGGAGCTGTCCCGTTCGTAACGTTGCTTGACAAAGCAACATCTAAGCTATTGTACGGTATATATCTGTCCCCCTCCACTACAAGGCGAGCCAAGCAGAAAATGCTCTTAATTGCTCATTGCCTTAGGTATGGCGGTCCTCGGATAGGATGGCCGAGAAGACCACACTAGTTAAATCCTCAATAAGGATAATGATCAGAGCGTACTCTTCGGTTAGGGTTGTCTCTAGGTTGAGTAGTGGTCCACTCGCTTGAGCATGACGCCCGTCCAAGTTCGAAGTCACTAGCCCGATCCAACGGTCAAAGCGTACTCGTGGATCATAATCCCATGTATCCCTGTTCATTATCATCTTCTCAAGAACTCTTCCACCTCAAATGCCACCCGTCTCTTCGCCTTCTCCCAGTTCTCCAGCTTCTTAGCCTGCTGCGCTGGCGAGAGCGTCTTGCCGGCTGCCTAGTTATTACCTTCAGTCAAACCTGAAGGCGCCGCCGCCGTGGTGGTGGTGGTGGTGGTGGTGGTGGTGGTGGTGGCGCTGAAGATGCTCGTCTTGACAATCACAGCTCTTGAATCGTGTAGGCGTATCTCAACCCCTGTTCCTTCACCGTGAGATTGAGACTGGGACGAAGCCACGCTGCCGATTCTATCTCTGGAAGCGGGCGTAGCTGCACTGGCCGGGCCAGCGACACTTAGTAATGGAGCCGGCTTAGCCACATCTCAGCCTTCAGCGGGGTCTTCGTCGACGCGGCGGATGACGATGGTGATGTCGGGGCCGACGCTACCTCGCTACATGGCGGCGAACCATTGCCAGTGAGCGGGAAGGGAGAAGCTGTCGCTGACTGGCATGCTGATCGACGGATGCCTAGCCGAGAGGCAAGTATAGCCGAATGTCCACGGCCAGATTAAGCCCCTCGTGTGTCTGCTCAGGGAGTGATCAGGGAACGCTCCCGGAAAAGCTCAGTTAAAGCTCAGGTTAAAGTGGCCTTCGCTCACCCTCTAGGATCAACTCGTAAATGGCAATTAGGTTTTTCGTTCTCGAGTAATCTAGGTAGTCGGATGAAATGTGGGTGGATGCCAAGCATCTGCCCATTAGCTCAACCTGGTGACTCCTCTCCGGGAATGTTGCAGCCTGCATCGACCAGGCCAATGTCAAAGAATGAAATCGCCAAGTGGGTCTCATGAGGAAGATCTTCGAAAATGCTCAAGAGGTCGTGGCGTGGCTCCCGGCAGGTCTGCCAGTGCAGTGTCAGGACTACTACCATGATAAGGTATATGGGCTCTTCGCGGTCTCATATAACGGGCACTACTATCAACCAGGCTACAGCTTGAGCTTGCCAGAACATTCTTTCCGCACTCTCCAGTTCTGTCGAGACGGAGGCTGGTACCTCCAAAGGGAGGATGAGTACTTTCTTCTTGCTAGGACGCTCCTGGAGGCGTTCCATACCTCCGCCAGCAGACTGAGCGACGGGTAAAAACCCCAGCCTCAAGCCTACCTAAGCTGCAAAATTGCCATCTCGAAATTTACTTTGGTCGGCTATGAGGAGCTGCTGGACGTACCTCGCCTTGTCTGCGAGCACAGTTCCCTCCACACGCTGCTATCAAACACACCCAGCGAAAGTGATATTTTGTGCTGTTTGCATGGGGAAGGCACCACAGTTCATATCCTGTTTGCAGCGTAGCCTGGTCCTTGGAGTAAAATGCGTGGTCTCAGAGAGGGCGATTGAGACAGTGCGGATAGTAAGTGAATTGTGGGACGTGTCTGTCCGGTCGGCTGTCTATCCTGTCGTCCTCGAAGTGACACGTGCCTGCGATGGTCTATTATCCATCTACTATGAAAGTGCTATAGCAAACAGCTCAAGTCGCTCACCTTAGGAGCCACTAACAAATGCACTTTTTCCCTTGGCGGCGTGCATGTGTGTGTCTCGCGGGAAGAGGAATGATGGCGCCGGTCAATCCCAAGGGAATCTCTGTTGAGTGAGGGAGTGAGTGATGTGGGCAGAGCGGTCGGAAAAACAGTCCTCGCTCAGCCTTGTGCTTCCCCTTTTTTTTTTCTCTCTCCATGTCTCTTGTGGGGTCGCGACCGGGGGTCTCTCGGGATCTCATCCGCGAACAAAGAACGGAACAGAACGAACCTCAAAGGCGTCCACGTCGCTGATGACTCTTGAACACAATCCGGCAAATCGTCCGCTGGTAGGCAACTATATCAACTTGCCGTATTCGACCTGAACCTGGCAACGGGGAAGCCCTTGTCTTTGGAAGATAACTACCTCCTCAACCCATCCTTCGACCCGCAAAGATCTCCCAAGATGATGAAGCCAGACACGATAGAAAGCAGACTCTTCATCAACAACGAGGTACGTGTTGCGTTGTGTTGGCTTGTCCCCGAGAAAGAAAAATTGCCTTGAACATCCAGCCCTGACAACATCATGCCAACACCCATAGTTCGTCCCAGGCAAGCAAGGAAAGACATTCAAAGTCTGCAACCCCTACAACGACCAAGAGATATGCATCGTCCACGAAGCGGCCAAGGAAGATGTCGACCTCGCGGTCGAGGCCGCAGAGGCTGCATTTCCACACTGGAGCAACATCGCAGCCCATGAACGCGCGGCCTATATGTTCAAATTTGCGCAGTTTGTGCAGAGAGAGGCGCAGCAGCTTGCTGAGTTGGATTCCATGTGCATGGGAAAGTAAGGAAGAAGGGACCCCTCTCTCCCAGCCTTCCATGTTGTTTGCCGCTAGACACAGTCGCGAGTGGCTAACCTACATCTCCCCATCAAGGCCCGTTGAACTCCTCAAGAAAATGGACATCCCGGCGTGTGTCGGCGTATTCAATTACTTTGCTGGCAGCGGCTACCATATTCTGGGAGAGTCGAGTCTCAGCTCCCCTAACTTCCTCAATGTCAGTGTGCGGCAGCCTTACGGCGTGGTCGGCTTGATTATCCCATGGAATGTAAGTTCGCTTATCGCCGACTCAGTAGCGAACCTCTCTTCTTCGTCGCTTTCGAACGGCCAGAGTTAATCCCAGTGGCCGAACGGCAGGTCCCGATGATCATGTTCGCCTTCAAAGTCGCGCCGGCGCTGATCTGCGGTAATACGGTTGTGCTCAAATCGTCGGAAAAGGCGCCGCTGAGTTCACTGAAATTGGCCTCGCTCATCAAGGAAGCAGGATTCCCGCCTGGGGTGGTCAACGTGGTCAGTGGATTCGGCGACCCGACAGGCTCCGCGATCGGTCTGCACATGAAGATCCGCAAAATCTCGTTCACGGGCTCCGTGGCCACGGGGCGGAAGATCCTTAAGATGGCGGCCGACTCGAATCTAAAGAACGTCTCGCTGGAGCTCGGCGGCAAATCGCCCGCCATTATCTTTGAAGACGCCGATCTCGAGGACGCGGCTAGGTATACGCATTACAGTATTAATCACAACAGTGGACAGCATTGCCAGGCCAATAGCCGGGTGCTGGTGCAGGAGTCCATCGTGGACGAGTACATCGAGATGGTCAAGAAGTTGATGGTGAAAGTCACACTGGGCGACCCGGCGGACCCGAGCACGTTTCAGGGCCCGCAAGTCGACCAGAAGCAGTTGGCCCACATTCAACGGTTGATCGACCAAGGCAGCAAAGACGGTACATTGGTGTACGGCGGCAAACGACACGGCACGACGGGGGCGTTCATCGAGCCTACGATATTGAAGAATGTCCCGCTTGACTCGGCTGCGTATACGGAGGAGATCTTTGGGCCAGTGGTGATTGTGAATACGTTCAAGGACGAGAAAGGGGTCCTCGCCGAGGCCAACTGCACTGATTTTGGGCTGTTCTGTGAGTATTTCCTTCCTTTCCCCTTTCCTCCTCTCCGAGAGGCCTATATACATAGCCATATCCCATACCCCCATACCCTTTCTGCCACCGGACGGAACGACCGCCTAAATGGCTAATTCATTCCCCTCTTTTCCGGTAACAGCCTCGGTATACACGCAAAACTTCGACCGTGCAATCCGCGTCGCCAAGGCCCTCGAGGCCGGCGCCGTGGGCATCAACTGCTCGGTGCCCGTGCGCGCGGTCGACATGCCCATCGGCGGCTGGAAGCAGTCCGGCATGGGCAAGGAGCTGTCCCTGCACGGCCTCAACACCTACACCGAGCTCAAGACCATCTTCATGAAGTACAATAGTGACCCGACCTCCATGGCTGTCGGGAGGTGGCACTCGGGCCAGCGGGTGGATGTGAATGGGGATGGGAGCTCGTAGGCTTACTTTGTTGGAGGCTTCGGTGGAAATTTTTGTCTAGAGGGTCTTGTCACCTCTTTTCTTAGAGACTGTTATAGATAATAGAGCGAGAGAGAGCTCTAGTTACTTAGAGGCCGAGCCGAAGCACCAATGGACACTTTGCGTTCCATATTGCGCTTTAGACGTCTACTTTCCCCAGTGCGACTGGCTCATGCGCAGGTCGCTTTTACCCAGTGCTTGCTCTATAGGATCCCGTCGTTTGATCCTCCAATGTGGTTGTCCAACACAGGCAGACACGAGATGCTGCAATATCAACACACCCGAAAATAATAACCAAGTCTATATAAATCATGTACTGCCACCGCACCCCCTGAGATCCGCGACCAACTTCCCCATGACCTCGCCGTGCCGGATCCTGTCCAGCGCGACATTGATGTCGCGCAGGTCCACGACCTCCAGCTCGGGGACGACCCTGCTGGCCGCGAAGATCTGCAGGGCCTCCTTCATGTCGCGTTTCGTGCCTGTCTGGTTGGACCGCACGAGCAGGTCCTTTCGCAGGAGCGGGCGCAGGGACATGCTGGTGGGTGGCGATGGTGGTTAGTAGTGTAGTAGTCGTGGTGTGGGACTGGCATGTGTGTGCAAGAAAGAAGAAGGGGAGGGTTCTTCTCACTGTAAATTCCCAATTCCAATGGCCATTATCTGCGCACCGAATCTGGCGTATTCTCCCGCGGCACTGGCGGTTCGCGTTAACGAGATCGTGGAGACTCGTGCCTCGAGAAAGAGAGAGAGAGGTATGAGAAACCTACTCGTACGACGACTGATGCGGGCTCAGAACGAGAACGTAATCCGCACCCCCCTCGGTCTTGTCGACAATCGTCTCGACCAGACCCGGAAGAGTAAAGTCGACAAAGACGTCGGCTCCCATCTTGGTACAAAACTGCTGCTTGTCCGGCGACCCGCCATCGATGGCCAGCACTTTTAGCCCGATTGCCTTGGCGTACTGGATGGCCAAATGGCCCAGCCCGCCTGCTCCGCCGACAATCACGCACCATTTACCTGCCCGAGGGTTCATGCGCTGGAGCGCAGCGTATGCGGTGACTCCTGCGCATAGAATCGGACAGACGCTCGGTAGAGAGACGCCCGACGGTATAGGCACCAGTTGCGCGGTCGGGAACGAGATGTATCCTGCACCGACAGTCAATAAGCGCGCTCAGTCTGCAGCCCCCCGGGGAAATCTGGGGTTTCCGTTCTGAAGTACAGCAGATCCATACGTTGAAAAGTCCCGTCCCGATGTGCCCCGGTGATCTTTTGGTTGAAGCAATGGTTCTCCGACCCTGCCTGACAAGCTTGACACGTCCCACAGACGTAGCTCCTCCACGCAATTCCCACAATATCACCGAGCCTGAACCCGTCCATTCCCTCCGTCCCCATCGCGACTATCCTTCCGACCCCTTCGTGGCCACCTGTCAAAGGACGGACGGCGTCTTTGGGAGCAGGACCACCTCCGTCCCTAGCGTATACATCGCCATGACACACACCACTGTACTCCAACTCCACGAGGGCGTCATGGGCAGACGGCGTGGGGATCGGGACATCTTTGATCGTGTATGGGTCACCGTACGCGCCGGTTAAAACTGCAGCGGGTGCCGTCTTGGGAAGATCGCCGCCCATGGAGTCCATCGTGACACTGTCAGAGTTTCGAGTATCAACCTTCTTCCCAGTCCTTAGAAAGTGTTTAGCTGCTATTGAGAGTACAATTAGGAGTCGTGACGGCCAAGGGCAATCGGTTCGCACGTGGTGTGAATGTTGACAGAAACGTCCTTAGTCTGTAATATATGACATGCCTTCAAAGAGATACTGTAACCGAAGATCGCAATACTCTGTGGATGGGCGATTAAAAATTTGGCTGGTCTTTTCTTCCTCCGACTAACCTGCACTGCATTTCCGTACCGGAGGAATGGGTGTAGGTGAGCAGGAGTGACCAATGCCATATCTGAACTCGAGTTGCCGACATATCCGGTGACTCCCCGGTCGGCCGCGTAAGACCCGCCGCTTCTTTTTTAGCCGAATGTCGACTTCGACTTCGACATCCGAGACGCGAAAGTGAGACGGTCCCGATGATTTTGAGGTCGAGCGACCTTGTTTGTCCAGACGGGTCTTGGCTGCGATGCCTAGAATTCCGCCCAAGTCATAGGACGATAGGATAAGGCCGCTGACTAAGAGAGGCTCCGTTTGCTCGGTTCTAATTCCAGAAGAGGTGTCGATATACACCACCGCTAACCTGTCCCTGCTTCACTTTGTTATAGGTCAGTGCCTGCCTTCTGCTGGTGTTTACCCGGGCTATTGTCGGGAGACTTGTCATGGTGAGGAACCCGTTCTCCGAAGTCAGCATATATGGCGACTGCGAGTCCAGTCATAGCCGTCAGGAAGATGAGATTCTCCATACAACTTGCACCGCTCCCTCATAACACATAAGCTCTCGCCCTGCTGCAAATGATGCACCATGATAGATGTGATTTGAGAAGCCTGCAGGATTAGCAGCACATTCGGGCATCAGCGACGCGAACCCCGAGAGTCGACTGGTAAATCATGATGTTGAGGAAGCATTGCTTAGCCATTATATACTTAAAAAACACTGAGGCCTTTACTATCCAACTTCTAGCATGTTATTTCATGAAGTGGGGTCGGTTCTAAGCATATGCTAGAGAACGATGTTTTCTATGTTTGTCCCCCCTTAAATCAGTTGTCTTGGCGAGGCTAGACAAGAATAGGGGCTGCAATGCTGCCACCACCATGGCCGAGCCAGCGCTCCATCCTTCATCGCGACTTATTACCGTTAACTGACTAACATTTTCATCGTGGTCCGAAGAACAAAGCCAAATACCATGTACGCAAGACTTAAGACAAATGAACGACTCGACTAACATACCCGTTCCAAAACAGGCTGAGAGGGTTGTAGTTGCCTTGGGAGGTCTTCACAACCGCGTCCGCAGACTCAGCCATGGTCAACAACTGTGACTAGGCCAGCATAGGGTTCGCAACGATAGCTGACTTTCGCGGTGGTGGTAGAAGTGATCTAGGATAATTGATCGCCAGACACGAAGTAACCATCTGCGTCATAGATGAGGGCCTGGCCCCATGAGCCGATAGGTACCCACAAAAAGTGTGTATACCTTTTCAGGCCCCCAGACCCGTAAGGCTTCAGGGTCCAAAGGGTTGCATCTAGAGCTAGGGAGCCCAAGGCAAGTAAGGCATACCCTGCGAGCTGTTGCTATAGTGCACGGAACGTCCTGGGAGATAGATCCAGCATAAAATGGGTGTGCTCAATCTTTTTGATTTTCCTTTGCTTTCCTTTGCTTTCCCGGTGACTCCCTATTGACTTTACTTTTGCTTAATATGTACTTGTGGATCTGCATCCCGCTAGTGCTGGTTGTTGGATGGGTAGGTCTATGCTGAAGCTGATCTTTAAAGAACAGACCGTTAAAAAAGGTGCTAGGCAGTTTACAATGTCTTGCTATCACCACTTCGCAAAATTCCAGGGCCGTTACTTGCTAAGGTAACGGGTTACTGGCTCGTATTTGTGGATCTTGCTGGATGCCGAACTAGGACTATACACCAACTTCACAGCAGGTATGGTCCTACCGTCCGAGTTGGTCCTCACGAAGTCTCCTTCTCCAACCAGGAGATTATCAAGGAGCTTTATAGCTATCAGACTAGCTTCATGAAAGCTCCGGTCTATGATGGCATGAGCATGAGGCCGGTAGGGATTTTCAGCATGAGAGACAAGAAGGAACACAATCAGAGGCGCCGACTATTAAGCCACGCCTTCTCGCAATCGAACCTTTTGGACACGGAGCCGCTGATAAAGGAGCATGTCAACGAGCTTTTGGCATTTATAAAGCCTAAGCTTGGACGGCCTGTTGACATGCTCACAACCTTTCGGCGTCTCTCCTTTGACATCGTTGGTATCAAGTCTTTACCAGAATCCGGCGTGATATACTTGGCGTCTGACATTGTATAGGTGAGCTTTTCTTGGGGCAATCCTTCAACGGATTGAAATCCCCCGCAACACCTCGATTCTTGATTGACCTGGATTCACACTTTGTCCTCGCCGGTATCAAGATGAACTTCCCCCTGATATACTATATCTTGGAGCTGTTACCTATCGCAGCGGTGCGACATTTCTTCGCTAGCACAGAACGAAATAGGCAGGTTCGAGAACACTTCGATAACTGTGGTTCTAGTTTGATCTGATGTGCTTCTCAGTACGGCAAAGATGCGTTTGAAAATTACATTGCCCAGTATGGCCGCAATTCGGGCCGCCGCGACCTGTTGACGAAAGTTGTCGTAGCCAAGGACGACGAAGGCGCACCGCTCACCGATCTTGAGATCTATACAGAGGTAGCGCACCTCGTTCATGCGGGCTCAGGTAACCGTCATGCTCCAAGTCCTGTCATCCAGCCAGCGCTGACGATGTATCTCTCAGATACAACAAGTACGACTTTGACGTACCTCTTTTGGCTGCTTGCTAAACACCCTGAATGGCAAAGTCGACTTCGCGCAGAGCTCATGACCGTGCCATCCTGTACCGACGGTGTGTTCACTTACAAGGAAGTCATCGCTCTGCCAGTGCTGGACGCAATCATCAATGAGGCCCTTCGATTGTATCCAGCCGCACCTGCAAGCCTACCGCGAGAGACGCCGTCAGGCGGACGAAATTTGAACGGTATCTTTATACCGGAAAAAGTTAGTGCATATTCCTGACGCCGAAGCGACTTCAGCAGCTGCCAACTGACCCAACCGCAGACTGTTGTGTCCATGCAGTGTTACACAACTCACCGCCATCCAGACGTTTTCCCAGATCCCGAGGAGTTTCTACCAGAGAGATGGCTGGATGAAAAGGCAGTGACGCCAGAGATGAGGACGATGTTCATGCCTTTCTCAGCAGGCAGTCGTGCATGCTTGGGAATCAATTTGGCATGGATGGAACTGAAGGTGATCACAGCAACCTTGCTGAAGGCTTACAAGGTGCAACTAGCGTCCAGCACAACGGATGAAAGCATGCTATTCCTGGATCATTTCCTAGCCCTCCCGAAATCTGGCAGGTGTGACTTAATCCTCACCAAGGCCGAGTCGACCGAGCCCACGACAAACTCCGGACTAGGCACGCAGGTGAAGTAATAGAGAGTGGAGACGATGGTACTGGTTGCTTTTGGGAGTTATGACCGACAGCATAGGAGTCATTGGTGGATCCTTGCTGGGAGCCTTCTCAAGATGAACAGCTAGCAGAGCATGCAAGAGCATGCCAGAGGGTGGCTCAGCCAGTTTCAGCCTCGCAGCCTTGTCCATGGTTACATCTATGCAAATCTATGGCGCTAGCGTGGGACTAGTCACCACTAGGCAGAGGTTATTTGGGTTAGAACGTGGTTGACCAATGATAACATGCCATACAATTTTAGGCATCAATCCCCCTCCAGTGCCTCAGACTCTATTCTGCCACTGGCAGCCGAAGTCCTCATCATCTCAACACATTTAATCTGATGCTGCCCCTTCCCCGAGCTTGCGATTCACAACCACTCTTCCTGCTTTTTTGATCGTCCTCCCATCTTTGGGTCCTGAGACTGTTCATGCTCGAAGGCAAACTCGCCTCCGGCTTTGAAGACCCCTCAAGACTGAGGTTGCAACGCGCTCTATGTGATCCAGCACGGCCAAGTCACGATTGATTCCCCTGACATATACTCGTGCCTAGAGGAGTGCACTCGTCCAACGCATCTTCCACTCCGGTTCAAATGCGATGTGAGGCGCGTGCGCCAGCTCAGTGAGAATGTCAGACCGATCACTAGCCTCACGGGCTCATAGTGCTGCGACGCTTGGTTCTATCCCTTCAGAAGTCCTGCAGCAGATCTTCTATTTCAGCACAAGCCCGAGCTTCTTTCAACTTATTCAAGTTAACCGCAAATTCTTTTCGTTGGCATCGCAAAGTCGAGAGGTCATCCTCCATCATCTCCGCCATGTTCCCGGTATAAAGCTAGGTCTGGAGGACCATTCCATCTCCACCAGTGATCTCTTCCTTATCTTCCGTCAACGCGCGGCTTCGCATCTCTATGGCGTCAACTTCACCGCGGATTGTCGGAGCTGGGGACTCTCCCACCGTAGCGTGGGTTCCATAGATTCCCGAGCTTCATGCCTCGGCGTTGAAAGCGAGTGGGGGAACAACGTGTGTCTAGTCCTGAAAAACAGTCTTCGAATCCGACTGAACTGGCACAATGACCTACCTGGTGAAAGCATTGAGTCGCCCTACGCTGACGGTCGTGCGAAGATCGTCCAGGTTGTACAGAAGAGCCATTACATCACTGTGTTGTATGCCTGGTCGCCACCTGAAGAAGATCCCGCCAATGATACGTCCCATCCCGAGCCGACGATGGTCAGGGCCTCCGTGAAAGAGGTTCTCGAAGACAGCAAAGGCAGACATTTGTTTCCTCGATATGGCTGGCCTTCATCGTCCAAGCAGAATAGTCAATCCAAAGCCTCCTCCTCCCTGCCTCGTATCCGCTACCACATCCTCCATTACGACATGTTCAGGAGCGACCGGCCAATCTTCTTCCCCATCCCAACACACAAGTCCATACATAACAATCTCCTAGTTCCCGTCCATCTAGCGGTCCACAACCGTCTCCAGTGCGCCATTCTGTGGGACCTCCCAGATGCAATGACCCCGACGATGGATACTACAGTCTGTCTCTACACGACCGACCACCTCCCGCGGTATGAGCAAGGCGAATACAGTGTCTGGGTTCTCTACCCCTTTGACCGGCCAACCCCGATTTATCGATCAGGGTCAGGCGACCGATTCGATTTGGCGCGGGAGAATTCAAACGACGACATTGATGGAACTGGAACCACCTACACTGTCACCTGCGTGCGTGAAAAATTTAACCGCAGCGGCTACGATGTTGGGCAGGATCTGCGTCTTTTGAATTTTCCTCTGCGACCGCGCAGTGTCGCTTTTTTTAAAGACGGCCGGCGTCTATCACTTTATGCCCCCGGATCGACCGTGCCATTTACGACGTTGTTGGCCAACGAGACAATCCGCAACCGAGCTTTCAGTCCCATGCTGTCTCCTGTGGGCTACCCGTCGCACGGCGATTCATTACATATGAGGCGAATGGAAGATCTGCGTAGGCGCATCCGTCGGACAAACCACACTTCCATCTACGGCAACCACTTCACTCTCGGTCTGCCATTCTTCAACACACATGAGACTGTCGCCCGCCCAGACAACCCGGAACTGGACATCACTCTGCCCGAGGTGGAATGTTTGACACACATGCTCTGCGTTGGCACGGCGAAGATCCCAACGCTTCGAATCCACACCGCGGGCGGTGTCGTTACTGAGACCGGTCCACAGGTGCTCACGATTGTGCAAATCCGCAAGCGCGTACTCTATGATCTCTGTCCACATATCAGACAAAGAGATGATTTGCCCACCTTGCCCCGACCACCGCGAGAGCACCGGAGAAGACGACACCTGAATATCCATCTACATCCCAACGCTGAAGCCATGCCCGACGTCATTATTGCCCCTGAAGTCGGAGACGATGACGACGACATCGGCAATAATATCGACAACGAGTCCGAACCAGACGTCGACATGCTCTCCGATACAGACGTCGACGACACAGATGCCGAGGCCTTGGAGGGGACGGATCTGCGCGTCGTGGCAAGATTGTGGGGATGGGCACCTCATTGCTCGACACTAACGGGACAAGACACTATAAGCATATCGTCCAGAGGAGAGAGGATCGCGGTTGCGCAATGGGATCGGGTGCTTGTTTATGCCTTGAACCCGGGGGAGCTCTGCGACGAGGCGTGGGACGAGGGCAATGAGAGTGACGACGCCATCAGTGAAGGGGACAGTAGTTCGGAGAGCGGCAGCGACAGCGAGAACGAGGACGACGGCGGTGGCAGCGTGATGAGTGGAGTGGAAGACGTAGTCAATGGGGCCGAGAACCAGGACCCCGGGAATGGCAATGGAAACGACAACCCCAACGACGGAGCTCAACATCCTCTCGCACCTTCAGACCATTCACCGGCCATTTCGAATCCTGGCACGGTCCCTTCGCCTGTAGAACCACCGAAACCAGCTGAATCTGTCGCTTCAAGCACATCCACGTCGCTCTCAGGCTTATTTTGCTTTTATCCGCACGTGAAGGACAGCTTCCTTGGTGGAGGGGTGGTTGAGCTCCGTCCGATCGTGTTGAAGATGGATGGTGGAGCGGTCGTACGGAAGATGAGCTGGGCGTTAGGGAGGCCCGTCCGAGTTGACGAGGATCGCACCAACGACACAGGAGAAATGTACCACAGGGGCGAAGAGACGAAAGGAGTGGCAGCTGAAAAGGGCGGCACGGTGAAAGAGAAGGAAAAGGAAGAGGACGCTGGGGCTTTAGCGAGCAACAATACAGCACGGCTAACTCCCCTGCGGGAAGATACTGAAGGTGGGCGCAATGACAATACTAGGGCGTCAGCGGATGTTAGAAGGTCCAACCCCCCCGATCAACCTCAGGCGTCCGAACTACTACAATCCCAGGACCAATCATCACCAAAGTCAGATTTGCAGACTGAAACCCTTTCAAAGAATACCTACATCAAGGTCCAAGAAGAGGGATCGGGCTTTCTCCCTAGTGAAATACCACCATCACCGTTTTCGGATGCCAGATTGACCGGACAGATCAAACATATTGCTCATCCTCCTGACCATCACAGTTCTCCCAGCAAAGTTTTCCTTGGTCCTCCTCCTGAGCTAAGACCTCCAAGTCCAGCTGACGTAGACTTAATCAAAGGCAAAGAAGCCGAGTCGATGGAGGCATCAGCTGGGGAAGTCAGGAAGCGGTCTCAAGATATGACAACAGATCACGAACAGGCAGGGCCCTCGGCCGCAGAGCTGTCTGAATCGGTAGCCTCCGAATCGACGCCACCATACAAGCGCAAAAGGGAGCCGCGGAAGAGGGTGGCCGAGAATGAGCTAATCGTATTGACTGATAGAGGGTTGCAAATCTGGGATCTCAGTGTCTGGGGGAAAGGCAGGCGATTGCGTTGTGAGCTTCCTGGAGATGATATTCTGCTTTAGCTGCTGCAGGATTATTTGAGCATCGCTCAGGCGAATATGGTTCCTCCTAACCCGAAAGGCCGAAAGGATGAAATCGCTTTGCTTGGTGAGTTCCGTAACAATGAAATGGGGAAGGTTCTCGGGTAATGTGTCGACGGAAAACGGGAAGTGACATTGTTGCTTTCGCCGGGTGCAACTCGCTCAAAGCCGATTTGAGGCGGTTTGGATTGGTCCAGCATATTCCTCGCAGTCAACACAAGAAGTTGCCAAAGAGTTGTCGGAGTATCATGTTCCCATATATTCGCTTTGGCCGGTCCGGAGTAACAGTCCCGAGTAACAATACCAGTGCTGCGAAGGTGGAGGATGCTTTGCCAAAAGTGTTCATTTCTCTCCCCCTCCTCCACTAGTCATCATAAGCATGGTGGCTATCAAAAACACCCACCAGTACTTCTGGAAGAAGCTCTTCTCTTGTTGTTCTTCCTGCGCCATCTCCCTGCCCTCGGCATCGACCTGAGGAGGTTTCCTAGTTACTAAATCAGGGGAGGGGCCGGCGCTGGAGGTGATGAGATTGACTTTAATAGGCTCGTGCAGAGCTGCTGCTTTCGCCGCTTCTTCTCTCGCTTTCTTTGTATTAGGAACTGGAGGCCGGGGTGGTATTGGCCTTCCCTTTGCCTTGGCTCTCGCGACTTTCTTCCTGTAGCGTTCTTCTTCTGTGGACAATGGGGGTAATGAAAGGCCGGAAACCGAAGCAGAGAAGACCGAGCCATCATCTGGAGATATCCAGAGGTCAATTTTCTGGTGAGCATCATCGCCGAACGTGTCGAGAGTTGTTATTGTAGAACTGCCATTCGGCAAAAGAATTCGGAGCAACTTCGAGGCGGTGGGTTCGGGAGTGGTAGACTTGAGCGAGTCGAGAGACGGGGGAGTCCATGAGGACAGAGCGTGCTTGGAGGTTTTTGGGTCGTAAAAGATGGTGACGAGCGGTTTGACTGAGGCAGAGCCGATCAATTCATACGAAAGAGTGACAGACTTGGGCAGCTTGGAAGCTGCCGCATCACTTGCAGCCAGGACGGTGCAGGTACAAACGGCCAGCAGCACCAGTAGGAAGCTGCGAAAGGCCATCTTTGGCAGTTACAGCACAACAGGATCCTTTGCGGCGATGACAGGGAATTTATCTTTCTTCACATTCATTTCACTTTTCTCTTCGGTCCTGACCATCACCAACCCGCATCCCATTGCCGTCGTTTATTGCAAAGGGCAACTCAGCCGAATACGAAGCGACACGAGGCAGTTCAAATTCAACACGAAATTTACTGCTTGTTTGCCTCTTTACTCTTCAGTGAGTCAAGATGTAGTCGCCATGGACTTCCTCCAGGGCCTTTCTGGACCGGGAGGTTCTGACTTCTTTTCCTTAGATCTCTCAGACTCTGACGACATGGCGTCAGGCAACGGCAAGGCTGGGACGACCAGCGACAAAGACAAGCTTCATCCTGAAGTCGTCAAGAACCTCGAGCTCCATCAGGGTTTCATGCGTCAAGCAATTGATGTCGCCGAAGAAGCTCTCAAGGGAGGTGAAACGCCGGTCGCGTGTGTTCTCGTCCACGAGGGCAAAGTCGTTGCTCGAGGCATGAATGACACCAACCGATCTCTCAACGGCACTCGACATGCCGAGTTCCTTGCCATTACACAGTTTCTCTCCAAGATGCCAGCGAGCAAACTTAAGGAGACCGATCTCTACGTCACCGTTGAGCCATGCATCATGTGTGCTTCGGCCTTGAGACAATATGGCATTCGCTGCGTCTACTTCGGATGTGGGAACGATCGATTTGGCGGGAATGGAAGCGTGCTTCCGGTTCATTATGACAAGGGTCTTGAGGAGGGCTATCCAAGCTATGGAGGACTATTCCGGAAAGAAGCCATTATGTTGCTGCGTCGATTTTACATTCAGGAAAACGAGAATGCACCGAACCCTCGAGCCAAAGGCAATCGAGAACTGAAGCCGGTGGTCTAGATGATGTGGAACGCGTGGCCATCGACACGGCTATCTATCTCCACGAGAAGGCCGCATTGTTTGGACAGAGGATGGGTAACCGGCAGTGTGGTCTGCGGGTCATGAACAAGTGGCGGGCGGGCAATAGTTCTTCCTGGCGTTGATAGCCACTGGGCCGGCCTCTATTTTGTATCACATATTTGACTGAAGGGAATCGCCGGACATGGCTCTCGATGATGAGAAAGGAAGTCGAATTCAGAAAGGATTCCTTGCCACGACTGAACCATTCTGTCACCAACGTAGGACAACCATTCACATACCAACCTTTTTTTAAATGCGACATGCTCGAGAACTGTCATTACTGTGCTGTAGTTTTCTACCTCATTATGGACCTAGTCACGCGGGAAATATGCGTGTATTATAATAGCCAGGACTGAAGAGATTTCGTTGTGACATGGTGAATTGATTGCAGTCAAGAGATGTCGGGGAGGGACTCGAGCGCTTTGTGTCACTGATGTGTACCGAGTGCATGCTGCTTAGTCACGCGGAGTGTCTGGCTGCGCTGTTGGCACGTCCAATAACCAAAACAATCGCTGCGCTAGCAACTTTTTTCGGAGACCACACACACTGCTCGCCTCACTGCCTCTCACCACTGCCTCACGGCGAAACTGCCTTGGTCTTGTCCACGCCGTCCTCACAAAGGCCTCATCTTCCTACTTGTGATTCCATCTTTCCTACCAAACATACACGATATCCAATCTCTCTGCTTTGACTTACTCCTCGAATCTCTTTGCATTTGTGTGCCAGTTCGAGTTCCCCGTCGCGTCGACGACCGAGTCAAAGATGTCTGGCACTCGTGCTCGAAAGCCTGCAGCCACAAAGGCAACCAAAAACGTAACAGAGAAAGCAAAACAAGTCAAGAAGGTGGAGCCACAAGAGGCCAACGCGAGCAAGAAATCAACTGCCCCTTTGAAGGCATCGCTCAAAGCTGCCGCCAAAGTCCCTGAAGCACCTGCGAAGAAGACAAGCAAGAGGAAGGCCGAAACAGAGATCGAACATGAACCTCAAACCAATGGCGTCAAGAGAACGAAAGTCGTTCCTGCGCCCGTTTCGCCCGTCGCCGAGCCCGAATACCCCAAGCGAAAACCTGCCGCTGTAGAAAAGCCAGCAGCAGCTAAAAAGACCAAGACAACAAAGGCAGATATCAATCACCGTCCGACTGAGAAACTGAATGTCTATGTGTTTGGAGAAGGCTCTTCTGGGGAACTCGGTCTTGGAAGCGCCAAGGGCCAGACAGAGGTCAAGAGACCGCGTTACAATCCGAATCTCAGTCCGGATAGCATCGGAGTGGTGGCCTTGTCAGTCGGTGGGATGCACACTGCCGCTCTGACCCATGACAACAAGATTCTGACCTGGGGCGTCAACGACCAGGGCGCTCTAGGTCGAGACACTGCCTGGGAAGGGGGTCTCCGTGATATCGATGAAGATGCTAGTGACTCTGATTCAGATAGTGGTTCGGAGACAGCCGTCAACCCCAAAGAATCCACTCCGGGCGAGGTAGACCTCTCGGGCGTTCTAGCAGATGTTGTCTTCACCCAAGTCGCCTGCACCGACAGTGCCACTTTCGCTCTCACGTCTCAGGGCGACGTTTACGGATGGGGGACATTTCGCTCGAATGAAGGCATTTTTGGCTTCGACCCCACCACGCTGATACAGCTTCGACCAAAACTCATCAAGGGCCTTAGTAAAATCACCCAGCTTGCAACTGGTGCTAATCATGTCTTGGCCCTACAGAACAATGGCGCGGTCTTCTGCTGGGGTTCAGGGCAACAGAATCAACTGGGCCGAAGGATACTGGAGCGGAGAGCTACAAACAGTTTGATACCGATGGCCATTGGCACACTCAAGAAGATCGAATACGTTGGGGCTGGCGCATACAATTCCTTCGCTGTGAAGTCGAATGGTGACGTTTATTCCTGGGGCCTCAACAATTTCGGTCAAACCGGCATTCCCAAAGATTTCGACGAGGCCGGTAATAGCAAAGGCAACGATGTGCATATGCCTATTGTTGTCGAGATGCTGCGCGGCAAATTTGGCAAAGTTACATGTATTCAAGGCGGGTCTCATCATACGGTGGCAGTCACCGATAAATACGAACTACTGGTCTGGGGGCGGATTGATGGAAATCAGTCGGGTTTGAAAGTCAAGGACCTTCCAGAAGATGACGTTGTGCGCGATTCGGCTGGCCACCCACGAATTTTGGTCGTGCCAACCCAAATTCCCGATATTGAGGCTCTCATGGCCGCAGCTGGGTCTGACCATTCCATCGCCATTGACAAGAATGGCAAGGCGTATTCGTGGGGGTTCAGTACAACATACCAAACAGGCCAGGGCACTTCGGACGATGTGGAACTTGCGACTCTAATCGACAATACGGCTGTCAGAGATAAAAAACTCGTTTGGGCTGGTGCAGGCGGTCAGTTCAGCGTGATTGCGGGACTTCCGACGCCCTTGGTTAATGGTGTCAACGGACATGCTACATGATTGCAGGAAGATGTCGGCTCGGGAGACATCACAGGGTGAAAATGAGGCCATTCGCAAAACTTCGGTTTATCACGGCGTCTTGAGCAAAAAGTTTTGCGAAATTCAAATGGTGCGACAAGCAAAAACACAAAATTTCTCACCAAATTTCTCTTGTGGGGAGTCTTCTGTATTACAACATCGGGATCATACCCTTTGTACAACAATAATCTTCAAGCCCGGTGGTTTGGAAGCGGGTTTTATCATGCTAGGCCCAAGTGAGACGTGAGAGCATGTCTTTGGATGGTGAGACCGAATGAGTCGGTATGGTTGGAGAGGATCACCCTTCAGGTCTTGATGGGCACGGGTATAATGCGGATGGGTTCTTTGATGGGCATTGTATTTCTATGGGCGCACAATTGGTCGGTCTGGTCAAAGCATTTTCAAGGCCTGGGGAGAGTCGATAACAGGATAGAGATCAAAGGCTGACCTTCAGTTCCAATTTCCTCCTTCTCCCACTTTTCTCTCTGTCTTATTACCCCTTCTACTTCCGTCGTCCAGGTCCCCCTTCATCTGTCCCTCGGCAATCTCGTCCGATCAAAGGCCGATCCGCTCGGTTTCTGGTCCCAGGGCTTAACCGACGAGCACGACCGAAATGCCCAGCAGCCACCTACCTAATGGCCTGCCCCTCGCGTTCCTTTGATGCTTTTCGCTCCTCCACCTCGCAGTCCCCTCATCTCACTGTGATGGCATCTGCTATTGACACAGGAAGAGAGGGAGAACGCTACCGCTTGTGCCCCCTCACCATTTTCCCCTCCCCTTTTTGCGCCTGATGATGTGCCGAGCTTTAGGGAATGATGCGCGGGTTTCTCGGGCAGTTACCGTGCGAACAGAGGCAACGAAAGGAGAGGGAAGGGAAAAAAAAACAGAGAGGGCGTGCGTGCGTCTATGGATCACTTTTTCTCCAATTCCCCATGGCCTTTTCGGTTCACACTCACATATATGTACTGTGTATGTAAAGTTTGAGAAGGACAACTAAGAAAGGAACTTCATCACTTGTCTATTATCCTGGTAAACCGAAAAGAGCTTCACGATCACCACAACCACCAACGGCATCATCTTGCATCAAAAGACGTTTGAAAACGTCTTTATCACATATTCTGTGCACTGTCTAAGGGTAAAAGAAAGAGAGTTACAAAAAGAAAGAAAAAGATCCCCCCTCCCCCCCAAAAAACCAAAAAAAAACAAAAACAAAAAAACATGAATGCACCACCCGTTCCTTTCTCCTCGCTCCCGCTCGACAAGTCCAACGCGGCGGCGCGACTCAATGCTTGGGGCGCGCACGGCGAGACGGATGAGCTGGGCTTCCTGAACCGCCAGACGCCGTTGAGCGTGAGGGTGGCGGCGCTAGAGATCCAGACGGGCGTGCGCGTGTCGCTGGACGCTCCGTTGGACTTCCAGGGCCAGAAGCCGCTGTTCGGGAGACAGGTGTTTGTCAAGGACGTGTACCAGAAGAAGCCGCGAATCGTGCACGACGACACGTGGTCGTTCAACACGCAGAGCTCGACGCAGTGGGACGGGCTGCGCCACTTCGGGTACCAGCAGGCCGGACTGTTCTACAACGACACAACGGTCGAGGACATCGCGGGGACGTCGAACAAGGGCGCCAAAAACCCAAACATCCTGGGCATCCACAAGGCGGTCGAGCGCGGCGGCATCATGGGCCGCGGCATTCTTGTGGATTTCCGGCGCTGGCTCGAGGAAGGGCCCGGGAAGGACATCGTCAAGCCGGGCGAGTTTAAGCAGTTCGAGACGTCGGCCATCAAGTTCGAGTGGATCCTCGAGACCCTCAAGTGGCAGAACAACACGACGCCGCGCTTCGGCGACATCCTGATCGTGCGCTCCGGCTTCTTCAAGTCATACTACTCGATGATGTCCACGCCCGAGGGCCAGGCCGAGATCCAGCGCCTGACATCCATGTCGCCTCCCGGGCTGGGGGGTGTCGAGCAGTCCGACGAGGTCCTCAACTGGATCTGGGACAACTTCTCCGCCGTCGCCAGCGACCACCCTTCCTTCGAGCGCTGGCCCTCCCCCTTCCACTGGAGCATGCACGAGGTCCTCCTTGCCGGCTGGGGCTGCAACATCGGCGAATTGTTGGATCTCGAGGCCCTCAGCAAGGAGTGCGCCAAGCAGAACCGCTGGAGCTTCTTCGTCGCCAGCGTCCCCTGCTATGTGCCCGGCGGGGTCGCCAGTCCGGTCAACGGTGTTGCTATTTTTTGAAAAGCTGTACCTCATAGCGATGGACGGCGCCAAGTGGGGTGGACGGGACGAGGAGGCTCTGCTAGGGCAGGTGACAAGATTCTGGATGAATAAGCTCGGCAATGGAGGAGTGGGTATGCAGATGGGTCAAGAGAGTTGACTGCGAGGCGGGACCAAGACCTCGGCCAGAGCAAGCAGCTAGCGAAGATCCCGTGAGGAGGAGGGAGAGGGAAGGAGAGAAAGACTGAGCGTCAGGGGCACTTGATGAGATCAATGAAACCTGGAGTACGAGACAGTGATGTGATCAGTGGCGCGTAGATAGTTCGCCAGATCTATATTGACTCGAATTACGGATGATGTTGATGAGTACGGATAATACATGAAGCCGACTGACAATAGTAAATACTTCAGCCGGCGACAAGAAAAGACCGAGCAGACAGTCGCCCAACCATATTACATATGGGACTGGAAAACTTGCAATTTGGCCGTCGCTGCAGATTTTCAATCTCGATAATCATAAACTTGACAAAGCCCACCTTTGCAATCGAAAAGTTTGCTCCACAACATGTTCCCAGTCCAACAGAGATACAAAAACAAAGACGTTAACCGATCGTCGGTTGAGGCTTCCTGTCGTGGTTATACATCATATGCTAATTGACAGCTTAGTATGCTGCTGTCAAACGCTGCGTGGCAGCTTCAAACGCAGTTTGCAAAATTGGTGGCCGAATCCAGTAGCGTTGACCTCCATCCTGGAGGTTTGGGGATGACCACACTGTTGAAGTTCACACTGAGTTCCTCCTTTCCAACCATTCCATCAACATCCGGTGCTTGTGATCCTCATAGTTCTGAGCACAAGTTGCTGGCTTGGTGTACCTTCTCCAATAGGTTTTCGCCGGACGCTCAAACTGCATCCCAAAGGTGGATGGTGATTGACCATGGTATAAATCTGCCTGTGGCGTCATAGGACACTGTGGAGGCTCAGTTTCAGGAGGGGAGAGGTAGCCCTCAACTTTTGCCTCGTTGGCAGCAGGCCCAGGACGAGTGGCATGAGGGCCATATAGGCGGTGGCGAAGTTCCCTCCAGGGCGGGAATGGGGGAAAGTGAGACTTGGGGCCTGGAGAGTTGGTATGAGAGCGTGCTGGGCTGAGCGGACAAAACGGACTGTGTATCCTGGGGGACGTAGTCTCAGTCTCTTTTCCGGATGCTGGTTCTGTTTCGGTTTGAGTGCCCTCTGAGACCAGAGCAGTGATGGTAGCCGCTGTGGTGGCTGTGGAGGTCATAGTGGGTTTGACCTCGTGGGCGACGGGAGAAACATCAGGCTCTGACTCTCCCGGTGTCTTGTCAGCGATCTCTTCGTCGTCTTCTTTGTCTGCGAGCGGATGACAGTCTGGCGCAGTAACAATTACGGGGATTTCAACCATTTTTGGTATATCTGGGGGTTGGTTGCATCGTATCTTTTTTCCAAACTCCGATCGTCGACGCCAGCAGCTGGGTTAATAATTTTATATGTCTGGAGATGAGCAAACATGATTGGAGAGAGACATTTTTGCACGGCTACTTTTTGCCGCCAGGGAAGTAGCTGGACAGTAGTGGATGGCAACGGGAATGAATACGCATCCACTTCACGAGATGAATGCTCGGTGTGCCACAGGGCAGAAACTGGCTGCGTATGGCCATTGGACGGGCCGTGTGCCACAACCCACCAAGGGACACATCACTTGATTGCTGAGTGCTGTCGGAGGTTCCAGGCATCCGAAGAAGCTTCTATGAATGAGGCCACCATATTGTGCAGTGGGAGGTCTAAGCTGGTGAAGTGGGCGTGGGCCACTTGAGGGGAAAACACTCACACCATCAGCATTTTTTTTCCGATAGGCCACAATCCAGGCTGCCAGGGCGATGTGAAGTTTAAGCGTCAGATGATTGCAAGAAAGCGCGGAGACGATGCCAATCCCTCGGATTCAGATGTTGAGGTGAAAATGTGAGCTGGAGAGGCGCAAATCCGGGGTATCGATGGTTCCAGGCGAAATTGGTGCAAAATCCTGGGATATCATATGCACGATATGGCGCCATTGACGAAAGCAGGGGGGGAGACTGGCATAGTCGAGAAAAGACAAGTCATGGTCGGAAGTCTGTTTCGAGATGCGGCCATTTCATCACGCAGCACAAACGATACCTACCCGTACTTGTTGGTTGTTACCATGCATGGTGTCGAGGCAGAAGACGCAACAGTCGGGTGATGGGTGGCGATACCGTGATGATGGTCGATTGGAATTTCGGGGGGTGGACAGAGCAACACAGACAAACTCGGATGGGATTCGATGGCCGAGAGAAATAACGGACGGAACAGACAAACAAGAGGTGAGCATCTCCAGCGCGCGATAATGGAAAAGGGAAAGGCTGCTCAGGCCCAGGCTTCAAGCCCCCGTCGAGGACTGGCATCACACCACCCTCTATGAATTTCTCCGTATACGGCGGTTTCCGGTAGCCTGAGCACGACAACCCGAAACACCTCGTCAGCCAGTTGCTGGTCTGAGCAGTATCTGTGTCGTGGATGGCTCACTTCTGGATGCTACAGAGACATATTCAGCCCTTATCGAGGGAGATTCCGAACATAAAAATGGCTAGAAGCACGCTGCCCATCATTGAGACCATATCACAATCGACTCCATTGTCTATTGCATCGTTGATCAAACACCAAACCCCCCAAACCGCCGCAAACACCACCAACAAAGCTCAACCCTGATTTCAAGATGATGTCCCACACAGCATCGGTATGTGAAACCTCCGAGACGGCCAATTAGCTTCCTTCTGATGGGGGATTCAACGGCTGACCCCTTTCTTTGCAGAGTACTGTCACTGAACACCGAGAAACGGCCCCGGTGCCTGCTGAGGTCAATAACACGGCCTATGTGCCCAACTACAATGAGACCGACTACAGCGATTTCCTGTACCTGGCACCGTCTTTGTCGTCAGAGTTCCTCCCCCTGGAACCCACAGACAACAAGGCTGCTCGCACTATGGTCAAGAAGTCCAAAGTCCGGCCTGCCGAGACATTTAACACTGGCACCACACCTCCGCCTGCCACCCCGGCCGACGAGAAGTCGTACGCAAAGGCGACATTCCCGCTGTCAGGGGGCCAATCGCCGGCCGCAGACGAGATGGCAAAGGCCGCCGAGAGACGGGAGCGGAGACCCAGCTTTGTCGAGGTCACGCCCGTCAAGGTCCACCATGAGCACGACAAGCACCACAAAGACGCCCACGGCCACCACCACCCACAGAGAAGGCGGTCCTCGCATGAGTCGGGGCCGATGAGCTGGTGGCCCGAGAACGAGACCTTGGCCCAGCATGAGTGGGTAGAGCAGAACGAGGAAGAGGATGTCATTGAGGACGACGTCTGGAGTGATGCATTTTACGAGTAATAATGCCTTGTTCCTTTTCACCATCCTCATCTCCCCCCCCCTTCGCCACCTCTCCGAAAGCTCCCCCAGCAGCTCGGTGTATAGAGGCTTATTTGTTGTTAATTGTTTTTGCCGTTCCAAAAGGTTGGCGCCAGATCTGCTTGATTTGGGCGAAAGAGCAGGATTGAAGACTACCTAGGACCAGGCGGGCTGGCTGGCTGGCTGGCTTACCAAGGGGAAGGGCGGGGCGGACTCTCCATGTAATAACTGTATGTACAACAACTATCAGGGCTTTAACGTCTTCTCAAATATTGAATGAAGGAAAATGAATATCCACGACACGACCCGTTCTACCTCTCGCCACTGCGAACTGTCCACATCCCTCAATTTAAAAAAAAAAAAAAAAAAAAAAAGGACAAAACTGCGAATTCAACCCGGCGACACTACATATCATACACACATAGGGCACATGGATCACTCGGCGGGAAAATATATGCCACGGGAAGGGGGATTTGTGCATGCAAGGGCCTGCGAGGACGGAGTACGAGACGTGAAAGTGCTCCATAATGGAATCGTCAATCGTGAATCGTCCATTGGGTTCAAGGGATGAAGAGGAAGAGCAAAGACAAAATTTGGGGATGAAAATTGGAATCAATATACATTACGTAACTTGGCGTCTCTCCTCTCCTGTGCTCTCCTCTTCTCTTCTCGAGGGAAGGGAATCAGGGGAGGCCTCAGCTCGCTGTTTCGCTTGTCGTGGAACTATCATGAATACGGACTACCAATACACAAATGTTCTTCCTTGCGTTTCTTGTCTCATCTCTTACACAAATACAAACACACACACACACTTTCTCCGAGACAGAAGGGAATCCAAATCCAGCAGTCTTGCAATCCACTTTTCAGTCTGCACCGGGGTGGTCAGGGTCAACGTCGTCGTACTCCCCAAACTCGCCGCAGAGCACAGATGCAATCCTCCAGTCCATCTCAGGAATTACGTCGATCACCTCGCTCGGACGACGACGAGGGCGCTGGTGGCTCCGGCTCCGGCTCTCATCCCCCAGACCCCGGTTCTTCTTCCGACCTTTGATTCAGCTGTTGCATGGGATCGGGGCGATCTTGATGGGCACGTGGATGTGTCGCGCCTCGCCGTGCTCCATGACCTTGGGCACCACGATCCTTAGCAGACCGGCGTCGAGCTTGGCGTGCGTGCTGTCGCGGTCCACGTCGACGGGGAAGTTGTACGCCCGGATCATCTCGCCGACCGGCCGCTCGTGCACCGTTAAGTGAGGTTCATGTTTCTTGGGGGCATGCTCTTCCGCCGACGTAGCAGCAGCAGCAGGAGCAGCAGGAGCAGCAGGAGCAGCAGGAGCGGCGGCTGTGGCTGTGGGCGCGGCTTCCGCCTCGGGAGCGGGGGCTTCTTGGCTAGCTGGCGGCGCGCCGTTTTCAGCCGTCGTTTCTGCAGTAGCTGGAACTGGAGCAGCGACTACTGGAGGTGGGCCAGGCTCCTCTACCAACTCTTCTTCTGGAATATCGGGACGATGCGTCTTGCTCGTCAACAGTAACGTACGGTCTGATGTCCAACGCAGACGAAGTTCGCTATGCTCCTTGACTCCTGGGAGCTCGACTTCAATGTAGAAGTTGGTCACGGTTTCGCGCACATCGGTCTTTGGTTGATGGACGTCCTCGTCTTTGTCGTGGAATTTCGAGTACGCTTTGTGTGCCATATACGGAATTGGTATGTGGTGCAGGTGGTGACCAGGTTCTGGGTAGGTATGGGAGATGTGGGTTGTTGGATATGGATCAATATCGGACGTGATGTAAAACCAGCCCGCCATTTTGTTCGCTGTGACTTGATCAAGTTTTGTCGATTCGACTTGGATTGATGTCTTCAAAGATGAAGTTTGGGTTTAAATTTGACCTTGGTTGCAATCTTTTCTCCCCAGAATTTCGAGGCCGAGCCCGTGTATATGTTTTCCAATTTGCACCGCTCCCCCAAAATGCAGGCACGTCATGTGCCCGTCGCTGAGCAATCCCATGTTGTATGCCAATGTTTCTGGTCAATGCCTGGAGCGTCGAGAAGACTCACCTCATGATCATGGAAGTGTTGCAGATGCAGAATCATGCGATCTAGCGATGAGGGAAGATGGCTGTAACTCATTGGAGGACGTTGCGTGAGAAAGTTTGCGATATTGTGGTGTGATGTCGCACAGCCATGTCTCGGCAGCAGCCTACAAGTAAGCAAATATCCAACAGGCATAACCATCTAGAGGGCCTGGTGTGGACCTGGACAGAGAGTTGGCCTTTACCGAGTAGGCGAGCTAACGCGCAGGAAGGCTCCGCCCCTGGATTCTCGCGAAGATCTCGACCGCTGGCCCCGTCCCGCCTGAGGGCTAAAGGCCCCAACCAGTCCACCCAAAGAGACTTGCAGACGCCTAAACCTGCATTGAAAGCTCCTAGCTGTCTCATTGAGATCTGCACGGTCATACCACCCAGTTTATGCCTCAGCTCGATGCAGCCATGCAAAAGTCGAGAGCATGGGAAGAACAATGTCACCTACAAGCTCACCTTTATAAACAGGCCCTCAGCCTGCGCTCGGTTTCAGGTGTGTTGATTTCACCCGTCAGACCCCAAAGACATTTACAACCCAAGATCCGATCAGACATCTAGAGATTGGTATTTTGTTTCTCCCCCACAAGCAAAATGCTGCGAACCACAATCACCAGAAACTGCATGACCAGAATCCGAACTCCTCAGTTCTGTCAATCGTTTGCTACCACACGGCAAAGTTGGAGTGAAGGAGACACTGGAGCAGTACGGCCGGGCGGGATTGCTGTGAGGTAGGCCACTGCCACTGCCACTGCCACTGCCACTGCCGATTCATGCCGAAGTGCCCCCTTAGCTGACTCGGAAATTTGCTAGTGATCCATTCAATCGCCGGGAACAAGTCTTGGAGAACATGTATTTCAAGCAGCACGAAATGGAAAAGTGAGTGGCCGCCCTTAGTTTGTCCTTGTCTGTGGATTTGAATCTCACAACCGCGTGTACAGTATTCAGAAAATGAAAGAAAAGCTCGCAGCTCAACGGAAACATTTAGACGAAGTCGAGAGCCATCTGAATGATATGGAGGCAGCCGCAATCCAAGCTGCACAAGCAAAGGCAGCCGCAGACAATAAGTTGTAATGGGTAACCCCACAGGGTTCGGCGTTGAGGAGCTTTTGGATTTAAAAAATCAAGGAGGTCACTGGAAGGCCGGCCGATCAGGCCCTAGAGTCTTCGACAATGCGACATTTGGCATAGCATAGCGTCTGTAATCGTACTTGTTGGATCAATGGATACCACATTTGCATCAATTGTCTCTTGCAACCATCCCTACCAGATCATCTTGAATAATGCCCACCTGTGTCATGGCGGCTGCAAATATGACAAGCAAGGAGAGTTCTGAAAGTGACCCCAGTGTTGGATGGACTGGAACAGGCGTAGAAGCCATCGCTAAGGTGCACAAAGCAAGCCAACGGCCATGCCGAGAGCAGCGATACGTAGCAGGTGGTGTAACAAGTAAGTGGTTGCATGAGGATCCAACGTCACCAACGTGGAGGGGATGAAGCGTGCACAACGTGGTCTGTAAACCAACCTCTGCGCTTCTTGCAGAGCTGAGAATCACACCATGATTGTCCGATACACAGCAGCGTAATTCGGTCCCAAGGAAGCCGCGCCAATTTTTTCGAGGACCGTATGTGCTGTTCTTTCATCCTGTTGGGCAGCTGGTCAGTCGACAAAAAGTTTAGGCATTCCATGACCCGAGTCCATTCGTACGGCTGGATCTCGTCTGCACCACACTCGTCATGTCCATGGCCAGAACCTTGAAACACAAGAACTGAGATGGGACTCGTCCACAGTCATGCCCAAAACACCCAGATCATAAGGGTCCAATTAGGTGATCCCATGAGCCGATCGCAGCCGTTTTCGATGAGCATCACGCCACGATCTGTTGGTAGGTCGGATCGATGGCGTGCCTGTCGGTTGAGGAGGCGATGGCTGAATATATCATATCTGACGCTGTACCTCCGTCTCTCGTAGTCCAGCAGAAACCAAAGACTCAGAACAAGAGTACCATCAGGTTTAACAGTGGAAATTTCACCACCGAACACCCACAACACCAAGAACATGGCTAGCAAAGCAAACGGCAACGGCAACGGCAACGGCAACGGCGACGTCGAAAACCTCTACCATATCGTCTTCAGCATCTCGAACATCCAAAAAGACCCCAACCTCACAATCGAGAAGCTGCGGGTCTGCGGTACCTACACAGACCTGCCTACAGCCAAAGCGGAGGCCCACAAGACCCTCTTCGAGGCGGGCTATGAACGAGAATGGTTTACCGAATACGACACCAACGAGAAAGACTTTGATGAACACCACATCAAGAGGAAAACGGGTCTGTGTGTCTTTGCAAAGTCATCGGACGGCACCACCTTCCGTGTGAGCGTAGCAACAACGCCGAACTTGCAAGGCTTCGCCAGCGACCCCGAAGATCACAAAGTCCACGGTGATATTTACCACGTGGTGCAAACCATTGTCCTATATGATGAAGACGACAGTGGCGAAGCTAGAGAAACAATTGTGGAAGGCTCATTCAAGAAGTATGAAGACGCCCGGAAATACGCCAGCACAGTCCTCCTGGCACCCGAGGATGGCGTGACAAAGGAATCATTTGCAGAGTACGACGAGGCCGGGCCAACAGAGAAGGATTGCGGATACGGCGAAAACGTGGTGGTACATGCGGTGGGCGGCAATGGCGAGAACCTGTTGATCAGTGTCTTGAAGGATCAAGAGATGGAGTCGGTTAGACTGGCAGAGGCAGCGATGAGGATTCGCTCATTCAACTAAATGGGACATTTTGTTTACCAAGGTACAAACAAGGGTCGACGTCGACAACAAGGTTTCTGCGAAGTTTTGACAACTCTGTACAAAAATCGGAATTGAAATATTTTGAGCTCTAATCATCGAGAACCTGATTCGATTCTAGATTCGATATAGGAAAATGAGATTTCGGACCGATCAAGACTCTTGCATATGCAAGTACCGAAAAGAATTCCTTGTACTCGTTACAAGCAATCATGGTTGTCGGTGTTTTGTCCAAGGTAGCCGGAAGGGATCAGTCCTCCACCAATAACCCGAACCAGTTCGCCTGAAATGCCTTGGGCATCCTCGGAAACCCCGGAGATGGTGGTCCCCCGGAAGATCCCGCTAAAGGCTCTTTTGCTGAGGGTTCATAGGCCCATTAGACTCCCTAGTAGGCGGCTGGGGGGTTCCAATTGGGACCCAAGCTCACTGGGGTGGGGTGCTTAAGTGCCTAGAATCTGGGCGAGCCTCGTACCAGTGGCCTTGTAAAGTATCGTCAAGATCACACCACCACTCCCATCACCAGCACCGCTCTGTAATCGGTACCCATACTACCTAATGTGCCTGTTGCATGCCCTATTGACGCCTATTGACGCCCATTGTCGTCATCGATCTGTAGCGGGGACGCCTAGAATCATACAGACGCATCGTACCATCTGCTCGTCACTAAGGCGCATCACATGGCACTCCGCATGGCAAGACTGTTGTGTGACTTCGAGGGCTTCAGTCCTGCAAACCTCCAGTTCTCGGATTCCTGCGTTTCTCGATCCATCCATCACACACTTTCTTTCGGCGACCATGTTTCCTCGGACAACTATCTCATTATATCTCGTTGATGTACAACACCATTCCCTTCTATCCAGCTCGTCCAAAGCAACTACGAAACCAGATCTTGACTAGCGAGAAATATTTTACCTTTTGACATTTCGTTGATTTCACACCTGAACCAGCCGGAACACCATGTACATCCCCAGACAGCAATTTCTCACCGAGGCCGACATTTGGCCTCAGCATACCGAGAGCGTCCTCCAAGCGAATGACTCAGTCGTTTCCTACCCTGGAGTGCCCGCCGACTTCCAGCCTCCCTACAGAAACAATCCGGATATTCATAGTATCGCGGTCTTTATACAAATCACATGGATGCTATGGTTCGTGTTGATACTGTTGATGATGTGGTGAGTGGCATGAATATCAAATACCGGTAAGGCCTCGGCTGACGCAAAACAAGTCGCGCTCTTTACGACAGATTCGGCGGCGGCGAAGAGGAAAACTCGGACGCAGAATCAGAGATCTCCGAGGCAGGCTGGCGCATCGAGGACGCCAGCTTACCGGCTAGATCAGTGGCCTCGCAGCATCGGAAGAGGTTAAAAAAGCTGGAACAAGTTGCTCCCGCTCAATCGTTGCTACACTGGAGAGCCGAGAAATCAGAAGAACATGTTCAGACCTTTGCAACACTCTCTACGACCCTTAGTTGATATGTTACTTATTCCCCCTTCTGCCCACTCCGTTGACTGACGTTCCCAGCACTGCTATCTGTTTGGAATCCCTCGAAGAAACGGATATGATCCGCGAACTTCGGTGCGGTCACGTCTACCACGCCAATTGCCTCAGCCTTTGGGTTGAACGGGGCCATCACGACTGTCCTTTGTGCAAGTACGACATGCTGGGTTTGATGAAAAGCTTTCTGAAACCCCATCCTGATGAGGATCCCGCGGGCATCATTCCTGCTCAAGAAGCTGGACAACCCTCTGGGGAAGTGCGTTTCTTCCCTCCAAACCGAACGATTTTCGGCCATCGCTGACGAGCCTAGGTTCATACCCATCACGCCACTGACGTTGAAGAAGCTGCGGTTGAGACAAATGGCTGAGGCTGGAGACCATCACGACACACAAGTCAGACTCGTAAATTGAGGCGGCAGCACAACAGCCGCTGAGCAAGCTGGAAGAACAAAGATTGGTCTGCAGAAAATATTCAGGAGACTCCTGGCTCTCGTCCAATTGCAGACACTGATGACAATACCTTTGTTACGGTATTGTGGACCAGCCGACATGCCTTTCGAATGGCGTCTTTCCTCGGACGATTCTTTTAAGCGAATGGGGAAAGGCAAAACAAATCTGAGCCCGAGCTTTTTATCCGACGCTGCTGGGCTATGAGGGATGTGATCCATTTCCAGTATCAGCCGGACGAAGTAGATCCCCCTCTACGACTATTGTACAGCAAAACTGGCTGACCTTGACACGAGTGGGGAGAAATTCTCCACATACTTTCCGTGCGAGTGGTATGCCATCTGATTCGACACAGTTGAAAAGTCATGGGCGAGGCTGTGACGGGATTCAATGCAGACTTCTGACCAGGCCGGTATGAGCAAACCGACACCTCTGCCAGAAACAGGTACGTCGATTAGCAAAGGCGTCAAGGAGTGCGATTACGAAGACCAACAGAGAGCACACTTTGGGATCGAATACAACTTGCAGCAGTAGATCCTGCGTTTATGTTGGCGGGGGGTTGACGAAACCCATATTCACATCCCAGCACGGCTGGAAGTGGGCCGTGCATGCCATCGATGTCTGTCTGGACCTCCCTCATTCCAGGTGGTCGAGGAAGAATAGGATCATGCGGGCACGAGGGGCTTTGACACGGACCTAAAGTTTAAAAAACAAAAATTCAAGAAGCATCATTTGTAACTTCATCCACCATCCTTCTAAAGACTCGCTGCCTCTCGCACTGCTCCAAGAAGACCTTGTACTTGACGTCGAGCAGACGCTTTACGCTCTTGTCGTCAGAGGGCCTTACGACCTTGCCGGGCTTGCTCATCCTGTCCATGATGCTCCATAGATCCTCTGTCTTGCCAGTCGCGGGGTCTGCGCTGGCGGCTTTGGCGCCGAGCATGGCGGCGCCGTGGCAGACGGCAGCGTGGACGTAGCGGGGGATCAGGACGGGCATGTCGCAGGCGGTGGCGACCAGGGACATGAGGATGTCGTTTTGGCACTGGCTGCCGGACATGAAGATGGAGCTAATGCGGTGGCCCGCGCCGTTCATGGCCGCGATGATCTGCAGCGTCTGCAAGGCGATGAACTCCATCGTGCCGTAGTAGTACAGCGCGAGTCCGTCGAGGGACTTGTCGCTGGACAGCCCGACCACGGACCCAGACATGGTCGGGTCCGCGATCGGTGAGCGGTTGCCGAACAGGTCGCCGTAGAAGAAGAAGTGTCGGCCCAGGTAGCTCACGCTGGGAGCGCCGGCCTTCTCCTTCATGTCCTGCAGGTGCTGGTTCAGAAAGTCGTACACGTTGCTGTTGGTTGACTCGGCGCGCGACAGGGCCTGGTTGTACGCTGGGTGCGTCTCCAGCACGTGCTTGAGCAGCTCCCCCGTCGCCGACTGCCCGCCTTCGGCTATCCAGTAGTTCGGAATCACCGCGTCCCTGTACGGCCCCCACACGCCCGGCACGAACACGGGGTCCTTACTCATCACTAGGTGACAGGTCGACGTCCCCGCCACGGCGGCCAGGCGCGTAAAAGCTTGGGACTGGTCGTTCGCGGGGGCTTCTTGGGAGAGCTGGTCGGATGGGAGTTGGACCTTGGCGCCAACGGTGCCGATCCAGCCTGCGTACGCGTCGATGACGCCGCTGCCGACCGCGATGCCAGCGGGGAGGCCGAGCTCGGCGGCCGCGCGGGGGCATAGATGGCCGGCCAGTTCGCCCGCGGAGAGGTATTCGCCGTTCTGTTGACTCAGAGAAAGAGAAAGGCAAAGGTTAGCCTGATAGGTCCGAGGGAAAGACGAACAGGGGCAATTGAGAAAGTCAGTCGGACCCCCCATCCGGTGTCCAGGAGAGAAGAGCGTGTCAGGGATTGTAAAGAAACAGGCTCACCACCCCATTGACACCGCCCATTCGTTTGAAATTATCTTCAGCCAGATCTTCCAGGCCGATCTCCTTCAAAAAGTCCTCCTGCCACCCCTTGACACTTCCGTCCACCCCGACGGGCACATACCCCTGCTTGCACACGACGGAGCAAAAGCTCCTGTTCTCGTTGCCCGTGGCGATGTGCTCCAGCGCGTCGGTCAGATCGTAGAACTTACACCGGTCAAACAGCTGTTTGGGCATGTTGTTCTTCAGCCACAGGACCTTGGGAATCTCCATCTCAATGGACATGGTGCCGCCGACATATCTGAGCAAGTTGTGCTTGGTGGCGTTGATCTTCTTGGTTTCTTCGACCGGGCGGTGGTCCAGCCACAGAACGACGTTGTGGTCGTTTTGTGACGAGTCAAAGTTGGGCCCCGTGACGGAGACAGGCTCGTCTGTGTCATGCGTAAAGACGGCCAAGGAGCAGGTTGCGTCGAACCCGATACCCCGGATCGAGTGGGGGTCGATGTTGCCCTGGGTCATGGCACGGTGGACTGAGAGGCAGATGCAGCGCCAGATGTCGGTAGTGGATTGTTCCTATCCGTATCGTCAGAGAATGAGTCTGCTCTCATAGTCGGCGACTTACATAGTATCCCGTCTGAGGTTGCCAGAGGCCAATGTTCTCCGACGACAGGCCGACAATATCGCCGGCCTCGTTAATGATACAAGCCCGCGCACTTCCCGTGCCCACGTCGATGCCAATGTAATGGTTCATCTGGACGTGGACCTCGTTTCTAGCGTCCACCGAGCCTTGTCGCGTAGGCGTCCGAAGCCCACTATCAGGGCCCGGACGGAACGGTATTGGACCTGAAGAAGCCATGACGAGTACAAAAAGCGAGAAGAGCAAGAGCGAAGGAGGAAGAGGAAGAGAAAAGAGAGAAACCGACGACAAAAAAATGTGGGAAAATCACAAACCAAATAAAGAACAACTGAAAGATCAAAACCGGTGGTGAGGGGAGATACCCTTTTCAGCAAAGCCGATCAATCAACCCCTCGCAAGAAGGTAGCGAGACGGCGATGTCATTCTGTAGATCTGGAGAGTGTTGAGGCTGCAGGGTCGCAGGGGTTATTGGGAAACGTTACAGGACCCGTGTGAGCCTATTGGAGCCTTGGGGATCGTTGGGTGGAGAGGAGTAAGAGGCTCTCCATACTAATGTGGGAACGGGTTGGGATGGGACAAGTTAAATGGAGAGAGCTACCCAAGGGGAGGAGGGGTGGCCTTTTATGTACTTGGACTCCCAAAGTCCGTCGTCTCAAATTGCCCAGTCTGTGGTGTCTGACAAGTACTGCTACTCCATTTAAAAGTCAATCTGGGCTCGCTTTGGCTTGCTTGCATTGGTATCAACTATTCCGCTCAACACAGCGACAGAAAAATGGTGCCGCTCCACTTTATTGCCGCAATGGCACATATGGCGAGACCAGCATGGCTCAACCACATCATATATATACAGGATAAAAGAGAAAGAAAAAGAAGGGAGGATCTCAGGACTGCCTGAGCCTCGATCAACCATCGCAGATCCCTCACTATCGCGATTCTCATCCATGGCGAACAGACATGACCAGCCCACATTGTGTTGACAAAACGCCCACAGATTCCCGCCATCTGATATCCCGAATTTTGCTGCCTTCTTGCTCCGTTGCCTGTCGATCCCATTCGCCCCGTCTTTTCTGGTATAAAGCTGTGTCGTCATCACTGCATGTCCAAGCCTCGCGAAAGGTCCAAAGTTTCTTCTATTCGTTTCATGACAAACAATAGGCTGCTCAATCAACGCCAGTTCCGACCCGGTTATCATACACTCACTGATCTATCGCACGCCCCTCGATTCGCTGTTCAATTGCGCCAGCCGGGCTAGGACATTTGACACCTCCTTTGGGATGCTGATCGAGTCATTCAATAGTGGTACAGCACTCGTTGTTTTGGGTGGAGATGAATTGGGCATTGGTCGCGGCGGCGATGCATCCCGAGGACTGTATGCTGGTTCTTCAACCTCCTCCTTCATTGGAGTGTCCTTAGCGGCACCACCTGAAAGCTCAGCGTGCGCGGTTCCCTGTTGAGTGGGTAGTTCGGCTGGTCCTGCATTATCTGGTGCGGACTCCGTGGCCTCCGGAGAATGCTGGCCTGCTTCTGCCATGGCTTTCGCTGGTTCACCTTCGCCTGTGCCTAGATCAGCCTGAGTCTGGGACTTCTCAACGGAGGGAGTCGACGCCAGGCGCCGACTCATGTAGTCCCCCAAGCTTAGTTTCTTCCTTGCTGGACTAGGAGTGACGACATTATTGATCGCCGGAGGGTAGGAGACAGTTGATGCCGAGGTCATTGGAATTGGCGACTGTGCTGTCGCTGATGTGGTCAATCCGGGAGTCGTCGCGGTGGCCGAAGACGACGATGCAGAAGTCGCTGAAGATGGAAACGCCGGTACAGGTGGGAGGGTGGCTAAGTGCAGCTTCGGGGCCGAGGGAGACCTGAAGGCTTTGAATGTGTGGGCCGCTTGTGACGGCAGAGGATATGTGGCTGCTCCTGCGTTGATAGGGCTGCTGCTTCCTGCAGGAGACTGCCCGTTTGGCTCGGTATCCATGACGCTTCGAGTATCCCACCCCACGGTGGCGTCTTTCATTTCCACATCTTCCGTCTTCGCGGGGAGTACAACTGGTGGTATCCTCGAGTCTAAGGTAGGCAAACTTTGTCCTGGACACCGTTGTCCATGCCTGACGTGGTACTCCAAAACTTTTCGGAGCAATCGCTGTGTGGGCGTGCAGAATTTCCTCCTTTTTGCGGGAGGAAGCATGGGCATCTCGGACTCTTCTGGATCCGTCTGAACCGCAACACTAACATAAACAGGTCGCTGTATCCTAACGTCCACTCTGCTAGGTGCATCCGTGGATTTGCCTCGAGCTGCAGAGCCTCGCGGCGGCGGCGGCGAGCCGAAAGGAGCGTCATTAAACTTGTGAAGGTGGCTGCTGGGTGTGGTAGGGTGCGAAGTGAATTGGTGCCCGAGTTGCTTCGAGGCATTCGCGCTGGGCGTGTTCAAGGTTGAACCGCCACTTGTGCGTTTCTTTTTTCGTTGCTGGCCTTGTCCACTTTGATCCCTTTTTTCTTGTTCCCGCTGCGCGAACGCTTTCTCCGCCATTTGGATTTTGCGTAGTTCTCGAGCAGTGAGATTGCTTCCAAGGACCGGGTCGGCGTCAAGAGCAGCGACATTGACTGGAGTAATGTCTCTGCTCAGCATACCGCTGCGAGAAGACTCAGAGGTGGACCGGTGATCGAACTGGTCTTCGTCATCGAGTACCTTGGGTTCGCTTCCTGCGCGACTGTTGGTGGCATGTCCAGTACTGAAGGGCGAGATGGTATGATTCATCTTACTTTTCTTTTTCCTGCCTCCCTTTTCCTTCGGCGCACCCTCCAGCGACTTGGCCGGATATCGCCGATCGAAGGGCGCAAGTAAACATGCCGGACCAGCGTCGCAGGCACAGTCTCCAAAGTTGGCGAGGACACGGCTTACCCAGTCAAGGCGTCGGTTTTGGGCTTGTTCAGAATCGTCAGCAGCGAACATGGCGGAATCGAGAAACCACATGGTGGTGAGTTCGGCACCGGCCGGAATATCCTTGCTGGCGACAAAGCAGTGCCGGGTCTCGTTGTCGGAAACGAATGTCTTCAAGGTGACATTGGGTCGACAAGACCGTCGCAAATACCGAAAGCGAGTTCCAGATTTTCGGCTGTCGATGTAGATGTCCATGTGTGGGTGGAAGAAGACAAAGGGGTCAGGATGCCGCAGCTCCTGCCATCTGTTCGACGAAGACTTCTGCTGGCAGTACTCCTCCAGCATGCCAACTTGACCTCGAACTTCGCCAACGATTTCGTCTTTCCTCACGGAAGATTGTACACGTAAGAAACGCCATGTGGGATATCTGCCATCGTATTCGACGTCTCTCTTCTGGATGGTCTCCACCGAGACTTCCGGCCAAGTGCTTTGATCTAGGGGGTGATTTGCAAGTACGAAGGGGGTTTTCGCATTTGGTTGTTGCCCGGGACTGCTGACCACCAAAGACGGGTCAGTTCGCCATGCGAAAACCGTATTGGTAGCCTGAATTGTCTGCTCGTTATCCCGGGCATTTGTATTCCCCTCATCACGTTGGTAGAGTTCAAGAAAGTCAGTGGTATAGGTGGGAATGGCGGGAAAACGGAAGAGATCTTGAGGCGATTTGGAAGGACTTGGGTATGACTGAGCTGTGGAAGCGGCGCGTTTTCGGGATTCACCGTTTGTTGAGATGACTGAACCCGACGTCCGGTGGCTTGTCTTTGGTTTCTTCGCAGGAGGCCCATCTCTTACGCTGGCGACAGATTCATGGCGATCGTGATGCCAGCCGTTTACCTGTTCGGCCGTCGCACTCGTGTCCTTGTGCTTTTTCCTTTGGCTTTTGGAGTTTGGTCGCTTGACCTTCCGGTCACCGCCGTCAAGGGCCTCTCGATGCCTTCGTTGTCGCTCAGTGGCTTTCTTTGCGTCAAGATCTCGAGGGGAGCAGTCTGCGCAAAAATGCTCTTCGGGGACCTTCTTGCCGTGGTAGTAGCACTCAATGTGCTGCCAGGTGTCGCATTTGGGGCAGTATACAGTATTGCCATCATCATCTGCGTAGATGCAAATGCATTTGATGGTGTATTCCTCCTCCTCTTGTAGATTGGTGTCTGAAGGGGAGCCGTTGGGTAAGGGAGAGGCCAGAGAGGGAGCGGCGGTGACCGGGTAGTGGTTAGGTGTGGGATGCGTGGTGAGAAGGGAGGACTCTGTCATAATCCGACAGAGTACCTCCTCATCGGTCGAATTTAGTTCCTATGTTGTGCTTGCTTCAATTATAAGAATATCTGTCGCATGTTGCGCATCGCTAGGAGAGGGTGATTCCCACGCAAGGATGGGCAGCCGAAAGTTGGCCTATGCGTATCGCGCAAGTGGGAGAATGACGAAGCTGGCGTCTAATGCGGCTCCGATGCGTTTTGAGGTCTTTTTCGGGGCAACGAGTGTCGCTTGATGAGGTGGACTAATTGGTCACCAGAGAGGCCACACAAGCGCAGACGGTAAAGGGGTATCGCAAAGGGTCGTAACTGATCAGAATCGAGTGTCGACGTTATCAGAAGGGTTTTGGACAGCAATCCAGGACTGTCGAGCACTTTCGGGCAGTGAAAACGTCGAGTTGGAAGATGTTGGCGACAACAGGGTCGAGGAGGATGGCTGCAAAGGGTCGACGGAGTTATCGAGGGTGACACAAGACAATGGGCTAGGAAGGGAAAAAGGGACCGAGAGATCAGAACCGTGAGGTGAAGGAATGAGACTTTTGAAGATGCGTTCGAGGAGGGAAGAAATTGCTGAATGACAAAGAGGGAGACAAGAGATGGCGAGAGAGAGATGGATGGATGGGTACATGGAGGGACTGCGAGACGCAAATGCGCCGCCGCAGCAGCAGTAGCAGTAGCAGTAGCAGCAGCGTGAATTAGAGACGGACCGCTTCTGCTCAGACTGTTCTCACGCAAAAATGGCACACCCACCCAACCAACCCTGGACCCCCAAAGCCAAACTCCCCAGCGAGCCAGTTGTAGGCGCAAGGCCTCTAGCAGAGACCCCCCCTCCCTTCGCACCTGGGAACTCAGACCACTGGCAGGGCAAATAATAATGGGTTGGGGCTAGTGGGCTAAGCTGGGAATAGGATGGGCGCAAAACGCTGAGATCCACCAGGTGCATGGACCACTCCCGTCGCGAGTGTTCCACGGGGGACAATGGGCAAAAGTGGCACCAAGGAACACGCCCTCTGCAGCTTTTAACTGGGCAGTGTCTTCTTTCATCCTGCGAGCCTCCTTGCCTCCCCGTGGTAAAGTGTGTCGAAAGCCCCGAGGCCCTTGTTAGGCATGACGCCTACTAGCCCGCGGATCAGCCAGTCCAACGCTTTTACTCAGGCCCAGCAGCCCTAGTCGGCCCTCCGTACAGGTAACCAAGTAGGCCAAGTTTTGTTGTCTTGTTGCCTATCTCTTTGCATGCAGCTTTTCTTCACTGCGCTTGCTCAAACTTCATTTCTCATCCCCTCGCAACGGAGACGGCGTCACGAGGCACGGCCAGCCACGAATCACTGGCTGCCATCAAGGTGTTAGTGTTTATGCCTGGTACAGTACACAAGCCACCGTTGGGCGGGCCCCCTTTCCTCCCTTTCCTCCTTTTCCTCTGGCTCCCTCTGCCCTGCTCCATTTCTCACTTTTCTCACTCTTTTTTTCCCTCTCCAATCTGCTCTTCACTCTTCTTCCTCCATCTCCTCTTCCACCCTATGTTCTTCTCGCTTCCCATCCTGTTCCTTTCTTTTCTCATTTCACTATAGCAGCCGATTGAATGACGACTACAGCTACACCTCCCGACTTCAGGACGATTCCCAACCCAGCCAGAACCGCCATCAAGTCTCGGAATCCGATGAACACGACTGCACAAAATTAACGTGAAGGTGCTGCAGTCGTCGGGCGGGGTTCGGGTTCGAGTTGAAGCCTGAAGATTCGGAAGCAAAGCGACAATTCGCTGGTCAGCCAGTTCGTCAGTCCACTCGCCCATACTCCTTTGGCCACCTGCATTTCGACTTGCTCATGTTGCATTCGCCCCATGATGACATGTTCTGCAAGGATATCATTGCCGGCACTCCTTCTTGACCTTTTCATCCTCACTCTATTCCTTCACGCTTGCTTCCTGCATCCTGCTTGTCCCGCCATGCATCCGAGCCATTACCCTCATCCTCGCCCTCACCCAGTGCTTCCAACTCCCTTCCAACTCCGTCTGTCTCCTGCTGACCTTTTCCAGCCTGACACTATCTTGGCCGGTCGTACGAGAGCCCTCCCTGTCTTTACCGCATAGCCGCATCGACTCTCGTACTACCTCCTCCGGTGACTCTACTTACCTGCTCCACTCTAGCTACGATGCCCCGCTGTTCTCTCTCTTTTTTTTTTTTGGCAAACCTTGGTCCCGCAGAGAGACGACGGCAAATCTATCTTGTTTCATATCTTGCGGGACTACCGGCGCGCAGTCTCTAGGGCTCTCGCAGGTGAAAGATACAAGGGAGTGAGTACTCGCCTGACCTGTCGTCTGTATCGGCCCGGGACCTCGATCTTTCTATCACTCCCATCCGTCGAGCTTGGCCTTTGTCCCAACGGCGACACTACCTCTGCTATTCTCAAGAACACTCGACGATCGAGATTTACACTCGTTAGGAGTGGTATACCGCCGTTAAAGAGGGCCAAAGGGAAGACGAATTGTTCGAACGAACTATTCACAATAAGTGTTTTTGGATTCATGATTCAGATTCTCCCTCACCTTGGTTCCCAAACCTCCTATCACGATGCTCGTGACTGGTGGATTGCTTAGAAGACTCGTTCTACGGATCCTCGAGCATCTCAATCTCGACTGTTTATGGACATAATTTTGTCAAGAGCGGGAACTACTCATAAGGGGTCTAAGTTACCTCGTTGCCGAGGCCTTAATCTACAGCCCATTGCCGTGCGCCAATGTTGATGGTATTGATCGAGCAATTGGCGAGATGTCATCAGCGCATTTGCATGAAGACATCCAAAAGACATGTGCAGTTGAGATCCAAGGTATGTAACGTGCATCATAGATCGCAGGATGCGATAAGAAAGACGCGCTATGGAAGGAACACATTTTGCTCCATTCCGCTGGGCATGTCCATTATACTGCCGGAATGCCTATAATTCACTTCGATTGATTCATCTATAATTGATCGGACGACCACTCTCAAAAACGTAACAAGTGGGTGCAACGATTTCAGGTTTCACCGATGCAATGTACTTGTATATTAGGAAGCAGCTGTTCTGAAACTGCGGCTTCGATCCCTGCGCCTCTACCACGTGACGTACATACACTAATGAGAATTTGATCCATCCGCCAAGACCTATCCGAAGCTAATTTTCTTTGCATGTTACTGGGTAATTGACACGATAAAACGCCTTTGATTCCTTCCTGCTTATAATCAACTACTCTACACCTCTCACTCTTGCGCGACGTACTTGGAGTCTAGGTATTCATCCCCCATGACAGCATGATATCTAGTGACCAGGTATCAAGCCGGATTCAAGAATGATGAGTGGCACATTTTCTATCACGGACAATATCCCTCAAGAGTGTGCTCAATAATGTCACAGTGACCGCTGGTCATATCGAATATAACTGACAGTACAGGGTGAATGACAGAGAGCCACTATTTACAAGGGTAAACAGAATTCTCATTACCAATGAAAGCCACCTCCGCTCTAACAGCGAAGAAGTTTCGCTTACTTTTCAATTCAGCTTAAGAGGTATCTGCCCTAGGTACCTACATAGGTACGGATGTATTGTAACAAGGCAAAGTGGCTGTGTTGTGCTGGCATGAGGGTAGAGGGGAAGGCGATTTGGCTGGTCACACGTCAGGACAAAAAGGCCTAGCAACATGAATCTGGCTGTGAACGAGAGGTTTCAAGACAGGAAGGAGCCACTGATCATTCAAGCAACGAAGGCATAACAATAGTTGCGGCGGTCACAGAATGGCTGTGATAGCATGCCATCGCTGTCAGTGTGCATGGCAGTTTACAGTGCTGGCCGTGTACCGTTCTTTGCAGTTTGAACAGAGTAATTCACGGTTTTTTGATACCGCCCTACCTATTCCTGAGAATTCCTTCTGTCCTTTTCCGTTTCTCGACGTCGCCGTCTCTCTACAGGTAGTGTTGGTGGCGGTGTTGTCCTGCCAGCGCCGACCAGAAATGCGTTCTCGATTTCCGACCCGCTTGACAGGCCCCTGTGCGTTGTTGCACGTGCCTGCCAAACCCTGAAGTGCTCCGTAACAGTATATGTGTAAGTTGAGGCTTGCGGACGAGGAGGATCCTAGCTATTAGGTACTATTCGAGTTGTCCACAACCGGCTATATCCTTGGACGGAGGACGTGGATGAGAGCCCTTCTTTTGACTTTGCCTTTTTTTTTTTCTGTGTTGAAGAACCACTGGGGCATCGGCTGCTATGGTTGGTAGTCGTGGTTGGTGCTGGTGGTGGTGGTGGACTCCCAAGAGGGTTTCTCGAGAGGAGGCATGGAAGGGAGGGGTGGCCATGCTTTTGAGGAGGGTCTTTTGGTAATTCTTAAAGAGGTGCCAAGGGACATTGTTGTCTCGTCGTCTTCGATTTGCTAGGGTTCGGTGCTATGTTATTTGTTGCATATGGAGTTCTCCGTACATACTCGGTACATCCTCATGTATGAGAGGAGGTAAGCGTATCAGTATCAGTATCAGTCCCTCTTCATGTACCCATACTCACTCAGCCTCGTTTCCGTCTGCCTGTCCGTCCCTTGTTTCTCAATCCCACCCCAATGTCCTGCTCATTTCTCAAGGTACACGACCTCCTGCTCCCCCTTCTCTCCTCCATCTTCGCTGCCCCCTTCGACCTGCTCGCCGTTCCTAATCATCTCCTCTTCGGCCCTCCGCGCGACCTCCTCATCCATCCTCTCCCACATCTCCGGCCTCTTCAATTGCGTTGCAACCTTATCTCTGAAGACAAATATGTTGCGGTGTTCCGCAAAGTATCGGTCTATGTCTTCCAGTGACCGATTGGCCGTCTCCGGGTAGAAGAAATAGGTGATGGGGATGAAAGAGAAGCAGATCACGGCCCAGATAATCCAGAATTTGTAGCCTAGGTTGGCGATACCCGGCGGCGTCACTTGGGCGACCATCTGTAGAGATAGTTAGGACTCCTGCCGTGTAGCCAGAAATTTGCGAAAGAGGAGCGTGAATGGGCTAAGTAGACCGAGATATTGTCTTCTCTCTGCTAACACATGTACGGTCTTTGCTGTCCCGGTTTGATAAGGTTGAGAGCGACTTACGTAGTTCATGATCCAGTTCGTTGCCATTGCCAGAGACGCACCCTTGGCACGGAAGGAGATATGGTTGATTTCGGTGGGGTAGAGCCACTGTGGTTAGATAGAAGGTTAGTTTTCTCCCATTGCGCACGAGGTGTATTTAGGGTTAGGGTTTGGGTTAGAGTGATCTATTAGGGAGAATACTTACAGGCACTCCCAGAACGCCGAGTGCAAATGACGCAAAAAAAACAAAAAAAAAGGTGGTCGCAAGGGCACCTAGCTTATACGTATCTCCTTTACCGTTCTGGGACAACCCCAAAGCAATGCTGATTATGGTCCAGCATGTGGAACAGGCAAACGCTGAACACATCATAACCCGGCGACGGCCGTACCGTTCGATGAAGAACCACGCCAAAAAAGAGAAGATGAGGTAGTCGACAGATCCGGCGGCCGCAAGGATTCGAGCTCTGCATCCATTGTTAGTAGGTTGTCCTCTTTCGTGCTGGCAAGTCTGGGGGTTGGCTTGGCGTACAAAAGTTCGTTGAGGTTGATAGCATGGATGAAGATATATCTGTCGATGATCAGTATCGTCCCATCTTTCGCAAAGAACAGAAAAACGTACGTTTGGAAGTACGAGGTCACGTTGATATGTTGAACAAAGGAAGAGCACAGGCACGTGATTACCGCATCCGGTAGTCAATACACGTGACTACCGGATGCAGTATTCTACGCACGTGACTACCGCAAACAGTATTGAGGTGTGTTCTTTGTATGGAGAAGACTTAAATAGTGAGGCCCTCCTGGAGTTATCTGGGAAGTTCTTCATCCGTCTTTAATATATCTAAATGCACCCCATTGGTATATTCAAGTTGATACCGCTAATCTGGTTCATTGCCTGCATCCAGGCGCCTAGGATCATCCTGCGGACGACGCCTGAAGGTCCTCGGCCGGTCAGAAGCTGCCACCAACTATAGGTCTGCGCGTGCTCTTTATCCAGGACATCTTTGATGATATTGTACTGCGTGCGCACCGACGCCGACTCGGAAGTTGCCCCATGTCCTTCGAGAGCAGCGAGCACTTCCAATGCCTCCTGGTGCTTGCCCTTACGAATCAGAAGACGGGGAGAGTCCGGGAGAAAGGGACACATCAACCATATCAACAGTGTAAAGACTATTTGGAGTGTCAGTTGGCAAAATGACCTATCCAGCGATGTCGGGGAACGAGGCGGGATCTGGAACTTACAGCATTGAAAGGCGAGTGGAAATCGCCAGGCCACTGAGCTTTTAGCGAACGAGAATCCTAGAGTGAGCCAGTTCGACAGGCAGAAGCCAGTTATACAGTTGGCCATCTGAATAATGACGAGCTTGCCACGGCTCCGCATCTTGCTGGTCTCGGACTGCCAAACACCAGCAGTGGCGGTGTTCATGCCTGTCCCAAGGCCCGCAATCACCCTGCCTGCAAACATTTGCCCTCTAGAGTAGCATGCTGACTGAACAATTGCTCCCAGGGCGATGACGGAGCTCCCAAGCATAATGGTGCGTGGACGGCCGAGTTTGTCTCCCGTGTACAAAGTTGAAAGCGCCCCTCCGAAGCATCCTAGTTGAAAATTAGTTCTCTCGCGACGGAGAATATATTTGGAGAATGAGCAACCAAGGTTATAAACTGAGGTCAAAGTCCCTTGGACGGTGGCGTCAGGATTTCCCATGGTCTTTAGGAAATCCTCCCCAACCAGACTACAGACACTTGTTAGCCATGAAGACACAACATTGCTAGAGTGTCTCATCACTTACACATTCCCGAACACGCCCTGGAGAGTGGGACATAGCATTAGCTCTAGTGAAGAGGTTCGGGGTAGGAAAGCCAAGAGCATACCTGATCATATCCATAGAAGATGAGAACAGTTGACGCGGCTAGCGAGATCCAGACAGTCAAGGCACTCCCCGAGCCTCCCAGGTATTTGCGTCCCATTATGACTTGATCCTCGTGGTTGACGAAGTCCTCTCGAGAGCGTTATCGTCTTCAATGTCAGACGAACCCTGCAAGACCCTGGACAAAGGAAGATGTCGAGTAAGAAGGGTTTTCTGCGGCCGGGTCTGCCAGAGTCAGAAACCACCATTTTTATGTCGCGTTGTTCTGTCTCATCATTTTCCCTGATCGCCCACTGATCGACCGAAAGGCGTATGCACGCTTCAATCGTCGGCAGAGCGGACGGCGAAAGACGTATCTGCCGAGGGCAAACTTCCAATAGCCTATGATGATATGGATCATTGTAGAAAAGAATCCATCTTCCATCTCCGCTTCGGGATGCCGTTAACAGTAATATCAAAGACCGAATCATCACGATTGGGTCGCGGGGAGGATCGACACTCCACGCGGGGGTGGGCTTCTCTCCAAATCAAGGTTTGTTGGAGTTGGGTCGCTTGTACGGGGTACTTGTATGCTGCCGCTCATGAGACTCAAGAAGGCGGTCTCGTTCAAGTCCCACATCTGCAGCTCCGCACCGCTGTGACCAAGCGATGATGGTATCTTGACGGTAGGGAGGCTTTGGCAGCATATTCGGTGTGCCTCGTGAGGGAACCCTGGACTTTGAATACTGCCATATCAAGAAAATGGACGTTGGACCCTGCTCCGAAACAATAATTGGGAGAGGCGGCAAGGAGATGGCAATGGTATGCCTTTTCCTTCTTCCGACGGCATACCGATGCGAGGCGAACCCCAAGGCAATCTTCGACAAAGAGGATTGGTGAGAAACGACGTTGGTTACATCGGTGGGACCACGCCCAGCAGGAGTTGGAAGATGAAGCGAAGATCTTCAGACATGGTCCTCGAACGGAATAGCCTCGAGCTCTGCAAACAAGATAGAAGGGTCAGAAAATGGAAGTGTAAACATGACGCAGGATGTCGGGCATGTTCGGCAGTGGCGCCGTGAAAGGCGGAAAGGCGGAATCAAGGCCGTGGAAGGCCTGGATTGACACTATTCTGTATACAAGCAGGACCAAGGGGAGAAAGATACGGCTCAGAGCCGGGGAATTTAGGCAAAAATAATCGCATTGAACTGTGAGCAGTTTCATACAGTTGTAGAAGTCAAAAGATGCACGTTGAATGCAAGAATCGAAATTCAAAAGCAGAAAGTGCGACTCGGCATTTGCTCGGCGCCTTCCTTGGCAGCGGCACAGGACATTTGGCGCGTTGGCTTGTTGCCAAGGCCTCTGAATTCCCATCGCCGTCTCCCTTCATCTGGTCACAATTTGCCCACTTTACTCGGATAGCAATATGAATCCGCTGCAAACACTGATTAGCTGACACCGAGATTGAATGACCGTGAAACCACCCAAGAACCGTAGGACATTTTGATGATGGGAAAAGACTTACAAGACGCGTCTCCACCTTGAAGGCGAATCTGATGCACACGCAAACCCCTAAAGTCAGGACCCTGAGGGAAGAAGGACTCGTCTGGAACGCGCAGTTAGCATGAAACAGAGCTCGGGACAACCGCCTCGTCTGTCTCGGAACAACGACAGCGATACTCACCTATCTCGAGGCCGCCGTTGGGATCGACGTCTGCTTTGGCCATCCAAGCGCCGACACCATCGGGGTAGAACTGGTCATCCCAAGCCCCGTAAAGGGAGTTGGTGAAATATATACTTCTTCCCGATCTGGACACCTCGACCATTTGAGGTCCACCCGCCAGAGGCATGTCGGGCTTCGCCGGGTGCGCCGCCCTCTTCACAATACCCCCCAACTTCACAGAGCCCACTTGAACTGGATGCGCTGGGTCAGAAACGTCATATTGCTTCATTTCTCCCGTCCCCCAGCAGGCAACATAGAGGAACTTGTCATCGACTGACAGGTCAATGTCTGTGATCAGCGGCGGGACGGCTTTGAACGGCTTGAGGATCGGGGGTAATGATTCTTCGTCGGCAGGCTCCGCTGGAATGGTGATGACCTTTTCTGCCTTCCACTCGTCACCGTCCTGGAACCATCGGAAAATGGAACCAGACAAGTCCTTTGTTGAAATCACGACCCCGACAAACCCCCATGTCGCTTCTGGATCATGCGATGGTCGGACTTCGAGTGCCATTTGGTGTTCTTCACCTAGGTCAACACGTTGATGGTGCTTCCCCCCAGCAAGATGCCAGAAATGAATGGCATGGCCATACTTGTTTCCCAACAACAGTTCGGGAACAATGCCGTTCTCGATCATTGACGGGCTTCCCCATTCACTTGAAATAAGGACATTCTTGTTCAAGTGCCACCACGCGTCATAGTGGAAGTGTTGCGGACCGCGATCACTTTCCCAAGCACGCAAGACGTCGAAAGTTTGGTGGTCAAGGAGAGCAATGCCGCCCGGTCCGTCAGGATTACCCTCCGGGCCCCCGAGACACGTCAAGAACACGCCGTCCGGCCCGCAATGCAATGTATGTGGACGAGAATAACCAGCTTTATCCGACAATGTCTTCCCGTCAATCGTTTTGATGAGCTTCGGTGAGCGAGGGTTAGGGCCGATATCGAAGACATATATGTTCGAGGAGCGCAAGCCAGGAACAAGCAGGTAACGTCGTTGCAAGCCGTCCATGTTGTGTCCCTCGTGTTTGAGGGCAGCGGAGCACGCATTCCACCCGAAATGGTGCAATTCGTCTCCTAGCCCTGGAACATCGGTCCAGCCAACAATCTGTCCGTAGGTTGTCCCAGGTTTCAAATCAATGACGGTCAACGCATCATGTTTCTGACCTTTTCTGTCAAAGGCCACCACATATGCCAATTCTTCGGGAGGCGCAGCGATTGCCTCAGCTGCAGTGCGGTAGAAAGTGGGGTCCATTCCTGCTTGTACGGGGACTCGAGCTGGGGTCTCTCGAGATGCTTTCTGCAAGTTGAAAGCAAGTTCGAAAGCACAAAAACTCTCAGACCGCAAGCTCGGGATCTTCGGGGCTTATATAGGGCTTTGCTCAAATGCCACCAGAGCGAGCGCTCACCGTCAGGCCACCTCGAGGGAACCGAGCAACGAATTGGTTCGAACAATTCCCCGATACACCGAGCTTACAAGTCTGTCATCCTTGTGCTCTGAATGAGAGTGTGTTTCCTGTTGTCGTTATGGCAAACCTGATGTGAGAACCTCCAGTGGGGAAGTTGGGGCAGAGCGTCAAAATGGCAGGTCAGCACTACAAATCCAGGGAGACGTCGCCGCAAGGGCGTGAAGTGAAGGCGACTCTCATAACTCGGCAAGAGATACCTCAGCTTGTTCCAGCGTAAGTTCGTGGGATACGACTTGTCACGGCGATTCAAGCACTCGCTCTTCGCGAGTGGCTGTCGCAAGTTTTTATATGTCACAGCATGCGGCATTTCTAGTCGCCAAGGACCTCAGTCAACAATGGTGCAAGAACCGTCAGCAATGGCGCGATGAAGGGGTCTCGAGAGTGCCGAACGAAGAGGAAGACCTGTTACCGCAATGACGTCCACCCCCGCTCGATACCCCGTGTGAGGAGTCTTCCAAGAGGTATGGCTCCCTGTAAAGCTTGAAGTAAGCATCTCGGATTAGATTAGTCAATACGCTATCCAATGACTTCATTTCTTGCTATGTCAGAGCCAATCAGCCTGGTCTCCCGCATGTGGCTAATTGCTCCCAGAGCACTCTCTGACCCTTTGCAGAGTGGCACTATCTACGGTGCTGACAACAGTGATTCAAGTGTGTAAATCCCGATTATTATGATGGAGCTGCCCCCAAAAAAAGGCCATTGTGCGTATCAAACTGGGAACTCTGGTGTTGCGAGGCCGTCGATTATGATAACTCCATGTGATATGACTCTTGGTACATACATCCAAATGCTCCCTCTCATCACCCTCACGATCCGCCCCAACAATAAGCCTGTGTCTCGGCGCCAAAATCTCTCAATTTCTCGTCTTCCGAAAAATCCAAACGGTCGTCTCTTCTCACTGCCCAGGCCCGTCGACTTGCATTCCTGCCTGCAGTCATCTATTTCCAACCACTGATCTTCATGGTTCCATTCTCCACCAAATTCTTATGCATATCGAAAGAGTTGAAGAGCAAGTGCGGCTCGTGACCCATACCTTTCTTCAAGCACTCGTATTCGGCCTTGTCGAAGTAATCCTGGAGAATGGGTCGGTAGTCGGGATGGGCGCACTGCTTGATAATCTCGCGGGCTCTTTCGCGAGGACACATTCCTCGCACGTCTGCAAGGCCCTATTATTTGTCCTTGTGTCAGTTTTTGCGCAGACCTGACACCGCACCGTATCGCTACCGTAATCTAGGGAGAGGGAGATGACTCACGATTTCAGTCACGATAACGTCCAGATCGTGCTCTGTCTGGTCGACGTGTGTGCACATTGGCACGATGCAACTCACGCCGGTAGGATCGGTTTTCGAAGGTCGCGTGCTGGGCGTATGCATGATGGAGTATTTGGATGAACGGAGGAAGTCTGCGGATCCGCCCAGGCCGTTAAGCATGCGCGAGCCCAACACACACGTACTGTTGGCGTGAGCGTAGATGTCGACTTCGACGGGCGTGTTCATGCCGATCACGCCGAGCCGGCGGATGATTTCAGGTGAGTTGGACACTTGCTGGGACCGGAGGATGAGTTTGGAGTGATAATTCTCCCACTGTTCCAATACAATTCGCCAGGTTCTTCTCATCAGCACTCTGGGGCATCATCAAAAAGGGGAGGGGGGGGGAGGCGGGCCTCAAACACGTGTGTGAGAGTAACAAGAGACTTACACCATCGTAAAAGCGTTGGAATCCCCCGGGAGAGAAGCGGATAGAGGTCGCGGTGGCGAAGTCCAAGTTCCCGCTGTCGAAGAGGTCGAGGAAGGAATCCTGCAACACTTCAGTCCAGACTTTCAGGTTCTTGAAGTTGGCTCCTCCTTTCTAAGGAATGGGTCAGCAGCAAATCCGGATCCGACGAAGCTCTTTCTTTCATCTGTAAACGGGTGAGTCAAAAATGTGTGCTTACAGCCAGACCGCCGATAACAGCGTTTGCAATGTTGCCAATCCCAGACTGCAGAGGCAGCAGATTCACCGGCAATCGCCCGTGTTTGACCTCGTGTTCCAAGAACTCGATCAAGTTGCGGGCGATGGCCTGCGAGGTCTCATCTTCGGGCGCATTTTCGGTCGTTTGGTCCGGGTAGTCAGACTCGACGAGGGCGACCACGCGCTCTGGGTCGATGGGGATATGCGGCGTGCCAATACGGTCCTCTGGTGCCATGATCAGGTATGGCTATGGCGAGCCCTCGTCAGCTGGGGAGATTTTGGTGCAAAAGGGTTTTTTTTTAGAGCTTGCCTTTCTCCGTGGTGGGAGGTCTGTCATTGTAATGTCGTGTAAACCTTCGAAGCTGGGTACAGCAGTGTTGAGTTCGATGATGATCTGATGAGGAGCAAACAGGTCAGCCAGCCATTCAGGTTGCACGAATCTACTGGCGCTCTCTCCTTCGTACCTTGTCCGCCATCTGAATGATCTCAGGAGACGCGCCTACACTGGCGCCCGGAATAATGCCCCCGTCCTCGGTGATGGCGGAGGCCTCGATGATGGCGACATCCAGCCGATTGTTGGACTTGTGCTTGGTGTAGAAGCCGTACATCAGGTCGACGGGGAACATGCTGAGATGCTTGTCGAAGAACTTGATGTTGCCGTTGTTGATGCCCTTTGCGATCTCCTTGCCGACCTGGTGCGGCGCGCGGCGCTCGATCATGTTGAGTCGGGCCCATCGGTTCTCGGTCTCTGCGCCGGACGAGGCGCCCACGAAGAGGTTGTACTTCAGCTTGCCCTGCAGGCCGTTTTGCTCGACATAGTCGGCGAGAGCGGTTGGTACCTTTCTGTTTCAACCCGCCCCAATTAAACATCTGTAAGCGCGAGGCTACGAACTCGGTGGAGACGAATATGAGGAGATGGCCTGATAGACGGGGCGGAATGAAAAATACGTACTTGGGATATCCCACGCCAGTAAAGCCCGACCAGCCGATGTATGAGTTGTGAGGGAACAAGTCGATGAGGTCTTCAGCCTTGGCCAATTTCTGCCCGCCCGTTGTCCGTTAGCCACATGTTCATTTCATTTGATTCCAGATCCAAAGCAGAGAAAAAAAGCTCGAAGCCACCCAGGGATCAGGCCAAGATGAGCAATGGCAAAGAGCTTCAAACAGAAGAAAGAAAGAAAAAGCTCTTTGAAAGCTCCGGCCCCAAGGAGGCCGCTAAGCAGTTATCACTGCGTTACGCACATTCAGGTAGCTCGCCCTTCTGCATCTACTCTTCAAGAGCGCCGAGGCGGCCATTGTGGAGAGCAAGGAGGACCGGGGGGGAGGGAGGGAGGGAGGGAGGGAGGAAGAGGGGGCCTTGTAAAGAAAACGAATACAAGTAAGAAACGAAAAGAGGGAAAAATAAATGAATGGACAACGAGGTGATAGGAGAACGAGATGAGCGATGAGATAGACGAGGGACGAAAAGGGAGCTTTCAGCAACCCCTCAAGATGTACAATAGGTTGTCCCCTTCTTCTCGTCAACTGTCTTCGCCGTGGGATTGTCGGCTTCTGTCTCGTTCGTTTAATCAATGGCAAAAAAAACAAAAACAAAAACACAACGATCTCGTGAGGTCGAAAAAGGTCGTTTCTGGCTGGAGCTTCAATGTGTCGGGAGGAAGCCCAGAACCAAGCCGTTGTTTCGTCATTGGGTCTGATGTGCTCCCAAGCTCCCCGCTGGGGGCCACCGTCGGGCTCGCTCGGATATGAGGGATAAGGGCGGGATTGCTCTGTTTGGACATGGTGCAGGTTGGCGAGCTAGCGAGGCTAAGTCCCAAGTCCCTCGTAAGTTAGGCGGGCTTCATCGTACAAGAGGACATCGTCAGCAGCTTCTTTCGGCGTCTTTACAGAGGAAATTGGGGGGGAATATCTTCTAATAATGGCGCATTACACCATGTCCCGCTGTAGAAATACAAGCACCACTTACTGCAACATGGCACCACATGATCTCAGCTCGAATATCATCCTCCGAACCATCTCCGCGTTTGTTCTCGATCCCATTTCAACTGGCTGCTCAACTTGCTCCCGCTGGCGCCTCCCCCCCCCCCCCACCGCTTTTACCAGATTGCCTCATAGATCCCGAACCCTCTTTCCAACAATTTCAGAATCCCAAAAGAATAAAGAAAAAGAAAAAGAACCCCATTCTTTCCTTTGATCCGTCAGTCAGTGGTTGAGCCAAATTCGCCTGCTGCTGCTCAACAGACACTCAATCCTTGGGACCCCAATACGGACTAGGTAACTCTGCAGCTGTGAATCCGGGTATCTGAGACCTTCCCGAAGTAGGTGCCCTCGTTGACTTGGCCTCATTTGAAGAATAAAGGCTCGGGTAGGTGCTCATATGTGATGTCCTCCCACGGGTCATCTGGGTCAGCCTCCGCCACAGGTCCCATACATGCCCGGTCGAACACTTTCTCACCCACATTGATGCCCCCAGGAACTACTCGAATCAGCCTGACTTGGGGGCGATCGGACGAAGACTTCATTCTCTTTTCCAAGTCCATGAAGTACGCGCAACATCCTTCGTGGGAGAGCGCGACCAGGTTCTCGGGCAGGTCCTTCTCGGGCCTCGACCCGGCGAATATTTGCACCGAGTTTTGCAGCCGCACGGCATCAGGGGCGTTCCACACGTTGCCGTACACGAGCTTGAAATGCATCGTCCAGTGCAACCCGCGAGCCTCCATTCTCCTCGACACCTGACTCTGATAGAAACTGTAGACGCCTGATCTGGTGGGAAACAGTCGAGCCGACACCGCCATCCGGGCAAGGACCAGACCGAGCGAGATGACCATCTCGACCAAGGCCGCTAGACAGTATCCGTGGGCCGGGGGAATTCCTTCCTTGTCCTTTTCCACCTCGTCCTTGGACGTGCAAATGCCGCAGTGGCACGCTCTCCTGATCTTGGTCAAGTTCTCCACATAAGAGGCTGAGGCGTCCTCACGAGACAGTTTCAATGAGCGTTCCATGCGACCTTGGAATCTGCGCAGTTCTGGCAGCCAGTTTGTGATTGTTTCAATGAGGCCGGCACCGTACGAGGCGGTGTTGCTCTGGTTTTGGACCGACACCAATTGATCGTGCTCCTCGTGTCCTTTGCCATGCGCCAGACCCTCGAACATGCGCGCTGCACTGCCGATCATTGTCCCGAAGGCCTTGGATTCGTCATGGTCGAGATGGTGGAAACTCTTGCCAAACACCCGAGGAAGCAATGATTGCCACGCAACCCGACCCCCGAACCTCGTGGTGTGGAGAGTCGCTGAGTAAGTCCGGTCGATCAGGGACGAGTCTTGGACAGCTGGTTCGGTTGGCTTCCATGGTTCGAACGACGCGTTGATGCCTGCTTCCGGCACAAACACCAGAGTAACCTGGGGCTGTTGATCGGGGTGAGTGACGCGGAGTTCTTTTCCATCCTTCTGATAGACGACTATCCGCAGGTCGCACAACCATTCTGCGATTGCTGCGAACCACGATATGATGGCACTGCCCACGAGCGCAACATGCTTCTCTTCTCCCTTTGTGACGCGCATCAACGCCCGCAGCGCTTCGGCGATCATGCTCGGCGGGAAGACGTCATCAATGCTCTTGACGCGCGCCACTGGGTAGACGGTGGCATAAGGGTCGATTTGAAGATAGTCCTCGACCAGCAATCCAAAGTCCGACGTAGCGAATATGCCGTTACAACCGTGCAGAGTAGCTGTCCATTGATTGAAATGCGGTGTCACATCCTCAGGGCCGGCCGCCGCATTTGCCAGTGCCATGAGGACTCTGGCACCGTAAGGTTCGTGAAAGCTCTCCCCCAACGCAATCATCATGGCAAGATGCTCGTAGGAGCCCTCGTGCACGGCCTGGTCGCGAATGACGTTGGACAGACCCCAGCCGAAGGACAGTTTCTCACCCGGGGCCACTGACACATAGACGGGAAGATTGCTGAGCGCGTTGTTAATGTTTCTCTGACCCTGAATGGATATATTCAGGTCTCGGAAGAGCCTGTAGGCAACGTAGCGCGTGTAGGGGTCTACTCGAGATCCTGAGAATTTGCGGAGGGTGGCCGAAGGGATCGACATAGCCTCAGGCACATCTTTGTCGATGATAGGCATCCTGGAACGGGGCGTTCTTGTCCTTGAGAGACTGCTTGAGGAGTTGAATCCTGCAATCTCATGGTCCTCGCGAGCGGGAAGACAGAGTTCTAGAGATATAGATAAACGACGGTCATGCGAGGGGCCATGCAGGAGATGCGGTGCCCACAAGTCTTGTCTTGGGCTCTCGGTCCCCTCCCCCCATCCCGCCCAGATCGTGTGATACTACTAAGATCCAGCCCAGATGAGGATACAGCTCAGTGACTCAGCAACCCAAAGTCTCGTCCCAGATGCAGCCCTATTGGCCCCTTAGCCTGTCGCAGACCCAAAGTGCGGGGTTTGGGCTGGTCTGCCTGGTAAAGCTGCGGTCTTTGCACCGGACAAGACGAGATTCCGTTAAAGAGAGCTGGAACGTCACTGAGCTCAATGGACTCAAATCCTCTTTCATGATGCCGTCCAACAAAGGCTGCTTCAAGACGAAAGTCAGATATCGACTGCCTTACCGTTTGCCTAATCGTCGCGTAGATGGTTCGAAGATACAGCGCAGCTCCGTTGCTTCTTCTAGAGGAACTAATTGCTTGGACGGGACCACTACCTCAAAAATCGACGCTTTTGATCAGTCCTCAATCGTGCACCATTCCTCACCAGCTCGGCTGAAACTCAATCGCTTCATACCTCTTACACAACCCCTCAAATGACAGGCAAGACAGGACAGGTGACGCAAGGCTGGAATAGAGAGGGGTTACTGGGGCAGGTCCTCATGCCTCGCTTGCGGATTCCAGGAATGCCAGAATCCTTTCATATGGGTAGGTGCTTGGCCCTTCTTCTGAGCCCTCGAGGCAGATTTTACCTCGTAACAGCTCAAAGACCACACAGGGTTGCGCCCAGATCAAGACGTCGGACAGGGTGCAAGTTTGGCCACCAGTCGACTTAATCGAGGGATTCGCTAGTCATCCAATCAGGGTTGAAATACTCTCCTGTCCTTGGTGGATCATGTACCACATTCCAGAGACCGCCCGGCCACTTGGGGACGCGATTGTGCGACCAGAGTTGGCATACCTATTCCTGGCTCCAAAAGATGGCGGTATTTGTATCAAACCGGCCGAAACAACGCATAGGCAAGCCTCACACATCGCGCAGGGTCAAGGACAAAATTGATGCATCGACTAACAAACCTATCAGGAAAGACTGAATTGCTTCAATGGGGCTTCATGCGATGAGGGTAAGATATAATTGTGCGATCTGATATGTCGATGTCCTTGTCCTGGGGGAAAGCAGCAGTGCAGAAACGAGTTGATCAAATAGAGCCAATGAAACGCTATGTACTATTAAAGAAGTCGAGATCTTGTAAATTTCAAACTGTTGCGCGAGTGGACTCCTTGCTGCAACTGGGATTCACTTTGCGACCAGAGTGTCAACTTAGAAGGACCAGTTTGCTCGAGACATTTCAACCCCAGTGAGGATCGGTAAGCATTTTCAGGCAGCCTCTCCCTCTTGATTGCGAGTCGTACTTTTCTGTTCCACAATCTCTGCCGTCACACGGACAGATTGGCATTGATAGTGTCTCCATTTCCGCATCGGTAAATTGAGGGCGTACATTTCGTCAACTTCGACCACCGTGCGAGCTGCGGTTTCTGGAATGTAATAATATGCCCAGACGACCGTGATCAACACGCAGGCGGCGAAGATGAAGGCAGCCTTCGCTCCAAGATTTGCGGCGTCGGCTGACGTGAGCTGAGGAACGGCGAATGTCGTGATCACGGCCGTCACGTAGGACCAGAACATCGACCATGCCACCGTGGGCTCTCGGAGGGCTGGCGTCGCGATCTCTGTAGGGAGGACAAATGCCCTGGAAACGCATATATATTAGCATAAAGGCCGGAAGAGATAGTGACCTTGGAACGGGTAATCTTACAAGGATTGGAAGGAAACGGCATTGGCAAAGGCAAAAATGATGAACACCGAAGCAAGGCCCAATCTCTGGCCGTTCGTCTTCAGCCCGGCTGCTGCGAGACTTCCAGCGGCTAGGTCGAGGGCGAAAAGGATCGAGAAGCCGACGAGCGCCACGGGTCTCCGCCCAGCTTTGTCCACTAGTGTAGGTCCGATGATAGTCCCCAGGAATTGCAGGCAGGTGATGATGATGGTCATCTGGAAAGGGTTTCCAACACCACTCTGCACAAGGATGACTGTCGAATAAGTCCCGATCAAGATTTGTCCACCCACTTGGCTCGAGCTCAGCAAGGCTCCTGCGGTCAGAGTGCGTTTGAGGTTTGCTCGATTCAAGATGTCCCAGAATCTGGTTTCCTTTCGCATTTCGGCTTCTTCGACGATGGATACTCGGTATATGGATATCTCTGCCTCGACAATATCTGATTTCTTGTTGCGGATGGCCATAAGGACACGCCGTGCGGCGTCAAATTTGCCATGCTGGACATACCAGAGTGGTGATTCAGGGCACAGCATCGTCAGAGAGCCAAAGGCAACGGGACAGGCAGCTTGGACGGCCAGAGGAATTTTGTACTGTCGCTCGTCGTTGATTTTCTCAGTTGCCCAGACAATAGTCGTAGCAAGGATTGCTATGGCGCCTACTCCAGCTATGCAGAACCCAACCGCTCTGCCACGCACATGGGCAGGGACAAGTTCAGCAAGATAAAGAGGAGCGGTAGTCGTCAAGATACTGATTCCCACGTCTAAAAGGCCAATGAGACCGTTACCGGGGACAGGGAAATGGATTGACACTCACAATTCCAAAACCTGCCTGCCGTAAGACCGCCAATATTGGGCGCAAATAGCTGAAGAAACGAGCCGGGAGTGCAAAGCAAGAAGTAAGCTGCAATGAATGTCTTTTTCCGGCCGAAATACTTCATCATGGGTGATGCCACAAAGGTTCCCATGGCCGCGCCCACGAGCGGAACTGTGACAAGCACATCGAGATTTCGGGCCTTGAGTTAACACAACCGCGTTAGCCCTGCGCAATATCTTTAAGAACGCCTGCAGATCGCGACTCACTGTGAAAGCCACTCCAGGACCTTGATATCTCTGTATGAATAGAGGCAACGACAAAAGCGGAGCGACGAAGTTGTTGTCGTAACCATAAAGGCCCATGGAAAGGCCGACGATTATCACTGGGCATGCCATGTTAGTTGGGATCTCTGAGCAAATGAGCCCGAGTACGAGGAAGCGAGACTCACTATAAACGACAAGTCGCCAATTCCACCAACCCGTAGGATGATGGAGATGGCGATCAATTGTAGCGGCATCCTGGGTGACTTCGGAAACATGCTCATGATGCATGGTTGCATCGTTTTTGGTCGCGAACAAAGCCATTGCTTTGAGAACAAGAGAAATTAGTGGCGCAGGATATGGAAAGAATTGTTCCGAGGGTTCAGATGGAACCGTGTCTGTTATATAGAGTGATGTCCACTGGCTCTCCCCCAGGGGTAGCCGAGGTCTCGTAGGTGCACCATGACTATCCAACCCATCCCCATGGGGAATTTCATGGTGGGATGGGTCAAGGGACAATCCTAATGGAGTGGACGTACTGTACCAATGTCCAATGGATCATGGTCGAAAAGAGACGTAGAAATCAGTGTTCAGCCTTGCAAAATTCGAAGAGCTGACAAATGGCGACAGTCACTAAGCCGCTTGGAGAATTTCTCCAGACTGGGAATTCCCCAAATGGACCAAATGCATCCTCCCTCCTGACCCAGCGAGGATCAGCACCCGGGACTGGGCGGCGGGATGATGGGAATGAAAAGAACAGACTATTTCCCGCTGGGCCGGTTTGTTCCCAAGAGCGAATCGAAACATGGCTGCAGTTTCAGTCACCGGGACAGCTGGTATCCAGGAGCCCTGTACTCTCCACGAGCAGGATGTCTCAGCGTCACCAGACCTGCAGCTTCTCTGCAGGGCGCTGGGAATGAGCCCTGACCCCGTGAACAAACTTCAAATCCCAGACTTTAATTTCTTACAGGTGTGACAGCGTCATAACCAGTGACAGAGAAGAAGACAGGAGGCAATACTGACTGGGGGTATAGGAAATGGCAAAGTTGCCCGTTGACTTGACCGCAATACCCGGGGGGACCGACGTCCAGGCCATGCGCCATTGGATCGACAACGTTTTCTTGCAAGGACCTCTGGCCGAATATAGAGCCAGGTGTGACATCCAACGTCGACGACCGGGAACCAGGATCGATGTAAAGGAAGTATCCGTGCAATGCTCAGATGGGAGCCAAGACACATTCAACATACGTGTCTATGATCCCCAGATTGAAGAGACGATATCAAAGCGGCAGTTGAGACCTGCAATACTCATGTTCCACGGTGGCGGCTGGATACATGGGAATTCTCGTGGTGACGAAAGTCAGTAGTGACCATGTGCCAGCGGTGGCAGCTGTGCCCGAAACTGACGGTAACAACAGTCGCATCGACAATATTTGCGGCCGATCTGGGTGCCGTCGTTCTGGGCGTCGACTATAGGCTTGCCCCCGAGCATCCATTTCCAGCCCCTCTAGAGGATTGCAGCGAGGCCATTGCGTGGGTATTTACTTCTCCTACCTGAAACCCAACGTTAGTCGAAGGCTAATGAAGCTTCTTGGAGACAATCCGCAATGCAGAAACATATCAAATAGATACCTCCCGCATAGCACTATGGGGTGCTTCCGCAGGGGGGAATCTTGCGGCTGCGGCTAGCATTAAACATTCCCGGGAGCGTTCAGTGACCGGATATCCCAGTCTCCGGTTGGTGAATCTTGTGGTACCTGTTACTGCACACCCAAAAGCACAAGCTGCGTTCAACGAACGACGGCTTTGTAAAAGGAGCAACATCGAGGAAACAGTTGCAGATGTGCCGCCGGCTCCAGAGCAAGTGGTCAAGGAATTCGAAACATTATATGGTATGTCACACACGTACCGTAGACTGGGTCAACGAGACAACCGACTGACCGTCCCGTTCTAAGAGCTCTATGTCGGCAATTCGACCGATATATACGATCATCTTGCATCTCCTCTGATGGCCCAAGACATTTCACAACATCCCCAAACTCACATAACAGTTGCTGCCTGCGACTATTTGATGCCCCAAGGTCTGGCGTATGCACAGCTTCTTCGCTCATTTGGCACACATGTCACGGAAGAGATTCTTGCTGGTGTCCCCCATGGCTTCACTTTTCCACTAAACGCAGCTGTGACAAAGAGGTGGCTTGAGAACCAGAGAGACATCTTCATGGCAGCATTTAGCAGTGCAGACGCTTGATTCGCCGGAGAATAGGCAGCGATTCTCCGATCAATTGGTTCGTTCAGGAGATGTCAATAAATCTGTTGATCAGGTCTGGCGAATTGCAGTCGTCATTCTCTCTCACATCATCCTGCATTGAAGGCTTCCAGGAATCGCTGTGGGATTCAAAGATGCCAATATTCAAACGCTCAACTTGCATCGCCGTCCGTGCCTGGGTGGTCGAGCTCTGATCTTCGTAGCGCTGCAGTGAACTCATTGGTAAAGGTACTGTTGATATCAAAGGCATGACCACCTCAGCCAGCCGAGGTGCAAAAATCTTCTCATGATCCTCCTTGATGACAGCGCCCGCGAGACCTCCTAGGATGTATTGACACCTACCTCCTCCTGCTAAAAAGTAGATGTTCTGTGCAAGGCCAGATAGTTTCCCCAGGCCCACGATTCGTAGTTCGCCTTCTCCCAATAAGCAAATCCAGGACATGGCTGCAAGACCTAGCAATTCAACTGATTGCTGTAACCTCGGCGAGATCCCATGCCCATGTCTAAGATCGGCGACCAGTTTTGTTGACAGCTGCCATTGCCGCGTAACAACCACATCGGCTGCTTGAATACGGGAGTATCGATGACGTTTAAAAACGGCCCCAAATAGCGTTGCCATATCAGCCTCAGACTCGATATCTATTCCCTCGAATGCTTCTGCATCCTCGGCCATGTGTATCTCAGTGAGGCGCCTCAATAAGTGCATAGCAACTCTGTCGGATTCATCAGTGGGCCCAACAGATTGTGGCCCCGTTGGTGATCCGTCCACAATCCTCAGTGGCCTGCGAGCCCGTCGCCGTCTGCTCTTATTTGCATATATTGCAAAAGTTGCTGCCTCGGTATTAAAGAGAACCTGCTCAATCTGTAGCTTTCTGTGCCGGTCTTCTTCGTCGAGAGGTTCCACTGCCTCTACGAGAGAGAGAGCTTCGTCCAGGTACAAGAACGCGCGGTTGTGCCTTTCGAGGACGTTATAGGCGGTGAACAGAAATAAAGAGACAACCACACTATCGAGTGTGGCTGGATCAGCAAAGTCATAACCCAGACGTGACCTCTCCACTTGGGTAATGAGCTCCGAAAGATGTGCCTTGTCTCCGAGTGCCATGCGGAATTGGCTTGCTGCGTTCACCATCTGAATGGACCAGAGTAGCGTGCTAAATTCGGGGATGGCGCGCCAAGCTGGTTCGATGATCAGACGTGAGGCAAGATTGGTGTATGACAAGACCGGAAACACAACATACATCGCGTCAAAAAACTCAGCGATGGCATTCCAGATTTCGTCGCTTCTAGGAAGGTCGTCACCTTGGAACATCACATCTGCTACCGAGCATAGGTTGTCGTTGAGTAAAATGATATCAGAGTCAGACGGGTGGAATTCAAACGGGAGATTCTCGCGATTGGTTTCAAGTCCTTCATGGTCTGCGTTGACTGGGACATCATGGTTCGAGTGGCTACTCAACTCCGGTTCTGCAAGGATCCGAATTGTCTCGTCGAGAGATAGGCCTGGCTCTTGGGAGGATCGAGAGTCCAAATCAAGCAAACATCCGGAGTGCGGATGAGTGGTCTCGCGACCGTGGCTATGTGGCGAGGGTTAGAGATGCATATCTTATCCGACGGGTGCTCGTCCGACTTGGTGCTTACTCTTTCAGCCGTCGGCCACGTTTTGCAGGCTTGTCGTCGTAAGTGCATTTCAGGCCCGCACGGAAACACTGCCTGCAAGACTCTGGGGGATGGGGCGAAGAACTGGGTACCCGTTTCACATTTCGACACTGAGTGGCTCGATTTAGAGGAGGGTTTCAATGAATGAGAGCCCTCAAGAACTTACCTTGACTTTGAGCCTACGACATGTGTCGCAAGCTCGCCGTGTGACTGGCGTAACAGCAGAGCTTGGGGGCGGGGGGGATTCGCAGCTAGGAAAGACACCGAACATTGAGGTGCTTGAGCAACTTGTGAGGAGAGGTCAAGAGTGTTGAGAGCGATCAAGCAGCCGTGACCCGAGGTTTTCATGTGTAGCGGCGGCATTAAAGCGGCGGCGCGTGTAAAAGGGCTCGGCCCCGGCTGAAGCGGACGGTGGCGGCAGCACCAGCAAGGCTAATGAGCGGCCTTTACCGGAGGCCGGCTTGTGGATTTCCTACAAGGACAAGTAGACACTACCAAGGAATGAACTGCTTGTCTGGTCGCATATTGCAGTAGAAAACACCATGTTAAATCTTTCGCCTGTCCTCTGGCATTTAATTGAAAGATGCTACAGTACTAGACATATATCTCGACTGGGGTGGAAATTGCTGTAGCTCTCCCCATCAAGGCGCCGAATTCTGGGGGCGTTGGGGGCCCATTTTCGCTGGTAAGACTTCTTTGGCGATTCCGGGCCTGGAATTTTGCCGGGGCTTGGTTCCCAATCTAAGACCTGCGTTAGACTATGCCATCTGTGAACTCGTTAAACAAACTCAGGTCCTCAAACTCGGTAGCAAGCTGATCAGCTTGTGCAGCGTTCCAATCTGTGACCGCACGATCCATATCCAAGACGAAACCGGCTCCACTGCCCTGGGGTCTGTTCGTTCTTTGATTGTTGCGAAACTCCTCCTTGATGTAAAGGGCCTCCGAGCTCCTCATGGCTCCGGATTGAACTGCGATGGTAAGGAGCCCCGGGACAATCCATTGGACCATACCGAAGCAGTGACCGAGGATGTTATAGTGATAAAGACAGAGCAGGAAATAGGGGCGCCATTCAGGGTCTCCCCTTTCCTTCACAACGGCGTTGGCGACGTACATCAGGGCGATATGCCACCAGATATCGTAGGAAGATTCGGGGTAGTTACCATAGATGAGAATGATTTGCTTGAGTTGCCTTGTCGAAGCAGCAAAGATTTCCTGTGGCAAAGATGCACCCCGGGAGAGATAGCTGAAGCCGTGCTGGTCTTTATCCGCGATGTGGGGACGAAAAATATCCAGAATCAACCCATGAAACCAGACTCTTTGCGCTGATCAGCACATCCTTGGCCGATCAAGATCTCGGAAAGTGAACTTACTGGAACACAAATACATGACTTGCAGCGCCACTAAGGTATGACATTGTCTCGGGGAGATGGTTGGTTAGGGCGACGATCTTGTGATATTCCGACAGCGTAAACTCCAGGGTCGCATTGGGCTTTCCCTCGACAGGACGATATTTCAGTAATATGCCAGATGCAGTCTTCCAAAATTTACAGAACGATTGGAATGTATCACCAGGTCCAGAGAACTCAATCTTAGACTTCCCTGCATCGTCTCCTGGAGGGGGCTGCGTCTCCCCTGGAATGGGTATCATGGGCGGGTATTTCGTAACCACAGGAGTGGCGTAGAGGGTTTGCACCCTAGGAGTTTTAGAGCCGACGATAATTAGACGGCGTGACCAATGGCACTCACATTGACATGTTAAAACAACCCCATGCAGTATGCGCCATTGCGGACTGGTCCTCCCTTGAGTCGGAGGACCAGTCGCTGGTTGTCAGTGTATCTGACACGCCGAAAAGCCTCATCCTCTTAGCCATTTTGATACCTGCATCCACGCTAGGGAGCCCATCTTTGCCCGACCCATGGCATATATGACCTATCCATAAGAGAGTTAAACCAGCTAGGTTGGAGAGCGAATCGGACAGCTTCCCAGCAGTCAGAAGGCTTTGGGCTTCGCTTTGGAACTCGTAGCTCTTTCTTAGGGCGGACGGATCCTTGGAGTTGTATCCTTGCTGGAGTATTGGTCAGTAATTTGTGTGGCGTGATTGCCGATGACAGTGGCGGCGTGGGCGTGGGAATCGGTTATACTTACAGAGGCATAGGAGAGCAACGAATTCACTAAAAGCGAAGAGCAAAACCCCAAGCTGCAACTCACCAGTGAGTCAATGAACAAGTCAGCGTCGAAAAGGCCTAAAAAAGGATGATCCGTTTCTAGGTATAAGGATATTGCTCCCGCCGCAAACTCATTAGATATGGAAACATTGGTCCAAAATTCAATGCTCAAGCCACCCAGCCTGGGGTCCACGCAGAAACGAGGCGGCGGCTGGGGGCCAATTTGGATATGAACCTTGCTAGGACGATGAGTTTCTTCGTGCTCGACAGCAGCCGGCTGGGGACAAGATTCGATAAAGGGGGCATCCGGATCATTTTTGATGAGAGGCAGCGGGATCTGGTTTTCAGGGAATATTGGTGTCATGTTCATAATAGGAAAATTATCCGTCCTCGTACCCAGCATCGGATACGCAACGGGGTGTCGAACCATTCGTTCGAACTCCAGGTCAGACTGGATTGGGGGTAGATATGCGCGGGCTGTCTTCTGTTCAGACAGAGGGTTCCTAGGGTCTCCCGCGCGTAATAGGCCAACTACTGAAGCAGGATCTGCATGTCTAAGCTTCAGCAAGCTCATCTGGGCCAGATCCATGGGCGAATTTTTCAACAGGTCTAGAAACTCTTCCAGCTGGTCGGACCGCTGTCTCAGGGCATCATTTTCTCTTTTCAGGATGCCGATGTGCGTTTCCGACTTGTCAATACTCGAGTAGACGCAAGCGACGCCGGCGTTGCGGCATGACGAGCATTGGGGGCGCTCGCCATCGCACTAAGCAAGCAGTTGTCAACATGCGCTTGGAGAAGTAGCGGAGAGCACGGGAGATTGATGGGAGGGGCTGACCAGATGGAGCTTGAGTACTTGGGTATTAGGTGCAACTTACAGCCCACCTCCTGAGGCGACAATGGTTGCAGGCAACCTTGGTGTTCGGACGTTTCCTCTTCAACCCTCGACCAGGGGCAGGGGCGGGTTCGGGAGTGATACTGGACGAGGCAAACGAGGCTTGAGCCAAGTTCCGGTAATCTGGAGCAATTTTTGCCATGAATGTGTTGCGTTGTCCCCAATGTCCGTGCAAGTGAGCCACACAGCCTTGTTCCCGTTTGTCGCAGGGTGTGGGCTGACCCAGATTTGCGCGAACAAAGTCAGGTGCGTACCCACTGAAAAACAAAGAATGCGCAGCGATTGCTGATTGTCACACGATGAGGTGAAGCGGGCTGAGCGGGGTAGCATAACAAGTACCAAGTAGAGTTTTTGTCCCGCTGTTGGCGGTTGCTAGCTGGTCCCGAAGCCGCCCTACCCAGGAGCTGTGCGAGGTATATTTCACTAGCTAATCAGGATAGCTGGAAACAAACGCGGCGATGCCCATTGGCTGGAATAGAGAGACATACCCACATCCGGTGCATGCCGAAGCCCATATACGCCAGTGGAAGCGGCTCCGAGGCTGCTGATTGGCCAACAGCCGCTTGGCTTGTCTTGGAAGCATCAACATGGAAATTCCTGCCTGCAAAGCACATGACGGGCTGGTCTAGGCCTTGGACTTGGTTGACCCCGATGTCCACCAGGAGGTACTTGTGGTTGCTCCCAGGGCCTAAGGAAGATTTCGAAGAAACCTTCTCGCGACCACATGCCTCTTTGCATACCTCATCCTGGTCAAGGCGGATCCCGGCGTCTCGACGACAAACATGGCCCAAGATGGAGAGATTTATCAATGTCCCTCCCCCTGTGGCTCGTACATCTGGGCATTGCCTGCACAACCCACAAGAGGAAACAACATGAGTTTTGTGCCTGAACAATAGACATGACTTTTCCGTCTGTTCCAGTCTTTGGACAGTCTGCGCTCAATGAGCAAGCAGTACGTGTGCTCTCCGGTACTCTGTCGGTGCTATCCAATCCCCCGCTGACAGAAAAGTCATAGTCCGTAGAGGACCAGTTCCTCGACTTCCAATTTTCAGAAAATGACAGTGCGCTCCCAGCACACCAGCTCCCTGTCTTTCACAATCCTGTGGTATACCCGTTTCTAGGAGATGCTCCCTTTCTGGACATAGACCAAGACTTGTTTCGAGAACCTGCATTCAACTTGCAGACTGCTGACGGGGCTGCATCACCCATTTATTCCCCATACTCGGCTCAGAATGGGTTCAGCCCTGGCATCGCCTCGCTCGAACCATACCTGTTTTCCCCTAATCAGTTACCTACCGGTACAAATGAGACGGACCCCAAGGACCTAAGGGGTCCGAATCCGCCTTCAAGCCCGTCCAGTTCCGAGCGACCTAAACGGGGTGGCAAGCTAGCAGGACAGTCCCTCTTCGCCTCCGGTGAATTCTCCGCCGTTGGTTCAACCAACCCAGCTAAAAGAGGTCGCAAACCGAAACCCAAGGAATCACCGAGCGATCCCAAAGCGGACATGCTCAAAGCCAAGGCAACCCATTCCGAAATCGAGCGTCGATACCGTGATAATCTGAAGGATAAGATCCTCCAGCTTCATCGAACTCTCCTCGGAATTGGGGCGAACCCTCGGACGTTCCATCACCAAGCCCCATCTAGCTCGTCTACCTCAACCCAAGCTGGGAAAGTCCATAAAGCTGAAATTTTCACCAATGCCATCGACTACATACACCAGTCTGAGCTGGAGATACAGTATATGACCAACGAGATCGAACAGTTGAGGAGCCAACTCTATCAACTCGAGCAAGTGGTGGGATCTAGGGACGAAGTTTTCCGAACCTAGCACTATAGGGAGCTCGTACCTTACAGAACAGTATTCCCAAGGAAGACTCTATTGAAATTTAAAATAGCAAAAGTCTTGAGCAATTAAGCGAGACGTGGGATGGATCGATTCATAAAACGATGAGGGGCGTCAGTCAGAGTTTGATCGCGGGCTATCGGAATGGATCGAGTGGTCTTGTGGCGCTTTCTATCCGGAAGTTCTATCAGAGTCGACCGATGTGGTTTATTTTACCCGTGTTTATCAGTCTGTCTTCATTTTCTCAATCGGGAGCGGCCCGGTGGCGGCGTTTCTAAAGGCTGCAGCTAAGCTGCATGGCAAAGATTTCGAACCAAGGAGGATATAGAGGCTCGGCGCCTTATCCTCCACATCAGACCAGCAATGCCCAAAGTATGGACGATTGCCAGCATCTGAGGAGCAACGATTTCGTAAAACCTGGTCCGTGTCCACGTTGAGTCATTGACGGAAAGCGTCCAGGGCAAAGCAATAGTACCATTGTTTGCGCCCAGGATATGTAGTAATTGGGGCCGGCCAAACTAATTCGAGATAGAAGGAAAGGATCTTCTCGAATCTGAATCGCTATGAATCTGTTTGTCTGCTTTCTTCGATTCGGTTTCCCCTGAGCAACAGGGCGGCAGCACCATGTACCCAGTCGGGATTAGTCGGGATTTTCTTGGCATCAGAGCGGCCTGACGGCGATGTGGCCCGAATCCTCGTTCCATCATTCAGACAACATCCTGGACGTCTTCGAGCTCTAAGAAGTTCTGGATCAATTGTGGTCGCAGTGCAGAAGAAAAAATGACATTCAAAAGATATGTGGGGTGCGCATTGATTCGCTGAATTATGTATTGGCCATGCAGCGTGCCGCAAATCTTCGCATACCATGGACCCGGCACGGTAATCGCCTGCAGCCCCGAGGAAGCAGAAACCAGCCATGAAGAACGCTCAAATGCAGAAAAAGAGGAGAATCATTCAACCGGGGATGGCTCTAATGGCATAGTAGACCTTCAAGCTGCGCGACATGACCACTTGTTTGCGACAATCACCGCCTTTCGATTGGATCTGTGGTCAACCCGACCCTTGGTTGTCCTCGCCTCGCTTTCTCGTTCACCAAAATCACTAGAAACCTATGGCAAGAACCTCGGAGTTGCGTTCAAACCAGATGGAACCACCTTGGTCATTCGCACAGCGGGAAGTTACTTGATGCTATACTCTGTGGAGAGCGATCAGACCGCTCGTGTCCTGCAACAACAGTATGGGTATAGCCAAGCGAAACGTCAAAATGTCATGCGGAGCTTTGGGACAGACGAGACCACCGGGGTACCTGAGGTTTTGCTGCGCTTCCGAAGAGCCATCAAAATCGATGCAGGGATCAACTCGATCAACGCGCTTGACTCGGATATAATTGTGGCCACAACTAAACCGGCTGCTGTGCAATGCATTAGATGGGATCTTCAGAAGGATGGGTCTAATGCGGTGGCCCAATTGCTGAACAGGATGGACTGGATTACCCAAAAATCGAGCATATCAACCATGATTCACGACAGAGCAATGAACCTCTCAGTCTGGCTGTCACAGGACGGCCACGCATATGCCGTACAGCGGATCAAACCTCAACTGACGAGAGCACCGTCCTCTGACGACTCTATCCCTTCCTCAAAGGGATCCACGACTCCATCTACTAGGTTGTTCGACGGCTACTGCTTCCACAAGCCTGAATCATCCTCCAGCGCGACGTTTGCGAGTATCAATGCCCGGTTTTCACTCATTGCCGTCGCCACCTCGAAGGGGGAAATCGTCTGCTACGCTGCCAAGGACTATGCTGGGAATATCCCACTGTCCCACACTTTCAAGGCTTCCACTTCGCCCTCATCCAGAGGCGCTATTACATGTCTCATATGGTCTCCTGATGGCTACTGTCTCTTTGTCGGCTACAAACACGGTTGGTCTACCTGGTCGGTGTTTGGAAAAGAGGGCGCTTCAACATTCCACCAGAACCTCACACACGCAGAATCTAACGCTGAAAAATGGCTTCTCGCCATTCAGCGAGCGACCTGGATTGGCGCTGGTAGTGAAATTCTCCTGACGTCCCCGTCCGAAAATCGAATCTGGAAGTTAGAAATGTCGCGGAGCGCCGCTATGGGCTGTTTCTCCTGTGCAAACCTCGTTCGTGCTCTCCTCCAAACTCCGACTGAGCTCACAGTCTACCGTGGTCATGAACTCCCCGACTTGACTTCTATATCGAATGAGGCGTCCCTTTGGCATCACGCCGAATATCCATCCGTCTATCTACACAATCAATGGCCTATCAAGTCCTGCATCGTATCGCAAGACGGAAGATACATAGCTATTGCTGGCCGCCGGGGTCTGGCCCACTACAGTGTTCAGAGCGGAAGGTGGAAGTCTTTCTCCGATCTGTCGGTGGAGAATTCGTTCGCCGTTCGCGGAGGAATGTGCTGGTTCAACCATGTCCTTGCCGTCGCAACCGAGAATACCGGTGGGTACGACTTGCGGCTGTACTCGCGGGAACTCGAGCTGGGTCGTTTCCCACTGCATCACGAAGCATTCTCCATGCCAATCGTCTTTGTGGGCCCCTCAGGAGAAGACTCGGTATTGGTGTATACCTACGAGAACATACTCTACCATTATATCCTCAACATAACCGACCGAGGTGCGCAACTCGTGCAAGTGGGCCAAATTGCTTTTCATGGCATCGTGCGTGCACCAAGTCGAGTTCGGTCTGTCAGCTGGGTTGTACCCGATTCTCAGCTTCGAAACGGAGATCCGTCTAGGGACGTGGAATTCGCATCCGTTCTTTTCCTTGTCGATGACAAGTTGGTCTTGTTGCAAGCCTCCCGGAACGAAAAGGATGAGCTCAAATACGACATGCGCGTCATTGCTCAGCATGTTGAGTACTACATCCTCATGCGTGATCAGATATACTTTAATTTCAGCACCGGTCCGGATGAGTCGGCGCCACCTACACCGTCGCCTGGATCGGCATTCACCATGCGAAGCCAGCAAAACTACTCACTCCGAGACTCTCTGTGGATATTCAGCGGCGACGAACTTCGTCTGTGGCCTGATGTGCGTGATCTGTTCCATCATGCTGCAGGAGATCTCAACATCTCACCAGTACTATCCATGTCCGTCGACTTCTACCCCTTATCCATTCTTCTCACCAAAGGTGTCGTGCTCGGCATCGAGTCCGAGCTTCTGCAACGTCGAGACGTCAACTTTGCACAATTCCGCTCCAGCATCCGCACTCAGCTCTTCCTTCCCTATATCCTTCGCCACCAACTCTGTGAAGCGAACGACACTGCCGCTGCGTTCGGCCTGGCGAACCAATACCAGAACCTTTCGTATTTTCCTCACGCGCTGGAAATCCTCCTCCACAACGTCCTCGACGATGAAGTTGACCGCAAACCCAGAGTAGGAAAGGACAAAGACGACGACAATGAGGCCCATTGCCCATTGCCAGCTGTTCTCTCATTCCTCCAACTCGTCCTCCCACCAGCAACATACCTGTCGACCGTGGTGCAATGCATCCGCAAAACAGAGCTCTCTTCGTGGCGCACGCTGTTCGCGCACCTCCCGCCGCCTCTGACCCTCTTCGAACAGGCCCTCGAACTCGAGGACCTCAAGACCGCGGGCGGCTACCTCATCGTGCTCCAGGGGTTGGAAGAGGACAACGACGAGTCCGAGTCCTACGACGCCCGCAGGTTCGAAGGCTACGTCACCCGCCTCATGAAGCTCGCGCGCCAAAAGGGCGATTTCGAGCTGTGCGCCGAACTCGCCAGGTTCATGATGGGGATCGATCCGCGAGGGGATGCGTTGAGGAGGGTCGTTGTCGGCGTCGGGTTCAGGGACAAGCCCGCGCTTTTGGACCCAAATCGGACCGTGTCTGGGGTAGTAGAGACGCTCCAGATACCACGCTCGAGGGGTAAGGGTGTGGATGAGAGTTCAGAGGGAAGCACAAGTACGTCGCCGGCGAGATTGAGTCCGGTTGCTGGCGGGGACTATTTCTCGAACTCACCAGGTGGATATTGACAGAGAAACAGAATAGACAGACAGGTGTATTCACAAATGGTCGATTTTTTTCCCTAGCTCCTGTGGGGTGTTCTGCGTGCCGGTCTGTAATCGAGTGCAGAGACCACTGTTCTTTGCATGTATTCAACCCCCTAATAGTCGTACAACACACACATCTCCGCTTGCTCAACCCAACCTTCTGACCTGCGGACTCCTGGTTCCTCCAAACTTCAACCTCGTCCCGTCCGTCACCTTCGCGATCAGAGGCTTAATCATCCTCCCCTCCGTCCCCAGGAGTGCCTTCTGAAAGGCCTCTCTTCCTGGTCCATATCCTCGAAAGATCACCTCAATCCCAGCACCGGGAGAGCCACTGTACGCAGGTTTCTTGATGCTTGATAGGGTGCACCATGGGTTGTTGTTGTGTTTGTTGCTTTTGCTGCCTCCTATTTTCCACTGCTTCTCTGCCATTTTTCGAAACGTGTATGCTGCTAATTGGAAACTGGCGTCGTAGGATGCTTTTTGCGCGTTGCGCAGACCCAGATTGCCGCATGAGAAGGATAAGATCGGATTGCGGTTAGGTTCAGTGAATGTGATATGCGTGTTATGCCGGTGCGCGTAGACATTGATGTGGTACGGTTCGTCTGTGTACGAGCTTCTGAAAGAAGAGGTTGTGGCTTCTGCTTGTGCAGATTGTGCGACATTGCGGAGGTCTCTTTGAAAGATAGAGCGCATTGAACTGTTCGTGGTCTGTGCCGCAGCGTTGCTGCTCGAACCTCCGCGTAGGAGCTCATGGAATTGGCTCAAAGTATCAGTTTCCTTCGTTGGAACTTCCTCATTGACCTTGATCCCTAGGCGTTCAGAGAGTCTGCTGGGCTGGCGCTCTGGGTCCCTCGAGGAGCTCGGGCTTGAATCTGAGATGGTGCGTCGGGATTGTGTGAGGTAGGAGTTTCTGCACGATCTGCACATGTGCGACAGTAGAGGAGCCCTTGGATGCGCCATGGTGCCTTGTCTGTGATGTCGTCGTCGCCGCCGCCAGACTAAAGGAATTGCAGACTCAACATTGTGCAGTTCGTGGTTCCAGAAAGTTGCAATTGGCTCTACAGCGGAATAGGAAGCTTAGCCGAAACCGAATTTCGTTTTCCTCCGCCGTCTTCAAGATGCATCAACTGACTGTGAATGAGCTTGCTGAACCATTTTCTCTCAGTGCTCTGCCCGTCTCTGTACTCTCCCTTGCCGATAACCGTCTCGTAGCATGACTATACTGCGTCGAGCACCCGTCCATGGTGTCCGTCATTATGTGACAGCCACCACGCAACTTGCCACTCTCCGAGCGTCGGCGCAGTATGGAAGGACAGCAGCCTACCGACGATTACTCCCGCTAGAGAAGCAATCACCATATCTCAGTCCCTCATTACACCTGACGCCGTTCTCTCCCAGACTTACCCTTTCGAATCAGACTCTCCTGCGATCTCTCCACACCTCTGAAGCTCGACCCCAACAAACCCAGACCAAAGAAGACCCAAAACAAGAAGTTCGAGATCCGCCACGGGACGAGAAAGCAGAAAAGGAAGCAAGTGAAGGAAAGGAGGAAAAGGAGCAGAAGGAAGAAAAATCAGAGAAGGAAGAGAAAGACGGAAAAGATTCCCATCCACCTCCACCACCTCATGGTGACAAGACTCCCTGGCAAGTCTTCGTTGACACCCTCCGGACCGAATTCAAGGCGTCCAAAGAATGGAACGAATCTACCAAACAACTCTCTGGCTCCGTTCAGCAGTTTACCGAATCCGATGCTGTAAGAAGGGCGCGAGAGGCGTCCGAGGCGGCGTCGAAGGGCACATCGCAGGTCCTGAAGAGCACAGCCAGCGCCATCGGCCAAGGCGCAGCATGGACCTGGGAGACGCCGGTCGTTCAAGGCATACGGAAAGGAGTCAACGCCACTGGTCGGGGGATTGAAAGAGCCACTCGGCCGATTCGGGAAACAAAGGCGTTCAAGGACGTCTCGGAAGCTGTCGATGATGGGAGCAGCTCTAGATATGGTGGCTGGATAGAGAAAGAAGAGCGAAGGAAAAGGGAAGAAGCCAGAAGACTGAAAGAAGCACAGTCGCCGAACAAAAGAGAGGAACCCATGGTTGAAGATCCAAAGTAAGTGTACACGAAACGGGACGGCGAAGTTTTTCAGCTCTAACGATTGTTGCAGCGCCGGAACCAACATCACAGTTCATAAAGACTCCGCATGGCGAGAGTCATGGAACAATTTCAAGGAGAACTCGAAGCTCATGCAGAGTTTATTCAACATGAAAACTACGTACGAAGAGTCGGAGAATCCTCTGATATCAACGGCGCGCTCAATCTCGGACCGAGTCGCCGGGTTTTTTGCGGAGAATGAGACGGCCATGGTCATTAAGAAATTCCGCGAAATGGATCCGTCGTTCCAGTTGGAACCGTTCCTGCGCGACATGCGAGAATACATTTTACCCGAAGTGCTCGACGCGTACGTTAAGGGCGACGTCGAAACTTTGAAAATGTGGCTCTCGGCGGCACAATTCCAGGTCTATTCGGCTCTGATGGAACAGTACACCAAGGCTGGCCTGAAATCGGACGGACGGATTCTTGACATCAGACACGTCGACATCCTGAATGCTCGATTACTGGAGCCTGGCGACATCCCCGTCTTCATCATCACGTGCCGGACGCAAGAAGTCCACGTTTACCGGAATGCGAAGACGAATGAATTGGCTGCAGGTATGGAAGATAAGGTCCAATTGGTGACGTATGCCATTGGCGTGACGAGAATACCAGAAGAAGTCAACAACCCCGAAACGAGAGGGTGGAGGATGATTGAATTGCAGAAAGCGGCCAGAGATTATATCTGATCTCCCGGGTGCAAAAGTCGCAGCTAAGAGTGTCAATATCTTCGCATTTAGCGAGCATTCTGTGGAAACAATGGTGGATTCTACCCTCTCATATGTGTTCAGTTGTCAGGATCCACTCAGCTCGACCCTGATGTGTGTGCTTTTAGACCAAAATTCTTGTTCCAACGGGTGGCTGTTGGGGGGAAGGGAACTCCGAAGCAATGTACTTTTACCCTTTTTTTTTTGGATGAGCATGGGATCCTGTCATCGATGACCTCCACGACGGAGGCCGGAGCCGGAACGGGGCAAACTGGACATGTAGCCATGGGACGGGGCTGCTAACTTGACCAGCCACATTTGCCCCTTGGGGGAAAGGGGAAGAGGATGAGGGCCTCAAAATACAAAAGAAATAATTCTTCGCTCGGGAAAGGAGTCTCTTTGTATCCATGCACCATATAAGTTAGGGTACGGAGTTCTGTGCAGCAACCTGTACTTGTAGATGGCGAGAACGGCAAATGGCCACCCACGATCACCTGTTCGCCGTCATGACGCAGGTACATGCATGTCACCTCCATCTTGCTCCATCTTACACCAACAGCCCTGCTTAGACTCGGATAAACGACGTCATTCTGAGCATCTCTCGGACTGGGACATGTCCTTGTATAGCACAACCAACAACCCAGCCAGGCATCAATCAAACACAGCAAAGTCCCCTAGAAAAACTTCCAATCTCTCCCTCCCTCTCCATCTCCTTTTCCCGCTTTGTGGAACCTGCTTGCCCTACCATACGAGTGATATTCCTGAGCTTTCCCCTCCGTTTTCCAAAGAACACACACTTGCACAGTAACCCATTACGCCCAAGACATCACCCTCACACCGTTTCCCACATTTTTTTTGGTTAACACAACGAAAGAAAAGATGCCCCTCGTCGTCCCCGGCATAACCTCCAATCCCAAGGACGCCACCGGGGAATGGATGAACAAGCTGATGGGCAAGAGACTGGGCGAGACGAGCAACGAGACGCACTTCGCCGAGAAGGACCTGCCGCAGAACCATCGCGTCGTCCAGGAGGGCATGATGATGACCATGGACCACAATCCCGACCGGTACGTAGCGCTGCTGACTGCTCTTCTTTCTCCCACCTTCTGATTCCGTTTTTTTTTTTTCCTTTTCTTTTGGTGGCCGTGTGGTATGGAGCTGGTAAGGTACGAAGGAAAGACAGGTGGAGCTACCAGGTCGTCGTCGTTCTATATGGCGACCGCGATGGTGTGAGTGACAATGGTGGTGTACATGGGTCATGACGGACCGACCGACTGACTGACTGACTGTCTGGCTGAGTGACGGTCTGTGCTAACTTCTGCACATTGTCGTGTGCACACTATAGGCTGAACATCCACGTCGACAAGGACGGAACAGTTAAGAAGGTGACGCACGGATAGATCGACACCGAGACAGCATGGCCGGATCAGACGGAGACGGGACGGGGAAGGGGACGGGGGAAATGAAACGTGAAGAAGAAAAACGAGATATATGAAATTCTGACGACGAACAATAGATAGATATAATGTGCTGGTCGGTCTATTATACCCATTAATCCCATTCCGCCCGGCGGGGTATCATTGATGGATGAATCGACCTCATCCACCGTGTAGCAGTTTTATACATCCAATTCATCCCTCCGTCGAATCCCTTGTTGCTGCTACTAGACACGAGGGCCCAAAGAAAACACAACCTCCCTTCCCTTCCCGTCCCTTCCCGTCCCCTCCCTCCTTGTCTATTTGCTCTGCATGCCGCTCCAGATAGAAGGTGGAACTTCGGTTAATTCCCCTTCAACGTCCTGAGGGCTCTCTGCATGCCTTTCAACCGTTCCCTCTCCCTCACCACAATCCCTCTGACGAGCCTCTTCATCTCGCCCCTGCCCCATTCCTGCCTCCATGTCGTCCAACCCGCCAATTCTCCTACAACCACCTCTTGGGTATAGCGCAATTCTCTACCTAGCCTCTCAATTTCCAATCCTCTTTCCAAGATCTTCTTCTCTGTATCTTTAACTGTCTTTATGCGCGACTCCTCTGTGCCCGGAAATGGCAGATTGATGTTCTTCAAGACTCCTTTTCTAGGGATGGAATTGTTGACCAAGTTTGATTTGTCCTTCTCCATCGCTCTTTGAGCTGCTATGATCCGGTCGATCAACGCGCTCGGCTTCAACAGCGCGGATTGCACGGCCGCAACCGTCGAGTGAAACGAGCTCAAACTGCAAATGTAATTCTGCAGAGGCGAACTCGCCGGCTCGGAATGCATCAAGGCCGCAAATTTCAGCAAGGTATCAACATGCATCTTCGACAGGGTCGTCGCGGGCGCCCCCATGGTCGCAAACGCCACCGAACATAAACTCAGCCCCTCTGCAAAATCTGCATGTGCTTGAACGTAGGCGTGACCCTTACGAATCGCCGATCTCGTACAGATATTGATTTTCCGCACAATGTCTCTCGAGTGAGAAACCAGACCGTCAACGGCATTCATATCCGCTCGGGATATCAGGGGATCATATTCATCGTTGATCTTTTCCTGTATGAGTTCCGCTTTTAGCCGCGCTCGATCGGCCATCTGTTCTTGCAGCATATCTGGGACGAGGAAAAACTCCCAGAGCATCTCGTGCGTCGAGAAAGTAGGATGTCTCAATAGAATTTTGAGGAATCGGTCAAGATGGGTTTGTGTATCGTACAGAGCTGCGCGCGACGGTCGCGAGTGTAGCTGAAAAGGATTGCGGAAGTTCGAGGCTAGGACCGTCGGCATATAAGACGCTGGGAAGTCCATGAGGAGCCATTTCGCCAGATTTTCGAAGTCCTGCAAGGAGCGCCGACTTGTGGTGATGGTATAGGTCGTGCTCGAGACCGCAGGATTCGGGGCGCCCGACTTGAGGACAAACCTTGTCGAACCGTCCTCCACGAAGAATGACCGGACGATCGCTGTAATTCTTCCCGTGACATCGGCTGTATTTGCAGGCGAGAACAATGTGAGATCGTCAATTCGATTCCGCACCTCGTCATCTTTCGCTAGTTCTACGGCGGTCAACCCGCGAGACTCCCGCAGATGCAGATCAATTCTTGGGTCACTCAGGAAGGTCCGAACCATGTCGACTCGCCCGTATTTGCTTGCCAGCATCAATGGAGTAAACTTCTTGTCATTCATAGCGTTCAGGTCGACTTCGCAAGTTTGCAGGATCCGTTGCATGATGGTGGCATCGTTGACTATATGGAGCAAGGAGTTGCCTTTGTTGTCAATGTGGTCTTCCATACGCAGCGGGCCGCCATCCTGTTGAGCTTCTTTTGCAGCTATCAAGGCTTCCGAAACCATACTGCTGTAGTCAGGGTGGTCATAAGTGCGGCAAATGGCAAACAACGGAGTGTGGCCAATTTTATCCTTTTGCCGCCAGGGAAGGACATTTGCAAGTCTTTTGATCAGTTGAGGCGTATTAAACACATAATGTGCCACGCTCCGTCCCCGAGAATCCCTGACAGACAGATACTCGCGGAACATTTGTTCATCGGTGTGTCGCTCGGCATAGTCGAGAATGATATCAACCAGGTCCATATTGCCCAGTTGTACTGCAGCGCTCAATAATGTTGCTCCTTCCTGAGTGACATCTGACAGCACTTCTTCTGGCCTGTAATGTTCGCCGAGGCTCAACAGGTATTGAAGGCATTCTGGTCGTTGGCTTTCGACTGCCATCATCAAGACCGAATTTCCTACGGCATCTTGTGTTTGAGCGAGACTCTCCACCGATGTGTCACCCTCGATCCCGCTCAGCGACGTTTCGACTGTCGCAGCCCTAGACAAATGGGAGAATGCCGAAGAAACTGACATGCTCCTAGCTGCCATCTGCACCTTCTTCTTCTGCTTGGGTAGGAGGCTCTTTCTCTCGGCTGCCTGAAAAGGAAACACGTGGGACAGACCACCCTCGCTTGACGAAGTTCGCGACAACTGTCCTCTTGATTCGGAGGACTTAGTTGAGGCTGTTGTCATCCTTGATAAGGGAATTTCTGCAGGTTCTTCCACAAGGTCATCTGACATGATAGCTGACTCTTCGAATATTGATCTGACTTCGTCGACCTTTCCACTTTTCACAGCTTTCCAGAGCAACTGATTTTGCTTTGACGCCTTTCGCAAGCCACCAGCATCTCTTGCGAGATATGTCAGGACAGCCTCCAGAGTACTTAGTGAATAGCCAATCTCGCCACTTTCGACGTCGTCAATGTAAATGAAGCGCTGCATATAAGACAATCTCGCCTGGAGATGTCTGACCGAGGCGCGAATAACCACGAGGAGGAGCATCGACACCAGAATATCTGCATTAATTGTCATTGCAGCCACCGCCCGTTTTTCTTCATCTGAAATACCTTGAGGCTCCGACACCACTTTTTGGGTTTCGAGAAGGATGTCGAGCATTTCTTGAGGACTACCGGCAACACCCATCCTTCGAAACACAGCGACACCACGACTGACCCGGTTGATGAGATCCCTTTTGCCGTTTCTACCATCTTCAATAACTATCCCAACCTGGGAGACATCCAAACATTCCATCTGTCGTATTCGCCGATCAAGTTCTTGATCTTGCGCTTTGTGAAACGCACATAACCGCGGAAATAAGAGAGTGGCATGGACATACTCTGCCACGTATCGCTCTATCAATTTCTCCACGTCGGGGCCGGTTAAATCGGTTGTCGCACCTAGGTAGGAAAGCTGTTGCTTGTCAACTCCTTGAAACAAGTCGATCGCAGCCGTGACGGCGGTCTCTAGAGCTGTCCGCATGAGATCCTCCTCATCCTCGAAATAGGCGGGAGAGTTGAACGGCAACTTGACGGAACCGTTCGATTTGAGAGACCCAGTTTCCGAAGCATGGGTCGTCCCGTCCAATGTACTGGGTGTCGGGCTGCGCGAAGGCGGCGGAGGAAGAGGTTTTCCCAGCTCCTTGCTAAACTCATTGAACAACCTCTCTAGGCCGGGCTGCATTTGTCGCTGAATCATCGGAAAGTTTTCCAGCAATTGACCAAAGGTCTTAATATCCTTCTTTTTTGGGGTGGGAGGCGCGGGAGATGAGGATGAGGTGCCAGGTCCGGCTTGACTGATTCTGGTCTCCCCGATGATTGCAGGCTTGATAGGTAGCGCCTCGAAGAGACCAGTCAGCGGTTTCGAGATGTAGTAGACAAGCCATTGTTGCATATCATTTCCCGGCGAATAGTAGAGCAAATCACTCAACAAGGTCGCCTGATTCAAATGTTTGAAGCCCTTGTTACTGTACACAGTGTTCTCCCTCAGAATCACAGTGCGCCCATTGACCGTCGAGTAGTTTTTCGCCTTGCCACGACTGTCGCGGACACTTCCATCCTTCTCCACCGCCGCAGGGATGATTCGGAGGATATGGCTCCCAAGGAAATCTTCGTCTTCGACATAGTCAGCGTATCTCTTGTTGGTTTCGCGGTCTTGGCCATAAAGGAGGGATTCGGTCGTAGGGACGAGGAGGACATAGTTTTGGGCGGGGAGCGCATGACCTAGCACACTACTCTGAAAGAGTGCGCGCAGAAAAGGGTTCAGGACGGGCATCCAGGCACGATGGGCCTAGCGACAACAATGCGAATCATCGAATCATCGAGCCGCCGGGCGCATGGAGGCAGAGACGAGTTGTCAGCTGAGGCAGACGGGTATTGACATATGGAGAGATAAGCTTGTCAAAAGGAATCAACAACTACCTAGGTAGGTAGATCTGATGTTTGACTAGGGGTTGCCTGCGAGGAGCGAGGCGCGAGGAGCGAGGAGCGAGGAGAGGAAGTAAGAAATAGTACCGAGTAATATTAATATGGACAGTGAAATACTGGGTATTGATGCCACATGCCTCGTTTGTCATGGTAGCGCCTCATCAGCCTGCGTGGGCCCCTTGCCGTGCCTGGCTCGCTGGGTCCCAAAATCCTGTTCCCCAGAATCCAGAATCATCATGGTCACTGCTCAGCCCCCTCCAACTCCGACCACAGCCTTGGCACTCAACTCGGAAGACGCCAGCCCCCATCTCTATTATTGCCGTGCGTGCACTTGCCTGTCAATGACCCAAACCGTCTGGAGCACACTAGATTCAGATGAGACTCAAATCTGGCCGAGCCTTCAACAACAGCTTTTCTGACACACCAGATCCTCCTGCTCATAACTAGTCGATCCCGCAAAAGGGGTTCAAAATAAACATGAAGAGTCCGAGATAAGGAAAAAGCGGGTGTCAAGGTTATTAATATATGGCGAGGATCGCCCTCTCGGGCTGACGACGAGCCCGTGAGAGTCGAGGTACAAGATCCTCGACGCCTGCTGCCCAGGTTGACATGAATTGCTTCAATCCAGATGATATCCTTCGCCCGCCAAGACCCAAGACGCCAGATCAGACGGGACGAGGGGACAATTGACAGCAAGCAACCGCCCTGTGGAAAGAATCTCATCACTTGCTAACATCTCTCCGGACTACAAGATCCATCTGATCAACGCTGCCATCAACGCCAATGAACCAATGTCCCACGCAACTGATTGTCTCAAACCCGAAGACGTCGTTGTGACGGAGGACATGGTCGTCGTGGCAGGTTGTGGAGGTGGTGAGGTGATGGTTACGGTATTGTGCGCTGCAGAGCCCGTCACCTTGGTGTTGACCGTAACCGGGGTGCTGGAGGTAGTCTTCTGTTCGGCCCTCCAAGTTAGCAGAACTGGGGTAGGTGGACGACAGCCTCGGATAGAGATGCAGAAGGCTTACCTTGGTATCATTGCAGTCCAAGACATCACAGAAGTTCGTGCAAATGTGGTATTGGGCCAAGTTCGTCACGGTCGCTGGTATTTCGCGGCACGACCCATGGCCCAATATTTCACAGCTGTAAGCCAGCGACAGAATTTTGGGCTGACAGTAGCATGAGGAAAATCCGGGGTCGGTGGATCCGTATGTATAAGTGCAGGCCTCTATTTCCTGGGAGCGGCCAATACACGCTTCGATGGCTTTTGAGCAGGAGTCAACATCGTACGTCGACGTGATTGTCGATAGGACGGGCGTCGTTGGCGTGAAAGAGATGAAGGTATCGCATTGCAGGTGCCACTCCGATAACGCAGAGTCGAACTCCTTGTCGACATAGCCATTAGCTGCACAGAGGCGTTGCTCGCTGTTACAACTAATTGGGGCAATAGTTAGAGCAAGACCATACAGCACAAGCATCGCCATCTCGACGTACGCGACAATGCCATTCACGATGCTTTGACGGCAATAGCATGAATGGAAGGATGCTTGCATCGGTCCCGCCCACCGTATCTTCCAACATAAGGACGCCCAGCCACTTCTGAGCGTCGCTGTGGTCTCAGATTCCTAATCAAGTGGTCCACCTTCTGCCTCGCCCTCACATCCAGAATCATCCCACGAGGATGTTTGCAAAGATTCTCTGGTACTTCTGTTCTCAACACCAACGGCAAAGAGCGTAGGAGTGATTTCCATGTTCAGCCTAGTCTAATTAGGTTTCAGGCCTACCGCATTCTTTTTATCCAGCTGCTCGCTCGGAGCTGCCGAGCTCTCCACGTATCAACTCGCCGAGTACGAGCAATCCGCTGGGATCCCTTAGCCAGGAGCTCAACTTTGGGAGCCTCCGCCTCGACTACTCACAACCTTAAAAAGATCTCCAATCCAACCTCTACACTCTTCTTCCTCGCCCTTTTACATGAATACTAAAGAGCGGCACATCTACTCCGTATAGCCCAGCCACTTCATTCTGCACACAACCCCTTCAAGACCTATATCCCGTGCCAGCAAAATATTCGCGATGCAGGACGGCTTTGTGAAGACTTGGCCGCGCAGGCTCTTGCAGCTAGAAGGCGCTTGCATATTCGGCTCAACAATCTGGGCCTATTCGCGTTCGGGACAATCGTGGTGGACATTTGCCGCCCTTTTGCTGACTCCGGACCTGGGTATGACGGGATATCTCGCCAATTCTTCGGTCGGTGCTGCCTTGTACAACACTTTTCATACCGAAACGCCCCCCATACTTCTGCTATGCGTTGCCTTGGCACGAGATAATAAGGCCCTCACCGGACTGGCTCTGAGTTGGCTTGCGCACATCGGCATGGATCGAATGCTGGGCTATGGTTTGAAGTACGGAAGCAGTTTCGACCACACGCACTTGGGCAACTTGGGCTTGACCGGCAGGAAGGATGAGAAGAAGAGCACATCTCAGTAGCGTGTCGACTTTTCAGAAGACCAAGGGTGTTGTAGTCAATCGTGGCTTATCAATAGCAGTGCGTCTGGAAGGATGGCAACGTCGTATATCATATTAGCCGGAGAAGTATTATGCCCATGCTGTATTTATTTAACACCCGGACGGACGATCTGTCTCCTGCGCGACAAGCAGCTCACAAGTTCCTGCTCACAATACACTATGCCCTGGAGCTGAAAGCGAGGGTCGTACTTGGGTCGTACTGGCAGTCGGCCTGGCATTGCACTTCGGAGGGTAAATAATCCACCGAAATTTTTCAGGGCCCACCGGGCGGGACGAGGCTCAAACCTGCGAGGCGGCGGAGATGAAAACTTGGGAAAATGCGCCCAACTAACACCTTGGATTTCTGAACTCATCTGCAATCGCCGCCCAACTGTGCGGCATGGCTCGAGGAGGCCGTCGTCGTCAAACTTTAGCGCAGGGTCTGGATAAAGAGGTATAGTGTTTTCCCCTCCCATTCTACACCCCCAGTTTTGTGCTTACCACATGTTTGCAGGTGTACACAGTCGTTCGCAAAATCCTCGACGACCGGGCGCAATACGCAGACACTCAAAGCACCTCCCTGTCTTTCGCCGGTGTATATGACGAGATCCGAGCGTCCAATTCAAGTCTAAATCGAAGACCTAAAAAGCTACTGGAGGACAGTATTCAGCGAGTGCTTGAGATCATTCAAGGCGATCGGGAATCTGATTCCGAAGATTTTGTGGCTGTTGGGGAAGAGAAGGAGGAGGAAGAGGAGGAGCGGCAAATACACAAATCTGTGTCGAATAAATTGAACAAGAGCATCGTCAGTGCGTGGTCAACTTCGACAACCCTTCCCCCTGCATTTGCGCCTAAACCAGCATCGACACCCAACATGGAATCCTCTCAAGTCTCAACTTCACAACGTCTCACGAATGGCGAACCCCGCCCCAAGAAGCGCAGGGCTGGTAATGTTTCAATTGACAGGTCTCCGCCGTCACATGTGTCTTTGGAGTCCCTGGGCGGTGTTACCCCGGTTATCCAAGAGTTGAGACGATTGCTCGTTATTCCCATGAGCAAGCCAGAGATCTACGCCTCCAACAAGGTCCAACCGCCGCGGGGCATCCTGTTGCATGGTCCCCCAGGCTGCGGCAAGACGATGATAGCCAACGCATTGGCCGCAGAGCTGGGAGTCAATTTCATTTCCGTCTCCGCCACCAGTATCGTGTCTGGCATGTCTGGCGAGAGCGAGAAGGCTCTAAGGGACCTATTCGACGAGGCAAAAAGTTGTGCGCCTTGCCTGCTATTCATCGATGAGATTGACGCCATCGCTCAAAAGCGCGAAACTGCACAGCGGGAGATGGAGAAACGGATCGTCGCGCAGCTGTCTGTGTGCATGGACGATCTCACGATAGAGAAGACGGACGGCAAACCGGTGGTTGTCCTCGCCGCGACGAACCGATTGGAGACTCTCGATGCAGCACTGCGGAGAGGGGGCCGCTTTGACAAGGAAATCAACATGAGAGTACCCACCGAGCCTGATCGTGCGAGGATTCTAGAAGCGTTGACCAAGGGCATGAAGATGGCCGACAACGTTGACCTGGACGTTCTCGCAAAACGCACCCCGGGATTCGTCGGTGCTGACCTGAACGATCTCGTGTTGACCGCGTCCGCAACGGCGATGGAACGCTATCTAGACGTCCTGCAGGCCAACTCGGACAAGTATATAATGGACGTCGACGGCGACCAGCTCCTCGACAAGCACCCAGACGCGGAAAGCATCAAATCCCTCCGCCGGCTTGTGAAATATATCAAAGGCCAGTCCCCATCGTCAGAGGCCGAGGAATCATCGCTCCTGGTCACCTTTGAGGACTTTCTTACCGCCCTCCCGAAGATCCAACCTTCCGCTTTGAGAGAGGGGTTTGCCACAATCCCCTCGACGACGTTTGCCTCCATCGGCGCACTTGACGACCACATCAGGGAGCTGACCGAGACGGTGATTTCTCCCATCCGCGACCCAGCCGTGTACACCAAGTTGGGCCTCCCAGCATGGTCGGGGACCCTTCTCTGGGGACCACCGGGTTGCGGAAAAACCCTTTTGGCCAAGGCGTGCGCGAACGCAAGCCACGCAAACTTCATCAGCGTCAAGGGCCCCGAGCTCTTGAACAAATACCTCGGCGAATCCGAGCGCGCCGTCAGGCAGGTCTTCACGCGCGCGCGCTCCAGCGTCCCCGTCATCGTCTTCTTCGATGAATTGGACGCGCTCGTGCCCACCCGCGATGGAGGCGTGGGAGGCGGGTCGGAGGCCTCCGCTCGCGTCGTCAACACCTTACTCGCCGAACTCGACGGCGTCGGCCACTCGCGCGAGGGCATCTACTTCATCGCGGCTACGAACCGGCCTGACATCATCGATCCGGCCATGCTTCGACCGGGCAGACTGGACATGTTTCTGTACGTGGGTCTGCCGGATGCCGAGGGGAGAGTCGAGATCCTGAGGACCCTGTGCAAAAAAGTAAACGACTTGGTGTTTGACGAGTCAGTGGCCACTATTGCCAGAGAATGTGACGGGTTCAGCGGTGCCGATTTGGAATCTTTGTTACGGAGAGCTGGGCTCGCCGCCGTGCGCCGTATCAAATCGTCTGGAGGGCCCGACACGATAATCACACAGGACTTTCTGCATGCAAAAACCGAAGTAAGACGCAGTGTGGGCGTAGAAGATATAACGAAGTTTGAAGCGCTGCGCAAGAACTGGCGCAAATAGATTGTATTGCTGGAGGCCTTCAGAGTAATTGCTAAAAGACGAACGCTCGAAACAGGGATAGGGCTCGCTGGGGCCATTATCATGATATCATTATGGCAGTGACCAAGCAATAACAGGTCAGCCCCTGCGCTGTGTTAGGCAAAGCCGGACAACTACTTCCCAAGAGAATGGAGGTATGCCAACAGACGTCCACCGTGGACGGAATTGCCTCTGAGAAACGAATGGATAGCCTTGTAAAACCATGCAGATCCAAAGCTATAAGAACCCTATTCCAACACGGATTGAAGCCTCCACAAACTCAGAAAATCGGCAAATGAAACAGGTCGCTGCTAAGCCTCCGACTTTCTATGGAACTTGGACGACTCCCAGACCTTGAGCGCGATCGTTTCTGCAGCTTCTTAGGCTTTTTCCTCATTTCCGCGTCTTCTTGCCCCATCCCGAAGTCCTTGACCCTGGGTCCTTTTTCGACTGTGCCGGCAGGTAATATCTCGAATCCATCATTGACTTTCCGTGATCGAGTGTTTGCAATCGAGACCGAGCCTGGAGGCGACGTCGTGGCTGTTGCGGACGTTGAACTCGTAGAAGAGCTTGGTGTGTGCAGGGATGCTTTGGAGGATGTGTCACTTGTTCTGGGAGAAGGAAGGATTTTAGCGTCGAGCCTCGCCTGGGTCTTCTCAGTCCAAGCCGAAGGCGGGAGTGTTGTGGTGGGTATGGACTCGACAAACGCGCGGAAGGGCACTGGTCGGGGTCCTTCCATCCTCTTCGCTCTGCGAGAGAACTGTTTGCCGAGATTGATGCTGCCATTTCGAGGCGGCCATGACAAAGCACGAGACGCAGAGTCGTCGCTATCCTCGCTGTCCGATATAGAGGAAGCAAATGCGGGAGTCAGAACCATGTTAGTGTGCCGACGATCCCTAGGCAGAAGTTGACCACTCTCTGCGGCATGGAAGCGCCGATGAGCCTCCATGCGTTCAAGTGGGTTGAGGTCAGACTGGGCCTCTGCCCTCTGGTGTCCGAGTATGTTTCTTTGCCTGTTTCCAATGACAAACTTGCGCGCTCCCGAAGATGGTAGGTTGGTGATGGGGCGGAGCTGCAATTTTGACGGTGAAGGATTCAACTTGTCCTCTGTCATTGAAGGAGCAACATCTGTGTAACCATCGTCAGTAAGATCCGTGATGGAACAACGCCCGGAAATCGCCAGACCTGGCACGGCCTCGGTAGCTTCCGATCGAAGATATGGACCGTTGTAGCTTATGACAACGGTCTTCCCTTTCCTTGAGGACGATGCCTCGGCTGGTAGATCAATGACTGCTGTGGACTCAGTGAATGGCGTAAAGGCTGTCGATTGTCAGCCAAAAACTAGTAACGACAGGTTTATCTCTCACCACCTGGAGAGGCAAGTCCTATGTCCGTGGTATCGCATATAGAGGTGAACGAAGTCGACGAGTATTTTATAGGCTTGCTCATCAATTGCGAGGGCGGGTCAGATCGGGCTCCGTCGAGATGCAAAGTCGTTACTGTTCGAGCGTTCCACACCCCTTCAACGTCGGGGTCTTCGATCAAAGCGCGGATGCCGAAGGGTATGTCTTCATCCAAACAGTTGACTAGAGTCATTTCCCCTCGTTCGGCCTGTTCTTCTGCTGCCCTTCTTTCTAACCTTTTGTCCTTTGCCCAATTTCTCAGCTTGACGGAGAAGGCGGTGGTAAGGATAATCGTCTAAAGAAGGTCAGAAGGAGCAAACCCGAGGGCAAAAGGACGAACAAGCAAGCCACCTAAGATCTGGGACAAGTGTCAGCAAGGTCCCTCGATAAGCTGCATGGCCAGACTCACAAGAGCTAAGCGAGCCCACAGTGGCCACTCCAAGAAGAAAACAGAGCCCTCCGGAAAGGCTTTGAGCATGTTGCCGGAGAACGGTATGGTAGGAATGCTAAACGCGAAAAAGGATGAAAAGGAAGAACCCCATTTCCGAACAGCAATGGAGACAAGCACCAAAGAAATGATAGAGCAGTTTGCGATGTGGTCGACTGAACTGCTGACGATGGACTGGAAGGAAACCCACGAGTGAGGGAACGCAGGTGATAACCTGCCAGACGCCGTTGACTTGGTCGCTGCGGTAGTAGCGGTGACGCAGGAAGACAGCAGCACCTGCTTCAGCCGTGCTCGAAAACCAAAACGTGCAGCCGCCATCTGCGATGTGCAGCTTCCAATTGTAGACTTGATGGTGAAGCGAAAGGTGCCAGTGAAATTATCCAGAAATGGAAAAATCATTGAGCAGCTCGGAAAGCAAAGCGTGAAGACCGGAATACCTGGACTGTATTCACCAAATGAATTGGATTGATCAAACAGACCTTTCAGCAGGAAATGGGTACATCGCTGCTCGCTGCTGTTGTTCTGCACCCACCCGACTTGGTCACGCAACCGTCGATTGTCCTGACTAGTTCATTTGCCGAGTCCATCACATGAAGTTACCACTGCATACGTACGCGGTCAAATTGCTCGTTCTTGAAGGACAGCCACTGCTTCCCCGTCGCCATAGTTATCAGGAAACAATCACAGGAGGGCACGACGTCAGCACGGCAACGCGAGGGAAATGGAGGACAAGTTGGGGCAGCCTGCACGATGGCACGCACATCGAAATACAGGAACCTTGCTGTGACACAGCATCGGCCAGGAGACGGACGGGAATTGATGAATTGGACAACGGCAGTGAGGCTGAGGCGATCAGATAGTCGTCATGCCGTCTTCCGAACTCGCTCGTCGGGCAGTCTCCATGTTTTCAAGGCAGGGATTGGTTGTCGACGTCATTTCGGTAGCTGGATGATGATGGCAAAGTGTGGAGGTGGAGAGAAGCTCCCTTCGTCGACGACATCTATTACATCGAGGTCCTTTCAGTCTTGGAATGGCAAACAGTGGCTGGATGAATCATCAATTTGCGCTTGCCTTGCCCCAGCTCGCCAGGTGAGATGAAATAAGTGTAGGTCGGGAATGAGAAAACTTCCTTCTCGTATCCTGTACCTGCATGCAAAGCGTAAGACCCAATACTCCTTCAAGGGAGTGGTTGACGAAACACAGGGCAAGATGCTATCTAGGGGGTGCGAGGCGACAGCCCATGCAGGGTGGATGACTGGAATTGACAAAGCGCCAGGACCGGTGCCCATTGGGTACTCATTGCCATCATTGGCCTCCAGGGCCTGGGCAGCGAGGGGCCTCGGAAGGGCCTGGGAGGGGCCCTTTCTCCGGTTAATGATCGGCGCCAAAAGCTGCCCAATGACCCTGCAAAAGCCTTCCTTGGGGCAGTCCCTATGGCCAAGCTATGGTGTAACTCTGGAGAGGAGGGAAAATCTTCCCGGCTGGCCGGCACGAATCCGGGTGCCCATGTGCCCAGGTGGGTAGGCCGTGTAAAGGCCGTGGTGTTATTATCCTTACCATTATTGCCCGCCTTCGGCCCCGGCTTCTGGCTGCTGGCTGCTGGCTCAAGACTTCTTTTAAAAAAACACTGCCCACGGCACTATTACTTGTACGTATTACATCCTACTTGGGACCCGTGACAATGCCCTTTTTTGTGCGCACCTCTTCCTCCCAAACATCCTGTCTCCCGACATTTTCTCTGTGAAAGCATAAAACATTCAAATCCTCTCATATACCCATTCTCTTTTTCAAGTAGACGTTTCCAGATAAACCAAACAGTCCTAGTCGTTCAATATGCCTCCCTTCCGCATGCCCTTCACCTCGAAGCGCCCCACGGCGCCCATTGAGACGACCAACGATGAGAATGCTCGCCCCAACTCCTTCGACGGAAATGTCAAGAGTCCATACAGCAGAGACAAGCCCTCATTAGCGTTGGGAATCAAGGAAAAGACCGTAGAGCCCAACGAATTCAAACTGAGTTGTATGCGACGGGGCCAACCCCCTACCACAATCACGTTGTCCCAAGGCTAATATTGAACAGCGGTCAACGACAGTGGTGAATATCTGCCGGTACGAGATGCCAATGGGTTTCTTCGAAAACTGAGCTGATCATCTAACAGCCGTCGCCCACCGAAAAGCAGTCCTTCTGGGCGAAATCGCCGTCCTCCGCAAGCACCAACCATCGCCAATGTTTCAATGATAACGACGCTTTCACAATCTCTCGCGAGTCCTTTGAATCGTACAGGAGGTCTTTTGTAGGTTATTCCCTTGCCACACGCATGATAGCGTCCTGATCAATGTTATAGGACATTTCCGGCCGCTCCCCAATCCTCCAAACTGACAGCTTCACTTCGCGCACATCTCTTGACTCGAGACCAGCGACCCGCTTCCCCACGCGCTCAACGCTAAGCAGCGCTACATTCGAGAGACCCACCGCCGAAGAGGATCCGATCTTTGAAGATGTGAAACTGAATGACGAAGCAAGCAATAAACAAGAGCCTAAGAAGAAGAGTTTCCTGTCACGGTTTGGCGACTCAAACGGCGAAACCATCACCACGACCGCGCCAACCAAGGAGGAAGGCAAGCATCACTTCCATTTCCTTCCCGGGCGGAAACGAGGTCAAAGCGGGACAGGTAATGAACTGGGGGATATTCCGCGGCCACAGAGTAGGGGCAATGCGGAAGTAATAGTACGATAGACAACTCAGACGGTGGGTATGAGATGCTCGAATGGAGGTATCATTCTATGGCATGCATTATGAAGAATTGGATTCAATGGATCAACGGCCCAAGATTGGAGTTTTATCAGGTAGCATCCCAAGGGTCGATGCGCTTCACGACGATGGCATGCATTTGCAGGACAAAGATGCTCTAAAGAAAAGAAAATGGATCTTGGGATCTGGGAAATCAAGCCAGGTCATTTATACGACCTGAAATTGCTGGTCCTTGAGCCCGGAAAGAAAGGGCGGCTTTGTGATTGACGGGAACCAGTGCAAAGGGGTAATAGTAATACTGAGACCACTTTCGAACCTCTACCTCATATGCCGCTTGTTGCTCTCTTCCAGCTCAGTGATTAATATGGCTTTGCATGTCCATTTGCAGCCTTCTCGTCCCAAGACTCACCATCCACTTCCTTTTCTAGGCGATCATACGCCAACTTCATCACCTCGACGATCTTCCTCAGCTCATCCTCGGTCACATTATACGGCGGGCTGAGAATGGCATGGTCACCTCTCGTGCCATCCACCGTGCTAGAGCCGGGATAGACGGCGACTCCCAGGTCAAACGTCATGGCTTGAAAGCGAGCACCAAAGCACGCACGCGGTGGGAAGGACTCGCGTGTGGCCTTGTCGCGGACGAACTCGATGCCCCAGAACAAGCCGCGTCCGCGGATATCGCCCACGTACTTTGCCGCCCTGAACGTGTGCAGGAGCAGAGGGTACAGGATGCGGCCGAGGCGCGCGACGTTCTCGACCAGGCCGTCGCGCTTCAGGATCTTCTGCACCGCCAGCGTCGCGGCGCAGCCGACGGGGTGGGCCTGGTAGGTGTGTCCGTGGTTGAAGCTGCTGGTGCCAGACCTCAGGGCGTCGACGATCTTCTTGTGGATCAAGACGCCCGCGACAGGCGCGTATCCGCCTCCCAGGCCCTTTCCGACCGTGACCAGGTCCGGCACGATCCCTTCCTGCTCGAAGGCGAAGAAGGTCCCTGTCCGGCCCATGCCGCACATAACTTCGTCCAGGATCAACAGTATGCCGTACTTGTCGCACACCCGCCGGACGCCCTGAAAATACCCCTTGGGGGCCGGCGTGCAGCCACTGGTCGCGCCGACCAGCGGCTCTGCGACAAAGGCAACGACGCTCTCGGGTCCAATCTCGCGAAAATGCGCGTCCAGCTCGTCTACCAGCCTCCGCGTGAATTCCTCTTCGGTCTCCCCGCTCTGCCAGTTCGAATACTGGTACGCGTACGCGGGAGTGACCCAGCTGACATTGTCCAACTGGAAACACGCGTAGGGCACTTTGCGTGGCAGATTGCTGCTCACGTTCATGGCCCCGACCGTGGTGCCGTGGTAGCTCTGCTTCCTGCTCACGAAGCGTGATCTGGCCGTTGTTGTTGTCGTCGTCTGGCCCAGTTCAAAAAAGTACTGCCTGGCCAACTTCAGCGCCGCGTCCATGGCCTCGCTGCCCGAGTTGACAAAGTACGCACGCTCGAGCCCGAACCGGCTCGCGCCCTGAGGCCCGTCGACGAGATGGTGCGCCAGCTCCTCGGCCGCATCGGTCGTGTAGGTCAGCGAGTGGACGTAGCTGACGCCGGTGCTCATCTGGCGCGAGACGGCCTGGAGGACTTCCTCATTGCCGTGGCCCAGGCACGCGACCGCCGCGCCGCCACAGGCATCCATGATTGTCCGCCCGTCAGAGAGCGTCAAGTACAGACCCTTTGCCGAGGTGACTTTGTATGGGCGTGCATTCAGCGAGCGATGGAGTAAGGCTGGACCTGGTGCTGAGCGTTCCCTTGTGCCATCAGGCTCGGCAGGATGAATGCCATTCATTGTGCGTTGTCTGTCACAGTTGAATGCTGGAGAAGAAAAAGAAAGCAATCCCTGTCCCAGAGCCTCTGCCCCAATGCTAATCGCGCACGATCTTCTAGGGAACAAAGTGGTAACTAACCCAGCAATGCGCCAGCTATATTCCACGCATGCACAGGCAAGGATCTATGTGTATCAAGCCCTAACTCCAGACACATATCACGACTTGGTTAGCAGGGGGAGGAGCGTATGCACACAGATCTCCACGGCCCAATGCAATAAGTATATCTAACTACCTACCTGTCTGCCTGCCTATCAATCGGCCTATCCATTCGAAGTCAAAGGGCGTATGTACCGCAGCGTAGCGTCATGCCGCTTGTCCTTGCCTGTCTACCTCTAGGACCGCAAGGACTTCTCCGCTCCTACCGATACGTCCTGGCGTCCCACCCTTGCCCACCCACCTCATCGGCTGTTGCACGTACTGCTGGTCACAAGACGCTAGAGCAGGTACCCTTCCTGAAAGCGAAACCGCAGTCTTCCTGGGTGGCATGTACTTGATCCCTACCAGAACGCAAGGGGTGATGCCTTGCCCGAAGTCTGTCACCAACAAAGCAGGTTCATTGGACTATTACTCATGCGGCATCATCCCTTTCTGATGAGCAAAGGCAAAGCATTTGAAGATGGACGCCCAGTTGAGAGTACATATCGACAAGTTCCTGCAAGAGCCTAATTCTCCTGCATTTGCACAAGTAGCACTCGCACCCGCTCCACAGGATGCACAGACGCGAAAGACTTACCTCACAACAATCTTCAGGGAGATGCTACAGCGCTTTTAGAGCAACGTCGCAATTGCCGGATCTCGAAAAGGCTATCAGTCTCTTGCAGATCCTTGTGGGTACTGATTTACGCAGTCCTCCAGATTCATCTCGCCTGACAAATCTTGGTGGCATGCTGGCACAGAGATTTGGCCTCTTCGAGGATTCCGACGACCTCGATGAAGCCATTCTCCATTTCCAAGATGCTGCCATCCAGACCGACCCAGAAAGTGATTGAACAAAAGCCATTAGGTCGCTATTGATGTCAAATAGACCCTGGGCACTCACTGCCTGCCTCCCTTCAGCTGAAGCTTGGCCTCATGCTCGAACCGCACGGGCAGGCACGAGATCAATCGAATGTACCAGTATGTCAACGAAAAGAGAGTCTAACCAAGAACATGTTGGGTATGTCAACCCTCGCTGCAACAGCGGCGCTCCGCGGGGCATTGGCGACGAACACTCGCTCGACATTCTGGAAGCGGGTCACGATATCATGGCTGGTTTGATCATGGACGCCCGCAGTGACTTGTCTGAGTTGGTAACTGCTTATAGCCTTTGACATCACCGCCAGCTAGTCTCATCACCTTAAGGAATATTTATCCATGTCCATGTTGCCCATGCTACACGATGCGTGAACCATTTGAGAACCCAGACTCAAGCCAGTAGCTAGCCATGGCGGGCGGCGTGCTCTGGAAACAGTAAAGTGGACGCGGGGATAGGGAGGGAGACTTACAGGGATCCTCGCCTCGAGTTAACCCCACGAGTTACCGAGTCCAAGTCCAAGTCCAAAAGCACCGCTGGGACATCCGGGATGCTTCAGCCGCATCCAGACCACCCCGGCACGCAGCCTTATTCTTCTACGACGTCGTGAGACGGGTGCTGCTAAGATGTGCAAGAGATGGGATGGACCTGCAAGAACCCTAATTGTGGCCACACGGACTTGAATGGCTGCTGTGAAACCAAAGAGGACCACAAGATTGGCCTCGAAATCCGCGTCTGCGTACGTGCCTCGAGCAACGTCGATGCTGCCGCTGACTGTGTCGTTGATATCATAGTGCAAGTGCGACAGAGCACTGACGGCTAGCGATTTCTCTGCCAACGGCAGTAATGTCTCGGAGTACCTCCATTCCGCTGCTCCATCTATATCCACGAGTTGGCCGCGCAGACTGTCAAGAGGACGAGATTCCTTTTTCAGCCATGGACACACCAGAAGCCTCGAACATCTGAGCGTGGAGAGCATCGATACCCGGGAATACAGTTTTCCAGGACGGAGCAGAAGAAATCTTGGTCTCAGGGCCCTCGACATAGGCTTGGATTCACCCCCTGCAGGTTCTGCAGACCGTTTCGAATTTCTAGCTACTCCCCGGAATCCACAGCGTCCATCTCGGTGGTCGGCGGTCACAGCCTTCTTTCGCAGACTTTGGCCGACAAACAAGTCCTCCGTTAACGAGAGAAATGAGCCCGGTCGCGTGGGAGATGCCAGACAACGTGCCAGCTGGGCTCCGCCGCAACACAACGACCGTGCCTCTTTGACTGGCAGACAATCTGAGCTCCTCAACCCCAGCATGAGAGATACCAGATCCGCACTTGCAAATTTACTGAGGGTTGGCGACATTGAACAACAACCCGAAAATCCGTTTAGGGGACGGCCAATATACAGACATGTCGGCACCGGTATGTTTACACTAGGTAGCGGCAGCCGTGACTCGTTGCCCTCGCCCCCAAGTCGTATTAGCTCTGTCTCCTCGCTGTCCTCATCGCACGTCCCGTGGCGAGAACGTCCATGGGGGAATCACTATAAAGCTGCCCTGCCCTCTTCCACCCCGCGGGTGCATATACACACCAGCAGTCCTGCGCTTGTTCACGAACAAGTCAGAGACAATCGTTTCAAGATCTCACACGATCACATCGAGATTCAGCAGCCGAATGCAGCTCCAGGAGAAAGTAGCAGGGTACACTGTACTGCTCTCCTAGCACGGCAGCTGCCATTATGGAACAGCCCAACTGCCGAGCTAGCATTTGTCGGAGCACACCTAGGCGATGCCCATAGGAGACGCAAGGCATGGGAACGCAACATGGAAGTGATGCAAGCTCAAACAGAAAGAACGAAGTGATGGCTTGGACGACCCTTGGACGACTCTTTTGTTGCTGGCTCAATTCTAGAATCTCCCCCCCCCCCCCAATTCCCTAGCAGGACATTGGAAGATTCTGACGACGCTCTGCTTTCAGCAAAAGGCCGTCTCCGGCAAACGAGACATGCTCAAGCCTTGCGAGATCTGAAGGGCCTGGCAATTGGGCCCATGCAATGAACTGCGTGTCAAGAACCGGACGGCGCCCGGAGTTCGTAGGTTCGCTCCAACTGCGCTGCCTTTTGTTGGGCAGCAGCATCCCGCTTCCTCGATCTTAACTCCGCCGTTAACTGTCTGGCGGTCCTTATCGTTTCGGGGCTTTGCCTTCCAAGGCTTTCGCTTTGGGCCCGGAGAAGTCGTTGTAACCAGCTAACAGCGTCTGTCAACTGCCTTGATTTGAACTGCGCCTTAATCAATGTCTGCATCGCTTCAAGCATAAGGGGATGGTGCTCTCCCAGTCTTGTCTTGCTCTTTGTGTCGCCGAGAAGTGTCTCAAGCCGATGTATGGCATTTGGGAAATCTCGTATCATGATGTAGTCACGAGCGAGGTCAATGACAGTCCGCATCGCGCCAACGTCGTCCTTCACTTCCTGGCTTCTCAAAATGTCCTTTCTCCGTTGGATCCTTTCTGCGACGCCGTCTAGTTGCGTCAAGCTATTCATGGCTTTCCAGTACTGTCTGCGGTATTCTGGAACAGCATTTGACCGCTCGTTCAAGATCTTCTCGGTCTTGGCTCTCATCTCGGTGAAGCTGGAGCCCTTTGGAAAGCTGACCGGATGCAAGGAAGCTTTGAGCTAGGTTGATCTGGGCCGATATGAGCCCACGATGATACTTGGGGACGTTCTTCGCGGTCCATTTCTGAACCAGATCTTGGTTGATCTCAAGAGCTCTCTGAGAGAAACCTAGCTTGCTCAGACTATCTGCCACCTCTTGCATCGCGACAAGGGTATCTGTGTGGTCTTCGTCGCGAATCTTTTGGGCGTCCAGAAGGATATTCCGCTGTTCTAATGCTTTCTCCTCGAGGCCGGTCCAGCTGTATGCACGCGCCAATGCGCTTCTCGTGACGAGCAAATCCTGATCAGTTGACGACAAGCAATTCTTCTGCTCATCTGTGATTTTCTCGAGAGCTTGGAGAGCCTCATCGTGTTTGCCTATGTCTGCCAGGCTGATGGCTACGTCTCGCCTTGCCCGAAGCTCGTGATGACCGTCACCCTCACCGCGAAGGACATGTTTGCATCCATCCAGAATCTGCACCCGAAGTTTATAAGCTGCTTCGAACTGCCCGAGGGCTCTCTGACACTCTGCAAGTCGCTGCTGGCATATGAGCAATTCTGTCGTCATGGCTGGTTCGCATCGTTTGCGAGCGAGCATCTGCGCCTGTTGCGCAACACGCAAGGCTTCCTGATCATCCCCAGCGTCCGTACAGAGGCTAGACAGAAGATAAAGAGATTCGACGAACACTTGAGAAGGCATTTCCGGCCGCTCGCAAGTTTCAAGCCTCTCGCAGATCTGTTTTTGCATCCTGTAAGCTTCCGAAAATCTGCCACTGGCTTGGTATACATCAACAAAGCGACGTGCGACTTCGTAGTCATCTCCTTCCCCAGGCCACTGGAGTTTGAAGACGGCGGCTTCGTCCAACCTGGTTAGGTGATCGAGGTGAGACGCAACTTTCCGATAGAACGATCCATCCTGTTCGCCAGAGGCTGATAGCAACAGTGTTACCGCTGCTCTGTTCCACCACTTAGCCCAGTCCTCGGCGGTCAAGCGACGTCGACACCACTCGTGGACGAGCGAATGGACGTAAATGTCGCCCGTATCGGCGAACACCAGGAAAGAGTATGATTCCAGCAGGGCTAAAGAATTTCGAACCTTGTCGCGCGCCCGATCCCATTGACCGCTTTCTCCGTGTGACAGGACACTTATCACGAACTGCTGAAAGGCTTCACGATCTTCCAGGCCCGTTTCGCCGTACAGGACGTGCCAGGTTTCGTCCAAAATCTGTTCCGAGGCATTCTGGGGACGGAGAAAGCACAAGAGAGTGAGGAGCTGCACGGTCGAAGAGCCATCGGCATATTGTTTCGCAATACGGTCATAGCTCAATTGGAATGTCGCTGCTATGCGTGAATCGGCCGATTTGAGTTTCTCCTGCGCCCAGAAATATTGCCGCCACTGGCTATGGTACTGTTGTACCGTGTACTTCTGATCTCGAATATAGGCCCCTGCGATATGGATCGCCAACGGAAGGTGGCACAGGCTCCGCAGTAGAAGTACTGCCACTTCCCTCTCCGACGCCTGTCGACAAGGTCTTTCCATACGGCGCACAAGCAGATCCATCGCCTCCTCGGGATCTAGTTCCGAAAGGTGAAACCGCTGGGTGAAATCGACGTCTGAAATTCTGTTGGTCGATGTCACAAGCACGACACCATTGCCGATGGACGGTAAGCAGGATATCAGGTTGGAATATTCGACCACATCATCGAGCACGAGCAACCAGGCGTGTTCTTGATCGCCCAGCCATGCAACGATTTTGCTCACGGGATCCTCCTTACCCAGGCCAATCTTTTCGGCCATGGCCAGGAAGCCCTTCGTGAGGTCCTGGTCGGTACCGCCACTGTCGATCCAGAAGCTGTGAAGAAATCTAGACTTGTTAGCTAATTCCGCGACGCCACGCGACGACCTCACTTCTTGTGATGCGTTGAATAAAATCGCCAGGCAGCCTCCGTCTTGCCCGTCCCTCCCAAACCCCACAGCAGAATCCATGCCGGATTATCGCGTGTCGAGCCCGATTGTAGCAGGCAAGAGCCCTCCAGACTACGGGTGAGGACATCTCGTCCAACATAGAATTTGCTGACTTGTCTCCCTTTTGGGTGCAACCTGATGCTGGGAGGGCTCGGAGAGCTTGCAGTGTTGGAGACCAAAAAAGGTCTTGTATCGATCATTGGAACCCGATTTCGAACGGGACCCGGAATTGGAGTATGTGCATGAGAGCTATCTGACAGAGCATTGATTTTGCCTATGATGGGCAATTAACAACGATGTAAATGTCCCACGGATCCCCAGCGACGTCACATACCAGTGCTCAAGCTCCCCAGCACGGCCATGCAGTGCTCGAACGCATCGTCATGCTCACGCACATAGTCGCGAGCAAACTGGACCATTGAGTCTGCTTTCTCAAAATCTTCCATGCTAACCTGACCAAACCCTTGGGTGGGCGAGAATCTGAAATATTTCTTGTCGTTGAGCAAGCCTCGGCCCTCCTCGCTGTTTCTGAATTCGAGGTGTCTGTTGTGGGCGTCGGTGGTCATCGACGCAAGCGTGGTCAACACCTCGTGGAGCCTCGACTTGGTCACACTCAACGAGTCTGGTTGCGTCACGCCTGTTCCCAGACTCACAAGGCATCCAATCTTGCGACCAGGCCAGATCCGATGTGCTTCGGCCGTGACCAAGCCGACGGGATTGTTGTCGCGCAATCCGCCATCGACGAAGGTGGTCTTGATTTTTGCGCCTATCTCGATAGGCTCAAAGTACATCGGTGCTGCTGAAGTTGCTCGAGCAGCTTCCCAAACCGTACAAGGATAATGTGTCTGCCCAGGCTTGTTGAGGCGATACGTCCGAAGGAGTTCGGCATGCGTAGTGACCGCATTGACAGCGCTCACAAATCTGTTCCAGCGTTCAGTAAACTGCTATAAGTGCACCTGGCATGAGCAAACGCACGTTCGGCATGATGATTCTTCCAACTCCAGCAGAGCGACGTCGCTATCCAGGCCTTGTTTTTGCAACACGTCTTGGACCCCCTGCTTAATGGGCTCTCCGCTGAAGGCGTATTGTTTCGCCTCGCCCCCAATGAGTCTTGTAATCTTGTTCCCCGCCCACCACTTCTTAGCGAAAATTGTGCCCGACAGATCTTTGTAAGCCTCGATGGCGTCTTCGATCGACATGTGGAGACGTCCGAGCATGATAGCTATGAGGCTAGTGCGACGTCATTACTGGGACCATTAGCCCGCCATACGGAACGTCCTTACCCTCCAGTAGATGTGCCCCCGATAAGGTCAAAATACTGCCAGGGAAGAGGTGCATTTCCCTGCCCATCTCGCAGAGGGCTAAACAGCTCTTGTAGCATGATTAGCGTCGCCAATCCTTTCACGCCTCCTCCATCTGGGCACAGCATTAACGTTTGCCAAAGAGACAGATCGAGAGCCTTACCCAAACTCAAGAGGCGGAGCGGGCGATCCGCAGAAGTGGCATTGCCGCCAGTCGATGATGACATTGTGAGCGTGGATTTCTGCCCTGCCAGCAACAGGACGGAAAGCGAGACTGCTCAACCTGGCGAACGCAGAAAGAAGAGATCGCAGAGACAAATCGTCAGGACGAGGCTGTTCATGGAATTCGACTGCGTCCAAAATGATGCGCCGCCTAGATTCCCCGCAAACCCTGGTTCATGTGTTGGGCGCTCGTCTGCGCCTGGCTGATCAGTTTGCAAGTCCATTGGTGCTGCACGGGATCACCTAAAGCGGAAGCCGTAGGCGGTGTTTTCTCTTTGGATACAGCAATGTCATGTGTCCCTCGATAAAATCTTGATCCAAAGCAGTCCACCATCCAGGGGAAGGGGAGAGCACGAGGAGTGATAGACAATGCATGTTGGATAAGATAATTGCGAACTGGTCCGATTTCGCATCTCCCCACAGCGGCAAGCAATAGCATGTCGCAGCAATCACAACAGATTTAGAGGCTTACTCTCATCAAGGCAACCCCAATACTGTCGAGCTGTGTACTGGGAGAAGTCCGGGTAACCTGGCAAATCGAGACAATCGTGTGGTCTGAATCAAGGGGTGTTGACCACGTAAAATAGTGGGCGTACTCACTCGATTTCAGGGTCTCTAAGATGCCACCAGATGTCCAAGATGCCCACGATGCCCCCTATGATTTTCATTTTGTGACCTCGGCTTATATGTATGCCCTCCTGTGCCTTTGTAACTGTAAGTCCTGTATCCCCGTTAGGATCAAAGAGATGTCAAGTCACCTTGAATGCCCAAGAGTAATGATCATCTTCAGATTTTATAGATTGGTCACGATAAATCGTATTAATACGTCGATAATTTACTGCGGCGAGAGGGTCGTGAGGGCGGCTCACTTGGTTGCGCTTCAAAACACCAGAGTAGGTTAGCCGAACACACAGAGCCTTGTTACTGTATAGGAGAGTACAAAAGTGTGACTTCACGCCTGATTGTTTGATAGAGTGTCCGTCAGGCGATCGAAGAAGGCCCCGGAGTTCAAGAGGCGCCGATGAATGGCATACTCTGTGTTCAATTTGTGCTTGAGGTCCTTGTTGCGGTTGAATTGGGGTGTCTGCTATCTCATTGTCTGCGGAGACGACCAGGCTGAATGGGAGGAAGTCTTACTATATTTGATATGCATCGTTGACGAGCCGACCGAGTGTAAAACCTTTGTGAGGGAGAACATCACTCGTGATCGAATCGATCTCCAGAATCTCAACGGCCGGGGCTCGTGGTTGGCTTTTCCGCCTGGAGCCATGTTTTTCTCGCATTCAAGGGGCCAACTCGTCAAGTTTTAGGTCGCGAAATACGAACTACCCTGCCTGTCCTACAAAAGGAATCCATATGTTCCGGCAGTGCGGGAGGGGTTACTCGATGGTTTCCTGCTCGTTCTGAACCAGTCGTTGACCAGCAAGGTGCCATGGGCTAACCGGCACGAAGTCTGGAAGGCTTGCACAGATGGTGCACCCGACGGAAAGGCAGAGAGATCCGAAGAAATGGGAACGAGGCCACCATCATGCTCGCATGTGCTTCTCCATCGCAGACCATTCCAGCCATGCCGAAGATGAACGAAGGTAAATATAAAAACCCGGCCCTGAACTCCCTCGCTAAGAAACGCAGCGTCAAGCTCCTTGTCGGTTCCTGCTTGGTTGCATCACTGAGAAGGTGTGTAGGGGCTCGTCCGTATTTTCCACTTATCCTCAATCCCCATGATGCATTCCACAACTCATCGGCAAGTGCTAGCAACTTTCAAGAGAACTCCTTTCCGTCGACAGGTCATCTTCGTCCATTTCTGTCGCCGGCTTTCATGTTGGCTTGATACTGAAAACTAGACAAAACACTCCTCGTATTTCTTGCTGTGCTTGTTTGAGGCGTGATCCTCCAGGCTTTTACGTGCTGAGGTGCTCTGGAAAGTGGCGAAGCAGATTTTGCATTTAATCGTTTGCGCTGCTGCGTTCTGTTGTTTTGTCAGTATCATTAGTGATCTATCCGGGAACAGAAAACGAAGATGCAAAGAAACACAGGTTCGTGCAAGGTGAGTAAAGGTATACGGCATATGGTCATGGGAATTGGGGAGACTTCGTGGACATCGAATTGTGATATTGTGATGCGGAGAGGGCTGCGACCAGGCGAAAAGAAAGGCTCTACCATTGAAAGGGGGGGAGAATGACGTGTCGGACTGTCACTATGGACAGTTCTTCTCTGAGCCTGTTCTCCGACCCGTAACAACGAGACAAGAAAGCCAAGATTCAGGAGAACCGCCAAGGTCAGAATCCCTCAGGATCCAAATTCCCATCCTTGTCATAGGCACCCAGGGGGCTGGCTCAGACTCCGCGAAAGGAGGATTTCTCCTACAGTGTCGCCCACCTCCTTACGACCTCCAGCAAGTCCTGCCTTACCAATATGTATCACATCATCAACCAATAACGGCTGCGGCCAGGTAAAATAGTCCCACATCAAGTCTTGGGATAGAGAGGGATGTAACGTTTCAAGGTGGCGTGCCATGGAAAACCAAGCGAGAGCACAGCTCAAAGAAATGAGAAATCGAGTCATACCTTCTTCAACTGACTGCTCGGTTCCTTCTTAGCATCCTTCGTGTTCCGCTCCCGTTTCTGAGCGGCCTTGGCCCCGTTGCCCATCTTTTCGGAGTTGGATTTGTAGGGAAAGAGGTGAAATGTTGTGCTAGGTTGGAGCTCGTGGTGCGGGTGATTTCAGTTAGATGTCTTGGTCCTCGAATGGGGGAAGTTGCGAAACGCTGCCGAAAGAAAGTCTTTGAGGGATGGTTTTGGACCCAGGACAAAAGAAAGTCAGGCTGAGACCGTGGTAAAAAGGAAATGGGCGGTCAGAAATAAATTTGTGGAAGGGAAAAAAAAAAGGCAGACAGCGTGAGAAAATTATAGGCTGGTGGCTGACGAAACAGCGGCAGCGGCAGCGGCGGGCTTCGGCATCGGAAAATCTTACAGCCGATCAGTCGGTTACAGGCATGTCATCGATCAACAAGTAGTAGTAGCCCGATGAGAGAGTAGCGCCCTCACACACATGTCCAAACCCCCACATACAACTGATTCCCACTTTCCCTCTACGTCGAAATCCTATTAAATTGCAACCCGGTCCGAATATCGCCAAACTTTGCATGCCAAAGATCCCAAAAATACGAGCTCCTAGGCGCCCAAGGCCCCCGGTCCCCACCCTTGGGTAGCGTATTCGCCTCTTGAGCAGCCTTGATGTAGCTACTATTCAGATTCAGAAGAGGCACCTCCGTCACACCCTCTTTTTCGTTGACGCGCGGAACCATGCTCGTCATATTCTTCGCCTTCATGTCTTTGAGGAGACGAACCCATAGCTGTGCAGTGGCATCGGCCCCAAGGGTCCAGCTGGCATTCGTGTAGCCAAAGATGAATGTGAAGTTTGGCAGATCTTGTAGCAAAGCACCACGCCAAATGAACTTCTGGTTCATCTGGTAGGGCTCGCCGTCGACGTTGACACTGGCGCCGCCGCCGAACTGGATCTTGAGACCAGTGGCGGTAATGATGATATCTGCAGGGAGAGTAGCTCCGGATTTGAGTTTGATTTCGTTCGCGTTAATGTCTTGGATTGTGTCGGTCACGACGTCGGCTTTGCCCGTTCGCAGTGCTGCAAAGAAATCACCACCTTGGAGGGAGAAGTCAGCACGTCACTCCAACGCATGATAAGAGGGTGTGTTTTAGCTCACCGGGCGTGATACACATTCGTTGTTCCCAGGGATTATATCGAGGAACGAAGTGAGGTTCAAACGGAATATTGGCAGGCAGCTCCTTCTCGGTAGCCTCACGAAGGACGGATCGACCCTTTTTGGGGAAGAATCGACAAAATTGGAAGAAGAAGAAACCTACGAGAAGGAATCTGAGTCGAATGAGTTGATACGCCCACTTTTCGGGGAATACCCGCTTGATGAGGCCGTCGATGGGTTCGGTCAGGGGGATGGGCAGGAAATAGCTCGGTGATCGTTGAAGCATGGTCACCGATTTGGCCTTCTCAGTCATGGCGGGAAGGAGGGTCACGGCGGTCGCACCACTGCCAATGATAACGACTTTCTTGTCTGTGTAGTCGAGGTCCTCGGGCCAGAATTGGGGGTGGACGACGGTTCCTTTGAAATTCTCGATGCCGGGGATCTTAGTATTGAGGCCCTGAGTATAGTCATAGTAGCCCGTGCCCAGGAGGATAAATCGCGAGTAGTACTTTCGCTTCTCGGTACCGTCGACAGTGACATCGATCTCCCAGTGCTGATTCTCCGTCGACCAATTCATCGACTCGACTTTGTGGTGGTATTTGATGTGTTTGTCAATGCCATGTTTAGCGGCAGTGGTTTTGACATAGCTCAGAATCGATGCTGCGTCGGCGATAGAACGATCTTCCTTCCATGGGTCCCAGGGAAAGCCGAAGGTGTGAAGATCAGAATCGGACCTGATGCCGGGATACTTGAACAAACTCCAGGTGCCACCAATTTCTGCCCGTCCCTCGAGGATGGCGTAGGAGTAGTCGGGGAGACCTTCTTTAAGGCGGTAGGCAGAATTGATGCCGCTGATGCCGGCGCCAATGATAATGACGTCGAAGCTGTTGTTGGCCGCAATCATGGTGAATCGGTGGATGTTGACTACTGTACCCAGGAGGTGGTGGAAAGAAAAGAAAAGGAGGTGTAGATAAGAATATATGAAACAGACGACGTGGCGGTGGGTACGTAAAACAGTGGTAAAAATGGGGCTGGGTCCTACTTGTTATAGCCCCCAAACGTCCACACACACTGAACACGAAAGTCCAGGATTCAGGATTAGTTAAATAATATGTAATACAAAGGTGTGGGGAGAATCTCGCGTGAAAGGATGACTGCTGGAAAAGAGAGTCAGAAAACCTCGGCTGACGAGGCCAGTCCGCATCGACAAGCCTGAATCGACTCGGGAAGGATGGTGTTGGCGTGATATGATGGATGAAGAGGCGGGCAATAACCATGCAAAAGGGTGACTTGGGGTTCCCAGTTGAAGCAGGTACCAAGATACAGGCTCACCAGGCATCCCAAGTCCCCCCGTCGACGTCTACCTAAAGGTACTTGTACAGTACTTGCTAATTAGAGCAGAGAAGCCCAAACGATGCCTAAGACAGATAAGTCTGCTCCGTACTCCGTATCCACTGCTTACCCGTCCCGGGGTGGTTCTGCCGGGGAGGGGCCAGGTAAGCCTCCCCAACCAATAGCACACCAGCCCTCTTACCTGTTGGGTGGCACTGGCTGCCTTCCTTGGTACTCACCCTCGGTGCCATGCCGCGAAAGCCCTTATTGGGATTTGGCACAGTAGCCGATGTCTTGCCATTCCATCACGCTGGATGCCTCTTCGATACTCAAGAAGAAAAACACCGAGGTAAGCAGATACGAAAAGCTGCTGGTATTCGCTGCTTACCACATGTGCAATACGGGATACGATCAATTCTTGACTCGCCTGGTCCGTCGAAAATTCGTCCTTTGGGTGCGCACCCACCTTTCTCACACCTGACATTCAATCAGTCCACCACAGCATTCCCTCTCGCGTCCACCAGATGTCTCTCCACCTTCTCTGGCCCTCCTCCCACCGCTGTGCAGATGACCCGGCTCACGCCCGCCTTCAAGGTCATCAACGTCTTCTGTTCCAACCCTCCATACTCATTCGGTCGAATAGATCCTCCGAACTCGCCTTCCCAACCTGGCACTTGGGGTAAGATATTTCTGAATACTCCTGCCACCTGGTGGGCGTGCTCTGCCAGATAGTAAATCACAGCATTTGGCCCCGCGTCGAAGGTGTATGCGCAGATCAGCTTTCCTGCTTTCCGATTCGCTGTCTCCACCGCATTCATGGCTGCGCGAGACACGTCGTTCAAGTAGTGAATCGGCGGCCATGAATCCAGACAGATGGCGTGGAACGAATTCGAATCCTGCATGGTGATCCGCGCAAACGTCTCAAAATCCCTCTCTTTGATTGCTTTCTCTATCTCCTGCATCCGTTGCGGGACAATCTCCTTGAATCGTGCAGGTGCCAAGGTGGATGTCTCGACCGTGGTTTGCATACCTGCCGTTGATGGGACACCTTTCTTCTCGGCGCTGACAATCAGTATCAATGCCCTCATTTCCGGCCAATGTGAGAGCGGCGCCACCTCTTCGGCCAAGCTATCACTTCCGTCCTCGTTCGTACCAGCCCGCCAGGCAACGTAGCCGCCCATCAAGCTCCTGCAGGCCGATCCAGAGCCTTGCCGAGCAATCAAGGAGAGCTCTTTCGGGGATTGGGGCAATTCATAGAGGTCGGCAATTGCTCTGACGAGAGCTGCAAAACCTGCAGCTGAAGAAGCGAGACCGGCGGCGGTGGGGAAATTGTTGGCAGACACTAGCCGCAGTGTCCATTTCGAGAGCTTAGGTAGAGAAGCATCCTTCGACTCCAGTTCCTGGCGCAGTGAACGAAGGTGTTTTAAGCAGGCTTGTGTTCTTTTTGAAGACTGAATGTCCTCTTTTTCTCCGTTGAGTATTAGGGTGTCGGGCCCAGAGAAGGATTCGGAACATGATGCGGTGGTGTGCGTTCGTAGCGATTTCTGAGATAACGTCACGGACAGAGACGAGTTCGTCGGGAGATTCAAAGCCGTGTCACGCTTCCCCCAGTATCTGTTTCGATATTCAGCGTCTGTTCTTTGACCTCCCCGGTTGTTGCCACATGAGACGGAAGGGTGAGAGCTGAGGGGGATTTGGCGTACCTACTTGATCACGGCAATGTTGACCGGGGCAGTGGTACTTGCCCGGTAGACAGTATTTGAGCTAGACATAACTGTAGGTGGGAGATATGACTTCAACCAAGAGGTATTGTCTACTTGTAGATGCAACTCAATTCTGAGAAGATCCGATGGTTGGGGAAATTGCGGAGTGCGACGCCGAGATGAGTAAAGCCTGGCCCTGCTCACGTGCGCGCTGCTGGCGAGGCTGGTTCGCGCCAGCCAGGGACGACCACATGGGTGGTCACCCCTGGTCACTCCTAGCATTTGTCCTCGGTTTTGAGTATTTCCATCCTCGAAGCATTACAGTCCAGTTAAAGAGTCATCGAAACTCGCGAAAACCACCTCGCACATCCCCTTGAACGCTTTTTGTGCTCCTAGTCTCCCCGATCTGAAAAAGCAATCAAACATTGAGCTCAAGCCTCCTCGCCCGAATAACAAGGGTGCCGTCTGGTCAAGCCATCCTGCATGACCACGGGGTGTTGGTCCACTTTCGCCCCAATTGATCTTGTTTTTGATTCTTTGCGACTCTCTCTTTGGAGCTGCAAGCCATAGTGTGCAAGGAACATTGCAAGGAACATAGCAAGAACCCTAGTCGTCGTGCGCCACATGAAGCCTCCACCTGAGTGTCCGGAGACACGCACAGACACCAATCTCCTCCCTGTCGCTCCGTGGACATGGATTCGACTCTACCAGTACATGTAGATCGAACCACTACGCCAGCAGACCATGCCGAATCCGTCCTTCCGTCATGCCGCAGCCGGCACAGACCATGAGGCGAGCCTCTGCGTCTAATTAGTCGCGGTCTGCGTCTGTTTTTCTCGATTCTACTCCTTGAAGTCTTGCAAGCAGTCCCAACCCCCATGTGTTTTTACTAATATTTCCTTGCTGAAGCCACCCGCCACCATCCGAGCGACGACCTGCCTTTCAGAAGCAATGGCGGGACCTCGAGAAGTCGGATCCGTTGGCATTGGCATTCTTGCGCTCGCCCGATCATCGATCGCACACGCCAACAACGTCGCGCGGGACTCGTCAGAACCTGATCCCAATATTTCCAATGGTACCTGTTACTACTCGCCGGATAACCAGGCGGACCCAAGCTACATACCGTGCGGAAACACAGTTTTTGGCGTCTTTACTTGCTGTGAGGCTGGATCGAACTGCTTGGCCCATAATGCCTGCTACTCGAATGGTAAGTCTTGAAGAGCGGAATCTGCCAGAGCACTTCTAAACCCTTCAGATGGAAACACCTATCTTGCGGGTTGCACAGATCCTACATACTCGGATCCATCGTGTCCAGATAAGACCCCTTATGATGGTAGGCCGAATTCAGTGAGCCAGCGGTACTTTTGCTCGCTGACGTACGCTTCAGATCAACAGTGGACAGGTCTAGTTTATTGCAATGGTACCTCAGATGAATGGACATTATGCGATGATTCGGGCTCAGGAAGTGACACAGTCACTCCTTGGCAAGGATGCTTCTGCCCGGAAGATCAGAGTTTGCGGAATGTAGCCTTTTCTGCTCCGGCTTCTATAGCGCCGCACATCAGTTTGCCCTTGTCAAGTGGCGGGACTATGAGCCTCTTCGACGGATATAGCCTAAGCACCTATGTCACCAGCACAGCAGCTTCCACTACTACAGAAACGAGTAGCTCTTCGAGCACTCCTATCTCAACTTCCACGATAAGCTCTTCGGACACCCCTATCTCGACTTCCCACACGATCACATCGCATTCCACAACCAGCATACCCTTTGCGGCTTCTGCATCTAGTAATCCGGCCCTTGAATCCGCCCACGACGGAACAGGCTTGAGTCCGGGCGCCAAAATTGGAATAGGCGTTGGCGTGAGTCTTGGTGGCCTCATAGCTTTAGCTGTGATCTCTGCCATGGCGCTCTATATCCGTCGCTTGAAACGAGGGCAATTTAAGCAAGGAGACACCGTCACCCGGCCAAACTCTAAGCTCTCTGCAATGAGAGACGGTCAACTCGATGGCTTGGCGGATGGGTTTCCCGGTCATTCTGGCACCACATCTGAGTTGGCTGGTAACGAGTCCAGAGAATTCACTTCACTGGTGAGTCCAGCGGCAAGCCAGCGAGCGTGGACTCGCCCGATGTCCGTGGAAGTGGAAGGGAGTGTTCCCAAACATCGGAGTCTAGTGAGTCCTCAATCTCAGGAATTGGTTCGTGCTACACCAGGCCACAAGGCATATGAAGGAGCTCAAGAAATGCCCGTTGAAGTGCAAGAGGGTCCAACTTCGCGTGGCATTTCGCAGGCCTCATATCTGCCGGGCAGACAGGTTGGAGATGGTTTGTATGAGATGCCGGGTCATTTGCCCGGCTCTGAATTTCTTGAGAAGCGATTTACTTAGTTGTCCGGTCAGCTGGATGGCGTACACAAATTGTTGTTATGAGGAGCTTTTCGTCGTTGATGTTGATAAGTACTCGGATCCGCCACAAGCTCTTATATGCCACTCACCCAGCCTTGCTAGCGTGTGTCCCTGGTTAAACCTCTCGCCCCCATATTCACCCAGCATGCTGAATTTCTCAATCTTATCTCTAGGAAGGAGAACGTTAGATAGTTATGTAGTCGAACAATTCCAGTCGATAGCGAGCAGAAATCGCTCTGCTTTGCATCATCGCTGTTAGGCACCGCTGCGAGGGTTGTTTCAAACCCTTTCTCGTATTTATTGACAAATCCGGCAGCACGTTACTTCCTAAAGCAGGTGTAGCACGCTGGTCGTTTGCACCTTGGATTGGTGATTACGGACAGGCGATTGGCACTCCGCCCCAGGATAAACCCATCCTGTGCCGACCCTAATGGAAGATATAAAGGTTCTGAGTTCTTCTTAATCTTTCTATTCCCTTTCCTGCCCATCTAGACAGTCAAACGATCAGCAAATCTAGTGCTCTCTTCCCACGAAATCATGAGCAGAGAGATAGATCAGGAATATATCCGCTTCTCCATCGCGGCGGACAAGACTGGATCCATCTTCTGGCGCGTTGATTTTGCCCGCACCGCCAGTCCCAACGACGAGACAGATACTGCCGAGGCGACCGGGATTCCGCTGCACCAGCGACGACAACCGGTCGAGATCGAAGACGCTACGAATATCTCCAACTTTGAGCGAAGATGGAGGACTCTGACCCTACTGGCAGAGGAATGGGGATGGTTGAATGGTTCCGGTCAGTATTAGGTCTCTGCCCCCCTTCATAATATGCATTAAGTCTAATTGGTCTCGGCTCATAATATCTCAGTGCGAATGATATCCCAAAAGCACCAGGCCCCAGTCGTCATCTCATGGGACATCCAATCATCAGCTTGGGAAGCTCGAGCAGCGAATCGACATGGCAATGGAGGTGACGCTGACGACAATGAAATGCAAGTTCATCCAGTAGGCACAGCAACTGTGAATGGAAGAACGTACCCCGTGTACAAGGAGACGGTGGAGAACTCGATATTTCCAGATCCGCTGCAGGAATTGCCCATGTTTTATGCCTCGTTCATCCGGCCCACTGGCGAGAAGGGATAAGAATGGTTCTCATGTGTGCAGATGATATGTGTCACTGTTGATGATGAGGGGTGCAATTCCCAAGATCTTACCCTGTGTCTGTGCGACATGGTCGAGTTAGTGCTTTGCCGGCATCTGTTGCAAAGTCGGACGGGAGAGAGCCTCACTAGATAGATCGTTCTGATGTTGACTTCTCTAATACCGTGCTTCTTCTTCAACGCACTTACTCCGTGTTCATGGTCAAAGGTGCACGCCGGGACCCCACGTTTGGCTAGAGCATTGCCAGAAAGACCGGGCAACGTAGAACTAAATCGCCCTAGAACATGCTCGGGTGATCTTGATCGGTTCTGATCCGTGAAAAAAAGGTTGGGCAGAGAGTTGGTTATGAGAGAGAAGGGAGGGAAAGTAAGGCTGGCTATCGAGGGGCACCAAGGTTGACTACGTACAGTACCACTAGTAGTTAGTCTATTTCTCGCTCCATATTTTCTGCGATCAGGCTGTGGCCCCCGCATCCTCGAGTCTCCAAAGTGCAAAGCGAGAGCTAGCTTCCTTCTCATTGGAAACTTTTCTTCGATCACTGCTATACGGAGTACAGGCCCTTTTTTGTTTACAGCTCCTGTAAATTAACATGTAACATAAAACACAAACACAGATTACCTAAAAGAAAATGGGTTGGTGGAAAGCAGACCCCGGCCCGGAGCCTCAAGCACCCCAAGCGCCTCAACAAGCATCCTCGCAATCTTCGATCCCTCCAAACCACCCACAACCCTCTGCAGATTCTGCTTCAGCCTGTCCCGTCGACCCAAAGACACGAGAAATATGGCTCCAACAAGCCCAGCAGGTGAAGAAGTCACAATCACAAGGAGGAGAAACACACCCGCAAACACGCCCACAGACGCAAAGGCAAACACAACCCTCCTACCTACCGACCTCGCACCCTCCGCTTCCCAATCCGACAACGATATCATCGCAAGAATGCTCCTCCGACCGCATCTCGCAGGACCATAGTCTCGAGAGTCAGTCGGCGTACCCGACCGCGCGCCCGCTTTCACACGGCCGCGTCGTCTCCTCCATCCCACGCGCCTTCCCGCAATCCACCCAAGCACCGCCCTCTCTCACGTCGACAACTTCGACGACAAGCATGAACACGGGCACAAGCGGAAGAATAGACACAAACATAAACATACCAGCAAACGCCGAGTCCGAGACCGGCGCTTCCGAGAGCGGCAACTGGATCTACCCGTCGGAGCACCAGTTCTTCCATGCGGTGATGCGCAAGCAACAGGCCATGTCCTCTCCCTCTTCGTCATCATCATCAACAAACCCGACGGCCCTGGCCGCGTCGGTCTCGGCCATCATCCCGATCCACAACGCCGTCAACGAACAGGCCTGGGTGCTGATCAAGCGGTGGGAAAAGGGCTCGTCGGACGCCTGCGGCGGCCCCAAACTGCTCTCATTTCAAGGGCTAGGCGCTGGCGCAAAGTCCCCCAAGGCCCGCTGGAACGCGCTCTGGGGCTACACCGAGCCCTTTGATCGCCACGACTGGGTCGTCCAGCGTTGCGACGGGACCAAAGTCGAATATGTCATCGATTTCTACCAGGGCAAGGCCCCACGCGAGGGCCAGAACGGGAAGCAAGGCAACAACGCTTTGAACTTTTACCTCGACGTACGGCCGAAGCTGAACACGATGGAGGGATGGAGGATGAGGGCGGAACAGTTGTTTGGATGGAGATGACATCGAACGGATGGGTGTAGACGGGAAATATGTTCCAACAAAGGTGAGGGAAAGCTGGACAATACCCGTACGCCACAAAGGTAGTGTCTATTGTATTATAGTGGTAGGGTATATGGCTGAGCTCCGTCACTCGAGAAAGTAGAGGTACCTATACTTGTATACAAATCTCAAGTCAATTCAAGTCTATCTCGTGACTAGGTACAACTCCCATTCACTCGACCCTTACACAACCTCCGTGAAAATTTGGTGGATAATGATGCCTCCTTGACCCTAATCCCGTTCCTGTCCCTGTCCCGTGGCTTTGAGTTGGTATCATAGGAAGAAGAGGAGGCAAGGTAAATCGCACTGAAACCAGCGGATGGAGTGATGGATATTGTGACTTGGTCAGGAATTCGAGCGGATTCCTCCACGCCGCAACTTCAGCCACGCCGAATCCTGAACATCATATGTTCCACTCATTGCCACCTTATGCGATATCCTTTAACCTCCGAATCGAATGCAGGTGTCAACGCAAGAGATTGTCCCTGACTGATATGTATGTTCTTAATTACGCATCCAGAGCCCGCAAAACAAATGGAAGAGCCAACGTGAAAGTTGCGATGAATTCGAATATCAGTCGTTTCAAGTCGTTAACCCAAGGTATATGCACCCATGCCACCCACCGCCCAGAAACAAAGGAAATTCATAACGGTGTGACGTGTATCCGTGACCCTTGATGTAATTGTATGCTGGTTCCGTTCTTCGGTTTCGCCTGATGGACTCTTTCCGGTCCCTGTTTCACCAGTTGCCTGTCCGAATCATTGGCTGCTCCATGCCATATGTGTTGGAGAACAGTTGTTGTCGAATGCTTTGTTGTTGTGAGGGTTGGTTACTTTGTCTTAGCCAGCCGAGGGCCTGCATCAACTCATCATACGCTTCCCTCAGCCGACCACCACTCTTCTCATTGTGCACTCGGAGTTTGTCTTCCCACCCATTGAACTGCAGTTGATAGCCTCCACCTCTCTTGCTGGCCTCTTTGATGACACTAGCCCATGCCTTTGAAATTTCCTCGTAGGCATTCTGTTTAGCGAGATTGTGCTGTGGGTTGTCCCATTCGGGGAGATCATGGATGATTTGGGTAACATCATTCAGATACTCCAACGTGGTAGATGACTGATGTTCATTTGGCGGCAGAAAATGAGGGGTGAAATCAGTAAGGGCATCAAGGAGTTCGTGCCATTGAGGCCGTACACGATCATAGGAATAATCGGAACGGGGATTGGGCCCGAGAGGGAAGGAGTTCATCAGTCGTGTATAATATTGACGCAAGACTTGTAGGGTGCTCTGGATGCTGGGTCGAGGGCTGATTTGGACAACCTCATCTCGAAGGCTTGGATGTCTCTCGCACAGAGTCTTCAGCACCGACGTCAGAGAATCCTTGTCCAGCGTTTCAAGGAGTCTTTCCACTGATAAAGGCCTGCCAACCAGATTTGGACGGACTCGTTTTCGTGAAGCAGGCGTAGAAGCAGGAGGAAGCCGGGCGTTTGGTAGGAAAGGCGAAGTTGACATTTCATCGTCTCGATCGGGCGAGGGTGAGGCTTTTCGTTTCCGAGAAGGAGTAGAAGCCGACACTGATATGGCGGTTAGTGGACGGCGAGAGATCCAACCTGACGGATGCAGCTCACTCGATCTGTTGGGAGAGAGACGAGAGTGTTCATGGAAGTGAGGAGGGACGGGAGGCGTGGCCAGGCTATTCATTTTGGCTCTGGCCTTTGGAGGCCCGATGATCTCGAGGTGCGCTGTTTATGTCCAAGTCAAGCAGAGACGACAGGTGTTCGCTCTAAGATTTGAGGATGAAGATGTGATAGATGATAGTTAGGGAAAGAAGACGTTGCTCTGATGGTTTTCACAGTCGGCAGAGCAGCGGTGAAGAGCTGGAAGACGGGGGCAGGTGTGGTGATGTGGATGTGATGTGATGAAGGAAAGTCCAAGTTTGAAGTCTGAGTGGAGGGTCAGTTTGTCATTCACTGCTGTGGCAGCTGGTGGCCGTAGTGGCCATGGCCGTGGCCTGTAGTGGCAGCAGTGGCAGCAGCGGGTCGAAGTGCCAATGATACAAGGGCTTGGAGGCCCGTTAGGCGGATGCCATCCAACCTGCCGGGGCACTTACGGGGCAATTGGCGGGCAGCCTCGGACTTGTTGATTTGTTGCCGGCCTCTGAACCAAGCCTTTTAGGTGCCTCTAAGTGCCATTAGGCAGCCACTTCTCTTACAACCAAGGCAAGGTGCTGGTCGCTGCCCAATCCATACCCGCTCGTTTGATCAACCGAAGACTGGCCTCATGCAATGCAGCTGGCTAACTTTTCTTTGAACACCCTGCATTAAGACGAAGGAGACAAAGGGAATACGAGGCCCGGAGCGAATTGCACAAAGGAACCCATCCAAGAGCAGTCTTTCATTACCATCACCCAGTTGAACACGTCGGTGTTCAAGTTGTGTGTTGTGTCCTGCGCCGCCTCCTGCCACTGCCAGGCAAGAGTGAGGTGACGTGCGTAGAATTGAAATGTGTCAAGAGAAGGGAAAGAGGAAGCTATGTACGTAGAGCCCTTCCGTAGCCATGATTTGCCTCGTCATCAACATTGAAAATGAAATAACACTGTCCTCAGCACAGACATGGCCTCAGGCAACAGCATCACACCTGGTCCGCCACATCAAGCGCCACGAATCTGTGCATGTCTACTAACAAACAAAGCCGTGGGTATCGTGCAATCACAAAAAACTTTTCCTCACAGGTACTGAATGAGGGTCTCAAGAAAGGCGCCCTCCGCTCGTCGCTCTCACTCGGTATTGTCGGACCTAGAGATACAGTGACTGAGCTGCCACGATGTCTCGCCTTACCTTGTTCAATGCCTCCTCGAACTTCTTCTCCAATTCTTCGCTTCCCATGACTTTCGAGGCTTCGGCCATCTGACGCAATGCTTCTTCGAGTCGGCGGAAAGTTCGGATCAAGCTACCTTCATACACATCGGTCATTTTGCTATACTCAAAGTCAGCGTTTGCCACCCTCGGCAGCTGTCCGAACCTACCAAATCTCTCCGAATGATTTACCAGTGGCCCATGCATAAATTACCGGCATAAGCTGCCATTTGAAACCTTGAACATACTCTTCCTCATTCATAGCCAACTTTGACTCCACCGACACTTTGGCAATGTGTCTGGCTTGTCTCTGGATCTCACGCAAAGGCTTCGCAAGGTCCTCAGGCAAGACAGGGGCCTCATTGACCTTCTCCTCAAAGACAAAGCAACTCATGACAGCTGCGCATTGTTCCGGCGTCATGTCGTTGAAGAATCGGTTGAAAAGAAGCTCACTAAGCATCAATTCATCGCCAGTGCTAATCTCACAAGCAACACGAGCCTTGAGCTGGACCACTTCATCCTCATTGATGAACTGCAATCGGCGGAGAACTCGCTTTCGGCACTTCAACTCTTCCAATTGCATGATTGCATGTGCATCTTGAATTTGCTTTTTCAGATTTCGGATTTTGTTGGTAAGCGCCACCTTGGCCGCGTACTGGTTGTAAAGGCCTTCAAGGCGAGGAGAGTGGTGCAGTGGATTAGCCACCAACCTAGATTCCATGATCTCAATCTTGCGAAGGAGATCCTTGAACGAGTTGTCGGTGATTTTCATGTTCTCCACTGGATCCAGCACGGCCAGGCCGTCGGGGAACCGTCTTTTCACTTCTGCCAATGACTGTTGCACCTTCTTCTTCTCCTCGGAAAGTGTCATGTCGGCAGGAGGAAATATGCGAATATGAGAGATCTTTTGGACGCATTTAAGAAGCACCGGGACGACTTCGACTTTGGACTTCTCACCAGGCTGAGGAGGACGAATTCCTTGTGGAAGAGACTGAAAAGTCTTCGTTGCCGGAGCAGGGCCTTCCGCAACTTCCAACGCAATATCGAGAATCCACTCCTCCTGTGGAGTTAACCTTTCTGTCGATTTGCCTTGACTTCTTCTCGCAAAGTTCAGGACTGCTCCCCAGCCAAAATCATACTCTCCATCCTTGATCTCGACCAAACGACCCGGCTGCATAAAAGGTAGACAGTAGTTGGGATGGATAATGACCATGCGCATGTCTTCGGCATAAACATCAAGCTGTTTACGAAGCTCATAGTAGGCTCGGATTGAGCTTTCGTCTTCGATGACCATGGCTGATTTCTCTGCTTCCAATTGCTGTAATTCTTTCTCAAGACCAGAGACACTGGCAGTATTTTGAAACTGATGGAAACATCTCTCAAGCATGAACTCGGGAGAGATGCCTTCGACGCGAAGCAGGTTTAGAATCATATTGTAACCAAGGTAAAAGGCAGAGTTCAATTTATCCTGCTCGCCACGAACGATGTCCTTGGCCACACCAGGTTCCATCTGTTGGTCGATCATCATAATGACAATCCCCCGCTCATCAAGTCCACGACGTCCCGCTCGGCCAGACATCTGGATAAACTCTGATGGCGTAATCCATCGTTGTGATATCCCGTCAAATTTGCGAACACTGGTAAAGACAACAGTCTTGGCTGGCATGTTGAGCCCGATAGAGAATGTTTCGGTTGCGAACAGAACCTTGATCAATCCTTCCTGGAAAAGAATTTCAATGGTCTCCTTGAGAATCGGCAACAGGCCGGAGTGATGGATGCCAATGCCTCTCCTCAGTAACGGCAATAAGTGTTGGATTTGCGGCAAATTCTTGTCTTCGGGCGAAAGCATTTCCAAAGCGCTGTCAAACACTTTCGAGACCATGGCCTTCTCCGAGTCTTCATTGAAGGACATGCTGCTCATTTGAATGGCATAGGCCTCGCAATCTCTCTTGCTGAAACTGAAGACGATGACCGGGTTGTAGTTCTTTGTCATAATCATGCGGACAATCTTGTAGATATCAGAGGGACCCTTGGTGCCTCCTTTATTCAACTTCTTGTCCTTTCCTTTGCCCTTCCTTCGGGCCAAGGCATTTGCGGGGTCGTCACCTTGTTTGTCGGCAATGGAGCTCATAGCCTTTTGGAAGTTTTCTTCGCGGAACACACCCTTTTCATCCACAATCAAATGGATCCCGTCAGCACCAGCAGGGAAGAAGTAGTGTTGCAGAGGGGTAGGTCTGAAATCTGTGTAGACGACATGACATGGTTGATTATGGGTCTTTGTGATCCATTCAGCAAACTGCATAGCGTTCGGAATGGTCGCGGACAAGAACACATAGCGAACCTTGTCTGGCAGGAGAATAATTGTCTCTTCCCACACAACGCCTCGAACTTTGTCTCGAAGGTAGTGAATCTCGTCAAAAATCACCCAGCCCACTTCACGCATGATCTCGGATCCACGATAAAGCATTGAGCGTAGAATCTCAGTGGTCATGACAAGGCAAGTGGCTGTAGGATTGATGGTGACATCTCCGGTCATAAGACCAACATCCCCAAAGTCGGCTTGAAACTCTCGATATTTCTGGTTGCTCAGTGCCTTGATGGGACTGGTGTAAATGACGCGCTGGTTGTTCTTGAGACACTGAGCGATTGCATATTCAGCAACCACGGTTTTGCCTGCGCTGGTGTGAGCGGAGACAAGGACGCTCTCATTTCGTTCAATCGAGGCAATAGAGACTTGTTGGAAGGGATCAAGCTGGAATTTCCACGTCCGAGCAGGTTCTGCAGGTGGTTTGTGCTCTGAGATGGGCACGTAGTCATAGTCTGGGGGCAAAGCAACTTGGTGACGAACTTGATGCGACAGTATAACCTTCTCTTCTTCTTTACCCGGAAGCAAGCCAGCCGATGCGGCGACTTCTCTCGACTGTTCGGTCTCGAAGGTATCCGTGACAACAGGTTCTGGTTCTTCTTCCATGCGCATGCGTTTGACATCTGGGGCCTCGCCATCAGTCATCTCCTTGTCAACATCTTCCGACACGGAGGAAGTCCCGTCACTAGAAGGGGCAGGTGGCTCTCCGCCGTCGGGATCATCTTTCACTTCGCCGTTGGCCTGTCGCTTCAAGCGCTTTCTTTGTGCTTTCGTGAGTGACGTAGCAGGCGGCGCCTGGTCATTTTCTTCGAAAACGTCAAACAGCTCATCCATTTTTGCAAAGGCTTGGATGTTGGCCCGACCGTGAAGAGAGCGTCGCAACTGTCGACGGTGAAAAACATTGCGGCGAGCAGGGCGAGATGGCACCGGGAGAAATAATGTGCAGTCTGTAAATGGAAGGTGCGCCGAAGGCCTCGCCAAGTCGAGTGGACTGAGCAGTGAGTGGACTCGGTGGAGAGCTCCTAGACTGCAGCTTCGATCAATTGAGACCAACATCACCTCACCTTTGTTCATCACTACCAACACCACCATTGCTGGAGCGCGAGAGAGAAACAAAGGTATGATGCACGCATTATGGTGTGGGAGCCTACTAATGCACTCTCCAGATGAACGCCCAAGCTATCCTCCGCGCCAGAACGGCAACCCAACTCCTCGCCCGCCGCGGCTTCTCCTCCACCGTCCGTCGAGCAGACCAGTTCAGCCCTTATCACTACCCTGAAGGACCTTACACCAACTTGCCGTTCAATACAAAGACGAGATTCTTCTGGCTGCGGTACTGGGGTTTCATGCGTAAGAAGACGATTGGAGCTTGAGAGACACACGAGACTAAATCATGTACAGTCACAGGATTCGGGATTCCGTTCGGCTTGGCCGGTAAGTGTCTGCCACAGGCCATTTTGAAGAGATATACTGACACATGAACAGTCTGGCACACGTACAAGGCTTGAGAGAATCGGAGAGCATGGAGTCTACAATAGGCTGTCGAATCGCGTGAGGAACCGGTGCGGGAATGGCACTCCCACAACCGGAATTTGTACAGAGCCAGAAATAAAATCAGAGTCGCCATCTTGGATGTCCGTTCGCTCCTATTCTCTCGCACTTTTCGTTCCGGAGATGTTTTTCTGCCTTGTGCTGTTGGCAAGTTGGTTTGCCTTGTCGCTCATGCTCAAGAAGGAGCAGAAGGCTGTCCAATCAGAATCCGTGTAATGGCCCCGTAAATTTATTTCGCCAAATATTTTTCATACACATCTGGCTCGCTGGGGCACACTTCAACTTTTCCGTCCACCACCAGGCCGTACGATGTAAATGCCGCCTCCCTGGTCGTCACGATGCGGAATCTAAGGACAATAGCATATCGTGAGACTCAGCTACCGCAAGGTTTGCCACTAACAGCCACAGCATGGGACACAGCGACGGATACAATAATCTGTGCATTCGGACCAACTGCCACACAACCCATCATCGAGCTCAAAAGAAGAGCGGACAGGTCTTCTTGTCATGGTGAATTCGTGACTATAACTTCATGGGACTCTCCATGCCCACTGCCGTACTTAGAATGCGATCAGATCCTACATCTCCAATATTTCTCAGACATTGCAACATGTTGCCTTGTCCTTGCTGGCGGGGATGTTGTGGTTGTGCGCGAGGATCCAAATCCAGACCAGGAGAAGATCGAAATTGTCGGCACCGTCGATGTCGGGATCTGTGCTGCTGCTTGGGCTCCGGATGAAGAACTACTGGCCATCGTCACCCGTGCCGAAACACTCGTACTGATGAGTAGGACTTTCGACTTGCTCAACGAAGGTCCCTTATCGCCGGAAGACCTCAAAGTTTCCAAACATGTGTCAGTTGGCTGGGGCCACAAGGAGACTCAGTTCCAAGGCCGACGCGCAAAAGCTATGCGAGATCCTACGATGCCGGAAACGGTTGATGAAGGCAAGCCGAGTCCTTATGAGGATAGCAAAGTTACGATCGGCTGGCGAGGGGACGGGCAATTCCTGGCCATAAACAGCGTGGTGCCTGATCATCGTCGAGTTATCCGAGTCTTCACGCGTGAGGCTGTCCTGGACAGTGCCAGTGAACCGGTCGACGGTATGGAATCTGCATTAAGCTGGAAACCTTCGGGGAATCTCATTGCCAGTGTCAAGCGATCCGAGGATAAGATTGAGGTTATCTTCTTTGAGAGGAACGGTCTCCGTCATGGTCAATTCGATCTTAGAATGAGTAAAGAAGAAATGGACGATTGGGCGTCCAGCATTTCCCTCTTATGGAACACAGACTCGACAGTTTTGGCCGTCGTATTCAAGGACCGGGTACAGTTTTGGACGATGGGGAATTATCACTACTATCTGAAACAAGAGCTTCTATTCCATTCACCACCAAGCAACTCGTCACTAAGATGGCATCCCGAAACACCTTTGAGGACGACCTGCGGTGACACCAAGAGGCTCCTCGATATCACATTCCTTTCCGCAGTTTCGAGGGGTAGCTTGGTCCCTCCCCAAGATCATGGCATCGTTGGAGTCATTGACGGCAAGACCTTGAGGCTCACCCCCTTCAAACAAGCCGGAGTCCCACCACCAATGGCTTTCTGTGAGGTCCTCTTTGACCACAATATTATTGACTGCGTCATCGGTCAGGATGGCCAACGAATCGCAGTCCTAACGACAGATACCCTGGAGCTATGCCAATGGAAGACTCGCACTAACAGTAAAGGCGACTTGATATTTTTGACAGCAATCGAGCGCTCTTCCTGTCAGCTTCCGACCATCAAGACACAATCAGACCCTCTCTATCATACTCAGGTGGCCTTCAGAGATGACGAGATATTTGTTGTCGCACCAATGCAATCAAGGACAACGGCGTCTTGTTGGAAGTTAAAGTGGCACCAAAGGTCAAGCAGCGCTTGGGAGCAAGTTCCTGCTCCTGATTGTTCTGAAAGCCTAATAACAGACATCTTTTCCAAGTCTATTTTCGCGACCGATCCGTGTGAGAATGCCACAGTCCCACTCTCAGGCTATCCTGGCCCTGAGTCCATTAAACTGAGCGGTAGTCAGCCCAACAGCGCCATCTTTATGCTCCACAACGACGAATCTTTTCAACTGAATGATGAGATGAACGGCCACGCTCCGGAATACCATAAAGTCTCCCTATCGCTCAAGGGAAACCTTTACATCGACGACACGCTCCTCGTCCGCGAAGTGACGTCCTATATATTGACCTCCACACACTTAATCTTCACCACGTCCTCACATCTCCTGAAATTCGTCCATATCACTCATCCTTCGGCAATGCAAATCCCCAATGACACGCCGGAGATCGACGAACGGTGCAGAAACATCGAAAGAGGCGCACGCATCGTGACAGCTGTCCCGTCCATCTACGCCGTGGTTCTCCAGATGCCACGCGGAAACCTCGAGACCGTCTACCCACGTCTGCTAGTTCTTTCGGGAATACGCAGGCATCTTAAGCAGGAGGATTACCTTGCTGCTTTTCTGGCCTGCCAAACCCACCAAGTTGATATGAACATACTGTACGACTATGATCCAGACACCTTCTTGTCTAACGTGCCCAAATTCATCAATCAACTTAGGAAGCCCAGCCGGGTGGATGGTTTCCTCTCGAAACTCAGGGATGAGGACGTCTCGGAGACGCTCTACCGCGATACGACATTACAACCTCAACTTGACCCACAGCCACGATCAATATCGAATCCAAACCCCACCGTCGCTCTGGGGAGCAAAATCAACCAGATCGCCAACACGTTCCTTGCCGTCCTATCTTCAAAACCCTCCTCTTACTTGCAAACTATTATATCAGCCCATGTCTGCAAACGCCCTCCAGACTTGACCTCTGCCTTAACACTGGTCTCCTCCCTCCTTCAAACATCAAAAGAAGAGGCGGACGTTGCAATCTCTCATCTTTTTTTCCTTACACCCAATCCATCTCTACTGTTCGACGCTGCCCTGTCCCTCTACGATCTCGAGTTGACACTCCTCGTTGCGCAGAATGACAACTCGAGAGATCCAAGGGAATACATGCCCTATCTGGAATCTCTACAGGAACTGCCGGAGTTGAGGCGCAAGTATGCGATCGACGATCACCTCAAGAAACACAGCAAAGCGCTGGTCTCGTTGCATGCGATGGGGGAGCACGAGGAAGCCGTAATCTACACTGTCAAACATTCCTTGTACACCACGGCGATGGAGCTGTACAAATACGATCAAGTTCATTTAACAGAGATTACGTGCATGTACGCTGAATATCTCACAACCCAAAAATCCCACCATGCGGAAGCCGCTACGCTGTACGAATCACTCAGCGATTACGATGCTGCGTACAAGCTGTACGCATTGGCACACAAGTGGCGAGAAGCCCTGACCTGCGCGACTCTGGTTCCCCTGGCAGCTGCGCAGGTTCAATCGCTTGCTCAGAGTATGGCAACAACGTTGACGGATGAGAACCGCGACTATCGAGCAGCAGCCACAATCCACATTGACTATCTCTCCAACATCCCCGAGGCGGCAAAACTCCTGTGCCGGGGATCTTATTTCGCTGAAGCAATGCGCATTCTTGCCCTTGACAACCACCCGGTTTCAGAAATCCACCACATCATAGACGCAGGGCTAGGCGAAAAAGTCGGCGAGATCCTCGAGCTCCTCGCAGACTGTCGCGCACAACTGAACGCCCAAGTCCCGCGCATCGCTGAGCTGCGCAAGAAAAGAGAGGAAGACCCCTTAGCTTTCTTTGGGGGTGATCCCACCATTATCACTGCGGACGGTAGCGGTGCTGCTGTAGGCGATAACATCCCGGATAACATTTCCCTCGCAGCCACGGACGCCAGCACATTGGGCGGCCAGAGTCTCTTCACTCGTTACGGAAGCAACGCGAGCAAGTTCGGCGGCACGGTGGCGTCCAACGTGTCTAGGAAAACGTCAAAGACGAAACGCCGCGAAGAGCGCAAGCGTGCCCGCGGTAAAAAGGGCTCTGTCTACGAGGAAGAGTACCTCGTTGCCAGCGTCGGCAGGTTAATCGACCGCGTGAACGGCCTCCATGACGAAGTCGGTCGTCTCATTGCGGGTCTTTTGAGACGCGGCATGCGAGAACGAGCGAGACAGGTCGATGAAAACATGAAAGAAATCTGTCAGGCCTGCGAAAGAGCCAGAGAGGACGTCTGGGAAGTGGCAAGAAAGGATGAGAAAGATGGCCAAGTTGAAGAGAGTACGCATGACAAAGACGGACAAGGAAGACCTCCTGGGGCAGAAGGTGTGTTTTGGGATAGTCAGCAGGAAAGCCAGAGAAAAAGAGAAGCACCTGAGGTGAAGGGTTGGATTTCAAGTGAGCCCCTTAGCCTCATAAAAGGAGGTGCTCACGACTAGAAAATCCTGGATCTTGCTGGTGCTATCTGACCTGTTCCATATCTCTTCTCTGGAACAAACGGCCATTTGGAGGATTGGATCCAGACCATCCGGAAGGCTCCAACCTCGGAATCTTATCCTCTGATATTCGATGCCTGTCCTTTGTACCATCTCTTTGAGTTTCTTTTTGAAAGAGCCTCCTCTGAGCTGGCTGTTCAACGGCTTTGTGCTTAGGCTTTTCCTGCACTTCATTGGGGCCTGGTGCCTGTACTGCCTTTTTGGCCTGATTGAGGTCGGCAATACCCAGACCTTGATCAATCAAATATACCTGGAAAGCTGACAGTAATTCCTTTAGCCCAGCCCTTAATCTTTGAATGATGATTTCAACTTCTTCGATTTCACCTGTAGCACCTTCCTTGTGTTTTGAGACAAATTCTTCGATGACGTTTAAGGTTTTGGTGAATGTTCTAACAGTGTCAGGCACCGTTGGAGTTGCTTTGCCGTAGGTATCTTCAGTGAGACTGGCAATCTGCATTTTGGTAACTGACTCAATGACATCGACAATCAATGCAGCGTTCCCATACGGAGATCCGAGGACCATGGATTTAATTTTTGCGGCATTTGTGGAGACGAAGAACCAGCCAACTCGACTTTGCTTGAGAGCAACCATCCATTGATCTGCAAGACTTTCGGCCGCTGGCTGGGGCGCACCAGGTGGCTTTGCATATTCGAGCAATTTTGTTTCGACTGATTTTGCCGTCTGCTCGATAGGTGGGTGCCATGGCTGTTTACTGCTGCCAATTTGGCGCAAGGGACTCGCCAGGAGCCTTTCGCCCATGGTTGGTTTCGGGCTTGCCTGAAGAATTGATTTCGTGGGCAATTCGGGAACAATGTGTGGCAAAGATTTGATTTGGTCCGCAGCGCTAGGCTGCGACACTGCTGGTGGAGGCCCTACAATGCGGGTTTGTACTTCTTGCAAGATTTGCAAACCAGCCTGTACCATTTGACTCCACATTGGTCCAGTGGGTCGTTCAATATCTTCAAAAATCGCCTTTCGGCGTTCCTTGTGTTTGTGAGCAATGATCGTCAACTCCCAAAAAGCAAAAGTCCTCACGACATCTCGTTTGGCTCTTAATCCATTGAGAAGTGTTCCGTTGGGATCTTTGCTAGAAGCAGAAAGAGGCAACCCTGACTTTGTGGGTTGCTGATTGAGATAGATCAAGAAGAGGATCGAAGTCAGCTCCCATGTTAGAATGAGAAGAAATCCGGCACTGAAACATCGGAAAAGATACCAGGGCCCTAGAGGAGGATATCCTATAGGTCGAGCGTTTGCTCTTGACAGGTTGAAGAACGGCTTTGCCATTGCAAGATGGAGCTGCCAGAAGATATTTCGTAGAAAAAGGCCGTAAATGAAAGGGGCCACGACGATGGTAAATGCTGGGATGGTGGCACTCTCCATGAGCACAGGGAACAACTTGCGTTGCAGCCGCGTCTGAATCGGCTCGACCGCGTGGGTGTCATGTGCTTTGATGTCAGGGGTGGGTGTGCTCGGTAATTTCGAGACGGGGATGAGGAGGGATGAGTTTCCGCGATAGAGATGAAGTCCTGCATATGCGACTGCAAGAATTAAGGCATGAAGACGGAAGAATATGGGTTTCTCATTCAGAACGTCAGGGGTGGTATGGTTTCCCCTTGTGATCCAGCCAAGATCCGGAGCGGACCAAATGTAAGCTTCAGTGAACCACCATCCCGAGACCAAGTACCAAAAGAACGTCTGCAGAGCAGATGCGCTGAGGAAATTTGTTCGGAAAGTCGCGAAAGGGGAAGTCGTCGTTAGCCTGCCGATGTGGAGGGTGGCTATTTGGAGGATGAAGACGAACAGGCTGGACATGAAAAATAGCAAGGCTTTGATTCCAGCAGGTCCGAAAGGGAACCATGACCAGAAGATGTCTTTCTTCGATCCGAGCCAAAAGGCATTATGGAGAGCGGCGAGGAGGGTGATAAGCGCAGCATGCACAAATCGTTTATGGAGAGCGGAGGTCAAGAATCGCCGGTAAGGTCGTGGGGGAGGGTTTAAGGAGGCAGGAGCGGGACTCGCCATTGTTGTTGGCAGAATGCTAGGAGAAGGAGATCATGATATAGCGGAGCAGTCTTCGACCAGCGAGCGCTGCGGGTGACGAAGTTGCAGCTTTCCAAGAGATGAGGAGGATGAGAAGGGAATGAAAGCGCAGTTCCTGGTGGAGTTGAAATTGTAGTAAACAAAATTGTGCAGGCAGGCTCGCAGGCAACGTGTTTGGGGGAATGACGCCAGTCCACGTGATGCGGAGGAACAGGAGGCTGGTTTCGCAAGTGCCGCATTCGAAGCGCCTTACTTCGACCACTTCCTGCTGTGCAGGCTTCCGCCATTCCTTCACAGCGATCAATTAATCCACCTTCTTTTGTGCTCTCCATCTCTTCGAGTGATTCCTGCGGATAGCGCGACAATATTCCAGAGACAGTCTACGAGTGAGGAACGCCATGTCGTTCGACAGACTATCGTCACTCGAATCGCAACCTACCACCACCCGGCGGCAGGATGATCCTCAATACAGAGATGACCCCGAGTTTCAGAAGTTCACCGAGTCGCTGTCTACTCGGCTCTTCGAGCTGACCTCAAACATCTCGCGGCTTTCCAATCAGCTCTCCAAAAAAGATACCGAGAGAGGCCGAGAAAGGATACATGATTTGCTGGAGGAGACTAGAGAGGGCTTCAAAGAGGTTGGAGATGGTGTCAAGAGGGCGCAAACTTGGCCAGATCTTAATGTCAGTAATCTTGATTCGGTGATTTCACAAGACACTAATTCCCCAATTAGCCTGCGCAACGATACACAAACCAGAAACTCTCACGAGAGTTTGCCTCCGCCCTGTCCGAATTCCAGGTGGTTCAGAGAAGGGCCATAGAAAGAGAACGGGCATCGAAAGCTGCTCTTGAGGAGGCTCAATCAGCCCAATCGCCATCAGGCGAAGGTGGTCAACAACGACAGCTGCTTGAAGAGCCTCGGCTCGCAGAACAAAGTGAGGTCGACTTTCAAGAGAATTTAATTATCGAACGAGAAGGAGAGATCCGGCAAATCGAGCAATCCGTCGGCGAATTGAACGAGCTATTCCGAGACGTCGCCCATTTAGTCCGAGACCAAGGCGACATGATCGATGCTATTGATATCAATGTCGAGAATACATTAACCGACACTCGGGGAGCTGATACAGAACTACGAAGCGCAAGCCGGTACCAGAAATCGGCCAGAAACAAGGCTTGTTGTTTGTTGGTCATCTTAGCGGTGGTCCTGTTGATTGTGGTTCTAGCTGTCGTTCTCGGATGAAGAAGGCTCTGTTGCGCTCAGGCGTTACTGGTATTCATCGATTCCATCAACCTATAGCGCTAGAATGTATAGCCATTGTATAGAGCGCTGTTCCTCAGTCTGGGAAATATCAGCTTGGCCATAAACCTCATGGCCAGTCACAACTCGATCGCGGGCCCCTAATGAATTATTGTTTAGCCTCTGAGCTCTGCGAAGCACATTTTACTTGCGTGGAGAGGAGAATTTAGGTGCCGCCTGTGACTTCGCGAAATCTTGACCCTTGATCTACTATCAGTGCTATCATCGTCCCATGAGCCTTTGTACTTCGCACATAAATCGTGGCCACGAGGCTGCCGAGGCAAGGCTGACAAGGCTCTCTTTCAGCCTCATTTTCGACGCGTGACGTCAAGCCCCATTTCCCATCGCGTGCGCTTTTCCAACCCGCCCTGCCCGTCCTCCGTCAACCTTTTGCTTTCACTCACGATTCGGCCTCGAAAGATATTCTTACATTCGTGATGGCACGATATGCAATCAACATCCTTTTCGGACCCCCAACGACCAATACTCGTTTCAGCCGGTGATACCAGCTTGAACGCCGCGTCTAACCACTCCAACCTCATACACGGCAGGAAGAGAAAAAGCAGTGATACTGAGCCAGACAATAATGGCTCGCAACCAGAGGTCTTCGCAGCAAAGTTACTCTCTCCAAAATATGCTACGCTTTCATTCGCGCCGGTAACGCTTGTGGCTCGAGCATGTCTGCCCCTGGCATGGCTCGATACGTCCAGTAGCACAAGCAGCATGTTCTTTGAAGCAACTATTCCTTCTGTGGAAGAATGGGAACAACGCACTCTACTCGTCCGTCAAGTCCCCAACGGCGGACTCCATGCCGTTGAGCGGATTGGCCCAGATAGCTACGTTGCATGTACGTTGCACAATTTCGTGTCGGAATCATGGTGCTATGATGCTGCGGTTGGAAAAGTAGCTGAGGTCAAAGTTGAGCACCTGATACGGAAAGAGGGCGATAGCGGTCCTCGGGGTTCTCATACGCGGGCAGGATCATCGTCGGGCTTCACAGCATTACAAACACCAAAGAGTCCCAAGAGACCAACAAATCGACGCGGTGCTTTGGCCAGGATGTCAATATTGCAGGCGAAGGACTCTGCTGGCGTTCGTGAGCCCACCGACCCATTGAGCTCTCCTGCCCTTCCTCAGCAGCCAACTATTGCTGCTTTGGATAATTTGGCTGGCCAGGAGATGGCACACATGCCCGTTTCTCCACCCGTCATACAGCCATCATCTGTTCCGCCCTCAACTCTATTCGGAGAACGAATACCAGCCACCAACGGCGCAGGAATCGGTCTGCAAAACCCATCCTACAACACTGCTCCGCTTAGCGAGGCTCTTCTCCCAGTACCGGCGCCTCTTCCTGGATTGGTCAACTCTTTGACTGACACAGACACCGCTGGGCCCGAGCGCCTCCGTACACAATATTTTGAGCATCTCTACACTTCCAAGACCTCACTGGCATTCTACGTCAAAGGGCCACTGAGTCGGGCCCGAGCACACGTACGCTCGGGCGGAGATCCTGCAAAAGTGATATCTGAACTCTCTGAGTTTTATGAGCAAAGTATTTTGCCCACCAAGAAAATTGATCACAAATACAAGGAATCCCTAGTCAAGATCATCAAAGAATTGCCACCAGCGGTGATCGAACAGGAAGGAGAAGGTGTCGTCGGGGAAGACACATCTCGGAAGAAGAAAAGGCCACGGAAGAAGAAGGCGAAGCTGGGTACGGACGGTCTGTGGCCTGATGAAGAGGATTTCATCACAAAATGGTGGCGCAGCAGAGATTTGAAGACAGCGAACCTGACAGTGATTGGTCAAGCCGAGGAGATGCGGAAAGAATTCGCAGATTTACGTATGCGGGAAAGTGAGATGCAAATGCTCCTCATGTTGGAGGTCATGTTGCTTGAAATTGCAGGGTCACATCTCTCTGAGACTACGAAGCCGGCGTATGCAACAGATCCAGACGTGAAAGTCGAATCTATCGAGGACGACAACAACGACCTTTTGGCCTCGGCCCCCCAAAGGCCACCTAAAGCGAAGAAGAGGCGCAACTGGACGAGCGAGATCGATACCATCGTCGATCGTCTGTGCATTTGGCATACCGTCAGCCTGGACGAGCTCTCTACAACAGACGACAAGTCTCAGAACAGCAGCAGCAGCACGTCTTCAAAACCCAATGACTCGCTCAAAGACTTCTGCAAAGATGTCCTCCTCCCATTCTACTCGACCAAACTCCCTGAGCGAATCAAATCAATATGTCGTAAACTCGGCGGACCCGAAATTTCGCCCAAGCGATTCAAACATCCAGCACCTGCAGTCAACCCGCACAGATCGTCCTCAATCTCTTCGCTCACAAAATCCAAAGCAGGCCGACCCATTGCAAAAAGGACTCTCGAAAGGGTCCTTAGCGAAGACCACCAACTCCTCCGCCACGTCTCCCCGCCAATTACCTTCTCCCGCGGTTCCTCTGTGACAGCCTCCATAACGCACAACCCTATAATACCAACTCTAAAGCGTGAACCCTCGGAAAGGCCCGTCTCTCGCGGAGGCAATCTCTCCAAGTCACTCTCTTTCAGTAATCGAGAAATTGACCTCGCCGCAGATCAAAAAGCGCATGAGGTGAAACGGCGTAAGCTTGACCGGTTGGCGCAGCAAAAAAAGGAGTTGGAGGCAGCGATTGATGCGCTTAAGAAGCCTGACCGAAAGACCGTGGCGGGAATGTTTATGGACGAAGTGGAGGAGAGGAAGAGCAAGGAGAAAGAAAGGAAACCAGCAGTCCAGATATCTGCAACGCCAAGGGCAAGGAGGGTCAAGGAGACTATGCAGGAGCCAGAGTTGCCGCAAATGCCCAAGCTGATGATTCAGGAACACGACGCGGGGACGGTGATTCCTTCGTCGACAGTCAAGCCTCCGTCTTCAGGTCCCGGAATCCCAACTTTGGACAGCATCACTAGGTCTTCAGCCAGAAAACGAGCAGTCATTGCTGCGATCCATGAGACGCCATCACGCGGAATTGAGAAAAATTCAAATCCGCTGAACCTGCCTCCTTTTTATCCGCCTCCGGCTGAGGCGACAGACCTCTTAAGGATCGCGGCGACCCCAGCATCCAAACGACCGGACCTAGGTAGAGAAGGCGTGCCTTCGTCTGAACGCAATCTAACTTCCTCATCTCAACCCCGGCTTGCCGCTCATGAAGAGATCAACAGTGTACCAAACGTGCACATGACTCGCTCCCGCCGTCCAGTTCTCTTTACGCCAGTGAAAAGGTCAGAGGTCCCACTGGATCATGTATTCCGCGACGCACCAGAGATTCCTGAGCAGGCCGGTCGCATGATGGATCGAGTCATGGGTGGGAAGGGACGCGGGATGATGATGGACGATAGCTTTCAGCGTTCCCAAACCCCTGATAACTTGACGAGGCTGCACGGAACGGGGACTGTTGAGCGAAAGGACGTCCCGGCGGAGGGTGTTGAGGAAGGTGATATTTACGATCAATTGGGTTGGAATGATGACTTTGACTTGTGATGATATCCCGATCGACCGGTGTATATAGATTGTTAGCGCCTCCACGGTGAAGGAGAATGACGAATCCCATGAACGAAGAGGTATAAAGTGAGCGTTTCAGCGAAAATGATCTTTTCTCTTGAAAGGCCCTCAAGAATCTCCACAAGCAGCAAAGTAATGTTCTGACAGGGACAAGCTGTTGGAACTCCTCGACATCCACCACAACACGCATAGTCCCTTCGCAACCACAAGAGGCATTCGTCCAATACGTCGGTCGCCGTACTGGGGGCCACTTTCGAAGTAGATCGCCGCACTCTTGAAAGAGTCGCGATGTGCCTCTTCAGGTTTGTCGCGATCGCTTTCTTTGATGGGGATCTTCGTCGTCGTCGTCGTCGGGGGGATCTGCAAGGCTGAGACAGATCGCGCACACGGACGCACACACGGACAGCCCCTCTTGAGCACAGAACCTTCTTCGTCTAAAACGCCCTTCCCACCTTTCAAGCACAGTCTCGACCGTGTCTACCTGGCCATAGCTATACGCGCCCTTCGAGTTACTTCACACGTCTCAGGGGAAGGGAAATACACAGCACGAGCCCACAACGTCCTGCACGCTGTCCCCCTCAATGTCTGGGTACTCCATACCATACCCATCTCCATATGTACTTGGAATGACTGTCGCCGTTCTCCGTGGAAGGATCGAGGAACGGTCCATCCGAAATGGCGCACGCGTGGGGTTCATTTTCCTCCACCACGCGGCTGAACAATCGAGGGTCGACGACGCCCCCCCACTCCCACTCTGTTGACCTCAGTCTTCAAGTTCGAAACGGGCACTCATATTGCAGCGGTAGACGTTTCAGTAGGGTTGATGTACAAGTAGGCATCTTGACGCCCGGCACAAACCGTCGCCATCGGGACGTGGGAAGTCCTCCGTGGCTGTGTACTGGACCACCTAAGCCTCGGCGTCATGCAACACAATAATCAGCGGGCAAAAGCTTAGAAGGTCGAAACAGGCCCGGCTAGAACCCTCCAGAAATAATGGCGCAGTGACGCCATCTAGGACCCTCATTGTTCGAGGGAAGAGAGTCATTGCTGGGGCTTCATGTCGATAAAAGGTGACTAAAACGCAGTCAGTCCTGGCATATGAAATTGGCAGTTTCCACATTTTCATCCCATCGTTGCTGTTGTTTGGCTTTTTGCATGTGTCTCCTCCCAGAGAGGAGATTGTTCTGTGGCAGGGCGAGAATTCTCTTGGGTGGGTATCTCCATTGCTCCGCGGGGGGTGTCAATATAGTTGTAATAGGGAGGTAATGGAGCCCTTTGTTGGCTTGAAGTCAGAGGGCCATTCGCCCACGGGTTGACTCCGAACCACGGCCGAAAATCGGAGCAAGGCTGCCGCATCCCTCGGCAGCGACATCCACATGGCGTGCCAAAGTAGACCACATGTGGATAGATTGGGATCTCACTCTCACCTCTCAAACCGATAACGCTGGCTCGGGAACGAATCATGGCAACCTCTCGACTCATGGCAAGACGAGAAAAGTGACATGTAGGTTGTACTCGGTACTTGTAGCTTTTTTTTTTTTCCCTCTCGCCCTCCGATCAATGATCTAGCGTCAGGCTGGGCTGTTTGTCTCGTGACCACCCGAAGCAACAGCAAAACAAGAACGTCTTCTTTTTTCGCCATTTAATTTTAGATTTTTTCTTTTCTTTTCACCTTTTGTTTCTCTCAAATTTGCAGTCATTATTCTCAATACAGACCTAGAAGTCCAGCGGGCCTCGAGGGGGAGAGAGAACCTTGTCGATCATTCAACACACTCTCGGTATTCATTCAATCGCTTTTCTGAGTACGTCGTCGTCCGTGACTCGCAAGACTTTGACGCTTCATTTACCTTTTCACAAAAAAAAGGCCCCTGAGCAGTGTGGGATCCATGTAAGTTTGCTCGCGGACCCCTCAACCCAGAGGAACGTTCACATCTTTAACCAAAGTGCCATGACAGCATAAAACCCCTCACCCCCTCCGAGATAACGCTCTGGGACCGCATCCACCATGATATTCACGCGAGGAGTCTCTCTGACAAATTTCATCATTGCGACTTCTGCCCTGGGCTTCCAGGTCTTCGTTCTATACCCATGGCACGAACGGCTAGACGAGGAATTCAGGCGGCTAAAACAGGAGCACCTTCACATCCTGCACCAGGGCGAGGAGGTCCGACTTGGCGAACTGAAAGGGATCAACGAACAGCTCAAGAAACTCGGCAAGAAGTGATTTGATTTGATCTAATTTGGGACGCGGACAATGAGGAAAAAGGAGTTCGCTGGTGTTGGTGCTGGTGCATGCAAGAGGAGTTTACGTGTCACTGGATATGTCTGTCCCGTTTTTACGTCTTAGATATAGAAATCCTAGAGGCAACCCTAGATGCCACAGGTATAGAAATAGAAATAAACGGGGATTTCTGTTTGTCCCTTCATACTGTACGAGTACTTGATATATCATCAAGCCTCCCTCGCTGTTTGCTTTGCGCCTGAACAAAAATGCCTCACCAGCGCCACGTGACATCCACATGCCTTCTTGGCACCTCGGTACTGGGTACCTCGTACCTTGCTCGTACCCTAGGCTGCTCGGTTGGTACTGGGTACCTTGCGAGGCTTGGCAGTAACAGACTACCCAGTAGCTCGGCAGCCTTGCCAGCTCGTTGGCTGCTCCAAAGGCCGAATCGAAAAAGGGGTGGCTTGGGGGGTATCGTTCGTCAGTATGGAACAAGGACTCCGTTTAACTTTGGAAATAGAGGCACTGTATCCCCTATCTACGCCGTTATTAAGGCTTATGTTATTACCTTGGCTACGTTGGATGCGGCGTATGTTTTGAGTCAGACTTCATCACTTACTTCTCACTTCGGCTTGCCAGGTAAACTTGTATACATCGACATCGAGCGCTCATCCTGATCGTGCATCCTGGCCCAGCTTCGTATACCGAGTCGTATGTCACGCTTTCATTGTAGGCTGCAGCTCAGCCACGCTCATTCTAATTTCAGCTAAAAGCAAGTCCCATCTTGCACCATGTCTACGTTTCAGCGCCGAAGCTCCCAGCAATGTCTTTCTTGTCAAGATCGCGTCGTCTCTTCACGCTCAAGCCCCTTCCACTGCGTCCATCGGAGAGTATTTCTTTAATTTGCCGTGGTAAGCGTCGTGGACATACCAGGATATTGCCTACTAATCTCAGCTCCCAGGCAAATCCATCACCCAAGACGAGCTGTTTCAGTTTACCAATGGTCGATTCCTGACTCGAGACAAACAACAACGTGATGCTCGTTATGTCAATTTTGATCTGGGTGCACTTTGTGCTATTGCAGCCTCCATAGGCCCTTCGATATCGCGTGTTCGAGAAGTCGAAAAATTAGAGGGCGGATTCAGCAAAGTATTACGCATACAACGAGAGAACGGAACAGAACTCATTGCGAAAATATCATGCCCCAACGCCGGCCTTGCAAAGTACGCGACTGCCTCGGAGGTTGCTGTTCTGGAATACGGTATGAAGCCACACGTTACTGTAAGGTATGCCTGATGTCTGACGAGTCAAAGTGAGAGAGTATACTGACATCCCAGTACCATCCATTTATTCGTGGAGTGCTGGTGCTTCCAATCCGGTTGGGGCCGAGTATATCATCATGGAAAAAGCTCCCGGTGTTCAGCTCTTCAGAGTGTGGGATCAAATTGAGGAACGAAGCAAACTTGCTATCATCGAGCAACTGGCCAAATGGGAGAGTCAATTGATGTCCATAGAGTTCCCGACCTATGGCTGCGTGTACTCTCGTCATTCTTTTCCAGATAGTGACAGGAAGACGGACCTTTCCACAGACATCGATCGATCCGGGTCATATTGTGTTGGTCGCTCCGGCGATCCCACGTGGTCTACTGTACCGTGGGATTTAGCATCTGGCCCTCGTGTGTATACCTTTGCAAACTCTCTGTCTCGTGCGGAATCCTGACCCATCGTTAGGGCTTTCTCTCACCGAATTTGGAACCGCATTAGCAAAACGCGAGATATATCGCGTCTCTCGGGAATCGGAGAGCGCTCACGTCGTTGACCACCGTGGCACAGCTGCTGAACAGATCCTTTTGCTAGAGACAACCGTTGAGCTCATGAAGATTCTAGGCTCCCATTCGGACCTCCTCTGTCATTCTAAGCCTACCCTCTGTCATCCGGATCTGCACTTGGGCGACATTTTTGTCTCAGAGGACGACCCTTCAAAAATCTCAGCTATTATCGACTGGCGGTTTGCACAGATAGCTCCTATGTTCTTACAGCTTCGCTGGCCGGGTTTTCTAGCCCCACCAAAAGACTACACAGCTGGCATTGTTAGCCCAAAGTTCCCTGACGACTATGAAGACATGGATGATGATGAAATGAAATTGGTAGAGTACGACTTCAAGCAAGCTACAATCGCCAAAGCCTACGAAGTAAGATCCCATCTTGACAACAAAGATGCTTATGATGCCATGAACATGCCTCGAGGATATCGGGAGCTCTTCATTGGTTGTGGAGAAACGTGGGCAGAAGGGCCTGCGCCATTACGGAAGTGCCTGATCGAGGTTCTCAATTTCTGGCACGATCTAAATTTGCCCGGTGAATGCCCCTACGCATTCAGTCCGGAAGAAATTCAAAAACACGCAAAGCAGTTTGAACAATACAGAGAACAGCACCGGGCGAGAGAATTTGCGTTGGAATATCTCGACACCGATGCGGATGGCTGGATCCCCCCTGAAGTGGATTTTGCGAAGAAGCAGCAACAAAATAGAACTCTTCTCGCCTTATACGTCGACAGAATGTCTGGTCAGAAATCCCGAGAAGAGATGCGCAAACTGTGGCCCTTTTCAGAGGAAATCTAACGAACAAGGTGCGCAATAATGGGAAAACCACACGGATCGAGACAATCATACATGGCAAGATGGCCCGTGAGACTTGGGTCGAACCCTTCCCATCCGCCTTTCTGCCAGGAGGCGCGGCAGATTGTTTCCAGGTTGGCTCCGCCCAAGTTGTTGACGAGTTGGACCACTAGGCGTCAATAATCGACATCCAGCCGTGCTGGGTGCGTGCCATTGGCGCGTCATGCATTGCCTCAAAATCGTGGCTGAATCTCAGCCAGCACAGGGTGTCGCCCTCACAACTCATCTCACCTTTTTTTCAATCGATCTTCTTTTTTTTTTTTAGTAGCCAGTGGCGGGAGAACGGTTTTCATCTTCTGTCCTCAGCACCAAGGCTATCTGCAACCTCAGTCATGGTCATTCCTCTTTTCGGCTGGTCTGCAGGAGACATTGTGGTTTCCATCAAACTACTGAGGCGAATTGGAGCAGCATTCAAGAGTGCTGACGGAACGAAAGCGACCCTATTCTATGGCTACAACTCTTTGTCGCCCGCCTCGAGCGCGTCAAAGAATACCTGGATACTCATCCTACAGCGAAGTACGCCACGGAAATCGCACGCCAAGTTGAAATGATTGGCAAGGCGGATAATCAATTCGCAAAATATCTCTAAAAGCACGAGAAGAGTTTCTCTTCTACCCACCGTCGTCGTTGTCTCAGTCAAAAGGGTCAAGTGGCAGTCAAAGAATTAAAGGGGGAGGCGGAGTAGTTGAAGCAGCTGACGGCTACAGGTAGGCTTGCAGGCACGCTTTCAGGATGTCTTCCGTGTTCCCACAGAACTGGATGAGAAACTGAGCACCAACCAGAACATAATTGCGCATGCGCGGGTAAAGCACGACAATGGTATGAACGGCCTCACAGAAGTTGTGAGCAAACTCGACAAGCTGATTCAGCCCGGTTTACAAGAAGCGTGGCCGTCCGCCCTTGGTCCTGCTCTGGTACCCGTGGATCGTCAGCTGTCTACAGAATCTTCAGGCCGGGGTCTCTGCACCAGGGGGCTCTCTTGAGCGTCGTGGATTTGTGGGAGATTACATCGTTGGGTTCGAAGGCCGCCTTTGGAAGCCATACCACCATCCGAGCATAACTGCGCGGACCCGACCGTTGACGACACTTCCACTCGAAACAGCTCGATGTCCACTGTGACGCATGGAAATGGCTAACGTGGTTCCTCATCAATTTCTCGCTAGAATCAAGCGTCATCACCGGAGCCGAATGCAAGCGAAAGAGAGGATATTTGCCAGAAGGGTGAACCAACCGGTGGCCCGATACAACCATCAACGAGCCATAGCACAGTAGACCAAATCCTCCATGGTAGACTCGCCAGGGATTCCGACTGCCTCTCAGTGCCGAGCAGAGCTTACAGAAGCTAACGAAGATAGTTGAAAAGATGATAGCAAACCTGATACTCATGGTTATGATTGGTAGTACGAAGGTCCCATCAGCTGCCTAAGGGAGAGGACGGGGGCCGGCGGTCGGAAGGGCGGAAGGGAAAGACTACGGCGGCTCGGTTGGTGACAACCGCTGTGTGCCGTCTCCCCCAACTCGAGCTCGAGGCGTGGTTGCGGCAAAAGTACGAGAGACAAGTTTTCAATGTCAGACGCATCGAAGATACGTGCCAAGGCGGGGCAAGACGAGATCGACGGTTTGCGGTGCGACAGAGACGAATGTCTCGAGTGCTCTGGTGATTGATTCGGTTTTCAAAGGGAGCGCCAAGGAGAACTATTCGAGTCCAGGACTTCCCGAGATCTACAACGGAGCGATACTTGAAGAAGCTATTTGAAACCATTGGAGAGGTTCAATCCGTGGAAATATGGTGCGGGCAGGGTGGTCAACAGCGACGCCCGGAAAGCTCTGTCGAGGGCCCGGCTCGGTGCTGGATGGCTGCTCATCCAGGAGTCAGCCTCTCGTCTTGACGCCTATCGGACGAAATCTCAGCGCCGACGAGGAGTAGGCCAAGTTGGACGGGACGAAGCGAGGCTGCGGCTGTGGCTCTGCACCTAGCGAGGACGAGTCTGAAGCCATGGCATTGGATCGAGAGACTCCCAGAGCTTAGAGGAGCCACCGTGTGCTCGTTCTCATCCCCATGCGAGCGAGAGATGGACTAGTGCACTTTTTTTTCTCCCCGCAATAATAAACAAAGCGCTGAGAGATCTCCGCTGTTCAGAACGGAGATGGCCTTCGGTCAGTAATAAGGATTCCGTTTCCCTTTAGAAGTCAAGGTACCTAGGTATCTCCCCTGTCCGCTATACCGAGTACCGTTTGCTTATATTTGATATACCGACACCGACCACTTCGTTGTTGTCAAGTCCTCTTTGGCTACACTGGATACAGCGTGAAATTCTGGCCGGACTGTGTCATTTACTTTGCAACTCAGTTCGGTAGGTACTAGGTATGTAAGTACTAAACGGACAAGGAGGGTGACGAAGTGGATCGAGGTGGATATATCCAAGGACGCAAACACACACACAGCTAGACCGTCTGAGCCGGATCTAGCAGCGTAAAGTGCGACATGGCTGATTGGTTGATGGACCCTTGCTATTGAATTGGAGGAAGTAGAAGAAGAAGAAGAGGAGGAGGAGGAGGAGGAGGAGGAGGAGGAGGAGGAGGAGGAGGCGGCGGCAGACATGGATGTGCACATTCTTCCCCTCGCAGATATCATTCAGGTTTGCCCACGGCGACAAGCTCAAGAACCTCCCAGTATAACGCATGAGACAACCCTTTTTCATATGCCGCCATTTCCATCCGTCCAGGAACAAGGAGACCACGAACAGACACGTCTGTCTTGCCCGCTGTATCCCAGCCTCGTCAACCAGCTATAGTGCAGGATCCACATTCATCAAATCATCGCTCATGATATGTAATACCTGCGTAAAGGTCCTCAGTCTCCTCCCACTGATCCCGTCCATTAGATTTGCAAAATCCAGCAACACCCTCCTGGCACCCTCGTAGCCACCACTATGTGCCACACCACCCAAAGATAAGGCCCCACCATATTTGACGAACTGGTACACCAAGCTGAAGTGTTCGTCTTCGCGGTTCGTGGTGAGATTCCGTTCAACCGCTGTCGGGTCCAGGCTTTCGTCTTTGAAGCCCATGTCACCCAACTCAGCCCAGTCGGGGTCTGCGTCCATAAGCTCCACAGGCGCGGTGCCCTGCCGACCAGAGCTCGGGTTGACCATGAAGAGATAGAGGCCTAGTACGAGTGCGGAAGCAAAGAGTGCTGTGACGCTGTGGATTGTCACGTTGTCGCTAACTCGGCGCTCCGACATGAGTTTAAAGTTCTGCGCTGCGTGCACGCATGCCCTGCGAGCGGCTTGAGTTTGGCTCCATTGGGAGATATTCTCCAATGCGCCAGTCGCAGGAGCGGCCCCATGTCGACCGGCTGCCAGCTCGAACATGCGAAAATCAGACAAGAGCATGACGCACAGACTGTGCCAGAGGACAACGCAATTTGTGTCGTCGACTTTCGAAAGCGGGCCCGCCGTGTGAGTAGCAGCAAGCACGGCGGGTACAAGCGTGCTGGCGCGTGCATCACCGGCGTAGACGTGCCAGGGTATGTATGACCCGATGGTCAATTGATCCGGAGGCATGAGCCGTTGGTAAGCTTCCAGAACTTGGATCTGAAGCAATGCGAGCAGGGATGATCGCCCCAGGTATCCTAACTTCCCAATCGGTGCCATATCATGCTTGTGCAGGTCCTCAATCCTGAAAGTTGGCGCACTTTGGTTCTTACCGCTTCGGAGCAGAGATTGCCATTGAGTAGCTGATTTAGCTTGGAAGAGTGCCTCATCGCACGGCGCCACGACGCAAACAGATTCCGATCTCACGATTGGTGCCTTTGACAACAAGTTTGAGAACCACGAATCACATAATAACAGCCCCAGGATCAGACGCTTGGCCGATTCGATCCGACTCCACGCCTTCCAACGATCGTCTGATTCCGACATCTCGGACAAAAGTGCATCGAGAGGCTGTCCATCGCCGGCCGCGAACAGCCCGTTTTGTTGGACCATGGCCAACAGACTGACGTAAAGCATCTGGCTCTGATTGAAGCAATCTTTATCCCCAGTAATAACCGATAAATTCAGTGTCAGCAGACCAGTCGCAAACAGAACCAGCTGCTGCGTCGCTGTTGCAGAGCATCCTGCACAGGCAGATAAATCACTACAAACACGTTGTAAAAAGCTGGGAAACATTTTCGACGCAAATCTCGTAGCGCCAGTTGTTCCAAGGATACTCAAACCAATAAGACATATGGCGAATAGCATCGGTGCCGGAGTGTTCCGAACGGAAAACGTCGCAATATGGATGAATGGGACGGTGGGGTGAAACCGCCGGAAAAAAAGGCCTAACGCGATATCGAGGATTTCAGCGGGCGGGAATTCCTCGCTCGCTGGTTGCTGTGATGAAAGAGCTGGATCGACGACAGCTTGCAGCTTCGGTGAATGATATGTTGACGGCGCGGGGGTGCGAAATGTGTCTCTCAGTCTCACTCTGCATTCAGTATCGAGACCCCAATTTGACGTGGTCCGAAAGTCATCTGCCACAGGTGATTCGGAGAACAGATTATCCATTGGTGATGAAGCGACTTCCCTCCAAAGAACGGGCATAATCCGATGGACACGGCCTGGCCGGGGATTCCAACATCGCTGGACCCTAGAGAAGCGTTCCCGAGGGACCTTGGCGATGTTTTTCGTCCTGTCCGCAGGGTCGTAGGCCCTGCCATTCACCAGATCTTTTGAGTCCTGGTATGGCTGCTGCGGGTCGGGGATGCCATAGGTCTGCAGGAAGTCGGGAGATTGGTCCAAGTCTCCCAGAGAAGGAAACAGCCACATCTGGAAAGGATCATGGAAGTTGCTGGAGCTGGAATTGTCCGTTTGGGGAAGCCATTCGATATGGCTATCCGAGAATTGATTGGGCGCGATCTCAGACCGAGGAGTTTGGCCCGGGTTTGGCGGGCTGGTAACTGAAGTTTCAAAAGTCGATACTTCACCACTGTTCTGCGACGGAGACGGTTTCTGACCATGTGAGGAACTGGAGGCCTTGTTGTTCATGGTATTGATGGGCGAAGGCACCGTCCATGCCGAGCCAGTGAGCTGCATGGTGAGGGCATTGCCGGGATTCGATGAGGGATCTAGAAACGGGTTGGACACATCTATCGAAGACTGTCTGGCGGATTGAGAAGGATCATTTCCCGACTGAGAGAGATAGTTGCTTGGGGAGAGAATCTGCATCACCGAGATACTCCCTGCATGGGGTCCATTGGCAAGAGCAGCAGGAGAGTTGATGTTGAAGTCATCCTGGGAAGGCTGAGGTGGGACGCCTTCTGAGATGGTGTTCCTCCGTGAGGAAGCATTGGTAGGGGCCGATTTGTCGCTCTTTTGAGCATGGCATTTCATGTGCCGGAACAAGACATCGCTGGATCATGGTTGGCATCCATTGACCACCAACAAAGAGGTTAAATATAAGCAAGTACGAACCTGCGTGAGAAAGCCTTGTCACAGATAGTGCATGGATATGGACGTTCACGCGTGTCTGGCAATGCATGAGCGAGAGAAGGCTAGCGCGGGGTAAGTGAAGTTGACGTACGAGAGCGCTCATGACGCTTGAAGTGTTCAGTCTTTGTGAAACGACGGCCACATACGGTGCACTGTCGCAAGACCATGGCTTGAGCATATGTGGAGGGACCTGGGAAAGGATGTGGGAGAGGTGTTGAATTGGGAAAAGAATGTGGGAGCGGTGGAGGGAAGGTAATGAGGTTGAGTTGTGTACTGGGTAGCGGTCGAGCAGAGAACTAGTCAACATAGCCTGGAGATCTGGATGTTCGCCCTCCAGGCTCAGGGTCCTTTTTGATTTGGCCACTCTCTCTTGTCAGAAGCCAGGAAGAGAGAGTCAGAGGGCGAGAGGCAGATGGGCGAGATGGGGGTGCGGAGAGGGAATCGACCACAAGTGACTAGGCTGATTTGTGTGGAAAAGTGGAGGCAGTAGAGGGAGCGAGAGGGAAGCGCTAGCAAAAGAAAGAGCCCCAGCGAATTGGGATTAAAGGGGGAGAAGAAGATGGCGAGGTGGAGGAGTGTGTGAGGATCCAAGGATTCTGGAAACTAGGCCAGTAGCGAGTAGGGGAGGAGCTGGGAGTAGGTACTGGCAAGGTACTGGGTACTGGGTACAAGTAAAGGATTTTCTGGGGTTTCCATCACGCCTTCCGGGATCCGGAAAATCTAAATCACCGAGAGCAGCTCCGTCAGTTAGTTCTGGCTGGCGCAGTCATTTACTCTCTCTCTCTCTCTCTCTCACTCTCACTCCCTCACACAATCCTCCAGACGATACCGAGTCCCTCGTACAAGACACACCCATCGACGAGAGAGCCCAGGGACAGGAGAATAGAGAGATCAAAGGAAGCTCAACAAGGTCAGCTGCCCTGCCTCTGTGCCCCCCAGTCCAATGGCCACAACCAAATTCTAATCAGATGGCGTTCCGTCTACTGGGTACAGGGTTAGTCCCTCCTCCACTCTCCCTCCTCGCAGCCCGCCTCCACAACCCCAGTAACCCAGTGGATCTCTCGGGCACAGAAGAATCTCCGGGGCCCTGGCCAAAAGGAGACAACCAACTCCAACGCTGCCCCCTTTAGGGTGTGCCTGGCCGCTTAACCTTTTAAAGACGCCGGGGAAAAAAAAAACGAGGGAGTAAACATTACGAGGCGAAGGGATGGGGCATTTCCGGGCGCCAGACTTTGGGAGCTACATACCGAGTACATACTGGGACCCCGGGGAGGCTACTGGCTTTGGGGATTCAAGCCATGGCCAAAGACTCCGCGCCGAGTGTGGGAAATCACGGGTTCAAAACATTGATTTACCATTTGACCTGCAGTCTGAGTGAAAGCAGGCTTTGTTCGCCACCGATGATGATGTCGGCGGTCTGTCTTGTCCGTCCTTCTTCTCAGTAGGTAATATGTACTCTGGACACAGCTCGCTCTCCCGGCTCATCGAGACAGTACCTGCCAACCATGACGACCACAGGATCTCGGGGTCTTCATATCTGCATGCTCGTACCCGACTTTTTCAAGGCAGCCACAGCTTTGGTATGTGGTCGAATTGTCACCCATATTCCCGCACGCTTCGACAGCATTCAGAATCTTGTCACTCTGTCGGGTCACCCCGAAACTGGCAGGAACTTAATCGTGGATCCGCAATTACCAGGGATTCTGACAACGTGACTCCCTCCGACTGTGCCATCGTTGCTGCTAGTGCAGAGCTCGTAAATCGACTCGGCCGCGGCCGCGACTTCTAGCAGGGACACCTCACAAAAGACAGGAACCTTCCAATCCTCGTCGAAGCTGAGGTGCATGGCACAGGTCCCCGATTTCTGTGTTGTTTTCAAATTTAGCATCTGCTCTTCTTTTCCGTTTTTCAAGTAAGAAAGACTTACGCTTAGTGTGAGACTTTGACCCTTCAATGCATTGGCCGTAGGAACCATGTCACCACCACGATCGGACACGTCAGTGAAGGCGGCGAGACAGTCGTCTGCGTAGGTACGGATGTCGTTGTCGCAGACAGCAGCATCCGACAGAGCCGTCACATTAGTCTCCCGCGACACGTTCCACATGGTCTTGAAAGCATTCGCCAGGGGGAGGCCGCGAGGCAAGCGAACACCATCCTGGTTGAACGGCGCTTCTTGACGGTCGTTTGGCAGCGGCTCAAGAGTAGTGCAGTCGAGATAGACAAACACGGCGACACCACGGACGACACGCGTGAACCAGTACCAATGATCCTCGACCGTGACCGCTTGGGTGCCGCAGGAATTGCCAATTGATTGAGTATGATGACACTTCCCATCAATAAGTGAACCTTCCGAGTAAGTTCCACATGACTCGTGCAGAATTGGGATGAAGGTGAAATATCCACATTCGTTATGCTCGAGGCTCTTGGAGTACTTGTAGCTCTGACTCTGACCAGTCTTGGTATTCCAGCCACCAGTGATGCTAAATGGCACAATCAAAGTCAGTCTTCTGGCACCCTAGCAGCGTCGCAATTTCCTACTGACCCGAATGTCAAAGCTCCTTGCTTGAAGTTGCCGTTCACCTTGGCCTTGACGTTGTAGCCGATGTGTTTGGATTCGGTCAAGGTGCATGTCAGTCCTATTTACACAGGGATCATCAGCTGTGGATTCCTAGCTACACGCATATGTGGCTGGGTGCGTCTTTCACAGCTCCTTACCACCAGTGCACATGGGCATCGAGGAATAGGGTTTCTCCTGTCCATAGAAAAAATTGGTCCGCATCTCACAGTAGCTGGCGCAACCGCCGTTGGGGTTGTCTTCACAATCCATGCCATTCGGTGCCATCTTGAACTTTGGCGGGCACACATCAGTGCCGTACTCGTGGTACAGGATGGGCATTGCACCGTCCCAAGCACAGACGTTGGCTTCCACAGTGGCTGAGGCCGGCGAGAAGACCTGAGGAGACAGGATGAGGAAGGAGATGGACAGGACCAGGCAGAAGTTGGCAGACATTGTGAAGATGTCAAAGCCCATTGTCGACGAATGAACGGAGAATGCGAGGATGGATTGATAATGGACAGGTAGGTGAGGCAAGCAGTGAGAGAGACACAACGACGGATGGATTGATGGAATGATCGAAGCCCAAACCGGGCTGTAGAGCTTCAGATGAGGAAGGCACAGAGAAAGAGAAAGAGAAAGAGATAGAGATATTCAATTCTCAGTGACACATCCTCACTGCAAGATCCTCACAATTACAGCCAAGAAATGTAACAATTCACTGCTTCGTCCTGGAGTCCGGCGCTATAGTGGTATATCCGACACGGAAGAGGAAGCAATGCCGGGAAAATTCGATAAAGATGCCTCGTATAGAAGACATGTCACACGGTAAGTAGCGAAGACAGCTGGCTGGGATCAGGCGGACATGGAAGGAGCTGGTGCGGCATGAAATTGCTGTAGCCGATTAATGAATGAATGGATGGGGGAAAAAACAGTCTCTCTCTCTCTTCCTGCCCTCCCCCCTTTTCTTGGTTTGAATTAATGCGACTCCCCTACAACATGGGTCCTGCGATGCATCTGGGCCAGCCAGGTCTTGGAGGTGGCGATGCGGATGCGCTTGCCGAAGAACATGAAGACAAGCAGCATGAGGTCGTTCGCCATGAGGACGCCGCAGAAGACGCCGGCGATGATGTTGACGTAGCCGCTCTGCAGGATCCAGTCGAGGATCTTGAACCCGAACCCGAACGAGATGGCCTGCTTGCCCAGGTTCATGGCGATCAGCATTTCCGAGAGGTTCGCCGTGTAGCTGTCGACTGCATAGGCGAGCGTGAAGGTGAAGTAAAAGTACGCCGACCAGTTGCACATGGCCACACCCGCGAAGTAGCCCATCCAGTGCAAGTTGTCCTGTGCCGTGTACCCGTACACGATCAGCCCGGCAGGACCGATCAGCATCGCGGGCAGGAGGACGCCCAGCCGCATTTCAGCCTCCCTGATGCCGTTGTTCTTTTTCGTCAGATACGCCGCCAGGCGGTCCGACGACGTCGTGAATGGTACCGCCAGGATGTAACCCACGGCGTTGCCGACGGCGATCAAGCCGGAGTTGGTCTATATTTTCCCTCTAGGTCAGCTTTCTGTCTTCTCAGAGGGGGGGAGGTGGGAGGCGGGAAAAAAAAAGAAAGAAAAAAAAATTAATATGCGGGCTTTCCCCCGTATAATGAGAACTTCTCGTACTTACCTGACTCCAGTTATAAGGCGGAGCAACAATCTTCGCGGGGAAAGTGTAATTGAACGCCAGAGCTCCCAGGCCAATGTAGATGCCGTAGGTCGAGACCACCCAGAACACAGATGGCACGGCGTAGTACGTGAAGGATCGGGCCGCAGTCATAAAGAACGAAACATCGCGGTCGTACACGCCCCATGGCTTGAGTGTGGAAACGAACGACCTCCTGTTCGGTAGAGGGCTGGAAACTTCGTGCAGGTCTGCCTCGACGCCCTTCTCGGTCGGTGAAGCCTCGACAGCGGCTCCGAGCCTTCTCTTCATCTCTTCGCGCTTGTACCAGGTCTCCTCGACGAAGAAGAAGGCCAGGATGAAGAGAGCACACGCGAAGGCGAATTCGACGTAGAAGAACAGCCGCCACGAGTAGCCGCCCGCAAGCATGTAGCCGGCATAGAGAGGTCCAGTGGCGCCTAAGCACAGGCAAACGGTGTAGTAGCCCAGCCTTTGACCACGCTCATGCAGGAAGAATATGTCATTGACAAGCTGCACGGGGAGAGCCTCGCACACTCCAGAGCCAAATGCATGAATGATGCGGCAAGCCATCAAAGTGCCGTACGTGTTGGATTGCGAACAGCCAATCAGTCCAGCAGCAAACTAGTCATTTTCGTTAGCTGGGGAGCAGATTCGGATAACGACATCTGAACCGACTTACAAAGATAATGGAAATCAGCATGATAGGCCGTCGGCCAAATTTGAGATAGGCAGGGACCAGGAGCAAAGAGCCAAAGCCATAAGCCAAATTGGGATATGAGATCAGGTTCGAAGCAGTGCCGGGGTCAATCCCAAACGATTCCGCGTAGATGCCAATGTAGACTGAAGGACCGAGCAACGACGAGTTTCCCAGAAACGAATAGGCCGCGCAGATGCATAGGATCATGGTCTTCTTGAAGTTGCCCCATTGGAGGGGATCGTTGGGGTCGTCTGCTGGCACAGGGAACAGAGCTTGTCCGTAGCCGGTATCATCGCCCTCTGAATACGAACAGTTAGTATAGATTGCAGATTAGCTTTTGGCGAAGCTTCAAGCCACTTGGCTGTAGCTAGACCTGGCAAAGCGACGCACCTTGAGCTTGCAAGTTGACGGTTCCAGGAATTGCCTCCTCATGAGCATGACTAGAGGGTAAAAGAGAACATGTCAGCATGGTCAATCGACAACAAGACCAGACAGGAACATTTTTGACTTACCTGTGCTTCAAATGGGGAGGATTGTGGCCGTGTTCGTGATCTCCCGTCATGATGGCAAATATCTATAGAAGCTCGGACTTTTGGGAGAGGATAGGAAACTTTTTGGGGCCTGACCACAGGAAATGTCAAGGTCGAAGCTGCAAGAGGAACGCGGTTGAAGGGGTGAAAGCGAAAGCCATGTGGCAGGGAGGAAGCAATCGACTTCATAAATGAAGCACAGATCTTCCCACCCGGCCATATTTTTTTTGGGGGGCACCACCAAGAACCAAGACTGGCTTCACGCCGTTGCCGCCTCTCCCACTCTTCGCCTCCCTCTCTTTCTCTCTTTCTTGCTATGTATCCACTGGCCAGGGTCCTCCTCCGTACGAGATACTTACCTGTCAAAGCTGGTCAAGGAAGAATCGGTGGGGCGATGAGGCGGGGTCTCCACTCCCCAAAGCAAACAAGAATGCAATGGGGCTTCTCATCTCAGTGTCTCTGGCCCCGGAAATACGCCAGTCTTGTGCTCCGTGGGCGGTGGGCATGCAGGTGACGGTGGTGCACGTAGCTTGCTGGGCGTCTTGACCTATACCGGCTGGTATGGCCGTTCAGGAGCGGGCTCCCGGCAGATACTAATAGCCCGCTAGATGTCGGCACCATGACAACTCGAGGCCAGGATCTGGATGAACAGTCTGGAAGGGATCCTGGATCTGCCATCGGCCAACAACGTGGACTGCTGGATCGTTGTTGCCAGCTGCTTGTGTCGGTCTGAGTCGTAGCGTGCCGATCGCCACTTGCTCGATGGGTCGTTGATTTTCGCCAGCGTCCAGACCCCAGACCGCGTTAATTAAGTTCGTGACGCTGCTGACCATGGGCGATACATGTACCCAGTACCTGTCCTCGATATTGGTACCTATGTAATACTTGTAAGCAGCCTCGATTCGGCGGATACTGGGCCAGAAGATCGAGAAGGGGGTTCGTCTGTGGTGGGTAAACTCAGGACTTTGGGCGACTCATCGTCACCACCATCTCATCCTTGTCGAATTCTCTAGGGACTGTCTGGTTGTCTTTTCCCCGGGTGCTGGCAAGGGTGATACAGAAGGAGCTTTTCCACCAAATCTTTGGCATCCGATCGTCCGAGTTGCCACATGTCTCTGTCTCTCCCATGTTTGGGTTTCCGAAAAAGTGTTCCCCCAGGGTAATGCGGCACGGAACATGCACCCCTTTTTTGCAGAGCGCCTAAGAAGCTCATGAAGCTCACGCTGATTCGGGCAATGCCACCAATAGGTGAAGCCTTTGACGCTAGTGGGCGACGCATCGCTTCTCCTTTTCCATGTGTCCTGCTCCACGACATGGGGCTCGAAACACAGCAATGTGAGCTATGGCTTGTTTGGTTTGTATCCGCATGGGGAATGGTATTTGTAGAGAGACAATAACGTGTGTTGCGCAAATCCGATAGATTCGTATGTTTATATATGAATGATATATGTATATATGTACACCAAACCTCGCCATTCATACTTGCATCTCGTTGCCTGCGCTGATCAGTAAAACTGCCCGGGGTTCCTGTCGTTTATGCAGTGTAACGAAAAGACCAATGCATCGCGCGTCGTTTTCAAGTTCGCTCTGGCCCTGAAATCACAGCCGACTCTGCGTCGCCGGCTCATGCCTCATACCTGTTGCCGAGTTAGCGTTCAGATGTAAAATCCAGATTGTTTCGACACAGCCCAAAAAAGTGCTCTGCTCACCTCTCCAAGCTTCCTCCGCCTTGGCTTCGGCATCCCAACTCCAGAGGAATTTCTGCATCTCTGGATCCCCCCATTTGTCGTCGTTGGAGCCGCCCGAGGACAAGACTTTGAACTTCTGATCGCGAGCCTCCTGCTCGGGGCCGTCGGGCAGGTGAAGCGCGGCCCTTGTCGACAGGCAGGTTTGCTGGATGTGCTCGGCTCGGGCCTTCTGCGCCTTCTCGTACGCTTGAAGCGCAACGGGGATTTCGTCCTTGGACGATACCGACGAGAGTACCACCCCCAGAGATGCTGCGTCTTCTACGGCTTGCGCCGCACCTTGCGCCACGTATGGTCTGTGGGAAAAGGTCAGAACCAACTTTGCCAGGACGAACCAAGGGAGAAACTGACAACATGGGATGGCATGCGTCTCCCAGGAGTGCGCACGATCCTCTGACCCATCTTAGAAGAGGCATGTGCATGCACAATTTCCACTCCAAAACATCCCCCTCTGGGACCAGGCCCAACATCTTGATCAAGTTCGGATCCCATCCTTCATATTCCGACAGCAGATTCTTCTTGGACGTCACGGTGGTCCAGCTCTCATCAACTCGACCACGATCAGGATGGGCAAGCGCCATATTGCTGAGTTGTCGTTAGCACTGTAAATGGCCATATCCCAATAAAAGCTACATCTTCGAAGAAAAAAAAGCAAACCCCTGCAACAACGGCCCCATATCCTCCGAGGAAAGACTTACTATATCTCATGATTCCGCACTGGATAGGCTATGATGTGTCGTCCTGGTCCGACCCATCGGATTGCCTTCTTCTCTTCGATGTAGGGCATCAAACCGGGGTAGTTGCTCAGCGTCTCTTTTGTGAGAACGACTCTAAACACCGCATCGCCGGTCGGGATTGCGACATCTTTGTCGTCTCCCAGAATCTTCGCACGGACCATGGATTTGATACCATCGGCCGCGAGCACCACATCTCCGTAGATTGTCGAACCGTCGTGGAGTTCCACCGCAGCCGGACTGAACTGAACGTTTTCGACCTTCGTGTTGGTCTGCAGTTTCACATTGGGAAGAGCCATGGCCTTCTCCAGCAAGGCCATTTGCAGGTCCGCACGGTGCACGACAAACTGCTCGCCATGGGCCTGGTTGATCGGAACGCTGCCGAGAAGAGATCCTCCCTGCCACCGCAAGATATGGATAGCACCGAGCGCAACACCGGTCCGTCGAACTTTGGCACCTGCTCCCCATCGATCCAGGAGCCGAAGCATGTTCGGTGCACACTGGATACCAGCTCCGACCTCCTGGATCTCGGGAGCAAACTCGATAATGTGGACATTGTGTCCTCGTTTGCCAAGAGCCAAAGCTGCAGCCAGGCCTCCAATTCCCGCCCTAGACGATCAAATCTTCAGATTTTGTCTCGTGTAAATGCGCAAGGCGCTCGCCCGCGGAGATGAACATACCCTATTATTATCACCTTGAGCGGAACCTTCGCCGGAGCATACTGCTTCTCCCAATTCACTTCGGAAGCTACCCCCATCTGTGCCTTGTCCGACTTATGAACAAGGCCTTGTCGACAAAGGGCTGCGAGATCAGCTACACAAAGAACAGCGACAGACCAGACCGAACGCTGCTCGAGCCTGAATGGTTTGTACCAGTGGGAGATTTGGTTCGGTTAGCAAAAGAGCAAGAATCCTCACCGTATCGCGTAACTCGGGTTGCGAATGGTGGGGAACCCTTAGAACTTGTCTGGGAGACAGTTTGCAATAAATTTGATCATCGACGACGTAAATGCAGCTGGACAATTAAAAGAAGTGAGTCGTGTCTCGTTCGATCTTGACGAGGCTTTGTCCGATTAGGAGGGCAACGGGACGCCCACTTGCTCGCTCGTGGGGCCACTTAGCTCGGCAGATATAGCTGGCAAGCTTTGACCCCACGACATTTTGTCCAGAGTCCAGACGGCCTTGGGAGATATACGACAGTGATGACGGGAGGAGTGGGAAATGGGCTCGACATGAATCGCTACAGGAGGCTATTCCGTTCGTACCTGTCGGCCCGGACAAGCCCAAGCACACCCAACACACCCTCATAGTGTTCATCTGCCGGAGGGGAGGTTTTCAACGTCTTTTCGCTTATTTCGGCGCCATTGTCCGAATCAATCGTCCTCGTCGTCATTAGTTCCTGCCGTCATTGATGCGTTAGGGAAGCGGCACGTTGAAGCATTCGTTCTTCGTTCCCAGCCCGTGGGAGAATGATGCTGCTTGCTTCGTGGAGCCAATCATTCTTGGTGTGCACAAACGGGAAGCAGCAAGACGATGTGAAGTGATGCCAAACACTCACCCTGATAGCGTGGTGACGTCTTTAACTGCCTGCATCTCGTCTTGAATCGCTCGGTGCAAGTGTCTTGTGAGAGTGAGAGAGGGTGAGGGAGAGACCAGGCGCTGTTTTTCCATCATGAAAATCCGATTTCAAATTCACAAATTAAAACTGGTATGTAGAGGTTGATCCAAAGGCGGATTGCGCAACATGTTTCCCATCCCTTCGTGTCCCTCGTTCCCAATGCCATGAGGATCCCTCAAATGCAATAGAAGCAGAGAATCGGAAAAGCCAACAGGGGGTGTCAAATGCCAAAGGCTATGATACAGGAAACAACGGCAAAAGGTACCTTGGAAAGAAGCAGGAAAAGAAAGACAGGTGTCCCGACTCGTCAACACTGAACGCGTCCATCTCCCTGTGCCTGTCCCTCAACAAAAGAGAGCCGATACGAAGGGATGATCGAGAGAAGATGAGGAAAAATAAAAGGTGATGAAACCCCCTAGAAAAGGCCCACTGGTGCTTGTAATTCCACCTTTTCAATGCATACCGCTTCCACTCCACGCGCTTCACTGTGCACCCTCCCGACAAGAATGCTCAGCTGTCCATACCCTCAAAAAGATTGCTCATATGCCCGCCTCGCTATGCAACCCACTCCCAATGCATTCCATGCAACAGAAAACCCGTGAACAAGATATCTGACTGTATGTGCCTTTGTCCTGTGCTGTCCTGTGATCCAAGTGGCAACCGAAGAACTGAGTATACAATTCCCAGAAGTAGTCGGATCCCGTCCAACTGATGCATTAGAAGGGAGAAGGTCCCTTCGTCGATTATCAATCTCAAGTCTCTTTTTTTCCTTCTTCCTTTTGTGGGGGGTTTAAATCTCAAATTCAATCGGGTCAAAGCCCTACTGAAACCCTTGAGTCCATTGTCCACCTCCCTGACCCTGGCCCTGAGAGCCAGGCCATCCTTGTCCATGCTGAGGATTGGGCTGCATAAACTGATTCTGTCCCCCCATGGGGT